TGGAATTGGTTTGTATGATTATTCAAGGTGCTATTGAGATGGGTAGTTGGGAGCTTGGTGTTCGGATTTCGAATGAGTGAGTGCCAAAAAAAAGCCCGTGGATGCCTGGCAAGTAAGGATAACTGAAATATCTCATTTCTCTACGCAGGCTGTTAGACTGGTGTGAAAAACGAGTCAAGAATATCATCGAAGTAGAACGCATGTCTGAACATACCTCTGATGAGAGGGCAAAAGACAAGAACGCAAACAAGAAGAGGAAGCGAAATGTGTTTAGTGATCGTCGACAAGCTATGGTTGCTGTGTTTCAGGATAAGACGTCCAGGTCCTCTAGAGGACGGTACGAATGACTTTGATGTGTTTTTCTTTTTTGAAAAGAGCGAATTTACAATCCAAAAAAACTCACATAAACTTGGGATGACTAAGGGCTCATGGATCACACGGCCATCTAACTACGAGAATTGTAGCTCAACTATCAGACTCTCAACCAGCCACCACATCACCTGAAGAACGAGCAGATCGTGATGACACAGCATCAATGAAAAGCAGCGCAACAAACCAACACCACAAGTCTCGCAACACATTTCTAGCTGCTCTCCCACTACAAAAACGAGAAGCATACGAGAAACTAGCTATAGCTCTTGACAAGTCACTAGTACCACTGTGGAAACAAAAGAGATGCGCAAGACGGTTACGTGGTATAGTCGCATTCGAACGACACGAGAGAGTAAAGTTATTGCTGCTAGCACAAGAATCTGCTTTACGAGCTATACAGAGCACTATGTTAGGGGTTTGCCAATGTCAGGCGTCTGTTGTTGAGGATTTGGAAATGGGTCTGAGTCCCCTTTTCGTTGAAGTTGTGTCTGTATCTGCAACTGGTGTAGTTCCTGCATCAACAGCACAAGGAACTAGTGCTAAACCGGTGACTATAATTGAAACACCAGCTCACAAACTTGCTCACGATGCTCTCGTGCCTGGCATACAAGCTGCTGTCTTAGCAGCACGGTATAAACAATGGCCCGATGTAGTCAAGGCATGTCAATCCATTATGCGTACCGGTGATTATTTAGCACAAGTAGGATCTTTATCAACCGACTTCTGGAAGACACATCTCTGGAGAGGATTATGGGTTGCCTCTGTATCAGTCTTGGAAATGTTGGAGGTTGTTAGGTTTTTACCTGCCGATGAATTTGATCCCGCCAGCACGTCAACACCCAATGACAATTTCACTACACGTCCAAACGGATCTGTACGGTCTGTCAGAACGCGAGATAGTAGTATGAGTCGGAAGAGTGTCCAACGGCAACGCTATACGGTTCCGACGGACTATAATGTTATTAGCTATGTTGCTACGTGGAGAGATGGAGACGCTGATGACGGTGTATTGCATCATGAGAGTATAGACATTTCATTCTGTGTGCAATTCTTGCTTTTGGTGTTCCATGCATGTAGAAATGCGAGGAAATTGAAGAGAATGGCCGAGTTGGTTAGGACGGCTGATATCGCTCTGGGTGGTATGCTTGATATGTGATGATTGCTTTTTTCTTAATTTCTTAACAACCCTTTTCAACACAGGCGCATTCTACCCACTAGTCGGATATACACTCTCACAAACAAGCATGCCCGATGAAATCCAGCAGATAATCCGTTTACGCGAACCAAATGATTCAGTCGAACGGCTTTCGTGGGCTCGTGATTGCCATACACTATATCTCGCATGCAAAAACAAGGCCGATGCCACCACCTATTTCGAATCAGCCATGCGCACATATCAAGCATGTATAAACGACGAAGATCCAGATGTCGAAGTCAGTTCCTCTGCAACTCAAAACCTGGGTGATTTGGCATTGAGTCGTGGAGATAAGATACTGGCTAGATCGTTATGGGCCAAGACGTTGGATACGCTTATTGGAGCTGGTGACGATATACCGGCTGGATCGTGGAGACCGTTATTAAATAGCTTGTCTGATCATCGTGCGATTGTGACGAGGCTAGGTGGTATTCGATCCGTGCTGGTTGCAGCTTGTGTTGCTGCTAAGCTGGCTTTTACGACTTATAATGGTGATTATGATCGCAAGCGAGAATTGTCGCATTTATCCGCCACCTTGCTCACCGCCGTAGTAAACATGACGACTCCGATGAATTTATGGACGATAACAGGTGTGAACCAACCGAAAATGAATAATTTGCAGCCAGGTCTAGACGTGTTTTTAGATTCTTGGAGATGTCAGCCGTCTACATTAGCTGCTGCTGTACTTTCAGTATCTGATTTACTGGTCAAGACAGATCACCTCTGGTTGGGACTTCGGATACTACCAATAGCTGACTTTGCAATGCCGAGTAGTCCGATTGTTGCTGCTAGGATGCTTGCTATTCGAGCTGTTGGAGCAGTGAAATTGGGAATGGTTGATGTGGGGATTAAGACGTTTGTCAGCCTTGGAGGAAGTGAGTTTTTGGATAGTGGTAGCGCATATAAGTGTATGGTTGAAAAGAGTAGTGCTCCGACAGTGTCGGATGAGGTTGCTCCTAGTTTTGATGACACATTACCATTGGATGATGAAGGAAACATTAAGGCGCTACAAGCTCTGGCTAATGTTACGATCAGTGATGATATTGTCAGGTTGTTGACGCCGTCAGCGATTCCGATGCTGATACTGCTTCGATGTACGGAACTGCATTTGTTTTGCTTAAAAATGACTATTCGCTAACTCATTATCACACAGGTGAAATGCTGATAGACTTGATTAATATGACAAACATCCAAGATCATCATAGTGTCAAACTTGGTGACACCTTACTACAACGACCATCATCAAAACACAAGGATTCGCATAAAATTGTACACCTCATCGTATCAAAAGTTGAATCACAATTGGCTTCTGTTGTGTCAAGTACGAGAACAACAAGTCATGCTATGTTTCCTCCCAAAACAAGAAAGGCTTCTCTGGAATTATTACTGCAAGCTCAAGATTGTCTAGCACGTCTCCGAAACAATATCTCCATCAGACTTAGCATTCCAGAAGCCATTACTGATGAAACTGGAGTTTCGACCGCTCTTTTTGCCTTATACGATACTTGGAACGAGCTATCATTACAAGGAAACGTCGTTAAAGCATCAGAAGTGTCACACCAAGGACTAGAACTAGCTCAACGTGTCTCATGTCGGATCTTTAAAGCTCTCTTCTTGGCTCAAGTCGATACGAAAAGCACAATACAACGATTGATGAGAGTTGCTGACTGGGAACAGTCGCTTGCTGCTAAAGCATGGGAGTCTTTAGGTGATTATATGACTACCACGAAAGACATTGAGCAAGCTGATCAAGCATATGGACATGCTATAGCATTGCTGATGGGACTAGCACAAACCGCCTCGCAAGCTCGAGGTGGGAAAGTTACTGGGTATTGTAGATGGAGTGCTGCTTGTACAGGTGTATATGTTAAACGGGCACAGTTGGTCAAATCTGTAGACGGCTTGGCGCTTCGTGAGGAAGCTAGAACTCTTGCTTTGACATCATATATGGTGCCTACAAGTCATTATCTTCCCATTACATTGGGTCTTGCTATGCATCAAGGGCTGACTGCACTGAACTGTAAAGAAAAAACCATGTTGCAGAAGGCTGCTACTCAATTAACGAGTCTGGTGGATACTCTTATGTCAGCTCAAGATGTGTTTGCAACTGCCGAAACACTGAAACTGTTGATTGCCATCAAGACGGCATTGCCGATAATTCCAGTCGAGATGGTTGCACTTGTATCGACCTACGTTTCTGTAAATAATAGTGTGCAAGGCTTGCTAGAACAAGATGTGTCGAAATGGCCTAGTATGAAAGTAAACGACATACCAGATACGTTTGAAGCTGAGTATTCAGTCTGGCTTAGTGACGGAACTAGTGTTAGTACATACGAAACAGTGAATCTGGTAAACCAAGATGTAGTCATTCGACACCCGAAATTCAAAAAGGATGATTTGAATGTAGCTACCCTTGTCACCTTCCTTCGACATGTTGAACGGGCAAGAAAAGTAGCTGATTTGCCTAATGATGCATCTTTACTGGAATTGTCTCGGGTATCACGGAATGTGAGAGCTTGTATAACGAAAGTGCATCCTGCTTTTGAGATCGAATGTGGTATCACGAAAGAAGTCATGGCAGGTTTCAAAGACCGTAGTAAATCAAGCAAGGTCGATACATCATGTATGCTTTACTCTGATCTAGTATCAAGCCTAATAGTATGCCAACAAAAAAAAGGGTCGACAGACGTCTTTGTCAAAGTCACACCTATAACACAAGACCAGGCTTCCAAGATCGTGACTGAAGCAACTACGCAACGAGATGGATTACTAAGTAACTTGGCTACATCGACTTTAATGTCTTCGACAATGTCACTTGTTGCTGAAGAGACTAGACCGTCTACTGCTGCGTCACAAACCACGTCAAAGGAACCAAGGAACTCGCTGGGAGCACCACCAGCTGCCCTTGGGAGACGGAAATCTACGCTGACTGGTGGTGGTAAACGAGGGTCTATTGTACCTCCGACTGCGTCGGCTGACGACACGGAAGCTAATGAGGCTCTAGATGCGAAGTACAGGGCAGTTTTCGCGCTCGTTGAAGCTGCTGTTGGATCTACACAGGTATCCAAAAAAACGCGTGTTTAAAATTGGAGGCAAGTTTGCTAACTCATTTTCACGTTCTTAGGAGGGTTTGGAACAACCTAAAAAGAAGGTCGAGACGATGAATGCCATAATTAGGGCATTCTCAGAGAATAAGGGACTGAATAATGATGACTCGTTCGTGTCTTGGATTGTCGCAATGCTTAAATTGTAGGACAAAATTGCACTAAACATAACATCAATTGTATTTAAAAGCCTCAATTACGCGCTTATTTATGAGAAAACACGTTTGCAATAATATCTGAGGCATTAAGAACCTATATGGTTTCCTCCTCTTCCAACTGCATGCATTCGTTAACAAATCAGAAATACAAAACACCATTTACGACACAAAATGTCCTTCCTAGGACGAGACAGACCGCCCCAACGGCCTCAACCGCCCAAGGCGAAACCAGTTCGATACTGGCCAGGCAAAGCTCCCGCTCCAGAAGCAGTCCAATCGGATTCAGACGACGAAAATGAAGAACAAGACAAACAACAAAGCCTCGAAGACAGAACATCCAGAACCAAGAATGCTGCTCTTATCGATCAAGTAGCTGTTACTAGTATAGGATCTGATGAGCTTGTAGATCGTCGATTACGGAGATTGCAGGCATCGAAAGCTCAGCAGGAAAACGAGGAAGTGGACGAAGACGAGGAGGAGGAAGAAATAGAGCAGCATAAAGAGGAGGAAAAAGAGGAAGATGAAGAGGCTGCTAGTAGTAGGAGGTTACAGGCGAGAGAGATTGCATTGGCTAGACGCAGGAAGGAGGAGGAAGAGGCTGAAAGGGCGCAGCAACAAGTGAGCGATGGTTCAATAGCAGTTTGGTGTATTTCAAGTAGAAAAACTCGACTTTTTTTGGATTTACTTTCACTCATTTTCTTTCTCTTTGAAAATAGGCTGACGAGGAAGAAGAATCAGGTGATGACTCGTCAGAATACACTGATGAAGAATCAGAAGAGGAGGAAGTCGCTCCTAAACCTCTCTTCAAACCTGTATTCGTGCCAAAGTGAGTGAATGACGTTCCTATAGGCAAAAAACGAGTCTAATATTGTTACATGTCTCGCTTTAGGACTTCTCGAGTCACAGTCACAGATGCAGATAAACTACTAGAAGAAGAAGAAGAGGCAGACAGGAAACGTGATCAAGAACGTGAAGATAGGAGACGAGAAGCTCATAACATGGTTGCTGAAGAGTTGAAGAGAGAGATAGCTGAAGGTATTGTTTACAACCTTCTATTATCCAGTCATGTTTGACATTTTTTTGCGCTAACAATTTTTGCCTTACAATTAGCTGCATCATCAATCAAAACCCTCATAACAGACATTGACGACACAGATGGTCTCGACGAAGAAGCCGAATTCGAATCATGGAAGCTGCGAGAACTCCTCCGCATAAAACGAGACCGTACCGAAGCCTCAGAACGTGAACTAGACGAAACAGAAAAAGAACGACGTCGTAATATGACTGATGCTGAAATCATGGCCGAAAACTCTGCCCTCAATCCAGACTCTCAAGGGAAATCAAAACAACGGTTTATGCAGAAATATTTCCATAAAGGTGTATTTTATCTCGATGAGCACAAGGACGTGCTTGAGAAACGTGATTTTGCGGAACCGACGCTGGATGATAGGTTTGATAAGAGTATATTGCCTGAGGTTATGCAGGTCAAGAATTTCGGGAGGGCTGGAAGGACGAAATGGAAGCATTTGGCTGCTGAAGATACGACGCAGTACGATGCTGGCTGGGCACAAAAAGATAATCCGGTGAATAAGAGAGGGGTGGAGAAGATGGGTGGGTTGCATCAGACGGGGTTTGATAGGCCGAATAAGAAGAGTCGTGGAGAATGAATGATACACAAAACAGCTACTTTTCTTGCTGTTGTCCAATGCATCAGATTGTATTAAGGTTGCAGAGAATTACTATTAACTTTACTGTAAATGTGCGAGTGTGATTTGTAGCATGCCCATCTCCTTGTCATTAAATTAAAATAATAAAGAAGAGAACAGCTATGAGGTTTATTATTACATTGTATATGTGCGTGTTGTATCAGTATTTAATTAAGTAACTAAGCAGCAGGAGCAACATGATCACCAAACACATCCATAAACTCTCCACCATGCGAACTCAACAGCACAATCAACCGCTCAGCAGCTCTCGTCTCTCCCCAACTAGCAGCCAACTCGTAATACTGGATACTCTTTTCAACATCCGGCATACCATGTGGCATCCCTTCACCCTTTTCACAGCATTGGCCTAATAGCAGTGCTGCAGATACTGAGCCAGCACGAGCAGCTCGTTCGAGGAGATGCACGGCTTCTGAAGCGTCCATTTGGCAGCCTTTGCCTGCAAGGAGCATGTGTGCTAGACGTAGCTGGGCTCGCGAGTGATTTGCGTCTGAGGCAAGACGAAGGAGCCGCACACATTCTTGAAGATTTTGGCGGACGCCCCGGCCTTCGGCGTGTAGAATCGACAGATTAGTAAGAGCCCTGTGAGGAAGCGAGGAGGTGGTTTAGCAAAGAATGATTGCATGGGTGAAGTGTAAGTAGGTCCTTTTTTGTTTGACATACCACACATTTCCTTGCGCGGCACTCAAATTATACCAATGAACTGCTTTACGAATGTCTTTTTTGATTCCAATTCCATCTGTTAAATCAAAACATGTCAGCAAAAAAACAAACAAACGGATCACAACCAAATCACAGCTAAATGTGCTTTCAAGCGCTCACCTTCATATAAATGCCCCAGTGTATTCTGCGCCAAATCATTACCGCCCAGTGCACTCAACCGAATCCATCGAAACGCCACCTGTTCGTCTTTGGGAACTCCAACTGCATTACGGTAGCAGCAGCCTAGTGATAGTTGAGCTGGTGCGTGGCCTAGTAGTGCTGATTCGTGGTAGAGGCGGACGGCGACTGCGTCGTCTGGTTCACAGCCAATACCATACTAGAGCGAGAGTTTTGTTTTGGGTTAGTGGATTTGGCACAAAGGCAAAAAAAGGAGCAGTCAGGAAGTGGATTGATACCTGGTAGCAATACCCAAGCGAATGCAACGCGAATGCGTTACGTGTAGCTGCACTGCGTCGATACCACTCAACAGCCATCTTCTCGTCTTTAAGAACGCCGATTCCGTATTGGTATGCATGTCCTGCAAAAAAATGGAAGTTGTGCAAGTCAGCATCGCCCATGATTTGTTTGCGTTTTTTGCGCTCAACATACCAAGGTTATGCATTGCCCTCGAATGCCCCTGCACGGCAGCCTGTTGGTACCAGTACGCGCCCAGCTCTTCATTCTTTTCAATACCGAGGCCATTCTGTAGACAGAATCCAAGATTACATGCTGCCCACGCATATCCTTGTTCTGCTGATTGTTTGTAGTGTCGGACGGATTGGACTTCGTCGCGGTCGACGCCGAGACCTTCTTCGTACATGTAGCCCAGGGAGTTTTGGGCGTAGCAGTTTCCTAGTGCGGCAGATTGTCTGTACCATCTTAACGCCTGTTGAAAACGGAAATTGTTTGAGGTTGGAGTGTCTTTAAGCAATAGTAAAAAAGCGGGATGTCGGAGATCGTCATACCTCTTTGAGATCCTTCGTAACACCCAGCCCCTCTTCGTAGCAATGCGCCGTATTATACATTGACACACTCTCCCCTAGATTCGCAGCCTTCAAATACAGCGCAAAAGCAGTCCTCTCATCTTTACCGACTCCAAACCCTTCTCCATAACAATATCCCAAAATTCCCATACTCCTCGGCTCACCAGCACCCGCACTCCTCAAATAGTATTGGAAGGCAATCGCAGGCGATTTCTCCACACCCACACCATCATGGTAGCATACACCTACAGCGTACTGTGCAGATGCGATATCGTCTGTATCTGCAATATGGCGAATCCAGTCTAGCGCGGTGGCGCCGTGCTCGTTGACGCGTTTCGTCCATGTTTCGGCTTCTAGTCTATCGATTTTGATCCCTGGGCGACCGTATCGTTTGAGAAAGGCCAGACGGGATTGTGCAAATGCGTTGTTGTCTAGTGCGGCACAGAGGTAGTAGCGTTCGGCGGATGCAAAGTCTTGGTGTGTGCCTAGACCGAATTCGTGACAGAAGCCCAGGAGTGCCTGTTTTCGTTGTGGTTGAAGATAGTTAGGTCATGTATCTACGCAAAAAACAGCGTCTAGGTTGCATGTACCTGAGCTTGCACATGTGCTTCATCAACACTCAAAATCTCCCTAACGAGTTCCACAGCATGCACCTCATCTTTCTCACACCCTCGTCCAAACAGACACGCCTCAGCCTGCACATACATCTGCTCAACAGCCACTACACTACCCGAGCTCGTCGTAACCTCACTAACTCCCCGACACTCATCACCACCATGAACAAACATCGTCTCCCGCAGCACGGATTCATGCTGATCCTTGCACTCAGACGCCACCGCGTCAGCAGATACATCGTCATCAAGCTTGAATGGCAGCGTTCCGTCCCTCCTTTTGAACCTTTTGAAGAGACGGATCATGGGCGATGAACGTGGACTGAAAGTGGGCGACACTGGTGATGATTGTTCTTCTGTTTTGCAGCTGCTGGTTGATGTAGATGAGGAAGAGGCTACTGATGTGGCAGATGGGCTCCGTGGGATGGTGTCGACGGCTGGTGGCTGCAGCGTCTGGATGGTCATCTTGGACGTCATGATATTGTTACTTTCTTGCTGGTGGGGTTTGCAACAAGTTCCCTGATTAGAGGCTTTACTTGTTAAGCGATCGTTCACGTTCTATACGGGGTGATGGTATAGACGTCAGAACGTTAACAACTTATAGGCTGCTTTTGGTGTGGTTGCTGGTGGAGATGGGATCTTCATTCATTACCACCAACAAGCGAAAAACAAAGCCCTCTCGGAGGGAATGAAAACCGGTGGATCTGCGAAAAGACGAACCCTTCCATTAGTAAAATATAGCGATCGAGGCTTACGGAACCCTCGCGAGCTATGGAACGTCCTTGACGATCTCTAGAACATATTTTAGAAAGTCACAAAAATGAAGACAATTAAACACGTCAACCGATGGGATAAGTTTGTTCTATAAAGCACATCTTGACAATTTGATTATGAAAAAACCACACATTTTGCTATTCGTGGAATGCTCAATTTATAGAGTTTCAAAGGGATCGACCACTTTCTTTGCAGCTGTTGTTGTTGTTGGTGCTGATACAGGTGCTGCTGTTGCTGCTGGCACTGATTTTGCTACAGGGGTCGGTGCTGTAGCAGCGACTACTGGTGTTGATGCGGCTGCCTTTGCGACTACTGGTGATACTGCGGCAGGTGGTGGTTTTGCTACTGCGGCAGGCACAACTGTTTGGGATGCGGCTTTGGCTGGTGCCGGAGGCGGAGGCGACGCAGATGCAGCGACAACAGGAGCAGCAGCTGGTTCGTCGTCCCGGTGGGGTAAAGCTGGAGGAGTCATATCACCCTTTCGTACTAGATAGATCATACAAGCATGTAAGCATACATGGAATGATCAACGTGATACGAAGTTATACCAAGTGGAGGTTCTTCAGCTTGAGTAGATTCACCCCATCCTTGACCAGGCCTGGATGCACCTCCAACAGCAGGCATGTTGACACCATGTTTGGAAGCTTCAGCCTTTATTTTGGTGTACAATTCCTTTCCACCTGCAAGAGCTGCCAAAAAGCCCTTTTTGACGGCATCACCAGCGACGAGTGCACCTGCTTCTATTTTATCAAGTATGGGAGTTTCTCCTTCGTCCATTGGACCTCTTTGAGGATGATGTTGTTCGCTTTCTTGTAGGTGACGAGCATAGTCTTCGTCCGCGAGGGCTCGAGCCAATCTCTCGTCCTGTGGGGAACGAGTCAAGGATGAGTTGGTGCATGTGACAGAGTAAGTTGCTGCTGCACAGCCGTTCAAGCACAATGTGTACCTCGCTAACGACACCTTGAGGAGCAGTAGGAGTTCGTACAGCTTCACGAGCTTGAGCTTCAGGATCGGTCAGTGCAAGTAACTTTTGTACAGCATTCTCTACATTGCCATGTTCATCATCTAATATTGATTGTGCTATTGCGAGTGGTTGTGTCAGAATGCTTGAATGTAGTGCAGGTACCAATGTTGGTGGTTATCAAACGTAGTGACCCAATGACTATCTTCCACCCTTGAGCAAAATGATGGAAAGTGCGTTTGATGTTGGGCACGTACCGACTTCCTCATCGACAGTTGGGAACATGGCTTTTAGTGTCTACATATAGAATGAAAAGCAATCTGTCAGATTAGGAACCTTTGGGTGTGAATCCACCAAGATTGCAAATGTTAAACTTACCTCCATTATGGGCAGTGTCTCGACTTGAAATGCGACGAAGAGAAAGTAATTATATCAGAGAGTACAAGTAATTGGAATGCTTTAGAGTGCTGTTGCTTCTTAAGTGGTTGTCTTGCTTAGTTGCCGCTTACACGTTTTCGCTGGACGAATAGCGAGGATGCCAACCAAATCGCCAAGACCTTGCATCTTAAACTCGGAGCCCCACTACGAACGTGTAGTCGATTGAAATCGACGTGATTAATGCGCTGCAGCTGCTTCGTAAAATCTGTTATCTACTTCTTTCGCTACAGAACAAACTCAACTTCCTCCATCGTATCTCGACTCTACTAGATAATCAGCGCTTCGTTCGCAGCAAAGCAAGCACTCTTATATTCTCGCAATGGAGTACGGGCAAGCGATCATATCAGTCCCATCAAGTCATCCCATATGTATATCTCATCTCCCATTAACCACATCCTTTGAATCCTTACAACTCGCCATATCAAACCATGAATCCTGGCTAGCCAATCTAGATTGGTATATATCTACCATAGGTGGCCGCATACTATCCCCTGATTCCCATATATTCACAGAATACGACAATGAAACACATCTGGCATTATGTTTTCGATTGCCTGGTGGGAAGGGTGGATTTGGTTCGCAGTTACGAGCTCAAGGTGGTCGCATGGCTTCCCAGAGATCCACAAACTTTGAGGCTTGTAGAGACTTGTCGGGGCGTAGGCTCAAAACGGTGAATGATGCTAAAAAGTAAGTTGGCGAGTGTGCAGTAGGATGAAGATCGAAGGCTGAATTGCTACATATACATTGTATTCGTTTGAACTAGCAACTAACTTCAAATTCTTTCCTCAGGCTCGCAGAGTACATGGAAAAGGAACCAGAACGTGAACGTGAAAAGCAGGACAAGATCAAGAAAAAGATTGCTGATGGCCTCAAAGTCAGAGAAGTACCCGTCAAAGGTCCTTCTCTGAGTAAGGAATATGTAGAAGCTTTGGAAAAGACTGCCGAGGATGTCAAGAGTGCTGTTGCCAAAGGTAAGAACGTTGGATTATTTCGTTTTTTGTTGTCTGTCCGTGAACCAACACATTCTCTCAAACTAGCCATGGCCAAATCATCAGATGGCAAACCGAAATCCACATCATCAGCACCAACAGTAGTGAAACCTGCTCCAGCCAAGAAAATATGGCAAGTTCCCAAACTCAGTTGAACCGCTTGGCAAAGCAACTAACCTTATTTCTATTCTTATAGGGGTATGGAAGATGATGATGAAGACAGCGACGAGGAGGAAGAGGAGCTACCACCTGTAGATCCCAAGGGGAAGGGTAAAGCTGTCCCAAAGAGAAAGGCCAAAGACGAGCATATTGATGCTCCCACAATCAAAAAGAATAAGAAATAGTAGGAATCGCATATTGTGTTGTTGGAAGATGGCTCCCAAATTCACTTTGTAATATAAAACTCAAACAATAGTATTTGATTAAGAATCGTGTTTAAAGCAAACGTTCCGCGATTTTCGTCGATATTACGCGACAAATGCGCTGGTGGAAGTGGAAGATGTTGTTCATTTGCCTCTTCTTCAAGCTCTTCTTTGACCTTCTCGACATTTACTCGTCCTTATTGAAAATCACATAATACAACATGTTAATTAGTCGACGCACTTCTTGAGGGACGAAACTCGACGGACGATATCTATAGAGGACCTAATGGATTCGGGACTTTTATGTTTCAACAGAGGTAATCAAAATAGTATTGCTACTGACACCAAGCATCTTTCTAAAATGGTTCATGGCTGTAGATCATTCTCTAGTAGGAGGCCTCTCTCTTCAATGGACATTGTCACTCTGCACACTCTATACAGACACGCACGTTTCAGCTATTCACGTGTTAAATACATACAAATATAGTCCTCACAACCCGAGTCTATTGTTTATGTTGTATTCGTTGTCTCTGTCTTGTCGATTCGCGTCAAGTGTGTTTTCCATCCACTACTTTCAAACGTTCGCTACTTTGGAGAGCTTCAGCCAGGAAGATGGCAGATGTGAGAATACTAGGAAGCGATACGGATCCACCGGTTTCAAGCAGTGATCCAGTCTGCGGCATGTAAGTGCTTTGAAAGCACTTAAGTTTAACACCGTTCCATCGAAAGCTCAATGACTTTATTTCCTTACAGTTGTGGAAAGCAAATATCTCGCTACACTTGTCCACGATGCAATCTGAGATACTGCACTTTGACCTGTTACAAGTCTGAAGTACGACTTTTCGTGGCCGACATTAAAACAGTTTTTTTGGTTTTCCACCAAAGCTCACAGATGTCGTCTTTTCTTACTATACAGAAACATGCTGATTGCACGGAAACATTCTATAAGGAATCATTTGTAGCAGAATTGGAAGGCAAACGAGCCGATGACGGTGAAAAGAAACACATGCTGGATATTTTGAAGAGATTTGAAGAAGAGCAGCAAGATCCTCTTGATCCAGGTTTGATTACGTTGCTACGCGATAATGAATTTTGCTCTGCTAAGATGCTTGATTGATAGGAATGTCACTGGAGGAGCGGCTAGCTGACGTTGACCTTGGTATGATGCCGAAATTGATCAATTTTTTTGTTTCGTTGTTAAAGCCTAGAGCTCTTTTCTCCCAATTAGATCAAGCTTCACCCGACGACATGCTGTCTCTTCTGACACCAGCAGAACGACAAGAATTCGAATTGGCGCTAAAGGCACAAGCATTGTCACATATAATACCTGTTTGGACACCATGGTGGATGGAAGCTCCTCCGAAAGTGGTTGCATTGGATACAGAGGCCCAGAAAACGGAAGTACCAGATATATTACAAGATATTAAACCATTGGAGAAGCTGACGAAACAAGTTCCTGCTGATTCTGTATTGTTGAATGTTGTGGACATTTTGTGAGTTGTCATTATTGAAGAATTAGATGCCATTTTTTTGCTGATTCTGAGTTTCGTTCTTTTTAGGTACTCGTATGTTGAAGCAAGTCGATACTTTAATGGAGATTGGTCGGTAGATCCTGAGGCCGCCTGTGCATACATTTGGGAGTCATCCGGAGTCCTCTCATCCGCAACACCTTCTGCAGTTGATACGGTTGATAGTGTTCTTGCTTCCGTGAGAAGTCATTCGTTGCAATTGGTATGTCGAAAGCATGTCATCACTTCATCGGTACACTCCATTTTTTTCGCATAGTTTGACAACACTATAAATCACTCGTTAGAGTCGCGAACGACAACCAAGCATGGAAGCCTTCCGTCTCTTTCTCAATGACATCTCGCTCATACTGACCTCGTTACGATATACGCTGGCGGCACTTTCAGACATGTATCGCCTGTTTGAATCTGTGTCTGTTGGTAAATCCAAGCTACGGAGACGTGCCTTCTTGACTTTCAAGAAGATTTACTTTTATGTTGCGTGGATACATGGTAGTCCAATGATGGAAGAAGGATTGTCACGTATTGCGCGGGGTGTTGGTCGAGAGGCTGAAGCTATACTGCAAGAATCGGAGAGACTGAGGCAGGAACTGGCTACAGTTGATAAATTGAGACGTGAAAGGAATTCGAAAGGTGCTCCTGGTCCAGGAATTGTGGAATTGTAGTAGTAATTGGGATAGTTGTGCTTTTGCAGCGTGATTTATTTTTGGCCTCACTTACAACGTAGATAGCAACTGTAAATACTGTAAAATAGCGTGATATATCATTTAAACATATATTTCAACGTCTTGCTCAACCTTGATTCGGAGCCTGTTCCTGTTATTATTCTCAGTTAATTAATCAACTCCGACACTTCGTTCAAAACCTCAAAACATTTGCAAACAACTTGTACAAGGGAGGGCTAGATTGAGTCAACGGACAAAGATCGACCGTTTGCATGGCCGAAAAACTATGTACACTCGCTGCGTCGGGGGATCTGGAAGGTTTACAAGCATATGTAGCTGCAGCAGACAAGGATGAACTCGAGTTAGAAAATGGCACATTATGGAATGCTTCACTTGGTCATGCAGCACAGGATACAGAATTTGATGATTCAGAAGATGCCTTGATCTACTATGCGGTGCCCATATGCCTTGCAGCACTGCACGGTCACATTTCAATTGTGCGATATCTAGTCGGGATGGGAGCATCTTGCAATATACGAGATGGCAGGGGAAGGTAATATTATGTCATTCATATGCATTTGCATGTCAGATCTGTGATGGAACTATGTGTTTCATCACTTGGATCTATCGGAACGGATGTCAACTTTTGACACACAATTTTCTTACACAATTGGGTTTTGGAATGTTTTTCAATAGATCACCACTAGTATGCGCTATAGTCGGACCACACGATGGAAGGAACAGGGAATCAACCAAACCGTCTCAAAAGCATGCTCAAATAGTCAGTCTGCTCTTACAAACATATGCTATGGAATCAGCCAAGAACAGTGCTGATGAGGCAAGTAGTCCCACTGGTCAAAAAAAGGATGTTTTCAGTGAATACGTCTTGGCTCCACAATTGGGACGAGAGTTACGAGGCATTACACCACTTTGTCTTGCAGCATATTACAGTCGTGTGGATTTAATTGAGGCGCTTCTTGATGCGGATGTGGATGTTGATGGGACTGATATTAAAGGATCGACACCGATTATGTTCGCTGGTATGCTCTCAGTGTTTTTGCCGATTTGGCATTAGACCCCTGGTACTGACTCGATAAGCAACTAGCTCGTGATGGACATGTGGAGACCGTTAGATGTTTACTCCGGCATGGTGCATCAACATTGCTCAAGGACAGCAATGGCTTCACGGCAGCGATGTACGCTGTGAGGTTTCCTAACTTGTGCCGTGAACTGGAAGCTGCAGCATTACGGGAATATGGAGTATTCGTAAGTCAGCAACGTCTGTTGAATTTTTTAAGCCTAAGGCGACTCATCGAAATGTGTTTAGAACCTCTTCCCATACGACGTCCTACAAGAAATCAACTCGAAATACCCAACATTTTACGATGCCTTCTCCAACTTTCTCAACGATTATAGCGTCGCAAGTTCAGAAGCATCGACACCAATCCTCACAGTCGAGGCACCATCTCAACCATCAACACCAGTGAAACGAGAACTACCATCTATTGATCTCATAACACCGGCAGAAAGTCCCAAAATGAATCAACGGAATCATCATACCTTATCGTCTGCTATTCGAAATCGGGATGTCACGACAGTGCGTGAGTTGCTGTTGATGATGACGCGAGAGGGAATCAATACTGCTGATCCAGTGAATAAGTTGACTCCGCTGCATATTGCTTGTCGGACTCGACCATTGAGTGAGGAGACCATTCGGTTGATTATTCATTCGGGTGGAGATGTGAATGCCAGGAATTCGAAAAGTGGGAGGGTAATTTGATTTGCTCCATTCATCAAGCGGCCGTGGTTGTTGTTTTGTTTGTCATTTGGCTGTTCGACTCACAACTTTTTTAATATTAGACATCCCTGCATTACGTTCTGCGTGATATGAACTCCTCCACAGCAACCGTCACACTGCTACTTTTATCATCCGGAGCAGATGCCAACCTCCCGGACTTCGACAACACGACACCACTACACCTAGCCTCACAACGAGGCGATGACTTTATAGTACGCATGCTACTAGAAGAAGGATCTGCAAACCCATACGTGACCGATGTACTCAACCGACAACCCTTGGACTTGGCAACCGACGTTAACGTACGCAACACGATAACAACATGGCAAGAACAAATCGACGCACTAGATCCAACCACCACGTCATGGATTTGGAGAGCTACAGGAGTTGAATCTGTGACTGATTCAACTAGTCCAGCTATTTCGAGGTCGAATTCTGTAGCATCGTTTGATTCAGCACGGTTGACATTGTTTGAGACTAGTTCGTTGGGGTTGTCGTTGACGGAGACGTATGCTGCTAATTTGAATGTGGTGGTGAATAATGGTGTTGCCAATAGTAGTAATAATAATGAAGTACCTCAGACAGAGAACTGGCAAGACTTTGCCATGCAGTTGCAAACGGCTTTGGATGAATCCGAAGCTCGATGTGAATCACTTAAGACTACGATAGATGAGCTATACGAACGGTTGGATGAGGTTATAGACAGGGAGGCCGAGTCAGACGATTGGTACTCTAGATATACATTGAATCTTGAATCCCAGGTATTGGATTCTCGAATGCAAAAAGATGAATTATCTGAGTTACTCGAAGCCCGCCAAGCCGATATACGCATCTTGAAGAATATCTTGAGCACCGTAACAAAATGGTCTCAGAATCTACTCAATGACCGTGACATCCACTCTCATAACCGTAATCACCTTCAATCACTCTCGGATGCTCGACAATCATATATTGCCGACGCTAGCCCTGAACACGCTCTCGTATTGAAAAAAGCGCTAGCCAACATGTGTGTTTCTGAATTGAAACAACTGCATCGCTTATCTGGATCAAAGGATTCCGATAAAGCTCGATTCGAGACTCAGATTGAGACATATGAGATGTATGCTCGTGGTCTTGAATCTTCTAAGGGTAGCGAAGAAGCTACTTTGTTTGACGGTGGATTCAGTGATTTGTTGAATTACTTGCATGTTACCATCACAAAAGAGTTTAGTGATGTTGTAATGTTGCAGCTGGGTCATGAGGACGATGAGGAAGGCACACGGGTTGTGCTGGATGATGAATTGGTGCAGTTGATTTTGGAGGCTGCTAAGGTATGCGTTTGGGTTTGACTGTGGTGCTTGATGAACAAAAAAGATCTAACGAAACGACTGGAATAGAGCTACTTGCAAACCCAAGCTCTTCACATCGACAGGCTATGTAATGAGAGAACCAAGTTACAGAGACGTCTAGAAAGCAATTCAATCCTTTTGAATGCTTGCAACTCGAAACTCGAACAAGCTGATTTACGTATCAAGTATAGTGAAGAACGTGAATGCAACACGGCCTCTCGGATAGAGAGTCTCAAACAGGAGACTTTGGAAACTCTGGCTTCATACAAGGCCACCATACTGGAACTCCAAACAGCAAGAGATAAATCCGATAGTAAACAAGCTGGTGCTGTAAACGCGCTACTCACTGACGTCGCAAGAAGTGTGCTTGAACTGTCTGAAGAGATTGGGGGAAGGAATTACGAGACTTCAAAGACGCTCTTATCGTATGGTAGTGGCGGTGCTCTTGATGCACAAGAGTATGTTACGAATCTCAAGCACTGTATCAAGAGCTTCAAGGCTGCGTTTATTGCTGAGAAGGGAGATCAGAAGGAGCTTGTGCAGCAGCTGTATTCTTTGAGAAAGGTATGTATCTTTAAGGGTCAATCTTTTGTTGTGTCAAAAATGTTTTCTCATTCTGCTCGTCATGACACAACAGATCGTGGACAATACAACCAAAGGATTGCCAATGTCGAAAGCATCCAGTGATCCAACGTCACCGGTATTCAAGTCATCTCGCCAAAACAGATCCGCACCACCTGCTGCGCTGCTAACGCCAGTCGGTATTGCACGAGAACTGTCTGTGGAGGATGTGAGATCGAAATCTGCTCCTGCCAGTATGACAGTGCCTAGTAAAACAAGTACACCAATAGTCGCAAAACCAACAATACAGACTACTGTGCCAGTCATAGACATTGCACCACGAGTATCTTCGACAAGTCCAATCACAAAGCCAATAATAGAAGCTCCTATTCCAGCCATTGCACCACGAGGATCGTCAAAGGGAGTTCTTGCTCACGTCGAAACCAATATAACAACAGAAACAATGCCCGATATTGCACCTGCACGTGAAGATCAATACGCAAACCCAAGCACGACAGCGCAGGGTTCGGATCGGTCTAGTGGTGGTAGCGGCAGCAGTAGTGAGGTGGGATCAGATGGTACGCGACAGTCTCGTCGTGAGAGGTTTGCTAATAGGAGGGTTGGAATATCATTGGAGGCCTTGTTCAAGACTTTGGATGAGGAGACGTCGAAGGTTGATATTGGTGGTGGGAAGACTGTGGTGGTTGGAGTTGATAGGGATGAAGAGTCTCCTGCGTCGCCTACATCGGCGGTTTTGTTTGATAAGCTTGATAGGGTATGTAGTGATGATGAGGATTAATCATTTTGTTGAGAAAAGGACTGATCATTTCTATTTTACATATTAGATCAATAGAAACATCTCGGACTTGAAAGCAAAGATGCGAAAGGAGGGACAACGACAAATTGATGTGTCCATGCAGTTGCCTCCAGAGCGTCATCCTCAGTTCTGAGGATGGAAGGGATGTCGATATAGTATCAGTTATATATGTTATCATTGTTCTCATTTCACACAGTTTTGGGTCACAAACCAGTAGTAAAAACCACACAAAAGTAGTTGAAAACCAGTTACAGAACCATTGTCAAATATCTTCAAAATATCAATATTTCTTATTTCGATTAAAAAGAGAGTGAAGATCGTCAAGTTACTACTTTGTGCGTGTGTGTGGGTGGTTATTACAAAGTAGATGTTTGGCGTTACCACTTCTTCTTTTTCTGCAAAAAGCTACTTGTACAGTGGCTTCTCCTTCAAGTGGATTTGTGTCTTTCCTTCAGGAGTTTCCGGTATCACCTTGGTCAAGCCCTATTGTAAAATTTTGATGAGTATGATGTTTGACTTCGTATTTCACAGTTGATGTTTGGTAAGGCATAAGGTGGTTCTAGCTTATATTCATAGCCTTCCAAATATCTTGTTATTGCATCTTGTTTTACTTTTGATGCAAAAAAACGAATGTGGTGCACCTGTATTATCAAGTCTTAACAAGACTGGTTCGACAACTTACTAGTTTTGCGAATACACAATCGTTGAATTCGCGTTCTTCCTTCCGACATTGCCAGTAATGATGATTATTGTAATCCAAGCAAGTCCAGTGTCGTTCCCACTGACTATCACAGTTCTCCTTTAGTTTGTTAATCCTATACCAGAATGAGGTTGGTTCGAATGCTTAAGCGATGAAATGTGCCAGCTGTCACTGTAAGGGTTGCATCGAGTATGCTAGAATCTGTCTCTTCGTCCAGCTGTCCAACAATGGATGCAACTGTGTCCGTCCTTCAAAGAATTGACACAAATCCAAATGTCCAACACGACGCACATATCTACACTTACAAGTCTATAGCACACCGAGTGACCTTTCTACCCTCCTTGAGACAGTGGGCCGGGTCGGTTGACTCGTTCTTGCATAGTACATAGTCCTCATTGTACACCTTGCAAAAGTTTGCAAAGTGGAAGCTCATTGATTCGAGTGGTGCTGACGTGCATCCAACTTCCTGGACTTCGGGGATGGTGGCGGGCAGTGGTGCCTTCTCCTTCCAGAGACCCTCTACAAATATGGCCTCTCTATGCGTTGCCATTGCTATAGCTGTCGAATGTCTTGAGGAAAAACAAGTCGTGTTGTGGAGTAGCAGATATGTGGTTGACAAGCCAGATACGTTTTATTACGTGTTTTGGAGCTTCTAGCGACCATTGGACACGGATAGACGCGTTGGTACTATGAGAATTGACGAGAAATGGACATTGTTGTCTTGTTTCTAAACGCGATATAATATTGCAGATAGTCATATTTCTCTCATCCTCTCATCATTCCTAGCTGATTCATACTATTCATACCTTGCTTGGAGAAGCCTTGGACGCGTCATTCCAATTCCGCTCTGCGCACACTCACAAACTTCAAAACTTGAAAGCTCCCAACTGACTTCTACTCGAGAATTAAACAGAAAGAAGAAAGCTGTGTTGACCAGCCTTGATATCATCGGAACCCTCTCAGCTCTTCCGCGCGAAAAGCTTGCAACAGTACGTGCATCGCCTAGCTATGTTTTGATGTGTTTTGATTACTTGCACTCAAAGGCTTGATCACATGATATTCACATAATTTCTCCTGTTTTCATTGATTTAGAAACGGATTATATTTATTCTCTTATCTTCTATTGGCCTGTCAATGCCAGCAGCAACATCAACCACGACAGGACCACCTCCACGTGCATCCCGTACAGTCTTCGTCCGAATACCACATAATGTCCCCTTTGCTGCCCTACGAGACTCATGGCTGCAAACTCCCTTTGAAAAACTCAACTTTAGCCGTGACACCGTATACGTTGTATTTCGTTCCCAGAAAGACGCCATTGCTGCTCAAAAGGAAATGGATGAAATGCACATCTATAACGACTGGGCCAAACATGAATATACAAGCAAGGAAGGCATTGATCATGATACGTAGGTACCGAGATGCAAGAGAGGGTCTTGGGTGAACGGTGACCTTTTTCTGTTGTTGAGGCACTGTAGCGTACGCTCTAGTCAACACACACCATTTTGTTATAGAATCGGAATCCAACCTTTCAAAGAATTATCTCTCAATGTTTTGGACTCGTTTCCAAAGTAAGCTACCAAAGCAATCGGAATGTTTCTCCCAGCGTTCGTTCCTTCTGAACACATCTCCGTTTCTTTGGTAGGAATCAATTACAAGGAATCGTAAGTGCCTACCCTGGCTTCAAGGCCTTAGAGATCGAATTACGCCGTCCAAGAGCTACATTTGGCGATGCAGTCGCAGCAATGAAGTGTAAAGATGATCTCAACTCTACCACAAACATCATTGCTTCATTCATCCCATGGGATCCTCAACCACCCATATTCTCCCAAATCGGTGGAACTCGCAAGTATCTAGATTGCAGCAAGCTATCGCCTGACGATAGTGTAGCGGATTTGAGACTACTCTTTGCTCAATACCATGGCTTTACTCGACTATACTTCAAAAGCAGAGACTCGTTATGTGTCTGGTTCCAATCGGAAAAGCAGGCACTCAATGCGGCTGCTCGAGTAGAAGCTACGACTTGCATGGTTACTGAAGTGACCGGCTATCAGCCTCCACTCGATGTACGACCACTCATAGAACCGAATCCGATCTTGTTTGTACAGACAGAACCTTGGTGTCCTCATACTGAAGTGATTAAATTGTTTAGCAGGTTCAACGGCTATACTGGAACTGGTGTCTTTGAGAGACATTGTCTTGTTGCGTTTGCAACAACTGAGCAAGCAACCATTGTAGCCAATGCTATCAGGAACACCACAAATATTGTAAGTGCTTTCCGCCTTTGCTTCTTTGCGACTCTGTCTTTAACATCTTGGTTTCTGAACTTGCTCATCTAACCTTATGATGTCTTTAGATATGCAATTATGGAAGAAACCTTATGACGATTGGAGAGTATGGTCCCACACTCGCTAATCAAGCTCGAGATGATATCAAATACCCATCCATCAAATTCGCTGAACCACTGCCCGAAGTATTAAGTTTGCGAGGAATCTTTGGTGGGGACTTTGGATTCCGCCAATTCGTCTTTCAAGAAGATGGTGCATTTGATGTCTTGTATGAAACTGAGAAAGATAGAGATAATTCCTTGATCAAATTCGAAACACTCACCACTCGACATATTCCCGCTACTGAATCTACTTGCAAACCATTTATACGCCATGAACTCGCGCTTCGTAAAATACCACCCTGCACTGTATTGTATGTTCATCATCATCCTGGCTGTACCGAAGGTCAGCTTTATGATTACGTACTCATGTATACAGGATTTACTGCAGCTGGCTTCCCTCGAAAGTCATCCGTCCGATGCTTGCTGGTCCAGTTTGACACTGAAGCACACGCCGCTGCAGCCATGGATCATCTCAATGCTACAACCTCTTGGAGCGTCAACTTCTCCAGGCACGGAAGTGACGCAGAGATGCGATTCACTGACGATCAGAAGCCAGAATCGAGTATAAGAATAGAACGAAGGAACTTTGATAATAGTCCGAGTTATGTGACTTTGAATGCAATTGGCTCTCGTCGTACTATTCTAAAGACACCAGCAAATGGAAAAGCAGTTGCTAGACCCGCTTTGAATGGTGTAGATGGACGATCTGCTATGAATGGTGGTAGTCATGCTGCTCCACGTAGCCCTACTGTAGGTGGAATGGTTGGTGACGCCAGTGTAAATAAACCCGCTGTTTCATCAACATTAGCCAATGGAAGCTCGTCTCATGCTCAAAATGGACGAACCTTAACGAACGCTGCAGCAGTAGCTTCATGGGGTCGACCATTGCAAGGAAAGACTGCGTATTTTGCTGATGATAAACTACCGACGTCCAAAGGTGGGCTTGCTATACGCCGTGGCAGCAGTAGTCCTGCTGTAAGTAGTGATAATACTCCTACCAATGGTACTCCAACTGAAACAGCTCCAGTCGTCACTGATGCAACAATTATGGTAGCATCACCTATCGTACCACCATTACCATTGATTGAGACCCATCAGTCGCCTACTCCTTCGTCAGCGTCTTCTCCAGTAGTGTCGTCTTCAGAAGTAGTCGCAGCTGATGCTATAGTTAGTACTGCCACTGGAAAGGATCCAGAAAGTGGTGACGCTGGAAAGGATAAGGTTGACACAGAAACATCTGTTTTGCCTTCAACTACTCAACCTAGTGAAGAATCCTTGACAGCAGATACTTTGTCGACAGATAGTAGCAGTGCTGTAGCAGTAATAGTTGGTAACTCTCCACGAGCTGACGAGACTATAGTTGGTGATAGTACTGGAAGAGACGCAGATGGGGCTGAACAGCAAGACAAGGTGGACAACGAATCATCTGCGTCATATTCAACCACTCAGCCAATGGAAGACGAATTATTAGAGCATGAAACGGCGAACGATGAGATTGACACTAGCAAAGATGTTGCTGCTGAATATGGTTTGCAGATTGAAGAGATGGCTACTGTATCGGAAGAAGCTGAAGAGCAGGCATCAGCATCTGAAGCTGCTTCTGCAAAAGTCAATGATAGTAAAGAAGTAGTCGAGACAGTAGAACCAGTGGAGGAAAAGGTCGCAACAGGAAAAGAAGAAGTGGAAAAAGATGTAGTCGATGATACAGAACATCACAAAAATGATGTATCAGACAATCAACAAGCACAAGAAGGCTCCGAAGACGTTACTGATGCTGCTGCCGAAAAAGGGGATGTAGTCGATAAAGTAGAAGAAGCCAAACACGATGTATCAGACAGTCACAATACACATGATGGCTCGTCGGAAGACATTGCTACTGATGCTGTTACTATATCTGCAGTTACTGAAACATCTGGCATTCAAGCTCAACATGAAACTCTTGACTCTGAATTTTTCAGAGTCAAGAGTTTCCCATTTGAATTGCCCAGTGACGCCACTCATCTTGTTGCTAATTATGCTCATATAATGAGCAGCAGTATCGTGTCGACCACAACAGCATCGGTAAATTCTACTGCATGGAATCTCTTGACTCCCAAGTTGGATGAATCAACTTCTCCCCAGTTGGTAGAGTCTCTTGCTTCAGTCAAGGTGCCAGAGACTGCTACTGAGTCAGTTGTTGACGATGCATCAGCTGGTGGATCTCATGAAGAGGTGGATGAGAGTCGTGAAGGAGTGCAGGTAACGGCAAGATCCAAATCTGATGCTGTTAATGTGTGTTGTTAGTTTTTTGCAGTTGATATTTGGTCTTATGCCTTCTTCTTCTGCCCATAGTCACCAACTCTACTTTCACCCTCTGCTGTACCTACTGAAGCGGTACAGGCAGTGTCACCATCCTTGCCAACTGGTGAAACAAAGTCTCCGTCCTTACCAGCTGATGAAATGAAGTCTCCATCTTGGCCAACGGAACAGATCAACACTGAAAACTTGCAAAACGATCAAATTGTCAGAGCCTCTGAACAGGTCGTCGTGTCTGAAGAAAATCATACAAAGAAATCATCAAAAGAAGGTAAAGGAAAGTTACTGTTTCAAGCGTGACACAAATTATTAACGTGTATTTTGGTAGAATGAATATTATTATTGTACAGATATCATTGCACAAACCTCATATGGAAAAAATGTATAAAACACTCCAAAAAAGGATTGTAGTATAAAATGGGTAGAAAGAGGAATATAGGAAGCAAGCACTCATCATAATAAATACGTAAATATGTTTCGCGCTTGTTGGATGGTTTGCTCCTCTCTGTCGCCTTACGCCTTTCATTTCCAACGTCCAGAAGCTTGACTGGCACAATAGAGAAGAAGGGCGAAGAATGACCGCCAAAGCTACAATCGCTGAAAAGGTCGTAAAGGGCATTGCATTAAAGGACAAGGGCAACGAATTCTTCAAACAAGCCTCCGTAAACCTGAATTTCAACTGTTTGGAAACCTGGCATTCAAGCTCATCTAAACTCACAATCAATCCCAAACTTTCTAGTATACTGACGCCGTAAGGTGCTATCATGAATCAATACTATATCTATCTGGTCTCGACCAGTCAAACTTCAAGATGTTTGCCAATGAATCGAACGGAAATCCCACTGAAAAGCTCAAATCCGACATCAAGTGCGTTTCTTCATGGAGACTGTTGGACGTGGGGGATTCATATGAATAATATTTCCGTCGTGTTTAGAGAGACTCTTACTGCTGTTTGGAATAACATGGCTGGTAAGACCCTAGCTTTTGGAGCTTGGAGCCTGTTAGCTTCTTGACGACGAGAATGTTTCAGGAAAAAGCACCATAATGAGACTGCAGTTTAATGCCTTTTTTGTTCTTAGCCGTACATATGAAGACTTCAAAGTTCGACAAGGCCGTGTTATATTGCAACAAAGTCTTGGCTGGTGATGAAAGCAATGTCAAGGTATGTTGTCTTTATAACCAATTGAAGATGCAAGTTGGTGATCAGACACTTCTACTTTCTCATGGAATTGTGCTCCTTCTCGCGCACACGCACATATCATTGATCTATAAAGCTGATGACCTGACACTCACCACCTTATCTCTTTCAACAACACAGGCACTATATCGTCGCGGAACATGCTATTCTGCACTAGGCGAACACGAAAAAGCCGACAAGGACCTACGGGCTGCCGCCAAGCTCAAACCAGATGATAGAGGTATTCGCGATGAACTGGCCAAGAACAAGGCTGCACAAAAGGAGCTCGCTGGTCGTTCTGACAAGGAACTTGCTGATCGGTTGGCTAAATCGTTGTGATGTGGTTGTCACTGTACATGTATATCAAAGAGGGGTGGTGGTCTTGGTGGAGATGAGTATTTTTAAGTTGTTGTGGAGGACGAGAGGAATGTGCAAATAAAGACCTGATTCATCAAATTCCACTTCGCGTTTTTTTGTTTGGAGAGATGTGTATTCATACCGAGACAAGGAATGATGAACAGGAGGGATGAGGAACCCATCGATACTTCAGGTTGTAAACACATAATGATATTCTTGTCCTCCTGAGGTCATTCCAGCCCCGCATTGCGCTTTTTTTTGTGCTCTTAGATATGGCATTTACGTATCTTTGCAGTAATATCGCTGCTATAGCAGTAGTCAGTCGTTCCCGGCACCTTGAGAATCTCTAACGATCCTCTTACTGATCGATATATGTGATTATTCGAATTTGTATTTTGCAGGGAATTCAATATTTGATTCATTGCCGGTTCCAGAGCACCCATTTGCTGAGTTGAACTCTCCAACTCCCGGCCTAGTGATCTTCAGCTGCAGTTGCCTGCTTCTAGTGTTTTCGCGTGGCGAGCATGCTGATTTTGCCTCATAAAATCGGCTCCATTTCGCAAGAACCCAGAACATACCGTATACAAGGAACGTTTCTTCGTACCTCTCGAGCTTGAGAAAAGCTTGAGACGAAAGTTGCCAAAGAGGAGATATTTGAAGGTGCAGAATAGTATGGAATCAACGTAGTCGTAATTGCGAGTAAAGGAGCGGAAATAATATGGAACACTGTTTCATGAAACACAACGGTGTGTATTTGAAAACGGTGTGGTTATGATAATGAGAAAAGAGAGGATGAGCGAAACATATTGTCCATCATGTTGGGGAAGATTGAGGAACTCGTCACGTCGATACCAGGGGTTGTGAATACTTGGTGATAGTCCAGTCCTAGTAGCTAAGCGAGACAGAAAGGATTATTGTCTATTTGGCCACTTCGGTTTTTTGCGCTACGCCAACAATATCCAATCGTTTACCTTTTCAGAAATATCCTTGGCTATCGCAGTGGTCTTATCATTCCCTGCGCCACCAAGACTACTCTCTAAAGAACCTCGAACAGATCGATTCAAGTCATTATTCGAGCAATTGTTGGCAAGAGCATTCACTGCTCGATCCATAGCACGTTCCAAAACACTCATTTGTTGAGTCGACCGCTCCAATTCTCGTTCAAGAGATCTCACTCGAGCTTCAGCTGATTTACGAGCTTCTAGTGCTGTAGCGTGGAGAGCGGGCTCAATCATGGCTGATTTTGTTTCGCGAAGTCGGCTGCATTCCTAGCGGATAACAAGACAGTCGTCAATAAATTACGCCAAACGAGCTAAGAATCCTTCATTGTACCTCTTGAGCTTCCTCAGCTCGTATCTTCCACCTATCAATCATGACCTCCTTTCTCTGAATCTCTTGTTTTAATTTCGTGACTTGATCACGTAATGCATCGTTTTCAACACCCATGTCACAAAGCTGGGTGTTTTCCATTTGAACTTTTTCAAGTTTGGATTTCATTTCTCTGCATTCTCGTTCCAGGCGGGATGCTGATGAGCTACGAGACAAAAGAAGTTGAAGTATCTACTGAGAATTCGAATCTAGACAGGCTTACGCTAGACCTTTACATCTTGTTTCCATAGCCTTCTTTGCGTCATCAACTTCTGATCTCGTCCTAGTGACTTCTTTGATGAGAGTATCCTATGTGCATTGTGTATGAGTTGGATTGTTTTGGTTGCATATTTGATACAATCAAATTGACTACCTTTCGTGACAGCTCTGCGCGACTTCGCTTGGAGGATTCTTTGAACACACAGATTTCATTCCGTTGGATTTCAATTTCATTGTTCTATGAGCCAAAAAACCAACCTACATAAGACCTAGAGGTACCACGAAATGTTCGACCTGATTGCTCACCAGATGTACGATTCTCTCATGAAGAAGGGAAATATTCTTTCCCTTTTGAGATGCCTCCTCCTTGTACTTTTTGAGCTCGTCTGCATTTATGGTAGATTGAGCCAAACTGTCAAGTGAGGGAGAACAAAGAAAATTGAGATGTGACATACGAACAAAGAATCCAACTTCACTGACTTACAGCTCACACCACTCGTTATGATCAACCATTGATTCACGAGTCAATCTTAATTGTAACTCGAGTCCTTCCTTTTCACTATTGAACGGACGAATAAATGGTTGTCACAACCAGCCAATAAACGGACTTCCTCTTGGTTTTTTTGCACTTGCATCGAAATACGTACTTTTTCAGACATGCAACTTCTTGCCTAAGCATCCCGATTTCACTGTCGATTCGATCATGATAGTAGCTAGCCTCTGCTTCCAATATTTCTTCCGCTGATGGATGGGTCGACGCGACTCGATGTGTATCTGACATTACATGGCCTGTGATCTAATAATGTGCCAAAATTTAGATTCGCAACCAATTCCGACACACAGCAAACCAAACGTCACCTTCTCAATCGCACTTCGCAAATGCTCTATATGTTTCTCATGCAGATTTGCCACAATTCGATGTGACTCCTCACCATCTTTGGCAGCTTCTCTTGCATCCCCTAAATCTGAAATGCAAATGTCCTAGTTTTACAGTCGTCAGACACACAAAATTGTCTTGCTGTATTTTTTGCCACCTACCAATTTCTGCTTTAGGTCCCAAACACGACTCAAAAGTCCCTGAGACCGTATATCTAGCACAGAATCAGATTGAATCCTCTCACGAAGCTGAGGACCATCAATAATGGTTTCTAATCGTCTGGTGAATTCTGCGAATCGTGTTTCTTGGTCTCCGAGTCTCTTTCTTGTCTTGCGATGTGCTTGTATTTCGAAACTGTGGGCGGTGCGTTCTGCTTCTAAGGTCACCTATATAATAAAAATGAGGAGGTAGGTAACTCCACAGCGAAAAAAAGGACATGTGAAACATTTGTCATTACCCGTATAGCAACAATTTCATTCTTCGTTGACGCATCGTCCGTTTGTACGGAATCTGATTTTGATTCCTTCTTCCTTAGCTGTGGTGCTCGTGAGGAAGCTATTGCCATCAGTCTAGATACACCCTCTGAATCGAGAATGAGGCGAAAAAAGTCAAACTATATGAAGAATTCTTACATGCGATGAAGCTTTTAAATTACCTGCTTCAGTGTCTGGAGTTGATTTGGCATAAGCAGCCCATGCAGAAATCAATTCCAAATCTGTCGTATGCAACATCGTCAACACCTCCAATACCAGATTAAACCCTACATCTACTCGCTTTCGAAGAATGGCATTTTCATGAAGTAATGTATTGTTCAATCGAGCTCTAAAAGGTGGGATACGTCAGACAGAATCGGCCTATGGCTCTTTTTTTTGGTGCATGTGATAAATCTTACTCGTGAAGGGATATGTCCTTATTAGACGACCTGGAAACCGTGTCTTCTAATAATTCTTCAATGCGTTTATTCTTTTCAGACAATTGATGCTTTAGCGCCTGTCCAAAACGATGGAATTGTTACTTTTTCAACTTCCTTTAATGTCTGAACGAGATCAAGAAAACGTCACATTACCTTGGCATACGAGGATGACTCGCGTAGCTGAGACTCCAGTGTTTTAATCTTGCGATCTTGGTCTTGATGCTTGGCATTGGCTTGTAAAGTGGTTTTCTCCAACTCCAATCTCAACAATTCTAGCTTTGACTCAAGATGCAGAGAGGAGGGATGCTCGTATTCTGCATAGTCGTCTCCCAAGATTACAGATTGTGCCGATTCAGATGGCATCTCAATCAAAACTATACACACAACGAGAACGACTTCACTTCTGCGGCAATTTTATCAATTGTTGGTGAACATGAACTAAAGCCTTATGACGCCAAGGGCAAGTTGACATGGAACACGCCATTAAATAATGGCGACACAAAAGATTTAATCACTATGCTAAAATAGTAGCTCGTCCAGTCGGTTGTGCCTCGCAAACCCCTCGAATTGAACAATAATAGTCTACCCACCAAGATCCGTAAAGAAACGCCCAGTCGGGACCCCCAAAAGCGTGACCCCAACGACCACAGTCCTTGAATCTCCTGAAAATCAATATTTGTGGCCTTGTTCAAGTTTAAATTTTCACCTTGTTCAAGGTGTCCCACTCCCCATTCACGTCTTTGTTTCCACAAGCTAAGACTTAACTTTTTCACGTCCGTCAACACCCCATTCCGCATCCACGTCTTTGTTACCAAAACCAGTATATACGCAAATGACTTCCCTACGAAGAGGTTCTTTGAAGAACGGCACTCTGGGCCATTCTAAAGGAGAAGATTTGACTCCGCAACAGAAACACTGTCGCTCGCTGTTGGCTTCGCTTCTAATTTTCCAAGATTGTAACTATATGGTGGATATGGTATTCGACATAAAGTGCTAACATCGCCATCGATTAGGCACGGATCCAGTCCTCGATAGAATCGCCAGAGTTTGTGAACTGTGCACCTTTGGTGATGGTATGTCAAAAGACTCGCAAAACTTCGTTGTCCTCTTGAAGGCTAACTGGATTTACCTGACTTTAGATGAGGAGCTTGTTACCGAACACGAACCTCTGATTGGACCTGCCCTTCACTTTTTGCTAAAGGGAACCTGTGAAGTCGAGTTCACAACAGACCAAGGGGTGGCGATTCAGTTCCCACGAATGACTATTGGAGAGCACTTCCCGGATCTGCCCATCAGTGCCGACGACACTCGTTCATCTGTGAAAGTTGTTACTATTGATCCAATCGACTGCCTTGCTTTTAGAAAGGTATGATCCTAGTTGACCATTGTGCTAAGATTCTCTGACTCTTCACGTTCAACACTTTTGACCTTGCCGTATACGAAAATAGACCGAATTCCTTGAGGTCTGTGGAGAGGCAGTCATATCCAAACTGCAAATGGTACAGCAACAACGAAAAGCTTTGATGGTTAACTTAAAGGAGAGAATGGATGATGCCACTCATCATAATCGTAAACAGGGCCACAGACATTCACATTCACAGGCTTTAGCAACATGAAAATCATAAACATGCCTTCCAAAGAAATCATATAAAGACTTGTATATTCTAAACGACATAAGCAACAACCCGATGAGCAATACATCAACCATCTCATCATCACAAATGGCCAGTGATTGGGTGGGGGACATATGGTTCTTCCAAGTACTTGACCTCTTCGGACGTCAATTTCAACTTTTGAGCGGCGAGCAAATCATCAAAGTATTGTGGTTTGTTTATACCAACAATAGGACTACAAACGCCATTTTTCGTGTATAGCCAGGCCAAGGCAACTTGAGAGGACGTGACCCTTTGTTCATGATTGTTAAATGAGTAAAATTTGTGACACCAGTAGAACAAGCGTCCTGTTTCAGACTCACCCCTTTTTTTCGGCAACCTCCTTGACACGGTTGATGATCTCGGTATCTCCAGCGTCCATTTTGCCAAACCATCTTTAAACAAACGAAAAAGTTGTAAGTCTAACGTCACAGATCTGGATTCCGTTCACAATCATCACCTCTTGAAAGCCACATCCGTATCTGAGCGAACTGTTTTGCCTTTACCAGTGAGCAACCCGCGTGCCAAAGGAGACCTAGAGAATATCAATTGCAGTGAGACACTCGAGGCGTTTTAGCACACTTCAGCCATTACCATGGAATGAGTCCGACAGATTGGTCAATACAAGTAGGTATCATTTCTCGTTCCTCTTCACGGTATAGTAAATTCTGAGGAAAGGAAAGGCCTAGTTAGTATCTGACATCTGTTCTCATTGGTATTCAAGAAATACTCACGTAAAAGTTCTGCATGGTAACAAACTGTGCCCAACCTCGAGATTTAGCGATGCTTTGGCACTTGGCGAACTGCCAAGCATACATTGAACTAGCTCCAATGTAACGGACTTTACCCATCCTTACGAGATCGTTTAATGCCTCCATAGTTTCTTCAACCGGAGTTGCATAATCAAATCTGTGGATTTGGTATAGATCAATGTAATCTACTCCCAATCTTCGAAGGGAATCATTGCAAGCATCAAAGATATGTTTGCGAGACAATCCAGCCTTGTTGACATAAGGAGGTTGATCAAAGGGTTTTCCTAACCATGAAATGTTTCACAGTGAGATTAAGTCAACGATAAAAACTAACTTCTATGCTTTGTTACCGATACTGTAAACCCCTGGTTGACCTTCCAAAGTCGGGGAGTAACATTTGGTAGCCAGCACAAGTTGATCCCTAGGAATGTTAAACTTCTTGATGGCCTTTCCAACCAAGATTTCACTCTCGCCGTTACTGTATACGTCCGCAGTATCCCAAACTAGCATCAAAGAGCTTGTTAAGAACAATCCACCATGGCCTTGATGCCAAAAAAAGCCATAAAACCCAAAACTCAGTTCTCACAGTTGATTCCTTTCTTCCAAGCCAGTTCAAGCAATGGAAGAGATTCATCCTCGTCTAGTACCCATGGACTCCATTTCGAGCTAGTTGGAGGCGTGTTAAGAGCAAGGCCACGATTTTCAAACCTTTGCAATCAGGATCTTTACCTTCCATATGACATGCACCCCAGACAGATACGCGAGACGAGCATACCGGTGTTTCCCAATCGAACATACTCTCCTGTCGGAGCATCAGTAGAGTTTACAGCCTACAAGACACGAAGATGAGCGATTAAAAGGAATCAAGTGAACAGTATCAAATTGTAGACGACAATCGTGCTGCATTGCTCGAGATGGTAGGATTTGGAAGGGCGAATTTTGCTTGAACAAGGTAGTTGTTCGTCGCAATATTGGGTTTGTTTTGATTTGTAAAATGTTGGTTGTTTCACAACTTTAATGTTGAGCTTAACGCAACCTTCCAGCCCTCCACAAGTCAGATGCAGCTTTACAACCGTCAGTTTCAAACACATCATCCAGATAATTTCACTTCCATGTCCACTCCACAATGCAAATTTAAAGCTTTCAGAATCCACGATCACTCAGGTCAAAGCAATCGCTCTCAAGGTTGTAGAGTGGCGATATAACAAAACTTACCATGATTTTGATCTCCTAGATTAAAGTGCTTTGGTTTGAGTGCTTCAACGGTTTGAGCTCTTCTCTCGCTTGAGTTTCAAGAATCGTGGGAGTTCGGATTTCGACGCGAAAGCAACATTGAAGCCAACGGATTACTGGATTTGAGAGCGAGAGCCCCTACTACTGTACATGTTACGCATTACCACGGACACAACATGCCAAACTATGACAGACTCAATCAAAACTGTTAAAAAAAACTTCGCGTCGCGCATCATTTCGAACAGACTAGGTTTATTAGATTTTGTGGTGACAGAGAATTATAGGTATCATCATGAGGCTAGTCACGCGGAATATTATAGTGTCTTTTCAGATGTTTCATCAGCTTCAGTTGTAGGCTTCTCGTCCACAGCGTCAGTTTCTGGAGGTTCAGCATTACTTTCCTCCGTTGCTTCTCCTTCTGCAGCCGTAGTTGTATCTCCTTCCTCGGTAGCAGCTGCCCCTCCTTCTTCAGGAGTAGCTTCTGCAGTTTCTTCTTCGGGAGCTGGAGGCGGTACAGTTCCGCCTAGAGCCAAGATCACGACTTCAACACCAGCTGCTTCAGCTTTAGACCTTGGGGTCTCTCCTGCTGTATTAGCTGCCAATGGATCAGCTCCAGCTTTCAAGAGCAGGTTGACAAGATCGATATTGGTGTTTTCCGCAGCGTAATGTAACGGCGTGTTGCCATTGACGTCCTTGGAGTCGAATTTGTTCCCGAGTGTCAGCAAGTAATCTGAAGTTCGGGTCTAGCATCCCAAAAAATACGTTTTAGCGTACAGACTCATCTACACGTAAGCGTAGACAGCTTACCATTGAAGATTGAGATGCTAAAATCAATGCAGTCTGATTATCCTTGTTTACGGAATCTACCGGTGGTGCCAGACCACGCTTGTTGATTTCATAGAGGTTGGCGATGTAACCCTTTTGAGCAGCATACAACCAAGCAGTCATTCCATTCGAATCCTTTCCATTAACATCAGCTCCAGCATCCAATAATTGCTGTAACCGACCTGCGTCACCATCACCATCAGCACACACCGCAATTAATGCAGTCTTGCCTTCCGTGTCAGCTGCATTTACATCAGCTTTATAGTTTATGATCAGTCGAGAAGTTATCTCCCATTGAGAAGGTGCGGCCATTATCAACGGGGTTTGCTCAGTTGTGCCATATCTGGCAGCCAGTAGTTCAGGGTATGTATCTGATAAGAAGCAGAAGGTCTCGACGTCACTATTTTGTATTGTCTGAGCATAGATTTCGAAGCCGCTGTTGTCCTTGGCGTGTACATTGGCACCCTTCTCCAAGAGTGTCTTGATGACGTCAAGCCTGCGAGTTACCGTACTACCACCTTTGATGACGCTCATTATTGGTGTTATTTCAGACTCAGGCTCGGCCTATGATAACGCGAAAATTAGTCGCAAACTCTCTGTAAAGAAAGCCATCTTCACATACTTGGTTGACATCGGCACCATGTTCCAAAAAGACAGGCAAAAGATCGTGTGCGTTTACAGTACCCATAACTTGATTGATCGGATAGTAATATCCATATCCAGTCGGAACCATTTGCTTGTTGATAATAGCCAAAACACGAGGATCCTTGAAGACACGCTTCACGACTGCCGGCGATGTAGCGGCAATTATATGAGTCAGCCCACTATAGACAGTTGGAGCGTCCTCGCCATCGGCTTGTATGGAGACGTCAGCAGATGGATCAGCACCGGCGTCCAATAGCCTCATCAGTACCGCCTCGTCAGGACTGGCATCTAGAAAAGACAAAAAAATTATCAGTTATCGAATAAAAGTCACGTTTGCGACACCAAAGGAATCATACCAATAGCATTGTAGAGAACTGTGCTTACAGACTTGTTCGTGACTAGCAAGGGGTCTGGAATCGTAGCACCGTGTTTTGCGAGGGTATCAATGATGTTATAGTTGCCTGCTTCGATGGCTAAAACTATTGGCGTTCGGCCCTTCAAGTCAGTCTTTGTAATCGAGGCCCCCTTTTGGATTAGCAATTCTACAGCTGTGGTGTTTCCTTTTGCTGAAGCAATCATCAATGCCGTGAATCTGTTGAGATTAAAGAGTGAGAAACTGGCGTTGAAGCAAAAAAAGGGTATCGAACACCGAAATGATGTTTTAACAAGTCGAAAACGCAGCCACACTACCCTAAGACAACTCACCCATCTTGACTTGTGGCATCAATAGCAGCACCATATTGCACAAGCACCAGAATTGCAGTTTCATTGCCGTGGAAGGCAGCCCAATGAATTGGTTGGAACCCAATAGTGGTACCTAGCGTCGTCAAGTCCCAAGTTGTCATTTCTCCAGTGATGGGCGTATCAACTTTAGCACCAGCCAAAACCAGCTGATAGACCACATCAGTTGTGTTTTCCATAGCCCTAAATATCGGTGTACAACCAAATCCATCTAGTGCGTTCACATCGGCACCAGCTTCAATCAGTTTAACGACGATATAAGGGGCGTTGGCTGCCTCTGATGTATCTCGTACAGCCAAATGAAGCGGGGTCGTGACTAGGTCTAGATCCTCAGAGACGGTCTTTATGTTTACGGTAGCTTTATGAGCGAGAAGCGTCTCGACACACTCAATGTAGCCTTGCTCGGCAGCACACATCAATGAGGTTTTGCCTTGTGGATCAGCTCCATCTACATTCGCGCCCCTGTTCAAGAGTGCGACTACAGCTAAATGACAACCAGCTTCGGCTGCTAGGTAAAGTGGTGGTTGTTTTGCTGTTCCACATGGCTTGTTGGGATCAGCATTCTTGATCAGAAGGAAGGATACTGTTTCGGCATCTCCACAAGCACTAGCTAGTCCAAGCGGCGTCTCGAGACTAGTTTCGTGTGCTTCGTCAGCTGGCACTCCTAAATCCAATAAGAACCTGGCTATGCGAGAGGTTGACAGAGATTCTCCAGACGATCCATCTTCGTTTGTTGTGTCCCTCATAGTTCGAACACACTCGAGCAGTACATCACTGTTTGCCAAAGAACGGTCTCTATATAGGATAAACCTTACCTGATCCTCCCAATCAGGCGCTGCCTTAGTCTTAACCACAGTCATTAATGCATTATCACCACTACTCTCATCGACTATAGTGACGTCTTGTCCCATATCCAATAATTTTCGCATGGCGAATGATCGGGGAGCGGCAGCAGCAGTAAACCAAGTATTGGCAGTCGGCTGCACACCATGGTCAATCAACATATTGAATATTTTACTACCGTCGTCACCTGCAAGACCGGCACTAGAGTTTAGAGCCGTAAGTCCGAAATACGAAGCAAAGTCATCTGACATTGGCCCAGCAGCTAAGCAAAAAATAGGAATTAGTTACGAAGGAAACACGGCCTAGACAAAGGAAGAAGCTACAAATTTACCAAACAAGGCATCCCATGCAGCCGGTGCATCGCTGTCACATATATTCTCCCAAGTTCGCTTGGTAGGTTTGGCTCCAACAGCAGGCGATAACAAGTACTTGAAGATTGCAACACTTGCAGCTTTTTTACCAGTATTCGTATTGCATTTCGACGCAGCTCGATCTAATGCACACTCTCCTACATATGAAAACCTGAAGTAAGCATCGTCCAATACGCCCAGACTCGGCGAGCAAATGATCATTACCATCATTATTCAGCTGCTTAATATCAGCACCAGCCTTCACAAGGGCTTGAACCACATCAAGATCAACCTGATCAATAGCAATTTCCAGAGCGCTATTGTTCAAGGAAGGCTTCATCTCCATAACCGGTTTCCAAGCTGAAGTGCTACGAGCGGTGTTGACGACAGCTGTTTCACCAGTATAGTCTCGTCGTTCAATATTTAGATCAGGAGCAGTCATGAGTGCTCGAACAGTCTTATCAGTGCCGTCGTTGGTAATGGCTGTGATCAGGGGTGTAAACCCATTTTGCGTGGCGAGCGCGGCATTCTTTGGATTCTTTTCCAATAGATATTTGATGACTTCGACGTTCGATTGACTGCAAGCGGCATGCAGTGGTGTCCTAAGAAAAGTGTTAATAATATAGCGAAATTTAAACCTCCTAAGCGCTTTTCATTTTTTTTGCAAACTTACATTCCATCAGTAGTGGTCAAGTCCACATCAGCACCACCTTCGACCAAGGCTTTAACAATATCAAAGTAACCAGCTTTTGCAGCATTCACCAGACACGTTTCACCATCATCATGTACAAGATTGATATCATCCTTCCCGCCATTCTCCAATACAGTCTTGACGGAATCTACATTTCCGCTGTTTGTAGCGATATCAATTGGCGATGACCCTCCCACTGGAATCAATTTAGCACCAGCCTTGAGCAAAACAGCAACTGTGTCGGTTCTTCCGTTGGCTAAGGCCGACATCAATGGCGTGTATCCATTAGTATTGGGCATGTTGATATCAGCTCCTGCATCAATGAGTAGTTGGACCACATCAGTATATCCATCGTCTGCTGCAGCATTTAGTGGCGACCAGCCTCCATCGGCACAGAGATCTGTACGAGCACCATTCTCTAGTAGTAGTTTGACAATCTGTACATATCCATTGTTGGAAGCCATGTAAAGAGCAGTCTGAGACGTATTCCATTCTACATAATTGACTTCGCACCGTCTTGCAACCAAAAGCTCAACAATCTAAACGCAGCAAACGACTGTTAGTAAATGATACACTTTGCAAAACACAAACTCATCATACCTCAGTATGTCCACCATAAGTTGCCCACGTGAGTGCCGTATCGCCAGTAGAATCACGGGCATTAATATTGGGTGACGGATTTTGTTCAAGAAGCTTCTCGATAATATCACGTTGTCCATAATTGGCTGCTCGTAAAAGCGGAGTAGCGCCACCGTTTGTTTGAGGGGCATCATAATCCGTATATCCATGAGACAAGAAGTAGTCGATAATGTTCTCGTGACCATCGTCAATGGCGACAAAGAATGAATCTGAACCGTCAAAGTTTCGGGCTTTGGTGTTGGCGCCCAGAGAAATGAGCCATTCGACGACGGTTAGTTGACCTGTGATTATTTGATTTGAGTGTTCAAGTGCGAGAGTGTACAAGGCCAACAAGTCTGATGTTTACCGTCTGATGCAGCGGCGAGGAGAGGCGTGAAACCACCCGTGTAGTTTCGACTTTCCAAATCAACTTGCTTCGTTGCGTACAATAATTGCGCAGTTTCCACACTGCCAGACCTGCAAGCAACCTAACCATGTATTGTTGTCAGCAAAACGAGAGTCTTCAATTCTCGAAACATTGCATTTTCTTACATAGAATGGGGTTCGTCCATCCTCATCCTTGACAGAAACATTAGCACCAGCAGTAACGAGGACTTCACAAGCAGCCAAAGATCCACGACTAGCGGCAGTAATCAGAGGTGTCTCCTTGTTATCATCCGTAGTTTTAACGTCAACAGATACACCCTTGTCGATAAGGAAGCGGCACAGATCTGCACGGTTGTATCCTGCAGCCGCATGCAAAGTAGTTGATCCAGCGGTATTTGTCGTCTCTATGTCGGCCCCGCGATCTATAAGGTATTCACACAAATCCAAATTGCCGGTTTGTGCAGCAAGGTAGAATGGAGTAGCGCCAGACGCATCTAGAGGTTTTGGGACAACGCGTTAAGAAAAACCACCCACCTCACAATAACACTCATGGCTCGTTGAAATATTTACCTTTGGTCTCGATTAGAGCTCCATTGTCTATGCACCATTTAGCGACATCAAGACGCCCATTCGCACAAGCTTCATGTAGCGGCGTTCGTGAACCGTCATTTACTTTGGCAAGCTCTTCAGTCAGATCTTTTCCATTTGTGATTCTGACTAAATCCTCAATGGAGCCATCGCCCGCCGCGTCAAAGAGGTTGCTGATAAGAGTCAAGTGCGATACAGGATCACCGGCCTTCTTGACTTTCTTGGGTACCTTGTACTTCTCAATTGCTCGTAGGATGCGCATTTGGACGTCCTTCATATCTGCCCCTTCTCGAGCGTCAATGTATAGAGTGTTTGCCTGGATCAAGATGGCGATTAGCCGTCGCTCACAAACTAGAGATATTTCAACCAGAGCTCAACAGGATCGTCATAGCGACATACCAGCTCAAACATTATCTCAGAGTACTCCCACTTAACCATCTTCGGTTTCTTATTGTCAGCACCAGCTCCTGCTTTAGCATTCTTTGGTCCCGGCGCAGCTTTGCCATCTTTAGCACCATCAGCACCTTTCACTTCTGCTGCTTTTGTAGCAGGAGGAGGAATAGATCGTTTCCCGACAATGACAGGAATCAATGGCAAGTCAAGTTGTCGAGAAAAGGCGAATTCAGCTTTACAGTTTTTACTGGTTGCGTAGGCATCAGATATGTGTGCAATGACTATAGCTGATTTCTGAGACAGAGCCTCTACTAGATCGCCATACAGGGGTTGGCCTGAAAAATCGAATAGTGTCAGTTGGTGTTGAAATCGCGGAGATCTAGAGCCTGGAAATCAAACCTTCTCCGAGTTCTTTCACGTCCTATCAAGACGCCACAAAGATACTGTCAGTATACCACAAAAACGTCGCAGTCACGGACCCAACGTCAAACACAAAACACATACCAGCCACGCTCTATAGTCGTGTTCTTCAACCCAATCTGCCACATCTCGGGGATCACATGGCCCACAGCCATCCAAAGCATCAAGCGATTTGACACCATTCTGAATATCCATATCAACTTGTTTCTTACTGTTTGCCCAACAATACGATATAAAAACCCTGGTCTTCAAATCTTCACCATCTACTTCAGAAGGTGCCTTGTCTACGGCGGTTTGAGTTGCATCACTTGTTTCAGGCTGAGCAACAACAACATCCTTGGGGGTCTGAGAAACTTGTGTGGTGGATGCGATTGTCGCAGCAGTAGCGGAGGCAATTACAATCTCGGGGAGCGATGGACCACTTCCAGCTGGCTTTATTTCTTTGGTCGAGGGGCTAATAATCGGTTCTGGTTGAGTAGCTGCAACTTTGGCGAGTAATTGTTCAAGTTGCTCTTGTTGTTTCTTCAACATGCCCAACATGTCCTGGATTTGTTGGGCATTATCCTCTGCGAACCCGCAGAGGATAAAAGGCATGCTGGAGCTGCCCTATCAAATACGAGGCTCACAAGCAGCGACTGATACGAGATGCTAGCTCGTTTGGAAGCAAGTTGGTACTACTTGTTTTCTTTTTCGAGGCTGTGGTGATCTCCGACACTACGATACTTGTCTTTGAATTAGTTCAATATTTCTTCTTTAATGTATGATAAGTGGCTGAGATGGCATAAATTGACTGTTCCAAGTCAAACCGTGTCGTAAAACGTTTTGGCGTCAAACAAAACGTTCGAAACACAAACCCCGTTTGTAGACGATCCGGGCAGCTGGAAAGACTTGTCAGCACTCATTCTTCTTGAAAGCAACGAGGAGTTCGAAGGCTTCCGGTATATTTGGGAAATGACTGAAAAGACTGAAATGCCCGAAGAATGTCTCCTTGATTTTATATCCGTTTTGAATAGGTATCCGTATTCTTAGACTGCCAATCTCCTCTTACTCAATGACTATCGACATGTTGCTAAAACTCAACACTGGGAGGACTGCATTATTCAGGAAATCCCAGTGTAGTGAATGATAAAACATCTCTCCATGCTGAAACGGAAGCTCTATTGCATAGTCTGTTCGATGATGCTTATGTCCCTGCAGTCAACCATTTAACGCAACTACAAGCATTTGTATTGAAGTCGCAGGGTCTTGATGCTGGAGTCTTTGCTCGTAATGTCCAAGAAGGTGGTAGGGCATTGGTACTCGAGTGGGCAGGGGAGAATAATCGTGTTGAGGAGATACTTGATGTCTGGAGTACAATGGACTCAAAGTCGCTTTCGAAATTACGCAGTTGGGAGGTAACTATTGGAGTAACAAAGAACTCTGAAGTCGCTAGGGTAAAGAAGGCACGATGTGTAGTAGCTTAGTTGGGGGTTGGTACAGATTGTATTCGGTAAAAGCACGTTATTATATCGCAAACATTAAAGTAGAACCTCTATTTCAATCGACTTCCTATCGAGCACCCATAGACGTCAAATGTTTAACGACGTCAGCATGACCTTCCTTCCGCGCGATAGTAAGAGGATTAGCACTGCCCCAATTCGAAAGCTTGATAGGAGCTCCCTTCTCGAGAATTGTTCAGTTCAAGCCAACGTAACGAGCCCAGAGCTTATGCTTACCTTTTCAACCAAGTATTTCACGACCTCTAAATGCCCATTTGCCGCTGCCATGTACATTGGAGTGAAGCCCTTTTTAGCCCGATTATTAATATCAGACCCCTGCTCGTCAGCTAGATGTTAGGATGCTGACAAGTCACAATGGAAGACAGGATCCTACCGTCCCAAATAAATATTTGACGACTTCCAAGTGCCCACTTTCAGCTGCCGCCTGTAGAGGAGTGCTTTTATCCCTGTTGGATATTCTGGCGTCACTTCCCTGTTTTACAGACAGATTGTGAGAAAAGGTGGGGAAAAAGAGCAGAGCAAAACCACTTAGAGTAGTTGCCTGGTCAACCAAGAATTTAATCACGTCAAGGTGGCCATTCTGTGACGCTGCCCACAAAGGCGTCCATCCATCAATATCAACTTGGTTGATGTTTCCTCCTTGTTGTTTAAGGAGTTTCAAAACTTCTAAGTGCCCATTTGCCGCAGCAACAGCAATCGGTGTCCGACCGTCCTTGGCGGCCAGTTTGACATCACCTCCCTGTTCGAGAAAGACGGAAAGTGAGATTCATGCAAGAAAGAAAGATTAAAAAATCTAACCTGTTCGATCAAGTACTTGACAATGTCTAGATGACCACCATTGGCAGCTGCCCATACTGGTGTATTCCCTTCATTATCTGCTTTCAGCACATCAGCTCCAGCCTGTTTCAGATACTTTATGACTTCCAGATGGCCACCATACGCTGCAGCCCTTAGCGGAGTCCGACCGTCTTTTGCGGCAAGTTTGACATCACCTCCCTGTTCGAGAAAGACGGAAAGTGAGATTCATGCAAGAAAGAAAGATTAAAAAATCAAACCTGTTCGATCAAGTACTTGACAATGTCTATATGGCCACCATTGGCAGCTGCCCATACTGGTGTTTCCCCTTCATTATCTGCTTTCAGCACATCAGCTCCAGCCTGTTTCAGATACTTTATGACTTCCAGATGGCCACCATACGCTGCAGCCCTTAGCGGAGTCCGACCGTCCTTTGCGGCAAGTTTGACATCACCTCCCTGTTCGAGAATAAGGTTACACAAACTTCACAAAAATACAAAAATTCGGCCTGAAAAAGCAAATCCTGACCTTCTCAACAAGATATTTAATAACTTCCAAGTGTCCATTCTGAGCTGCCATATGCAGAGGGGTGTCTCCATCGTTATCAGACTTTTTGACATCACCTCCCTGTTCGAGAATAGGTTACACAAAATGCTCAAAACGGAGACATTGGCGACATGCGCTGACCTTTTCAACCAAGAATTTGATGACTTCCAAGTGCCCATTTTGAGCTGCAACAAACACCGGTGTTCTTTCATCACTTGCGGCTCGTTTGACATCACCTCCCTGTTCGACTAGGTACTTGACAGTTTCTAAGTGTCCAGCATATGAGGCGCCCCAGACTGGACTTCTTCCTTCATTATCTGTCTGTTGAATATCGGCGTCATGCTGTTTCAGCAGTTTTACCACCTCTAAATGACCTCCAGCTGCTGCAACTCTCAGCGGAGTCCGACCGTCATTGGCGGCCTGTTTGACATCACCTCCCTGTTCGAGAAAGAAGAAAAGAGATTTTAACCAACAGAGATTTTAAGAAACAATTGCGCGAGGGAGAAAGCTTACGTTCTCAGCAATCCATTTCACTACGTTTGTATGCCCACCAAGTGCTGCAATCCAGAGTGGTGTCACCCCTGTCTGTTTGGCAATTTTGACATCACCTCCCTGTTCGAGAATGAAGAAAAGAGATTTAAACAAACAGCGATCTTATTAAACAAATGTGAGAGGGAGATAGCTTACGTTCTCAGCAATCCATTTCACTACGTTTATATGACCATTGTATGCTGCTGCAAAGAGGGGCGTCATTCCATTCTGATTGGCAATTTTGACATCACCTCCCTGTTCGAGAATGAAGGAAAGAGATTTAAACCGGACAGTCCGAAGTCAAACAGACAACAGAAGGAGATTCCTACATGCTCGAATAGATACTTGACAATATCAAGATGTCCTAATCCCGCTGCGACGAAGAGTGGTGTTTGCCCTTCGTGATTGGCAAGTTTGACGTCACCTCCCTGTTCGAGAATGGGTGATACAATGTAAACAAAAAAAGAGAAATTGGCATGAAAAAGCGCTCTGACCTTCTCAATCAAGTGTTTGACAACTTCCAGGTGTCCACTGTATGCTGCAGTCCAAATTGGAGTTCTCCCGTCGTTTGTCGGAGTTTTGACATCACCTCCCTGTTCCGGAAGGAAGAAAAGAGATTTAAACCAGGCACTCCGAAGTCAAACAGCCAGCAGAAGGAGATTCTTACATGGTCCATTAAATATTCGACGATATCACCATGTCCTTTTGCAGCAGCTGCCCAAACAGGTGTCTCGCCGTCCTGATTGGCAAATCCTACATCACCTCCTTGCTCAACCAGGCACTTGACAATATATAGACGTCCTTTGGAGGCTGCTACAAATAAAGGTGTCTCTCCACTATCATCCATCAAGTTCACAAGCACCCCTTGGTGAAGTAACCAGATTACCATCTCCATGTACCCTTGCCTCGCAGCAACGTGAAGCAACGTCCGTTTCTTGGGTGTGATTACAGCCAGGTCACCACCATCCGCCCGATACTTCTGCAGCACTGCGAGCTTATTTTCATTGCATGCCGTACCGACTGTACCCTAATAGATAGCATGTATGTCAGACTAAAGTTTTGCTTCAGAAACTGCGAAAGTAAAGTTACCAGAGCCTGGACATCAACATTGTAAGTCTCTTCTTGAATCCAATCATTCAGAATATTCCAGGTCTTCCCACTAGCCCAGCCCAGCGGTTGCTTTCGGTCTTCATCCAAGATTTTCCAGTCTGCATTGTGTTTGACCAACACCTCCACCACCTCCTGCTGATTGAAGTAGCAAGCAACATGGAGTGGCGTCCACTTATACTTGCCCATTGATCCTTTGGCATTGACTTTGGCACGACCGTAACGAAGCAACGCATCGCATACACTAGCAAAACCTCGTTTTGCAGCTTCGAAAAGTAGCGGATTTGGTAAATGCCTCCCAGTTTCAGCTTGGTTGAAGAGCTGTACCCCAATCTCAGGATTTACTGTATTCAGCAGCTGAGTACATATTCCTCCATTTCCCACGTCGATAGCAGCTAACAATGCTTCTACACCATGTACTTTCCTGAACTCATCAAGGATAGCGGAATCAACCGATACAGAGCCCAAATGGTCCATCCAATACCTGCATACATAGTCCAGATGACCGTTTGGCATGGAAATTTTCCCCAACATAGTCGCCACCTTATAATAGGGACTAGTTACAGATGTGAACACGAGTTCCTTGTTTAAAATGGTAATACAGCTTGCAGCAAGACCAATTTCAGCTCGATTGCGGTCAATGTAGAAACGCTTGTCGGTGCAGCGGTTCTCGTTGACCAAGAAGTCAGTAAAGGATTTATGAATGACCTGGATGGCGGTGTCAGAGATAACCAATAGAGAGCTGACCGAGCGCAAGAAGGTAAGGATCTGACCAGGACTGATGTTGGCCAGTTTTGCGATGGTGGTTGGACCAATCGGAGCTCGGGCTGTGACAATAGTACCAACTATTACTGGATACAGTTCAAGCGAGTTGGTGGAAATTCGTTCGAATGCTCGGCTCAAAGTGCTTTCGTAGACTTGATCCATAAGTTTATCGTGATCTAGGGTGGTCCCAGGTTTCGACATAGATTCCAGCGCCTGTAAAGGATCACTACTATCACGTATCTCGTCGCATCTAAAGGGAAAGGACATGTTTTCAGTCACTGTTTGAAACACGGCAGTACGAATGCGTGTACCTGAGCACCAGCCAAATGAACAGACCACCTGCATTCTTGGCCAAGGCAACTGCCATATCGGATACTTGAGTTGACGATGCACCCATTTGTTCTAGATGTAGGGCCGCCATTTGGTATTTGGCATACTGTTCGATATCTTCAAGGTTGTGTGCCTCTGATAATTCCAAGACTCGCGGTTCTAATGGAGTTAAAATTCTGACAATATCGGGGTCAGGTCGACTTGTAATAAAGAGCTTTATAAATGGGGGCAATTGGCTCCACTGGGCGAGCAGCTGTAGCAGTTCTCGACGGGGATCAGAATCTGCTCGTCCACATTCGTCTAATGCATCTACGACCACTACTACTGGCTGCTGCCACTCCACACTCAAAAGAGGTTTCCTGATGAGTTCATCGAAGAGTCGTGTCAGTTTGGCAGTTTTTAATACATCGGGATCTGCTTGCTGTAAAGACGCCAACGATTTGGCTATACTAGGATACGTCACAGCTAGCTGGTAGGCTAGAGTGAATAGTAATCGTTCTGGCTGGTTTCGCTGTTCGTCATTATGTTTACAAAAGAAGTAGCCGGCCAATAGATCATTATCTTCTAACTGACGTTTCATCGAGGCAGCAATCACCGATTTCCCAGCACCTGCTACCGCGGTCACCCAAAGAACCTGTTGATCGTTCCGGCCAATCCAACTAGAAATATCTTTAATCATCCAGTCACGAGTCCCTTTCAATCTCGTGGAATAAAGTGCCGTGATATCATCGTCCATTTTTCCCTGGACGGGCTGCAGCCATACGACCAGCTTCTGCAGCAACACCAAAACTGCCGAATCCGCAGTTCTACTGAGAGGGAATGGAATCTGGGGCAACGGAGTCCCTTGCGGTTGCACAAACACTGTAGCAGTTTTGAGGGCATTCATGATATCCTTCTTAAGCTCGCTGACCTTTTCATCCCAGTCATGTGCTACAGCTCGATAACTCGACAGATCGCAGTACTTGAGCCCTGCCGTAATCACTTCTGCCCATGTAAAGGGACCTGTATCAAATCGAACCGGCACGATATTCTTCCTCAAAACTTCAGCATAGGTGAGTTCATGGTTACAGTTTCGAGAACTCTGGTAGTAGATAGGTGTTTGGTCATTCGTAACTGGTTTGCAAGGGAGCATCCTGAAAGTCCTTACCACGTAAGATCTACTGAGGCAGCAGATAACCACTTTTGAGTTGCGGACCGCTTTCTCCATACTGTCAAATATAGAGCCTCTCATCCTGTCCTTGTCAATCCAAACTGTAAAACCTGCCTTCAACAGATCATCGTAGAGCCTGTCAGCTTCGGCCTTGTAATTCCATCTATATCTTTCTTTGTTAGGGTCGGCATGGCCAAAACACAATCCTGAGCTCACTCAACTGGTACGATATCATAACATCGAATTGGTCTTCAGCCAAAGCAACATTGGTGCTCTGTGACACTTGAATGAGAGGTCGTTCGGCAGCAGCAACGGGAACAGGAGTTGATTTTACTGTAGGGCATTGTTAGTCAACGAAACTCAATCTACATGAGACGTCAACGCTTACCTCCCACTGATGCTCGTTTCGTCGACGGAAAACTGGCCGGAGCAGGAGCGCTCGCTTGAGGCTTCTGGAATCGTGCCTCCTCATAGCGCCTTGGCTTGCTTTGAGATTCGCCCATCGCGCTCTGTTGTCACCATGGATTGAAAAATGTGACTGTGCTTCAAAAGTTGTGCGATGACCAGCCACAAAGTCGGCCCTTGCTTTTATAACTGACTTTAAAAGGAGTTTAATTCAAGAGTGAGCGCTCGTGAATCTTGCTGCAGATGCTAGAAATTTCAAGACATCTGTATATGTTGTGAGACAACTTGCGTCTTGGGGAAGTCTTCTCGTTGAGCGACTGTTGCGATAGTAGGTTCAGTTCATGATACACAGAATACGCTTATTGAGTCTCGAAACGTTAAGCAGCTGGCATCGGAGGTAGATCCCGACAGTTCTCATTCACGCTGTGCAATAATAATATGTAAGGCTGACTTGACCATCCGAATTCAACAAATGCTTTTTAACAGGTCATTGGATTGAAGAAACAGAAGCGTCAGGCGATTTTCACATCAAGTCACGAAAAAAAATTCGATCCGTATTTCATTCACCTGAAATTGTAAACCACTCTTTTCTCCAGTCTTTTCTATCGGTCTTTATGCCTTTCTCATCAGCGTACAAACCTGTCAAAACTCCAAAATCTCAAAAGTGTTGACGCCAAACAAACCAGCACTTATAATGTTCAGCTCTCCAGGCCCCCGCACACCACACCACACATCAGCAGACATAGCTCTCCTCCGTCTAGATTCTCAGAAGAAATTACAGTCCGCGTGGGATTCGATATTCGACAAGTACGCGCACGACTTCACTGACGAAGCTGATGAAATCGATATCAAGGAAGGAAATCTAGCTGTAGATAAAGGTCATGTAGTTTCATTAGGTGATAGAACTGTTTTCGGATGTGCTTTTTATGAAGATGATGATTTAATTGATGATGGTGAAGTGGATCGGGATGGGATAGTAGAAAGAGAAGAAGAAGAAGACGCATTGTCGACCCTTACTACGATACCGGATTTAGAACAACGTCCGTGGCTGAGACAGTTTTTGGTGGACGATGAAGACTTGGATGGTGATGATCAGCAGGATATACAGCATGAGTCTCATCAAGAGGATGGAGATGTACATGATGATACAATGGAAAATGTACATGATGATGTAATGGACAATGATGTGATACCGACATCTAATGCTACCGCAGGATCGACTACAGAGCATCAACCAACTCGTGTCGTTCGCCAGCCGACACCACCAATCTCGTACGAAGAGGATTCATTCGAAAACTTGTATTCTCTACCATCTCCTGTAGGTGCATCACGTAAAACAGCAACAGCAACACCAATAGACAATCAAAGTAATCACAACACGAGCCCATCACAACGTAAACGAGACTTAAACGCAGTCATAGCTAATCTCACAGCTACAACCACTACCCCATCAGCACCATCACCAAATAACATGTACGTTGCTCCATACTCGATAAAACGACACTATACAACCCCGAAACCACAATCCAAACCATCACTATCACGGCCACCAAGCACTGGTAAAGTACCTGACAATAAAGTATTAGAAGAACGAGCTATCCGTGATTCAACTATAAAGGGACTAGTCAATCAAGCTCATGCCAACCTATCTCGTCATAAACCGTCAACATCAGCAACAAGAGAGTCGTTAGAAGTTGTAGCATCACAACGTGTAGATGCGATATTGAAGAAACCTGCTGGAACTGGTGGGATTGAGAAACCACGTGTGCAATTACAGAGTCGGGTAGTTATGCCCGTGGCTTCTAGTAGTAGTAATACGCAGGTTGTCTTGTACAGCAAAAGGAAGCCTTTCAGTATACAAGTAGGCGATGAAGATCCTATAGTGTCTTATACGCCATCGCAGTATCGCGTAGTGCACAAACCTACGACGGATTTGAAGAAGGCAGCTAAGAGGGTGAATTTCAAGGAAGTACTAGTGGAGTTTGCTGAACCCGCTCATGATGATAGTGATGATGTGGAAGTCATTGTCTGACAATCATCAGGTATGGCGTTTTTGCTGATGGATCCTTTGGGGAGCAAAAAAGCTGAAGGCCAACCACTGTATATCGAATAGGATTTCGAACACCAAACCAGTACTCGCACTATACACAATAGTTTGGCCATATTAAAATGTATATTTAGAGAGAGAGACAATAACTTATTCAAACCTGCTGTTTTAAACGATGCAGAAGCCAAGACTTATTTAATGTGCACCTTCCACTAGATTCACCTCGGCACAGACGGCAGCATCGCCTTCACTTCCAGCGCTTTAGCCTTCTCCACCTTCCTCTTCTTTTCATTCTCACGTAAAAAGATAAATTGAGGTTTCAATGCGTATTTTTTCGGTCCCGTTGGTTTTGGTGGTTGTGGTGGTGTACTCGGTGCTGTGTCTGGTGTTTTGGTACCGCTAGCAGCAGCTGTCTTGTCGTCTTTGGAAGCTGCTTCTTTGGGAGGTGTTTCTTTCTTTTTGGAAGCTGGTTCAGGAAGTACCGGTTTAGGTGGCGGATCCAAGGGAGTGCAGAAACTAGGATATGAAGGGATTGCTTAGGTTCCACAATCATTTCAAATTATCGACTTCATCGTTTTTGTTGCGGTAAACATACCTGATATCAGATAAATGGCTCAAGCAAACAAAAAACCATTCGCCTTGCTCGTTAGTCTAATGATATTTGGGGGAAGAATATGAATATGTGAATGCGAACGTTTGGTTAAAACGGTAGATGTGCAAAAACGAAGTTATACAATGATGTTGCTGATTATAGCGTGGCACATCGAATAACACTCAAACGGCGTGATGAGGCGTAAGATTTTGCTTACAAGCACAGCATTAGAGTACTTTTGGCAGACCCAGCAACTGCCGTCTCTTCCATCGGCTAGTTGTAAAATTCAAAATGTGTGATTAGCGAAAAACGATGCTGGGGTAACAGTAGACCAAGCTACAAGGCTACAAGCTCGCCATACCTGTTTTATGGTAGTAAACGTTGTAGATCTTTGAAGCACTAGCACTCATCGTTCTGCAACAAACCTTGGTTGTAAATCAAATGTTTGGGTAGATGTTTTTGCGAATTCAAGAACGCCTTCCAAACACTTTGCAGGTATTCAACTTGCTCAAAGAGTACATAAAAAAATAAGGAAACTCTAAATTGTGCAGCAAAAATGTTACAAGACGCGCTGTACACCACCGCCAAAAAAAAAACCTGGCAATACTCCTCATACAACTCCTCGTTTACGACCTCTAACGAGGACCTATAGGCCTCCCACTCCCATCAACATCACCTCTAGATCCCTTCCTTGGTGGCAACGTCGGCGGCTCACTAACTCTCAAATCAGTGGACGACCCCGGGCGAGACATGTGCACCGGCACTCCAAATTCAGGATCATACGGATAGGTATTATGAGGTGGCAAATCAGGTCCTACATACATTCCTTGCCCCTGTTGCTGCTGCTGCATACTATTACTAAACTTTGACGGATCAAACCCCGTTCCACTATAACTTGACGGGACATGCGGCGTGCTATTTCGTTTCGGCAATGGTGATGGTGCTCTCGATGTTGATGGGCTGGTCGGTGCAATGTATTGGTTTGATGATGAGCTGCTACTGGTGCTATTTGTTGGTGATGCGGGGGCTTGTTGTTGTTGCGAGGGATACCATCCTCCCGTATAGTTTGTTGGCGGTTGATATCCATAGTTCTGCTCTCCTTCCGGTGTTGGTGCTTTTTCGATTGATACAGGTGGGATGCGATACGTCAGAGATCGTAACAGTTCGGCGGATGATCGTGATGGTTTACTACTACTACTATTGTCATTATTATAATTATTTCCACCAGACGACCCACTATTACTAGACGCAGGCCGTGGCGGTGAGTCTCTCGGCGCAGTATTCGGTTGTTGTGGTAGCGGTCTATACGGCCGTGCGACTCGGTTCGGTATTGAAGTCTGCTGCACATCGTCATAAATATCACTCATAGAATCCATACTCGAGATACTATCACGATTACCAGAATCCCTGAGAGCTTGAGCTGCTGCAACAAACGCTGGATCTCGAGGAGCTGCGACAGCAAATCCCGCATCTCGGCCCATACTATCACTCGAAAAACTAGATTGTAATGCTGACGGTCCGATATCTACAACACCACTTCGTCTATTCATCGAGTTTTCGTCTGTAGCTATCAATCCTAGAGCTGACCTAGGCGTACTGTCGGATTCCTGTTGTGTTTGGCCATTCGGTAATACGTATACGGGTTGCTTGTGATGCATCTCTACAGGGGCATCGAATTGTGCCGACATTCTTTTCTTGTTTCGATCAGGCTGATATGGTTCTGCTAGTTGTTGACTGGAAGGTTGTGGTGGTGTACTCAGCTGGGCACTAGGTTGACCAGGTGAATCGCCAGTGCTGCTTATATCATCTGCGTTTGGGAATTCTGTTCGTAGCGTGTATAGGAAGTCACGTACGATCTGACTGGTGATGGTTCCTCCTAGAATATGTAAGCAAAATGAGCATTCAGAAAATATAAGCGTGCAGCGCTCTAAACAATTCACAATTTTACCTTTGAATGGTGGCATATCATTACCCACACCGGGCGACCCTTGTGGAATCTGCTGGGCCAGATAGGATCCGCAGATACCAGCCAATTGCAGCTTTTTCCCGAGTATGGAGAAAGATTCAAAAAGAGCAGAATATGACTCTTGCATCTCCTTTCGTAGCTCCGCAACGTGGTTACTTTCTTGTTCCGCGATTAGCTGCCTCATATTCTGTAGCTCTTTGGTAGCCATGCTCTGTTGTACCACAGCCTTTAGTGGTGAATGGGTTTGTTAGTATGCAGTGAATGGGTTGACCTCTTTTCTTTAGCGTCAAACGTGAAACAGAGGTCGAAGAACACAGAATGACATTTTTTTAAACATTCATAGAAGCAAAGCATCATACCGATTGATCAGTTGGCTTTTTCTCAAGCTTTGAATTCGTGCCCTCCAATTTCCCAACAAGTTGCTGCTCACTCCTAACCAATTTAGCAAGTGCTTCATATCTAGCCCTCACAGCCTTCAAATGCGTTCTGTGCCCTTCATATGCTACTGAATACTCTCGTATAGCATGCGAGAATTGTTCAAACACATCATTGATACGTAGTGACACATCAGCGACATCGTCTCCTTCGAATTTACACCAAGCGGCATAGTTCTTTGAGGCTGATAGCTGGTCGTCTGCGACGAGTTTCCAGTCTTTGATGGCCTTCTTCTCATCGTCTATTGCGACGGCGAGGGCACGTTCTGCGTCGCCGCGACCGAGTGCGCGAGAGATGAAGTCCTTTCCGAATGACTATGTGATGGGAAGTTGAGGTCAATGCCTGTGTTTGAGATTAAAGACCACAACATTTGTGGGCTGTACACGGCGATGATGATCAGAATCATTGTATTGGAAGCCAAGCAATGTGTGTTTGAGCCCAAAGACAGCACATGGTCTCCGTTTGATGTTGCTGTCCAAATTAAACTCTCACGTACCAGCGGCTTCTTGAAGGCTGCCATTAGAGCGAGCGTCTAGTATGTGCAGACAGAGAGTATAGATTCCTTCTCTTAGTGCGAAAACAAGCGAGGAGGTCAATATTCATTAACACTGCCTTTGTTCACCACCACATAATACGTCTACGAACGCCAAGACAACTAAGAAATGCTAGCAGACCGAAACAAGCAAATAGAATTCAGCACATACTCACCACAACTCGCTGTTCTCAATGAGGCCGACGATACAAACAAGTATAATATCCACTGTCCTGTTTGCAACTCGTTTATACTTAAGAAGGGTGTAGGCGTCAAGAAGGACTCGGTTGAGGCTGTAAGTTTGGAACTATATACTCATATTTATTTATATCATGCTAATAAATCCCTTTCACGTTAGCTTCCACTTCCAGCATCACAAGCATTCAACCAAACATCAAACACACCAATAACAACAACACCATCTCTATACTTTTCCATATCAGACATGATGGCATTTGAAAACATTGGATTTACAAAGACAACTGATGGGGCGGGGCTGAGGTATCTAGCTTGTGCTGATTGTGATGTCGGGCCGTTGGGGTTTGCGCGAGATGTCCCTACTGATGTCACGCCTAATACTAGTACTAAGCAATTCATGATTGCGGCTGATCGTGTACGTTATCACATTTTATAGATATTTGAAAGGCTTAATGTATTATAAAGAAACTGTTTCTTAAAAAGATCTATATGATGCAAGTGTTGTAGCAGTTTGGTCTTAAAAATCATCATTCCATTCATCCCACCCATCAGTCTTCTTGGCGGCCGGCGCCCTACTGGGTTTGCTCGATGTCGTGCTAGGACTGTTCCTTGTACTGCCATACGACGTCGAGTTGTTATCACTAGATCGAATAGTACTAACACTAGGTTTATCATCAAAGCTGAGAAGATCAGGCTCTGGCGGCTGTTTTTGTTTCGTAATGGCTGGAGCTGGCGCTTGTGTCTGATTCCACTCGTCTTGATTGTCCCATCGACCAGCAGTAGTATTGCTGCCTCCATAGCTAGAAGAGTCATTATAGTCCTGCTGTTGTTGATATCCTTGGTCATAGTAATTGTCTGGTGAGCGTGTTGATTCTGGTGAGGTTGGTCCAAATATGCCACTCTGAGAGCAAAAATATTTACGGGAAATCAGCATACGAAATTCTCGAAACAGATCTCAAGACTCTCAAGTACACAATCACCTTCTGAGACCCAGAAACCAAGGTCTGAACATGGGAAGTGTATTTAGAACCCTCTTCAGTAACCTTCTTGGCCAATTTCGAGCCTTCAGTAAGAGCAATGTTTCCGTATTTGCTACCCTCGGTCATGGCTACCTTTGCTCCTTCTGAAACTTTAGCGCTAACAACCGTCGCTGCCACAGCAGCCGATGCGGCAAACATGGACCATCCTTTTGACAGTGTTGCTACTGGATCAGCTAACAAATCATCTACGTTCGGTGTTTTGGAGGCTGATGCTGATTGTGGTTGATCTACATTAATAATCAATTATTGCAGCTCGTTTTTTTTGGGGGGTGTTGATGACGTAGCTTTAATTGTACTCACATGCCTGACTTCCAAATCCAACATACTTGCCACCTTGACTTGGTGGCACATCATCTCGTCGCCTGTTTTTAGGAGTGGTCTGTTAATACTTTGACCGAATTGATAATCAACGAAACAAAAAAATCGATGATGGTAAAATGCCAAATGCTTACCCAGAATTAGCATTCCCCATCCTCTGGAAATAATCCTCATTCTGTTCTTTTGACGGCATCATACCACCACCACTATTATTGTTTCTAGGACTATCTCTACCTCCATTCCCACCGTAACTATTCCCACTACCACTATAACTATTCCCATTTCCATTATTCATAGAACCCTGACTGCCCGATCTACCCATCTCTCGACTGCTATTATTGTTTCGTGACAAATCATCACGCGAACGTGCCGGCGAACCAGTCCGTGCAGGGCTTGATCCAGCCATCGTTGTCCGAGGAGGCATACTCCATGGACGACCTTCACAAGCGGCTGTAAGTTTGTCCTTGTATATTTTGGCGAATTCTGTTTGGTATTTCTCCGATATGCTCATTTCGGGACGGTAATCTGATTGCGATCGAAAAAAGTCGAGGCATTTCTTGTTGCCTATGTGAAGGAAGAGTTTGTGTGATTGACGAAGACAAAAAAGAAAGTCGGTAAAGCTCAATAGGTTACCACCACTTCTCATTCTAGCAACTTGATCTTCACTCCATCGGTCCATAGTCACAGATCTGTAAAGGCCAGCCATTAGATCATAGAGTTGAGTAGCAATAGCGTTCTAGTATGGAGTGTACCTGACAAAAGATATATGTACTCCTAGACCACGATGCTGACCAGAGCAATCTAGACAGAAGAATATACCAAACGACGGAGACGCCCACTAAATGACCGTCAATAACACGAAAAACCATTGAGTTGCTTGGTTTTGATGTTGATGGTTTCCCGAAAACGCAAACCACACAGAGAGAGAGAGAAAATCCATTGCTTACAGCTGGATAATGGGCACCACAGTCGACACATGTCTAATACGAAAAAGGTAAGATTAAGTTCAGTGTAAAAATTGGCGGTTTCTCAAATCGCGAAAAGAGCGACAAGGAGGACGGATAAGGCAGTTGAGGGGTCACGTACCATGTTCCCTTCGACCTTTTGGAGGTCCAGTAAGCTTTTCTTTGACGTGTCCGTCATCGTTGGACTTTGAATGATTTGAAAGTTTGGAATCTCGAAACAGTGGAGCAAATCAAAACATTTACTCTACTTTCACATGAAACAGGTCAAGGGATATTCTCATGTATCTGACATATCTGACATTTATTCTACTCAAGCTTTTGACCTCCAGCGCAAGAAGAAACGCCGGCTGCATTCAACACATTCGGCCAACAAACAATGAAATATTCGTCAACGCGTCAAGCTTCAAGGAAATATGACCTACAAAGGGATTTACACGATTTACGTCACATTTCTCGTTCACAGCACGCCTTGCAGGCCTCGAAACTCCAAGATTCGGAGACCTCTCAATCTATACGAGCCCTTTCAAATTTCAAACCTGTCACTCCAACTCAAATTTGTTTAAATTTTCTATTTCCTCATTCGTAAAGCAATACTACCAACTCCCACACCAACTCCAGGTGTGAAAACTCAAATCCCCAACTTGTCTGTTCCTAAAATCGTACAGGATCGATTGCCGACAGAGTTCGATCGAAAACAGAATCTGACTCCAGAACAGCTTGAATTGTGTTGGAGGAACTGTGAGTAAAGACTTTGGTTTTCTTTCAGTTGGAATGTTGAAAACGAAAATTCTGCCCCTCTTTTTGGCAATCGAAGACCTCTTACAAAAAATCTCGTTCTCTGATCTAGTCGCGCTCAAGTACCAGAACTTTTGTTCTTTCGTGAACTCATTGACAATGGTGACCAGGAAGACGAGGCTATGGCTCATTTAAGTGCAGGAGAGATTGCTGAAATCAGAAAAGAAGAAGAAGAGTGGACGGATGGTGCTTGTTTATTGAGGTACTTGCGTGCTACTAAATGGCGCGGAACAGATAGAGTAGCTTGATATCTCTGTCGCGTCGCTATGAGACGATCCTGTCCGGGTGCACCTCACCCATGGTTTTATCCATCACACCTAGTTCGTGGTTGTCGTTGATTACGAAGACGTATGAGTAAGGACATCACCACCGCTCGCTTTTACGAAAACCTTGTCTAGACATTACCCTGAATGTATGGGTGTTGCATTGGTAGTGAATCCTAACTAGTATCTCTGGGTCGCGTTAGCCATTGCATCCACGTTTATGGATCCTGAAGAAGTTACCTCAGCTTCGGATTGCACTGCCGAATAAACGTTGGAATGTAGGCAAATCATGTAGGCTTTGACGTCATTGAGTAGCGATGCTGGCAGATGAGAGATGTATCCTAAGAGATTATCCGCTAGTGGTTGTCTTTCTGTGCTGTTTCCGCGCCTTTTAATGTATATGCTGAGTAGGAGTCTAGTCGTGAACCTTGTGACGTTTTGTTTGACAGTAATACGAGATGAAGGTTAGACGATCGGTGTCCTCGAAGAGCGTATGCTGAACGCTAAGTGACTATTCTTACCGCCTCAAAGAGCCGGAGGTACATTCGCATAATATGAAACTTAGAGTTACGTGTTTTCTCAAGGTTTTATAATTGTGTCGTTTACGATATAGTACGAACGGAATACGTGTACGATGAGGAAGCAGACGACTTGTTGTATGTGTTACCGTATTGTTTACTGTTGTTGTTGGTGGTTTGAGTGGTGGGTTTGCTTGCGCAGAAAACCAAGTCATCTAGACCTCGAGTCAGACGTCAGATATTAATGGCCAGAACGTTACCGCTGTTGCTGAATGATTACTGCAGACAGTAAGCCGCCTATTATTTGACGAAAAGTGACGAGTTAAACTTGTTCAAGCAGTTTGCGTACATTTGCGAGGCACTTGACAAGGCATCTTTACGCAGTCAGTGTACACGTGTACTCCCCGCTCGTTCGCACTGCGATTTCATATCAGGTGAATTAAAAATGAGCACGGTGTGCCTCAACGGACAAGCACGCGGCGTTCAACACTAATTTCCCAGGCAGCCACGCGAAACCTTGACGTGTCTGAATCTAGATAAAATCAATCGTCCATCAACACAGGTAATATATTTATACGATACATTCCAAATTCCAAGGCCTAACATCATCCTTTCAGAACTATCCTCACTGGCAGGCAATATATTGCAACAATCCACTACCCAGATCCACATGCTCTCAGAGGAGTTGCATCAAAAGATGGCCCGAGACAAACTGTCTAGCATCGTTGTATCCGTAGTCGCTACTCAATCAGACGGATCTGTAACAACCGGAACAGGGTTTCTACTCACCAAACCTCGATCACTCTTTATGACTTGCTGGCATGTAGTCAAGGATGCAACCCGTATCATTGTCTCTAACAAGAATATGCCACCTACTCTCGCAAACGTGATATCACCGTCGCCTTGGAGTGAGTCCTTTGATTTGGCGGTTATCGAGGTCAATTCGCACCACGACGTGGAGGACATACCAACGATCTCATCTGTTGAAGTTGGTCAAACCGTGTTTTCGGCAAGCGTTGACATCACGTCTGAATCTGGATTAAAACACTTTGCAAAAGGGGTCGTATCAGGATATGAGAATCCGAGCATGTAAGTAATCCTTTTTTTATGTATCAATTCATGCTTACTTCCACTCGCTATAGAATCACGATTGATATCACCACTGGTACGGGACTCTCTGGATCTCCTTTATTGGACGGAAGTCTAGGCTTCATCGTTGGTGTTGTCCGAAGGGATTCTGAAAATGTCCATCATCGAATGGAAGCTATGTCCCCAGCCTTAATCCACACCTTTCTCAATGGATGCCCAGGAGTACGTTTTGTTGCGGTAGGTCCTCCTTTGCCTACTTACTTGTGGTTTCTTTAGGTCAATTAAATGCTGTATATCTGTAAACCAAAATTTGGATGTCCGTAACGTATTTTTCACATACATTTGCTTTTATATACAAGAGTACCAACCCAATTCGTAGCAGTATTCTCCATGTATCCGAACCATCCGACGTCTTGGCTTCAGGTGCCTTACTGGGTTTACTCGATCTCATGCTGGGACTGTTTCGAGTACTGCCACACCACGCCGAACTGTTATCACTAGATAAAATAGTACTGACTCTAGGCTTATCATCAAACCTGAGTAAATCTGGTTCTGATGGTTCGTCATGGCGGAGCTGGCGCTTGTGTATGACTCCACTCGTCTTCATTATCCCATCGACCGGCAGTAGCATTGGAACCTCCGCAGCTCGACGAATCATTATAATCATATTGCTGTTGATATCCTTGTTCATAGTAATTGTCTGGCGAGCAGGTCAATTTTGATAAAGTTGGTCCAAATATACCACTCTGAGGACAAAAAAGAAAAAAGAAATCATTATACGGAGTCCCGAAACAGGTCTCAAGACTTTCAAGAACACACTCACCTTCTGAGACCCAGAAACCAAGGTCTGACCATGACAAGTGTAGTTAGAACCCTCTTCTGTAAAAAATATGGACCCTTCCGCAAGAGCAATATTTCCGTTATTGCTACCCTCGGCCATTGCTACTTTTGCTGCTTCTGCCACCTTACCGCTAACAACTTCCCCGTCCACAGCAGCTGATGCGGCAAACAACGTCCTTTCGACACTGCTGCTACTGGATCAGCTAACAAATCATCTACATTGCGTGCTTTGGCGGCTGATGCTGAATGTGGTGCTACATTTACAATCAATTGAGCAGAGTGTAAATTTCCACAAAACGAGAAAACACCAAGGACTATTCACAGCAACTCAAACATACCGTATTTGTGATGGAGACAGCTATAAAATTGATGCCGCATGGTGTGGAACAGGCAAGTGTAGCTTGACTTGTCACGAAGATCAAATGTCATGAGTTCCCATGTTACATCGGGTTTGACATCCAGTTCGTCATCGTCATTGACTATGAGGACGATTCAATAAGGACATCACCACCAGTCTCGATTACAAGACGATTCTTATAGACTATTTCTGGCCATTACCCAGAACGTATGGGTGTGGCCTTGACTGTGAATCCCAGTTGGTATCTTTGGGTTGCTCTCGCTATCGCTTCACCCTTTCTTGATCCTGTTACGAAAGCCAAGATTCATTTTATCTCGCTTTCTGACAAGGTATGTTAAGAGTGTTTGTTGCAAGTTGGGTGTCTTCTCGAGTCAAGTCGAGATACCTCTGATGTAACCGACATTTTTGCCTTTGGTTTCGACAATAGGTCAAGAAGAATGATTCGAAAGGATCTGGACATGGAACGTGGACGTCCGTCCAAAGGTACGTTGATGATGAGGTGCTTGATGCCATGTTTGGTGGAAGTTTCTGCTTTGAGTGGGATCATGCCACGTATTGGAGTTATATACGTGCGTTGAGGGAAGATGTGGTCAAGGAAGAGTAAAGGTTGGTACATGAGGAGTTATCGTGTGAAATTGGTCTGTGAATGTGAGGTGTTTGCAACATTGTGTACCTTGGTGAGAGTTAAATATAAAGGTCAGTTGAAACTTGAAAAGTTGTAAAAGTTCACAATCTTGATTCATTTCTACTGCTTGTTTTGTTGAATTTACCGATTGTCACATAACGCACATGGCACGAGGAGCCAAGTCACGGACGGTTCTGGTGCGGTTGATATCGACAGCGGGGACAGGATTTGCATATACGACGGTTCGACGACGAGCGTTGCCCAAGCTCCAGTTGAAGAAGTTTGATCCAATAGGTAAAGAGTTTGGATTTGATTGTATATAATGTATTAGCAACGGAAGTAACTCTCCTTTGTAGTGAATCAGCATGTACTCTTTACAGAAGGCAAGCTCAAATAGATAGATTCAGCGGGTTGATGGTGGACATCAAACACTGAGCGAAAAAATCAAACAGATGGCAGCTCAGCTGTTTTGGATGGATGCATTGTATAATAGTACTATAATCACGTAGTCAGTGTCACGAAATATACATATCCAGTAGTAATCCCATATTGGCATCACCTGGTTTACGTGTCAGAGCTCCTTCACAAAACTTGGAAAACTAACAAAACATAAGCTACCGACTTCATTCAATCATCCTATAAGGATATAGCTCGCTACAAAGTGCAGCTGTGCCTACAATCCATATCGTACTATTATTACTCTTATAGACCCCTTCTTCCCTGTAGAAACTCACCAAATAATTACAGACATGGCAGATGAGGACGATCCCTTTGGTCAACAGGAGGCTGCTCCTGTGCCCTCCTCCTATCCTCCTCCTGATGAAGACGATGATCCTTTCGGAATGTCATCAGCTCCTCAGCAACCACCTCCTTCTTCAACATCAACTACAGTCAATGGCAATGCTACCCCCAGTCCAAATGCAAGGCAACAAATGGTAATATTACATCATAATTTTGCACATTCTTGATATTATGTTCTATGTTGTTGTTGTTGTGGTCTATGCTGGTTGGAATCGCATGCCTTCATCATTCTTGCAGAAGTAGGCGTGTTGCAGCTTTACAAGCACGCGTTCTAACATCTTCCATTTACTCTTCAACTACTAGTCACCACAACAACAGCAACAACAGCAATCCATCAGAGTAGCCGCCCAGCTACAAGCCCAACAACAATTACAAACCCAACAGATGCAAGCTCAACGACTACTAGCAGTCCAACAAGCTGCAATCCAACAACAGCAACAACAATCCATCCAACAACAATCCATCCAACAACAGCAGCAACAAGCAATCCACCAGTTGCAGATACAGCAACAACAAGCTGCCATGCAACAAATGCATCTACAGCAATTACAGCAACGTCAAATGGGTATGGTACCATCTCCGCAACAGCAACAGCAATTGTCGCCACAGTCCGTCAGTCCTGCTTCACCTGCCACTAGTGGTGGTGACCAGCAACGATCAGGTCCAGCTTCAGAGAAATTCAAGGAGGAGTTGTCAAAGCTGCCTTCGGATAAGCAAGCAGAGTTTATGGCTTTGGCTCGGCAATATCAGGTATGTGTTTGTAAGAGTTGATTAATTGAGCTAGAAAGAGAAGGAAGGGGCTTGTGCGTGAAGTGGTTTGGAGCTGCCTACTCAGTTGTATATCCAAGAACGTTTTTTTTACTCATGCTCCCTATCTCTTTTTAAGGCAAAGACAATCTCTCCTGCTGAATTCAAGGAAGCTGCTGACAAGCTGATTTTCGAGATGCGTGCTTCTGTAAGATGTGATCGAGCACAGAATCAATGTCGATATATTTATTTTGTTTGAAAGCAAGCCCTTAAACACTTTAATATTGTTATACTTAGGCGGCTGCTGATGCTGCTCAACGACAACATCAACAACAACAGCAGCAACAGATACTTCAAGCTCCAAAGAGACCTCAGAATCCTCCTCCTCCTACCAATGCGTATGTACTTTGAATGCATTCGTCAAAGGAACTCCATTTCTGTTTGACTCAAACGTGTCGTGAACGTGTCTTAGGAAACGTGTCAAGACAGAACAATCAGTCATGTCTAGACAAGCCAGTAAGTTCGTGTCAACGACAAGTGCGGTTGTTTCGCTGCATAGAGCATTCCGGTTTTTTTTGTCGTCTCCAATACCTGGTTCTAAAGTATTATCAATCACCATATAGTCGCAAATCCATCATACGACAACCAACAGCAGCAACCCACATTCCAACCTCAGTATAATGAACCAGCTCCTCGAGCTCAACAATACATTGGCGAATCTTCTGCCTCTCGAAAGCCTTCAGCCGCTGAAAAATCAAAGAGTAATCTTGATAAAGAATTGGATGCTACTCATGCTGCTGGAATTGAAGAAGAGGTATGCTTGGAGAAGCTATGCCGTCAGCTCTATGAAGCATTTTTTTCGCCTGTTGAATTGACCATTCACGTATGAGAACATTCTTCGCTTACAATGTCGCCCTTGTATATGTATAGGAGGAGGAAGAGAGAATGAAGTCTGATATGGTAATGGGTGAAGGTCGTGGACCAGGTCATCCACTTCCAGGAGAAGATCGTATACGAAATCAAAGTTTTATGGGTACTCAGGCATTCCACAAGCTGGTTGAAGGGATTGGTAAGCTTGCATCCTTGGCATTCTGCCCATTCTCCTGTTGTTTTTGCCGAAACACATGTCATATGCTGTCAACCTCGATAAAACTTCCATTTCATTAACTCCATCCCCTTTCCAGCCAAAAACCACAAAGTGCCAAACGTGGATGAAGATTACTATGCATGGTTGGGTCTAGCTACCGAAGCTCGCGTCCGAGAATTACTAGAAGCCATGATCATTGTATCTAAGCATCGAACAGCAGGCCTTCACCAATTCCTGAAACGCCAATCCGAAGTAGAAGAAGGCAACATCAAACTCGAACCCATGGTAATAGATGAACCACAACGACTATTAGCACGAGCTGCCAAAGAAGAACGACAACGAGAAATGAAGGAACGAGAAAATCGTGGCACTGGAGTTGATGGCAAGCAGGATATTGATGATAGTATACGACCCATCGCACCTGCTCAGTCGGCCAAGAAGATGAAGAAGAAGGATTATACAGATAATTTTGTGGCTGGACAACAAAAGGTTACTCTTGCTCAAACGTTGGGGCTCAACAAATTCAGGTTGGTTTAAAAGGTTGTCTCGAAACATAGGGTTTCGATATAATGTTTTTCTGACAACGTTTTTCGATCCTAGTTGGATGAAGACAGATGCTGGCACAGTTGCACCATCAGGAGTAGGAGGATCAGCAACATCATCAGCAGCAACAACGGTAACCAGTGTCCAAAAACCAGTCATACAAGGAAGTAAGGCAGATGAAGAAAAGACGAATAGTGATTCAGTTCCACGAGATGGTCGAGGAGTACGTATATATCGACACTTCCCAGCACGAGAACGACGAATGATACATTTGCAAGACGGATTATTGGTTTTGAGTACCGAGGGAGCAAAGAACGTGAGGAAGGTGGTTCAGAAATACTCAGTCAAGGATGTAGTGAGGGGAAAGTAGAACTGGGTGGGCATCAATAGGTCATTCGACATGTGCTTTTCTACATTGTATAGAAAGTCGATTTGAAAAACACCAACAATGATTTCATTTGCAAATACGGTATTATTGGCTCGAGTGGGGTTGGTTTGTGAAACTATTAACCGTCTTCTTTTAGCTTCTTTTTTTGCATTGACGTATAGACGCAAAGAGAACTTCAAGTTGCCACAGCTGCCAAAAGAGAGCAGAATTTAGTTGCTTCATATTGAAAGTGTGTTTTGACTCGTATCTTGTCTACCTGGTAATCTCGAGCTAAAGAGTTTCGTGATGGTGTTTGACAATGTCTGACGCCTTTTCCGTAGCAGATCCTCGCAGTCCAACAAACCAAAAAAGGAGGTTAGCTAGGTGGATTAATGCAACTTCAAGAACTTGCTCTAAGGGTGCTTGATGAATTACCTGAAATGTATCCATCTGGGAGTGCTTTTCGTGAATATGGAGAAGGATACCTACTCTGTCTTCTCGGACACCTTCTTCAAACTGACAACACGAAATCATTAACAAGTACGCATCAAGGACTCAAAGACATAGGCTAGCGAACCTTACAGCTGGGTCTACTCTCATTGGAACAACTAGTTCCTTGAACGAGTCCGCCCATGCGCCATCATAAAACTCTTGTAAATCTTCCCAGTCTAAATTTACTGGCCATTCCATATTTTGATGCGCTACCATCCAATCCACTAGTACTCCGGTACTCATTACGGCTTCAGGACTAGCTAGTGTCAGGAACACATCAGTTTCACCCATGTAGTCCTTCATGTAGTCGATATAGACACGTCTCAGCCAGACTGGTCGATTTGCAGCATTTTGTCAATGAAGGTGGCTACGACATCATCCCAATCAGTTTCCACAACGTGCCTTGATAAATTTTGCTTTGGCTGCTGGGAGTGTGCTCAATTCTTCAACACTGGCTCCGCAGAGGACTCCTTGATCAGCTTCAGTCGACGGTTGGCACGGTCTGCTATAGCTGGATGAACCGAACTCTTGAGGAATTTAGTATAGTCTTGACGAGATTCCTCTCTAAGAGTCTGATGCTCGAACCGTTTCTTGGTTGTTTGAGCAGAGTACTTCAGAGCCATAGCCACATCATCAATACTGTAAAGAACCTGCCTCGTCTCATATACCCCAGGCCGAGGGGACTTTCGTGGAAGAACTCGTCTGGGACAGTGGAACGAAGATCGCATCCAGCCATTTCAGCCAACACTCCAAACTTGAGCAAATCCAGGACATGCTTTTTGTTAATAAATCTACAAAGAAATGATTGATCAAAAGTGTGAATGAATGATTCTCCAAGGAAATGTGGATTTGGTTTATGGCATACCTTTTGCTCGTGCAGCTTTTGCAAAGACGCGACAAAACCAACCAATCTCTTGACCCATTTGCCTCGCAGTCGACAGTGTCGCAGTTGCTACTCATCAAGATTCTATTTACTCGGGGGACTTCCAGACCAAACAAGACATTTTGTTGTGCAAATGAATCCGGAATTCTATTCCAAACATCAAAAGCAAGAACAGAGTCCTTGATTGTTTTGGAGCAGCGAGGCAGTTTGCCCAAGTCTGCATGATCAAGTTTACAAATTGTTGGAAATAATAGGAGGAGATTGTCAGTCAACAGATTCACAATGATGGTATTTTTCTTGTTTGAGTCATCCAACTTTTGATTTCCATGATATCATTCACAAAATAAAGAATTTCGTCAATAGAGACAATCATTAACTTCAAAAGTATGGACAATATGGTTTCAACAGGGAGAGAGGCCAAGATTCTGATGGGCTGCTCATTACAACACCATTTACACCATCACCAGCAACTTCCAATCCAGCTTCAACACCATCGCCCGTATTTTCATATCCATTCTCAGGTGGTATCAATGCCATCTAGTCAGCTCCAGTATCGTTGATTTCTTGATCGTCAGGAGTAGCATCAAATCCATTCTCTAATCCATCGACCAGTCATCGTCGAGCGTAAAGACAGCACGTAAACGGTCGTTTCCGAGCCTGAACATTATACTGAAATAATTGAAAGAGAAGTTTGTGCTTGTTTCCTCCGGCAAACTCCGTTTAATCGCTGAAAATGGTCAAAAAGTTAGAATTCTTTCAATGTGTCTAACAGGACTAATAGACCACCAACGAGAGCCAAACAATCTCTCGACATGATTTATATAAATACCTCGTAAAATTTCCTCTAAACTGCTTCCCTATTGGGTTCAAGTTGCACGCCGATTTTTAGAGTATGTTTGGAGGAAGAAAAGACAGACTTTTGGAGCGTTTCGACGTTAACAAGTGCTAATTCAGAGTCAACAGATGCTCAAGAACTGCATTTTGAAGATGAATTCAGAATTATCTTTGACGGTCTGCATCTGAAAAGGCATGTATTCTGCATCTGCGTGCTTTTTAAGAAACGAATGTTCCAACTTGTTTGACAAACCCAATGCTTGAAACAACGAGACAAGGAAACAGAAAGATGCAAAGCATAGACAGGCCTTTTTCGGCACTCTCTCCGATGTTTCGTGACCACGCAAAAAAATAAAAAAGTTCGAAAACGACATTCCATTAACACACCATCAGACCGAATTTCGAACATTAACATCGTTTAAAACCGAGCAAAATGCGAATATGTATATATACAACTAAGCTTTACAACAAACACAAATTATATTCAAATTTCCTGATCAGTACTGCTCCTGCCGCCGCCATTCTCTTTGTCTGACGGTGGTTGATCATTCTCAAGCTTCTTTTTCCTGGAGACGGCATCGACAACTTGCTGCCTGCTTGGGACAACAGGACCTATAAGTCAACAAAAATTTGTCAAAATGAATCGATTGAATAGTGCAGATGCTGAAAACCAGTGCCCAGTCCACCAAACGTACCACTGTAGATACAAAGAATCTTCATTCGCTCGTTGAATTCAAGGTCTGGCAAGAGTTTTGGTGTAATCAGAAAGTATCTAAAAGCGAAGACAAGTAGTTTGAGTATCAAACGTGGATTGAAGCAGAGAGGTATTTTTGCTCTGAACATATGAACTAACGTACTGCGCAGATCCTTCGCGGTTTGAACCTTCCACCATCAACTTGTGCATCATTCGTTCATTTAAAGCATCCATTCCTTGATTGATTTCGTCAACTACTCGGAAGGGAGCACGAGAGAATTCCTGTAGAGCAAGTAAATAGAGCATGGTTGAGACAGCTCGTTCTCCACCAGATTGTACTTTGGCTCTCAGTTCTTTGAGGTCTTGTCCGACTCTACGTGTTGTTACGTTGTGTGAGCAAGGCTTGTTTGCTGGCGACCAAAGGCAAAGGAAAGAGCAGCTATGATAAAGAGATGACGCAGTTTTTACCTGAAACACACAAGGATTTCAATTCCCCACTTGTCATAGTCTTCATTCTCAGACACTTTGACTTCTCCAGCACAGTCAATGCCTAAATACAAGATCAAACGCTCAGCTATTGCACAGTCAATCCACATTTTCCTAAAGCAGAACTCACGTTTAAACAAGAGGCTGAATTTTTCATTGATTTTAGCAGCAAGGGCAGTTATTTCCGGAACCCATAAATCCTATACCAATCCAAATTGTCAACGTACGATAAGTTGTACAGCCAAACGAAGATGAGTACCAAAACCCAAACGTCAGTACTCACACGAACAGCTTGCATCTCTTGTTTATGATTACTCAGAGCTTCTTGACTCTCTTCTAGGCGTACTTCAGCAGCTTCAATCTACCAAAGAAAAAAATGTCAGCCAACTTAACAAGCAACAAAGCAAACGGCGCAGATAGTGAAGGTAACTCACTCGAGCTTTTCGTTGCTCATATTCCTGAACCACATTGCCATCATTATTCAAATTCATTTCTACAGCTGCTCTAGCTTGCGTAACGAGATCATTGATTTCACTAGTGGGTACTTCAAGGAGTTTGGCTGACGCCTAGGGAAAACCGTAGAGAGTGTCAATGTTGCATTTAGATGCAAAACTGGAGCAACCCTCAAACGACAAACCTGAAGTCGTTCACCCAATGCGTTCTCTTCCGGACTCCATCGCGCTTGATGCTTGTCAACAAAGGCACCATCAGTACGTTTGACGTTAGCAAGAGCAGCCTTTCTCCTTTGTACCAGGTGCTGGTGCTGATTTTTCCCTGTTTTGCCGTCGAGATTTCAGTAAGATGGCGGAAAAACTCACGCTCTGTACCAAATGCATTATTGCACTGTACCTTGGTCGACAGCAATTTGCTTTTCTTGAATCGAAGCCTGAAGTTGTTGAAATTCTTCATCAGCAACCTGTCGATCAGCTTCAGCTTGATGCCAAGCTAATTGAGCAGGTATGTTCTCATTCACATGCATTTTAGTGCTGAGCGAACGCAAGTTTTGTAGTTCGATAGCGAGAGCGAAGCGCTCCTTTTCTATTGTTGAGAGATTGGTCTCCAATTTTGCGATTCGACCAGTTCGACCTTGCGCTTCTTTCTCTTTGTTCCTCAAACTGGTGTTTCCGGCATCTATTTGTTATACAGACAAAGCAAGCGTTACCCAACATATCCTAAGAAACATCAACTCACTGATACAAGCAACTTACCAAGCCTTCCATTGATAGCCCTATACTCTTTATGCTTGGCAAATATACCATTCCTCTCTTCACGAAGTGTTTGCTGAAAATGTGGTTAGAGATGTCATTCTTGTACATCGTCAACAATAAGAGCGGCAGTATTGTTGGAGCTTACCTCTTGGCCTCGTAGCTCCCGCAACTGCCCTTCAATCTGAGAAAGTCTGTCTCTAGTTGGCTGTCGTCTAGCTTGGTCATCTTTCAAGGAAGCATCGAGTCGACCAAGACTGCGTTGCAGATCAACTCGTTGATCAGCATTGACTGTACGAAAGAAAGAAAGCGTGAGAAACGTAGCGCGTCGTAATGCTAACATCAAATACAAAAGGCAATACCATCGAGAGTGAGAAACTGAGCAGGATGAATCCCAGTAGAAGTGGTATTTGATGAGCCATATGCCTTCCTGAAAATTACGGAGCTCTCAGCGGTGATCCACGAGTTGATTCCCATATTTTTAGCAATATCTGGTTTAACATCAGCATCTTTAAAAGCTATAGGCTGAAAAGGCAGTTGCATGGCATGAGAAACAGCGGAAGAAAAGCGATTCGAAACCGGTTTGAAACTTGCCTTTTGGTGGATATGGGCCTTCATGCATAGAACTCGAATTACATCTTCAGGTCCTTCAATGAAGTCTTTCGCATAGCCAATAAATCCAGCTCGTCTCAACTTTTGATGAGATGCAAATAAGAATATGTAAAATATGGCTCATACCGCTCGCAACATTCAGTCGCGCTTTACCTCTTCTTTGGTATATTGCGGCGCAAAGTTGGTTTCTCTGAGTCTCTGTGGAACATCAGAAATAGCGACTCTCAACTTTTGATTGTACACAAGTTCATTGACCAACAGATTCATATCTCCCGTATCAGTAGCCACAATTTGCTACAACAGCTCAGATAGTATGAGTATTCCTGCTCTCTCGGGTTGTTAAGCAGCAAACAAGCCAACTTCAAAGACACACTTACCATGCTAGGTAAGAATCCTATAGCAGATTCGACTTGATTTGCAACGTTAGGATCGGTAACCTTGATTTCGAGAATGGCGGGTTTATATACTCTTCCTTGGAATCGATTGGGATTATCTTGACACCATTTCATGGCACGTGCAAAAATTTGGGTATTTGGTCTATTGGATAACAGGTGTTCCTTTTGCAATTCAAGATTATCCAACTTGGCCAATTCGTCACGACATATGGCTTCTTGTTGCCTCGACTCCTGAATTCTATTGTGAATGGTGGCATCTTCTCTAGTAAGAGTATCCCGTTCCTGTTCTAAGGTATTTGTCCTGTTTCGGACAACTTCTGTTTCAGCAGATATTTGAGCTAGACGGCCACCAATCAGTTGGTTGGAGGTGACATCTAAACCCAATGCTGCCAATTCGTCACGCATTTGATCGCGTTGACGACTAGCATTGTCAATTTCTCTCTGAATCCTGGCCACCTCTGCGTCATGACGCTATCAGAAGAAATGGCCAAGTGGGAGTGAGTAAGCAATTAGACCACATGACAATGATAGTTTGGTGTGTTGGCTAAGACTACTAAAGTGGAACTTACTCGAGCGCCGTCAGCAGCAGCATTACGTTCAAGCTTCAGTTTATCTGCCTCTCCCTCCTTTCTATCAAATTCTTCACGTTTCTTATCAATATCGCCACATGCTTTCTCATACTGTTGAATGGCCTTATCTTTACTAGTTTTGGCAGCAGCGGCTTGGTTTTTGCAGAGTTCTAGTCGGAGCCTGGAAGGCTCATTACGTTCCTTGGCTTCTGCAAGTTGGGCTTTTAATATTTCCACTTCAGCGCTCTTGTCCAGTGCTTTCTGCTTTGCTTCATCATATAATATCCATTGGTAGATGAGTTCGAGCACGTCAAGTTGGCGGACTGCAGCTTCACGATTACGAAATCCTTGGACTCGAGCATATATGGCTTCGTTTCTACGTTTATCATCAGCTAGTGAATCACGTTCTCTTTGAACAGCCTAAACCACAGAAAGTTAGATGACTGCCAATGATGCATCTTGAGTTTTCAGCGTCTGATAATTTTCAGAAGAGAACCTCATTATACCTGTGCTAGGTCAGTCTCGGTACGTTTAGCTTCAATGAGTTGCTGATGCCATTTAGTCAAATCTGCTTCGCCAGCACATCGTTGAGTCTCTTTAAGTCGCTGTTGAGCATTCAACTCTGCAAACTCTCCGACCATTTCTTGTGGCAGACATTGACTAGAATATTTGATGACGATTTAGTTCCAGAGAATGAAGACATCTAATTTAGTGCTATTCAATCTAGCATACCATAAATTGTCCATTTGAATATTCATTTCAGCAACACGTCTCTTCACTTCGGCAAGAGTTGAAGGTTTGCCTACGCAAACAAATCAAGGTTTCAGATCGACGATTACCAGCAGGATACGCTTTAACTACCTTTAAAACACATACCATTGATTTTGAATTGAGAATCATTGGCTCCTTTAGTATAAATCCGATTGATGGTCAGATTGCCACGTGAATGCTTGATTTCGATTTCGACCTCGGCAGCTGTTTCGCCATTCTTGACCAAATCACCAGATCTGTCATGACGATCCAATAACTAGCAAGTATCGTGAGTAAAAAACTAGTATACCAGGTACCAAGCTCTCCAAAATTAATACCTTGAGCCTTCCACCGAGGGCAGTGACAATAGCAGCTACCACACTACTCTTTCCAGTTCCATTTGGCCCAATAATCATGTTCAAATGAGGACCAGGGAAGAACTCGGCTTGATTATAAGTCAAAAAGTCTAATCAAGGTAAAAGGGCATAAGAATGTCGAGTGTGCAAAGTGAGTGACTTGAGCTCGTCGTACTCTTCATTTTGATTCGTAGGATGGAGCCATCAGCATATCTAAAGTAGAGATCAGATCAAGTTAGAATGTATTAGATCACATTGGGTGTAGTAATGGGAAGAACCGTGCTGGTCAAGATCAAACAACAAACTCAAATGTTGATCAATGTCATGCAATAGAGGCGAAAGAAGGGGACGACAACATACCCGTCGTCATGAGCGACTCGAGTAGCATTCTTTGACTGTGCAGTTTTGGCCTTCTTCCTTGGTCGTTGAGAGTCTTCTTGCACTTCGTCGATATTTTCGATTATCGACGAGGTCATTGTCTGCCTCCGGACGCCTGGATTTACTGTGATGGGTTCCGTATCCGTATCTGTAATCCGGCGAGTCATCGATGGTTGTAGTCTCTTGTACGTCAGGTTGGATTCACCATTCTCTTTGAACAGTTTGAGGGAAGGCGTTGGTCGAGTAGTTAGTCGGAACAGTTCAAATACACGTGTCTATGATTTATTTTGTGATTATCATTCATTCTGAATTATCTTGACGCGTCGGTCGATCCAATTCTCACACAGCTTCGCCTACTCTTAGAAACTTTTCATCCAACTCAAAGCTGTTTAATGCTCCTTCCGAATCTAAGAAAACTCATGTCAGCCGCTACTGGATCTGTACCTGCAGCGGGCCCCATGTACACGTCCATCTTGCACAAGGTACGCACCAAACGTTTCTACATTTTGTCCTTCAATCGATCAAGAACGTACCAACACATTATAATATCTAGTTGACAACAGCATTGACACCAACCAACCTTGAAATCATTGACGATTCGCATCTTCATGCTTCACACGCCGCGATGAAGGCTCAAGGTGGCCTCAACAAGGAAACACATTTCAGAGTTAGTGTGGTATCGCCCTCGTTTGAAGGGAAACCCGTTGTTCAAAGGCATCGAATGATATACGATCTGCTATCTGAAGAACTCAAGGCAAGCTTCTCCCGACTTTTGGCACAGTTGGTGTCAACTGATATTATCACTATCGCTTGCTCGGATCATTTATTCGCAAGCACGTACAAGGACCATCGGCTGATTCGTAATTTCATTGTCAAAACTTTCATAGGTTGGAGGCCTGCACGCTCTAAGCTTGAATACAAAAACTCCAAAGGAAGTCGAGAAGCTTTCCAACAATCCATAGAAACATCCGTCTAAACAACCACATCCCTGCTCGCATGATCCTGTAATAAAATCTCATAGATAATGATCAAATGACATCTATTATTCTTACAAGAGTTTCATACTTGTGTGTCGGGTTGTGTATACGTGGTGGGCGGTGTCTAATGGTTGTTTAATCTATTGGGAATGTATCAAGTGTCGGGCGGGTACAGAATCAAGATTCAGCAAAAGCATCAGAGAAGGCGCTCATTGTTTGACAACATCACTTCTAAGGGCACTTATATAACTCCAGTACGTGGGATGATGCCACTCAAAGGCATAGTCTCCACCAAACATGGCATCGAGCAACTCATTATCGATGTATTTTTGAAGCGACGTCCACGATCCAGTGCCATCTGCTGTCGATTCCTTCGATTTGTTGGCCTATGCGAAAAAAGACCCCTCCAAAATTCATGAGTATTTGTATGTCAGCAAAATCTCAGGTACGGAACGACACCTTTCCAGAGAGAGAGACAAAGTTGATTTTGGCTTTAGTCACAGGATCCATAAATGGGGACGCAAGACCAAGTGCTATCCACAAGTACCAGCTCGGGTTGACTACAAAGCCAATGCCCATACGTTCGGGGTAGTGGGCTCCAATCGTATCAAGAAAGCGTCGAGTGATTGCGAGCGGTGGAGCAGTTCTCATTGAAACACCTTCATAGTCGATGGCAATAATAACCTGGGCGTAAAAGATGAGACACAATTCACTACTACTAATATCGTCTGTGATCAAGCTACGTTACCTGTTCTACGCCTTTTGACATCATTTTTATAGCGGTTTCCATCACAAACACTGTATGTTTCAGTTGCTGGTCATGGTTTTTAGTATTTTCACGTTTTGGGCAAAGATACACTGCATGGTCAAAAAACGAAAACAATATTCAGGAGCTAGAACCCATCGAGTTACAATTGGTCGACAAGCACTTACATATAGGCCTTCCAATCTGATCAAACCCATTCACGTATATCTTGCCAGTCAACGATTCCTCAACAATGTCATCTGGTGTGATCTTATGCGGTTTATATGTTCGCCGCCATTTTAGAGTTGCTTCTAGTCTGTCAACTAGAGTGTGTATGTGTGTGTGTCTTTGAGGTTAGCGAATGCCAAGCTCAACAGCAATAGCTGCATCAAAAACCATTCAAGCTCAACCACATCATGAGCACATGCCTGAATGCGTGAGCTTCCACTTAGTGGCTCTCAAGTATCGCAACAAACAGGCATCATCAGTCCACACTTCTTCCTCCTTTCTGATTTCAGCGATCTCTTCATCAGTCAATTGTGCCATATCCTCGTCGTCATCCTCAGCATTCTCGATCAGTTCACGAGATATCAACAGTTCTGGAAGCTGAGCTCGACTAGTAATAATGGGATGTGAGCTTCACTGATCGCTTGTAAAATGTGTAATGGTAGCAAAAACATCAACTGAGAAGCTCCACCAAACTTGATACGTACAATTCCTCGAGCATTGTCAGCTGTTCCGGTGTCAAATCCTTCTTTGGATCAAACTCAGTTGGTAATCGATTCTGCACGATATCAGGAACCGACAAGATTGGAATCTGAGTTTTTACTCCAGGAGTTGGTGTGGGAGTTGGTAGTGTTGCCATCATGATTCCTATACGAGCCAGATATGTACAAGCCTTCTGCCTGGTAGCCTTCAAGTATCTCTAATCGAAAAGCTTCAAAAACAAAATTTATGAAAAGTTGAAGTACGAGGATGAACAGTGCTGCAGAAACCATTTTTATTGCCGAGGCAAACCGCATGAGAATATACGCAATCAGACGATCAGTTACAATTGTTATACTGGCGCACATTCTCTGTTCTTCGTCCATTGACTGGGATCCAGCCTCGAACAGGGACTGGAACAGCAAAATACCAACCCAATACCAATAACATTTCTTCCTCATTAAATTGAAATATTTACAAACTAGTTTGCAATGCCAAAAGAGTATATACAAATCCAACCGATATTGTCCATGCGACACTACCTATTAGTAACTACAAATCGTCCTTATCATTCCAATTCCGAATCCCTCTAGTCCTCAAATCAGCTTTACGCAATGACTCCTTCTCCATAGGATCCATAGGAGATTCACCGATCCTCGTCCTTCCAGGCCGCGTTGAAATGGGAGCAGATCCAATTATCACCGCAGCAGCAGGTCTACTATTATGACTACCATTCATAGTGGCAGCAGGTGTGGTAGAAGTTACTACAACTACTCGTTTCGTACCCGTTTTGGTGGAACTTCCTAAAGGTTTCACACGAACTGCAGATCGTGTACGAGTTTTTACAGCTGCATCGTTCATATTGTTTACAGCTTCGATATCTTCATCTGTTGTTGCAGATTCTCGAAGCATTCGTAACTCGGCTCGTAGTGCATTGCTCATGTCCATGAGCTTGATGCGTTCACCAGCTAGCTTCTTGAGATCTGAAGCAGCAGATCGTAATTGAGCTCGTAGTTGAGCATTCTCGTGCTGCAAGGCATCCGGTGTTTTATTTGTAGATGATGGTTGGGTATCAGGTAGCACGGGTCTGACATTCTCCTTAAATACGAGGGAGGCACGAGTCCGCTCATGTAGGCGAGTTTGAGCCTCGAGCAAGTCATCAATCAATGCTTGCTTTTGTGCCAAAAGACGATGAAGAGGAGCCAGCTATGTGTTTTGTGTAGAATGAGAGTGCGGAGAAGGTCATTATTCCTGAGAAAATGCATTTTTTTACCTCATCTTCACTCGGTTTATGTGCGGCCATACTATTATTGTGATATAGCGAGGCCATGTCCTCCTTCATTTGATGCACGACTGTAGCAAGCTGGTCATTCTGGGAAGGAGCGATCAAATGAGCAAAATGGGCGATCAAAACGAGCACCTCACAATAGAACAAATCAGCTCATACTTGTATCATGAGCTCGTCAATACGACCCTTGAGCATTTGGTTTTCTCCCTCCATAGATTGAATCCATGCATCTGTTTCCGCTGCTAGACCTTGAGTATCAGCGTGATCCAAGCGAGATCTCAAAAGCTACAGAATAGCAAAACGTCTGAACACAAAAATCTCAGAAGTGTGCTGCAATGTCCTACTCACTTTGAGGTCGGCTTCAGCACGATCCTTAGAAGCAACTACAGAACGAATAAAGTCTTCTTGTTCCCAGTACCTCTTTCGCATCAGCTCATCATATCTCCTCTCCCATTCCATATTCTCTACAGAATTAGAGAATTGAATATTAGAAGACCAAACACCTGCGAACTCATACAGTACGCTTACGCTCAGTCATACTCCTATTCAGAGCACCCTCAACTTCCATCCTCTTGGAAATCTCCTGCTTGTACAAATTAATCTTTTGATGCAACTCTACATTCTCAGCTTCAGTACGTTGCAGCCGTTCTGTTAAATGATGTAAATCTGCATCACGTCTTGATATATGATGCTGTTGGGATGCCTGCGAGTCCTTGAGCTCCAACCTCAGCTTGGCCACTTCCGAGTCTAGAGCTTGCATTCGATCAGCTTGTTCTTCAATCGTTGCCTTCAACATTGTGATTGATGAGTGAGATTGGCTCGAGTTCGCTGTATTCAATGAGACGGCTTCATTCAGTTTGGCTGTTACATGAGACAGTCTGTCCGTCAAGACTATCTTTTCGTGCTCCAGGTTCTATGATGAGGCTGTGTAAGAATGTGATTGATTTAACATGCCAAATCAGCAAGTCACACCTTTTGACTACGATCCGACTCTGTTTGCAAACGAACACGCAACTCTTCATTCGCTCTCTTGTCATCCTCTTGCTTTGACAAGACCTAGATTTGATGAAAACAAGTCAGTCCCAAGAGTTGCTGATGAAATCGCACTCTCATGCGTACTTGATTTAAAGTCACTTCTAATTCAGCAACTTTCACAGCATGACTCTTGACTAGATCTGCCATCTCCCACTGAGACTGCCGTAATCTCTGATCTAGATTACGATTGTGTTCAAGCTGCTGTTGTAACTTGTCCTCAAGTGCATCTCGCGCCATTTTAGCAGCAGACAATTCACCCAAAGCTGTTGCGACTCCATGTTCAGCATCAAGCAACCGCTGATCTGAGTCTTGTTTGATGAGCCGTATATCTAGCTCATGGTCGCGACGTATTCTATCTAGATCGGCTGTATGTGTTTGCCTGGAAAAAAAATTGGGATCAGACGGAGAAATGCTACGAATGGCGTCTTGTGTGACTGTGATCATACTTGAGCAGATCGAAATCTTGCGCAGCTGTACGTAATTGCATGATTAGCTCTGTTTTCTCTTCGTCGGATCTATCGTCCCGAGCACGTTGAGCGTTTTCGTAACTCTGAACTGCGAGCTATACGAGAAAACCCCATCAGCAAAACATGAAATATAGATCTACAATTCCGCGAACTCACTTCATGTTCTCGGCGTAGTTTCCGGATGGCTTCAATCTCGTGCTGTTCTTGAGCCTGTACCAACGCACGTAAATTGGATATTTCTGAAGCCTTGTCGGCAATGACGATTTTGAGTTCACTGATTCGAGCCTCACTAAAATTCAAGATGCGAATATCAGTCCCGTGTGGAGAGATGCAACAGTGCGTGAAGTCTGTACCGATCATGTACATCAGTCTTGAATTGGTCCTCGGACGTCTCGAATCGTTCCAATTCTTTATCTCTTTCTTCCAATAAGTTCAAATTGTACAGAAAATCATCTTGAAGACTTTGGAATCGAGTTTTGAGTTGATTGATCTATGTATTTAATGGCAAAATTTGTATTCATTGTTTCAGCGTAGATCTTGACTTGTTCCGTTAACATACCTCAGCGTCCTTCTCATGGACGGCCTGTTCCAGCTTGGAAACATTCAGATCGTATACTTCGCGCAACTCCCTCTCCTATTATAGTTCGGCTGGGTTAGCACATCAAAACATTTGGTCAAGCGAAAACATGTCGTTTTCAAACAGCTCTAACCTTTTGACTGAGCAAGTTACGAAGTCCAGAACTCTCTAGCATAGATGAACTCGTCGGCAGCCCTGACGCTGCATCGACCGCTGCTAAGCTGAAAAGTGGTTGTAAACAGAGAATTGAGGAGGTCTTTATGTTCTTGGCGTGTTTTTAAACCTGTAGTTTACGTAATTGTAAGCATCAAAACGCGTTATCCGTATCGCAGGTGGTGGTATATATAGGAGAAATCACGAAAATTCGCTGTTGTTGTTGATTTCATGCCAGATTTGATTCATTTTAGATATGGTACGTGTTAAACGTTAGATGACGACGGAGGATGACTACAACTTTCACTTCGTAAACGAATAGCCGCGACGTGAACGTAAAAGGTATCACCCAAATTGCCGTTTAGTAGCCTCTCTTCCTTCATCTTCCTAAGAAACAAACAGACGAGAGCCAGACTCTATCAAGGCCATCAAAGCAAGTGCATAGACATCTTGTAGGGCAGCCGAATATAGATATGAGCCAGAAATATCTCGGTGTCACGCCCCCCATCTCGCTCTCCACGCCAGACAATAGAGACAAGGAACTCACAAAGTCGCTAATCAAGACATTGGCTGATTTAAACCAAATTGAAAGTCAAGATGAATCCATCAAAAGGTACCAGCTCGCTTCCATCCTCTCGCCATCATATCGCATATTACCATATCACCCACCCATCAACCCCATCAAAACATTGTATCTTGTTCGCTGACTCTTGTCCTTTCTCTTACTAGAGAAATGGTATTGGGAGAGATTTCTATATTGGTCAAGGCATTTGTCCGCAGAGTATCTTTAGAAAAGGGTCTGCCAGAGTCAATGGACGCGGGTGGCAAAATCTTCACCTTCGGTTCCTACCGATTGGGTGCTCATGCCAGTGGTAACTTGACGTCACCCTAGCATCCACTTATGACAACCAGTATTCATGTACATATCTTCGGTAGGTTCCGATATTGATACACTATGTGTGGCTCCGAAACACGTCAACAGAGATGACTTTTTCAGAGTGATGTTTGAAATGTTACAACAACGCCCAGAAGTCACAGAGTTGACGGTAAGACTTGCATCGAATCGGGCATCGCCGCATTCATATAAATGTCTCAACTGGGCCCTCAACTAGGCTGTGCATGAAGCATATGTGCCTGTAATTCAATTCGCCTTTTCTGGCATTCCTATCGATTTGCTATTTGCTCAATTGAACGTACCCGTTGTCAGGGACGATCTAGACTTGTCTAATGACGACTTGCTGAAAGGATTGGATGACCGCTGTATTAGAAGTCTGAACGGTACAATGACTTCGCGCAGGTTTTTTTTGGATCTCAACACTAACATCATTGATACAGGATCACGAGTTACGGATGAAATTCTTCGACTAGTACCCGATATCACTCAATTTCGACTCGCTCTTCGAGCTGTTAAGCTCTGGGCAAAGAAACGGCTCATATATTCAAACGTGCTGGGATTTCTTGGTGGTGTAGCATGGGCCATGTTGGTGGCTCGTGTTTGCCAGCTATATCCAAACGCCGCTGCAGGAAAAGTTTTGACTAGTTTCTTTAGGATTATGCAAAAGTGGTGAGTAGCAATCCTCGCAAGGCTCGAGTCTTAACGCATTATTTTTTCTACACACGTATTCAAACGTCTTCGTTTATAGGCCATGGCCTCAACCTGTAATGCTCAAGCAAATTGAAGATGGTCCTCTTCAAGTTCGCGTCTGGAATCCAAGGATTTATCCCTCAGACAGAGCTCACAAAATGCCTATTATAACACCGGCATATCCGTCTATGTGCTCGACCCATAACGTCACGGACTCCACGTTGAAAATCATGACAAAAGAGTTTGAACGAGCAGCTGATATTGCTGATCGTCTTGTCATTGCTAAAGCTGAATGGTCAGAGTTATTTGAACCAATGGACTTTTTCAATGAGTACAAGTATTACATACAAGTAGTAGCAGCTGCCACCTCCGAAGACCAATATCTGCTATGGTAAGCTGTGTTGCTGGCAAAAGCAGTCGACGATGACGTGCAATGGAAACTTCTCATTCTGCATTCTCGTGATCAATCTGCACCTGAAAGCTTGGCCATTCACAATGTTTTACACGTAGGGTTGGAATGGTAGAATCTAGACTTCGTCAACTACTTATGAAGATGGAAACTCTTGATACGATTGGAACGGTGCATCCTTGGGTCGACAAGGTGGAAAGCATCGTCACCTTCAATACCGAACAAGAAGCAATAGATGGCGATTACTATAAAGTCATCCCGGAAGCTCCCAATCAAACCCTTCCAAAGCCTTTTTATAAAGCAATATTCTATTTCGGATTTGTGGTCTCGCAGAAAGGTGGTCGCTTGGATATGTCATTTCCTATTGAAGCATTCAAAGACGCGACTAAAGGATGGGAGAAGTTTAATGAGTCGACTATGGGTGTTATCATTCACGTCATCAAGAGGTGGGTCCCTTGACAGGGTGTTCTTCGCCGTGGGTTTTTTTTTGGCCTTTGAACAACTGCACTCACTTCGATTCTCTTTAGTTCCAAGTTGCCCAAAGAACTTTTCAAAGGAGGGAGGAAAAATAAGAAAGATTCAAAGAAAAATACAGATCGGGTACCCCTTCATGCTGTTGAATCGCCAATGGTTATCTCACACGAATTATCAATCAAGGATTCTCTGGAAGGGAACCCAGCTTCGAAACAATTGTCAGCAACTGATGTAGTCAAGGAAGAGGTTGGTGCCAAGAGGAAGGCTTCGGAGGACTCTCCCCTTCCTCAGCCAGCTCCGCAAAGGCCCAAGTTGGAATCAGCGGCTCCTTTGCCTCAGCTTCCAGTGCCAACTAGCTCTGCTAGCAGACCTAGTCCCGTTGTAACTACTGCTCCAGTAGCTGCAGCTCTCAATGGAGATTCGGGAGGAAAGAAACGTAAAGTGTCTGATGATATGGAAAGTTTGCCCTCGTCAACTGGTATGCATCAAGACGTAATGAAGAAGGCCAAGATTGCGCATGTGGAAGAGGTCAAAGCGATCTCACGACCTGTGTCACGGCCAGTATCTCGACCAATGTCGCCAAAAATTGCTCCAGTCTCGATATTGCCGCAATCGGTCTTATCTAATGTAGTCGCTCCTGAAAGTATCAATGGGAATGCAGCCAATGCATTACTTTTATTGAACACATCCAAACCAGCAGTACCAATAATGACTCAACCTGCTGCATTCGCAATGGCACCTACAAACAATATGGTTTCTTCTATGATGTTGCCAACAATGATGGTACCGGCACCAGTATCTGATCCTTATTACCATTATGATGTAGCCATGACACTAGCTTCAGTGCCTCCATCTTTAGCGGTGGTTCCTCAACGAAGCTCGCCACATCCCGTCATCCCTCAATATGTGCCACCACCAGTGATGGTTCCAACGCAACGAAATTATTCACAGGCGCTACCAATGTCTTATACTACTTCTATTGTTGTTGCTCCGACGATACCACCACTACCAAGTAGTGCTCAAATCAATTCTCGCTTGTATGGAGCTACCACACCACCACCTGCTAGTAGAGGAGAGTCATCGAGTGTTGTCGTTAATCAAAAGGCCTCAACTCCTCCGCCTGCACGAAGTGTGTCGAATTCCCGTGCTGCAACTCCTCCACCTCCTCCTAGAGTTACAAGGAATACGAGCTACTCTGAAGTTATTGATCTGACATCAGATGATCAACATCCAGTAGCTTCTTCAAGGTGTGCATTTGCTGTATTATAAGTTTTGGTTGCTGTAACTGCTTGAATTTGTTGTGATATTGGAATTGTTTTATTAACAACTTTACTAGTCATTATAATCAATTACCGCCAGTGCAACATGTATCTTACAATGGATATGGAGCTGATTCGTATCGCGGTTCATCAATGAACAATCCCAGGGCAAGGAGTTGAGGGAGTTGGAGCCCAGAATGGATTTCTTTCAGGAATGGTATGTTTTGAATGGTGTTTTAGATGTTGTGTCGTCTGCCTTGTGGTGATTCCAAGGATTTATAGGGGCTTGCTAGAAATCTGGGGTGGTGGGTGGTATCGTCAAAGGTAAGGAAATCGGGACCCTTTTATAGAAACGAAAAGCTCAAAAACCAAACGTAGAGAGGAGAAAGGAGAGGGGGAGGAAGGAAGGGATAAACGGAAATATGGTTTTGCATTGTCGACGTATATAGATAAAGCCTCCTGTAAAATATAATATTTTTGTATTATATCAAAAACCAAAACAAGAACTGAAATTATTCTCACTGAAACTGTAATGGATGTTGGGTTTTGCTTTTGAAAAGGACAAACGGTAGAAAGTCGGTAGCAGAAAGGTCTGTTTTATTGGAGTTCATGTTGAATTGTATGCCTCTGACATGGATATTACATAATGCATGTTCAATTAGACGTCGCGACCTTTACGTTCTGGGAGGTACCTCTCTTAACATAGCAAGACACGTCTTGTCGAAGCGTAGCTACTCCAATCAACTTCTTTTCCACCCTCCTCTTGAGCTTCTCACTGGCGGACTGCTCATAAACTATTCCTTCTACTATCTCACCTGAAAACTCGACACGAGGGACGTCCGGATCAAGGATCGGTACCTTTTCAAACCTCGTCCAATCTCTTATTCTTTGAGTAGACTGTCACCGCAACTACGACGGTTGGATTATACGAGAATCTAGCTTGACCATTGCGACTATTATATCGTTTAGTATTTGACGGTTAGGATGGAGATAACACCTGATAGTTTGAGGAGTTTCAGATTGGGGAAGTTTACTATTACCGACGGCATATTAAACGGGTGTGGATAGGATATATCTGTGAATGCCAGCTTCTCCAGGCTAGATCCTCGTGATTTCAAGCTCTGTTCCACGTTAACTTGTGCCGCCAAGTCGGCGGAGAGACGTATATCTGTTAGATTCACCATTTATCAAGGACTGCTCGAGTGATTGCCATATCTTTACACAGCTGCAAATTTATCGAGTGCAGACTGGTACCATTCCTGCTAATAAAGTTGGTGATGGCCTCCCGTCCCTTTCGGAGCTCCAGTGCATCCAATAGCGCACTGCCACAAATACGTGAATCAAGTCTGTATCTCAGATCCCTGAACTTGGTCATTCTAACTGTAATATCGTGCATTGTCGGAGCGGTCAAAATGGAAGCAGTGCCTGAGAGAGTAGCATTGTAATATTCGGGCAGTTTTCGATTATATGGATTAGATTGAATGGCGTCACATCATTTAAAGAAGCGATGGCCAGCTTCTTGACACTAGACCCTCGTGATCTCAAGATACCTGCCTATTTGCATTTTCTAGGATTCCGCAATACGGAGGTCGCTTACTTTGGTTGCTTTATCAAGCGCTGATGGTGTGAGAACCACCTCTCTGGTATTCGACAAATCCAAATATTTGAGACTGGCACTATTTCGGAAGATACATTCTGAGATGGCCACATTGGTTTGCTCCGTGAGATGAGACTGTTCAACTACTAAGACGTGTTTGATGCCATTGCGTATACCATTTACGGGTGTCCGGTACCTGCCTAGTTTACGTAGATAAACCACTTGTAGAGATGCAAAGACTTGCACTTGCTCCTTTGTGCAATCGGTGATATGACAAGCTTGAATAATCTTCAGACTGTTGCTACTGCCTTGCCCAGAACCACCAAAATAGGGTGCAGCAAGGGACGTCTATCAAAGCGGCTGCCGCGCTCGTCGCAATTGATTTCAAACCGCGACGGGTGGAGAGACCTAACTAGTTCCTGAGCAATGACATTACTGAGGTCAGCCCATATGTTTCATAGCTTGAGTATTTTAATGTTTGGAGAATGCTGGGCTATCAGATCCCACCGGGCCTCTTGCCATTTCATTGTAGAAGCCTCAATGTTGCTACGTCCGTATCCCAAAGACAGCTGCCTAAAATCCAGAGTCAGGGCCTCCAAAGAGTTTGACAGTGTATTAAAGTCAAGATACACGGCGGCATTATCATCAATGTGCAATTTCAGATTGACCAGACTCGTGAAGGGAGAAAGCCCTTTACAGAATACGAGGTGCGAGGATGATATGGTGAGCTTGTTCGCGCTTTTAAGAGATGGTTGGTTATATTATATTGGTTTTGCGAAGTTCGTTGGCCTTCAATCTGCGATAGTTGATGCTGTAGTCCGTGGTATTGAGCTGCTTATATAATATAGGTATGACTGCTTCGTTGTATCCTTTGCAAACCAATCCTAGTTGAGTTAGCTCACGTCGTTTCTGTCGCTCCTCCTATGTCGTGGCGATAACAGCAAATATGAGCAGTAGAACCTCGTTGGGCAAACGGAGACCATTCCATCTTATATAATCCATGACACTAATAAGTCGCCATTGCGGTTAGATTTCAATGCGGAATGTTGCCATCCTTGAATAAATCAAACTTGCGAAGCAGAACATTGATGTCTTTGGTGATGGGCATTGCAACAGTTCGGCAAACTTACCTCTGGTGAATGAAGAGACGTCAAGTTCTCTTGTAAGTGATTCAAATTTTAACTAGATGCGTAGTGGGTCGCTCAGACTGAAGGTGTCTGAAAAAATGGTTGCTGTTAAATTATTAGTGCAAAGTACATAAAGTCCAGCACTGACGAGACGTCGAATGCGTACCTTGGCGTTATCCACAATACTGACGTGACGAAACGAGTCTGAATCTGGGCGACTGTGGCGGGATTCTTCGTTTGCGTCATCTTTCGAAAAATCAAACGATGCATGAATTGGTTAACCGAAACAAGAGCGTAGAGCGTAAATACAGAGGTGAGGTCGGACGCACTTTGAGAGATTACAGATCATTCATCAAACTGTGAGCTGTGACGATGTTGATCACCTTCGGTTTAAGCAGTATCCTGTCTCATGTCTGGTGGTAACGCTTGTGATGCCTCGGATTTAGCGACGATGGACACAGAGTATATTTGCCAACACATAGTCATATTCAAGATATTTATTTGATAGAGAAAAGCAAACCTTATATTTAGCACGTTACATGGTGTTCATACTTAAACAGATGATGATCCTAAAATACCTTAGGCAGGCTTAAAGTAGTTTGCAATTCCATTCTTTGGTATTGATTTAGACTTTGCCGGCGTGGCCTTTTTCGACGATGAGGGTGAAGGCATTACCTTCTTCGCTGGTGGTGGTGAAGATATTGTTTCAGTTTTATGTTCCTGGCTGTTGGCGGAAGGTACGCCCTTCTTTTCATGATCTACATCGTCCTCTCTCTTCCTCTTCTCTGGATGTACATCTGCAGTGACGGGTGATGTTGATGTTGGTGACGGTTGGGTACCACTGCTGGTAGATGCAGGAGCCTTGCCAAAGAAGCTTGAAAGGTTCCCTTGCTTTTTGTGATCTTTGAGCGGCGTTATACACTCGATAGAGTCGTTCCCAGTCTAGCATAGTGGTTTTTTAGCATCACATACAAGGAATGAAACCGCGTAAATCAAGAGCCGTTACCTTTGAGACAAACTTGCTAACAGCATGCCATTTCAACACATTCTCAGCAGGTCGTAACAAATCGCAAGGACCTTCCAAGAATTTTGTTCCAGGTGAAATCCATTTGTCGACTTCTGTCTCATTGTGTAGAATTACGGGCATTCGATTATGAAGCCATTCAAAGTCCTTCGAAGAGTGGGTAGTAACCTAAACAGAAATCCAACGAGGTCAGCCTCCAAGCTCCCTTGCCCAAAAAAAGCCTATTCCAGTCGGCACATACGATGCTGTACGAATAAATGGTGTTATCGTCAAGCGTACACTTGTCGTAGAGTCCTGCAAATAGAAGAGGTTGACCATCCTTGCGTGTTATATAGTATGGAGATCTTTCCTTCCCATCTTTTCCTTCCTTTAGCCATTCATAGAATCCTATTTAGTGTTGAAATAGCTGAGTTTTCGTGCTTTCGTACACAGATCTGCTTCCTAAGTGCTCCGTTACCGTCACAAATCACGACACATCGACCAGATTGCTTTGGAGCGTTCCACATTGGTTTATTCTCTATGAGCGAATCGTCCCTAGCATTGATTGTGGTCATGCTGTCGCCGTATGCAGGCATTTCCTTTGCCCAGTGAGGTATGAGTCCCCACCTCATTTCATGGACAACCTGTATAAAGTTACGGTGAGAGGATGCTTCAAAAAGCGATGGGCTTGCCTGGCATGATCAAGACCCCCCAAAGGCTTGAAAGCCCCCGACTGAACACCATCTCAGCGTTCAAAGACACGTTTCAAAGCCTCAAGTGAGGTTCGATTAACCATCATATCTTTAGAATATAATCTCCAATACAACCACATTGCGTCTCAAGTTCCAAATAGCACTCACGTATTCCTTTGCTGTTTGATCAAATCGAAGCACAGGCTGATAAGTGGTTGGGGCTACATTGTAACGCGGAGCTCTGTGTTTTTCTTGGTCGACATATCTTTGAGCTCTCGGGTAGTATCGTCTAACAGCTTGGCCATCTAGAAATGCGACGAGAGTGTGTTAAATCATCAAGTAAACAGTCTCAATGATAAAGTAAAAGTGACGATAGAATGCCTATAGCCGTTACCTAGAGTATTGACTGTTCGTCCACACATATCTGGCAGTATTGAAATTGATCTGCTTGAGTGATGATTCGATGTTTTGAACAAATAAGCTTTTGTATTTAAAGTTTTCGAGCTTCTACTGTCGTTTGGAGCAACTAGTATCGTGTCTTTACGCGTAAATGTAGCATCCCTACCCTCCAAATGTCCTCGAACATTGCAAACGTTCACGCTATCTTTGGATTTGCTTTTCAGTTCAAACCTTTTCGCAGGAAGGAGCACTTCGAACTAATTCTATATCGGTCAGCACGTAGAAATGGAGCGTCTGGATGCATTACGATCTCAAGAACTGGGTTCCAATAACTCGTTACGGAGAACTCGTCAAGATTTCATCGACAAAGGTATGATCGTGTAATGTGCTTTGCTGGTGATGGAAGTGTGATGAGGGGGATCAAAACATGAAGGAACATCATATTTCTAGTTCTATATCTGATCCGCCTCTAACATCATCTGTTCTTTTAACTCTTCAAACACATCAACATTGCAGAAAACGCGACAGATACCAAAACGAAACTACATCCTGCCGCTGCTAAAGACCCGGTCTACAAGAAGCTGGTCGTAAGCACGCTCTGGAATTTTGTACTCGCCGTTAAGGACCTGATGTTGCATGTCCAAATCAGCACTGTCATCGTCTGACGTATTGCTACCGTTATCGACCTCACGTTGCATGTTCAAATCATCACTGTCATCATCAGACGTGGTGCTAACAACGACTTCCTTGTTTTCGCTAGACAACTCTAACAGCTTGGGTCAACTCGTATGTAATCCAAGACCAGCTAGGCGTCCGAGACCTCATCTCCGACATGAGCGACGGATACATCCTCATAGCCTTCATCGAGAAACTCACAAACGAAAAGGTCCCATCTACCGTCGACGGAGCATCCGAAAAAGCTCGTCGCATAAACGTAACGGCATGTGTCAAGTTCTGTGAATACTCGCTCAACATCCCGTCAAAGGGCAGATTCACTATTGATGGGATACTAAACAAGGATTATACATCTATATTGTGTTTGCTGGTGGATTTGGTACATGCTGTCGGGTGTCCGTATGTGCTGCCATCAAATCTGAGTATCGCGGTTATGAATCCGGAGGATGTTGGTGGTGTCATCAAGAATAAGACTACGGTGCATCAGATTACGAAGGATGAGCAGCAGTATTCGCAGTCGAGGGGGATTTATGTTGAGGAGGAATTGTTTAGTATGGAAGGTAAGACTTTGCTTGTTGACCAAGACTTGCGACAGAAAGTCTTGGTCAACAAAAATCTCGCGCAGCGACTCAATGGAGCATTCAAACATTTTAGATCTCAGCCGCCCAGTCCCACTCCCAGACGCATTCGACAAACTATTCGATGATCGAAACAAGGTCACCCAAGTGACTACCCTTATACGCGGCTTTGTCAACCAGAAATTCGAGGGAATGGATATGGCAGTCGATGATCTCGCTCTTGAATTCCATGACGGTGTATATCTTATCTTGCTAGTGGGTACCATGGGCCACTTTTTCGTTCCACTCAACTTTTATCATTTGGCTCCAAAGACCGCTGCTGAGAAGGTATTAATTCCATCATGCGTCGAAAACTCCCCGGTTTTTTTGCTCCGAGTCACACAATCTATTTAACACCCCCTACCTTTGTTTTATCCTCTAGTTGGAAAATGTGAGAACGGCGTTTAAGCTGATGGGAGAAATGGGGATATCCACTACAAACTTTAATGCTGTTGATCTTGTTCGAAGGGATTTGAAAGGTACTCTAAGATGTCTGTATACAGTATTTACGCATTACTCAAACAAGAATAATGCTTGATGAGTGAGACGGAACCAACAGCTTGTATAATACGCACATATGTAAATAGTCGTATGTATCAAACCCGTGTAGTTTTTTTCGTCGTGTAATGATTAGATGTATTATAACTCAAAAACCTTCCTTGGCAAATGCAAAAAAACACAACACCCGTCCTTCAATATGGGGTCTACTTTTCTTTCAAGCAATTTACGTTTATGCAGCAATGCGATGATCTATTGGTACTATTGTACCGAGTGATGTTTCTTGGTTTCGCTGTTGATTCATTTCTTGCTCGACTGCTGCAGTCATGGACCGCACTCCCATTGGGAGACAGCAGCATACGCAGCAGAATAAGAATGATAGGACGATGAAGATGGGTATAAAGATCTATATAGATAATTTGTGAGTGGTTGTCGTTGGCAGTGAGGAAGCACAATCTGGATGAATAGGGACGATCCCTTCATAAGCATACTTACAACAGGTGTAGTAGGGAATGGATCTGGGTTCATTAACCTCTGTATCAGCAATCCAATGAACTGCAAAGAAGTTCAAGGAGTTAGCTACTAGCCTCAACATCCATACAAAAAAACACATGTGCAACAATATGATGCCAGCTTACAGTATAAAACAAGATGGCAAACACTGAAAAGAAGACAAGTTTAGCTCCTATAGCAGCTAATTTATCCTTGATGCCACCAGGAGCAGGTGCGCCATTTGGCATCATGGGTGGTGGACCTGTCATTGTGTCGTATATTATAGATCCGACTTGGAAGAAGGCGTATAAGAATGTTGGAATGAATACAGTCCTCCAGTCCATGGCTGCTACAACAGGTACTGCACTCAAGAGGTCGAATTGTACAATCAGTAATATGGCCTGTGCGACCTATAAGCGACAGTGAGTGAGTGTTAGATGAGGGATACGGACGATGATAATTGTGAATGGAGGATGTCAGACCAAATATCATTCATTAATGGAGAAATATGACTGTTGTTTTGCCGGCAAACAAAAACAGCCTCTTTGTGGGATATAACATAAAAAACCCTCGTAGACAAGGTCACCACTTACTCGTAAACCCCAAGGCCAAAACCCTTGAATAATCTGAGCAAATTTCTCACGCATCGACAAGGGCCTGGCAGTCATAGGACCCCCTTCCTCGTCCTGATTATGAGCAGCTCCGTTCGACAATGGTTCAAACATCCCAATAATAAACTTTTCCCTCACTTGTCGTAACCCTTCCAAGAAGTGTGCCGACTCCATCAAAAACCACGGTATGAATACTAACGCCCATGAGCAAGTAATAAACCCGTCCAGTCTGATGGCAATCAAGATATGAAATATCGTGAATAACAACCAGTATGATACACGAAGAGCTCTATCAGCAGCTCGTGCACGCTTCTTGCCCTTTTTAGCTTGATTTCGTTTTCGTTCTCGAGTATCTCTGTTTTCCTGGTAGGAGGCATTATCGGATTCGTGGTCGTTGTCAGAGTCTTCGTCGTCGCCGGATGACATGCCGTACAAGCAGAATAGTATTGAGGCATCGATAAAGAAGAGAGGTGTGAAGAGGGCCGTGTATGACCACGTATTTCGATTATCGGCTCGGACTGATATTAGGGCTGGGAATAGTATGAGGAGTGCTAATATAAAAGTTCCCAATGCGAAAAACCAACTATTTGAAGAAGAGGAGGCGGTAGTGTTAGTTGGCAAAACAAAACATCAAGATCAGAGTGCTCGTTTACTTTATGGCAATAAGTATGTCTGGATCCAAGAAGGGAGCCATTTCACCGAATTGATCCCACATTGTGATTCCTTGTTCGCCATACTTGTCATATATCTGCCTCTTCTTCTCATCGCTGAGTATCTCGTAAGCCTTGACTATTCGCTGAAACCTTTCAGCGGAATTGGGGTCAGAGCCCGTCTTGTCTGGATGATATCGCAATGCCATCTTTCGATAACCTAGTAGTTACCAAAGGGGACAGTCAGCCATAGCGTTGTTGTGTCTCGAGTTGTGTCAGGGTTTGTGCAGCAGCAACCCGTAGGCATCGAACTCTATCTAATGGAGCCGGAAAATATCTCCATGGCAATTTGAACCTCTCTCTAGTCTGTTTCTGCCCCTCTCTGAATAGCGATTGTCTGCCAGCAAATCAAGTCTTTTTCTTTGGAAGTGCCAGCAACAAATGTTTGGGGAGAGTTCAAGTGGACAAGACAAACAAGCAAGGTAAAGAAGGAGGCTAACCTTTCTTGATGGCATCTTGATTTGCGTCTCGTTCTATCCCGAGTATCTAGTGAATGAAAGCAACGTTAGCTGTGAAGCCTGAAAAAGATTGTGTTTGATAAACTCACAGTATAATAGTCAGCTTGAGGTGGTCCTCGTAATGGAGACGTTGGATCCGAACTTGACGATGCCATCTTTTGAGTCGTATTAGTTTCTCTATAGTGAATAATTTATTGCATTGGACATTTGGTGGTGGTGGTGATTCATGAGTCAAATTTCAAGCAAACGAACAGATGCACGGTCAAGGTTGCTAGTTTATCAAGACTGTTTATTTCCGTCAAGACTACATAAAAACGTGGCCTTTCTTTGTCGATGGTGGTGCTTTGTAAGCTTCCCCCATCTTGCCAGCTGGCGATCTGGTAGTAGTGATCGCGAAAACTCAAACGTCAGGATCGCATCACAGAGGGGCCGCTGAGAGAGCAGTTCCTAGATCCGAACATTGATGTATTTTGAGTGATCGCATAGAATGGTTGTAAGCAGAAAATAATGAGTCTTCAAGCATCAGAAATGCAAGGTGTGCGCAGAGGGTTGTAAGACATGTTGATGCGATAGATATAGTGGTATAATAGTTGAAATTCCACGTTTGCAGTACGTCATTTTGTTTACTTCGCGTGGTGAAGCATGTCCGAAGTTTTGTCGAAAATCAGGGAACTTGCCGGTTTTAAGTTCAGAAACACCACTCAATGTCCAACAAACCATACACGATCACACTCTCCAATTGCACCCAGTAAACATCGAAGAAGGTCTCGCTTTTTGCACACTGCCATCCTCTCACGCACAGCGCATTGCTTTGGTCGGCCGTCAACTCGTCAACTTCCATCTCCCACGCACAACTTGTTTGCAAAAAGTCAAGTAAATATTATAAAAACCTTCAATAATGATGAACTACCACCACTGGCAAATCCAAAGAGAGGTCTCAGCTCTATCAAAGCAGACCTCCTTCTTACAGCATGTCGACGACTTTCTGGGTGCTGAAACCTCAAACGACATCCTGAGCCTGATTCTCGAACCTGTTGACCAGCAGGACGATTCTGCATGGCTGTCAACTATAAAAGAGGCTCTGGGATCAACTGAACTATTTGAAGAGGTAAATATGCTATCACTTTGCTTGTTTCATACTGCATTTCGGTATCAAATGCGCACTGCCATCAAAAAAAGCCCAGTTTTCAAAAATGTGGAAAGCTTATGCTCCCCCGCGAGATCGCACATCTGGGAAGGATGGGTTGATGATGCATTATGATTATGTGAGCTGAATCGCCATGTCTGGCACCTGCATCTATCAGCGATCGATCATGTTGTTTCGTGGTATCTGTTGGGGTTGTGTTTTTCTGGTGGAGATGGTGTACGCTGATAGGATAAAGTGAGCAGGAGGAGTGGAGAGAGCTGTATGGGTCTCCAATGTATTATACGCTTACTTGACTTTATTTTTGGATGTACAATCATCCAATAGCGATGTTGTGTTTTGATTGTTGCGTTTTATCAAACTTAGCATTTAGTCGGTGTAGTTTATACTATTTAATCATTTCATCCTTCAACCAATGCTCACTAATCATCATTTTGATCTTTAAATCAATCTAGTTCAAGTACGCTTTTGATATACGTGATGATGATCGCCAGATCACCGAGCCAATGAGTGAAGTTGACACTGACTCCTCGGACAATCAGCCTCGTCACTCAATACGCAGAAAGGGTCATGACGACTCATCTGACGCAGGATCTCTCTCTCGCCCAATAAGACGTCGTAGGGTTACATTCAATCAAGGTGTCGTTGAAACCATCAACTTGAACAACACTGGTGATGCTGCTGCTGCTGTACCAACATTGGATGATGATGACATGTCACCATTGGATATAAAGAAGGAACGTAGTTGGAGCCCTGTACGTCCACCAACTCCAGTCGGCATTCACTTCTCTGTCATGCCCTTGATGGCATTCAAGCCCTTGAGTCCTACTACTACTGCTGGTAGTAACAATAATAAGAAAGGGTTGGACAAATCGTATCGTAGTAATTCCGATACTACTACCACTACTCCTTCAGCCACCTCCGATAGGATTGTTACGACCGCAACTAGAGCCACCGATAATCGTGTTGCAACTAGTGCTACTACAACTACCGATAAATTATCACAAGTATCTCCATATCACGATCAACCCTATAACTATAAGCCCGAAATCGCTCCGTCACCATCACCACGTCTTGATGCTCGACAATCACCAATGCAATCACCAACGCCATCAAAACCACCAACTAGTGTAGGATTGGTAGATCGTCCATCCGAAATGCAGAATCTTATGGCTACTCAACGGGATCTCTTTGCTCAAATTGATATGGTATTAGGTACGGATGGTGGTGACTCGGTCAAGGCCGAGAACTGGAAGTCTCTCTTGTTGGCTAGTCGTGAACGTCTTGATGACGATTCTTGGATGCGCGCCATCCAACACGTACTCGAAGATGAACCATCCTTGTTTGCAGCATTCAAGGATATGGTTGGGTATTTAGGTGAAGCTCACTCTCAATCTGATGATGACGATGAATATGAATTTAGCACTCGTCGACAATTCTATAATACGAAATCAGCACCAGGAGGATCTGGATTAGGAGTAGCCTCAGAAGACTTTGGATTGGGCTTGACTCAGCTTGCGTTTGAACAACCTGGTGGGTCATTCACATTGGATGATCCAGCTGTTGCTCAATCTACTCATGGACGACTTGAACGTCTTACTTTATCAACAGATACAGCATTGATTGTCGGTGCTAGACGCGACATTCAAAGTCTTATGGCTTTGGAAACCAATACTCCATTCTTCTTCAATCTCATGAGGTCGCACTTGAGCTCGCTCGCTGTATATAATGACTTTATGAGGCTCTTCCGTGCTCCAAGTGATGCACTCACTGATGCTGAATGGTATCATCTAATTGCTTCCAAGTATGCCAATACTCCTACCTTGAGGCGTATGTTTCGAGGTACGATTCTATTTGACTTTTTTGCCAATAACACATCTCATACCTGAATTTCTGACTGAATATTATTTGCATTTAGATGTATTGCAAGTGGTACAACAAGGCTCTCATGACTTGTATCTCGACAAGCAATTCTCGCCACCATCATCATCTGTGGAATCTCTACTTCCATTAGCTAGTCGTTCAACAGCACACTTTGTGGTAGAACGACGAGGCCCACAAGATTTGCTTTGTCTTGAAGAACAATGTAAGTGTTGTGTTGCTATTGAATTTTGATTGATATCAATTATCCCTTTGACTCGACGCATTGTCATAAGCTTTCCTCACACTTGTGTCTTTTGCCAACCAACTAGATCCATCACAATTCCATCTTCTCAAAGACTCTCTCAGCATCAGCCAATACGAATCCATGACTCTGGCATTGCAACAACCACGTGGTGAGCTACCAGATGACGAATGGGTCGACAACATCCTACGCCTATTATCAGACACACAGCAAGTAGACGGGATGTCTTGTATCGGAGCCATCTTCTCTATTGCCGGCGTACGGGTCGTCATGGTATCCGATCTCGCCGAAGACGATAACATAGTATCATCACCAACAGCAACAGATATTACCAACACGATGGTCACATCATCCGTCGCAGATGCAACCGATACAACGCCAGACACGTCAACGATCGTGACATCATCTACATGCCAATCTGTACGTGAAGAGCTGCCAATGCTTGTACCCACTATCAAGTTTTTGTATGATGTGAAACATGCGTTGAGTGATGAAAAGGTTTTTGGCAAGTTGTTGGGACGATATATTGTTGAAAAGCATTCTCGTCGTGGGAGTCTGTCTGGTGTTAGTTTGGTGAGTGCTTGGTTGTGAGATTTAACCTTTGTCGTCTTTTGTTTTCGGCTTCGCAGATCTAACATTTGAACTTCTTATAGTCGGAATCACCTGAATCTCCAAGCAAACTCGTCACACAACTACTTGATGAGATTGTAGGACCCAACTCTCCAGTCTTCAAAAGATTTACAAGCTTTGTCTCTTATGGTGGAATGCAAGATTATGAAGCTCGTAAGTTATTATGGCTCTTTATTTGTTGGTGTTTTTCTTTCTCTTAGGTCACGCTTTGTTCTCTTTTACTGACATCATGTTAACACACGGTAGTTGCACCACAAGCTTGATTTGGACTGGCACCAAGGACCTGATGAAATGCAACCAAAAAAAGAACCCGCACACGTACACCCAAAAAAAGATTATTTTATCACAGCTTCGTTTTTCTCACTGTTGTAGCAATATTACCCAAGTTGTTTGGAAAGTTATAGTTAAGCCTCCATTATCACATAGTTCCCATAGTTTGCTCCCAAACCAAAAAAAATACATTAGCAGTTTAGTAAACAGTATATGATTGTGTGTATGTGGGTGTTGGTTTGAGAGTTGTGTGCCTAGTCGTAGACGCTGGTTAGGTGTATTTTTACCAGTTTCGTGTAAAAGGCCTCGCTTTCTAAGTAAGTTGATTGTTGACCGATTGTATTTATTTGAAGGCCTTACACCTCGCACATTCACTTTTACCTAGGACAGCTTTTGAGCAAGGTTACCTTCGTTGGTAATGGTGACCTTCAAGATGATAGATCGTGTGAATCTGTATCAATGTCAATTTGATGTTGAATTGCTGGTGGTGAATCGTTAAACGAAAGCCAAGGATCTTTCATACCCTGCCATGATGTGCTGTTTTTTGCTGTAGAGATGGATGTGACATAGCCACCTGAGTCAAACCCAACTATAACAGACTGTAAATGCAAAGAAGCAAAGCAGTGTTGAAATGTTGAATACGTGCCGTGGTGCCTCATGAAGACCATTATTGCTTTATCGGGAGTTAATCATCGACGGCTTGTTATAAAGCAAATACTCGCAAAGTTTCGTGAAGATTGGTGATGATTCGAATGTTAAGAGTTATGCACTGGAGTACGGGTATTTGAGTTTAGCCCATGTTGATGTTGAAGAGAGCATAGGCTTTATACGGTCGTGTTGAGAGGACAGATACTCGAAGAATACTGTGCAGATTTCGTTTCTCTCTCTTTTTTGGCTCTAATGGGAAACAAGCATAAATAAATCGAGAGTTGTCTGTTTTCCTCACCTCATTCAGAGTTGCATTCAATCGAGCTCTTGTTGAAACTGGCAACTGACCCATCCGAGTGATATTCAATGCTCTGTTACGGTACCGATATTGAATGAGGATCGTGAATGTCATGATGACGATTCTGGGACGCTGGTCAATAAACAGGTACTCAATACATTTTTGGCAAGTTATTGGGACGATGTGTTGTTGAAGAGCATTCTCGTCGAGGAAGTTTGTCTGACGCCAGTTTGGTGAGTCTTGCTTTGAGATTGCTTGTCCCATACTGGACTTTTTTGGTTTGTCGAACTTCAACAAATTCAACGTGTTTAGCATATTCACAGTCACCTGCATTTCCAAACTTCCAAGAAAAAGCCTCACTCAATGCCTTGACATACTCAAACCTCTAGCCTTTCGATTCACAAACCTTACTTGTGACTGTAGAATACAAGATGGTGAAGCTCGCAAGCTATGAAGCTGTGGACGTTTTCAATTTTTTTTTGCTCCAAATTAATTGATTCTTTTTGCAAAGATGATCTTTGTAGTAATGCACCAGCATTATTTCTATTTGTTCAAGGACCTCAATGAAATCCTTCAGCAATATCGATTGCCAGTAAGATTTTGGGAAGTCTGGTAAATATCCCTATCGTCACATATTTCCCATGGTTCAAGAAAATACATTAGCAGTCAGTTAAATAAAATGTTGTATGTGGTTGTTGGTTAAAACGTCATTTGCGTCCAATCCATCGTTTTTTTCGCGTAACATAGGTTTTCGTAAAGACAGTGAGGAAGAGATGCCTTCTACGCGGGACGTTTTCAAAGTAATTTAATCGTTGAAAGAGCAATTGAACGCATTCTTTCATTGCAGCTCACCTTCTTTGCATTGGTTAGGACAATCTACTGGAAAACAAGGTCGCCTTTGTTGGTAAAGCTGACTTTCAAATTGGGAAGGTAATATTACATTTATTGATTTTACTTCCATGAATAGTCGGTGGTGGCTCTGGGATCTGTAAAGGAATAGCCAGAGCTCTTGCAGAGTAACATCAACGAAAACCGTGGATTTTCATCAGCCAGTTGAAACCGCTCTTTTTGCATTTAGACATGGATGCGACATTGTAATCTGCTCAAGACGCCAGAACCTCTTGGAGGAATCAGCCTCGGAAATCCAAGCAGCAACAGGCCGTAAATGCATTCCCATCGCCGCAGATATTCGCATCTACTCCCAAATCGAATCAGCATTGAACAAGGCTGCCTCCTTACTCGGCAAGATCGATTTCGTAATAGCAGGAGCAGCAGGAAACTTTCTATCCCCAGCCAACAAACTCTCTGCAAATGGATTTAAAGCTGTGATTGATATTGACGTGAATGGAACGTTTAATACGTGTCGAGCCGCGTTTGAGCATTTGGAGAAGAGTCGAGGTGTTATTATTGCGCTGTCAGGAGTCAACCATCGACGTGTTGCATCGAATCAAGTGCATGGCTCGGCAGGAAAGAATGGAGTTGATTCGATTGTCAAGAGTTGTGCTGTTGAGTGGGGAGAGTACGGAATTCGTGTAAATGGGATTGCACCGGGACCTATCTCGAATACGGAAGGGATGAAAAGGTGTGTTAGGATAGTGAGGAAGGGCTCGATCAAAAATCGGGAGTATGCTTATATTATCATTGTTTTTTGCCCGACTGCGACCACATCCAACGAGAAAATACGACGAAATTAAAACTACAAGAAACTTTCTTTCACAAAGGTTGGCTGGTAACAGACCTCTTGGAGACAGTGGGTTACCATTGGCTCATAATGGAGAGATACTTGATATTGAGTATGCGGCAGTCTTCTTGTGCTCTGAAGCTGCAAGGTGGATTACTGGAGCTACGTTCATTGTTGATGGAGGGTATATCATTTTGTTGTTTATTATGAGTTCATTCGACATGGATACTTATAAGACATCTTTTCCTTCCACCCAAAATCATCAAACAACAGTGCAAGTCTTTCTGGTGCAGGTAGAATCATACCTGCTGCTAAACTATGAACAACCATCAGTGAACGTACCCTGCCATCTTATATCCAACGAAAGCGGACATATCTTGAAGACATTGCTTAAGAGTAGTAAAAGAGAGTGTATTTTTTTGGACTTTAAATGTAGTGTAGTAGTACATGCAATAAAATTAAACTAGGAGTAATGTCTTTTGACGTGTGTGTGTGCGATAGGAGTGAGCCTTGAATAAACTCCCAAACCAAGGGAAAGATGAAGAAGTGAAGATGCAAATGAAGGTGTTTTTGTAGTGTTGTGTTTCTAAAACATGAGGGTCTTGGAAGATTCTTTCTAATTCTATACCACTAAGAGAGACGAGACAGAGAGATAGACCAAGCTTGAGCACTAATTTATAGACGACGTGCTGGTGCTGCAGCAATTGGCACTGCTCCGGCAGGGATGACTGGAGCTACTGGCACTAGAGTAGCTTGTGGAGCACCGGTGAGAGTAGCAGCTTGGGCAGTTATGGTGACAGTAGCGGTCATTGTTTGTGTCATTGTCTGTGTCAATGTATGAGTCAATGTTAATTGAGCAGGAGGGATGGCAGCCAGCGTAGCAGGTAGATATGTGGTGGTAGCAGTCATTCCAATAGTGGTGGTGGTAGCTTCCATGGTACGCGTCATTGGTAGACCAGTTCCGGTTACGGTAGCGACTTGAGGTAGAGTAGCGTTGACGACTGGAGCCACTGGAGCGACTGGAGCTGGGATGGGTACAGCTGGTACTGGAGCGATTATTGGGTCCACGGCTACTTGTCTCCTTGACTTTGATACAGGAGAGGCAGAAGAGAGCGCGACCAAGACGAAGATGACCAAGATGGAGAGTATAGATCGTTGCATGATTTGATTGTGTTGTGGTTGAGAGTTGACTTGAGTATGGGATTATATGTGATTTAGTCTTGACCTGATTGTAGATCTGGTGTTTTCGTGTTGGGAATGTTGTTAGGAGGACGCAGGTGGGAGTGGTCCAGTTTTATAGTCGAGATAAATCTCCTAGAGTCTTCTCGAATGTCCCGATCTACAGGTAATTTAAGCCAGTTGTTAAGCAACGCAAACTCTGCATCGCAGTAGCTTAAATCCCTAAAGCTGTTGCGAAGGACAGCTTGAAATTCCCGTCACCATGGGGAGATTGCCAAGGTAAACACGTGTCAGCCTATATGTGATAAAGATGAGAGTTTTGAAGGCTACCGACGGCCTGAAAACACGGTCAATGTTCCTTTTTAAGGCATTACATTTGATTGATGTCCAGATGTGCATGAGTCTCTATGGTTAAGGACGCGTCAGTAATAGTAACGATGTAATTTCACGTATAATAATCATTACTAACAAATCTATCACCTCATTCGACTTGGATTGTTTGATGTTCAGTCACGCTAGGAGATGAACGAGAGTTTTCTGTCACTTGCAAACAACAAGTCAGAGAGAAAACTAGCTATACATACTAGTAAAGGTAAGTACGCCAATATCACCATCGTGATCACAGGCATTCACTACATATATTCCACTATGTGGGCAGCTCTCTCTCTCTTCCAGAATGGCATTCAATTCAACATCAAATGAATTGTTTTGCAAAGACTGCAGAATGATTGCTACAAACGTCGTAGAAGACATGAAGCAAGGCGACATCATATGTGGAGACTGTGGCATGATCCTCTCCAAGGGCAGACTCATTGATGCTGGTTCGGAATGGAGGAATTTCGCTGACGACTCTGGCGATGCCGATCCATCTCGTGTCGGAGGTGCCATTGATCCAACTACGGGCCAGATGGAATCCACGACTATCTCCTTCCGTGATGGACGTACTGGTCAATCTGCCGCATTGTTGAAGTCTCACAAAATGGCTACCGACAATGATAAATCCTTGCAGGCAATCCGTGAAGGTTGGAGAAACATTCAGATATACTCGGAACGGGCTGCTCTCTCAAGAGCTATGATCGATATGGCAAAGGAACTCTACTTTTTATTATCAAAGTCATCTCCAACTAAGTCCGCTGATGAAGCTGGTGTCGCTGCTTGTATCATGGCTGCTGCAAAACTACGACAAGGTGAACGTACGTTTAAGGAAATATCGGCCCTAACTAGCATCCCCGTAAAGGCTATTGGTAAACGATATAAAGTCCTACTCAAAATCATTGAAGAACAACGTGCAAACCCCGCCAATGCATCATCCACAGTAGCAGAGGCCGCATCCGACATCACTCGTGAAGCAGTCAATGTAGCATCCATGATCCCTCGATTTGCCAATCTACTCGACTTGTCTCCAGAAGCTCGTACCTTTGCCAAACTATTGACCGAACGCGTAGAAGCTTCAGGTGTACTCGCAGCCAGACAACCAACTACTGTAGCAGGCACTTGTCTTCTCGTCGCCGTCGCTCTCTCACCAAAGGACTCTCATGTCAAGGCCAAGAAGATTGGTGACGTAGTAGGCATCCAACCATCTACATTGCAGAAATCACACAACACGGTAGTCAATAGTTGGGAGAAACTCATCAAACCTGAAGAAATGCCTGCTGGATTCAAAGCTATTGAAGCCCATCGAAGTGAAGGTCTTCATGGTATCTTGTAGAATGGTGTCGTCGCCAACCTCCAAAAGCAAGTAAGGATGGTCATAAAGACTTCGATTTTTTTGCGCACGATGTGGATTTAACTCTTCGTTTCGTTTCTAGTAGGTCCATCAATAGCTTCAAAATAGATATTATATCGTCTCTATGTACCATAGATATTTAGCATCATCTTGTATGTGTTTATAAAATAAAAGTAAACCAAAGGTTTTAGAACATAAAATTCCTGTGTCGCTTTCGTGATGAGAAGCAAGGGGTTTGAAGAGAGGAACTGACGGTGAAGGATAGCCGCACGCAAACACAAGATACAGATCTTACAACTTGAAAAGACTTTGTTTACTTGATGTTGATGTCACAAATCACACTATTCAACCACACAGATACAACCTATTTCAATTTAATCACCAAGATACAACCCCTACTTTTGACGCTATGTGTGATCGTGACAACAAAATTACTGGTTAAGCATCACACGACGTGAAACAATACAATTACGAAGTTACAGTAACGTAAGCCCGCCCAACCAGAAAAGAAGAAAAAGACACCAAGAACGAATTGCACACCAACGCAAAGGCTGTTTGGTGTTATTGATGGGTGATCAATATCGAATCCGCTGTTTCAGCCGTTGGGGTAGGTAGTGTACAACGCCTGGTTCAAGCTGCTCTGTATGTAGGCATCTTCGTCAGCGTAGAGCACACGTTGGCAGATGCCAACGGATTGGCCTATAGGAAATCGGCAAATCCTTTTGCTGAGACAGCCGTTACGGGTAAAGTTGCATTAATATACATACAGTAAGCGATGGCAGCAGAGCCAAAACCAGGCACCATGAGTTTAATAGCGAACCCTTCAGAATCCTTGGCCTCATGACCACCAACATTACGACCAAGATTGAAATATGCACCACCAAAGTACTATGCCACACCAATAGCGGCGTAGTGGACGTCTAAACAATTAGTATACTTGGACCGCCCCGGTTGCTTGTTGGAAGAAACCAAGTTTTTCCAGAAGTCAGCATCGTGTGCGTGGCAGGCGTCATAGGTGGCAATGAAACGCTGACCAGAGTGATGTCGTCAATACGATTTAAAGCTTCAGAGGATGCACGCCATGGTTCAATGAGGAAATCAGCACGAGCGGCCTGTTCATGAGCGTGAACCTCAGCTATAATAGATATCACGCGCCCAGGTTGTTCGAATAATGTTCGTGAAAACACTCATTTTCTTACCTGGGTTACCATTTACCGGAATTCCCAAGCGTTCAAAGTATGCGATGGCATCAGCTGTCTTGCCGAAATAACATGTTTTACCACCAGGACAGTAACAAAAAGGTTGTCAAATTGTGATAGGGTGGTATACGAGAATGGTGAATGGTGGCAACTACCGAGGAAATGAAGATGCAAAATCCGTATCTGATACTACTAAACAAGTTGTAATATCAAAAGCTTGAGACTTATGCAAGAAGGTTTTCGTAATTCGACGATTTCAATGACGTTTTCAATCATAGTGTTGGAATCCAAACCAGTGGTGGTTCATCCAAAAAGAGAACCGGGGCTGCTGATAGCAATTCAAAGGTTACGTTGACACGCTTTCGTTCACCAGTTGACAGACCACGGACCAGAGCGGAACCAATCCTGTTATACCCAACAGCGTTTAATCTCATGAGGGTGAGGACATCGTTGACCTAAGAGGGTTTAAGATGTTAAGAGCGTGCAAAAATTATAATGATAGACGTATCAGCACATACTCTGAATGTTTGTTCTTCGGTAGTCCATGAAGAAGGAAGATGCAATGCGGCAGGAATTCCAATGCTTGACGAGTAGAGTCAATTCGGGTGGCATAAATCATCAGACATCGGAAAAATAGGGACGTGCTGTTTTGGTAGATTTTTTTGGTACGTTTCTAGCGAGGCTATCAGCAGGACTTAAGCGATGGATCCGGCTACCTACACATACCCGACATACATTTAGAATTGTTATATCATTCATGCCCAAAAAAGATTTTATATAAACACAATTGACTGGACTATAGGCATATGCATTGTTGGGTGAACATTGATTCAAAGTTCCATTTCGGCCGAAATTTCTACACGGTCCCGTCATTAGAATTAAATCATATGAGAAGTCTACAACGGGTTGCCATCATCTCCTGCAATAGGTTTCACTTAATTTTCCTCTCCCAGTTCACGCACATCGAAACGTGTTGTAGAGCTGTGTCACCTCGACCAACGGCGACGCAAACTCGTTCTCGAAGCTAGAACACTATTAGATTAAGCATCACCAAGTAGTCTAACAGAAGCTCCATCATGCCCACTAACTTGGGAATCGTAAAGCCTTCCGCAAAAGCAGTTCAAGCACTGAAAGCTCTGTCATTCCCAATAATAGATAGTCATCATCACTTATGTGGGTAGCAAGACCATTTATTTATTACTTTACTGTATGTGATGCTAGAAATTTATTCAATAGGGGACGTTACTGGAACAACTCCCAGAATCCAGGGGGCATGGGCATCGTATGATTTCAAAAAACATGGATTTGAAGCACCAAAGACACCTCGAGTTCCCAAAGTTGCGGGAGCTGCCGAAGCCATGTCTGAAGAGGATCTGACTGCAATGACTGGTGTCATTCTCAACACCTTCGGCTCTACCCAGGTGCTTCATCACTTCGTGACTCAAGCACTCTAGCACCATCGTTTATTCATTCTGATACTTTCCTTAGGCCATTTTCAACAATTTCTTGAATGAAGACTTGATTGCTTTTGCTGAAGAGGAAGCTGGCGTCAAACTTGGAGCATCAGTCTATATTGAGTGTGGATGGGGAATTCATGAGCCAAATGCTCAAGCTCAAGAGACCAAATACATTGAAGATATGTCATACAAGACTACTGGTGGAAAGATCTCTACTGGCATTGTTGGACATACAGGTAAAACAAGTATCGAGCAATGACTTTGCCACTGAACTAAGGCTTACATCAACAGATCTGTTCAACAACACTTTGGAGGCCACTCGCGAAGAAATGAAGGCTCATGTAGCAGCATCTGCTCATTTCCGTGGTATTCGCTACCAACTTGCTCATCCTGGAGAACGACCTGGCATGATGCCATCCTGCCCGCAAGGTAGGTGTTTCGTTGTCGCACACTCTTGCTTCGTGTACAGAATCGCGGAACTAACAGCTTTGTCCTATCTAGAAAAAATTGTTCATAATGAAAACTTCTTGAAGGTATGGTCTCGAACCGTTTTTGTGGTAAACGCCGCGTAAGGTCTAATTGAAAATCTTCTCGTAGAACTTTGCCGTGCTAGAAGAATTCAATTCCACATTTGAAATCTGGTGCTACGGACATCAACTCCAAGACGCTATTTTCTTGGCCAATAAATTCCCCAAGACTCAATTTAGTAAGCAACAGGTTCTTGCATTCCTCTAGCATGTGACTCACGACAAATTTAGTTTTGGATCACTTCGGAACTCCTATCGATATCGCAACCAAGCAAGAAGTTTGGGACGCTTGGGTCAGAGATTTCACAGCCTTGTCCAAGTGCCCCAATGTTGTTGTAAAGCTCTCTGGCTTAATGGTTCAACTTGGATTTGACTTCCATAAACGATATCCATGTGGATCAAGTCCTGGACCCTCAGCACAAGAAATCGCTGCTTCGCGGTTTGGAGATATGACACGTCTTGCTGTAAGAGCCCTTCTGTTTCTAATCTTGTTAGCTGGCCAAACATGTTGACACTCGAATCTCTTAGATCAAGCTATTCAAAGCTGAGCGATGCATGTGGGGCTCCAACTTCAGTGTTGACTGGGCCTCGGCAAGGTTTGGAGAGCTACTAGCAGCGTTCGTGATATGTTGCCAAGAAGCAAACATGAGTCAAGCTGATTTGAAGAAGGTTTTCCGTGAAAATGCCATCCGAGTCTATAGGTATGTTAGAAGAGCGTTTAAGTTTTGAGTTTTCTATGGTAGAGACAACGGTTGACGCGTTTCATCCTCTTAGCCTCAAGCCAACAACGTCACCAAATCTATAAAACAATTAAGAATTGTAAGCGCAAAATTGACATATCATTCGTCCTTGGTCAAAATTGTTGGCGTTTTTCGCGTTTTTCTCCTCGTCGTTTCCAATGGTCTGTCCAGGTTTCCAAAATGACTGTTAGCTTAATGGAGACAGCCCAAGACGAGCTCCCAAAGATGGAAGTCGATTCAGTGCCCAGCAAAGTAGACAGCAGTGCCGCGACCATCCCAACCGAAGTCACTCCTCTTGCTCCGGTCGACGATCTTTTGGCCAACAACAATATGGACGTTACTACTACAGAGGTCAAAGTAGAGATAAAGGACGAACCAAATATTGAAGCCAACACTTCTGCAACAGCTCCGGACGCTGCTCCCGTTGCTACGTCTTCTTCTGGAAATGCCCTGGCTGGAACAAAACGTGAACGTGATGAAGATGGTGAAGAAGGCGACGATGCGTCGAATAAACAACAGAAGCTGGCCAAGCATCGATATGCAATCTTGTTTGGATACAATGGAAAGAAGTATCACGGTCTGCAAATGTAAGAATGATGTGTTTACCGTAGAATCATTCCTAGTTTTTTTTTGCTAAAGCGATCTGGTCCGAATTCTCGATAGGCATGATGTTTCTGCTGATGCCAAGGAGCTGAAAACTATTGAATCTGAGTTGTTGAAAGCCATGCATACTGCTCGACTTGTATCAGACGAAAACGCCGAGAGCATGAAAAAGGTATATCGGGTTTTGATCTTTGATTTTTTTGCTTGACTTAATGCCGTTTTATGCAATATCAGATTTCCATCTCTCGAAGTGCACGTACTGACAAGGGTGTTTCCGCTTGTCGAAATCTCATTGCTGTCAAGATAAGTACTCTTTGAACAAGGTCGACATGGAATGTGCTCTCTTTCTTGCGATGGAGCTAACCGTGTCCCTTTTCTTTCTTTACTTGGCTATGCCAGAGAGTGAAGAAGTTGCAATCAAGACAGTCAATGAGCTCCTACCACCGGAAATTAGAGTTTGGAGTACATACTGTTCTTTAGCAAAAAGCGACTTCAAAAGAAGTTTACACATCCTTTCCCCGTTATAGATCTGTTACGAGTAGTTGGCTCATTTGACGCTAGACGAACATGTGAACAACGATCCTATGAATACTTTATGCCTACATATGTCTTTGCAGCGCCTCATCCCTCGTCCAACTTTGAACTTCGAGGAGGACGCTGTGAGACTAAAATCGTCAATGAACTGGGCCACGTTATAGGAAAAGTAGACGGAAAGGGCAACTTTGTCGAAGATATTGTACCAGGAGCCGAAGGAATTTACAAACACCTAAACACCAAAACTCAAAAGACCCTCATGTATGAACCACTAGACATCACACCTAAAACACCCGAAGAGTTACTATTACACCGACAACGCCGTGCTGCGCCTGAAGAATTAGCTAAATTCAAGGAAATAATGAGAGCATATCTAGGAACAAGAAACTTTTGGAATTATACAGTTGGAACCAAGTTTGCGGATGCGTCAGCTACTCGTGTCATGATTGAGATTGAAGTGAACGACCCTGAGGTCATCAAGTCTCCCAAAGGAGTGGAAGTTGAATGGATTCGCATCAAGATTCATGGACAATCCTTCCAACTTCATCAAATCCGAAAGATGATGGGTAGTTGTTTCGAATTAGTTTTTTTGCTTCTGTACAGTCTGACATCATCTTTCTCATCTGTAGCTATGGCAATTCTCGCTGTGCGAACTGGTACTCCAACAGCTATAGTTTTACAGTCCTTCAGCAGGAAGCGAGTCACAATCCCCAAAGCTCCTGGTGTCGGTCTCTTGCTCAACAGTGTAAGTAACTGATTACGGTAGTGTCGTATGCTGGTTAAACTTACTCCCTCCTTTTTGAAACCTTGATAGCTCTTCTTCAATCGCTACAATGCTGATAGGGCAAACAGACGCAAACAAGGTATCGTATCCCAATAATCACCTTGCAGCGATCATGTCCGTTTACTTACTACAGTCAAATCTAGCTGGTTGGGCTGAAATCGACTATACACAATACGACGAGAAGATTGAAAGTTTCAAGAGGGAACATATTCATACAGCCATTCTTGCTGACGAGGAAGAGAAGAACACGTACGTACTACTGTTTTTAGAAATCCGACAATAGTTAGGATCTCATCGCCATTTTTATGATTAGATGGGAGGGATGGACTCGATTGATTGATCGTCATTCAGTGTGTTATCTTCACTACTTGAACAAAGAGGGAGAAGTGCTCAACAACAACACGACATGGTCTCCCCGCCATGTACGTGGGCAGGCTGATGAAGAAATGGCGGATAAAGAAGAAGATGAAGAAGACGAAAAGGTTGGTGACGGGGACGGTTGAAACTAATTGGAGCAAAACCTGTATAAAGTAAGAGCCTAGAGCCTATACAAATGTTTCTAGTTGTTTTGCATTTTCTTCAAAATATAAGGACACTCATTAGTTACATGACTGTTTGGAAAAAAGCAATAAAGTTGGTCAGTGTTTTCTCGACGAATGTTTTTGATGATCACATTATTTATTACGCTCAGCCATCCGTCTCCATAGCGTCTTTCACCATCAGCAAAGATCCAATACCAACAGCGACAAAGCTTCAGTTCAGAAAAGGAACATACCATAGAGAGTCTGGCCAATTAGTTCCTATTGTCCTTTTCCACGACACGTAAGCAAGGTAAGAAACCCCAAAAGTCCTTTACGTCTCTCTACAGTCGTAAAGTCTAGTTTCCTTCGTTTCTCTTTCCTTGTTTTTATTGCCGCTGGAAGACAAAGACTAGTTCGCAGCGTAGGAAAAGCCCAACGTTCTCGACCAGGTCAGATAGCTTGAAGCCGTAGCTGTAGGATAGCAGGACACAATTCGGACTCCATCCATTAGGGTGCCATCCATACAAGCCCAACCATCCAGCAACCTGCAAAAACACCACACACACGCAACCTCCGTTTTACGAAACAGCGATAGGTAGATAACCACGATGCTATCAAATAAACCATTACCAGCAATAGATAATGGACAAGAAACCCTCGGCAGAGGAGGAGAACGAAGTCTGAAAGTCAGAAGTGCCGTGATAATGTCTTACAGCGGTGTCGGGTACTCTGGATTTGAACGCTCTAAAGGAGATGCCACCATTGAAACTGATTTGCTGACTGCTATGGGCAGCCTGTCTGCCATCTCAAAATCCAAAAAGGTAGGTTTGCGACATTGTGTGGCTTCCATTGACACCACTACTCGCTCTTTTTTGGGTCTCTGCCAATCTTTGGAAACTAATGCGTCCATATCATGTTATTAGCATTTGAAGATTAGTCGAACTGCTAATACCGACCAAGGTGTTCATGCTGCTAGGCAGTTGATATCTCTGGAGATAAGTTACTGTTGCGTCAAAACTCAATCTAACCACGAATACTAACCGCTTCCCATTGCTATATCCACGTCAAACAAGATGCTCTCAATACTCCATACTTTTTGGAATCTGTGAATCAATTGTTGCCTGAACAGATCAGAGTCTGGGGTATGATAAGTTTGTCGAACTTTGCTTTTTTGCTCTTTGCTTTTTGGAGATAGGCTCAAATAACACCGGTTTCATATTGATATAGGCGTCATCAGGACAACCGCAGACTTCAGTGCCAGGCGAAACTGTGACTTGCAAACTTGGACATACTTACTCCCAACATACTGCTTCCAAGAACCGCCTCCTCAAACCCACTACTATAATCCTGTTCGAGAAGACGATGCAGACAGCACACTCGGCTACCAACCCGAACCTCAAACTGGTGTATTCCGATCATTGACTCGTCGCATGTCTCGTTCGGGCGTTAGCTTGGAACCTTACAACAGTAACGGATACCAACAATATAATGATGGAGACAAGAAGGCTATGAATGGTAGTTCCTATGCTCTGTCTGCACCCGTATCTCCCGTAGCTGTAGATGACGACTACCGTCCCAAACCACCACCAAAGAACCAAAACCAGGATCGTGGATTCATCTCTACATTGAAGCGAATGACTACTCGACGAGGCCGCTCAAGGTCTAATGAACGAATGAATGGTGGCGCACCCGCTGGTATCTCACGTTCTCACACACCATACGCTAATGGAGTACTAGGTGGTCAAGCAGCCGATCCACTGGACGAGATACCTGCCACTCTTCGTCGCAAGGATTCCATCGGTGGTGCTTTGGGAGGTGGTGGTGATTACGAAGATGGTATGATGGGAACATTACGTAGAACCTTATCTCGACGTGGTAGTGCATCCGGTGCTGGATCATCGTCGAATACTGGGACACGGTCACGATCTCAGCCACCTGTACGAACATACCGTGACGAAGATTATGAAAACAAATTCAATCAGACCTTGAAGAATATGATGACACCTGCTGAACCACTCATGTTGCCTGAACCTACCGAAGCTGAATTAAAGAATATTCGAACCTATCGGGCTACTGCTCAACAGTTTAGAGCTCTCAACCATATCATGGGGATATATCGTGGTACTCACAACTGGCATAGTAAGTGTTGAGTCGAGAGGGCATATGACAGCAACATTTATGGCCTTTTTGTTGGTTAACCATAACCTCCCTTTATTTATTTTTTCAGATTACACGAGAGGTGGTCAATACGATGAAATGCCATATGAACGAGTCATCAGCTGTGAAGCATCAGGTAAGCTGTCAATCGAAGAGTCATCATGATAAAAAAATCGAACACAATCACTTCATAACGTCTTGTACTGACTCGTTGCCCGCCTTATTTTCACTAGCCCCCGAATACCATCAAGGAATGGAATGGGTCCGTATCACTATATCTGCTCGATCATTTGAAAAGTATCAAATACTCAAAATGATTGCTCTCGCTGTCTTGGTCATACGAACCAACACACCTCGATCGGTGGTCGCCAACTCCTTCGGTCGTGCCAAGATTGATATCCCAGAACTACCTGGATATGGCCTCGTATTGGAAGATGCCTCGTATGAGAGCTATAACTCGGAGGTTGCTCGATTGGCTACTACTTCTCGTGCTTTTGGTGAATTGCAACCTGTTTCGTTCCGTCCCTACCAGGTACGTTACATTGTTGTCAATTGCTGGTCGTTTCATAAGACACTGTTGAAGGTTGAAGCTAACAGTGTTGAATCAAACACAGGACAACATTGAAGAATTCAAAAAGAAGCACATCTATGAAAGAATCTTCAGCAGTGAAGCTGAGCGTATGGTAAGACACAAAAAATCCCAACACATTTGAATTGATCCTGACATGCAATTTGTATGATAGGGTATGGCTGACTGGACACGAGCCATTGACCGATACTCTTTCCTCTACACCTCATATCTGAACCCACGTGGTATCATAGATTTGTCCGAGGTAAGCATCGACTAGCAAAAAAGGCTCTAAAGGCATTCGTCGCGTCAAAACCAGTGCAAAATCTGGTTTCTGAAACATTCCACGATACTCGCTTACTGACTCCTTTTTCTGATCCTAGTTCTGGGAACGTGCAGCTGAAACAGGAGCTCAATAATCCAGATTGTCATTTAGCTTGTTAATGAAGGAACCTCACAAAGTTTTGTCTCGTTGGACTTTTGTCCCTAAATTGTACCTACTCCAAATATTAAACTCGCATTATATGAGGGAAAATATAGAATAAAAGCCAGTTTTGCTACGCGTTCATATTTGCACGTACATTGTCTATGACCTCAAAAACTTGACGTTTCTGTTACATCTTTCACAAACCACCAAAAAACCATGCTTTCTACGATGAGGAGCTCGGCTGCCAGGTCGGCAAGCAAGGTAATGGCACCTACGTGTGCTATACAATCTTCAAGGAGAGGGAACGCTGCTCAGTAAGTCCAAACTTTGTTGTGCTTGACAAGAAAAAAAAGTTTGGTGGTATGGATTGTGGAGGATAGTCGATGTACGATCGGTCTGTTTGATCTGATGTTGATTGAAAATGGAAGCTACATGATCTATTGTGACTATCTTTGCTCCATTATCAGCTGTTCTAACGCAAGACATCAAATCTTCAAACCAAAAAAGGTTGTGTCATATACAATTGCAGACCCAACCATTGACCTTTTATTCTGGATTTAGTGCTCCATTGCAACAAAAGCAAGCTCCAAAAGCAGCTCCTGGAGAAGCTACAGCTGTCGATACGACTTTTGTAGGAATGACGGGAGGTGAAATCTTCCACGAAATGATGCTACGTCAAAATGTAAAAGTTGTGTTTGGATACCCAGGTGGTGCCATTCTGCCAGTATACGATGCTATATACAATTCAAAGCACTTTGATTTCGTACTGCCACGACACGAACAAGGTGGTGGACATATGGCACAAGGGTATGCCAGGGCTTGTGGGAAACCTGGTGTATTGCTAGTGACATCTGGCCCAGGTGCTACGAATACCATAACTCCCATGCAAGATGCATTGATGGACGGTACTCCCTTGGTTGTATTTACAGGTCAGGTTGCTACAGGAGCTATTGGAACAGATGCCTTCCAGGAAGCTGACACGATTGGTATCTCTCGATCATGCACGAAATGGAATGCCATGGTTATCGATATAGCAGATATGCCACGAAAAATAAATCAGGCCTTTGAGATCGCTACTACTGGACGTCCAGGTCCTGTCTTGGTCGACCTGCCAAAAGATGTCACGGCTGGTGTATTGAAGAAACCCATCACTGGTGGTATAAATGCTGCTCTACCTGGTCGACGACCACCTGCAGGAACATCATCTACTGAACCATCACCCGTTGTTATGGAAACTATACGTAGAGCTGCCAAAATGATTAATAATGCTAAGAAACCACTGTTGTATGTCGGCCAAGGTGTCTTGTCTCATCCAGATGGCCCCAAACTCTTGCGAGAGTTGGCTCATCGTGGAAACATCCCTGTCACAACAACTCTACAAGGATTAGGTGCATTCGATGAACTCGACCCACTCTCTCTATTGATGTTGGGTATGCACGGATCAGCATACGCCAATCTGGCCATGCAAACATCAGACTGTATCATCGCACTAGGAGCACGATTTGATGATCGTGTCACTGGCAACTTGCGTAAATTCGCACCAGCCGCCAAAAAAGCTGCTCGAGATGGTAAAGGTGGTATAATCCATTTCGAAATCATGCCCAAAAATATTGATAAAGTCGTCGAAGCTACTGAGGCTGTGGAAGGTGATGTCGTGACGAATATGAGACACTTGATACCACAAATCCAGATTGGTAAAGATCGAGCTGCATGGTTGGGACAGTTAAACACCTGGAAGTCGAAATACCCATTTTCGTACCGCGCTCCAGTCAATGGCGGTGCATTGAAACCGCAACGAGTAATTGAAGAATTAGATATTCAAACTCGTGATATAAAAGATAAAGTCATCATTACAACAGGTGTAGGGCAACATCAAATGTGGGCCGCTCAATACTATAGATGGAGATCACCACGAACATTTATCACTTCTGGTGGATTGGGTACTATGGGATTCGGACTACCTTCCGCTATTGGCGCCAAAGTCGCACACCCCGATAAAATAGTTATTGATATTGATGGTGATGCTTCCTTCTCCATGACTGGAATGGAATTGATGACGGCTAGACAATTTGATATCCCCGTGAAAGCCTTGATTCTCAATAACGATTTCCAGGGTATGGTCAAGCAATGGCAAGATCTCTTTTACGATCAACGATACTCTGGTACAAAGATGAGGAATCCGGACTTTGTCAAGTTTGCTGAGGTAAGAAAATGTGTCGTATATTTGGTGCCTTTGGACTTCCTGTGATAGTTCGATTTTGTGAACCCGACTGTCAAGCAACTTCATACGTCAACCGCACAACGCATGGACTAACTCTCACAACTCTCATTAGTCTATGGGCTGTGTCGGTCTACGAGTTCGTACCGAAGAAGAACTACCACGTGTCATGGCAGAGTTCTTGGCTTGTAAAGAACCCGTCCTCTTGGATGCAATGGTTGAAAAGAATGAACACGTCTTGCCTATGGTTCCAGCCGGCAAAGCTCTTCATGAAATGGTGAGCGGTGTAGCCTTGTATAAAAAATTGCTCTCTGATCAAACCTATAACACGTGTTTTTTTTGTCAATAGGAATTGGGCGATATTGTCTTGGAAGAAACCAATGTCATACCCAGTTGGTCTGAACCCATATACAGGCGGTAAAATGGATTGTGGGATGTGATGTGGTTGTGGTGGTGCTGACTTGAACGGTGTTTGGAAGAAGTTCCGCATTATTTGTTTCTTTTGATATAAGGTTCGAATATAAGAGAATTTGAGACAATGCCCGAGTGTATTGCTCAGACACCCTTTTTGGAAGTATTATTGTAGCTTGCTTTATTAGATTACGCCATGGAATTAACAGGCTGAACGAAACCAATGGCAATCAGATTTTATCTATGGCGCTTCCATCAGCGATTTCTCGGTTGGGGCAAGGGTTCCACCAATGATTATTATTTGGTGGCTGGCAGTAAAGACAACTGCCGACATTTTGCACGAGTCCTAAATTGAATGTGGGACATCCTCTTTGTTCCAGTAGACACACTCGTGGTCCTACGAACGAGCTGATGCACCATACGGTAGTTACGCTCACCAAGTTGAATCTTCTGTATTCCGATGGCAGTGAAGGTAGTTGTGGTGATACTCTACTACGGGCACTTGAAACTCGAAGGAATCTGCCAAACACGGTTCCAATACTTTATTTGAATGTCGGGAGACTTGATTTTGTAGGTGACATTGTAGGAGGAATTCTCGAAACAGATAGCCAAGTAAGTATTGTACTGAAGGAACGAGTTGAAAAGACGTAAGTGGGTGTTGCTATCTTTGAAGGAGGGGTGTGCTGCTCTGTAAGGTCATAGTGTAGGGTATACGTTGTATGGTGGGTTATGGATTGAGTCAAGGTCAAAACGTATGAAGCTAGAAGTCTAGTCTACTATAGGTGTGATGAAAAATGGACATATCCCTTGAGGGTAACATTCGTAAGAATCTGTATTAATGCATGTGATTTTCCTTACCTGCCTACTCAATCTTGTCATTTTTGGCCAAGTTCAACGAAATCACAAAAGCACACTACCAAAACGATCACTTTATCGAGTTTTTTGTTATAATTTCTTACTTTATGACAGTCGATATTTTATATGAGATCCGGCATTATGGCTGTTGTACAATCTATAGTTTGTGGTGATTTTTACACTGTTTTACATTTCTACTTTACTAGTCTCTTGCGCAAAAATGTCGAGATCCAATTCCACCTTTGTGAAGATGCTGCTGCTGGAGTAGTAGTAATATCCGTGGTAACCTTTTTACAAGCAGGTCCAGAGAAGGCGAAATATCGGGTCCTTGAAGATTTCCCTCTGGCAGATGCATTACGTTCGACTTTACGAGCGAGTAATCGCCTCCAGAGTGATTGTTCAACAGTAGATTCGAATCCAACGACTTCTTTTTCTTTTGTAGCAGTAGCTGTAGTAGATCTATCTGCAGTTCGATCGGCAGGTCGTTCCATGTCCATAATTTGACTCAATACTTCCACTTCCTCGAAGATTGACTTTCCCAAGATTTTGGCGATGAAGGTTTTGGATATGGTATGGTCGGCAGATGTAGGAGACGAGATTGGCGTGGCATCGCCAGCACACATCCAGGGGTCCTTCCATACAGCGGCGATGCTAATCCTTCGTCTACCGTATTTGCGTAGCATTTTACTAAGCAAGTCCTTCAAAGATGGGGAGGCATGTTTTGGGAAGACGACGCGACTGGATAGGATGGCTGTCACGGTGTCCTCAGGACATTTACCGTCAAATGGCAGCGTGCCAAAGTTGAGAGCATATAAACACACCTAAAAGTAAAGTAAGGATGGCGAGTGTTAGATCTTTAAGTTACTAGCCAGTGATCCAATGACCACAGATTATGACGATCCGCCTATACACTTACACCTAGCGACCACACATCTAGTTCTGGTCCGTAGTAGTATTCATCCTTGAGAACTTCGGGACTGGCGTACTTGAGACTCCCGACAGATCCACGAATCTTGATTCTTCCAGTTTGATCGTAAAATGAGGCAAACCCAAAGTCAATGAGAGTGGCGTGGCCAGTGGTTGGATTGAATCGTATATTCTCAAGTTTGAGATCTCGATGGACGACACCGTTACGGTGGGAGTAATCTATGTGTCGCGATGGACACAGTCAGGGTAAGCAAAGTGTTTTCAAATTGAAGATGATGGCAAGTTAAAACTCAAGCATACCGATGGCATCGAGTAGTTGCTTGAAGACAGCACGAGCATCATTTGGAGCAAAGCATCCTCTTTCAATGACATATTCGAGTAATTCGCATCCCGGTAGAAATTCAGAGAAGCTAAATATGACATATTAAGGTTAGAGCTATCCCCAAATATGAACCAAAGTATTGGATATGAAATGACAAGCGAGCAGAAACCAATGTGAACCACCACTCACCAATAAAGATTTTTGTCACCCCAAATAGTAGCAAATGTTCGGCAGATGTTGGGATGATCCAAGACCATTGAAATGCTAGCTTCCCGAATCATGGCAAGATAAATTGTCCAGAATTTTTTCAGTTCGGAAGGTTCTAGGACAGCATCCTCTGATTCAATAACTTCAAGATAAGGTATGGGTATAGCTTTTGCTACAACCTACATATGAAGAGAAACGAGTGAGAAAAAAGCGACCTTGATGGTTCAAAAAGAAGAAAGACCGGAGCGAATGGATATACCTCGGTCCCAGATTCGTTCTTTGCTCTGTAAACTTGGCCGAAGGCGCCCTATTGAGGATGTTGTTAGCACTGAGCACGGGTTCAACTGTGAGAAGGTTCAAGCTTTTGATTGCATCAAAGTAACGCCTTTCGATATTTACCTTTGTTATATAGTCTCGTGCTAACTTGAAAGTGCCGTTTGTTTCGGTAGTGATGCGGTTGCTTTTGGTGGGATATGGGCGACGACGGATTACGGGCAGGCGGGGAATGGATGCTGTCTCATAGCTTGATTTAGATGGTGGAAGTGCTGATGGTGCCATGGTTGATATTTGGTATGCAGTTGACTTGGTGGAGTGGTTGAGCAGTGCGAGTATTTGAGCCGAGCAGCTATAATATAAGTTGGCTAGACTAGCTAAGCCAGTATATATCAATCTATAGAGGTTATAAGGTCCTATGTGCTTGCTAGTGCTTCTTGCTATTCTCTCTTTTGCCCTTACTACTCTTGCACGTGAAAGTGTTTTGTTTGGAAATAGTGAACAGCGACAGCTCAACTCTTGACCATTTCACGTACACCATGCGTTAATTAATGGTCTTAGGAGTTTATCGCGGAGGATTTTACCGACTCTGTCGACCTGCCTTTCGTCGAAGATTTAAACCAATATGAATGCTGTAATGTCGTAATGTCTCGAAATATGTAGTGATGGGTCATAGCCATACAGACGGCGCCCGGGACAAGGGCGATGAAGAGATGTCAGAGTATTCAGAGAATACATCTACAAGGCTTGTCAGCCATTGTTTCTTTGTAGGCTAGCTAGCTAGCTAGCTTGCTCGTCAGTTCGTCCGGTTCTTCAGCATGCATGTTCTGTAGACAACGTCTAAATATGAGCTATAAAAGGCATAATAAGCGAAATAATATGTAATGTCTGTTGGTATTGGCGTCGTCTGGAAGTACTTTGGACATGATCCGTAGCTTATTGATTTTAGTGACTTTGATGGCTGTAATTACTATCATCTACTTCAAAGATCACGGTCAATACACATAATGACACGTAAAGAAATGAGTTGCCTGTTCAAACCACGTGCATGAGGTGTGCGTTTGATCTATAATAGAAACACTTCAATCAGATCGTTCCAAACATCGACCGTCGTTCAACTTGGCGTGAAGCCACGACGACGATGAATCCATTTACGCATTTGCTATTACTCTCTCTGTTAACTTTCATAGGCTCCTTCCTCGCTGGCAGCATCCCTTTGGCATTCTCTCTAACTCCTGAACGTTTACGATTTGTGTCGACATTCGGGGCTGGACTTCTAGTCGGGACGGCATTAAGTGTAATATTGCCAGAAGGTGTTGAGACGCTTTATAGTATCCAATTACAGGAAAGCAGCAAACACGATGTCAATGTTGTACCGACATCAGCCGGTGCTCACGATCAGCTAGCCGATGACAGCAGAGATCCTGCTGCTGAAGAGGATGAACATCACCATAATAAACGTGACAGATATAGTACTATCAAACCAAGGACTGTCGAACACAAGCACGGGTTTGAAGCACACAAATACATCGGACCATCGCTTTCACTCGGGTTTATCTTCATGTTTTTGCTGGAGCATCTAGGGCCTAGTCAACACCCCCATACTACTGATGCTGTTCTAGCCGATACGCCGAATCCAAACGAGAACAAACCTAAAAAAACAATGGCTGCTACAATTGGGTTGTTGGTTCATTGTGCTGCTGATGGGATTGCTCTTGGAGCCGCTGCTTCTGCTGGTAAGAGTGATTCCAAACCATTCTGAGAAATAACAGGCTGAGTGACACCGCATGTCTTGCAGATAGGTCGAATTTGGAGTTTATTGTGTTTCTAGCGATTATACTGCACAAGGCTCCGTCGGCCTTTGGATATGTCTCATTCTTGATGTCTGAAGGGTACATATCATATTCTTCGATTATTCCCCTCGCAGCCTTTCCTTCGACATTTTGAAGTGACAGCTCTGAGACAGTTTGTCATATAGGCACACACGAAGATCTGTGAGGCAACACTTACTTGCATTCTCTGCATCAGTTCCAGTATCCGCTGTATTGACTTATGGACTGTTGCACTCGGTATTCGCTGTAGACAATACATCGACACAACCGCCATCGACAACACCATCACTCGCATCCGCAACTGAAAGTAACGACATGTCGAAATGGACTGGAATATTGCTGCTCTTCTCAGCTGGAACATTCTTATATGTTGCTACTGTACATATCTTGCCCGAAATATATAGGCCTGTAGAGTTACATTCACATAGAGCTGGAGAGAATGGAATCCTGCTGACTACAAGGCCTACGGGAGATGATGATGGTGGTAGGATGCATGATCATCATTCTCATGGAGAGAAGAGCTTGTCACGAACACAAATTCTGGCATGGGTTTTGGGTGCACTGGCGCCTTTCGTGCTTGCTATCGAGGTGAGTAACCCCAGTTTCGTTAAGGTTTCGTTGCTGCCCGGACCTTGCTAACTATGTCTAATCTAGCACGCCCACTGAAAAGATGTCGACTGATGTAGCTTGGTCGAATTATGTGTATATATAATGTTGTATTAGCATGCACGTTGTACTTATTTTAGAAGTATACTATACAGTATGAGCATACTGGATGAGGGATCCCCCATCCATAATCTATTACAGGAGAGTCAAATCAACCAAATCCATCTTCCTCGTCCGATTCAGCAAGTGTTGCACAGCATTAGCCTTGACCGTCGCCTCATCCTGCTTTTTGATTTCCTCGACTTTATCCAGCACATATCGATACTTTGAAGCAGCATCCATACTCATATATTTGGGCACATTGATAGCATCTGCCAACATCTGTTTAGCTTCCTGCTGCGTCCTCATAACAACCGACAATGAATTCGACCCATCATCGATACTCACAATCCGTCGTCTACGAGCTAAATCATAGTGTATCTTGACTCTCCCTGCCACGAGAGCATGTAATGTATAGTCTTTGCTGGTAGTTACGTTGATGCCAGCATGGAATTGGTTTCCGCGTTGTCTTACGAGGATGTCGCATGGCTGGACGATGGCTCCATCACCACGTTTTATACCTAGATGCTTTGGTTGCGAGTCTCGTCCGTTTGCTGAACCTCCTGACGATTTTTTTGTAGCTGTTCTGACTTGTTGTAGGATGTAGGATGAGGATGGATTTATAGATAGAGGTTGCAGGCTAGTGCTGCATCTGGATCGGAGTGATGCTGAAGAGATGCTGGCAAACATGACGTTGATGCTTGAGTTGTGTTTGCCAAAAAAATTGTAAGAGTTTTGCGTCCAATTGGGAGCTAGCAAAGCTATGATGCAGACAGGTTTGACGTTTCAAGCGTGTGATATCTTTGAATAGTATAGCATATGCAAAGAAATTCCAGCAAGCAAACCACTTCCTCGACACGAAAAACGTGCAGCTGAATTGAAGTCGACATTTTGAGCAGTTTTGACCAGCAGTAGAACTCGTTTAAACTACACGAATATACGAATACGTGTCAACTACTCTAAATATTGCAATGATCGCGAAATCATACTCGACTTTTGCTAGGTATCGAAGCGACCGCTATGAGTGACGTAGTGCGAGGCAAAACACCGACCAAAAGCACAAACGTCTCAACACAAAGTAGCACCAACAAACTACTAAACAAGAAAAATGGTTCAACTCTCAGGATTCACTGACGTGAGTGCATATAGTTGCATGCGGTTATCCTTCGAGAGGAATTGTTACCATTTGACGTCCCAACTAAACTCCACGTTTTGCCAGGTCATCGTCACCAAAGAAGGTCCAATTGGGCAAATCAAGTAAGGAATGCTTAATTGTCCGTATCCAAATCTCATTCGCCTAACGCTTTGCTCTACTTTTAAAAAGGTTCAATCGCCCAAAGTGAGCTACAACATTGAACATCGCAAACAATCACAAACAGTGTTGTTCACACTTCCCGACCGTTTAATTTCTGACCTTTATTCGTTTTTTGCTATAAGGTCCTTGAACGCTTTCGGTGGCATGTTGGTGCTCGATACTCTGAAAGCCCTCCGTGACTTTGACAAGGATCCGTCAATCATCTTCACAGTAATCACTGGTGAAGGAAGATTCTTCAGTTCGGTACGTTACAGTCCTCAATCAAGTCTACATCCAGACCACTTTAAATTTACAGTGGTATCCTTTAGGGTGCTGATGTCCGAGGTACTGATTCAATGGACGAAGTTTGTGGAGTGACGTGGAGCCAGTTTTGACAATAACCTTTCATCTCTTTGTCAGCTTTTGGCAGCGCTCCACATACCCCTGCTGTACCAACGACCGAATTGGAAGGCAAGGTTGCCTACATCAACAACGGTGCTGTTCCAATTGAGTTGGTCCGAGCTATGGTAAGAATCTTCAGGTTGGCTAGTAAATGAGTTCACTTGTCGAATGAGCCAACGATTTGTGTGTAGATTGACCACAAGAAGGTCCTCATTATGGCTTTGAACGGTGGTGCTGTTGGTAAGTTATCTCGCTGTTGCAGGATTGTGTAATTTAATAGGCAAAACTAACCATAACCCAATCATTTTATAAGGTGGTGGATGTGCATGGTTCCTCGGAGCTGCTGACATCGTTTTGGCCACTCAGGTAATTTCTTCTTAACAGGTGTTGCTTCTCAGCGACAAAGTCGTAACTAATCTCATCCTATGGAACAGTCTGCCTACCTCCAAGTGCCATTCAGCGCATTGGCCTTGGTACCTGAAATGGGTTCCAGAATGTTTGCCGAACACGTAGGAGTTCGCAGGTAAGAACGAAGCGATTTTGCTGTCATCCTACCACGAATTCTCAAACAGAGTCTATTAGAACCACCGAATTCTTGATGTTTGGCCGAAAGATCAACACAACCGAAATGTTGGACTGGGGCATCGTCAATCAAGTCTTCCCAGATGCGACCTTCAAGTCTGACGTCGCCCAGTACTTGGCAACTCAACTCGAAGTTAACGATCACAAGTCCATGTTGGGTATGTTGATTGTGAGGTGTTCTTTGCACAGTGATTACCATTTTGACCACTTCCACCGTAGAAACCAAGCGATTGATTGTTGAACCACTCAGAGAAGGCAGAATAAACGCTCTCTTCAGAGCCCAAGATGGCCTCGCTGAAGCCATGGCAGTAAAGAGACCAATGAAGAGATTTGCTGAAAAGGCCGCCAAGATGGTTGCTAAATCCAAATCCGCTAAATTGTAAACGGTTTTTAGTATGAGTTTCCAACCAAAAAAGAGATATTAGTGTTTGAATTCTGGTTTTCTTTGCGCTTTCAAAGTTCCACGCAGTTGTCGCCTTGCTTTGCCAAAAGGCCTTGTTCACATTCTTCATGTTTTCGTCGATTCTTCAAACAATCTGAAAGCGAAGAAACTTACAATGGCTGCAGGGAGTGCGACCCCGTCCAGGCTTCATACTCTGTTAGTGACGGTCTATGAAGGTATGAAACTGCCCGCATCGGGCTGAGATCAAAAAGAAACGCCTGTGTAATATTCCAAACGGTTTTAACATTTTCACCAACATTTAATCTCGCAGGTCGTAACTTTACAAGGAAGCCCAACGCCAAATGTTACATCCAATGTCGATTCAATAATGAAATCCTTACTACGGATCCCACTGATCACGGTCCATCTCCTATCTGGGACACTGAATTAGAATGGGACATGGACATGAGAACATTAAGTCACCATCGGTCTCAACGCAACTCCCTGAAACTCATTTGCTACTCTATTGATACATCTGGAAATCGCGATAATCTTGGGTTTGTCATGCTAGAATTGAGGGCTGCTCATCAAGGATTCCCGGCACCCGAACAGTGGCATCTCTTAATCAATACAAAGACTCCTAGCGGTGCTTTCAAACCCGAAATCAAAGTCTCGTTTGGTGTAGGACCCAAGGCTGTAATAGTCCAGCCTTCTCGTATAATACAGCAATCTGCTACTGTGGCAGACACAAGCACGAATGTCGAGAACAATAGTAAACATAAAAAACCACCAGTAACAAAGTCTACAGATGGTACAGCAGTTGATGGACATGTAGGATCTCTTAGCTTTCATCTTATGGAAGGCGGATACTATCAGATCGGAGAAGGAACGACACGATGGACATTATCGTTAACAATTGCCTTTGTCGAACATCTAAATGTATTACTCGACCACGCAGCTCCTGCAGAATCTAAATTCTACTTTTATTACTCTGTGATGGGTAACGACATTGCTACCGAACCATTCTCAGACTTGTCTGCTCCATCATTCCCATACGAACGTGTAACAATGCATCTCAGCTGCACATTGCCGGATCTAGTCAAGCTGCTAGAAGAAATGGGTGTCATCGTTGTCAATTTATGTGGTGATAATCAGATATTGGGATTTGCGGACGTACCGCTGACCGGATTGTTGGATGATGACACTGGTGAAGGACGATTGATTGAACGAGTCTATAATTTATATAATCCGAAACTGGAACTGCCTATGAATGCAGAAGGAAAGATACCTAGTATTGGCCTGGCAATCAACTTGGAGCGAGATTCTGGTAATAGTAAACACACAGTCGTAGTTGGAGCACCGACCAAAGAGGCTAGTGGCATAGAAAGTAAAGAGCCGATGTCTGCACCCGCCCAACAACAGAACGAGACGCCAATGAGACAACAGACGGTATCTCCACCACCCGAAGTAGTGGTCCAGCAGCAGCAGCCGATTGCAGAAATAGTTAGACCACCTAGTCCACCAGTTCCGGCCTTACTGCACAAAATGCAACGAGTCACTCAATCCTCCCCTACTCGCACGCTGCCTTCAGCCAATTTGCCGTCTCTCTACCATAATATGAATCCAGCCCCCTCATCAAATCTTGTAGATACGTGGAATCAGTATCGCTTCTCTATAGAAGTGCGGTCGATTCGGGACTTTACTCTCAAGTCAGCAAGTATATTTTGTAGATACTCATATACACCATTTGGTACATCAGCACCGTTTGCCACACATCCACGCCTGGATTTACTCAAATCACCTGCTGAAGTATTACTACCTCACTCATTTTGTGCATATGAGTTTGTAATGGCACCGAATCGACTACAGACATATCTAGAAGCAGTGCCACTAGTGGTTGAAATGTGGAGTAAAGATCCATATGCTCGAGATGTCCTGATAGGTACAGCTAGTGTTGATATGGCTGAAGTATGGCAAGCGCATCCCCGACGCCACGATGGTGAAGTAGGTGGCGTAGTCTCTGTAAAAAGCTTTGACTCTTGGCAGGTTGTGGTTGGTACTGATGAGGATGGCCAAGTTAAACGAATATCAGATTTACGGGTGATCTTGGCTCTCGAAGACTTTGGGCCTTTAGAACAGCAAGAGTCTGGTGCTCCTCAATCGATGCCGTATAGTGACATGCTGCAACAACAGCAACAGAGTATTCCAACTCCTCGTGCACGCCCTCCACCAGCACAACCTTCAACGAATCAGCCACCAGATGTATCTATAAATTCTTCAATACACGAGACGGCCGAATACCGTGCAGCTCTAGATCTCGAAGTCTGGCGTATGGAGGAGGAACGTGACTTTAGAAATCATTTACTAGCTCGAGAACAGGACTTGATGAGGCAGCTAGCCGAAGAATGGAAGAAGCATGAACGAGAACGTGATGCTCTCTTGCAACGCCGTAGTGAAGATCTCAAGCAACTAGAATCTCAGGCTCAAAAGATGATTGCCGATCTAGAGACTCGAGAACGACGACTACTCACTGCCGAAGAAGACTTGTCGAAACGACGTGATGATATAGAACGAGAACATGAACGATTTGTAGGAGAAGTGAGAGATGCTTCTCGACGTCTGGGCGACGAACTAAACCATCGTCTCGAAGTAGAGAAGGAACGAGCTGCCCATTCCGAAGCTGGTCGTGAACGAGCAATTCGTGAACGTGATGAACTAGAATCTAGATATAAAGAATTAGAGTCTTCCGAACGTGCTCTACGGCCCGCATTGTCTGCTGGACCTGATGCACAGCTCAAGAGTGAGTTAGTAACCGCTGTAGCAGGTGTAACGAATCTCCAACGCCAAGTAGATAATTTGACTCGAGCAAAAAAACACTACAAGGCTAATTGGATGAGAGCCTTGAATGAGCTAGCCAAGGAACGTAAGGATAAACAGACCGAACTTGAAGAAAGAGTGCAACGTACTGAAGAAGGAAGAGCCAAAGAACGGGAACGAGAAGTCCTTGAACGTGATCGTCGAGATATTGAAGCTGTACGTAAAGAAGTTGAAAATCTAAGAGCTTCTATTGGCCCCAACGCTATTCATAATGTAGCCAGTGCTGCAGAGGTAGCGGAGAAACAACAGGACTTTGTTATATCTAAACGGGATTATGACGCATTAGACTCTAGACGCTTGGAGGAAGTTGATAGGCTTGCGTCTGAACGTGATCAGCTACTGGCTAGTGGTGTATATACACGAGAAGATCGACTAGTACGTGAATTGGAACGTCGTATTCGTGAAGTTCTTGCTGGACAATAGCTAAAACCTTCGTAGTGTGTTTATTGTATATACGATGACATGACGTGTGGAACTTGAGCAAATTACGTAAATTAATATATTCTTTCATGTAACTGGCTTAAAATGTCCCGTCTTGCTATGAATCAACCTCCCCAAGCGTTAATCGATCAATCGAAAGTCCAAACTTCAATAAACAGCTGCAATCACTGACAATCAGCTATTAAACACCTCTTGGAAGGACATCAGCCGCGTCAATGGACATTGTAAAACGCCATATCTCGCTCCTCGCTACGGCAATTGCTATATCATCCATCCCATTCTTTGGCCTGATATGGCTAACTCGCCCAAAAAACAAATCAGTCCCAGGCCCACAATTCTCCCTCCAATTCCTCAAGCAAGTTATGGCACACCGCAAAAACAACTCTATGCACGAGTATCTCGCCTCCGCATCCAAAGCATATGGTCCCATCGTCCGACTACCAGCTCCCATTTTCGGTTTAATGGAAGTCATCTTACTCAGTGACGCCCCCGAATCCAAAAGAATCCTAAGCTCGCAGACCGAATTTGATCGTACCACGTTAATGAAACGACTGTCATTGTCTCCTCATGCTCTGCCTGCTTTGGTTGGTGATGAACATAAACGACATCGCAAAATCTTGCAGCCTGCTTTTGCGCCAAAGACTTTTAGGCAGGTGCCTGCTGTTGTTGATAAGGCTATGCAGGAGCTGTTTGGGATTTGGGAGAGGAAACGCCTGAATGGGGATCGGATTGTTGATGCATCTGTGTATGTAGTATGAGTTCCATTCGGTGCAAGTTTTTCGCTGTACCCGTTCCCTCTCGCTCGCTAACAAATAATCGTTCCTTCAGACATATGAAGAGTCTCGTAGTCGAAGCACTTGGTGAAATTCTGTTTGGATATCGTTTCGGAGGTGTCGCGGCCTTGGAAGCAGGGACCATTGACAAGAAGTTTGAAAATGCAGTCTTCCAGTTTGGACTCTTGACTACACGAGTATGAAATTTTTCGTCTCCTTCACACCATATCAGCATCCTCTAACTGGAACCTCCAAATTTTAGAGAGCTCTCGTACCGAAGTTCTTGTGGGGAGTAGTTGGTTTGGCACCGTCACAAGTACAAAAACAAGTTGCTCCCTTATTGGACATGTTGGAATCAATGATTCAAAAGAAGAAGAAGGATCAATTGGAAGCTACCAGTGATTCAGACAAGCCAAAGGACTTTTTGGACTTTTTGTTGTCTATGAATACCGATGGTGATGGGGTATGCGAAGTTCTGTTGATTTCGATTTGCGGCAAAACGGTGGCTCAACCCCCTGTCATATCTCACTTGACTTAGAAATTCACTCACGATGAAATCATTGACGAGTGTGTCACCTTTGTAAGTTGTGCTAGTCTTGGTCAATTCTGATAGAAGTCTCGTGATGATAACACCACTGAGTATCCAGTACTTGGGAGCACAAGGAACAACACCCGGAACACTCGGCTTCTTGATCTACGAACTATCCCTCAATCCAGAACTGACTCAACGTCTCCAAGAAGAACTGGATGAAGAACTGGGTGCTGATGGAAACGGAGTTGTGACTACTGAACTCAGATCAAGGCAAACACTTACTCAGTCTAATGCATTCTTGTTCTCTTTATGTATGTTTTTGTTTCGGCCACTAACTCCGCCTTCCGATTTTTCCAGACTCTTACACAACATTGTCCAAGAATCTCTCCGTCTACATCCAAGTTTCAACCCCGCCACACGTATTGCCCTTGAAGATACAATGATTCTGGGCCACAAGATTGCCAAAGGGACAAACATACGAGTCTTTCCTATGGCGGTACACCAAAACAGTGCTTCGTGGAATGATCCAACTAGATTTGATCCTGATCGATGGAATCAGGGAGCACATATTGCGGGCAGTTTCTTGCCTTTTGGAGATGGGATTTATCATTGTGAGTGACGTTGCCTCGTCCTTCATAAATCTGATATTGTTATTTTTGCCTCTTCTTACAACGAATAATTTAGGTATCGGCAAAGGAATTGCACAATCTCTGTTAAAGACTATCGCTGCTGGATTGTTTTACAAGTACACGCCAAGACTCATGGATCCAAATATTCAAGTCAAGACCAACTTGAATTCTACATCTATTCATAACCTCATGGTTGAATTTGTGCCTCGTCGCTGATTTGCTGCTAGAGGTTGTCTTCTTCTGCTTTGCTCTTTTACTCATATGTTATCTCAAGACTGGAACTATTTTACAATATACTTGGTGTTGAGTGTCTACACAACATGAAGCATCAGCGAGCTGAACAGTCGCATGTACCACAAGGTGGACATTTTTTTGGAATCAAAACCCGACCATTCATTTTGACAACTTGGAGGAGTGGCATTTTCGGAGATCTTATATCGTGTTCATGAGGAAATTATACAATAATTCTAAACAAGTTTTATACATTCAACCATTGTGTTGAGAAACCATTCTTTCTCGTCACATTCCTACTGTCCCATTGGATATCTTACCCATAATTCAGTTTTGCAAAACCATCATGTTCCTTACTCCTTCAATACTCAACAGTTGGTTTGAAGAAATTGACGGGTAACGGCTTGAATTGGTAAATTGGTTAAGTTTTAGTCGTCTGGTTTGAGCTATTACATTCAAATGGTTGCAACAACTATTCAAGTACCTTTGATCTGCGAAACAAAGCTTTTGTGCCAACATTCCCCCAAGTTTTTGTATTCCTTGCCATTCTAACAAAGACATACAACCCAAACCCTGCCAGAGCAATAGCTACAAATGCAACAACACCATAGACGGGTACCATTGATATTGAAGGGGATGTTGCTTCCATTGACGTTCCGCTTCCATTGATTGCTGCATCACCAGCTGCTGTTGTAGTTGCTGCTGCTATGCCTCTGGAGACAGTTGCAGTGGTAGTGGTAGTTGATGATGATATAACAGTGCTATATGTTTGTGATTCAATGATGGGAGATACTTCATGTTGATCTACCTCTCCACCGACCTAATAATAGAAAGGTTATTACTCAATCAGGTATATGGTTTTTTGCCATGAGACCTTACATTCTGACTGGGTTGAGCAGCAGCAGGGCTAGGACCTTGTTGCACGACCGTGACGATTATCACTTTCGGTGAAGCCTGAACGACTGGTTTTGGAGAAGCTGCCACAACAACAGCAGATGGATTTGGCGAAGCTGCCACAACAACAACAGATGGATTTGGCGAAGCAACTACTGCCACCTGTGATGGATTTGGAGATGCGACTATAACTGCAGATGATGCAATGACTGGAGAAGCTGCCACTGCCGCGGAAGATGCTGCCACAGGTGATGGAGCTGCTGCGGATGGCTGTATGGCGGATGGCTGAACGATGACTGCAGAAGCCGCTGGAGTTTGTTTGGGTGCTGCGGAAGGTTGCACAACAGGAGCCTAGCAAATCACCAACGTTGAGATCAAGTACAAAAAACACAGTCACCCTCTAAACTCTTGAAAATTCACCTTGCTAGGTGCCTCTGCCTTTGGTGATGCTGCAGCAGCAGGCGGACCTTTGGCAGCTACGGGTGGAGCGGGTGACCTTTTCTCGACTTGGACTAGTAAATGTGTGAGTGAGTGCAAGGAGTCATTCTCGACACCTTCCATTGCCATTGTCAACTTACGAATTGCAGTAGGTTTAACTTGTTGCAACTGCGGAGACTCTTGAGCCTGAGCAACTGGTGATTCCTTGACCTGAGGAGCTGCAGACTCGTTGACCTGAGGAGCTAAAGATTCTTTGACCTGACTAACTGGGGCTTGAACTGGAGAACCAGGTGCATTTTTGCCACCTGATGGTGGTGCACGTGACCTTTTCTCGACATTGACTAATGTTGATTGCGAAATAACAAAAAGCCCATGTTTGTTCAAAAGTCATATTTGAATCTTGAGCTTACGTGACGAAGTAGGTTTCACTTCCTTCAGCTGTGGAGACTCTTGAGCCTGAGCAACTGCTACATCGTTGGGAGCCTGAGCAGGCGGAATCTCGTTGACTGGGGTCTGAGCTGCACCATACACTTGAGCACCTGGTGCTGCTGCGGAGCCAGGAGGCCTTTTGGCGGCGACTGGTGGTGTAGATGACCTTTTCTCAACATTGACTAAAGATAGTGAATCGTATTCAAAATCAAATTCGATAGTCTTCGCAAATTCTATTGAAAGCTTCAACACACGAGATGAAGTAGGTTTGACCTCTTGAGCCTGAGCAGCTGACAATTTGTTGACCTGAGGAGCAGGGGAGTTGACAACAGTTCGATTTTTAACTTGATCACCTGTTGGTCTATTCCCCTTGATGGGTGCCTCTGCTGCTAGAGAAGCAGGTGCGTTTTTGGCATCTGCAGGTGAACCCTTCTCAACAGTGCCTATAATAGCGAATGAGAGATATTTGTCAGTATGGAGTCTCTTCACAGAAGTAATGTCTATGCACCCTCAAACTTACGTGATGAAGTAGATTCGACCTCAGGGGATTTCTGAGCCTCAGCGACCTTAACCTCAGGAGCTTCAGACTGCTGGGCTTGAGCATTTTCTTTGGCCACATTTTCAAGTTTTGAAGGAGTCACTGCATTGTTATGACCTGGTGACGTGGCAGGTTTGACATCGGGTGCTTTTGCCACTTTTTGATTCTGAGGACGTCGTTTCCAGTGTTCTATGATCAAGAGACGCTCGTTTCAGTGGTGGTCTGTACGATCATTTATAGGTGGAAGCCCTTGACAAACCCTTGAATGTTTCCTTCAGGAATGGTTTGGGCAGCAAATGTCGCTTCTTATTCATCTTTTCATATTTCTAATAATCAAATGATCAGTATTATGTGCTGGAACGATCATGATGACGAATGGATTATACATTTGTTCATCGCCATTAACACGTGTGTTTGATGTTGATGAAGAACGACCCGTTCAATCAAATACAAGAAAGAATACATGACTCACTGCATCGTTGATTGTATGAGGTGATCCATCATCAGTAGCGTCATGATCTGCCTTCATTTTACTAGCCCAGCGCAGGCGAATCAAGGAGCGACCTCTAAGCTCGTCGACTTGATCATCATCATTACCGCCAGAGAGTGCCAGAATAGAAAGCAAGACGAGGATGATGCACATAAGTGCCGACCAGCTCGTTGGGTATCTCATTTTTGGTGTCAATCAGGAGTTTCAGCAATCATGAGTGTTTGAAAGAATCTAACACGAGGAAGGAGCGATTTAACGCGGTTTGCGGCGATCGCTGCGTGTTGTACGATATCGTAGTAAGACCAGAACAGGCAGCAAATGATGGATCACCAAGACAGCAAATGATGGATCACCAAGAAAGGTTGAGGACACTGGGAACATTTGTCTGTTTTTTACAATAGGAAGGACGCTACATTCCTTAAGACAACTTTTATACAAAGATCAGGCAATATTTGCAAGATAATCCTTGATTTCAGAAGCATCTAGCCTCCTGAATTCGCCAGTCTTGTACTTTTCACCCTCATGGTTGACCTTTTCGACCTGAATGGCGATACCAATTTCAATAGATGAGTCAGTCATTTGACCTTCAAAGCCTTCCTTCAATGTCAATATGGCTGTATGGACGGCATCTTCTAACTCCATTCCATCTGAAAATCTGATATGGTGTTGTGAGAGAGATGTTGTTAGTTATGACAAAACATACGGGTAGAAGACAATCTTGCTTTTTTCCGCACCTCTTTTCAAGGAATGTCTTGGCATTGATCATGTTCTTTCCAATAGCACTAGCCTTCCATGCCCAATATGAACCTGATGGATCTACTTGGTACAATGATGGTCCAGTTTCGTCGTAACCTGCAATCAGCAATGAGACTCCAAACGGCCTGACACCACTATTCAGATTGCGTACTGGAATGTGAGTAAAGTGGAAATGTTGTAATCGTTTGCTCAAACACTACACTTCGCAAGCCCATCTAAAGTATGCCAACCAATTCCTCTCAATCAACGATGTGCATACCCGCTCTGAGTAAACTCTTGCATGACAGAAGCGACTTCACGAACCAACATGACGACAGGTGGTTCTTCCATATATGTCCTCTTGTATTCCTGAGCAGATTTACGGGCCTTGTCAACCAGTACTCTTGCATCAGGACCCATTCCAGAATAGACCATTCCAATAGTTGAACAAATTTGCGATATTTTTTCGATGGTGGTATCATCAATCAAGGGTGATGTGACCTTCTTTTCTGTGCAAATGACTATTCCATTTTGACCTATGTTTGGTTTAAGTGTTTGATGAGTTTTGATGTTGCGAGTTTGTCGACCATGCAATGATATATAGATACAGGTGCTCTTTTGAAGGAATAAAATTCCAAATACATTGACGATTGTTACCTTTGATGCCAATGCTCGTCACTCCTTGAGATACAGCATTCAATGCGTATTCTATTTGCACCAACTTGCCAGACGGAGAGAAGGTTGTCAGGGAGAATGAGTATCGGTCTCCCATGGTTTACAATGTACTGGATATTACGGGATTACTATATGACACAGTTAGTCAAGCTACTACGACGAAAGGAATGTGCTATGGGTGACGCGTCAACGACAACTGACAATGAACGTAGAAGGGGAGAGCAGCCTCTAAGACGTGTTCGCCCTATTCTTTATTCGATATTTAATATTATTAATCGTAGGTAGCCGTTCCAAGCTTCTTGCTCTTCGACCAAAATCCAAACATCCGACCAAAGTGCTCCGTCTTGACAGACCGAAGCGTTTTAATCGGTTTCCGGACGTCCTTGACGCGATTTCGTCAGTATTACACGTATTAAAGACGTCAACTCTATCTCGTCATCATCAGGCAGCTCCTCTCAAATGACGCAGTTCATGTGAAAAAATCTCATACACATCGGACCACGTAGCTACTATAGAACCAGCTAGCAAAGATGTACACGCTACGATCCTTACTGACACGCGCCCTATCGCGTACATCGCCTCTGATACGATCCAATGAGCTCTCTGCAAGTACAATACAGCAACAATCGCATCCATACTCACTCATGGCTAAAAGGATTATGGGAAGACGGCCACGCCCTCAGATGACTAAGTCTGTGAGAAAACCAACCCCTCGACTTATTGCTTTGGTAACCAAAGGTGTGTGGTTTGCGGCATCATTTTTTTGGCAAAAAACATTGAAACTCAATTCGACTGCTAGACAACCTGCCGTATCTCGTCAAGAGGACAGCCATAGCTAAATGGTTGCCTGTATACAAGGATATCAAGAATCAGACCGGTATATGGACGGTCATTCGAAGGATTGAAGGAGATGTGAATGTATGTGATGTTGAGCACTACGGATTCCTTGCAAAGCGCTGACTCGCTCTTTTCAATATAGGCTCTGGCAAACGATCTGACGAGTTTCATACCCTCGCATCGAGTACACGTTAAAGAGGTCGCTCGCCATGTCAGAATTAAAGGCGACTATATCAAAGAGGTCAAGGACTGGCTAACAGCAAGACAGTTCTAAGACGCAAAAACAACTAGCGTTTTCTTCACAATCACTACATGTACATCTTTTTTGAAGCCACACTATAAACAATCACGTAATGCATTCCTCAACTATGACAAGATTTTTTTATGAGTTGTCCACGAGGACCTACGGAGTTTCAGACTTTTCGTCACCATTTTCATTGATCACGTTCCTATACTACAGGTTCACCACCTTCTTCCAGCGTCCACTGGTTCACTTGATTGATGAGTTCCCTCATCTCTGGGCAAGACTGTGAAGCAGTCTCCAAGACTTCATTTGTCGTGTTTTGTATCGTTTTGTTCTTAAATAGTATGGTTGTGATGGTGGTGAAGTGAAGGCACGGTCCCAATGCGTTCAGAGATCCATCTTTAGTGACGTTACAAGTCGATACCAAACTCAACACGGCTGTGAATGCAAGGCTGCATTGGTGATTCAGAAATCGTTAGTTTGAGTTGCTTGGTCCAGCAGGTTTAACTACTTACAAGTTCACAAAGCTCGGAAACATTTTGATAGGAACTTGATCTCTCGCTCGCAGTGCCATTGATGCCAAGTCTGCAATGTTGAGTGCCGCTCGATGATATCTAATAGCGGGAATTGCATGTTAGGTTCCAGTCGAGCTCTAAACGGCATCTTTGCTTCAACTCACTTGACAATATGCATGTTGTATCTGCAGGCTTCAAAGTCAGATCCATGCCGGCTCAATGCAGACAATGCTCCTGGTTGATGTAGCCAAAGGAGGCATAGGTGATACAGCATCAGCAGGTAACAGTTCATGGCACGGCAACCAGGATGCAGCTCGCTGGATGATATCATGTCTTCCACTGTCATTGTAACCGCATGTTGGGGTATTTGTTCCCAGTGTCTAGACACAGACGCTCGTCAGTCAAACAATCAATGAAGTTGCATGATGGTAACTCACTGTTGCCATTTCTTTTCAATCATATGAATTGATTCGATATAATCAATTCCAAGCATTGGATGAGATAACTTGATGTCTAGCACCACATCGTGAGCATCCAATAGCAGCCTACATATACCAAACAGAGAGCTGGCAGTGTCTTTACTCGTCTCTTCTTCTGTGCATATTGGTGGTTCTGGATTCAAAGGATTGCTCTTGACCCAAGTGTAGTCAGGACATGGATATTTTGTTGATACTAGCACTTCTTCATACATTCTACACATGCTTCGTAGACCAAGTAGAGCAACCTTCATTTCGCTCTCACTACAAACAGAGACTTTCTAGCAAATGAAGCTACAAAATACATCATTGAATGTGTTGACTTACAAGCAACTCCAAAAGAGCCTTCGCATACGTTCTTTCTCAAACCATGACAGAGCAGCAGGAAGTGGTGGATTACTCCCCAGTCCGAGGATGAAAGCATATGGCCGGAACAAATGTTGTTGCTGACAGTCCATTGGCGCGAGGTGCTCGTTTGCATCTTGCACCAACTCATCCGGATCTAGATACAATTTCAAACTCCAACACGCCCTTGACGTCCTCGTCACCCATCGCCATGTTTTCTCTATGACGCCTTTTTGCGCCGAGTATATCGTGCTCAGGTATAACACCTCTAAGGCGTCAACGTTGATATTATCGTATAAGGCAGGGAGTCGATTTATTATCTCTTGATGTAGCATTTCACCAGCTTCGGCACCTTTCAAGATGTAGGTCTGGTTTGAAACATCACGGAATGGCACGGGCATGGGATCTATCGTGGCTCCTAGAGCTGCGAGGGCAACCATATTCCAGTAATATGTCGGATCTTTCTCTCGAGACTTGACAATGGTTTTATGGAATGGAGAGGACTTGAATCGTGTCAAGACCTGCTGTACAGATACCATGGCTAGATATTCTAATGCAGCCTGTCTCTCTGATGTATAGGGGTTATCGGGTATCCCAGCGTTTTGTTCAGCCTCATTCTGTCCGTTTTTGGGCGATCCAGTTGACGACAACGGTGGTGTCGGAGGTAGCGCCGCTACTTTTACATCAGCAGCAGCGACAGAAGGATTGCCGTTCGAAGCAATGTATCGAGCAATCAGACTTTCAATTGTTTGGTATAATCGCTGACGTCGTTGTTTCACCGTCCTGGGCACTACCTCCTCCTTCTGGTACACTTTATATACACATTCGTGAGAGTTCTAGCGTGTTTCCAGGCGTCAGATGAGGTATCTGCCAAATGTCACCGATCAATTGAGCACTTACTTCCAAACACCGACCACATATAGGTCTCTCCTGAGAACATCGTATCTTTCTCCTTCGACATGCTTCACAGGCTTGAATCCTACGAAACCTTATGGCTCTAGCCAAACAACAGGGGGTCGGAATGGTCAATACCAAATGAACAATGCGAAAATAACCACTAGTAGCAACAACTCACTGCAGCTGTTCCCTAAACTCCAACAGTTGAGACAATACGTCTTTTTTCACTCCAGCCATTTATACATTCCAAGGACACCGTTCCAATATAGCTATTCACCAATAGAGAATTTGAGAAAAAAGACGCTGGTAGTGTTTTCACCCACTAGTACATTAGGGCGGAGGGAGGGAACAAAGAAAGATGTGACAGCCTGGAAGTCGTTTGGACGAACCTGTCGCTACTTCTCCCAGCAAATATTCTCAGCTGGGGAATTTCTTTAATTTGTTCTCTGTAATCGGTCCAGACCTCGGACGGACCCAGCAATGGACTCATCACGCTTTAGGGAGTGGTCTGTACATTCTTCCTACGCTGGTGCTGAACGCGTCTGCCAGAGCATGTCCTGAGGCTAGATCTGTAGTTAACCTGCTTCAGCAGATATACACCGACGTTTTGATTCTGTCGCCTCCGAGTCGCACATTTCAGTATGATCTCATACGGGCGACATCATACTGAAATGTGCGCACCATGTCTGCCCAGTGCATCCATTTACATTCAAGCTTCGATTTATATGGATTTACAGGAGCGATCGTCTAGAGTAGCCAAAGCTCGAAAAAACTCGACCTGAAGTATAGAAATCGAAAAAGAAGACGTAGATTAACAACTGATTCAGCACTAATTGTACCTTGAAGACACATTAATCGACGAGTGAGTCACGCATTTGACGTGTTGAAAACGCTTATCAAAATCCAGGCCACCGCTTGAATTCTGATTCAGATTTGGTTGACTACGCAACAAAGTGTCTGTAACAAAGAGCTTCATCGTAAACACGAGTAAAGATGGTTATTAAGGCATGCGTCTTTGATATCTTTGGAACGATCTCCAACTATAAGGCAACCGTACCAAATGCGTTGAGGGATAGTGCACCAGCTGCTTTGAAACATTCGGTAGATTGGGAAGAGTTTGCAACCAAGTAAGAGTTTGCTGGATCTCGAGAAAGAGCAGTTTGCTGCTTGCCTACTAGTGATATTTGTTTTCATCTCGCTCTTGTCACCAACATCAACATTCAACACAAAGCTTACATCACTGTTCTGTCTCATCACAATAGATGGCGACAAGGCTACTACAGATTCGTGCACGCCTTCGCAACAGGAAAGACAACAGAATGGATGAAAATCGACACTTACCACCGTCAAGAACTGGATAAACTGGCTGCAGAATACAACATTCCGTGGACTGAAGCGGAAAAAGATCACATTTCCAAGATCTGGCATCGTTTGATCCCTCATCCTGACTCCGCTCCAGGCATGAGTGCTCTGAGAAACGCTGGATTCATATGTACAACGCTGTCGAATGGCAACTTTAGCTTGTTGGTGAATTTGATGAAGTTCAGTGGGTCCGTAACGCTTGTTTGATCTCACTATGGAAGACACGTTACCTGAAATCAACCTTCTTTTCATAAGGGTTCAAATGGATGCAATTATCAGTGCAGAACTCTTTCAAAATTACAAAGCAAATGCCAAAGTATGGGTGTATCCGTCTCACGTTCGTGTTGTTGTTGATGTTTAACCGTTCCATCGAGTAGGTATACCTCGGTGCAGCAGCGCTCTTGGACCTTCAACCAGAGGAGGTCATGTTGGTAGCAGCTCACGTAGACGATCTCATTGGCGCAAGGAAGGCTGGTTTGAAAACTGCTTATCTTCGACGAGAAGGCGAAGATCCAGCTGAACCAAGAGCTGCTGGTGAGAGATTCGAATATTATGCTACTGACTTGGTGGAACTGGCTGCTCAGTTGGCCAAAGATCATGGTGCGAAACTATAAGAATAGAGATTCAAGTGACAAGAACACCCCTCATAACTTTGCTTATGCCCAGTATATTCATAACGAATGTGATTAAAACTAAGATTTGTTTACTGGTCACTATTATTGAGTTCGACTACAACCGAGCTGACGACGGTACGGAATTCTTTTCGACATCGGGTACTAGCAAATTGTTTACTCTCTTCACTCGCGCTCCTCTCACGGCAAGAACAACATCCTTAAATATCAAACTACCACCGTTTACAACAGAGTCCAACATCGCATCAATATCACGGCGTTGCACCTCACTGCACGACTCATACCAATCTACAGACCGTTGAATCATCCACAATTCATAGGGCATCACAGCACGTTTTCCACGAACGACTTGACCCGTCAGTGGGTCAGTTACATGATAATCTGCTATTGCTAACGATCTCGGTATCTCACCCCTGTGGTTTGGCTTTTGTTCAGACAACCATTTCTTTAAGACGTTGGCCGTCGTTATCATGAATGGCAGCATATCCTCAATTATCGGTCTAAGCAAAGGTAAGAGCGTTACTGGAATTTCGTCGTTGGGTTGTAGATTGTATTTTGCATCTGATGGTGACTCTCGTTTCCATGTTGTGATTCCATTGACGGTCGTTCCAGAGAGTATTCGATTGGGGTTGGCTTTACCATGGAGCTGGCAGACTAGAAACACCAAGTTTGTGGGAAACTGTTTGAGGAATAAACGACACTTTGTACATCACGTTTTTACCTCTTTCAATCCAATCTACAACTCGCGGATATTTAATCTTTAAAATAGGACCGGGTATCGGATCTCGCAGCAGGTGAGCATACATTCCACCAAAGAAGGAATAATCTGCTAGTGTTGGTGCATTTCCCTACAAAACAAAACAGAGCAGTTGGTTAAGAAGTCGATGCTGAGACGAAACTCATATCCTCATACCAATAAGTAAGGGTACTCATCCAAATGATTTGTCAACTTTTTCAAAAAGTCATGTAGTTGTAATTCAATCGTCTCTTTGGTTGCAGGAGTCACCCCAAGTGGAAGTGCCGCTTTCTGCAGCTTCACTGCACGTTCTCCACCCTTCTTGATTCGTTCTTCATACGACATTTTCCCAGGAAACATGCTTCCAAACTCATGATACATGTAATCTCTAGCATTCTCAAAGTTCCACCTGTAATGCATGGCCCAATTCTTCATCCACCTAACGATGCGCTTGACAGTCAGATCTTCACATTTACTTCAAGCTAATAACCCTTACTCATCGCCATAAGCTTCCAAAAAGTAGGTCAGGAATCTCTGCTTGGGATTAGACTTCGTAGGGTATGCAGGAAATGGCGTTGGAAATACTGATTCCAAGTAATCGACTATATCCGTCGTATCTTGAATAACCGTCTTGCCATCAGGCGATACCAGGACAGGTATAAACGTTGTTCCAGATCTAGGCACGATCACGTCCTGCATCAAGGTAGGATTAACGAGTACATCTTCGAATGGAATTCCTAAATTCAATGATGAGGTGAGTATTCGCAGCGAGCGTTTCGAAGGACTCGATGAAGTTTGATTGATCGTGGATTTTGATCAATGTTTGGTCAAGATCGCATTGTTTAACACTGAGCGATGCTCAGAGGGACATCGTCGGTTCAACTCTCCAAATTCTAGTTAGATGCATACCCTTCCATGTCAAATAAGCTCTGGCCTTCGCTGTGAAGTAACCTAACAATGAGAAGCAACCAGGATCAGGATCAAAGGTTTCACGAATTCCAGTGACGTTCAACGCTTACTGTTGATGTTACCAAGAAGCTTCCATGTCTTGTCGTCACTCATGTTGCTGATAACCGTGTGCTGCAAGGGTACTTCGGTTGATTGTTCAAAGCATTAGTTGTCGAGTGACGCAAAACGCAAAGACAACGGATGGAACATGATAAACACTTGGCATACAACTGCCATGTATATTTTTGACAGTCACGTATGTATTATGAATATATATGTAGCAGAGAAATCATCATGCCAAACTTTTGAAAAAGTTTTGAAGATAGAAAGCTGAGAATTTGATCATACGTTGCGACGTCGCAAAGTCAACATGCACAATACCAAATCGTTTGGAGTACCCATCAGCCCATTCTGTTACGAAAAGAGTATGGTGTCAAAAACAGAAACCATCATCCAACACAAAACAGATTTACCAAAATTGTCAAGGAATGACCAAGCCATGTATGTAGTGACTTTGACTCCATCAATACGTACAGCATCCATCATAGAGGCCAAGTATGATTGGTAAAAGTTTTGTCTGAATGTATCGTGGATGGAGACGTCCACATTGGTTTCATTGGGCACACTGACTCCATTCTCAGTGACCTGCATACCAAACTGTGAGGTGATTTGTTGAAATGAGACTTCAAATGCAATGAGGTTGTACTTACAACGATCTCAACCGATCCATATCGGTTCTTGATCCAAACCAACTGCTTGCGAAAGGCCCAAGGGACAACAAACAACCTGTCATGATTTATTTTTATGCGCAGACAAGGACACTGTGTAGTTAGTTGCGTGTCTTGATGAAAAATTGAGCTTCGAGGGTACGTACCAAGGAGAATCAGATACAGCTCCGATAGGTTGACCATCTCGATACTTCGTATTGACGGACGTGTTGTTGGGACCAGCTTGCTCATAACTGGCTGTATAAAAATTTAGTCCAAAGAAATCAGCAGAGCCCTTTAGTTGACGTTTCTGTTCATCGGTAAATATAGACAAACTAGGGTTGATTGCTTTCACTGACTCGGGGTAATCGCCAGTCAAGAAGATAGGATCAGCAAAAGTTCCTAAATGTGCAACCAAGGCATTCTCTGCAGCATTGACGTCTGCTGTAGAGTTTGAGTATGGCTCCGTCCATTCAGAATCCATTGTAATGCCAATACGGCCATTATTGAATCGAGTACGGAAAGTTTCCACCACTCGACAATGGGCCAATAGTACTAAACGGAAAATCACATCACTACTGTCAACAGACGCATTCAAACGACCTGAACGATATTGCTAAACATACTATTGTGATTGCACTGCTGTTGTTGACCCGTAACTCCAGGTGCAAAGATACCCATTTGGTATCCCATGTTGCAGAAGGTGTATGGTTCATTGATGGAAATCCAATTCTTAACACGGTCTCCAAATTTCGAGAAAGCGACTGTAGCGAATTCGTTGAAGTCGTCTACAACTTTCACACTCGTCCAGCCCCCATACTCTTCTTGGTGTGCTTGAGGCAAGTCCTAGATTGCCGTAGGGTGTCAATTCATAGTCAGGTGTCAGAATCAAAAAAAAAAAAAACGGGGAAGGTAACATACCCAATGATACAAGGTGACATAAGGAGTAATGCCATTCTGAATCAAAGCATCAATAAGACGATTATAGAAAGCAACTCCTTCTTCATTGACTTGTCCACGTTCAGGCATCATACGAGTCCATGACAAGCTGAAGCGATAAACTTGGAATCCAAGATCCTTCATAATCATAATGTCTTGTTCATACTTGTGATAGTGATCACATGCGACATCACCATTGCTTCCATCAGCAATCTTGCCAGGAATTCGAGTGAATGCTGTAATGTTGAGTGCGTCAAACATAAGAGTCCATGTAGGTTTGACATATGGAAAAAACGTCACATACCATCCCAGATTGAAGGAGTTCGACCAGAGACATTTGCAGCTCCTTCAACTTGGTATGCTGAGGTAGCAGCTCCATACAAGATCTTTGCCTTGGTGTCAGCCACAACAAGTGCGATGACCCAAACAAGGGCAAAGACGTAATTCACCATCCTTATTCCCAGAGCAGCGACTTTTTAGTTGGGAGTGATTTATGGTCGTTTACGTTTTAAGAAGCTTCCGTCGGGGAGTTGAGAGCTTATTTTTGGGAAATAGCACGACTCGACAGGATGTCACGTTCATGTAATGTCAAAAGACGGCGCAGACGTCACAGTCAGAAGACTTGAGATCACAATGACAGCAAATGGGTGACACCATTTCAGATCGAATCAGTCGAAGGCAGGCTGTTTCGAGCGATAATGTTGCAGCCCTTCTCCGCTGCCATGAACCACCGATATTTTCCATGATTCCGAGTGTAAATCCGGTCGGTAGACTGAAATCACTCCGCTTTATAGCGTCCATTCCTACACATAGGTCGAACGTCCAAAATGTGCAATAAAACAGCCATTTGAAGAATCAAAACACAACAGATGCTCTTACCAGATGTAATCATTATGAAAGTTTGATTCATACGGTGCAGCTCAATGCTTCCAATTTAAGATTTCAAAAGCACTCGTAAGTAAAGTGTTGGATGTTTGGCTGACTTTGCTTTTTTTTTCTGTGCACACGACATTACATACTTAAGAGTCCAAAGTTCACTTGGATCAGCGTGACATCTACTGAAACTCGTCAGAGACGCGTAAGAACTGTTTCTATCCAGTTGCATCGCTTTTTTCGTGGTCGTAATAAACAAAACGTTACATTTGATGACCAAGAGCGAGCAGAGGTGAGAATTTAAGGCACACTTACCAGCTGATCATTCAAACCTTTTTAAATCCGTTATTCTCACGTAGATTCTTCCGTTATGAGCACATCTCGACCACCATCTCGTTTGTTGCTAAGTGTCGAAGACCCGACTATAAAACAATGGTTACGGCAATTTCCTCCCGAGCGTCGCTCAATCATTTTAGCACGATCCGCGATCGTCGGGATAGCTGCCTTAAACGGAGACACACATGAAATCGACGACATTTGGGACGATAGAGAAAAGGAATTGTTTGGTGGAGAAAATGTACAAGAAGCTAGTCCGACGCTAGTGGAGATTCATGAAGATGATGAGAACTATGAGGAAGGGGGTCGTGCTGCTGGGATCAAGGTGGGAACAAAAAAAAAACCGAAGTCGTGTCGCTTTATACAGATAGGTACTTACAACTATCTCTGTTTACCCAGACCACCGTACGAATCGTCCCAAGACCTGGTGATCCAACGTCGTATTGGACATATCCATCGTGGTTGGGTCATCGTGAACATCTCCCTTCACAAGGACCACCACGTTCTCGCAAACCTATGCAGGCAATCACAAACAATCATCCCGTACCCACGAATGCAAACGATATTGGCCGAATCGTCAAACGAAAGAATCAGGGTACAAAGAATCTGATTGGGGATGCTGAGAGTGTCAATTGGACTTGTAAGTGAGGCAAAGTACCTTAATCGATAAGCTTTGTATACAGGCTGATTTTTCTTGTGAACTAGTTCCAAAACGCATGATTGACGAAGGAACTCAAACATTGACGGATGCGTTTACGAGACCTCGATCTCCTGTTCGAAAACCTGCCGGATGGGGCAAACAGGCATTGTGGTATGCTACAGGTGTAGAAGACGAGGTTGCTGAAACAGAAGAGGACCGGACAGCTCCTTCTACTGCAAGACCATCACATGATGATGTAAGAAGTGGTGGTGGTGTCATGTATGGATATGGAATTCCTGAGACGAGCAGGTATTGAATAATCGTGCTTGATGGGTTTGTTCGCCTACAGTTAACACCTAAAATCGCTTCAGAACGACAAATACAACTCGCCCTCCTCTTACTCGTATACCGAAAACTACAGCAACAGCAACAAGCACATATCACAACACAGAAGCAACCGCCACTACTCGAACAACCTCGCCAGAACGTAAATCTCGTATCCCAGCCATGACATCTCCAGAACGTCAATCCCGCAAACCGGCTGCGACCACAACTACTAGAGCATCATCACCACCAAGAAGGACGTCACCTGCTCGACCAGTTCTACCACCAGTTAGCTTTACCGTCACACCACCTAGACACAAGAAACGGACTGTGCGTGCTGAGAAGAGTAGTAGCGCTACTAGTAGTGGAGGTGGTCGTGCAGCGAGGACTATGAAAGATACGCCAACGTTTGTTCCACAAGTTATTAGTGCTGATGAGGACTTTGGAGGTGTGTCATCCCTTCGTATGTCGTGCAATCAGCTTTTTTTACTGTCACTGACTCTATGTACATTTATAGATGCAGAAGAAGCCTCTGCTGTAGAAATCGCTCTAAAGTTCATGGATAGCGACTTTTTAAAGTGCCTTGACATGAATCTTCTCGATGAATCTGAGGACGATGTTGAAAACGACTATCAAATGAATCAACAACACGACTCTACAGGTCTACATCCCCATTTGTGAAACATGTATCTGGCTGCATGCCTTGTATTTTTTTGTACATATGAAGATTATGTTTATGTCGTTTATATATGTATTAGTGCAACTTGTGAGGTCTCCACTTCATGTTTGTTGACGAGTTGTTGTTTGTGTTGTCATGATGGTTTGAGTGCGGCATGTTTCTAGCTTGACCTCTTCCAGCGTTTGTGTTGAGACCATACAAACTAGAAAGCTGCCATGATACCATCAATTCTTGCGAGTTTACATCGTCTGCAGAATCCGCATCAACACCTCCCTGACCGATATCATCCATATCCTCGTCAAGGTAGTTGTCATGAGTGTAACTAGGATTGCCTTGGTACGGAGCAGTAGTATCAAGCATGTCGTACTCTGGAGCATCGTTACCTGATTCATTCTGATATAGATGCTCTTCGTGACGTGGTTGCTCGTCGTACTCCTGTTCCTCAAACATGTCTTGATTGTATGCATCTGGAGCTGCATTGGCATATTCAAACATATCTTGATCCCTAAATTTGCCCATTGTTAACATTCACGAGCAAAAAAGTCGAGATTGCGATGTTTTTACATCCTGTCTCTGCTACGCTCATCCATGTCTCCTTCTTCATTATATTGGTTTACAAGACCATTCTTCTCTCGACAGCTCACAGGACGTGTTTCCTCTACAATAGCCTTCCACAAAACTTCTACATCCTGTGAGTCGTCTTGTCGTTTCCGCTTCTTTTTCACCACTTCGGGACTCGAAGTAGATGTATTGGCACGACTTGATATAGACAAGACAGCTCTCGATAATTTAGATTGGTTTCGAGGAGGAAGAGGAGGTGATGTTGTTGCGTTCCTGGGGTGAGCCTTCTTAAGACCTATATCTTAAAGGAGGTACAAATATGGCAAAAACAAATTGTTGCAGTCCCCTCAAATACTTACGATCTGTCTTTGTGGGTTCTCTCGCCGATTCACGATGCGATTTAAGTAACTGATCAATGTGAGTTACAGACACAATGTCATCACCATCATCGTCGTCGACATCATCAGCTGCTTCTTCCTTTTGAGCATGACGACGACCCTTTACGTTCTTTGACGAATCATGCCATTCGAACAAGTCCCGTTTCTTGTCTTCACACACTCTACGACGTCGACTAGCTTCACTACCATGTTCCTGTATCAACGAAGGAGATGATTGTACGGCATATTGAGAAGCAGCATTGTTATCATTGCTTCCACCGTCTACTGAGATACCAGCTTCTTTAATGGGTTTAGATTTTGATGGGAGGAAGTAGGAAGAGATCTGTGGAGGCGATTTAGAGAGTATAGCTTCTGGTTTCTTGTTGGTGGCCTTTGTATCCTTTGTAGTACGTGGCTCTGGATCTGGCTCAGATACGTCCTGATTAAAAAAGTGAAGCTCATCAAAAGCCAGATCTGGAACTATTTGTTATTAGAACGGTGAGCTTTTTGGGTGGCTGTGTGTGACGAGCAGACTCACTCTTTGACGATTTACGACCCTTGTTGAAGATGCCAGGTTGATTTGTAGTATTTGGATCTTTTTTAGTCTAAGTAAAGATGTGAGCAAAAAATAGATTTTGATCTAGACCACCACTTGCTAACCGGCACCGTGATTCTCTTGGAAGTGTTGATGTTGGATGGCTTGAATTTCTACGAATGAGCGAAATGTAAGTGTATGTCTTCAAATTGAACACGATTTCGCTTACATCCATGAGAGGCAGAGGAGGCCTACGAACTGGTTCTTGCTTCACTTTGGCAATAGGTGAGTCTAGGTTTCAGAGAGACTGTCAGAGCCTGCCACACGGCTTACATACAGACTTCAATAAGAACTACCAGGCTTGACTTTGATGGTGCTCTTCGTGGCCCTAATTGTAGACATGTGAAAGTTAGGTCACAGTAATGTAGTTCCTTCCAGATCCACTTGCCCCTTTGCTCGTTTTGGTCGAGGAGTACTTCCATCTCTCCTTTTCATAGCGTGAATTCGTCTCTCCTTCTTTGCACTGGTAGGTGGTGGAGGCATTTCTTCTTCATCGTGTTCTGCTGTTGGTTGATGTCGAGGATTTGGCTTATTTGCGACTACTTGTTTTGATTTATCTAGTAGCTCATCATCGTTATCTGGCTCGTATGTATGGAGATCTACGTCATTATCGTCTTCTTCTATCTGCGAATTGTCGACTGCTTTGACTGTTGATTGTTTTTTGGATGAAGAGGCCACTAATTGTCGTTGATCTTTTAGATATTTTTCCAGCAATGGTCCAGTAGGATTGAGTGATGCGACTTTGGCCAGATTGGCAGCTGTCAAAGGCAGTGGCTGGTCCATTCTCTAAAGCTTGTCTTACTTGCTCGTTTTTGAAAATCAACCAGTTCCAAGGTTACAAGAATTCTGGACGGAATCAAGCTCTGACGAAACCAGTATACTATCATTGACAGTAATCGACCATTTGCGCTCGCTTGGAACAACATGAAGCTTCCCTTTTTGCATAAAGTTTTGGTTTTATGTAAGGCTGGTCCAAGTTGCAGGAAAAAGGATTCCAAGGACGGATTGGCAGACAGGGTACGGCTATGTTGAAGCTATATATTGTATCGAGCTGCTTTATTTTTACTCCGACTGGTGGTTTGTGAAGCTTTGTCTCTCAACATTTTGCATCAGAACCCCTTTACACTTGCTAACACTCTCCCCAACAACGTCACAACAGGCTGACAAGAATGTATTTGTCGGTAATCTGGCTGTGTCGGCTCAGGATGATGGGAGCGACAAGTCGGCTCTGAGACGCAACGAGAGCAAGAAACGAGACAATTTGACTGGCCCTGTGCCTCTAAGGACTCAAAGTGCTGATAATAAGGTTGCCGGTACATCATCCCTGGTACCTGGCACAACGGAAGATCACCACGATTTGTCCATTCCACGTCCCATCACACAATATGTCGTCAAGACGGCATTTGTCCCTAGGAAACTTGATGAAATACCTCTAGCACTTGGTGACTTGGTGCTTGTAGATTCTGAATTTGCAGATTCGTGGGCCCGAGGATTCAATGTCAACACAGCGGTTGCCGGTGTCTTTCCCCTAACCGTGTTGCAAAAGTTGTCCTCAATCGGGAATAGTGATATACTGCGTAAGTAACCTTTGTTGCATACATGAATACGTTTCATATCTAACGCAATGTAACTTTTGCCCATGCAGTTGAGAAGTCTGAACAGTTACAACGTGAGATCAGCCCCGAGGACGGGTCGGTATTTGACGTCATGTTGAGTTACAATTGGATGAACTCTACGGAAGCAACTGCTGTCGCTGCAGGTGAGAGCAATAAGAAAATAGTTTGAAATCGTGAAAAAAAAAGACTAAATCATGTTTCTTTATAGAACTAGATTCGAAGTTGCTGAACGTATGGATTGACAAGAGTCAGCTCACATCGGACCTCTTTCACTTATTTGCCCAGGCCATCAATTCCTCAAGGGTTGTTCTTATTTACCTGTCTTCCAATTATGAGGTATGAGATGGTGCGTTTCGGCTAGAGCAACTCTCTCGTCCAGAATTTAACGTCCCAGCGCTATAGGCCTCCGAATTCTGCCTGAATCAACTACGCTACGCTGTCGCCAAGCAGAAGCGAATAATAATTGTGAAGCTCGATAATGGACCATTCTATCAATCGATGGAGATAGCCCCGGCTGCCAAATGCTTTGATTTATCGAGTGAAGGGCGTACCGATTCTATAGAACACACTCTGGACGCTATATATGTAGAGATCATAACAGAAATGGTTGGTACTTCCGCAGAACGATGGTCGGCCGCCTCCCCAGTCGCACCCGTGCCTTTGTCGGCTAGTAGTCAATTATCAACCGCAGCTGCAACACTTACCGAGGCTGATTTGGATGTGTTGTATAATCGTATTTTAAGTCCAGAGGGTGAGGCAGAACACGGCCCCCAAATGATTGCCATGTTAGCTTCTCTGAAGGAACCGTTACCTGTGCAAGGGTTAGCTAGCATGCTTCGCATTCCTCTCGCAACAGTCAAAACTATATTAATTAGCATTGCTCGAATTCTCAAAGTGACGGATGATAAAGTGGAACTCTTGCCAGAGATGTTGGAATACATAAAGTCTCACTATAACGACGACAGCCACAGTATCGATGTTGCATTCAGCAACATGAAGCTCGCAGAACAGTGTCTTGAGTTGATGAACTCCAGAGTCATGGTCTTGAATAGCACAAATGCTACTGCAGCATCCATTGCAGAACGCTTAGATGGAACTTTAGAAGGAGGTGCCTCTCACTTAAGATATTCATGCAAACATTGGTCCGATCACCTGAATGCAGTGCGTGCAATGAATGGTCATTTGGGCAGTGTCCTGTCGTCATTCTTGGGACTTTGGGGAGGGTCAACGCTAATAGCAGCTACACGCAAAGGTCATGCTTTTACTGTCAAGTATCTCTTAGACAATGGTGGTGCTGGTTTAATAGGATTTGAAGACGGAAATGGAGAAACCAGTCTTGATATTGCTTCTCGGTGTGTATTTCCCGAGGTGGTCGCTGTATTGGTTGAACGTGGTGCTACCTTCAGGAGCGTAAAAGCACGAGTAGGCTCTGGAGTAGATGCTCAACAGGCAGAATCGGCTGCTCAACAGGAAGTAGTCGCGCAAGTAGAGAGCCCAACGGAGACCTCTCGCGAAGCTGCTCAACAGGAAGTAGTCGCCCAAGTCGAGAGCCCAACAGAAACCTCTCGTGAAGCAGGTACCGAACCTTCGATTGTGACAGGAGTGTAGTAGGCAATTAGCAGCACGCACACAGGTAGAGTGACTATGCAAAAGAGACCTCAGTAAACTTTATAGCTGTAAATTCCGTTAGGCATAATGTTTGGAAGTATTTAATCAGAAAAACACTGTTTGTAAAAGACTGTCACGTTGTTTGATCTTATGTTACAATAAGGTTTTTTCAGTTTTCGGAGGCAATGTGTGTCTCGACGGATGATTTGTGAATTGCTATAGCGGCTTTACGCGTTCATTGATGACTTACTGTTTGGACGATGCAAGCCGGCAGATACTTCTAGCCACAAACAACAGTCCCACAACCATCGTGCAAACACTGACAACAGCGGCAAGTAAGTATGCAGGCCCTCAGCGCATTCAGCAGCTTCAGAAGGAAGGCCCATCATGCAGATGCCGATAGTCAGGATGACGGCGAACCTGCAGAAAGCCACCGAAATCCAAATGAGAAACAACAGCAAAGAACAACGTTCAAGGATAAGACGCTGGACAAGGCCAAACGCATGATTTCCAAGATGAAGAATGCTTTTCATCCTAATCAGGCCAAGGCCCAAGTGAATATAAAGTCTCCGGAGCCTAAAAGGAATACTCATCTGCCACCTGAACTACTTATTCAGATTGTGAAAAACATCAAGAGCACGAAGGACCTGGCCGCTGCAAGCGCTGTCAGCAGAGAATGGAATGCTGTTGCTACGGAACGAGTACGCACTCTTTGGCTTGAAACACTGCATATTTATTGAGTTATCTCCCAAACACCACATTTTTTGCTCATGAATTTTACACCTCCAACACCCAACTTAGTTATGGTCCAAAGTGAAGCCAGCGTCACTTAGAGCGCTCCATAAGCTCTATAGAACAGTTCTTGAAGAGCATCAAAAGGCCGAACAGGTGGCAAAGAAGAACGGGCGACTGCCTCCCAAAACTTCCAAATGGAACAAGGTTAGTGTGCACAACTAGATGTAAAAGTTGCATTCGTTACTCATAAAATTAATTATTACTCTTATTAAACAGGCGTTTATCTGGAGAACGCTCCGAAATCGCAAGAGTAATGACGATCTAGTATCCAACGCATCGTCTGCAACTTTACCAGATCTGGCAACGAATGTATCGTTTCCAGGATACTCTAGCCCAATATTGGAAATCCATACTATTGACATGAGTCATCTATCCATCAGACCGAAGAAACAACCCAAACCAGCTCGCCCATCGACACCTCAGGCGACACTTTTTGGTCTTCGACGACGCTTGCCACCACAGCAGCCCATAGGTCCAGCTCCCGCAGCACAAGTAGCAGCACCATTACCAATAGTAACAGCACAAGTACCAGATGAAATCATATTAATGCCATTGCGACCACCAACCAGGCCACAATCATATATCAGTATATTGGCCGAGACTATGCGCACAAATCTCCCCAAACTGGCTTCACCACCTCCGCCATCACTAGCCATGACTACATCTCGCCTCTTGGGTAAACTGCCATCATGTACATCCCTCATCTTGCCTCCTTGCACAATCACTCGGCCAAACCTTTTGCTAAAGTCGGCTCAGCACTTGAGTCATCTAGATTTGAGTCGTGCCGTCTTTAAGTCACACGTAGCATTAATAGAAGCCATGGTCGCCAACTGCACCAATCTGGAGAGCTTGTCGTTGTCATCTGTCATGTGTGCAGATCAACGTGTACAGGCTACTCACTGGGAGTCGTTGGGTGCAGCACTGGTAGCACTCAAGGAAGTCAGGATTGAGAGTAGGAAGCCATTCTTGCACTTGCATGGTAGTGAGTTGCCTAGCTTCTTTGAGGCTTGCTCTGGATCGCTCGAACGGGTCATTATTCGCCGTTTGTGTTGCCTTGAGTTCAGGTAAAGAAGAAGTCGCTTGCAAAATCAACATCTAGACTTATTTTCTGACATTCAACTTCTGTGTAGGACGATTGTACGAGCTATAGGTGGTAGCAACCCCAAGTTGCGTCGCTTGCACTTGGACTTTAAGTTCTCGGTTGGATCAACACCAGACTTAATGTTCTTGGCGGATCACTGTCCTTCTCTAAGGACACTGCATCTAGCCCCCGCAGGGTCATTCACGGATGAAGGTGTCAGTCATCTCGCCAGAAAGTGTACGAATCTACGACAACTCAGTCTATCTGGAGCTGTACATTTGACGGATTCTTCTATTGATGCTGTATGTGAAATTTGATTTTACCCGACTCTGTTTCATATGTCTAAAACATCTTCATCCCTCTTCTAGTTGGCAACACACTGTCCAAGTCTACGACGACTAGATTTGACACGCTGCAGTAGTTTAACTCCAGCTGCTCTAATCCATTTGGCTCGATTGCCCAGTCTTCATACTTTGAATATCGTGCATGCCTTTGCTGCATTGACTCCAGCTTCCGAAGTCTTAAACTATCTCAAACCTCTTATATTGGCATGTCCCCAGTTGCGATCACTCAGCTTAACACTCAACTCTGCCCGACTCTACCCTCCTCATATTGCTTCTGTAGAAAACTCTAAATTATGTGGATGTAGAAAGTATGGAGGTGGAGCTCATATAATGGCAAAGACACCGCGTGAAGTTCGAGCACTTTTATCGTTACGGGTTTTAGATGATACGGACTTTACAGATGTACTAGTCGGATCCACAGCTCATTCTATAGTAGATTTGGACTCTTCGCCCAGTGTTGATGCTATCACTCCTGTGGAAACACCCGCATTGAGTGCACTAAGTCTGATGAATGCAGAATTATTGCTCGATGAAGATTTGGGCATACCTGATGTAGAAGAAGGAGACGCCCGTGACATCAATAATACGAATATCGAAGATTATGATGAGGAGGATGAAGACTTGGAAGTCGTTATAGCATCAATGGGTGGAGTTGTGGGATATACGAAACGACAGGCTCAGCAAGCTAGCAATGAGGTGGGGGACAATCGAGTGAGTTTGTGCAGCAGTACGTCAGTTGATGAGGGTAACAGTGAAGTAGTTCAGTAGTTTAGTAGTAGTATTAGTTGCAGTATAGTAGTGGAGTTTTTTTCTTTCTTATTAGCAATATCCGCATGCAATGTACATACCAACGATAATAATAAAATATGACGTACTTATTTCAATTTTCTGGACAGTTTGTAAATCCTGACTTGTTCCTTTTCCAACGGATAAATCCATTTCTGTGCTTGATTGTCGACAGATACAAGAACAGATTGGAATTCGGATTGAGTAAGTCCATCCTCAAACACATTCCAAGTATCTTGATTGCGTATTGTTGATGCTATATATGCTTCATCTCCCATCAGCGCATCCAAGGTCGACAGCAAATGTGGAATCAACACAGGATCAAATACTATATCAGCTCCTAATACGAATGATGATGCCGGGACTTGTCCAATTGTACATTTATCCTCCCAGTCCACCACTTTGACTTTTACGTTACTGCACTGGTTTAGCTCAACGTTCTGAATCAAGTTATCCACCACCTGCGAATGACAATCCGTCGCATATACATCTCGTTTACATAATCTCGATGCTAGAATCGATACAAGTCCCGCACCAGCACCCAATTCCACAACACTACTACATTTGTCAAAGATGTTTGAATTTGCGAGTATGTATTCTGCGAGACGCAGGCTCGCCGTCCACGTTACTAGCCCCGTCGTACCACCAGATATCATTGCCATGCTTTCATGTAACTCTATCGGTTGCATGCTTGGTGGAAAATATGTTTTGACTGTCATCGTTTCTGTATTTGATGTCGAGATGCAAGCAGCGACAGCGTCATATATCGGTTCATACACTTCAAGGGCGTGTACTTCACATAAATGGATGAGATGCTTGAGGAATACGAGACGGTATGATGCATGTGGTTGGTGTCGTTTTGCTGATGTCGTCGTGTCAAGGATATGTTCTTGGAGGTCGAGAGATGGGACTATGGTATGGAAGTTGAAGAGACGGATTGGGATTTGTTGGAAGTATTGGTTTCGGATTTGACTTAGGAGGGTTTGGTCGGTGTTGGACATCTCCGATGATGGCTGGCTGCAGTTTATCGTGAAAGGAGTGTATTGTTTGTGGTAGATCGTTCCGAGTCCTCTTGAGTAATTCTCCACTCTTGGATCACGTGAATATGTGCTTATAGACGTGACTCTAACAGATGGATACTTTGTGAGAATCAGGAAAGTCAAATTCTGAGCTGCCCTACCCCAAATTGACGCAGCTGACAAAAACGAGGCCTGGACGCATAAAAACCGTGCAACGGCATCCGAATGTTCTTTCTGAGTGTTGTTTTGATTAGCTAAGCGAGTCTCTTGCACGAAAACAGCTGTCTTTTCTTCCTCCAAACATTCATAAACCATAAACCCCGATCGAACGAGGAAAGCTTAAAGAGGAAGACCTTATTAGCCTTTTCAGACAGGAAAGATTTATGCTATATATAGTTAGATCAAGCTTCCGGGTTCTTTGACCGTCTGTAATTGATCATCGTGTCTCCATCGTCACTTTCAAAAAAATTGAATCTTTTCAACGTTTCCGAGTCTTCTACACGTCGAAGCAAGTCTAGCCCGATATACAGCTCTTCTTCCGCTCTTGTATAGTCATGGATTACTCCTCAGCATGGTTGCGCACAACGGAAGATTTGGTGCGTTGTGAGTGGTTTACCTGTAATAAAATGGCTACGAAACAGTTTATAGTGCTCTGCAACGCTTACTTCATCTTTAAGTGATGACCTTAGCGTCACTGTTCAGTGAATAATCGAGTGTTGCGTCCATTAAGCAAATATCTGCAATACGATGCAAGCCAAAGTGAGTTGAAGAAGCAAGCTCTCAACAAATACAGATCTCGTTTGTTTGAAAATGGATGTTTATTTGGTACAAGAGCTTGTTCTCTTTCTGCATGTCGTCAACGCGATCGATTCATTGAATTCTGAATGACCTAATTTCAAAGTCATCAAACGCAAGAAGTGGAAGGCAACAAAATACGGGCAAATACTCATTGGAGCACACCTACTGTCGTATGATGTTCAGCAAGATTGTGTTTGGTTTGACGGAACCGTGACAAGCCAGAAGTTGATGTCACAAAAACGGACATTTGGGGCAATAGCGAGTTATGTAAATGTGGTAAGGAACTCAAGACTATGATTCTTATTACTTTTGGGCCTTACATAAGATTGGAAAGGTGGCTGTAGCGGCTCCAGTCAATGAATAATCGAATGTTGTCTCCATTTGCAGATTCAGGAACGACGATATGAAGTCAAGTTTGTGGATGAAACGTACTCTCAAACGATCCAAATATCGAATACGAGTTGATTTAAATCTGGTACATGAGCTGTGTTGTCACCCTATATTTCACTTCTTTGCGTCAACACAGCATGGACAAAAGTCATCCATCGAAAACATCCAAAGGCTTATACTGTTGACTAGAAGATCTCAAGCCGAAAACAGACAAACACGCATCGTTATGGCTTGATAGAGTCAAGATGAGAATGCCTTTGTCGAGTAGAGACACATTCCTTCACAGCACAACAACCGACAAGACGAACGATATGTAAATACACAGAAAAAGCAGCACATCTTGTATTAATACATGATACAAACCAGCGGCAACAACGTCTAAAGGAAAAAGACTTGTGGTTGGCAGTATCAACGATTTTCTTCCCAGCCTTTTGATGTCGATGCATCAAGATCAATCCCACGTCAAAGCGGTTGATGCGAGACTACCCAACAACATCCAACACTAATCGAATGACGATCCGACCCTCATTTTGAACTCTAAACCACCGCTATTCCCAAAGAACGAGAATTTAGGTCAGCGTTGAAAGTAAGAGGCTATAGTAGCCAATTCCACAAACCCTCGTCGACCTTGATTTGATCTTGGACCCTAGATAGATTCATGCTGGATAGAGTTCCATTGCTTGAATACAATATGGGTCCTTAGTGAATTTTGATACAATTTATGAAAGAAGAAAAAACTAGCATGATTCGAGCTTAACATTTCAAATTCCGTCTACACGATTTCTAGCTCTGTACAGTATATTCAACATATATACAAGCTATTGACACGTCTACGGGAAGAGATACCCAACATTCATGTGGTTGAGCGTCCGTTTTGAAGCTGGTATATGCACAGTAGCAGATTGGTCAAGAGTACTTAACAGCTCAAGACATTGAGCCGATGGGAAGGTGAGACGCTCCGCTGTCTTGGATGCCAACCATGTTGACGAAATCCTAAATGAAGAGTGGTTGGCCCTTGGCGAATCGGTACGAAGAAGAACAAACGACGACATACTTGGCACGATCTGGGTCGAGTGAGCCACGGCAGTCCATGTACAAGACTTTGAGAGCTAACGAAACGAGGATTGAAGTGAGATTCTCGGCCCTGAAGTCGCATCCTACCAACTTCACGTCCTTTCTTGTCCTTACCACGTCGAGATTTCAGGCTGGTCGATTTATCATTCGAATCGACAGAGTCATCAATTGCTTGGCTGGCTTGTGTTTCTAGACTAGCAACTCGAACGTCTGCATTCAACATCCAGAGCTAGTTGGAGAGCAAAAACATTCAACCTCCAGAGGGCACTATATGTGAGAATGCTAACTTACCAGCATGAACGGTTTAGCTTTCTCATCCTTTCCAAGTCCAAAAGACCAAACCACATAGCGATATGATGCAGTGGATGAAGCAGATTCTAGCAAGTCGTGCGCCAGATAAACGGGAAAGCTACGATATGGATCCGCCGAACTACATTTCAGAGTGCGATTAGACTCATATGATATATTCCTGAAGATCCAATGACGAGCTTACTCTGAATTCGTCCAAAAGTCTACAGAGTACTTGTAAATCTTGTATGAAACAGGAGAGTCCGGTTCATTTTCGACCTTGTTACTAACTTCTCCTAGTGGCGCTAAACACTCTTTACACAAGACCGAAGTCCAGCGCTCACGTTGAGATACCTCCTATGCAATAAACGCTGGTTAGTGTCTCTGCAAAAAAAAACGATTGAAAGGGTTGAGCAAAGTCTGTTTGTGACATATGTAGCCCTGAACACACAGAAACTCAGGCAGTTCAGAGGTGTCTTACATCCGTGATGTAGCTTTCTATTGAGTTCGTCACCACGGTGTCTCGAAAACCGAAAGCCTTCAATCTCAGACTTCCCTTGCGGTCCATCTGAAAGAGGCTTCACGATCTTCAAGCCAACAACATGGTTTCACTGCAAAAGAGAGATCATCGTTTGCTCTTGGAAGGTTGTATCGACAGTATAGCGTATTGACAACGCAACTGCCTTCTTAGATCTTCCGTAATTGAGAGCCAAAAAAAGCGGATCTGACATGCCGTGTATCCAGCGATGCGATAGTTGCTCAGTAGATTACACTAACTGCATGCATTTCGATATTGAGAAAGAAAACGGTACTCACCCCATGCAGCAGGTTTGCTATCTCCATATCCAGTGAATGCAAAACCACAAAAGCACCTCCAACCAGCAAGTCCCGAGGTTTAGGATGCAACCATCCATTTGGCGTAATCAGTTTACTATAATCCTCCATATGACACATCCAGCAATCCACCACTTCATGCCAATGCGAGGACGGCAAGTCCAAAACTCGGCGAAAAGTAGTCGTATCGTCCTCCTTTGAGTTTCTAACAATCAAGTCAGAATTACATCCATGACACGTTATTCGACTAAGTTTCTTTAGTGATGAGGCGGTATACGGTGAATCTACTGTGCAAGCCAGCTCGTCTGTGTCGGCAACGGATGCGGTGATGTCTACACCTTCGACCGAGGTTGATGTTCGTGATCTCTTGGATATAGAGACTGGGAGGAATATTTTGCATCCATCAATGGTTAATATGGTGTCTTGTATGCTTATTACGTCGGGATTTGGAGTTGATACGAAGAAGGTTGCTGTCCGCAGTCGAGGCAAGACTTCCAAATGAACATTTACAAGATTGGTAGTGGTTGGAAGGGACTTTGAGGACAGGTATACAGTCGATTTGATGACTGATGAGCTGGGTTCCGTCTCGGCTGCCACCGTCATTTATGGGAACCAAAGGCTAATACAATTTGACCAGTCCGGAATTTTGTAGTGACTGCCATCTTGGAGCCAAACATTGGAACGAAGATGATACACGCCTGCAAGCAGTCAATAATGAATTTTGTTTGATATTATTTCGCTTTCGGACGGAAGCTACGAGGATATGTAAATCGTAAAACTCCACCTCTCTTCCTCCGTTTTTTTCGTTTTCTTGCATCACGTTCGTTGCAACACCACCGTCATAAAACCTTCTTTGCCTCACGCTTAAAACTCGCAACATGGACACCGTAAAAGAAGCTTGGGCTCAGTTAAAGACCACTTGTAGAAGCGGGCCTGCCGGTGAAACCACTGCTCAACGAGGAACTCGCACTATGGATACACTAAAGTCCGTCGTTTCCAAGGTCTCGTCCTTGTCATTGACCAAGAAGGAAGCCAAGAAGGACGAAGTACAGCCTGAAGTTGCTGTTGTCGACTCTAAGATGACCGTCACTCCTCTCGCTGCTGCTGCTCCTGAAAATGCGTCGGCATCAAAAGATGTTGTAATTGCACCAGTAGCCCGACAACCCAAGATTGCTGTATGTCTGACATCGTACTACTGCTTACTGTCAACAAATTGCATGTTGACGCCCTTGCTAATGTAATAGATCGTCGGAGCCGGAATGTCTGGTATTCAATGTGGTATCGCTCTACGAAATCTTGGCTACACTGACTTTAAAATATATGAAAAGTTCAGGTATGTACAACATCTGTGACCCTTATTGTGGTTCTCCTCGATCTTTGTCAATGTGTCTATTACAAAATGACCATTCCTTCGTTTTCAGTGAAGTCGGCGGTACTTGGTATCAAAACAAGTACCCAAATCTGGCCTGTGATGTCCCCAGTTACCTCTACCAGTACTCATTTGAGCAAAACCCAGACTGGAGTTGCCCTTACCCCTTCAGAGACGAACTCTTGAAATACTGTATTGATGTCACTGGTGAGTTTAACACGGGCGTTTTTCGCCCTGAAATCTAGCTACTGTGTTTTTGCAACGACTCACCTTGTTTTTACGTTTCAGACAAGTATCACATCCGACCACACATTACCTTCAATGTTGACGTAAACAGTCTCGTTTGGAGTGACGAAAAGAACGAATGGACCCTCTCTCTCTCCAAAACCGATGGCAAGGATGGCATAGTTAGTGCTTTGCCTTCAGAAACGGCGGATATTGTATGGATGACTCGAAAGGGTGCATATCACGCCGTCTTCCCCAAGAGCATCAAAGGCGCTCGAGAGGGTGTATTCAAAGGACGCTCATGGCATTCTAGTAAGTTGGGAGCTTCGGATCTTGTAACACGTTGCTCATATCCTTGGCACCGTTTGTCTTTTAGTGGAATGGCCAGATGACGGCATGGAGTACCTTAAGAACAAAAGAGTAGCTGTCGTTGGTTGTGCCGCTGCTGCAGTACAGATTGTGCCAGCTATTGCTCCATTCGTCAAGGATTGTGAGTTTCAAGCGTGAATTTACGCAATTTACTCAATATTTGCAGCTTCTAACCGCTTTGTTTTCAGTGACGCTCTTCCACAAGACCCCTAACTGGGTGCATCCAAAGCCAAATACTCCGTGGTCTGAGGCCCAAAAGAAGGAGTGGAGAGAAAACCCACTAAAATACAAGTTGTGGTGTGCTAAGCAAGGCACTGAGTTCTTTGAAAGATGGACGGGCACTATGCTGCATCCAAACTCTCGAACTGCAGCTGAAGAAAAGGGTATGCGTCATAATATGTGTGTGCCTAGGAAAAAACCCCCTAACAGACGTTTCCCCAGCTCTGTGTCGACAACATTTGATTTCAAACATCAAAGACCCAGCCATGTTGAAGATCTTGACACCAACCTATGCACCATGGGCTCGCAGGATGTGTTACTCGGACGATTTCTACCCAGCCCTAAACCGTGAAAACGTTCATTTGGTCCAGGAAACACTTCTCCGAGTGGAGGCAGACGCTATCGTCTCCAACACCAACAACCCAATAGCACCCAAAGACCAACAGGACCCCAATGCTCCTGAAGTCCGTCGAGAAGTCGACGTAATTATCTACGCCACTGGATTCGATTACGAGAACCTGCCAGTACATACTGTTGGCTCAAAGGGAGAAAACATGTTGAACAGCATCTTGAAGAAGGGAGAGCTTATGCAGTATATGGCTGGTGTCCAAGATACTCTTCCCAACGTGAGTGCTTTACATTTATTCGGATTGTTTCATTCCACATCATTCTTACTTACAGACCCTCTTCCTTTAGTACATCAATGGATGCGCTCCTTGGTATTCTCAGTCGCCTACTAGTTTCATGTAAGTGCTTGCGCACGAAATCAAAGTCCGGTGCTTCGGGCTAACCAACGACTTTTTACATAGCATAAACATTGAAACTTGTATGAAGTGGGCCAGTCAGATTCTCAACGTGAGCAGCTGAAAATTAACTTGCTATCAAAATTGTGCTGTTGTACTAACCTTCAAATTTCCAGAAAATGGTACTTGAAAACCAGGCCAGTTTCGAAGTCAAGGAAGAAGCTGTACGAGCTTGGGACGCTCTTATGGAGGAAAATGAAATGGGAACATCGTTCCGAGAGCCTTGTCCTAACTCGTACTACAAGATATTCAGAGCTGATGGAACCTTGTAAGAATCAGATTGTAGCAGAGTTGAATGACTAGCATCTCACAAGCCATCCACTATTAGTAAGACACCAGTGTTCTTTCCTGGCACAGCTGAAGAGATGCAGAAGATGTTCGAATACATAAAATGGGACGACTTCACATTCAAGCCCAAGACTGACGGCAAATGGCGAACAGCCACATTTGAAGAGATCAAAGCAGATTGGGCAAAGTAGTGGTAAATGTATTGATCGGTCCCAGTTAGCATTTCAAATCTTTATGTCTGTCTCCTGCAACGTAATAAAAACAACATCATCATCTTGATCGTCATCATCATTCTTATTGTGGTCGTGATTTCGTTGCGACGAGGCTCTATCACGTTCTATCGACGTGGCCGAGTCGTCAATTCGATAAATAACGCGAATTGAGCTCTCGTTTGAGCGGAGCCCTTTGTCGTTTCGTCATTCTGAGCTTCCAATGACCGATTTCGTGACATATGTTGACGACATGCCGAAAAGCGACAAGTATTCCGTACTATTGCCAACATACAATGAGCGCCAGAACTTGCCTGTAATGATCTACTTGCTTCATCAAGCGTTTACCAAACAGTAAGAAACCAACTGCATTCAAAAATGTGATTTTTTGGATTTTTCAAGATTTAACATTTTGGTTTATTCAAACCTAGCGAGCTAAACTATGAAATAATTATAATCGATGATGCTTCACCGGATGGCACGCTGCAAGTCGCTAAACAGCTACAAGAAGTGTATGGAGAACAACAAATCGTGAGTTTCGTGTTCTTGTGAGATTTGTTGGGAGATCCGAGTTGTTGAATATGTTTTCCAATGTCTAGATATTACGGCCGAGGCCTGGGAAATTGGGATTAGGTATGTTGATCAGCTCAAAGTGATGGCACTGGTCAATCCTTGGTCATGATGTTGTTCTTACATCTGATTAACACAAGGGACGGCATACATTCATGGATCCAAAAGCGCTACTGGGAACTTTATCATTATCATGGATGCCGACTTCTCACATCATGTATGACATGTGTTGGACATTCGATGCCTTCAGGAAGTTGGCTCTTAACAGCAGCTTTTTCTCGCACAGCCCAAACACATACCCGAATTTGTGGAATTACAACAAATGCACAATTACGATATCGTCACTGGAACTCGATATGCTGCTGGTGGTAGCGTGTATGGTTGGGACTTGAAGCGAAAGTTGATTTCACGTGGTGCCAACTTTGTCGCTTCGCTTGTATTGGATCCACAAGTGTCTGATCTGACGGGTAGCTTCAGGTATGACCTGGACACTCTCATTGTCGTTGCTTGCAGCGTTAAACTCAACAGGTTTTGCTTCTTTCTCAGGTTATACAAACGACACGTATTCGATCGAATACTGGAATCATCTGAGCCCTCTAAAGGCTACGTGTTTCAAATGGAGATTATGGTACGCGCTAAAGCGTATGGATATCGAATTGGTGAAATTCCAATCACTTTTGTGGATCGTGTGTATGGTGCTTCGAAAATGGGAATGGACGAGTTGCCACAGTACTTATGGGGGATATGGAAACTGTGGACGAGTCTGTAAGGAACCGTATTCGAAGTGATAGGATTGCTATATTTGAACTTGCAGTGATAGGATTGATCGAGTATTGAGCCTAAGGTGTCATTGATTTGTATATTTGTCCAAAATGTATTTGAACTTGCAGTGATAGGATTGATCTAGTATTGAGTCTGTGAAGAAGTAGCCTTGAAAGGAAGAGCGAAGCGACTTGGTATTTCATGCAAGCTGTAACTGACGCTTGGTTGTCAAGCTTTTGTTTTGCGTCCAACAAAACCACAATAGATAAACAAGAGCCAGAAATGGATTTGAAGAGGGTGGCGATGTCGGATACGATCAAGCCAGAATTTGTGTCGACGTTGTTTGGTATGATCTTCACGTCGGTGTAGCAGAACGTTGCAAACAGCTAACAAACCAAAATCTAGAATGTCCTCCAAGCTACGTCCTAGTTGCGCAACTGGGCATGGTGAGAGGAATCACTGTCAGAAGTCGAAATGTCGTAGCAGCTATAGGTATTTCCATGCTCAACTTTGTCCTGCCTTGAAGAATCTCGCAACATCAACCTCAAATTGATCGACCAAAGAGTCCCTGGATTTTAACCACAGCGAATTCATTCTTGTAGGCGGAGTACTCAAAGCAGCTGTTGGAGGCTCCATAGAAACATTCAGGACGCTTTGCGAGGATGCCAGGCAAGAGGCTTATAATGTTATGGTGTAAGCAACCATGTTTTGCACGCATTTGCAACAGAATAACGTACTGAAACTTGGAATTATCGTAGGGATCACGCATTTGCCTTGGGAGCGAATGCAATACTTGGTGTCAGATACGGGAACACGGATATCTCACCTGGAATCGCGGAAAGTGAGTCAACATTGTTACGCTTGTTTGGTTCTTCAAGGATACTAAGGTGATGCTTGTGATAGTGTTATGCTACGGAACAGCGGTCCGTATCGAGCCACGCCCTACCTAACTTGTTGCATTGCATTCTATATCAATTCATTAAATCCGTATGATTTGGTGTCTTACCCTATTATATTCGACGTTTCACCTGAAAAATAATGAATGAAATGAATGTACTTGTGTATGGAATTGTCTTCCGTAGTCAAGTCCAGAAGAGGCTGTGTTATGAGTCAAGTAATCTGAAGTCACACAACCCAAAATCCAACCTTGTTCCAAACATCACCCGAATTATACCACTACGATGGATCTCAAGAGAGTCAAAGTATCGGAATCCATCCCAGTTCAATTTGTATCGACTCTGCTTGAACCTCCACCAGGTTACAAAGTCGTGAGTGAAGGAACCAAGTCAAATACGCAAACCTCAAGATTTCAATGATAGATTGCTTAAGTTCGAGGCATTCCAGCTCGTATATGAAATAATGTAACGGTGTAAACTCTTTACTAGGTTCAACAACTCGGACTGGTTCGAGGCATCACTGTCCGCTCGAGGAATGTCATCGCGAGCATTGGTGCTGGTCTCAGGTCATTGGTGGGAGGAAACATTGAGACATTCCGTGTACTGTGCGAAGACAGCAGGCAGGAAGCGTACAACATCATGGTAGACCATGCTTTTGCTTTGGGCGCCAATTGTGTGTTGTGTGCTCGATACGACAACAATGACATTGACGTCGGAATCACTGAAAGTACGCATGAAGGCATGAAGATCAAGATGCGCTTTGTCTCGTTGAATCTAACGAGCCTCTCTGAACTTCCTTCTAGTGTTGTGCTATGGCACCGCTGTTCGAATAGAACCAATAAAAGCTACTGCCTAAGCCGTGTCATGCTATTTGAAATTTCTGTTTGATCCCTTAATATAGTGTATCCATATCTCTTTATCTCATATGGGTAAATTTGTATGAGTTCGGCGCAGCGTGTTTCAAATGTGTCACACTTCTGAAATTGTTGAGCTAAATTCCAAGTGCACCGTCGAGATCCAATCTCTGCTAACCGCATAGCTACTGTCGTATATCTAAATTCAGGCATCGCTAGATCTCACTACAGAACTGTAGATTTGAAGCCATCATTTTGAAGCGTGAAACTCATTCATCGCAAATATGATGAGCTGGAAAAAGACCCCGTTGACTGATTTGATGAATTTAAAACTTCCACTGATCCAAGCTCCTATGGCTGGCGGCTCGTCGAGCGTGGAATTGGTTTCGGTAAGGTCTTCTGTTTCGTTGCATGCGCCAACATTTGTTTTTGGTCGTGTTGGGTTCGCTGTAGTTTGAAGAATTCATAATCCTTATTGTATATAACTTATTTAAACTCGCTTTGTATTAGGTTGCATCAAATGCTGGTTGTCTAGGCTCTCTCGCTGCTGGCCTCATGTCTTCACAACAACTAGCTGAATCAATAAAAGCTATAAAGGCTAAAACCAGCAACCCATTTTCAGTCAATGTCTTCCTTACTACTCCTGCACCACGTATACCTTCCACTACCCCAAATCCAACAGACGCTGAATGGACAAACTTGAAATCAAAGTATGTGACCAAGCTGGATTCGTATCGAAAACAGTTAGGGATGCCACCTAGTCCAGCAGCTGGAGCAGGTGAAGCTCCTCGAGTTGGCGCTGTCGTGTTGGATGAGATGCTGGACATATTGGTAAAGGAGAGAGTCAAGGTTGTGACGTATACGTTTGGAGTATTGGAGGCTGCTCAAGCTCATCGTCTTCGAAAGGTAGTCAATCCTGCTTATTAGTCGTGTGACTGCAAAGAGCATTAATGACTGAGGTTCTTTTCAATTAGCATGGTGGATGTTTGGCTGTATTCGGAACTGCAACATGTGCAGAGGAAGCTCGTATCCTCATTGAAGAAGGAGCTTGTGATGGAGTTGTAGCTCAAGGACTCGAAGCTGGAGGTGCGCTCGGTGTAGTGAAGGCTTTTTTGCATCGTCGCCATGAACTTACAATGCAGCAATTCTAATTTAGGTCATCGTGGCACATTCTTAGAATCCATTCCAACAGCAGCAACTCTGGTTGGCTTACAATCATTGTTGACTACAATACGTGCCTTGTTTGATGGAACTGTAGGCAGACCACCTCTACGAACTCATTCTGGAAAGAGACCATTATTGATTGCTGCAGGTGGAATCGCCGATGGTCGTGGTGTACTAGCAGCTCTTGCATTAGGTGCAGATGCCGCTGCATTAGGATCAGTTTTCATACCGACTGTTGAATCTGGAGCTTCAAAGTTCCACAAGGATGCGCTTGCAAATCCTACACAAGGTGCTCTCAGTTCGACCATGTTGAGTACCACATTTACAGGTACGTCCAGAAATCGATTTCAGCTTTTTTGTCCATAGTCATCTGCTATCTGCCTATTGCTTTTTAATCTGTTGCCAGATCGACACCTCAGCACATATTGATTTATACCCTCATTTACAGGTCGAATGGCACGAGGTTTGGCAAACGATTTCGCCAAAGACATGCAAGAGTTTGAACGGGTGCCTACTCACTTGCTCGGTATGTGCTTTGCAAGACGTTCACTGGCAATGTATGTGCAGTAATCAAAAGAAATTGACATAGGAATGGATGTCAGGAATCGTGATGCTCAATTGAATACACGAGTCATCTTTGCCGAAGCTGCGAAACTTCAAAGGCAGGATATTGCACCATTGTGGGCTGGTCAATCTGCTTCAACCTTGGCTGGCAAAGGAGGTCGAAAGGCTGTTGACATCATTAACGAAATCACTGCCGAGGTTGATGAACTTGTATCACGCTTTGCTAGCAAACTGTAAACATAAACAAACAACATCAGGATACATTGCTACGTCTCATTTGAGTCATGTTTTAAATATGATATAACGACAGATGACAATTTATAATTCATCATGTTTTGTCGCTCGGTCTACAGCATCTTCATATAACGATTCTGCCACATCCCAATCAACGATTGTAAACCATTGTTGCACGTACTCGATGCGTCGATTGTTGTACTTGAGGTAGTAGGCCTACATTAAAGACGTTTTAGTAAATCTATAGCAGGAAAAAATCTCAGAAACGAACTCTTACATGCTCCCAAACATCAAGTGCCAGAATCGCATCCAGCCGAGGTTCAGGTATAGACTGTTCAGGAATATCCTGGTTTCCCGTTTGCAGGATCTTGATAGCCGATGTAGCAGCTGAGAATGCTAAAAACACCCAACCAGATCCGAATACCGACATGGCAGCAGCTGCAAATTCGGATTTGAATGCATCAAATGTAGAATATTGCTTGATTATGGCTTCGCCCAATTTTGAGCTTGGGCTTGGGTTTTGAGGTTTGATTGGGTTTGGCGGGCGTAGTAGTTTGAAGTAGATGGCATGGTTCACTGGGTTTGAGAAGTTGAGTACATGGTTCAAGCAAAAAAAAACCTCTGTCGTTAACGAATTATACCATAGCCACCGGCGTTGTTCCTGATTGCCCATCGTGTGACTTCATCTGGCCAGCCCTACAACGATTCAAATGAGGTCAATTCAGCGATTCGTTGGTTTGGAAATGTCGTGTGTTCGTGTTGCCATGCTGACCACAGAACGTGAAACTTCTCCATTTTCTTCTCTAGCTATTCGACGAGCTAGCGATAACGCATCGAGATCCACCAAGTCATTAGAGAGCTTCTGTACCGCAGCATTCAGATTGTCTGGACGAGTGTGTGGTCGTTAGTACAAACGAGCCAACAAAGCTTGAGTCCTAGGAGATTGGGCTTGTACAAATGTGGCTGAGAGTAACATGCCTGTGTATGCTTGGAAGTGTTTGGTATGGTGTAATATCATGGTTTGGGTATCAATGACCTAGGGATGGTTGGAGCATCGTCAACAAGTACATCACGTCTTATTGCTGTCTCCAAAAAGCTTACAGGCTCGTATGAAGAATAGTTGTATGATAACGGTGGGACGGTGAACTTCTTTGCAAAGACACATGGCAGCAAGAATACAAGCAGAGCACCAACGATACAGATTTTGCCACTTGATTTCATGTTTTTCGACGTGATTTTGGAATCCAGGAGACCACTGAACTAGCAAATTAATATAGTTAGAACACGTGCGTACCTTCTCTGTACTTTTGGAGCAATCAATATTGGCCGCCAGGTCATTGCAAGACTTCGAAAACCTCAACACAGCTTATCACTTACTTTAGGCACCAGAAAAGCTAGAGGAGAGGAATTGTTCAACGTTTAAGGTATTAAATATGAAGTAAATGAGTCTGCGATTATTGCCCTTGTCGTTTTATTGTTGATTTGAGCTTGACTGACATGAAATTCCCCAAAATTCAAACTCAGAACGAGCATCATGGAATCTGATCCTTTTAACATTGATGAATTCTTGGTCCGTGTACGCTTGCCGCTCGATACAAAGTTGAGGAAGCCGGATTTGGCTCTGCTGGTATGTCATTATTCAACATCATCAAGGGTTCGCATTTGTGAGTTTGGGACCAACGGATTAACCCCTCTCTCACCCCCTCATTTCTTATTGAATGCAGGACGATATAATGTTTGCTGTGGTGCTCACAATACCATTCTCAACCATGTCGCTGCACTATCCAAAAAGGTGGCAAGTTGGCCAACCTTCTGTAACATCAGTCACACCATCAGCTGTATACAACAAGCTCATCAAACAATCGGGATTTGGATGGTGTTTTGAGCATAATTCAATTCTTTATCGAGCCCTGAAGGAGTTGGGATTTCGCGTACTTCCATATGTCGCTCGAGTCTGTTTAAATCTCGTGACTGGATATACACACATGTCGCTGCAAGTTCACCTGCCAGATGGAATCTATATCGCAGATACTGGTTTTGGTGGTTTAGGTGTGAAAGACGTCGTCTCCAATTGGTGTTTATTCAATTGGCGAACTGACCCCATTACGTTTAGGTCTGAGACATCCGCTCAAGCTGGTGCTGAATCAACCATGGACTGATCCAATTACCAAAGAGGTCTGGAGGTGAGACTTGCAAGGTCTGTTGTATCAAAATTGAAGGCTATCTCACATGACAGTACATATCAGATTTATGAAGGCTGGGGCAAGACTGAACGAGTCGTCTCTATGGGTGCCTGCAAACTTTGAGCCTGTGGTGCTCTCAAGTTCGAATGTGACTCCTGCTGAAGCAATACTCGGTATAGGTGAGTGCATCCACTAGTCATGCGCCTGTTGCTCTCAGTAGTAAACTTGCAATTCAATTTTAGGCTCGTTTTGGATGCTTCAACGGAAATCAAACGCTGACGCCGAGTTTCAAAACCTGTACTTTTTCGGTGCTACAACGCTGTGCTCTGGTGTTGATGTTGCTGTAAGTTGAACGGTTGAATGCGTTTGCAAGGGCTTGCAAGGGTTTTTAAGGCACTAATAGGGCCTTCGCTCTTAGATTGGTAATCTAGACATCTGTCAGAATCCACCTCCGCGGTTCCTGGAGGGCCCCATCATCCACCTTGGCACAAAGACGGGAATGAAGACCTTTTGGAGTAATGTGTATCGAGAGAGTTCAAATGGTGAAATGATAGTAGAGAGAAAGGTAGAGACCGAACAAGAACGCCTACGAATCTACAAAGAAGAGTTTGGGATGCAAGTGCCCGTTGAAAACGATGTTGGAATGTTGAAACCGGCATTGATTGTGGCTGGCATTGCTTTCGTTGTGATGCTACTGTCACCTCGCTCAACACGAGTCTAATAAATAGAAATAAACGGTACTGTCACGACCCTGTCGCTTTGATCAACACGAGTTAATAAGTTGAAAAAAGTATAGATCTTGACGATCTTGAAGTAGATCTGTAGAATATAACGACTCTAGAATGAATAACGCGTGAGTTTGCTTTGCTCCAGTTCTTGGTCTGAGTCTCACTTTGACAACCAAAAACTTTCCGTCTGCCGTCTGCGTTGCTTCACATTCTTCAACACACTCGACCAGAAGAGTCCTCTCACTTCACGATGGCGGCCGCACCGTCCAGCGTATGAATGCATATGCTTGAATTCTTAGCGTGCTTCCCTTACTAATCTATATCTACTTGTCTCTCAGGAAAAAGAAGCAGTGAAAGTAGTAGTTCGAGTACGTCCATTTTCAGAAAAGGAGAAGAATGCCGGCCATTCCAACATCGTATCCATCGACCATAAAGACGCGGTCGTTAGAGTCGTTGATCCTCGACCAGGGGGAGCCGCCGAACCTCCAAAATCATTCACATTTGACTCCGCTTTTGATTCAAATTGTTTGCAGATCGATGTATATAACATCACTGCTCGTCCCATCGTCGAATCTGTATTGGAGGGCTATAATGGAACCATTTTTGCGTATGGGCAAACCGGTACTGGAAAGGTGAGTACCGTCTTTCGATTAAACAATGCAATAACGACACCAGCTTCAGACCATGGTATGAGTGTCAGTCAACTCGTTTACTCAGTTTCATATGTATTCCTAGACGTTTTCCATGGAAGGTGTCCGTGACGTGCCAGAACTACGAGGAATAATCCCAAACTCCTTTGAACATATATTTAGCCACATCAAACATGCACCTCCCGGTGTGCAGTACCTAGTTCGTGCATCGTATCTAGAAATCTACAATGAGGACATTCGAGATCTGTTGAATCCCAAGGGCGACAAGTTGGATATCAAGGAGAGAACTGATACTGGAGTTTATGTCAAGGATTTATCCACCTTTGTGGTAGGGCATACCGATCTTTCTGGTAATTGTTTTTTGCTCATCACCCCTATTGTTCTAGGTCAAAGACGTGACAGAAATGGATAAACTTATGTCTGCCGGAAACAAGAACCGCTCTGTCGGAGCCACTGAAATGAATGCACATTCGTCGCGATCTCATTCAATATTCACAGTCACAGTCGAAAGATCAGAAGCAGGACAAGATGGCGATGAACACATTCGTGCTGGAAAATTACATCTAGTCGATTTAGCTGGATCTGAAAGACAAGCTAAGACAGGAGCAACCGGTGATCGATTAAAGGAAGCAACCAAAATCAACCTGTCGCTCTCAGCGTTGGGAAACGTCATATCCTCGCTGGTTGATGGCAAATCGTCACATATACCCTATCGAGATTCTAAATTGACGAGATTGTTGCAAGATTCGCTGGGTGGTAATGCTAGGACTTTGATGATTGCTACCATGTCGCCGGCATCGTATAATTATGATGAGACGGTGTCCACTTTGAGATATGCTAATCGTGCTAAGTGCATCAAGAATAAACCCAAGATCAATGAAGATCCCAAGGTATCGACATATTTCATCTATTGTCTGTTTTCTTCCACAATCAATTGTGCTAAATTCGACTGACTTAGGATGCTATGCTACGAGAGTTTCAAGATGAGATCAAACGTCTTAAAGCTCAGTTGGATAGTTTGGAGCATGGAGGAGAAGACAACATGGGAGAAGACGGAACACGAGACATGGCGCAACACGATGACAAGCACGGCAAACGTAAACAGAAGACGAAACGGAAGAAATCCTCGAACAAGGAAGACGGCCAACAACCTCACGCTGTTAATGACGAATCTCGACCACATTTGGGTATATCAGAATCTCAACTGGCAGATATGCAAGACAAGGTGGCTGCTGAGAAGAATGCCATTGTGGCAGCCAAAGATATGGAAGAATCTGAAAAGAATCGACTATTAGAAGAAGTTACAGCTCGTGCAGAAGAATTAGAACGAGAAAGGACTATACGAAACGATCTAGCTGCCAAAGTAGCTCAACTTCAAGAAAAGCTGCTAGTTGGAGGTGTCAATATTTTAGATAAGCATGAAGAACAGCAACTCTTGTTAGCCAAACGGGCCCAAGAGATTGAAGAACGTCGACGCAAGGAACGAGAACTGCAACGAGCACTGGAAAACCAGAAGGAAGCTGCTCTGCAAGTCGAAGAAGAGTATGCTACACTCAAAGAAGCAGCAGCTGGAACAACCCGTAAACTCAAACAAACATGGAATCTGCTCATGCAAACCAAGTCTGAAATCAAGGATTTACAAACTGAACACCAGCGAGAACGTGAATCCCTCCTCGAAACCATCCGTGGCCTCGCCCGAGACTTGAAACTAGAATCCCTCATTGTGGACTCGTATGTCCCTCCAGAGGAATTAGCACTCATAGAATCACACATGGAGTATGATGAACAAGCCGAGAAATGGAGGATTGCTCATGCTCAATATACTGGCAATCAAGTTAAATCACACCATCAAGAAGACGATGTCGCTTTACGACGAGACCATAATGAAGAATCGGATTCGACGTGGGATCCATATTGTATCTTTCCGGATGTGTACTTGTCGTATGAGGCTTTTGGAGTTGCTTCGCCTATTAGGAAGCCTTCACGTAAAGATGCTAGTAAGAGTGTGGTGAGGCGAATGTCGGCTGGTGGGTTGCTGAGTGGGAAAGGCAAACAAGAGAAACAGGCACCTATTGCTCGTGGGCTAGTGCAAGGAAATAAAAGATATGCGTAAAAAGTAAATATGACCTAATAGAGACGTTAACTCGTATTTAAGCTGCTCTTGCATCCATGATACGACCTTCGAGTTTTTTTTGTTCTTGAGCTTTGGTATTTACGCGAGTGTACGTGTAAAATGCACAACTTGATGGTCCGTTCGCTATTTCTCATTGAATTGACAACACTTGAATTCATGTTGCAGCTTTAACAAAATACTCATAGTACTAGCAAAAGCATCAAACATGTCGAAGAAGAAGTCAAAGACTACAGCATCATCTGCATCCGTCGTAGCCGCATCTCCAGCCTCATCAAATCCCTCAAAGGAAGCTCCTCCTACTCCAAGCTCTGAAGATGCCTCAAACGAAAAAGACGATGATGAACAAGAGGAAGTTCAGCAAGGATTTAGAGGTCAAGCTAGTAAAGATATGAAGGCTGTTACTGGATATCTTGGAGAAGAGGGGATAGGTGAATTGGACCAAAGTAAACTGAACCAGGTATAAAGCAACATCGACTACTTTTTTTGGCATTGCATGAGGAGCTTATTAGATGTTTTTGTGTAGGCTATGGCATCCATGTCTGATTTAAATCGGAAGCAAAAGGCGCAAAAGACTACAAGGTATGTCGTGTATGAGGTTGTTTGATTCGAATGATCTCTATTCAGGCTTGCTGATTTTATTTTGGTTCCTTAGAGACAAGGAGCTGGATAAAGTCGTAATCGCTGCCAAGGACGTTGAACTAATAGTATGTTGGATCGTCTCGTCGGAATTTCATCTTGTTTTGTTGTGCCAACACCATACCTCTGATCTAGATGTCTGAAATGGAAGTTACACGTCTTGTGGCTGAACGTTCATTACGTGAAAATAAAGGGAGCGTGGTGGAGACGCTGCGTAAGATGGTCAATGCATAGATCTTTTGATTGTAGATATATATAGATTGGACGGGTTTGCATTCGAACGCGTTTTTTGATATTAGAGCATGAGCAAGTGCTCCGAAGTGTGCTGTAGAAGATTATAGGTGAAGATTACACGACGAAAACAGGGTTGAACGCGTTTATTGGTGGTCTCTTAACTTTCGTGCATTAGAGGTGCATTACGTCACGAAAACCTGAGGAACTTTTTGTACTCACTCGTACTTCCCACGACCACTTTACGCTTAAAGCTTTTGAAGAAAGAGAGAAGCAAGTAAGTACTAGCATCGCTAATAGTTTCCTTGTTGGTGTCCGCCATTACTGTGGCTTCGTTCCAACGCTTCTTTACGAGCGAGCTTCACAAAACAATTCCAGTCTTGTATTCTGACAAACTGCACGCATTCCATTAGACATGAGTTCTGCACGAGACAGGAAGAAGGCTTACGTAGTCGGTGTCGGTGAGTTCCAGGGTTTGCTTTTCTTAAGGCTTTATGAAAAACGTGTGCTAACGAATGTTGCGTATGTTAGGCATGACCAAGTAAGTTTCACGACCAATACCGCTGCGAGTCTTGTTTGGATTGATATGTCAGTGGTGCTCGGCTGATGTATCGATTCATGAAATCGTGGAAACGTCGGTCTTCAAGCGAGAGTGTGGTCGTGGAAGCTGTGTACCATAGTTGGGATGACGTTGGAGATATTGTCGCCAAATTTTTCAATGGCATATGTCTTGACTGGGCAATTTGATCAGCTACCCCGGTTCCTATTGTGCTAACTCACGTACTTTCCTTGATCTACAGATTCGACAAGCCAGGTAAGATAACGCACAATTTCCAAACTCGTTCAATCGCAAACACTGACCCGTGCCATTTCCCACCAGGCAAACAAAACAAGAAGGATTACCCCGATTACGGTCTCGAAGCTGCCACCAAGGCACTCATTGATGCCGGTATCCGATTCGATGAGGTCGAGATGGCAACTGTTGGTTACGTCTTTGGTGATTCTTGCTTTGGACAACGTACTTTATACCAATTGGGTTTGACTCAAATCCCTATTCAAAACGTCAACAACAACGTACGTGGTGCAGTCATTTTAACGCCTTTCAACTGTTACGCTAATTCATCACACAAACATGCAAACAGTGCTCAACTGGTTCAACTGCCTTGTTCATGGCCCGTCAAGCCGTAGCTGGTGGAATCGTTGACTGTGCCATGGCACTTGGATTTGAAAAGATGAACACTGGAAGTCTTGGAGCTACAGTCTTCCCACATTTGAGACGTCCTGGTGAAGTTGCTGGCAAGCTCATGAACGAAATCTACCCCTTCGATCCAAAGGCCCCTGGTGCTCCACAGACGTTCGGCAAAGGCGCTATGGAGTATATGAAGGAACACCCAGACTCCCTTCCAGCACATTTGGATATGATTGCACACAAGAACCATCTTCAATCGTGAGTCACCACCTTTTCTTTTGTTTGTGGATGTATTGCAATCATCAGTTATGTTTGACAAACACTAAATATGTTTCCAAAATCTCTCCCAGCACCCTCAACCCATACTCGCAATTCCGAGACTCGTACACCATTGAACAAGTCCACGATGCCCGTAAAATCTTTGGCCCATTGACCTTGTTGCACTGCTCTCCAACATCCGATGGTGCTGGATGTGCCATTATCTGCAGCGAAGAATTCGTAAAGAAACACGGTCTTGAAGCTCAGGCTATTGAAATCGCTGCTCAAGTTATGGCTACTGATTCTGCTCTTGCTTTCGGTGTCAACAACCACCCAATTAGTGCTCAGCAACTTGCTGGTGTTGGTGAGTCTCGGGTCGTGGGGACATCTTCCAGATGTAATCGTCGGTTTTTTTCGGTTGCTTACGTTCTATATTGATTGTTTTCTAGACATGACTCGACGTGCCGCCAACGAGCTTTACAAGATTGGAAAGATCACTGCTCAAGATGTTGATATTGTTGAGCTCCATGGTATGTGTTTTGGAAAGGTAGCTTGTGAACAAAAAAAATCAAAATAGAGAAACTAACGAATGCATTCTGACCAGACTGTTTCTCTGCTAACGAGCTCATCACCTACGATGCTCTTGGAATCTGTCCTCCTGGAAAGGCTGGTCCATGGATTGCATCTGGTGCTCCATACCACCCCAAGTATGAATTCGAACGGTTTTCTCGCAGTGTTACACCTAGGAATTAGATTACCAATAAATATATTTCTTATTTGAACTTCTTTATAATTAGGTTTGCCCCACCAGGCTCCAACCCAGTTAAAAGAGTACCAGTCAACGTTTCTGGTGGATTAATCTCCAAGGTATTGTGACCTGATCCGCTCTCTTTTGTGTCAGGTTTTTCGTGCATCCGTTCAATAACATAATCTTCTTTTACATTCATCTAGGGTCATCCTCTAGGAGCTACCGGTCTCGCTCAATGCACTGAAATGACTTGGGTAAATGAACGGTTGGGACGAGCAACCCAAAAAACCCTTTATTCTGACCAGTAGTTTCGTTCTTTAGCAATTACGTGGATGGGCCGGTGAACGACAAGTCCCTGGCGTCAAATACGCCTTACAACACAATGTTGGTCTAGGTGGTGCCGTCGTGTGTACTCTGTGTAAGCAATTATTCATCTTTGATCTCTCCTTTTTTTGGCGAACACTTGCCGTGCTGCCCGTTTTTATCAACTTACGCATCATCACCGCAATATACAGACAAGAAGGGTTTCCCAGATGCCAAACCATCCGCCGTCGATGGAAGAACCAGATTGGGATACAATCCTGCTACTGAAGCTCGTCCAATCACTTTGGAACAATTCGATCAAGCCAAATCTGTCGCGGGATCTATTGGACCTCGTCCAGAATGGCCTTTGAAGAGTTCGTCTGAATCTGCTGCTCGTCTTTAAGTCTGTTGGTTGGGATAAAAAAGTGTTAACTCCAAAATTGAACAATAAACAAGATTTGAACTTACTCAAGTGGTTAGTTTGAGATTGGGACGTGTGCTGTCAATTTGTTTGGCGGCGTGGTTGAGGTACGTGATTCTGAAACTTGAAATGAGGACGTTAGGTGAACCTTGTGCGTAGTGGACAAAAGGAAGTACACCCCCAGAACAGAAAGTTCCGGTCAAAGCCCATATTCAATTTGAATTGAGAAAAACCAGGTTAACTCAGGGGTCTATGAAAAAGACAGTCTATATTTCGAAAATGCTTTGATTTATGCTTTTATAAAATGTGCGGTATGCGACAAGCTAAACAATATGACAACAAGAATTCCCATCTATGTATGCTAACGATGCCCCGAATCCACCCAGACGAAAGCCCATCAAGTACTTAATTTACTTGCTTGAGCCAATCTATCTATATAAACATAACCTATTGCTCAAAACGCACAGAAGGCCTGCAGAAGTGAGCAGAGTGACGTTTCGGGCTAATGATAAAATCATCACCTGCAATGTACTCTTCAAGCAAGAAATCATGGAAGGGCTCCAAGTTGTGAGACGGACTCAACAACATGGACCCATCATGAAGTAACCCACCACCACCATAGCTTTGACGACGAGACATGATACTTTCGCGTCTCGGGAATGACAGTACGTCACTTACACGACGAGGAAGAGCCAAGAATTCGTTGCCGTGTTGTACAGATAGGAAAGGTGTGGCATCAAATGTTGATTCACTGGTGAAGGCAAACGGGTTGAAGGAGAATGGTAGGCCGTTGCTATATGTTGATATTGGTGGGGGGAAGACCATGTTGTTGCCTTGATGGGATGGAGTGAACATGGTGTATGTTGATGGGCCACCTTGCATCATGGACGTTGGAATTATGGTGGAGAGGGGAGCCATGGGACTACCAAAGAGACCAGAAATCTCAAAGGAGGGAGATGTCTGGTAGTTTGACGAGTTTTCACGGTCCTTGGATTCATTGCTATGTTTTCTGTTTACGTGTCTAAGGGTTGATTGTTGTGCGAAAAAAAGTGAGAAAAAGTTACTAAAACGAAATTTGAAAAGTGTCAAAACTAACAGCGCCTCCGTTCGACCCAAACTTACTTTCGAAGCTCATGAGCAGACGAGAAAGACTTGGTACAACCAGTATTGTTACAATCAAACGACTCTTCATCAGAAGACTCCACGTCTTCAGAATCCTCACTATCCCAACCTCCGTTATCAGACTCATCGGAGTCCACGTCACGACTTTTGCGAGTCTTGTGAGACTTACGTAGACGTTTGTTGCTTTGCTTCTTTGATGGTGTAGGTTGTGCTGGAGAGTCTACTATACCTGGTGTGCGAACCACGAGGAGAGCTTCTTCGTGACTCGGTGGAGAGATGGCCAATAAAGCGTGAGCTCTCTTGATTGCTTCGGTAGTAGATTCATTCTTGACTTCAGTAGTGCTTGGTTGACCCATTTCAACGCGTTTCAAGTCACGACGAAGGGCCTCCAAGAAAAGTTTTTCGATTTTCACGGCTTGGAGCTTGAAGACCTAGAATTTGCGATAAAGACATTTACTTCGTGAAGGGAGAACTTGGAAATCTGTCGTTGCATAATACCTTCTGTTTCTTTTGCGTCCTTATTGCGCCTGCCTGGAATAAATATTGCAACAAACGAGACCTAGGCTGCTCTAGACTACAACCAGTAGGTACTTTGAGTTGTCTCAAGTCTGAGAAAAGCCCTACAACGGTCAAAGATTTGTGAGTCATTTCGAAACTGTCGTGCCTCTAGCAAAGGACAAGTATGCAATTCAACAGCTCACCTTCTTCCCACTTTTTCAAATGACCTTCACGAATAGGACGCCCTATGGTAAAGAAGCATTCAAACCAAACAACGAGAAACAACAATTCGAGAAAACACGACGTAAAACGTTTGCGCACAACACAGAAATACATACCCAGCTTCACAAGCAAGAACTCAACGATCTTCAAGACATCGGTACCACTGATAAAGACGTCACCATTTTCACCATTCCATAACACACAGGAGATGATATTGTCAGCTGCAAGATGATGCTGTACAACAGCTGGAGATTGTTGGTTGGCAATTAGCGAATGGATAGCAGTCTTTAAGAAGTTCTTCAAGGAGGCGACCGAAGTATCGACTTGATTGCTCTCTGCTGTAGATCCACTAGTAGGAGTCTCCAACGAGATGCTGGCTGTTGATTCAGAGGTGTGCAATGGTACTTGATTCGGCAAGGTCAGAGCGTCGTAGTACCTGCCTTGCAAGCTAGCCAAAAGCTGGCTGTTGTGATTTTCCATATCAGAAATCAGAAACTGTCTCGTGTACTTGACTTGTTTTGAAAGAAAATTTTGTGAGGTTTTGTAGCTAAAAGTTGTGCCTTTTGGTGAAATGCAAAAGTTGTGGCCTGAAGCAAAAGTTTGGAGTGAGGACGTTTCGACGACAAACGAGCGTCCTAAGAGTATCTAATTAGAGATAACAGTTAGTGAACGCGTGATATAATGTCACGTATGCCAAGTAGAGCGACCGATACAGCACCAGACTAAAAATACTAGAAACAAATCTTCAATGTTGATGTTAGGGAACTTAGCTTTGTTGGATGAAACAGAACTTGTTAATATCAAGACATCACGTCGAAAATATTGTTCAAACATGAAATAACACGCTTAAGATGTGCGTTGTTTGGTGAGTGTGCCAGTTTTCAATCTGCTGCACACTTGACAACAATTTCAGCAGAGATGGAGAGTGCTGGGTTGCCAAAGATGGCCAAGGATCCCAATGACACGCCATCGATGCCATCTACTCCAATCTACGTTAGCGATGCCGTTCAAAGCGTAAGTATAGAGCTTTTGATGTTGATGTTTTGAATTGGACAAAATACAAGTTGCTAAATCATGTTGAAGGCTGTTTACAAGAGTATGAACTGATGGGATTCATGTATTTTGTGCCGAAATTATTGGTTATTTGCTGTGTTTCATATCAGATCTACGTATCTGATCCAAACATTTGACATGTTGGATCCAACGCATCTGACCTAAACATTTGACATCCTAGGTCTTGTCAGAGGCCGTTGATGATATGGTATCAGCTCCACTGAGTCGTGTGCTCGTCATCTATGTCGGTGGAACGTAAGAATCGTCCAATACACGGAATACACCTCCTTTGAACTCTGATCTGATTCTGACTTGTACAGAATTGGAATGAAAAACACCCCAACTCACGGCTATATACCTGTACCTGGCTTTCTATCTCAAACTCTAGCAGCTATGACTCGTTTTCATGATCCAGCTGGGCTAGCTCAAGCACAAGGACTGCAGAGCTTGAATCAACCATTGACGAACGCTGTCAACATATCCCTTCGTTATCCAGATGGCGAAGTATCATCAGCTTGTCAAAAGCACGACAACCTTTCTCCTACTGGAACCATAAACGGTACTCCAGTCTTCAAGACTCGGATTCCTGCACTTGTGACGCCTGAAAGCTTGTATGGCAAGAGGACTAGATATTCGATATTGGAGTATGATCCGCTGCTAGATTCATCAAACATGACAATGACGGATTGGGTCAAGATTGCAACGGACATTGAAGTCAATTACAAGTTGTTTGACGCTTTTATCATTCTTCATGGTAGGTATCTTTGACATCTAACTGTTTGATGTGCTCAAGCTAAAGTCAATTTCGCTTATGAACTTTAGGCACTGACACTATGGCTTGTATGCACTTTTGACGTTTGACTGTTTGATGTGCCTATGCCCAAGAGAATTCGCTTCCGAACGTATCAAACAACTCTGATATTCCCGTAGATACTGCCTCGGCTTTGTCTTACATGTTGGAAGACCTAGGGAAGACAGTGATTCTCACTGGCTCTCAGATTCCATTGGCTGAAGTTCGAAACGATGCGGTTGAGAATCTCCTAGGAGCACTCACTATTGCTGGTACATAAGAAGGGTTTTTTGCCTGCTACGAAACTCATACTCACTATCCCTTAAACATAGGCCATTTCGTGATTCCCGAAGTGGGTCTTTTCTTCTCGCACAAGCTATTCCGTGGTAATAGATCATCGAAAGTCGATGCTGTAGATCTCAACGCATTCGATTCACCAAATCTACGACCTATCGTAACTGTTGGGGTCAATATTGACGTCAACTGGAATGAAGTATTTCGCCCCACCACGATTGCCAAATTCCGAGCTCACAAAGTCCTCAATCCATCAGTCGCAGCCTTGAGAATGTTTCCTGGTATTACTGTAGCCACTGTCAAGGCATTCTTGCAAGCTCCCATCGCTGGTGTGGTATTGGAAACTTATGGAGCTGGTAATGCTCCCAGCAATCGACCTGACTTGTTGGAAGCTATACGAGAAGCAATTGAGAGAAGGGTTGTCGTGGTCAACTGTACGCAGTGTCTAAGAGGGCTTGTGTCAGACATGTATGAGACTGGGAAGGCTCTTGTTCAAGTCGGTGTCGTTCCTGGATCAGATATGACTTCTGAGGTGTGAGAACTTGCGTGTTGGTGTGGTCATGCGAAGACGATCGAACGGTCCATTCGTCACCATCTTATCCGTACTTTGTTGCTCGATTATGTGCTGATTTTTTATTTTAGAGTGCCTTGACAAAGCTGTCTTACTTATTGGGTAAAGGATACGATCCAGAAACTATACGTGTCGAAATGCGTCGTAATCTAAGAGGTGAACTGACAATAACCTCTCGACGTCCACGATTCTCTTACGATCATCGTACGATTCAACTCACACAAGCTGTGCTGGGTTTGGTCGGTCAATCATACTCGTCGTCAACAAACTCGAATGGATTGTCACTCCTTCAAGCTGGAGGTAGATCTCCTTCAGAGAGTGCAGTAATTCAACCACAAATAGACAAGCAGCTATCAGTTATAGCTGATCAATTGAGTCCACCTTTGGGACCTAGGTACAATTGAAAGCCTGGCTTTGCCTCGTTTAATTTTGCCAAACAGCCAAACCCCAAACTAACACTGAAGTTTCCAGCGGTAGTTTCTTGCTGAAGGACGGTGATGATTCTGGTATGGAAAGGGCATTGATACCAATGTTGCTATGTCAAGCTGCAAGGTAAAGTAATCTTCTTGTCTTGTTCCTTCAAGAATTGGCTCTTGGTATTATCATTTTTTGGTTGCTCACTTGTTGACACCTTTGTCTTTTGCAGGATTGGCGACGCTGACGCCATTCAGACAGTCGCTCAGAACTTCCCAACTTTCATCAGCGTGGGGGATTATGATGGCAGAACACCCCTTCACATTGCTGCATCGGAGGGACAGCTGGCGGTTATTGAAACACTGCTTGTTCATGGTGCTAGTCTTCACTCTCGAGACAGATTTGGACATTGTCCACTTTTTGACAGCTGTAGATCCGGGAAGCCGGAGGCTTGCAAGCTACTGCTCAATGCGGGGGCCCACTTTTCAGAGGAGGAATTGGATGATATATCTGGAAAGCTCGTTGCGTAAGAGTCAACCGACAATCACAATGAAATGAATCTGACTTTGTTTTCCACAATAGGGCTGCCTCGAAAGGAGATCTTGAACGAATGGGTCTTTTCGTGGAGAACGGAGCTGACATTAACAGGCCTTATCTGGATGGTCGAACTCCACTTCACGCGGTATGGCCAAGAGAGCTTGAGTTGTGTGGATTATGTCTTTGCTGACTTGACAAATTGCTTTTAGGCTGTATCTCACAAACAGTTGTCGGTGCTCCAGTATTTGGTTGGGCTCTCTGCAACTAGCAGTCCATTCGTAAGGGCATCAACACCTATTGCAATCGAGAGTGCCAGAGATGGAGTGCCAATGACCAAGGGTCCATCATCAGCAACTTCCACAATCCTGGTGGTAAATCTCGAGCCAACCGATACTCTTGGCAATACTCCATTGAGTGAAGCAATCACTTCTGGATGGAGTGAAGGAGTTGTCGTATTGGAAGAAGCAATCAAACACAAAGGACTCATAAAGTAAGAATGATCGGTGGTCTATGATAATTTATCTAGCATGCATTTTTCTATACACAAACAATACAATTTTACACAGCAACATATCTCATAAGTTACCATAAATCAGGTGCCGTCCCAGATTTATCAGCGCGTTAATTCCACCAATTGTACCTCCCACAACGCCAACAGTCAGAATCGATATAGTCCATGCCCATTCCCTCCAACTTCTCCCGTCCCATCCATTAAGCTGATAATAAAACACGACTGGAAAAATAAAAACCAATGCCGTGTTTGCTATTGCACCCATAACTTCCACCCAATCCGTGAAATACGGCACTGAGACCGCCAAAGCGGATATACATGCAGCCAGCCCCATCCGCAAAGACACACGAGCTTTCAATGCACTCCATCCAACAGGCGACAACCACACCGGACACTTCCAAGACCGTTCGATATCGTTTGTTAGTGTGGATATCAGTACTGGACATGCTAGCAAGACATGTAGAGTTATGGATATGGTGGCGAGGATCTTGCCTGGTGAGTTTGGGGTTAGGTTATCAAGGATTGGCGAGCTTGAGGCTGTTCCCCATGCTGCGTATCCTGTTATGGCGATTAAGAGGTATATGGAGCAGACTATTATCATTGCTTTTCGGAGTACGGATGGGAATGTTGATGGTTCTTGCAGGGAGGCTTCGACGTCTGGGTACTAGAAGTTTATAATCTTGATTAAGGAGAAAAAAAAGAATAGAAGGATTGTATAGTGAAACCATTGTCTCATACTTGCACGCACACTTACTATGAAATTACCACCAAACGAAAAGGATACAGAAGCTAGAGCTGATGGGAAGCCGACTAGATTGACGATATTAGATTCAGCTCCACCAGTTTCTGCTATCTGTGAGATTCCAGCGAGTATGATTACGATGACTACGATAACAGATACCAGAGTTGCCAGCAAGCTGTCAGAAATGGTTGTGCTGTGAGTATAGAGTTCATGCCAAGCTAAGGAACACATGCCTCAACACCACTGACCTCACAACAGCAACCTCCTTGAGCGACTTGAGAATCAAGACGGGAACCATCACAATAATCGAAAACAAACAAATCCACACTCGTGTAGACATCCACCCGAGTCCATTGGCAGCATTAGTACCAGCTAATACTACATACAACGTCGTGATACCTCCCAGCGCAGATCTATAAAAGACGACCACCCACAATCTCCCCCTTTGCCCAAATGCAGCTTGTCCGATATCAGCATAGCTGGTGAGACGGTGGCCAGGCTGATGATATAGACATGATACGAGCATTCGACCTGTCGAGTCGTTGACGATGGCGCTAAAGAGAATTATGAAGAGGCCAATCCAGCCTGGATTTGGATTTAATTTTCAGTTTGAATCAATAAGATTTCAACTAGTTCAGGCAGTAGGGAGGATACGTACCGGATTGTCTCATTGCGTAGGGGAGAGCGAGGATTCCAGTTCCGATTATGACGCATCTGATATGCGAAAATGTGTTAGTTTCGTTGGATTTCATATATATCGTCGTGCTACATTGCCATAGAAAGCTTTACACTAGATGATAAAGTGCTTCCAGTGGAGTTGATTTGTGATGTTTTTCACCCAACTCGTCATCCAACTCCAGATCAAAGTCCTGTAAGCCGTTCTGAGTATATTCGTCATCGTCTAGGCTCGATGCTGATATCGTAGCTATCTGTGCAGGTGACTGCACAATGCCATTTTCTAGGTTTTGAATTTTGAGCAGTTAGCAACATTTACGTGACATCTAGGTATTGATCAATGCTAGATATGCAATCAACGATTACAATACCTCGACTGAGCAGAGGCTCCACACCATCCTCCTGAAGGGAGACCCTCTGGGACATACGAGATGAAGGCCTGACGATGAGGGTAGAATTCATTTTATTGCTTCCAACCAAGAAGCGACCCCTGAAGCACTACAAGCAAGTGTATTTCACGCGTTTTCCATCACGGATCTACCCTGGCAAGGCCTGTTGCAAGAGCTTCCAGAAGTTTTGAAAAACTTAAAAAAAGTTGTAGATCCACAGTTCAATTGATAGATGTAATTTGTTTAGAGCCAAAGGGACGTAAAAGCACGCTCTTTGGCACTTTGAGAACGTGCAAAATCTTTGCATTGCCGCATATCTACATGCCTACTGGTTTGAGGACAACCATTAGGCCGTGATTTCTTGGTGCGTCACTTTCGTCTAGTTTTTCGTATCGGTCGCTGCCCGCTGGCATATTCAGTAAGCTCTTTCTTTGATTCGGAACGTATCGGATGCTGATCCGTTTGTCCTTGGTGCTATAGAACGAGCATTGAACCAAGCATCAACTCGTGCATTTCCATGAAAATGGACGCTGATCATAACAATGCCATCTCAAATCCATCCAACAACAATATGGAACCAAAGTCAAGAACTCGCTCTTTTCTTCCTACAATTCCGAAGCTGATGAAGTCTCGGTGCAAGGCTGATCAAAGTGCACCACAAGTTTCTGGATTTGGAGGTCTGCAAAGATCAACCTTACCAAAGTGAAACCAGTTTTCTGACTCTCTGAAAACGTTATTAGGCATTCCTTGTCCTGAGCAAGAATCGAACTTGCTTGTGAAATTGTTTACATACTGGCTCGATCCTCTGATAAAAGTTGGCTTCAAACGCGACCTGAAACTCGAAGACTTTTGGCAACTGAATGAAAGAAATCAAGCCAAAGTGCTTGCTGCCCAAGTCAACGATGCCTGGGAACATGAAGTTGCGTCCAAAACCAAACGTGGAAAGCAACCTAGCCTCATAACAGCTGTGACACGAGCATTCGGACCTGCCATAGTGCAAAGTGCTATTTTCCGATTGATTGCAGACACGTGCACGGTTGTATCGCCACTGGTGGTTCAAAACATCATTATATACCTACAAAATGGACCGGCTACGGACTCTGGAGCACATGGCTACATACTGGCGCTCATATTGCTACTTCTACAATTGCTCAACTCTATTTGTAACAATGCAACTATGGCAAGTGGTTCTTGAGCTTGAAACCTGTGGAGTTCGTCTGACCTTTTCCCACCACTAGCAAATGTGCACAAAGACGGGCTTTCGTATGTGAGCCGCTCTTGTCACGGCACTCTTTAGCAAGAGCTTACAAATATCACCTCTTGCCAGACAACAGTTTTCCAGTGGAAAACTGGTAAATATAATGTCGTCGGATGCCAATCGAATCGACCTCATGTGCTTTAACATTCATTTGTATTGGGTGCGTGTGTGCTTTAGCACAGTTTCGATATCGAATCTAACTTGTCAAGTTGACGACAGGCTGGACCGTACATTGTCATATTAGCCATGAGTTTGTTGTTGTATTCTATTGGTCCTTCAGCCCTAGTAGGATTTGGACTGCTACTTTTATACATACCATTCCAGTCTTTCTGCTCTACCCTACTTTCCAAAAACCGCCGCAGTGCAAATTTGGTTGCAGATTCCAGAATCCGAGCTACTCAAGAGACACTGTCCGGAATTCGTGTCATCAAGGTGCGTGGCAATCCTTTTTCACCTCGCTACTTCATATTGAAACATCGCGTTTATATAGATGTACTCTTGGGAAAATCCGTACCTCAAGTCAATTGCCGACTTGAGGTTTTCCGAGACTGGATTTATAAGGAATATTCTACTTGTCAGAGCATCTGTGTCTGGAATGTCTCAAGTATGTGCATACTTGTAATAGAGGTCGTCATGTTTCTAGCATTAAGCTGTTTTTTTGTCTCTAGGCAATGCCAGTCTTCGCCACAATGCTGTCGTTTATCGTATACGTTCAGACCGGCAACACCTTGAATCCAGCCAATATCTTCACCGCGTTGGGACTATTCAATGTGTTGAGAATACCGTTGATTCAGTTACCTCTTATGTTGACTCAGGTAGGTGTCAGCTTCCTTTCTTGATAGGTTTGCCTTTTTTTGTCTAACTCACCGTCCGCATGCTCTAGACGGTGGACGGGTTCGCAGCACTTCGTCGTATAGAATCCGTATTATTATCACCTGAAATGGATTGTGCGCCGGGATTGTTGACTGATCCGAATTATGGTCTAGTGGTGAAATCATCCTCCTTCTCATGGGAGGCTACCGATGATGACGAGAGCGAACCCGATGCTGCAGTCACAGATGGTGCTGAATCATCGTCAGCTGCCATAGAAGCATCTGGAGCAGATCCTTCAACTGCTAGCAGCAACATAGACAGTGCCTTGGATCATAAAACTGTCGTAGTTGATTATCCAGTGCCACTACAGGAACCGTCGTCTCCACCAGGTTCCGATGTTTCAGAAAAGCTGTTGGCAGACGGTATTGTCTCCAAAGAACAATATAACGGAATTCGTGAACTTGGCGCTAGCCAAACCAAGCTTCAGACTGATTCTGTACCCCGACGAGTCTGTTTATCAATTAGTGCGGATGCAGGAGAGAATCGTGCTAACGACAATTTGGATGGTGCTGATGCGAACGCATTCAAGCTTCATGATATTGATGTTGCTATAGAGAAGGGATCGTTGGTTGCAATCATCGGAACTGTGGGTGCTGGCAAATCGAGTTTCTTGAATGCTATTATTGGAGAGATGAGGAAATCATCTGGCACTGGTGTATTTGTTGGAGGGACAATTTCATATTGTGCTCAACAGCCATGGATTCGAAATGATACCCTCCGAAACAATGGTAATGGTGAAATACTTGATATACTTCTTTTTGACGATTGTAATGGCAAAATCATTTATACGACTCTATTAGTCTTGTTTGGAAAGCCGATGGATGAGAAACGCTATGCCAATGTGCTGAGAGATTGCGCTCTGGAACGAGACTTGGAAATCTTGCAAGGCGGTGACATGGCCGAAATTGGAGAGAGAGGGTAATTCGATTTCGACAACAACTTTTTGGGAAGGCCCTACATTATTGAACGCTTCAATTCCCTCAAAATGCAGCATAAATCTTTCAGGAGGTCAGAAAGCTCGCGTCGGATTAGCGCGGGCTGTTTATCAAGACACTGATATCGTAAGTATAGCGCAAAAAAAAGCAGTCGACGGGCATGAATTTATAATCTTTCGCTTACTAACACATGCACCTTGTCTTAAAAGGTATTGATGGATGATGTGCTATCAGCAGTGGATAGCGGAGTTGGCAAATCCCTCTTTGACAATTGCATCCTTGGGGCATTGAAGGGCAAGACTAGAATATTGGTCACTCATGCATTACAGGTATGCCTAGGTGTTATATTACCATATCTGTGTATTAGTATTCAGTATTTTTTGGCCTTTAGTATTTGCCTCGAGTTGATAAAATCCTCGTCATGAGCGGTGGCACCATAGTCGAACAAGGTACATACAAGGAGCTAATGGCCGACAAATATTCGTATCTTTCGGCAAATCAAGATGCATGGAATAGTCCATCGCCATTGTCATCTGCTGAATCTGTTCAACGTCGAAGGTCTTCGGTAAAAGTTATTGAGACAGAGATAGCGACCAAAAAAGCCGCCGAGTCGCCAGCTGGAGAAAAGCTGATGAGCACGGAGGAAGAACATAAAGGGAAAATTACATGGTCTGCGTATGGAACGTATCTGAAAATGCTGGGTGGATTTTGGGTTACGTTTGCTGTTGTGCTTGGGTTGGTTATGGCTCAAGTGACCAGGATTGGCACTGATCAATGGTAAAGCTTTAAAAGAATTCTTTCGCCTCTTTTTGGTTCATTGTGCCATTATTTCTCACAACATACTCATGCAAAACCCTCTCTGGTCAGGCTGGTACAATGGACAAACAAGCGGTTCCCCCTTGACACTGGTTCATACGAAGGAATCTACGTTGCATTGGGCTTATCCCAGTGCCTGTTCATATTAGGACAATCTCTCGTTTTTGCATATGCGGGAGCTAATGCCTCACGACGAATCCACAATGCTGCTTTGGAAAAGATATTTAGGTCGCCAGCTACGTTTTTTGATACCACCCCATTGGGAAGGCAAGTGTATTGCTCACTACAGTACTTTTCAAAAGGGGCTTTTTTTGCTTGATTGTCAAATATGCATCTAACTTATGCTCTTGCTCTATGCAGGATTTTAAATCGCTTTTCCAAGGTATGAATATGCTGAAATTTGCGACGAAAGCATTATACTAATTTAAACTATTCCTCCACAAGGACGTTGATACGATTGACCTTCAGCTACCAGGTATGCAGTATTTATTGCTCACACTTTTCTTGCCGTCACCGAAGCTGATCAACCCCTTTTTGTAGAAAATTTTCGTACGATGCTCTACACTGCTGCCCTAACAATCGGCAACTTTGTCCTAATCTGCATCATATTCCCAATCATGCTGGCCCCACTCATTCCAGCACTTATATTCTATGGCTTTGTACAACAATACTACACGGCATCTTCTCGAGCCCTCAGACGATGGGACAGCATAACACGGTCCCCACTCCTAGCTCACTACTCTGAAGCGTTGACAGGGCTACCAACGATACGTGCATATGGCATTGAAGATCGTTTCAGGAAAGAGAATCTGAAGCTTCTTGATGACAATAATGCCGCGTATTATCTTTATGTCTGTATCCAACGGTGGTTGAATATCCGACTCGAGTTTGCGTCGAGTATGATCATATTCCTGACAGGTATATTCTGTATTACCGAGAGGTCTGTACTATCACCGGCATCTGCTGGTCTAGTGCTGTCTTATGCTTTGACTATTACCACGTCCTTAAACTGGGCGGTGAGGAATATTAGCCAAACTGAAAACAATATGGTATGCAAGTCTCTTGGATTTCAATTATAATCCTGCTCGCTAACTGTCGTTTCTTGTATCCTCATTTGTAGAATTCAATTGAACGATTAGTCCATTACTGCGAATCTCTGGAAAGTGAAAAGCCAGACATAATTCCAGAACACCGACCACCTGCATCCTGGCCATCAGAAGGAAAGATTGAGATTCGTAACTTGACGTTACGGTATCGTGATAATCTTCCAGATGTGATACATGAAATATCCTTCACAGTGGAGGCTGGACAGAAACTAGGCGTTGTGGGCCGTACAGGTGCTGGTAAATCATCCATTGTGGTTGCATTGTAAGAGAGAATATCTATGAAAACTATGTTGGAGTTGGATTGTTTTGTACAATGACACTTTTTTTCTGTTAGACTACGACTGGTTGAGAAAAAGAGTGGCGAAATCCTAATCGACAATTTAGATGTATCCATGATGGGCCTACATGATCTTCGAAAGTCAATCTCTACAATCCCACAGGGTAAAATTATCAAGACAAAGAACAAAGAATCTTGCTACTTAATTTCTCACTAATTGAATTTTTAGAGCCTGTCTTATTTTCAGGAACTATTCGCAGCAACCTTGATCCATTTGACCAATATTCTGACGAGGCCATATGGGCTGCACTAGGACAAAGTGATATGAAGGGCGTCGTGGCTAACACGCCTGGAGCACTTGAGGCCGCTGTTACAGAAAATGGCGAAAAGTGAGTGTTGTTTGAGTTTGAGTTGGTTGCTGAAAACAATTGTCGTTGACTTCGGTAATTTTTTTCCAGCTGGAGCCAGGGCCAAAGGCAGCTTCTGTGTCTTGCTCGTGCGCTTCTTCGAAAGTCCAAAATTGTCATGTATGCAATAATTTTGATTATTTCCACCATTACTTGTATTTCGTTAAATCTCTTTTTGCCCATTCTAGCCTTGATGAAGCTTCCGCCTCAGTCGATGGAGAAACAGATGAATTCATACGAGCAACCATTCGACGAGATTTCGCGGATTCAACAATTATTACTATTGCACATCGTCTCGACACAGTGTAAGACTTGATTAGCGCCAGTTGCACAGAACTGTCCTCTTTGACACGGTGTCCCATTTTTTAGTGTAGACTATGACAAGATCCTAGTCCTCTCACACGGAACCGTGTTGGAATTAGATACCCCACACAACTTGTTATCAAATCCAAACAGTGCGTTTAGTAAGATGGTGGATGAGACAGGCAAGACGAATGCACAGCATTTAAGGGATGTTGCTGCTGCCAAACATCTGAATAAAAGCTGATACGACTGTTGTGTCGTTTTGAAACCAAATGTAAAAAAAGTCAAATCTAAATACAAATTTGAATTCTCATAGTACGGTTGTTATGCAAAATTTATTTTGATATTGTGTGCAAACTACTGGTGTTGTGGACTTAAAAAAAGATGAAATATAAGATTTTTTTACAGATTAGGCATCACGTAACAGATTTCCTCTCCCAACCCCACTCTTTACAAAAGATCACGCAGCCTCCTTCTAGCCCGTAGCAACGTCCTCTCCTCCCTCCTCAATTGGGTCCCAAACTCACTCTCAAAAAAAGCTGAAATAGCTTTAATACTCTCCTCCACATCCTGCGACATACCCCAAACACGCGCCAAGAACGAATACTTAATTCCCCCCGACACATACCCACTATGTCCCCTCTCCAACAAATCCCGACATCGTTCCAACTCAGTCTCCAACCTCGCCATCCTAAACGTCTCCATTGCAGTACACAGTGTCTCGAATGCTGCGAGTGTATCGTGTATGTATGGACGTGTGCCAAGCACGATGGATTCGTCGATTATGCCGCCCGCTGTGCGGAGACATTTAGATAGGGTTGCTATATGTGAGTCGAGGTTGAAGGTGCGTGTCTTCATTATGGATTTCGAGAGGGCTGAGCCGAACTCGTCGAGCTGGACTACAGACCATGAGCTGTCTGATTTGTCGAATGTGGAGGCGCCACGGGCGCGCCGTATTAGGTTGGCGTAGTGTTCGTGGTATAGTTGCATGATGCATCCAAATAGGAAGCTAGTTGAGAAACGGGATTTAGTGATAAAACGCAATGGCGAAAAAATCGCATGACTTATGACTTCAATTGGACTCACCGTATCAGTTGCACAATACGCTGCCTTGGCATCGACGGCACCATATCTGGTCTGACCAGTTTAATCTGACTCATAGCATCAACCAAATCAGGATCCGATTCTAGCATTTTCGAAATGTTTGTGATTATCGGGTTTACACGAGACACCAGTCTCTCCAATTTCACAACTGGCGGTGATGTATCGTCAATTACTACAAGTGGTCTATCTAATGATCGACTGGCCTTCTTGGCAGGAGACTCCGTTGATTTGACACTATGTAACTCTGTCGTAGATGGCCGTACTTTTCTGCCTGGGAGTAGGCGTTGCCATGTAGATGTTTTCGTGTGGTCTACTTCGATTTCCGTGGGAAGGGACAGCATCCCGCCTGGTTTACGTGATGCGTCTGTTGGTGAGCCAACGACTACGGTGACAGGGTCGGTCAATAGTATAGAGCTGGGTTTAGAAGCTACAGATTGCGTGCCAAAATTATCTTGAGTTGGCGATGATGGCCTTCCGCCACTGCTAGCAGCACTAAATTGGCTGTTTCTATTATTGTTGTTACTGTTATGCGGAATTGCACTGGTTCCGGCGGTATTGCCATCAGTATCACTCAGCCTCTCTTCAAACACAATGTCGATTAAAGTGGCCAATTCGGTCAAGAGGGTTGCTGTCTTGTGCAAAAACTCTTGACGAGGGCGTGGTGGAAAGACGAGTAGACGGCCCAGGAAGGCTAGCACGATACCACCAACTATAGCACATGCTCGAGCGGTTGCTATTATGAATACATTGGTTTGCACGTTCAAGAGGCGATCTCGGTATGCGCATAGCATCATGATGAGGAGGGTCAACATGTTCATCTATTCGGGTTTGTTCATTTGGTTAGTCCCTTGGGAGAATTCTCTGACGCCGGGGAAGCGGATCAAGTCTCAAACATGCAACGGTGAAGAAAAGGATGAAATCTCATGGACCACGTACCCTCATGTACTTTTCAACTTCTGGATAGCGAACAGACCAATATGCCCAGAGAAACAAGGCTACGAATATGAATACGCCCACAATGTATGGCTTGTACCAGCAATATAAACATGACACTGGGTCGCTCAACACGTCCAAATACAGGATTAGACACACCGCCTGGAGTGAAAGCAAACGTCAAGTCAGTACAAACGACCTGAATCTCATACATTCTATTATTGAGCGCCAGCCTTGAAACAAGGTCTCCGTCACTGTTATGATGTCGTTCTTTTTTTTTTGCTCAAACTTACCCCGGCAGTGAGTATTGCACCCACAATCATAGCAAACAGACTCTTGAAAGTCATTTTGCTTGGCGACTGGATAGCAAACAATGTCGAAATAGGCACCCAGTAAGGCTCCAAATATCTCCACCGATACGTTATAGGCACAGCCAAAGTCAAACCACACCCCAAGAAGAGCAAGAATGCCAATCTCATAGCATCGTGATCCCAAGGCAAGACATACGCGAAAACCCCATCAGTCCACTTCCATATATCACCAAAACAGTTGTTGATTCCACTAGCTAGTTTAGCTGCCCTGTGTTTTCGAAGGGGCAGGATTACGTCGATTGTGTCGTTAGGATCAAATGTTACGGTTGGTGTACGAGACTTAGAACGGTGGAGAGTTGTTGTTCGAGGAGGTCGAATGAATGTTATTGTCGCTGGTTCCGGTTCTGATTCTTCTAGCGTAACAGTCGGGTTGCTCGCTCCAACTCCTTGTTCGGTGATCTAATTGTGGAAGAGTTAGTTTGGTTGTTCATCATTTCTGAAACAACGTATAGATCCACCTCTGCTTCATCTGGTTGTTCGGGAGTGAGAGTCGGTTCTGCTCTGAGCATTCTGTATTCCTCTTCAGATGAAAGACCCATCGCTACCTCTATTTCTTATAATGCGATTCATGTTAGATTTGTGTTCCAAGGCGTTTACATCGTGGAAGCAACCAGTAACAGTCCAATATTGCCAAATACAGCTAGATCAAAACCGTTCAATCAACCAACCTGGTGCAATGACATGTAATCTTCGTAATAACGCTAGGTGGCTGGCAGATCCATGGACGTGTCCGTCTATGAGCGTTTCCGGTGGGCTCGGGTGATCATTGGAACTAGCAGATCCATGCACACCGTCTGTGAGCGTTTCCGGTGGACTCTGGTGGTCATTTGAGTCTACTGCTTGAATGTTTCCGCCCTGCTGCGACATTGTTGAGTGGAGACGAGAGAGGCTCGGCCAGCTTTAACGACGTGGGGTACAGCCTTGTAAAATCTGGCCACTATGTAGTCTTGATCAAGGTCGTCGTAGTCAGGATTTTTTTGTTCTGTCCTCGACGGTCTTCTTTTCAACTTGGGTGAGCAAGGCAAAGAGAGAAGTTTCGGTCAGCGGAGGGGCGACTTGTCTTGCATGGAGATCGGCCTTCTACTCCGAACGAAGCTGGCCCTTACGTTTTGAAAACTTTTTGTAAAGCAATCTAAAATGAATGGAAGCATTTAAAGCCAATAGAACAATCAGCAGGGGGCTCAAACGATCACCAGCTTGAATCTATTGTTATATTGGATTTCTGCGTGATTTAGATTGGTAGCTTGCATTACTAGGGCTGAAGAGACCTACATAGCTGGCAACACGCAACACCAACAGACATGAATTTAAACTGAACAAGACGTGGCTGGTGCAGAAGTAAGTATTTGCTGCTAGCCGCAAGTAGGGATCTGTCATCATACGAGGAAAATCATCAAATTCGGCTTCTCGAAGCGATTAAGTTTTGAGTGCACGGATGAGAGCAAGGGTCTCGCAGTTCGCAACTTGAGAAGGTTGAATTTCTAGCAGTTTTCCGTAGTGATCGCTTTACCACCAATAAATCAAAGCGATCTAATGCTATCATATGAAGTGTGTTCTCCTACGGTCTTTGTTCCAAAGTCCATCATGAAACCTACCCATCGATCTCGACTTGGATACTCACTCTTGATGACGTGGAGTATAACGCGTAAAAATATTAGTTTACTGGCCACACATTTAACAAAGGCCTTACGCTCTTGAGCTGACGCCAATAGCAGAACTCAAAACCTTTTTTTTTTGCTACACTTTTCATTGAAACTCAAACCGTTCATTGGGCCGCCGACATTGGCAATAGAGTAATGAATCATACAACGAGCTTCACTCAAGCTCTATTAACGACTTCAACGTCAGATTTATCCCCTCTCGTGCCAAGACGAACTTCAACAGAATCGTCGAAAACACACCAGGCTGATAATAATGGAGACTTGTCTGGCCGTTCACAATTACCTCTGGAACAGCAACAAAAGCTACTAGATGTCATAGATCCTTCTCACTCAAGCTATCACGCTGCAATCGAACAATCATCAACATCTTCAGATATAGAATCTTTCCCAACTTCCGCCCAACAAGATCCATTATTTCTACGCAAGTCATTAAAGTCTGCTGCTGAGCTTGCTCAATTGAGAAAGACGGGGCCAAATGGTAGAAAACTATCGGCATTCTATGAAGCTCAAAACGAGCTTATTGAAGAACTCTTATCTCCCGTTGAAGACAAGAGTGATGCTGCTGTGGCTGCTGAGGAAGAGCGGTTATTGAAGGTATTAAGACAGAGTAAAGTGTCTGCATTCGAGGACACATCTCAAAGTTTTTTTTTTTTCGTCTAGCTCAAAATCGCAGTATATGGTTCACTAGGCGCAAACGTCTTCTTGTTTTGCTTACAACTTGCCGCTGCAATCCTATCCGGATCGCTCGCTCTATTCGCCACCATGGCTGATGCATTCATGGATCTGGCCAGCTCTATAGTCTTGGTATATGCAGGTCATGCTGCTGCAGGTTCAAACGAAATGAAATACCCGACTGGAAAGGCAAAGTTTGAGACTGCTGGCATCATTGTATTCTCATCCCTTATGGCTACTGTATCTGTTCAACTGATTGTGAGTGGCTTTTGTGTGTCGTTGCTATCGACGTGAGTTTCGATTACATCTCAACGCTGTTCACGATTAGGTCGAGAGTTGTAGAGCGCTTGCTTCTAATGAACATTCAGTTGATTTGAATTACCTGGCCATCGGTTGTGTTTGTATCGCCATTGGTACGTTCCACGTGTTTTACTACACCCTTTTTTTGCCACCAATCTCAAGCCCAACTTTTAATAGGAGTCAAATTCGTGTTATACCTGTATTGCCAAGCACTATCAAGCTATCCTTCCGCCAAGATCCTTGCTCAAGATCATCGGAATGACTTGGGTGTCAATTCCTTGGGTATCCTTATGGTCGTATTGGGTAGTAGGTTTGCTGCATGGCTTGATCCAGTTGGAGCCATTATCATTGCATTGATCATTCTTCGATCGTGGGTCAATACTGCTTATGGTATGTAACGTCCATTCATAACCTCGACGTGGGTGGTTTTTTTACGTACCACATCGCGGACTGACATTTTTAATGAAAACAGAGCACATACAGATGATTGTTGGAACGACAGCTTCTCCAGCCTTCCTCCAACGTCTTACATATCTCGCATTAACTCATGATCCAAGGGTCCAACAAGTCGACACATGTAGGGCTTATAATGCTGGCAGTGACTTCTGGGTCGAAGTCGACATTGTGCTTCCACCAGATATGGTATTGGCCGAAGCACATGACATAGGAGAAGCACTGCAAATGAAGTTGGAGCAGTTGCCAAATGTAGAACGTGCGTTTGTCCATTTGGATTTCGAGACCGAGCACAAACCAGAGCATCGTAAATCCAAGTAATAGTAGTAGCAGTAGTATAGTAGTAGCAGTGTCATCGCAGTGGTGTTATGTAAATTCGTATCTATATAGTTATAGGGAAGAAATAGAGTTCGTCCTCAGAAACGCAGAGAGGTATGCGCGAGTAATATGATTTGATCCATACAGTAGCCTTCCACGTGCTGTACGGTGCATCCATTCACTATTGCCTTGGAAACCCCTTAATCCACCTTCAATCACGAACGCCTTCCAAATCAAAATCATTGTTGCATTCAAACACCAAGTGAAATAACCGGAAAACTAGGAACAAAATGCACGACTTCTTACATTCACCTATCCCCGTCCGTTTGCCGGGAGCAAAAATATCACCTCCTTTGCCACGGCTGCCCGATTCACCAGAAATTCAACGTGAAGCTGCCGATTATTTTGAACGTAAACAAATTACTGCCATTCTAGAGGTACACGAAAATCCATCGAAATTGGATAATTTAATATTATATACATGCACTTGTACGCACGTGTTTCTAACACGTTTTACTACTACTAGGCAATCACGACAGGTCTCTCATTCGCAAAACCAGAAGACCCAATCACATTCATCCAAGAATGCTGTACCCAACTACGCAGCCTCCAACACGAAAAGAAAACTTTACATTGGGATTCGTTCGTACCCGGGGGGTCAGTTGCATTACCAGGAATTCGAGGTGGCAAGAAATATATTCGTAAAGTCAAGAAACCGTCTGCATGGGTTGAGAAACCGATTAGCATTATTAACTCGTCGATTCTTGTTGATGAGAGTGTTGTGTTGGAGATTCGCGGACGGGCCTCGCATGATGTTAGTGCTGCTGTGCTTCCACCTATTGGAGTTAAAGCTGTTGAGGTTAAGGAGGAGGTTAAAGAGGAGGCTACTGTGGAATCCAAGGAGGCTGTGATTAAGCCTGTGCCTACCGGCAGAGCGTGGCAGAATATTGTCTTTGTACTGGGTAAGTTTCTGGTCTTTTTGTCAACCTTTGGTTGATATGCAACATATAATTGTTGATATTACCCATCTAAAATCCCTTCTTTTTCAATGAACAGGTGGTCCAGGAAGTGGTAGGAGACATCATTATAACATGCCAAAAAAGCACAAAAAGACTCATAACCCACTGCTCTTAAAATAGGCAAAGGAACTCAATGCGATCGACTAGTAGCTGAATTCAAATATGTACACCTGTCATCTGGTGATTTGCTTAGAGCTGAAGTAGCTAGTGGATCACAGTTGGGACAACAACTGGACTCGATTATGAAGGAGGGGAAATTGGTTCCACTTGTAAGTGAACTGCGATCTTCTTTGGTTAGGTTTTTTTTTTGCTCAACCCCAAGCATTTAGGATATCACTCTACGATTGATTCGTGAGGCCATGGAACGTGCTGATCCTAACGCACCTGGATTCCTACTGTAAGCGTCATTGAAATCACTATGTGTTGAAACTATGGGCTAATTCTTCTCAATTTTTCGCTGTTACAGTGACGGATTCCCACGAGAACTAGACCAAGCTTATGCATTCGAGCAACAAATCGCTAAATGCAAACTCGCTCTAGTCTTTGAATGCCCCGAAGAAGTTCTCATTCAACGTCTACTGAAAAGAGGTGAAACATCGGGTCGTGCCGATGATAATATCGAAACCATCAAGAAACGCTTCCAAACCTTCCAAGATGCCTCCCGTCCAGCAATCGAATACTTCCAGAAGGAAAATCGATGTGTCAAGATTTCGTCTGATGTGACTCCCGACCAAGTATATGAGAAGGCTAGAGAATGTTTTATTGAAAAGCCCAAACCAAGAGGACGAGCATGGAATAATATTGTGTTTGTGCTGGGTGGTCCAGGCAGTGGTAAAGGAACTCAATGTGATCGATTGGTCGAGGAGTTCAAGTATGTACATCTGTCTTCGGGTGACTTGCTGAGGGCTGAAGTTGCTAGTGGAAGTGAGTTGGGACAGCAATTGGATGCTATTATGAAGGAGGGCAAGCTAGTTCCACTTGTAAGGAGTATTCAGACTTCCCGTAGCTTCTGTTTTGGTTCTCACTCACAATGATTTAGGATGTTACTCTACGACTGATTCGTGAAGCCATGGAACGCGCTGATCCCAATGCACCTGGATTCTTACTGTAAGCATCGTTGGCATCGCTATGTGTTGAATTCATTGTCTGATTCAAGTCAATGTTTTCGCTGTTACAGTGACGGATTCCCGCGAGAACTAGAACAAGCATATGCATTCGAACAACAAATCGCCAAATGCAAACTCGCTCTAGTCTTTGAATGCCCCGAAGAAGTCCTCGTTCAACGTCTACTCAAACGGGGTGAAACATCAGGACGTGCCGACGACAATATCGAAACCATCAAGAAGCGCTTCCAAACCTTCCAAGATGCCTCACGCCCAGCAATTGAATACTTCCAGAACGAAAACCGATGTGTCAAGATTTCGTCTGATGTAACTCCAGACCAAGTATACGAAAAGGCTAGAGAATGTTTTGTTGAGAAACCGAGAGGCCGCGCATGGAAGAACATTGTGTTTGTTTTGGGTGGTCCAGGAAGTGGTAAAGGAACTCAATGTGATCGATTGGTTGAAGAGTTCAAGTATGTTCATCTGTCGTCCGGTGACTTGTTGAGAGCTGAAGTTGCTAGTGGAAGTGAGTTGGGACAGCAGTTGGATGCTATTATGAAGGAGGGGAAGTTGGTTCCACTTGTAAGCGAATACGAAGCCATCATATTTTCTCTTTGTTTTATTGGATCCTTTGATCTTAATCACATGTTTTGCTTTAGGATGTTACACTACGATTGATTCGTGAAGCCATGGAACGTGCTGATCCTAATGCACCTGGATTCCTCCTGTAAGCATTGCTACGTAACGACGTTATGGTCAAGATTTGAATAGTGGAACGCTGACTGTGTTTTTTGGGCAATCGCAGTGATGGATTCCCACGAGAACTAGAACAGGCCTATGCCTTCGAGCAACAAATCGCCAAATGCAAACTCGCTCTAGTCTTTGAATGCCCCGAAGAAGTCCTCGTTGAACGTCTACTTAAACGAGGTGAAACATCAGGACGTGCCGACGACAATATCGAAACCATCAAGAAGCGCTTCCAAACCTTCCAAGATGCCTCCCGCCCAGCAATCGAATACTTCCAAAAGGAAAACCGATGTGTTAAGATCTCATCTGATGTTACTCCCGACCAAGTATACGAGAAGGCTCGGGAATGCTTTGTTGAAAAGTCAAGAGGCAAGGCTTGGGATAATATTGTGTTTGTTCTGGGTGGTCCTGGAAGTGGTAAAGGAACTCAGTGCGATCGACTTGTGGAAGAATTCAAGTATAATCACATCGCTGCGGGTGATTTGCTGAGAGCTGAAGTTGCTAAGGGAACTGAGCTTGGTCAGCAGTTGGATGCTATTATGAAGGAGGGCAAATTGGTTCCACAGGTAGGTGACATTGAGAACTGATTTTGAAGTTGTTCCTGCTCCTCCGCATGTTGATGTTTGCTTTCTATTTGTTCTATCCTAACAAGCATTCCCTACACCCCTATAGGAAATCACACTCCAACTCCTCCGTCTCGCAATGGAGCAAGCACCAGCTGATGCACCAGGGTTCCTTATCGATGGATTTCCAAGACAATTAGACCAAGCCCACGCATTTGAAGACCAAATCGCCAAATGCAAATTCGTGCTATGCTTTGAATGCCCTGAAGACGTCCTGGTTCAACGTCTACTGAAACGAGGAGAAACATCGGGACGTGCCGATGATAATATTGATACCATCAAGAAACGCTTCAAGACCTTCCAGGATGCTAGTAAACCTGCTATTGAGTTCTTTGAAAAGGAGAACAGATGTGTTATGATTTCATCTGATTCTAGTGTCGACGACGTGTATGAGAAGGCTCGTCAGCGATTCTTGTAGGAGAGGAGAGGTTGTAAACACTATTGTAAACATTTATTGACGTGATATAAAGCGTCAAAGTCTATTTAAATTATCAATTGTTTGTTAAACGAGAATGAAATCAGAGCGAAGGCAGTCAAACGATTGTGTTTCCAAGCTTCAAACCATAAGCCCAAGGAACCCCATAAACAGACAGACATGAGCGCATGGAGCAATTGCAAGTCTCCCTGGATACGGTTGGTTCATTTGAAAGAAGCGTACGGCTCTGTTTCTGTGAACCTTGTTTTCCAATCTTTCTTGTGCGTTTCAAAAACTGAAAACCTCGTGTTCGGACTGGTCCAAGCTCTTCATGTGCACAAGCCTCCAGTCTCCGCGCCCGTCCGCTCTCCGTGCAATAATTGTGGCCGTACCAACACACTTAGGTGCAATTATTGCGTAACTCGGTGCAGTAATGTGGCATGCCAACAAAAATGCTGCTATTATTGTGGTTACTAAACAGGCACACGAAGGCGTAAAGTAGCAAAAGTAGATTCCTAGTATAGTTGTAAGTTCAATGAGTAAATGCAAAACATCTAGTAACAAATATGCAAACCTCAAGTATATACCTGTATGCAAAACATCCAATATATTATAGCTCTGAAAGAATATTAACAAGTGCATTTTTGTCTTGGCGTACTTTACACAACAAAGTTGATGACTTTACCACCGCTAGCAACCACCACCCTTTTGACCTGCTGAGTAGGTTGAACCCATTTCTTGAATATCTCACTATCCCTTGCAGCAGCTTCCACAGCACCAGAGTTTTGAAGCAGTCCAGTGGAGATATTCATTATGCCTCGAGTCTTGCCATTGACCTAGCACGAAAGAAATTCAGAGTTGCCTTTCATTTTTCGTCAGTCTGAATCATCGAAATCTGAGACCCACCATTATGACAACATCAATAAGCTCAACTGCTTCCGATTCGGCAACTTGCATCACTTCAGGCCAATTAATTTCAGATATGCCCAATATCTGTTTCATTTCAGATCCAATACATGGTGCAAAAGGAGTCATCAGCCCGACTAGTGTGCGTATAGCAGCGTCAAATGCAGATGATGATTTCATGCCTTGCAGTTCGTGGGTAAATTTGATTAAGTTTGATATAGCAGTATGGAAGTGATATGTTTCCTTTAAACATGTGGTGACCTAACACATCGATGGCAAGCGGTAAGCACAAAAATACTCAAGATACTGATGGTATTACAGCAATGTGCAATTTACCTCTTTGATGACTTGGTTTGTCAATAGTTGTAAAGCTCGACCTTCTACCGTCTGATCACCCTGCTTTTCACTTTCAATTTGTTCATTTACAAGCGACCATACACGAACAAGCCATCTGGACATGCCTAAAACACCATTTTCCTCCCATAATAGTTCGTCAAATGGTGCAGCACGATAAAGGATATGTAGACGTGCTGCGTCAGATCCGTATTCTTTAATTATATCCTTTAGTGGCCAAACGTTAGAAGTTGTATTGTGTGGAGCGAAAAAAACGATCCTACGGATTTCGACTTCAAATGGAGATCATACCTCAGGATCAACACCATTGTGTTTAGACTTGGACATTTTTTCAAACGTAATCACGGGTTCTGCTCCAGTCGATTTTACTCGTACATTGGCAGCATCTAGTGTATGAAACGTCTCCTAAGTATCGCCAAGGATTTAGAATTAGTGAAGACTGTACCTGAAAAATCTAGCTCTTCTATTTTGAAATATCTGCCAGTCTCACGACATCGATATGTCTTGTTTTGGACCATACCCTTTGGGTTGAAAAATTCGAGTCAACTATGATGCAATAAAAAACAGCGACCGGGTTTTTGAATACCTGAACAAGAAGTTTCGTAAATGGCTCACCCTTAGCCATAGAATCGCCCAACATGCCTTGATCACGGAGAAACTTGGCCATGAATCTGGCATAAAGCAGATGCATTGTAGAATGCTCAACTCCACCCATATATAAATCAACTGGCAGGTTTTGGGATGCGAGAGATGTATCACATGCTCTATTGGCGTATTTTTAGACCTCAGTTTGTGCATATTTTGTGACGCACTTTTATTTCACTCACGTCTCAGAATTGTTGGGATCACAATATCGAAGCCAATACCACGATGAGTCGACAAATGTATCCATTGTGTCTGTTTCTCGTCGTGCAGGTTTCTTGCACCTGATGAAAGGTCGTACATCAGTTTTTTGGTTGCTCTGTGCATTCGACTAGTTTTACGTCATACTTTGGACACTTGCAATTCGACCACTCATGCGCCAATGGAGAGACACCTCGTTCAACATCATGCAAATCAGCAGGCAGCACCAGTGGAAGATTCGATTCGTTTAGAGGAACGACCTGCAAAAAAAGCCATTTACGACACTTGGATGGTCGATATCAAAAGCACAGAACTTACACCACACGAATCACAATGTACAAGCGGCATTGGTGTGCCCCAGTAACGCTGACGAGATACCAACCAGTCTCGCAATTGATACTACAGCAGCAAGCAAATGAGTAAGTAAAAAACCACACTCACTGATGTCAAATTCAAACCCAAAGCTTACACGAACTGCGACTCTACCTAGCCCACTTGCACTCAATTGATGTTCAACACTCTTCGTATCTAGCTGATCGTCAAGCGGCATGATACGATGCACTCTAGCGAACTTAGCATCAGCTGCTTCATGTGTTGGTGTTCCAATAACTGACTCCGCTGCATGGTTTGCCATGAGTGCCTCGGATACAAATATAGGAATTGGTTTGCCCGTTATTGGGTGCACTCCAAAGAGTCCAGTAAAGCAACCTAAATCATCGTCAACTGATTCAATTTTCGGTGCAGACTCTCTGGATTCACAAGACATGAAAACGTACCGTGAGAGGCTGATGGGCTATGCGGTATTTTTACCTTTATCGTTTTGGTATATTCCAACACTTGGGGCGCATTAGCTTTTGGTAGGTACCTAAAAAATCGAGGTTGAGATGCAGGAACTCAGAAAAAAATCGAAACAAGTATGTCAACATACCAATCGGAAAGGAACAAATGATCTGGTGATATAGCAAGATAATCAACGTCCATCAGTCTACTGATGTCTGGGCAAAAGACCGTCAAGTTTGGTGAAGGGGCCGGAGCTGGAGCCTACGAGAGACACGAGGACACTCAGTTCAAAAAAGGACGGGAAGGCAACGAGAAAACCTCCTCTTGCTTACAGAAGACACCCAAACTCGAAAGTCAACCTCCCATCCTTGACTCTTGCCAATCCAAGCTCTTTGTCGCTGCTTGACGTGGTTTGGCCAGTCAAGTGCATCGAGATCTGCCAATAGCTCCTACGCAGTAATATGAGCATTTCGGGTCCAGAAATCCTCGATTCAGTTTTTTTTTGCATACTTCAGCATAGTGGGTAGTTCGAAAAAACCATTGCCGAAGTTTCCTACGCTCTACAAGAGCACCTGAGCGATCTGCACGTCCTCTATCATCCACCTAGGCTAAAAAGTGTTAGTTTACGAGAAAAAAGGCTCAATGCTTGAAAACCAGACCTGTTCATTAGCCAACACAGTTTTATCAACAGGATCCCAATTCACCCATGCGTCAGCACGATAAGCTAATCCAGCTTTAAACATTTTAAGAAATATACTCTGCGTCCATCGATAATATGATGGATCTATGGTCGAAATCTCCTACGATCCAACGACTGTTAGATGGTTTATTTTCTGCACATATCAACGTGACAGAGACTTACGCGACTCCAATCAAAACTAGTGCCCATATCCTTCAACTGTATCTTCATATGCTCTATATTCTCTCGTGTCCAAGCAGCAGGATGTATCTTTCGATCGAAAGCTGCGTTTTCAGCAGGTAATCCAAACGCGTCCCAGCCCATGGGATGCAGCACCTAATCAAAATAAGATGGCATCAGTTCTTTGCAGAGTTTGAAAGCAATTCGTCACTCTGCTTTTCTGATTTGCGTACATTGTGTCCCAAAGCACGTCGAAAACGAGCAATTGTGTCTGCGATCGAGTAAATCCTGAAATGTCCCATATGTAGTCGTCCAGATGGATAGGGAAACATGGCAAGCACGTAAGATTTGGATTTGACGCGTGTATCTGATGTGATGTCTTGGGCAGCTGATTTCCAGGTTTTGATCCATTTTGCTTCAACTTTTTGGGCATCGTACTTGATGTGCTGCAGGCATCGAGCCGTGCATCTCATACTGATTCGAGCTGCAAAATGTGCAGGCTAGTGACCTTGTTACCCGTTTCACTGGTCTTGCAAGCCTTCTGTCCTGTGGTTGTCCTGTGATTTATGGCAGCAATGTCTGAGCAGAGCTTGGACGCAAGAGCCTTGAACTTTAAATAGCACATCTGCGCTAGATTTCGCGTCAAGTCTGCCAGCAATTTCTTGCGATCAGCTAGAACGCGTTAAACGCAACAGGCAACGAGTGGTTTTTGATTAAACACCTCCTTCCATCTCATTACATTCTGCATTCTACTCAATCTCTATATTGACATCACAACTTTCACAGCTTGACACCACGTTGAGTCAAGTACTTGACTACTTCAATTCCAACAGTGTCGAAGTCTTGAAGGTCAACATACACCTGCCCACTGCAGCGCAACCACCACTGTCCAGCATGTGGAAAAGGAACCGCAAACATGTTACGATCCAGCAAATAGTCCCCTAGCTTACTATAAACTTCGTCACTAGCTGGTGGCAGTCTGAGTGTTACCATGTTGGCGAATGAGCTCTCATCACCCAAGACCTCTGTTCCGAGCATCTTGGCTACTAGGGCGCCACCTTTCACGGCTAAAGCGTGTATGTGCTTTTGAATGGCAGGCAGTCCTCCTAATGACTCTATGTAGTCAAGTGCAGCGGGAAGGCACATAAAGGGGACAAAATCGTCCGTTCTAGTAATCGGCGTCAAGGTGTCAGTAATAAAATGCTCATGTTGTCACTCTCAACAGAGATACTTGCCCAACCCAATCAAATCTGGAGTGCAGAGTGCTTGTAGTCTCATAGAACGTGTATGCGAAGGTTGGAGGGAAGATGAACTCTTGTCGATCTTTGCGAACAAACAAGAAGGCAGTTCCCTTTGGCATATATAGCCATTTGTGCATCTAATCGTTAGCGGTTGCAAGTTAGCAAGGTTTCGTTCCAACATCACCATCATGACTTACGTTGCTCGTGTAATAGTCAGCACCCAGCTCCTTCAAGTCGATGTTCACCTGGCCAATTGCATGAGCAGCATCCACAAGAACCTGCACGCCTTCAGCGTGGAGAGCATCAATAATTCGCTTGACAGGTATAATTTGACCTGGAACAGAGCTGGCCAAAGAAAGGTTGAAGAAACATTAGCGCAATGCTTTTTCTCACGTTAGCTCCACTGCATTCAGCGTGAAGTTATGAGGAATCCTACCTGATATGGTCAATGACAGCAACCTTGACTTTTATACCCTTGGTTCGAGAGGCTCTCACTTTGCCAACCACCTGGGCCACATATTGATCATCACTTAATGGATATTGAATATCCACGATAACAGCATGTGGAACATGCTTTTGTTCCACTAGATGTTTTGACACTTCTGCGACCATTTTATAGGCAGTTGAAGCATGCAAGACAGCTTCATTTGGAGCAAACTTGAGAGACTTGAGGACCGAGTTCACGCCAGTACTTGCGTTTGCGACGAACACGAGGTCTTCCTCCTACAGTAGAGGTCCAAATGGTGTAAGACTCGTGCCAATTATTGGCTGAACCAAGAGTTCACAAGTCAAAAGTGTAACTGCTTAACACTTACATCAGCTCCAACGATATTGCTCAGCAATTTCCGACAATGGTTCATCTCTTCGATGACCTTCCTTCGAAAGAACTTGTCGGGATTCCTGAGCAACAAGAAGTAATGTCAAGCTTCCACTTTCATGTCAACGATCAACCACATCAATACCCTTCGCATTCACGTTCAAGCGCGAAAAGCCTTTCCAACACGACCTTAGGGACGCTGCCGAAGCTGCCATGGTTCAATGGCACATATTGGTGGTCCAAAAGAAACTGCGACCTGATTGTTTTTGCATCCATGTTTCTATTAACGAACAAGAGGAGATTAGATTGAAGTACTACCGATCTCGCAACCTCTCCATTTCGATGCATACCTGTGCTGCGAATGCAAGTCTATTTAAACAAGTTTAGCTTTGAAGGCGACAAAATGTCAATTCTGTCACGAAAAATTGTGAGCAATAAGAAACGCGTTGGCGCAGTTTGAAACAGAATGACTGCTGACTGCTTCTATAATACACGTAATAAAAGAGTAGACAAAGTATCAAGCATCAGTCTCAGAAGTCAGCGGCTGACTTCTCAGATTGATAAACGCGACTTTGACGCGAAAGCCCTAGGCTTGCACGTTTTTGGAGCTCTAAAAGTATTAGAATGTGTAAAGTATTGTGGTATAAATTCGCCACGATGGCCGTCTATTGTACACTCCAACGACGGGGTTCACTCTGCAGCTCCATACTCCATATTATAGCGATCGTGATCACCCCACAAAGCGATCAGAGGCGTATATTCGCCAGCGTTTACTTTGTCGAAGGAAACACATCCATTCCCACAATAATATGTCTTTCAACTCTCCAACTCCTCCTTCCTCTGCTCCACATGCTTGCCTGCTCTTGGATTCTTGTAGATCTGCTGATTGTTTTCACCAACCTGCTCGACCAAAAAGGCCATGTCAAAGCGAGCCAGTACTAGTATTTCAGAGGCTGAACAAGATCTGTCCTAAGATCTCTTACTTCGTATATTCAAATAGTGAGTGAGCTGAGCAAGATCAAACACACATTTTGGAACATTTACTGGCAACCACTCTGTGATGTAGTCTGGACGTCAGATCTCTAGCAAAAGTTGAAGCTTGCAATAAGAAATTCCGCAGTCTTATTGTCGAACAAAAGCTATATGATCTCGTTGGTCCACTACTCATCACAGACTCCCAAAACCTTGGATTGTCTCGTAAACGTGTCTTCTCTCTACTACTGAGATCTACGTGCATGAATTGTCACGGCCCGAATGCAAGAGTATGCTGGTCACTTGGTCGTCGCATTTGCAAGACTTGCTTTGATGCAATGTAAGTACATCCTTGGTTTGAACTTGTCTGCCTACTATGTCTCATATAATGTCTAAATAGTTGCCAGGATGAGCCATCTATCGCGAAACAAGGCGCTTCATATATAAAGGCACTTGAAGGCCTCATCCCTCACCACAACCCATACGAAACCAGAAGAGCAGCTCGATGGTTTCTCGTATCTGAAGTCGAAATACGGATTATAGCAGCTCAACAACCACAACAGCAACACTCGACTACAAGTGTACAAGTGTATTGGACCGTGACAGACGAAGAGATCCAACGTAGTGCTAATGCCACAGCCTATCGAGCCCGAGTCTTCGAACTCAACATGACACGCACAGTACGAATCACGGATTTGTATCGTGCCTTTCGAGTGGAATGCATTCGACGACATATGGTGCAACAATCGGCCAGTCTTCGTCCGAAGTGTTGCAATCGCACGAAGGAAGTCAAAATACTGCGTTCTGCAAGAAGATAAAGACGTACCAGTACCTGCTACATTGAACGGAGCTTGGTGTCAAAAATTTGAATCTATAGAAACCAAGTATGTTGACAAGATTCGACAACTACGAAAACATGTATAGAAAAGTCATGGTGTATCTGAAACGGCCGCATCAGTCATGATTTTCAGCTGTAAAATGCATCCGCAGATCATGAATCTCGAAGAAATCACAAGTCATATCGTTACAACTCATCATGGAAACTTGTGTTCTAAGAAACACAAGGGTCATGCAAACAATGTCGTTTATTATCTTGTTGTGGTAAACTTAGAAATTAGAGCGGGCGAGAATGAGTCCATGATCAAAGGCATTCTAGTATTCCAAAGTTTTCAATAGTGAAAACGAACCATCAGGCTGTTTCGTAGCCTTGAGGATATCAATAACATCGTGCACAAGACTGAATGTTCCATATATGTGAGGGAACTCGTTGCCAGCGTCTCCTTCCCATTTGACGGTAGGTTTTATGATCTCGTACGCCAACTAGTCGGTGTTCAAGGGTTAGCACCTTGGCGATAAATTCATTGGAATTGCCACATGCCTGCACAATCCAGAACTCTTCACAGTGAGAATAAAACCTCTTTGCAGTGTCAGTGACTTGTTTTGATGTCGACAAGTGGATGAACCCGTCCTTTTTGTCGTTTTCAGTTCCGGCATACCTAAAGGAAGACATTGTTAGTATGTGGATACGATGCATATGGAGCATGGAATCGTTACGGAGTTGATGGTGCACGAGCGAAAGCGAGATACTAGATCACAGTGGGTGGGTTAGCAGTTTGAGCTAGGAACGTCAAGTTTGACTGCAGGAACTTACTTCGCTCTTTTCTAGGATCTTGTATACGAATGTGGGGAGTGGGACTGGCTCGCTCATGATCGTAGATGTGGATACTGATGCACACTGTTGGAACGAGTGGTGTTGTGTTTTTGTCACGGATCGTCGCAAGTTTTATTTGACGAACGAAGCAGTTGGAAGGAGCACTCGGAGCGAGGCGTATACTATTTACAGGTACACATTCGACGCGATGCATACTGTTTCCCCTTGAAATCTAACATTGTTTTTAACATCGGCCGTTGTTTATATACTAGATTTGAAGGTAGCTCCACGACGGAAGCCGGTTGAAGTGAATAGAAACCCAAGCTCACTGTAAAGCTTCGAAAACATTACCCTTTTGAGAGTTTCAGCCATGGGAAACGAGCAGTCACGAAGTAGTGACCAAACATCACCAAGAAATTCAAGGAGAACACTAGTCACCATAACCCCTCCCACAGTTTCAGACACAAGGCCGCAACCTCCCGCAAATCAGTCTGCATCGTCGGTAGCTGTGTCTCGAAGAATGGCGCGTGGGCTTCCAACAACCACCGAACACGTATACATCAGTTCCAGTTGGGCAGACAAGTCGATCGCGACAGCCATTTCGGAGTATTTGAGTGGTAAAGGAATCAAAGTCTGGAAGAGTTCTGGCAAGAATCCCTTTGAGGATGCGAGGGCTGGAATCACGGGTGCATCGCATGTGATTTTGCTGTTGAGCAAGAATTTGGTAAAGTTTGTGTTGCAAGTTGGGAGATAACTTGATGCGGTTTATTCATGAAGTTTGTTTGTTTAGATCCGAGATACGGGTGGACGTGAAGCTGAGTACGCGTCTGCGCTGGGGAAACCGCTGATTCCTGTTAAACTGGACGACAAGATACCTGGACAGGTGTCTTTCATGCTTTCCGGACTCTTATGTACGGTAACTTGTCTAAAATCAGCGTATTCTGCTGTTTGATACTCACCTACATTGTCACCCTTAGATGTCGACTTGATCAATATATTCCCAGGCACAGAGCAATTCAAAGCTAAACTGGACCAGATATATCTTGCAATCAATCCAGCTAAACCAGAAACGACGAACAATATTGACATCTACGTCAGCTATGCATGGGTAGATCAAGCGATTGCCGTGGGCATCAACGATGCGTTAACGGCACGTGGATATTCCACGTTTATCGACGTTAAAGATCTGACACCTGGTGTGAATTGGGCTTCTGTATCCACCGAAGCGATAGAAAATGCGTCGGTGTTTTTGGCGATCATGAGTGATGAATATGAGGTAAACTGATCTGACTCGACCGACAAGGGAAACGCCAGCTAACGTTGTAACCCTTTAGACACGGGTGAACGTGATGCGAGATCTTGGTCTCGCTGTGGAGTTAAAGAAGCCGGTTGTGCCTATCAGTCTCGATGGTGCAACTTTGAAATCCTCGACACTGCTTGAAGGCGTTTCATGTAAGCTATAGTTTTAATAAGCATCTCGTGATGATGAGGCTAATGTATTCATAACGTAGATGTGAGCCTGGAAAAATCCACCTCTGGCACCCTCTTCACCACTGAAATCCAGAAACTGGTTTCAGTGATTGAATCCAAGTTAAACGTCGTCAATGCCGATCAGAATGTTGCTGACGAAGAAGAAGCAGAGACTGAGCAGGAAGATGATACATATGGCGAAGAGTCAAAGGCACAGGAAGAAGGTGAAGAGTCCAGACGACAGGGCATGATTCTACCACCACAACTCTCGGACAATGCACCATCCCACTCATCGCCGCCGCCACCACCACCGGCAGCCAGTAAGCCTCAGGCACCTCCGTCTCTCCAACCACAGGCAGCACCACCACCGCAATCAGCTGCACCACCGAGTTATGGAGCTCCATCACCTAAACCTCCAACACCGATATCAGCACCGATACCAGCACCGATACTAGCGCCACCGATATCAGAAGCTACATTTGGGCCACCTCCATTCAGAGCATCTGCTCCAGTTGCTGCTCCAGGTGCTGGTCCAAGACCCGCATTTTCTTCTCCAGCATATGCTTCTGCTGCACCATCACCGGCAGCGCCTACTGTAGCTGCGCCATCAGGCGGTCTTTCATCAACGACCAAGAAATCGAAAAAGAAACAACCGGCGTCGAAGAAACCCAAACCGCAACCTGTGCCATCTCCTGTTCTGGAAGAACCAGAGCGGGTAGTTAAAGCTGTCAAGAGATATCATTTCTTTATCTCGTATCGAAAGGTGAGAGGGTTTGATTAACATCTTCCGTCGTTCATGAGATCTAACGCTTTTTCTCTCGAAGTCTGCTTACATCAGAGAAGGAGGCATCTACACCGCAAACTCACAGTCCTTATCGTCGTTAAATGGATTCTATCACGAGTTGGCGAATAATGCCATGAGGACTGATACGCAGACAATTTCGTCAAGCGTGTTTTGGGATACGAAGGAATTGTTGGCTGGCGATGAGTGGGTGTATAGTGTGCTTGTTTTCCGCTTCAAACAAGTATGGGAGCTTACTTTCCCGTATTTTAATAGATGGGAATCCAAAATGCTTGACTCCTTAGACGAGTCTTGTGAAGTTTTGATTCTCCTGAATCAGGTAAAAAAAACAGGATATGAGTCATTGCTCAAGTTGGCTTGCAACGGACTGACAACATTTTTGTCAAAGGCTACGTTGGACACGTTGGTAGAAAGGCACACTCAAGATGGAGTGATTGACAACGTGCTCAAAGAATGGCAGAGAGCAATTGATCTCTATGAGCGTCGTGAGATCGTAAGTTGAAACTCCAACGGTTTTTTGGCCATACCAATCTCATTTCACTTCGCAATAGGTCATCGTCCCAATAATAATGGGCATACCCGACTTCGACAAAGTCAAGCTCACCCTCCCTCAATATACCCCAGCCGACTGCAAGCGAACCGTCCGAGGTCTCTTCGAAGCAGCCATCGAAGGGCAGCAAGGTCTCATAGTTCAAGACTTTTCTCAAATCCCTGTAACGCAGCTATTCGATACATTCGTGCGTAACCACTGGCATGAGTTCTCGCGGTATTGGAATGACGTTGTGCCACGTAACCGTGATGCGTTTGGTGTCGCGGCAAATATTGTATCGTCACAGATGCAGAAGGGTGTGTCGAGTGTTGGTGATACGTATGCAGTTGCATTAGCTAATTTATACGGATGGGGTGTGATTGTGAATGTAACAGAGGCCGTTAATCAGTTACGGAGGATCTCAGACAAGGGGTCTGTATCAGCACAGTATCTCCTTGGCGTGATATTCTTGAACGGGACAGGACCGATAAAGCCAGACATCGACACCGCAATCGACTGTTTTAGCAAAGGTGCATCGCAAAATCACGCTGCATCGAAATGTGGGCTCGGACATTGTATGCTACTACGAGAAAACAATGTTGATGAAGCCACGAAATGGTATGTAGAATCTGCAGCCGGAAAGAACAATACGGCGTTAGGTGTATGCTACGAGTATGGGTTTGGCAAGTTCCTGAAGGATCTAGATGTCGCATTTGATTATTACAAGAAGGGTGCTGAAGCAGATCATGATAATTTCGCACAACATCGGCTTGGAATGTTTTATCTAAATGGATGGGGGACGGATATGAGTGACAGGAAGGCTGTGGCCATGTTTTCGATGGCTATTACGCCGTTTAGGAATCCGTGGGCTCTGTTTGATTTAGGGAGATGTTACTTGAGTGGATGGTAAGTGTACTTACTTACCTTCAGTTGAAGCAAAAACACATAGTCATTCATCTCGCTTTATTAGGGGTGTATCTAGGTCGTCCTCAGTTGGTAAATCTTTGCTGAACGATTCGAGAGAAAAGGGAGTCAAAGAAGCAGAGAAGTTGTTAGCAGAGCTAATATTCTCATTACCGACCAACGTGTCGACTGGAGAAGCTGCAGAGTGAACTGTAAGACACCAAGTTCGTGTGATTGATGCGCCGTGATGTTGCAGGTCAACAAGACATGTAATATAGTAAGGATAGTGGGATGTGCTGTAGATATTGTAAATAGCACTTTCAAGTTCTTCTTGAAACGTAGCTTCTGTCCACATATCGACTTGAGCATTACAAAATAACTCGCAGAGTTAGCACCAACTATATTGCGCTACTTCGTTCCAGCTGTACTCCCACATGATTCAATCGAAGAACACAAGAAAAGCATGTAAAAGTCGGAAGATGATCTATTAGTACTGCTAAACCCCAAACTCTACTATGCTATACTCTCATGACTTTGCCGCATCCAACATCGCACGACTTATAATAAGTCGCTGCACTTGCGAGGTGCCTTCATAAATCATGAATATCTTGGCATCACGCATCAGCTTCTCCACTAAAAAACACCACATATTAGCGCATCGTATCCTTGGAATCCACCAAAGATGACATACCTGGGTATTCAGAATTAAACCCATTCCCACCAAAGATCTGAACTGCATCAGCCGCACTCTTGTTGGCGACTTCGGATGCGAGTGCCTTTGCAATGGATGCATAATACGTATTCTTTTGACCAGCATCTCGCAGCCATGCGGATTTCCACACCATCATGCGGGCTGATTCTATACCAATTGCCATGTCTGCTAGCATGAATGCGATAGCTTGGTGCTAGATGAAATGAGACGGAAAAAGTGGTTCGTTAGCGACGTATGGTAATTGAACTGTTCGTAGTGATCTCTACCTCAGCGATAGGTTTGCCCATTGTTTTGCGTTCAAGGGCGTACTTTGTGGCCTCATCCATGGCTCGACGACCCAAGCCCACCGCTGTTTATGAAGAGAATGTAAGAATCCAGAGATAAACTGATGTCACACACATTCTATATTCCAGGAAAACCAACCTGCTGCAGCGACCAACGGACGGGTCGTATCAAAAGCTCCCATAGCAATCTTGAAACCCTGGCCAACCTAAAATTCCAAAAAATATTAGCACGCCAAAAAAAACCACCAACCAAATCTAGAAGTATCACAATTCATGCCATTACTAACCTCGCCCAATCTGTTTTCATCCGGTACTTCTACATCTTCGAATGAGATTCCACGGGTATCTGATGCTCGTTGTCCCTAATTGAAAAATAAAAATATACGAGAAGTTTAGCAACGCGAAAAAGAGGTGAAATACAAATTAATGTTCTAACCATATTGAGTTCCTTCTTTCCAACAGTTATACCAGGTGAATTAGCATCAACAATAAACCCAGTAAATGCCTTTCCAGCAGATGCCTTCATATCTGTTTTGGCTAGGACGAAATACCAATTGGCTTTTCCACCCTAAGTTAATCAAGAATGATTTTTGAGAAAATGGCCTGCTGTAAACAAAAAAAACCCAATCAACAGCATCAAAATAGATGTCGAGTCCGCTTTCTCTCATCGTACATTGGTGATCCACATCTTGTTTCCCGTAATGGACCACGAGTTCCCCTTCTTCACAGCCTATATAACAAATGCTTGATGTTAGACAAACTCTTTGTTCCAGGGTAACGACATTTTTTCACCTTGGTCAGTGCACCAGCAACATCAGACCCAGCCTGTGGCTCTGTAACACAGTAAGCACACATAAGCGGCTCGTCAGTCATCCTTCCGAGATACTTCTTCTTTTGGAATTCATTGGCAGCTAGAATCACCGGTGCTTGCTACATACAACGAAAAAAAAAATCAATTGTCGCTATGCATAGCTGCACTACTTGAGCAACATACAGCAAGTCCATTAGCTTCAAAAGCAGTCTGTATAGCAGTACATCCATATGCCAACTCTTCTGAAACGAGCGAGCAATCAAATACACCAAGACCAGGTCCTCCGTATGCCTCTGGAATGTGAAGATTCAAGAGACCAACTTCGAATCCCTTTTTGATAATTTCGGTTGGGTATTCACCGGTGCGATCGTGGTGTGCTGCCTATTTGTTGGGGTGAGATCGTGTAAGAAGTGATAAAAAGACGTCGAGATTAAATTGAAAGGGATAGTTAGTATGATCCAAACTTCAAATCTAGTTCAATGCAGATACCCCACACGTTCAACACATGAAAAACATAACAAGATTGAATTTCAATGTTCACTTCGAGACTAAACCAATTGCGATTTTGTTCCAAATCGCGTGCCTCTCGAATAAAGCACAATCTCCAAATGTCCAACATTCATACTTGCCTTTGGAATGATTTCCTGAGCTGTAAACTTTCTCGCTAAATCTTGCAGTTCCTTTTGCTCTTCAGTCAGATTGAATCCGATTCCATTGACAACGGGAGCTCCTGCCTCATGTGCAAATGCTCGACGCTATGAAATGTGCATAAAATGTGAGAGTTAATTATATAGAAAGGGAATTAGAATCGCGCCCACGTACCAGTGGCTGACTAGTGATAGCCTTCTTCAACAGGGCGTTGGCAGCCCTCTTCATCTCGACTCTACGTTGTTGCGATTTGATTTTTGAAGGAATCGATCGAGATACGCAAAACACCACCACAATCCAGACCACAATCACATATACGCATTAAATTTATCTATTTTGACACATTATGCAAGTTAAATAATTATAGAGATCTTTTAACGCCGTGATCTTTTGTGACAGACACGTGTCAGCATTTTACAACAAGAATTCCACTCGGTCCGATAAAAAAATATTTAATTCTTCGGGCACAATTTTGACCACATGCTCAACAATCTTTCCTCCAGCTCGTCTCCTGATTTGCATGACTACAGGTTCACCAACTCCCAATCCAATAACTTTTAGTATTTCGCCCGAAGTCCTCACGCGAGAGCCATTGGCAGAGACGATGACATCGCCGATTCGGATGTTGGAGGTGTGGGCAGGCGAGTCTGGGTATATTGCGGTTATTAGGACACCACCTTGTCCAACAGAGTCATCGTTGAAGGGGAGCAGCTCGTTTCCACCTCGGGTCTTTAGTTGGCTCCATACAAGGGGAGTTAATGACAACATTCGAATACCTGAAAAGGTGATGGATGGTTAATCGGATGGTGACCAGAGATTATCTTAATCAATTCAAGGGTTATTCGATATCCTCATCAAACTTTTTTGGTGCCTACCTAGCCACGGCCTTATAACCCTTCCCTGATGCACCAACGCCTGAATAATCTCCATCGCATTATCAACCCTAATAGCAAACGATATCCCCTCACTCTCCGCTCTCGTAGTATTAATCCCCACAACTTCTCCATCCAAATTGATGAGGGGACCACCACTCGATCCAGAATGCACTACACAGTCAGTTTGGATGTATTCTAGTCTTGCGTCTTTGCCAGCGTTGATTTCAGAGGGTTTGCGACGGCGAGACGAGACGATTCCACAGGTGACGGTGCCTGTTAGACCGAACGGATTTCCGATGGCTACTACCCAGTCACCAGGTCTAATGAGGTGTGCGTGAGAATCCATGTGCGAGGCAGAAGCGTGATGTGTCGCATGCTTACCTCAGATCCTTGTTGGTAGCTAGAAACGTGAAAAGAATTGGCTTTAGAAAAAATACGCGAGAGCAAAAAAATTTGTTTCGTTGGATCAATTTTGGTGGCACTCACCAAACTTCACAGCAGGCCATTTCCGTGTCCCACCATGTCGAATCTTGACGACAGCCAAATCACTCAATGGATCCAGAGAATGGATTTCGCCATCCAATTCTTCACCATCTGATGTGCTGATGACCAACTAGGATTGCAAAAGAGGTCATTTCTCTATCTTATATTCGTTTCTTTTTGCTTCCAACCAAACATACAGTACCACCCTCGGCGAAATCAGACACAACGTGCGCATTCGTCAATATGGTGCCCTCGTCATCAATGAAGAATCCAGATCCAGTTGAAACCATTGATTTTCTCTGAAACAGATTCGACGTGTCTATATTTTGCTAAACATGAGTATACCACACTGTCACCTACATAGAAAGAGAAAGCACATACCGACTTCAACAGTAATATTAACAACAGAAGACAAGACATCCTGCACCGCATCGGCAATAAAATTCGTATGCAGGGTATCAAAATGTCTACCACTAGATCGTGACGAAGCTGACTTTGATACCGTAGGCTTGAATTCAGGGGTATTCCAGAACGTCGTATGCTCTGCATCATTCACCGTCCGTGTCTTCAATCGTTCATTCATCCTATTGTGAGAGGCCACATTTTCGAGGATGGCTTCTAATGTTGAGGATTCACGGCGTTTGAGGGTATAGTAGAGTGATAGCGACGCGAGGCCAGCGCCAGCTAGTCCAAATATGAAGCCATATATGAAGATGCGGCTTGTTCTCGTAGGAGCCGGTGCTAAATCTGCTGTGGTTTTGAATGTGGGCTCTGTGTGATTGTGCCGTATTCTAGATATAGGGCGACGGCTATAGTGTATCTGAAGTGGTTTCCATATCCTTGAACATTGCCTTGTTAGCATTTGATTACTTCTAGGGCCCGACCTCGATAATTCGAGAATTAGAAAACGTGAGTAAGTAAGTAGACAGTACCTGGTTGTTCAGGCAATTGGGCGCTATGATACTTCTTTTGTGCTGACTGAAGCTTCAAATAACACGTCTAGGGAGCATTGATGCGTCACAGTGGGGGCGAATGGAAGCAACATCACACATAACACGTAAAATTGACGCCATTCCAAGTTGTCATCGATGTAGTGGGAGAATGGGGCACTGGCAGCCTGCTACAATCACTTTTCGACAGAATCTACGGTTTCATTTGAATTCGCCCTCGATCTCTTTACACTTGCTAGCAATGCGATGCACCAAACACAACACACTTTTGTTGTTCAGTTAATGGTTATCTTATGTTCTCAAAAATTACAAAACAAAGGGTATGTGGCAGTTTAATATGTTTCCTAAATTGGCTGGGGCTAGTTCCTTCTTCTTTATATATCTAATTTCAATTCATTCCAATAATGAGGCTTGAGACGGGGGTGGTATAATACTAGATCATAATTGTTCGGATAGTTTCGGGGCTACACAAGTCTTTCCTGCTTGATGTCTTCGTAATGCATCTCCTGTTTAGAAGAAGGATAGTGTAAGAAAGGAGATTATACCTGGACCACATCTGTTGACACGTACCTCTATTAAAAGTCCTGTGACACGCCGGGCACGAGAATGGCTTGCCACCTTCTTCATGTAGAGCACGGATATGACGAGTGAGGTCTAGACATTCGAGGTGACTTGTTAGATTTGATTCTGAGGTGATTTTCACGAGATTCCAGTGATTTGCATCATGCGGTGAAACTTGCAAACGATCAAGTTCAGAATGCATGGATTGACACGTACCATGAGATCGTTTGAAGGTTGTTTCACACTTGGGGCATATAAACCTTTTACCATATTCCGTGTGTATCGGTTGATACATGCCTTTGCGTTTGGTCTTGGGCTTTTCAATACCGTTTAGCGATGCGCCTACATTTGGCAGTGCAAGTAATGGTCCATATATTGGTTTGATAGGGGTATTATTGGCGGTGCTAGTAGTAGTGCTTGCAATAGTAGAAGTATGTGATATAGATGATGGTGTGCGATGATGGCCCGTTGCCTTCTTGACTGGTGTAGAGTGAGTTGAAGATTCGACATATTCTTCATCACTAGTATCAATTTCTTCCTCGTCATCGCCCGATTCGTATGGAGCATCCGATTCTGATGGTTCTGATGGATCTTCACCAATTACAGTGGCTGCATCACTCATCAAGTCCTCTTCAATGGCTTCAATTATAAGTTCAGGAGGAGTGTTAGCGACTGGTGATGGCGATCTAATTACATTATTATAAGTATTGGGTTTGGAGCTGTTGGCAAACTCTCCTGGTACAGTAGCTTGTTCATCACCAGCCTGTAGGTTGCGTAGACTAGGGTAGCCGAGGATATCATTACGAGATAAGAATGGTGGATCGATACTCATGCTAGTTGGAGACGGGATGGAAGACGGTGTGTAGTCCATAGCATCGGTTTTGTCATCATAGTTGTTACTAGCCGGAGATATCGGATCCGATCCATAATCAAGAGCAGGCTGGGTATAGCTCAAGTTCTCTAGAATACTATAGAATGAGTCGTCGAATGAGTCTGTTAAGACTCCGTGTGGTGGTAAGCTTTCGTTTACAGTTTCGTTGGAAAAGACAGATGCAGCATCGTCATCAAACAGTTCCGGCCTGTCAGTGATATCTGGTATACTAGCTTCCGATACGAGTGAAGTGGACCTGGCGTGGCCACGCTTTGCTGGGGGCAATGATAAGAAGGTATTCATTATCGATAGTGGATTATAAAAATATGTGAAAGCAACAAGATCCGGGGTCGGTCTAGGGCGATTATTGGGTATAGCTCGTGGCCTTGATACAGAAGCTCCTTTCGTACAGCAGTGCTTGCAGCAATTGACTCTCTTTATCGTGTAGCTTTGGTAGTTTCGGTTGTCACGAGGAAACAGTACAGGCATTTTTTCTTGGCGCACGGATTTTAGGTGGACCAACCAGAAACGAGGGACTTTTATAGTGAGAGTTTCTGACCGCAAAAAGGAACAGCCTCAACTGCGGTTCACACGAAATTTGATGACCAGGACACCACCTTGTACAAGAACGGCGTACGTGACAAAACCAGACAATGTCCCGCTTGGCCGCATCGTTCTAGCCGGACTATCTTTTCACAATTCGCTATAATGGAGCTGATTTGTATTTTGTCTGGCCTGAGTGATGTTTCTTGATATTCCCTCACACTACCTAACACATCCTAACGGTTTTGACCCTACCATTCCAACCGGAATGTCTTGCTGCAGTATGCCATCAATTTGACGGGTCTGCACTTGTTTAGTTGAACACTGTTGTTTGATCCATTGCTGCAACGACCCAGTGATTGACAAAAACAGTTCAAACTTCGACCGATCGCTCACTTATTTGGCATTCTAGCCTCATTTCAATAATTGAACCGACGAGGCTATGGCTGTACTGTCTTACTAGTACCATTGTGTTGTAACAGTAGATGTTTTGATAACAATGGCAAACAATTTCATGAACAACTCCAATCTTGGGTCTTTTCAGGTGTTGCTTTATATTTTGTACACGCGTTTATAGGTATATGTTTGGTATGGATGCCGAGCACACAAACCCAAAAGACCAACCCCTCCCATGCATTATATACACCCTCACCCAACAATCGACCACTCGGACTCAGACTCCAGCGTCATTGCCTCCAGATGAGTCTCCACCGTCTCCATCTCTTGACCATTAGCAGCGTTCTGATCCGAGATCATCAACGATACCAACCCAAGCAGCTCGTCAAACTTGGACAAATCAGGCCTCTCCAGATCCAGCCTGAATTGTTTAGGCTCTACAATCCCCCGAAGCTGCTTGACCATGTGGCCTTGGTCGTTAGCCCTCAAGAAGGAACAGAAGAAGATCTTGGCGGATGGATTGACCTTGGCGAGATATTTTGCCATCATAGGAGCAAACATCATGCCTTGGCAAGCGGTACTAACGTGATGAGATGTGTGTTAGTTAACTGGAATTGAAAGCAATGTACAAAAGCCGAGTAGTTGGTGTACTTACTTCTCCTGCTCGTCGGTAACCATAACAAAGAGGTCGACATGAGTCTCCTTCTTGAGATATGGCCACAAGCAAGCAGCTGGAGAAGTGGCATTGGTGGCTCGGACAGCAGTAGCGACAGTCAAGACATCACTGGCAGTTTTGGGAATCATTGGCGGCAGCACAACCTTGTTGTTGAAGAACGACAATTCCGAGTTCTTCAATCTGGCAGTCAAGACAGAAGCTATGATGGTAGCCGTTTTCACAGCAACCTCCATAGAGCCCGAGCAATCACCAATCTATTTTGTAAAAGAAAACGAATAGTTTAGAATTTGTTGTGAATAAAGCCAAGGCTGAATTGAAAACTTGCGATGGCAATTTTAAGGTTATTATCTGGGAAGCGAATGGCCTGCAATCGCTCCTCAGCATAAACCAGCAAGGCCTCCTTCAGGGACGTCTTGTGCTCAACCGACAAAATGATTTCCATCAATTTGCAATAGTTGAGTCGACCACGCTCAAAGCCCAAGACTTCTCCAGATCGCAGACGAGTCTCCAAGACCTGTTGAAGAGGAAGCAAAAATGCACCTGTTAGTTTGTTTCAAAGGCATACACAACCTGAAATTGTGATATCTTGTTCAATGAGTGAAACTTACGGCATCAGCAGCAGAGCAGTGGCCAACCATCTCAGGATAAAACCACAACACATCCTCCAAAGGAGCCTTTCGAGTCAGTTCAACACGAGCAGCATCCGTCAACGTCAAGAAACCCTCGGAAATCCGTTGTCGAATGGTAGAGAAGGTTTCAGCCAAGAAGGAGTGTTCCATAACGAGTGTATGGAGGTTTTCGGTTCGCAGAGAGTGGTAGATGGTGACGGCAGAGCCTTCAGGAGCGGGCGTTCCTAAGTCAAGCGAGAGGTTGCGAATGAGTCAACGAAGCTGGCAGGCAGTCAATGTACAGCATGAGAAACAGTCTGATGCCACAAACTTACCAAAGACGAAGGGAAGGAACCATGGGACGGCAAAATCATCCTTATGTAGATGGCACAAGTCAGCAACCACCTTCCAGTTGTCGATGGGCTATAAAACTCACACGGTTAGTAATCAAGTTGGATGAATCACATTTAAAGGAACATCCAAACTCACGAAATTAACGGCATCAAACTCCAAGCCCTCCTTTGGAATGCTCTTGACGTATTTCCTCACACGTCGAGCGAACGATTCGGTCAAATTGGCACCATGAGCCTCAGCCTCCAAGTTCTTGATGGTGGATTCCAACTGAGATCTCTTTTTAGGGCGCATGGTCTGGCTCTTTTCGATCTTCTTTTTGATTTGGCGAGCCTGAGTGAGGTTCGATGTTGAGAGTCAGTTTCATCGCCACAATAAATAATGCAATCAGAAGTAGTCATTTTCATACCTTTCGAGGATTGTCAAGCAATGGAATAAGCTTGAACAGCTCCGACCGGGAAAAGAAACCAGTCACATCAAACAACAAAGTATCGACCTCATCACGGAGCCCGTTCTCCCAAAGGACAATGAGGATTCGAGCTTTCTGAGCTGGCGTTAGCGTAGCCCTCTAACGTGAAAAATGAATAGTTTTGAGTCAGTCATTTGTTTTAGATTTCATGTGAACAAAAAAAAAGTGGAGCAAAGCGACAACACGCACCTTCTCAATTAGATTATAGAGCTCAGAGACAAATACGTCTTTGGTATATTGATTGAAGCAAGCTTTGAACTGGTCAACGGTCGTACAGACCAGAATGGATTCACGGCACTCAGTAGCTATGGTCGTAACGTTTTGGCTGTCGTTAGAGGTTATCATTTTGAGTGTATCTTTGTAGAAGTCTAGCAAAGTAAGGGTTTAGCAGATTGAAAGTTAGGAATGTAAGAAACAACGGGGTTCTTCTTATAGCCTCTTCGACGTTCTGCTCAGTTTTCAAACGTGCGAAGTTTGTGGCACAGCCACTGTGAATGCAGGCGTACATAAACAAAGGTGGAGAATCTTGCTATACAATAACTGCCACATGGGAGTTATAGATGACTCTTTTTTTATGTGATTTATATATATGCATCAAGATGTCGCCACGTGATTCTACTTTTCTTACATGTGGGATTTTGCTTCCATTGGTATGTGGAAGAGTGTGCTCAATAGAAGAGCAACAAACTTTGAATTGCTGCCATCTGGACTCGATATACACACATCTCGGCCTGTACCATCACTCATGGCTCTTCCTTCAAGCACAAATGGTCGTTTGTCACATACACACATTCCTTTCGTAAACATTCCTTCTGGCTCGACCTAGTAACAGTTGATATGAATTCTGATTGAATTGAGATAAAACAATTCTGTTCTGTACCTCAAACGTCAAGGGCTTCCATGATAATATGCTCTCATCAACAATTGCTGCGATACACAATGGATCATGCACAGCAGTCCAAAGGACGAGTTCTCCGTCGTCCACAGCATTCTTATTGATTTTGGCATTCTTTTCTCTGACTCGAAAGGCATGTCCAAGTATATGTTTCAGGAATTCTGTTATGGGCGACATTGCGGTTTTGGGATAGCAGGCTTCTACATCATGTTTATACAATCTCCCAACCACCATAGTCGTATCTGTTTGCAAATATATATTAGCTTTTGAATGTATCAGAAAGCATCTGTTTAAACTCACCAAGAGGGACCAAACGCACAGGACAAGGACAGTTTGCAATCACCAAATGAGCAGCCAATGGATCAGCAAAGAAATTGAATTCGGCAAGAGCTGATACATTGCCTGGCAAATCGAATGTACCACCCATAATCACAAGAGCCTTCAACTTTGCGATTGTATGTGGATCGTGATCTATAGCCCTCCATACATTCGACAATGGCCCCACTGCAACCAATGTGATGGTGTCAGTGGCATTGTCAGATATACATTTCAATATCTCATCTTCTGCAGTACGTTGACACATTACTAGGATGTCATCGTCAGGTAATACATGTGCTGAAGCTATATCCTGAGCATTCAAGTCATCGTGGTCCGTAAATGTAGTGAGTTTGAAGTAGTTTCCAAGTCCATCGTTGCCGTGGAATGCGTGAGCATATACGGGTTCCTTGCCATCTACACGGATGCCTGTTCCAAGAGCTACTTTTGGTTTGTGGTATGGTCGTTTTATATAGTCGCAGTAGCGTTTAGCGACTGTGAGGATGGCACGCAAGTTTCGTAGTGTGTTTTGGAGATGGGTGTTGCCTGTCGGATTGTGGAGATGTTGTCAGACTGTCGGATGGTGGAATGTTACATTCTGCAAAGTATGCCCGAAACATTTTCGACACATGTCAGAGGTGTCAACATTCAGCACCTCGACCATGCAGCACCTCCACCAAGACCAACATAATGAATTCTCATGTACATGTTAGTGCTGACCTTGTACCAGTGTAATAAGCTCCACATCTACAGCTTCATTAAGAAGAGCAAATAGAATGGCTAGCGCATCATCAATTCCCTAACAGAATGGATAGTTAGTGAAATTGTGGCTATAAAATTGGCAAAGAACTCACTGGATCTGTATCTATGATTAACTTCTTTGGTGCCTCCATCTCGAACAACCTCTAGATGGTGTTGCAGGGTGCCAAACACCTTTGGACGAATTTTGGCTCGAGGGAACGCGACGATCGCTCTGCGCTGGTATCATTTTATACAATATTTTCATGAATCTACGCATCAATGGTAGGTGATAATACTATTTCAAAGCATCACTCAGTGACAGCACGACTTGTGTGACGCTGCTGGTTGGCTGACATTAAAACCAATCGAGAATATAGAACTTCCAAACTAGACGACAATGTCTACCACCATGCAGTACCGTTTCCTGGGCTCCAGTGGTCTAAAAGTCTCTGAAATATGTCTGGGTGCGTTAGCTTTGTCTTCGAACTTCTATTTCGTATTTGGTGGTTGGAAAACCGTGAGTTTCAAGACCTGGAATGATGGAGATATAGGTCAATACGATGACTTGATCTTTGAATTTGTTGTGACACGGAGATCTGACAGTGAAATTCCATTGCCAGCCGTTGAAGCACATCCCATTTCGTCGTAATGAATAATCTCTTCGCCAAACACATTATCTTACTGATCTATTCGATCTTTTGTCCCAATAGGCTCTACCTTCGTAATGCCAGCATCTTCGGATCAAGCTGCAAACATCAAGATTGCAATGACCACAATGTCTGAATTCGTCGCAGCCGGAGGTAACTTTATCGATACCGCGGATGCATACGGTAATGGTGCCGCAGAGAAGATGATTGGAGGCTGGTACGTGTTCCTTGTTGATGTGGTAGTCCTTGTGCAAGCCTCTCTCGCATTAACGCCCAACTTCCCGTAGGTTGAAAACCCAAAAGCGTGACGACATCGTGTTAGCCTCAAAAGCATTTATGGTTATGGGCAACGGTGTTAACGACCAGGGACTCTCTCGCAAGCACTTGACCAAATCCCTTGAAGGATCTCTCGCTCGTCTCGGCACAGATTATATTGATTTGTATCAGTGCCATTGTTGGGTATGCGCCTTCATGTTTTGAAGATGCCATTCCGCAACGTAAACGGCCAACAATCTATTTGTGTATTCACAGGACAAGGGAACTCCCATTCGAGAGACCCTGCTTACTCTTAATGATTTTGTCAGAGCTGGCAAAATCAGATACATTGGTGTATCCAATTTCACTGGACAACAACTACAAAAGACTGTTGATTTGGTTGCTTCCATGGGACTCGAAAAGGTCGTGTCTATTCAACAGGAATATTCGTTGTTGGAACGTAACTTTGAATACGACTTGACTGAATTGTGTGTTGAGGAAGAGGTTTCGTGTATTGCTTGGTCGCCACTTAAAGCCGGGTGGTTGAGTAAGTTCGAAATTGCGTATTTTTCGCATGGGCGGCTGATACTAAACCCCAGTGCTCTTCTCACAGGTGGAAAATACACTCGAGCAAACTCTGGCTATGCAGCAGGAAGTCGAGCTGAATCTGCTGCTTCTTACTCTCCTGAATACGCTGGGGTAATCGCCTTTGATTCAATAGCATGCAAGAATGATATCAACCGCCTCCTTTTCGTCAAATAGTTGGCAAACGAAAAGACCTTTGCTCTCATGGATGAAGTGACTGGTAAGATACCCGACCAATAGCTTTTGTAAGACATTTCACTAACTTGGGTCACTGTGTCTGTAAGCTATCGCCAAGGAAGTTGGCAAATCCGCAACAGCAGTGTCAATTAGATGGTTGCTACAAAAGCCAGGTGTAAGTTACCAAAAAAACACCATGTCAGAACTACGAACATTCTTCTGACATATGCATCTACTCTACGTTTTCAGGTTGCAGCTGCCATTATCGGTGCACGCAATCCTGAACAGTTAAAGGGCAATCTGGAAGCAACAACCTTCCAATTGACTAAAGCCCAAATGGATCGATTGGACTCCCTGTCGGCTGTGCCCCTTAACTACCCATGGAGATTCATCGATGACGCCGCACCCAATAAGACCCGTTCTAGATTCTAAATAATGTAAAATCGCTCAAGTATAGCGACAATATTACTTACAAACTACCAACATCTACTGGTGAAATTTGTGTGTTATCAAGTTGGGTTGTGAGCAACAGTGGAATGTTCAGAGATCGGCCAACGTACGCCCAGTGCCTAGAATCACCTTCTTCTTTCGTGGCGCATCTCTCTCTCTCTCTGTGCTACGTGTATTGCAAGCAAACTCCTCCAGTTCTTGATTTTTACAGGCTTCAACTGCGAAGAAACAGAGATTCACTGGACGGTCGCTCAGTGTTGGTGTTTTTTATGTATTTATATAATAGTTTTGGTGGAAAAATACGCGCCAACGTTTCGTGAACTAGTATTTCAAAGCAGTCTCGAGAACATTTGCTGCCAGCACGACCTGTGTGACACTACGGCAATACGGGTTGCGGACATTCGAATTCCTCGTCAAGTACAGAGAAGGCTCCCTAGGTGAAGAAGGAATGTCTACCACCATGCAGTACCGCTTCCTGGGCTCTAGTGGTCTAAAAGTCTCTGAGATCTGTCTTGGTGCGTCCGTGATGCACGAGCACTGGAGCCTACATGTTTCGTGTTTTTATTTTTATGAAAACCCACGAGTTTACAAAGTTGGACTTCTGGGGAGTTGATTCGATCTGTTTTGAATTCAATGTGTTATGAAGATCTGGCTGTGAAATCCCAGTTTCACCTGTTGATGCGCATCACATTTTGTCTCGATGAATAATCACACATTGACCAGCAAAACTTGTGAGACTGATCTATTTGTTTGTTTTCTCGAACTAGGCTCTACATTTGTTATGCCGGCATCTGCGGATCAAGCTGCAAACATCAAGAGCGCAATGACCACAATGTCTGAATTCGTCGCAGCTGGTGGCAACTTTATTGATACCGCGGATGCATACGGTGATGGTGCCGCAGAGAAGATGATTGGAGGCTGGTACGTGATCCCTCGCTCTTCTGGTCGTCCTTGTCCAAACGTCCTTCCGTATTGACACCCAACCTTTCTAGGTTGAAAACTCAACAACGTGACGACATTGTCTTGGCTTCCAAAGCATTCAACGTTATGGGCAAAGGTGTGAACGACAATGGACTCTCTCGCAAGCACTTGACCAAGGCTCTTGAAGGATCTCTTTCTCGTTTGGGAACAGACTATATTGATTTGTACCAGTGCCATTGCTGGGTAAACGCTTCTTGTTTTCAAAGATCTACAAGCTCCACTAATTAATTCTCGTTTTTCCATTCGCAGGATCGCGGAACACCCATCCGTGAAACCCTCCTCGCTTTAAATGATTTCGTCAGAGCTGGCAAAATTCGATACATTGGAGTCTCCAACTTCACTGGCCAACAATTACAAAAGACTGTTGATTTGGTCGCTTCCATGGGACTCGAGAAGGTCGTGTCTATTCAACAGGAATACTCGTTGTTGGAACGTAACTTTGAATATGACTTGACTGAATTGTGTGTTGAGGAAGAGGTTTCGTGTATTGCTTGGTCGCCTCTCAAAGCTGGATGGTTGAGTAAGTTGCAAAAACATGTTGTCTAAAATATATTGGATCGATGCTAACGAAACAACTATTTTCGTACAGGTGGAAAATACACACGGGCAAACTCTGGATATGCACCAGGAAGTCGAGCTGAATCCGCTGCTTCTTATTCTCCTGAATATGCTGGGGTAATTGTGATGGTTGATTAAACAACATTCAAGCAGAGATATCGACCTGCCTTTTTTTGTCAAATAGTTGGCAAACGAAAAGACGTTTGCTCTCATAGATGAAGTCACCGGTAAGATACCAATCCACTCTTTTCGGAAGATATGCACTAATTCGAGTCATTGCCTCCGTAGCTATCGCCAAGGAAGTAGGCAAATCAGCAACAGCCGTTTCAGTTCGATGGTTGCTACAAAAGCCCGGTGTAAGTTGAAGAAAACCCCAAGCATCAAAGATTTATGATATGCCAGCTAATGGCCCTTTCCTTTAGGTTGCAGCTGCTATCATCGGTGCACGAAACCCTGAACAGTTGAAGGGCAATTTGGAAGCAACAACCTTCCAATTGACTACAGCTCAAATGGAACGACTCGACTCCTTGTCGGCTGTGCCATTGAACTACCCTTGGAGATTTATAGATGACGCAACTCCTAACAAGACTCGTTCCAGACACTAGATACAAACTGCAATGCGACAGCATCACTGAAATGTACCAATATATTTGTCAGGTTACACCAATATTCCCTATGGATGTGGAATCATGTTGGTCTTGCGAAGAAACGCAAGCATTTTACTCGATGGTCGTTATGCGCTCTACGCGTCAAAGATGGCAGCTGGTATTTCGAAGCAATAATCAAAGCTAGTCTCAGTTTTGCGGACATCCATGGCTCGTCTGAACGACCTAGGCGTTTACTGGTCGTGCGTCTATTTCGTTTTTCTGGTCTCTCATAATCACTTGCATGGACAAATTGGTGTATACTTCCATTAAGGATGGCATCGCCTTACATCCGCCTAGCCACGAAACAAGATGAGCCCTTGATTCTTGATATTGCTCAACGTTGCGGCCTTTTCGATCCACCAGAGGAACTCGTCGACCTGGGCAAAATCTTGACCGCCTTCCTCAACAAGGAACTGTCTTCCGATCATAAATGGATTGTCGCCACGGCTACAGAGACTTCGGAGCCTTTAGCGGTGGCCTACTATGCACTGGACGAAAGCTGGGAGGGCATCAATGTGGCCAAAGTGAGAACAAGTACAGAGGTCGCAGAGGCCAAGACCAACGACAGCAGGAAGATGTGGAATTTATATTTTATCGCTACGGATAGTAATCATAAACGCAATGGATTTGGTAGTGCTCTCATACGTCACGTCGAGCAAGAATTAAACGGTAGTGGTGCTTTGGGATTGAATATTGACACAGAGCGAGGGATTTTGGAGGCGAGGAGATTTTATCTTAATTTGCAATATAGTGAAGTCGTGAACGGGGACGAGAAGGGCGAAGAGAGCAATTTGAACGCCAAGGTGACTTATCGTAAATTGTTTTGAAGAGGGTGTGATTGAAGTTACTCTTACTGACAGAATGGATTGTCGATGACATTGTGACTATAAAATTAGTAGAGAACTCACTGGATCTATATCCATTATTATCTTTTTTGGTGCATCCATCACCTACGAGCAACGTTCCAAAACATATTTGTTGGTCGAGTTTTGGCTCGACTGAACTCGACGATCGCTCTGCGCTGGTATCATTTTATACAATATTTTCATGAATCTACGCGTCAATGGTAGGTGATAACACTATTTCAAAGCATCACTCAGTGACAGCACGACTTGTGTGACGCTACTGGTTGGCTGACATTCAAAATCATATAGAATTCCCAAACTAGAAACAGAATGTCTACCACCATGCAGTACCGTTTTCTTGGCTCCAGTGGTCTAAAAGTCTCTGAGATCTGTCTTGGTGCGTTAGCTCTTCCTTCGATCTTCCATGTCGTTTTGGTTAGTTCTAGTTCTTTGAAAAACACGAGGTTTAAGGCTTGGACTGATGGAGATTTGGCTCAATGTGCTTTGAATTTATTGTATCGTGAAGATATGACCGTGAAATTCCAGTTTAACCAGTTGATGCACCTCACATTTTGTCGTCGTTTGGCCAAAACAAGTTGTCTGGCTGATCTAATTCTTCTTTTCTCCCAATAGGCTCTACATTTATTATACCAGCGTCTTCAGATCAGGCTGCAAATATCAAGACTGCAATGACCACAATGTCAGATTTCGTCGCAGCCGGAGGTAACTTTATCGACACTGCTGATTTCTACGGTGATGGCGCCGCAGAAAAGATTATTGGAGGCTGGTATGTGCTACCTCGTTATCTGTTAGTCCTTGTTGAAGCTGCTCTCTTACTGACGCCCACCTTTTAGGTTGAAAACCCAGAAACGAGACGACATTGTCTTGGCTTCAAAAGCATTCAACGTTATGGGCAAGGGTGTGAACGACAACGGGCTTTCTCGCAAGCACTTGACCAAGGCTCTTGAAGGATCTCTTTCGCGTCTGGGTACAGATTACATTGATTTGTATCAATGTCATTGTTGGGTATGCGCCTTGGTGTTTTAAGCTGCCACTCCAGACTGTAAAAGGTCAACAAATCCTCAATTTGTATATTCAAAGGACAAGGGAACTCCCATTCGAGAAACCCTGCTTACTCTCAATGATTTTGTCAGAGCTGGCAAAATCAGATACATTGGAGTATCCAATTTCACTGGCCAACAATTACAAAAGACTGTTGATTTGGTTGCTTCCATGGGACTCGAAAAGGTCGTGTCTATTCAACAGGAATACTCGTTGTTGGAACGTAACTTTGAATACGACTTAACTGAATTGTGTATTGAGGAAGAGGTTTCGTGTATTGCTTGGTCGCCTCTTAAAGCTGGCTGGTTGAGTAAGACGCAAAAGAAGAGTTTCCTAAAATGTTTTGGACCAATACGAAATCACGACTCTTTTCGTACAGGTGGAAAATACACTCGAGCAAAGTTTCAAATCGCGCCAGGAAGTCGTGCTGAATATGCTGCCTCTGACTCTTCTGAATATGCTGGAGTAAATAACTAACTTTGATTCAACGACGTTGTAGCGCCATATCAATCGATCTTGTTTTGTCAAATAGATTGCAAACGAAAAGACTTTTGCTCTCATAGATGAAGTCACGGGTAAGACTTTCAGCCAAACATCGCTCAAAGCAACTCACTGACAATTTAATTGTTTTTTAGCCATTGCCAAGGAAGTAGGCAAATCAGCAACAGCAGTTTCAGTTCGATGGTTACTACAAAGGCCGGGTGTAAGTTGCCAAAAACATAAATGCCAAAGCTCAGGATATTCCAGCTGATACAACCTTGCTTTAGGTTGCAGCTGCTATCATCGGTGCACGAAACCCTGAACAGTTGAAGGGCAATTTGGAAGCAACAACCTTCCAATTGACTGCAGCTCAAATGGAACGACTCGACTCCGTGTCAGCCGTGCCATTAAACTACCCATGGAGGTAATAATTCAGCTCTCAAGTTCCAGTATATTGGATGTCAAGGATGAATCACCATCTAGTCGAATCAACATCTACTCACTCCTTGAACTATACCTCATTATTAGATTTATCGGTGATGCCACGCCAAACAAGACTCGTGCCAGATACTAAATACAGAAAAATCGGTAAAACGACAATAAAATCAATAAAAGCTTATCAATTTATTTGTGGAGTTACACTAATCTAACTGGTATCATACTACAAAGTAACAGTCTTGTCCAATTCTACTACTGATATGGGCTGGTATCGCGCTTTTCGACGACTATTGATCCCCTTCAGCAAATACACTATTCCAATCCATACAATCAAGAGTCCAGCTGCTTTCAAGAACGACAATCCGAATTCGTTCAGGCTCTTGTCAGTGCTGTTGGTGTTAAAGTTCAACAACACTATGCCACGGTGTTTTTCAACATAATTCATAGCCTCTTTAACCATATTCAATCCCAAATCAGCCCTGGTGGTCTGACCAATAATGCGTTCGTATATCTCAACACTACTAATTATATACTGAGGGTCGACTTCTCCTAGTGCAGCATACGTTCGAGCCAATCCCAGCAAACTTCTCGTTCGATTCGGATGTATTGACAAGGTCTTTTCATAATAACCTAACGACAAAGCATACTCTCATTCAGCAAACAACATTCCAGCCAACGTCTCACTCGATGGGATTATTGGGTCTGCTGGCGGTCCAGCAGGAGGTGGACTAGCCTGCTCTTCAAGCGATGCAGAATCTCCTGCTAAAGAAAGGGCTAAACTTGGGTTTGGAGACTCGAATTTGGCAACAAATGCTCGGATCTGTTTAGCAGATGCCTTTAAAGTGAGCTTTGTGAATGGATTGCAGTTGACCTTTGAAGCTATTGTTGCCAACTTTTCAATTTCTTCAGCATTCGAGGCAGCTATAGTAAATCGTGATGTGTGTGCGGCAGCGATTCCACAGGCAAAATGGACTTGACTCTGATTGAATTTTGATATCAGTAAGAGCATTTCGAACGCATAAACAAGATTGCTCTCACTCCAGATAAGCAAGCAACTCACCAAATGAATCATCCTCCTCGTAACACTTCCACATGCTCGAGGCCCAGATATTGGTGGATTCTCTGTATGATTCTTTTTCGAGTCTTCAATAATATCATCAGACAATGCCACCATAGCAGACAACTCATTGCAAGTGTCTTCCTCAGCTTCACTATAAGACTCAGTTTCCAGAATGAATCTCGTCCAAGCAACTACATATGCCACTTTGGCCGTTTCTGATTGCGTAGAACCAGCTGGAGATAGATGTATCAGGTTTCCCAATGCTTCCATTTCAGACCTTTCGGAAAAAGGTTAGCCCAAAACAAAGCTTTGTCTATAACGTCAATCATCACTTGCCTAGCAAGAGACCACCTCCCAACTTGCAACAAGTAATAATGCAACCAGTCATTTTGATGGAAGTCTTTCAAATAATTTACAGGCAACACATCCAACTGAAGAGCCACAGTTTCAAGGGTTTCAGTTGAAACCCAGCTTCGAGATTCAGCTTCAGCCCATAATCCACATCGAAACAGGAGGTGAATGGGCATGTGTTGAGCGTGTGCACTAGAAGATTTGGAAACGGTGTAGAGGAAGCAACGAGTAAGAGGAATCCACCACCCGCATTCACTAGGACCAGCCGTCTTTTTTTTGTCACATACAACCAAACTGCATTTTTACCTGCTAATTGCAACAGCCTCGTATGACTTCCCGATAGTCATAGCATCACAAGCTTGTGGCAGCAAACCATCCTCATTATGCACAGTATAATGCATTGCTCCTGGATGTCGTGGGTTACGAGCCAATACGGCATCCAATAAATCCTAAAGCCCCAAAACTTGAGTGCCATGTATACCAAAAAAGAGGACAGTCGAAACCGTAAATAGCGACGTTTACCTTAGCTTCAACAGATGCCTTCTTCTTATCCGGCAAATCACGTCCACGAGACTCTGGCGTGCTTATATAAAACAGGCTTAAGGCATACATCGTCACGGCTTCATCATTCATCGAATACTGTTCAGCCACCTTCCGCATATCCTTGATATACGATATCGGATCCATGTCCATATGTTTGCCAGCTGGAAACAGAATCTGTGCAGCATCTAACAACCTCCTTTCAAAAGCAGTGACATTTGTCGGTAATGGATTTGGTAGCGCATCAAGAGCAGCTCGTCCAGCAGTATAATCAAATGACTCCCAGATTGGCTTGAAGTTGACCATTGCGAGACCCCACGTCGCTATGAAAGACACGAGTTGTGAGCATCAATGCCACGTGTCGTATCAAAAGTGATTCAGTTACCCATAACCATATTCTCATCATGCATCAGCGCACGTTCGAATTCAAGTTTGGCAAACGTGTACTCGAATGAATGCATAAACGCCAGCCCAACAATGAAATGGCCATGTGCTTTGACATTTGTGGTTGAAGTTTCAAAGAAGATGTGATTTTGGCCGAGTTCGACGTGAGGGACTTCTGGTAGATCTATTTTAAATCAATGGAAGCAAACAGTCCGGTTAGTCCTGTTATAAGTCAAACAAACTATACACAACTCCAAGCTTGAACGTCAATTCATGTGGTTTTGGCCAACTTTACCAGCTGATGCGAGAACATTTACAGACAGTAAAAGCAAAACTAGTATGGATTTGAGTAGCATGATGCAGGACAATACTATAGAGCCTTGGACCCGAGAGCTTCCCGTTTCTGCTCGTTGAACGTTTACAAGGGTGGGACGCAGGCAACAAGTGAATTCACGCCTGATATCTGGTCGGAACTTGACAAGAACTGCTGGAAATCGGATTATCAAGCCTTGGAACTATCAAATCACGTACAATCGTTTCAAACAAGGCGCATCGCGTCAACATCAAACAAAAACACACAAGAAAGCCAGTGTGAGAGCATATTGAAATGTTAGGGAACGAAATGCGCACACTTGAAAACTGAACACGAGCCAATGAAATATCTCACAGGGAGACGATCGAGCGGTAATCATACCCCATCGAAGTCAGTAAATCCAATGTCGTGTTGGATAACCCAACAGGCCTGTCAACGAAGCGTATTAGTTGAAGGTTGTTGCTATTGCATACAAAACAATGGCAAATAGCAAAGCTTACCCGCAAACGGCGATCACCATATCAATGGCTTGAACACCAGAAGGTAGGATAGAACTACTTTTCTTTCCATCATCACTTCCATCATCACTGAGATTCGAATCGTCGACCGCTTTATCTTCTACAATAAAAGCAAAGGTTTGAGAGTTTTAATACACACATGTCATCATATCATTTCAAAAATTATAGATTTCCATTGACAGAACTGCGACGCAAAAAAACCCTAGGCAATGAAGGCCAAACATACCGATATTGGCAGGAGAGCGTAAATTGGACGCTCTAGGCATAGTGCTACTATTCCGATTCACTTGTGATCCAGTGCGACGTCTGATATCCTCGCTGGTCTTTCTCCTGGGCCCGGTTACACTGTGAGTCCGTGATCTCAGCAGCAAGGTATTAGGTGGAGGAGGCATGGCAATTTTGATGATATCTGCCGAAATTCTTCCAACCAGACCTTCATATGTGCCTTCAGTAGGTGGTTGAGACAATAAATGTGTTATAGTCAACTGATCGCCGAATTGTTCTTGATAGTATGCTAGCCTGTCAAGCGCAAACATGTCGTTGGTAGTGTTGTTGCAATTGAGTAAATGGATTTTGGTGCTTGGTTGTGTTGTAAAGGGATCACGACGACCATTTCGAAGGTGAAAGTCAAGAAGCATGAGCATGGGTGTTAGACCTGAACCTCCAGCAATAAGACCCAGGACATCGAAACATCCAGACACTTGGTGCGGGTTGATCAATTCAGGATGGTATGTGATTGGTCCACGCATACGGATTGTAGAACTTGGGCCAGCCAAATAAGATGTCATCTCGCCACCATAGTTCTTGATATAAAAGTTGATCGATCCACGATTTTCTGTGTTAATGGGTGTGTACTCTCGAGACACTACGTTGCCGGTTGCATCCACGAACTGGAAAGTTATTGCTTCTCCTGGTTTACACCAAGTCACATCGTTGGCGTTCGGGAATCCCACAGTGATTTGCAATACTGGCTTTCGAGCTCCAACGTTGACAGTGGTCTTGCTTATAATACTATAAGTCTTGAAACGAGATGCCTGGATACATGTGCTTTTGGAGGCTGCAGCGTTCCCACTATCCATCATCTTTTGAGCTAGCTTGCCTGTTGGTTTCATTTCCGCAAGTGCGGTTTCAGAAACCGCTTCAAATCTGGCGAGTCTTCCGACAGCGTAACTAGCAAGCATGAAATGGGCAAGACGGGAATGCGCATGCAGCTTCTCGACACGATCCTCCATTTGCATCTTTTCAGTCTTGGTTTGTAAGCGTGCTCCAGCAACAGTTGACTTTCTGCCTTTGGGGTTGTTGTTGTCTTGACTATCGGCTCGTTCCGGTGGCGGTGGTGGTGAGATGGCGGCGCTTGCGAAAGTAGCATTTTTACCAGACACACTGTCTGTACGGTCATGTGAGGAGGTTTCGGAGTTAAGTGACATGGCATCAGATCGTTTACGACCAATTGTAGCTATATTTGGCGTGGCAGTGTTCCCAACAGTGTTTCCAGCAACACTGTTACGAACGCTCTGAGTTCTTGTGACACTGGCTCTCGTGCCTAAACAAACAACCAAAGAGATTATGAACAGCCAACCAAAAAAGTAGATTCACCAAATTACATGCCTTTCGCAACCTGTTGCAGCCTTTTCGCAACCTTTGGCGAAAAATTAGGGGCGGCGTCCATCATTGATGGGTCTCGAGATATCTCCTTGACAGAAGGTTGAGGGGATAAGGCTTTTCTCGTTGGTTGCTCCTTGTCCATTGCAGCAGTCTGTTGAATAGCTTTTGCGTTGACTTTGGTCACAATGTTGTAGTCCTTGTCCAATACTTGATTGGCACCAAGAACACCGTTGAAGTATTTAGTAGCGTCCAGACCAATCACATTCAATAGAACTTTGGATCCGCCTGGATGTCTTGGAATGAGTCCTTGAATGTCATCTAGGGAAGCCCGGGGCGTTTGAACGTTAATTGAAAGTCAAAAAGTAGAAATGGCCGCAGAGAGTGACGTACATATGATGCCAGCAATCACAGTCCACTTTGAACCACCTTCAACACGTTCGTTAATCTCTTCCCAAGTGAAAGATGGTAGGGTGTCGCCTCCCACGACACTGAGAGACCGATGAACCTTGGACTTGGCGAAACTGAACCTCTTTGATAATTCACCGTATGCCACCTAATGTTTGAAGAGATGAAAAATCCCTTGCAATCAACGGGTTGAAGCCAATGCAATGGAAATAGACATACCAGACACACAGGGACTGTGCTAACAGCCACTAAGTAGATTGTCGGGAGATACCACAAATCATCATTTCCTGCTGAGAGATCAGAGACTCCGAGATATCCTAAAGATCAATCAATGAAGCTTTTGAGCCATGGTGTCATCTCACAAACCCGAGCAAAAACTAACCATTGGCTAAGCCTAGAAGGTACGCGGTATACCCTCCGTAACGATGAAAGAAACGAAGTTGTTGAGAAAATCTCATAAAGAAGCCCCGGGCCCACGTTGATGACAAGTATCCCAACAATGCAATCAAAACAATGAGAACGACTTCACAGAGCCCAACTATGGAATGCGTCATGGATACGTCTGCGGAACTAACAGCGATAGCGACAATTGCAGTTTCGATGACGTTTGAAGTAACCATCCTATTTGCCAAAAACATGAGTCAGCGTGGTACCCTATGTCTCCCAAGACCACCGACATGCTTACATCATACAAGCTTGATGCATATCCAACCAGCGACCCAAGTTTTGATGATATCGAGCCACAAAAATACCAGTTGGGTATACAAAGGCAAATGAAACGAACATGATGGCTCCATGGAGACTGTGGAATTGAAATCGTGAATGAGTTTCCGTGGCTTGGACGGAAACCTATTCAAAACTCACTAGTGTATGTATACGATTGTGCTCGCCGACATGAAGGGTTGCTGCAGAGTAGTCGTTGTTGTCGTGTTTGTCGAGTTGGATGGACTAGTGTACAACGTGAGTGGTTGAGGAATGCGGTTGTTAGCACCATGGTATCCAAAGGAGCCCGAATCACTCCATGCGAAAATCATATTTTGTGGACCAGTGAGGGTAATGACTGCATCGTTTGGGTCACCAGTGGATAGGGCCCTTGAAAATCTAAAAGCGTGAATAGAGGTTGATAGACCGGCAGCATAGAGGTCTAAAAGCGAGGTTGTGAGTAATAAGTCAACAAAGTCAAAGCGACTCAAGAGGCGAGACTTCTTCACCTGTTACGCCAAATATATTCGTAGTGCCGTTTCTACTTGTATCCAGCGAGGGTCGTACGTGTCCGGTACCAACACAATCATTCACAGTCCAATTTCCGGTGTAGTAGGATGATACAATATAGATATCAGCCCCAGCCATACCAGTCCCAAATCCAAATGCGGTAAATTGCGTGTGGTTGGATTCAATCTAACAGAGTTAGAAAATATTGATCAGGATGCAGGTCGGTCGTGCGATTTGACGCTGTTGCAACAAAGATGAAACCCTACCTGAAATGTAGCGACATTCGTTGTAGCGTCTATATACCAAGAGAAGAGATATCCTGAGCTGATGGAGATAGAGGTGAACGTCGAGCACGTTTGAGCGAGCACATTGGAGATTGCGAGTGATGCTAATATCAGATACGATAACGTGTGACCCAGCCTCTTTGATTCCAACATGATGGTTGATTCTCCTAGACCACTTTAGGCTGGGGGATTTGAATGTTCTACAGCCAGAGTATTTTGTAAATCTAGAGAGCTCACATAGTCTGGTCGATAAAGAAACTGGTATACCCAGGGCTCCAAAGGTTGCTGTCTGTGAAAACCGTAGAAATGATGACTGTATGGGGTCGGAAATCATACCCCCGTCGTGGAATAAAGTTCCGACGAGCAGCGGTTCCAGATCAATGCGAGAACTGCGTACCTTCTTTTTGTGGTTGTCTGCTTTGTGAATTGGCCATTAAGGTGTTTACTGCATGGTAAAACACCTCCACCCCCACCATCTCATTCAAGACAAACCAGACGAAAGAAGACGAAAATCCCAGTTATTTCGTGCATCCTTCTTGACCCCCTCATGATGTCAACATTCGGAAACTTTTTTCGGGAGGGTCAGTTCCAAGTTGTGCTCTCAACGAGGTCCCTAATACTTCGCAGTTTTGCATCGGTTGTGGGCATTTTGCCTGATCGGCCGCTAGCTGCATTCACGTTGCTGGTTCTGGACAGAAATCCACCACACTGCATTGCTTCCGTTACTAGAAGAAGTTGCTCCGTGTCCACACGAGCAAGACTGAACATGAGATGGATGTTAGTTTCGCGTATTCAGCAGTAATAAAGAATACATAATACATAATAAAATAAACACGTGAATAAGCCTTACTCTGTTGCGATGATGTCGGTTTGATTGAATCACTGGTTGAGAGCAAAACGCATTAGGAGAGCAAAGGAGACAAAAGAAAGAGTTGGTGTCTCCGTTGACGGCAAATCACAGTAGCAAACCATTTCGTTCACTGGCAACAAGATATAAAAACAGACCATCCCAAACCTCGTCTCGATCAACATCATAGAATCCAATAAGCAAATGTTGGGAGGGCAGTTAAACCCAAACGGACCGCCTCCTGTTGATGGCCCACCGCAATCTCCCTCCAAATCATCCAGCATGGACGGTCTGCCCATCATTCCTCACCCCTCATCAACGTCGTCATCAAACAATCTTGACTTGATGATCAACAGACCGGTCGTCCTGCCATCTATAGGTGCCATACTACCTTCTACCGTATTGCCACCACAACAGCACATGCCTCCCAATCCCATGGCTGCTTCTCAGTCTCGACCCAGCACGAGCATCAACACAAATCCTCCAGTCATGATGAACAGACCACCTACTCTCCATATGAGCCAGCCGCCACCTGGCGGTCCTCCGCAACATATGGGTGCTGCTCAAGGACTACTCGCTCTACAAGGTCAACAACGTCCTCCTACCATGGTATGCTCTTACGCACATAGTCAAAACGCTATTCATCTCATATCCAATTCCATATCTAGAATCCTGCTGCCCTCAATGCTATCTTTGCTCAAATCAATGGTCTCTTTGCTCGTCTACATGCCTCTCCAAGCCAACAGACTGCCGGGGAGCTGGAACTGTTTGTCAAACAATCAATCATGCCTGATTTTGTAAGTTGTTGAACGCATTGTACTTGAACAAGTCTGTATTATAATTCTAATTGCCGTCTTTATAGGCTGTAGGTGATCAAGCCTCAATGGGTCGATTGGTCCAACTCGTACAACGACATCAACAGCAACAGCAGCAACAGCAACAACAACAACCTGTGATGCAACATGCAGCCCAACCACAACAATCTCCAGTGATGCTATCTCAAATGCCACCTCAACAACTTCAACAACATCAATTGCTTCAGATGGCTCAGCAACAACAACAGCAGCAGCAGCAGCAACAACAAGCTATGATGATTGCTGCTCAAAACATGCAATCTGCTGCCATCAGCAATAATACTTCCACAAGTCAGTACAAGAGTCGTACCACTGGCTCACGTGCTCAAAAGAATACTTTGAGTGCCAACGGCCATAGTAAGTTTTGCTTTTCGTCGACGGCGCATTAATTGCTTATATTCTTGTGTGTAATTGTACTCATCAACAATTCCTTGTAGGAATTGGACGACCTCCGCGTCGATCTGATGGAAGTCTGCTCAGTCAACCACCGTATGCTCAAAGTCCAGTAAACAACCAACGAAATGCATCTAACGGTGGAATGGCTCCTCCACCTCTACCAATTCAACAATCGCAAATAAACCAACAAGGGCCGACATCAGCATACATGCAAACTCAACCCAATCCCGACTTGCTAAACATGTATGCTGCTCGTATGAGGACTGGTGCTACTTCACTCATGTCTATATCATCAAGCAACATCATCTTGGGAAAACGTAAACGTACACAGACCACTATAGCTGCCGAAATCGACCAGGACCTGTCTGAAGAAGAATCTGAAGCTGATTCAGATAACGATGGTGGATATAGTAGGAGAAAGAGCAGGCGAACAGCTCAATCTACTCCTGTACCTGTTGCTCAACCTGTTCCTGTAGTCGATCCAGAAGCAGACAAGAAGAAGATATTGGAGGAAGTAGCTTTATACTTTCCACGTCCTGGTAGTCGTATGGCTGGCGAAGTTCCTGATGGTAAAAAGACTCAGCATCCTACCAAACATGGATATATCTCTCATGATGATATGAAGGATTTGGCTGATACAAAGGAAGTTTTGGTTCCAATCAAGATTGAATTCGAGTATGAAGGGTTTAAGGTTCGTGATAACTTTACCTGGAATCTTAATGGTGTGTATGTGGTGTTGGTGTAAATCGTTTTTTGTGCTTGTTAAATGGTGGTGATTATACGCAAAAACAACATTGGCCATAATACCGTATCTGAACCAAAGCTCACATCTCTCTCTTGTCCAAACAGAGAAACACACAACTCCATACAAGTTTGCCGAAATGCTATGTGAAGACTTGGATATCAAACCAGTCTCACAATATGCTTTACAGATGGCTCAAATGATCCAAAACCAATTATCAGAATATGCTGCCTTTTACAGTGATGTTGACTTGCCACCGGGAGAAGACGTCCGTGTCAAGATCCAACTCGACCTAAACTGTGGCAAACTACACTTGCAAGATCAATTCGAATGGGATTTGAATTCCGATTACTTGCCTGAAGACTTTGCACGTAATCTGGTAGCGGATTTGGGACTGGGAGGTGAATTCGTCAGTATGATTGCTTATAGTATTCGTGAGCAACTACATCGTCACCGAGTCACGCAGTTATTGGAGGATGCTGATGGTGGAGAACCACTTGTTACTATCTTGCGTGATGAACGTGAAGCTGGTGAATGGGAGCCTGTGGTTCATGTCTTGAATGATGAGGATATGGAAAAGCTTACTGCAGAACGTGAACGTGTTACTGCCAAGTAAGTTTCTTGTTTACGAGAATAGACAGATCTGGGCTCCCCTTTTTTGCTGGGGTCAACGAATAATATACTCGTATGAAATCTAATCTGATTTCTTCACTGTTTTTAGACGTCTCAAAAAGGAAGCCAAGTTCCCTCCTCGCTCACTCATCAATGCTAGGTCTCGAAGAATCGCAGCTGGTGCTGGAATCGATATACGTCACATGGATCAAGAACAAGAGGCCGTTACAAAGGTATTTTCAACATGATCTTGATTAGGAGTACATCATGATCCTTAGATTTTTTTCTCTCACCAGGGCACTGATGATACAAGTGCATTGAAATGTAATCATTGCGGTTTGACTCATGTCGTTTATCGTCGTGACGGACCTGATGGACCAAAGACTCTGTGCAACTCTTGTGGTAAGCAAATTGCATCGTTGATGATTGGCAGATTTTTTTTTGGTTTGGGAAACAGCACTTGGCTTAACTAGCATTGGCGTTACTTTCATTTTAGCTTCATACTATTACTATGATGGAACGTTGCCAGACCATCGTGATGGAATGTTCGTCGATCCAAAATCTGCTGCCAAGTTGCCCTTCGAGTAAAAAGGCTGAAAATATTAGAAATGTTGTAAAAACCCCGCAGAAGCCCTGTATTTTTTTGTTCGCTCGCTCCCTACAATATAAAAACGCAGTTTCTCCTTTTAATCCTTGTGTGATATTACTCCAAGTGTGTTGAGTTTGTTCGAAGACGGTACATACGGACGGGCAAACAACAGGTTTTAGTGTGAATACATTTGGCCACACAAAGTCAAACAAGTTTTATATAAAGACAATTAAGCGCCCAGCGCTTACAAGACAATAGTCTCAAAAGCAAGCCTCCTCAATATGAGGTCCATTTCACTGATACCCAATAGCAGAAGTCGACCCGACATTATCACCATACATCCTACCACCACTACCACTATTCCTATTACTATTACTACCAACCATAGGATACATATCACCGTCCTCACCCTCTCCAACCAAAGTCGTAACCTCACCATCTAAAATCCCCTCGGCAACCTCCTGTTTAGCAACCACTTCCTCGTCTTTTGCCAACAACAAATCATCACGGGACGCATCTCGCGCGACACGTAGACGTTTAATGTTTCGAGAATCTAGACCGGCGTCTTCTATTGTAGCCGCACCGTGAATTGATGATATCTTCTTTCGGAGGTCTAGTGAGTGTGTGAGAGAGAGGGGTGAGAAAAAAATCCAGTGTGGACCCTCGATTATGCTTCAACATCAACCACAACATGTACTTACAATCCGTAAAATCATCATACATGGCCGAATAGAACGATGCGAGATATGGCGCTTGTTTCCTATTCACCCATACGATCGGTAACGGGGCAGCCATAGCTAAAGTGCCAACAAAAATCAACGAAATCGAAATGAACGATGTACAATCCATAATATTATACCTGGATGAAACGCACGATCAGCCAGCGTAAGTTTCGTAGACGACCGTTCCAATTTATGTGAACGAGCAGCTTCTTGTTCCTCTGAGTGATGCAGTGTCATGTATTCGGATTTGGGCAGGTAGTATCGTTCTGTGATTATGTAGTAGATGATTGAGAGGAAGGGGAGGATTGCGAGCTAAAAACAAGCCATAGGAGTAAAGGGTAATGTTAGATTGGAGTAACAGCATTATTTGCAACACAACGGCCTTACGAAGATAGTACACGATCTTGCTGAATTGTTTCCAGAGTCAGCTTGTGCGGTTGTTAGCAAGTACACTGCGAATGTGAAGAATTGGAAGACTAGGTAAATTGGAGATATTAGTTTTCAAATCTATATGCACGTAGGTCCATTCTTTCTGTTAATTTAATAGAATTCTTGGGTTCATACCGAAAATTGAAATGACACATAGACGGAATATCTTGGGCCACCATGTTCCACCGGATTCGAAGCGGTTGCCGTATACCCAGTACATTTGGTATTTCATTACGATATATGCGATACCTAGCGACAAGAATGGCAACACCCAACATGAGAATCGCTGCATGCAACGGAATAAGAGAATGCGCTAATCGTACCATAGAAGATCAGGGCAAACGGCAATACTAATAGTAAAATGATAGGTGGAGCATAGAAGTTAGATCTGTGTTGCTTAAAAAAGGTGGGTAAACGAAAAATCATACCTAAGGGAGCGATAATCGAATATATCAAAGCTAGCAAGAATGTGATTAAGAGACCACCGTATTGAGTAGCTACCAAAAGATGATTAAAAAAGATGCCAATTACTAGTAGGAATCAAACCAACACAAGCATACCATATTGGAACGTTGGAGGAGAACTCAATTCAAACTCCTTCCTCGGCGTTAGCGACGCGAAAATTCTCGTATAAAGCACCTTTATCAGTTTAACTCCTTGGAAGATCTCGAATGCATATCCAGTCACACTTGCAATGATAACTGCTATGTAGAAAGTTGAGTTCTACGAGGTACAAAGAAACGACATCGGTTAGCAATTATTCGAATTTCAACGACATCGACTCGTGTTATCTCAGAAATACAACTGCTTTCGTACCGAACTCAGTCCAATAGCAGCCTGCCTCACGAGATACCCAGTTGGATCATTATTAGTAACGCTCAAGCACTCGTTATGCACCCAAGCGCTAATAATGGCCCAGAGTGCACTGAATGACACCACTGTTGTTGGTTTAAAAAAGCACTTCAGCCTTCAGCCGAGATCACTTTGATACTATTGACGTCATTTGGAACTCACCAAACACGGACTGGTACACCTGAAAAGCGAAAAACTTGTTCAGTGTAGATTTCGCTTGTCCAGACTTGGAAGCGACACCTTGAATGTTTGAGATAATGTCTAGAATGTTTGGGAGGATCCAGTTCGCGAGATAATATAGGAAGGGACTAAATTGGATAAGATTTATTCACCGAATGTGAGTTTTGCCAAACACAAAACACACCAGACGCTTACCTGAATACGGAGGTCACAAAGATAATTCCAGCTTCTGATGATCTGATAGAAGCCGCGACGGCTGGCAAGTACTTTTGGATATTATCCAGTGAAGTTATCCATGCGATGAAGACTCCAACGAAAAACCATGCGATTGTTAAGCCAAGAAGTAAAACAGTTGCTAGAATCTGACGTGAGTGCCTTATCGGTCGCGTAATACCGATGTTGTCCCTGTTTGTAAGAAACGAGAAATAAGAGTTTAATATGCTGTTGGTTTGTTCATGCCCAATAGAGATAGCAAAAAGCACCACTGACCATAAAATACTGTCAAATGATGGAGACAATGTTGCATCTGGCGGAGCAATCATTTTCGTCTTTTGTCTCACAGCGACTCCATTGCGTAAAGCTTTCGTGGCGACTTGTGCCGCATATGCGGTTTCGAATGATATGAAGCCCGATGCATTGGTAACATAACTATCATCTGATTTCGATCTCATTGCGTAGATTTCTTCTTCGAGCCTATGAGTCAGTAGTTAGGATTCCACTTTTGCCTAACAACAAAAACACTGTTCCGCTTTTGCTTGACAACCGAAAAACTGCTCCTGACTTCGAACGGTTCACAGACCTGTGCAATCGATTCCCCAAATGCGCTATAGCATCAACACGTCTTCCACCCTTTATCCTCATGGTCGGACGCGACTCAGAAGGCCGATCGGGCTGAGCAAGGTATTTAAACAAGACTTTTTCTAATTTGGCAGTTGTCTTTTGATGCAACTTGACCAGTTTAGCTAACGACGACACATTCCTGCCAACTAACGCTTGTGCTATTGGCACGCCCACATCTAAAGACTCTACATATCGTGCAAGTGCTGTGTCCGACTGCAACTTGTGTGGTATGTTGGTCAGCAATACTGTCCGGTTTGAATACGAGTCTGTAAACGTCGGTGAGTGGAAGTACAGTTGTCGGAGTGTCGTGTATCGGTGGTATTCGTAAGCGAGGGCCCCATATAATATAAATGAGAAAATCCATGCTGCAGCGGCTGGCAGCCATAAGAACGGAGAGTTTTGGTTCAGGTTGGCTAGTGTCAGCTGGTTTAGGGATGGTGGAATAAAGTTGATGCTGCCGAATGTTATGCCTCCTTGTCCGTTAACGTTCGAGTGTAGTGGTGCACCAGCAAAGTCTGGCGAGTGATAATAGCTAGCGAAAACTGCGGTTTAGAATCCGTCAGAGGCAACTTTGAATTACTAACAACTCACAAGCCCATGAGAGGTATCCCGAGAATAGTGAATGTCAAGAATACATGGGCGCAGAGTCGAACAAAACGTAAATACATGACGGCGTCCATGCCAATCTTGTTTACATCCTTGGTCTCATTATCCGTAAAGGCTCGCACTACCCATGCCAATGGAAATTTGCCCAGCTTTCGAGGTTTTTTCCTAAACAAGGCAACAATCAGAGAACTGGGTACGGCATCAATTCATAATCATGCCTTACTCATCGGGAGCAAGCAGCGCTCTGGTCTGGTAGGTGTACTTGTTGGTGAACCTCACGAACGAAAACGCAATCAAGAATCCTACAAGGAGCAAGTTAGCAAAAGCAGACATTCAATAGCAGTAGATCTGTATCATGACAGCGAAGCTCCATACACAGCCAAAAAACCGTCAATGTATAAACGATCGGTAAGAAAATGATGTTACATACCAGCACTAATAGCCAACTGCAAGAGGAATTGTACAAGGACTCCCTTAAAGTCAAGACTTGAGTTTGCGGTTACAGTTACATTGGCTACATATTGTGCACAGTAGGAATCATTTGTCGACATTCTCTTGTGGTGTTTGGTGGACCACAGCCGTTATACAACTAACGGGGTGAAGAAGAGCTAACCGCGACCGGCTCTACAGGTAGATAGGATCCCAACGAAAGTAATCCTCTGCTTTGTTCGCTATCTTTTGGCCCTGTGGAAGTTGAAATGATGACCGCTTGATAGAACTTCTTGGTGGCTTTGACATTGCACGGCACTTGATCTATGCGACCAGGCTATACAAGGTAGCGCCAAACGCATAAATCAAATCTCAGCTGCCATTTAAATAATGCAATTGCATTTCGTATTACTATAGCTCTAGCCATTTGCATTTTTTGAGAACTGTTGCAGTACAAATCAAATCAACCATACAAATCCTCATATCTCTCATAATCCTTCCCGTCATCATTGTAATACTCGTCCTCTTCGTCATCGTAAACACCTTCAGACTCATACGACTCGTAATCATGAGGAGAATTATAATCTGGTTCGCTATTCACGTCATGATCAGAAGCAATAATCGAGTGGTTGTGATCGTCTATCGAGTGTTGTTTAACTTTGCGAGCAAATCCAGGACCAGGAACTACAGAGCGTTCACGTCCAGTTCGTGTAGCTACTTGTTTGGACTTTTTGGTGGCAGCATAAGGTCTAGACAAGATAATATGTGACACTGCTTCAATCCAAGTAACACCCTTGTGATCTATAAAGAGCTTGTGTCCTGGCGACATGGTTCTGAAATGTCCGTTAGCAACCAAATCACCACTATAGATGTCATATACCCGTACCTAATGAAGGAGTGGAATGCCGATGAGACTAATCCAACAATCACAGGTCCACCTCACTTACTTTGGATGAAGGATCTTCAAATATAGCTCTTATCCAGTTTGATTGCCTTGCAGCTTGATGAAGTATTACATGCGTAGCCGTACATATCACGTCCTTCAATCGATCCTCCAAAAGATTACTCTTGATAATTTTGCGAAGGCGGAAGTGCGAAGTATAATCTGCCATGCTTCCTTCTCCAACTTGTGATGGATGCTGATGATCAAATAATATCTCCATACTGTTGTCGACACCACCAACAAATAGCAACATTCCGTTTGACTCAATACTGCCCCATGTTATATCTTGAGGCAAAAGTGAGAAAGTGACTCAGAGAATGCGAGGAAACAAGCTGCTCACCTCGAATAGTGGTCCTAGTTCGTCTTTCCTTCAAGATATTCAACGATGCATCCATATCATAAACCACAGCCTTAGAATTATGGGCTACAAGTAAAGCCAGTGATTCCAAGTCACGCTTAGCATTACGATTTACAGCAATATGGAAAAGGTATGCTTCAAAAGGCAACTCCACTTCCGCACGAGTCATTAGCGGGCGTGGATTTCCAGGCAGTGCTTCTTTAGGATTTAGATACTTGCGAATACTATGAAGGTCAAACAGCCATATGGAATGCTTCGAGTCTCCCATCTCGTCGTATTTTGCAATGATGACATCCTGGTTGATCCAAAAATGATCAATTGGCCTTGGCCGTCCGCGATCATCTACAACTGGGGCTGGGATATCCATATGCCACAATCTATGATGCGGATCTTTGCTATACACGTATATCGTATCGTCCGTCAAAGCACACACAAATGTATCTGAAATCCATACAGCCTCGAGCCCTTTTCTAGAAGGTATCTGGAATTCTAATATAGCGTCTTCCACGTTCGAATTTAATCTTGCCAGAGTAGCAAACGAAAAGCTAGGACTCAAGACGTTGCCCCATGCAAGCGAGTCGCCAGATACTGCGAGGATGTTTTGATTTTCGTAAGGAGTTGGGTCGCGCACAAGCACCTGGTCTTTAGCCTGACCTAAAGCTAGATTATTCCATTCACCAGCTTCGACAAAACACTTGTACTTGAGCAACCATTTATAAGACTTGTTCAAGTATTCGGTAGGATGCTGACTAGGCACAGTTCTATAATCAGTCAGTTGATTCCAAAGACATCTCCAGAGAGTGTGATTGTCTACATGTACAGAAAGGCATTATCAATGAATCGGATTGATAGGACCTTCTGAGGATCCAATTGATTTTGTTTATATTGGTTCCTGCAGATTGTTTTCGAGGCTTTTCGAGGCTTCCTGTTGAAGTTTTACCTTCTCTTCCAATTTGAGCAAAATGTCGACAGCAAGACACCAATCTCAACACGGTCTTGGGAGGCAAATACTCAAAAATCTGTACCAATATGTCCTATACACGTGCTATGTATCAATATTCATTTACAAACAGCCAATCATTGTGAGTTTGAAGATTCGAACAAAACCAATGACAAGACAGAAGGCCACCCGATACAACCATCATATAGGACATACCTCAACGAAAAGCGGGCTTGTTGGAGGCTCCATCTTCGGGTATCGCACTCGTTATATCGTAAATTAGTATCGAAATGTCTAAGAGCTCGTTGACGCAAATACCTATAATATCAGGTGTAAGTTGTAAGGCACAGCAATGAAGAACGACGCGTTCTGCATTCGATTGCGTATTATTTTGCATATATTAATGGAGTGTGAGTGTCAACAACAAACATAAATACACGTATTCTAAACAAAATTGACATTGTCGAGTCAGTTGGAGTACCCTCCCTCTATTTCATCCTCTATCTCCTCTTCCTGCTCATCCTGCTCATCATAGTAGTCGTCCAAGTGGTCTAATTCATCGTCATACTTTAAGCACAATTTCCTAGCCTTGCCTGAAGCCTTCGGAGACGAATAGGCACTGTTACTACTGCTAAGGCCGAGTGGCTTGTCATTGTTGCTACTGGCACGGGACCGACTATTACTGATAGCACGAGTTCTACCAGTTCCTCCAGACACGGCAGGTTGGCCAAGGGTAAGATACAAGTCTCCCAACTTGAGCTCTGTTGTTTTATGTGATATTGTGTATGGTCGAAACATAAACTTCCATGTAGCCCCATCCATTCGTACGACGCCACTATTGGTGAGGCGGAGCGCTAAGGCATATGTATGTGTTTTATAGTGTGTCGATGCGATGAGTTCCCCCTATTGAAAGAGGTCACAGTTGAGGCTCATGTATCAGTCAGTTCTTAATCTGAATCGTTTAAACTTACAGTAAAGAGATCAATAACTCGTACACGGGCATGGGGCCTATTAAATGAGCTTCCCGTACCATATTGGTGCAAGACTAGAGCAGATTCGGTAACAACACAATCTATAACCGTATCATCCAAGTAGTCAATCTTCATCTTCTTCCTGACTAGAAAATGTCCTGTACTACTATAATCGTTGGTTCGTATCGACCCAGATCCAGATCCTGAGCCCGATGAGACGGAAGCGGTCTCACTACTATCGTCCTTGACCATTTTCTTCTTCAGTTTCAATCCAAGACTTTTAGCAACCTTGTGTCTAGGTGGCGGCGGTGGTTCTATATCCCACAAAAACTCCATCTCTCGTTTATTTCGACTTATAAATAACACCAGTCCGGTTTCGTGTATGCTGCCCCAAGACAAATCTTTTAGGTTGGATTGAAGTTTGCGGAGGCCGACTACTTCCAGTTTACTGTTCAAATCTATGACCACTGACTGTCCATTCTGACCAGTGGCGAGTAATTCCATCTTTAACAACAATTCGCCTTTAGCATCACGATGGACGGCGGGATGCACGATTTGTGGATCAAAGGGTGTAGGTACTCTATAGGATGATGGGGTCAGAGAAAGAATTACACCGACAAATGGAATCTTGCTATTCACATACTCTGCAGATGTCATCAATGGCCTCAAATTTGGAATATCTCCATGGACATTTAGGTATTTAACAATGGATTTCAAGTCATATACGGAAATCGAGTTGAGCGGAATGTGGTTTGCAGACAGTTTGGCAAGCACAACGACGTCCTTGTGTACCCAATAGTTAAGCACGGGCTCAGGGCGTCCTGTAGTCTCATCTAAAAACGGGACATCCATCCTCCATCCACTAAGCTTCTGATCTTTGCTAAACACATGGAAGGCATTGGTAGTCACAGCTGTAATAAAGCTGTCCGATATCATGACTCTGACTATATGGGTTCCTTCGGGTGCGAAGAATTCAATTGGTCCATCAGGAGCATTGAGCAAGTTGTATTTTGAATACATGAACGAGTTGGTTGCTCGTTCTAGACTCCACGCGAAGGAATCCTCGTGCACATACCTTTGTTTGATGAATGTGGTCAGTTTCCCAAACATTTGACAAACCAAAAGTCTCATCTCACCAAATAAAACCATCCTTGTATGCATCAACATTCGAAGCTAAAACCGAGTCAAACTCTGGCAAATTCAACGCATTCCATGGTCCCTTCTCTTGAAAGACCTTGTACTTGCAGAGCTGCCTGTACGTCTTTCCCAGATATTGTGTAAGTCCTTGAATATCGTAGTCTTTATACAGGGTGTGATTGTTCCAAACTTGTCTCCAAAGCTGGGTATTCTCTACACAGAGTGAATTGTTGTAACGTGTCAATATTTCCTAAAGCTCGTTGCAAGATCACGGAACCACGTTCATACGACCCTCACCTTCTCTAGTCACGTATCGTAGCGTACGACATAGCTTTCCTATTGATAAATTCACGACCGTTAGCATATGACCAACGTTTGGCCGTTTGGTGGTTGATGTGCGTTGTTCTCACCAATTTGAAACAGTGTCCTCGCGGGGAGGTAGGACAGTATCTCGGTAGCTACATCCTATTTCACATGAATGAGTTATTGGTATACGCTTTGATGTGATAATGAATGAGAACGACAGCAACTTGCTCAAAAACACGAAACCATTTCAAAAAGCCTACCTCGACATATAACGGATTGCGTTGTACTGTATCATCCTGAACCGATGAATCGTCGGATTCCGACATGGAAGCTCGTAATTGTGTTTGAAAGGGCGCCTGTGAATTGTTGGAGGTGCTGACTCTAATCTGATTCGGCGCAGCCAGTCGCCAACAACATGAACTTTAAACGGTGGTACGCTATATATTGGCAATCACTACAAACAGAAATATCAATCTACTGTCTCTTGAATGACTTTCCACTACACGAAAGCAAAACGAGAAGTTAGTCTGAAGTGAACACAACCGCGTTCCCGTACAAAACTTCGTCCATTGCTCCAAACATTTACCTGGCCGTCTTCATATCACGATCTTTGGGTGCTTCTGGTTTGGCACGGTTTAGAACCTTGAGGAAGGAGTCTACTCGTGCTCTCATACGCGAATGCATATAGGCCTTTGAAGCCTTGATGTGATAGTGCAAGTAATCACGGAAGAGCTCAATTAAAGACACACACTTTTCACGGGCTTCTGGAGTAGCAAAGTGTCGTGGGAAGAGTACTAAAGGGTGATGGTGTCAAAGAAAGTCTTGGATATGAGCAAAGGTAGACAATGAATGCACTGATTCAGCGGCAATTCATAGTAATCCAACGCTACACTCACCAAAGGTAACATAACCCATCGAATCGGAATCCACTAAGCCCCTCACACCTCTCAACTCCATAGGTGGTTCACGATACGTATACAAGACTTGTGGAGCAGATTGAATAGCAGGTTGTCGTCTAGCATCTACAAATTCCTGTAAAAAGACTTTACCAAATATACGGTCCGTCTCTTCTTGAAACAGCGTCGAGAAGATGACTGTGACACGATCTGGTTGAGCTTGTACATAGATGGCTTCAGATTCACGGTAATGGACTACCATAAGACTCGATTGTTTGCCAGCCTGTTGTGAAGCGAAGGCTTGTTCGAATGGGGCAGCAAGGGCGTTTCTCTTTAGGAGAGCTGCTTTCTTGACGAGGGTATCTATGAGAGGGAGAACGGTGAGTGGTTGGCTAATAACAATAAATGTAGATTTGTAGAGAGTATAGCGAGCAGTTTCAGCTAGTTCATTCCTTATTCCACTGACTCAACAAACCAATCGACAAAACTCCAAACATCGTGAACCTACCCTTATCACTTCCCAATCTCGTCAAGTCAAACCTGAGGGACACATCATAACCAGATTCAGGCTGAGTGACATAGGAGCCATATTCGCGTTGAATGATATCGTTTGCACCATAGGCCGCTAATTCCGAATAACACTTCCATGCCATTGACAAGACCAATGTTGTCTTTGAATCCGGGGTTGATAGACGGTATGAAGCACCATCGAAATCAGATATCGTCATTAGAATTTTCTCTGGGTCTGGCCTACATGTTGTTGTTATGATTAAAAGGATTGTTTGATTAGAACTGTTTGGTGGGCCAAGAATTATCGATTAGAGTGCTTACGAGTTGAAGCATTCTTTGAGTGTTTCCTCTAATATTTTGTTGCCTGGCTCTAGTAAAATCATAATGTTCTCTTTGCTGCTCGTTGTTGGAAGTGGTTGTTGAATGTCACGAAAGTTCGATTTGACGATTTGACTCGAGTACGAATACCGGAGAGAACACAACGCGTTGTGATCATTAACGTTGAGCCTGCTACTTTTACAGCTTATTACTTACCACTTATGACTTACAATGATCGTAGAAGACGCGGAACACGAGGCTTGATTACAATCTGGCACCAACCAAGTCACGACATCTGCATTTTATTATGATTCTTATGTTTATATGATTTTCTTATTTGACTCCTTTACACCTTTACATCTTTTCATCATTCTCATGTACTTGCATCCACCAAAGCAGCTTCATCTAAGGCGTTTTCTTAGAGCAATTTCCTTTTCAGACATGTGTCTTTGCGTAGCATTCTACATTGTTGCTAAGCGTGGCAATCCCCTTCAATTGTCTTCTAACTCGTTTGTCGAGCTTCTCACCACGAGCAATTCTACAAGTTCACCTGAAAACTCTATCGACATCTTTGCCAACCATTGGCACTTTACGCTTTCCTCTTCGAGTCTCCAGTGCCTTCAAGATAGTATCTCCACAGATACGTTCACGGGTAGAGCATTCAAAATACTCGAGTTTTAGCATTCCAACGATTATATCATGGACCAACGGCGATTTTATATCCCAATAATCTTCCGCCAGTCTCAACCATGTCAGATTCGAGCAGTTGTATATCGGGTTTACAAGTTCGAATGGCCTTGAGACTTGATTTCAACTTTGATGATCTGTCAGAGTTTTCATAGGCGTCAACATCGTTATATAACTCGGGTACGACAGCAGCTTTGAATCCTTTACAGACGAGAGCTAGCTGATATAATCTGTGTAGTCTCTTCATCTCATTCTTCGTTTTCGCAATGACATCGAATATGAGAAGTAATATGTCATTGGGCAAGCGGAGACCCTTCCATTTATATCGTCCATGACTAGCAGAATAGATTGTAGTATGCTTTATTAGATAACTGAAGTGATATGCATTGAGCTTGAGACATCAAGATTTTGTCGACAGTTTACAATCTCAATTTGAAGCATGCGAGACATTTAAACACTCACCTATTGTGAATGGAATATCCTTGTATGTATCTCTATGAAGATTATTCAGTTAAGGCTCCCTTCCACTTTCAAATCTTTGATCTACTCTGTCTGATAATTTGCTGCAAGAATCAAGATCTCAGTCAGTGTCGATAAGGATCAACACTAGAGCTGGCAATTCTACGTGATTGGACGTGTATTTTACACTATTTTGAAAGAACAATGGGACTGCCAATGTCCATTCTCCATATGGGCCTGCACCAGGCAAAACCGTCGACCTTTGGCCACGTACATTGTCAACTTCGGCAGCACCTGCAAATGTTCTTTTCTTTTTCGGCCTTACAGTAATCCGAATGTAGGCTCGGCTCACAGCGTTTTAGAAATGATCGTTGGACTAACGTGGCAGACCCAGTAAAGGAGAAAAAGGAGCATTAGACAACCATCAAGCACCAGTTTCTACATCCCAAAACATCTCAAACTGTAATTACAACCCATTTCCTACCGCACAATCCCAGAAAACATGCCTGTAGAAGATGAGGCTACCACCCTAGCTCCTCTTGAGGAGAAAGGTCAAGAGCTCGCTCCAAAACAGATTGAGGAAGCACCTGCTGATGTCGCTGACGATCAAGGCGTCGTAAAAATGTCTCGTTTGTCCTTCTTCTTTGTCTTTATGGGGTACGTTGGCTACCAAACATCACAAAAATTGTGGGGGAGAGTGAGACGGAAGAACCTTCCTCTGCAAAGTGACGGTGGTTGTTGAGAAAAGGAATTTTGAAATATGATTATTCGTCCAAATGGATGTCTAACTTGCTTTCCTTGTCTTCCGATCGCAGGTTACTCTTGGGAGTTTTCTTGGTAGCTCTAGATCAACTTATTATTTCAGTTGCTGTGCCTGCAATTGCGCAGGAGTTTGACGCTTTATCGCAAATCTCCTGGTTGGGAACAGCGTAAGTATTGAATAGAGCGCCAGTTCCAACAATGCTGGTGCTATAACAACCCCATTCCACTGTTTGTACTAAACAACCCCACTACACTGTATTAGTTATATGCTTGTCGGAGCCTCCTCGACTCCACTCTACGGCAAGATCGCTGATATATTTGGTATGTATCGGAGGCAAACTGTACTTTTGAGCCTGGAGGGCATTCTCACACCTCCAACATCTGTAGGACGAAAACCTACATTCTTATTTGCAATCGTGACATTTGAGCTTGGATCGTTGGTCTGTGCATTAGCACCAAACATCATAACACTCATCCTGGGAAGAGCTATCGCTGGTCTCGGTCTTGGAGGATTGTTTACTCTCGTACTTGTACGCATTTTCTCACGATTGAGAGAGTCTTAGCCTTCGTCGTCTTGCAGGACGTCTTCGTTAAAAGCCTTCAACTATAGGTCATCATAGCCGACATCACCACTGTCAAAGAACGACCTCAGTACCAAGGAATGATTGGTGGTGTTTTCGGTTTATCTAGTGTCGTGTAAGTCTTTCGGTGCGCAATATTCAAATTTTGTGATAACTAAATCCTTCCATTTTCACAGGGGCCCGCTGGTCGGAGGAGCATTTGTAGATCATCTCACTTGGCGATGGTGTTTCTGGAGTACGCTGTTTTGGCAGTAGTTTCGCATTAAACACGATCATTGGGGTTCTAACACTTTTCTTCGCAGTCAATTTGCCATTTGGTCTCATTACCGTCCTAGTTGTCGTATTTTTACTCCACTTGCCATCCCCCACTGGTTCCATCGGTGCGAAATTGGCTAGAGTAGACTGGATTGGAGCCATTTTGACCGTCTTGGCCACCATTTGCTTGGTGTAAGTGTAGTTTTGCACGATTTTGTGAGCAAAATCAAACAAAGACGACGATTTAACATTCTGTTCCTGCGACTTGTAGAACTCCTATCATTGGAGGTGGTAGTCAGTTCGACTGGAACAGCCCTATATGTATTGCTTTATTCGTCTTGTCGGGTGTTTTCTTTGTCCTACTCGTCATCTGGGAAGCCAGAGTAGCAGAACGTAAGTGCTTTCGCCGGTTCTTCATGGGCTCCAAGTGTTCCTGCTCTATGTTTTCAACGTGCTCGAACCGAACCCAGGCGCTGAAATCGCTCGATCTCACATGCACATCTCCTTTTCATTCATATTAGCAATCATCGATGCTAAAATATTCAGCAACCGAAGTGTATTCGGTAGTTTGGGTGTCAGTGCCTTCGTTGGAATGACGTTCTTGTCTGTAATTTACTATGTCAGTACCTTCTTCATCGTTGTAAATAACGATTCGGCGGTATGTCTGTTTTGCTTACTTGTTGTTGTTCTTACCGGTTGTTGGAGGATTACACCCCTTTCAAACTTCATTTCGGGACTGGCCGGTGACTAAACTCTAATCACCCTTCTTCTACTAGACACTTTCCGGCCTTCACCAGTTGCCCGGAGTAGTCGGATTGGTTGGGTTTTCAATAATATCGGTGAGTTCTGAGACTGTCGAAGATCTGCGCATTGACCGTTCAGCAAAAACTCACACCACATTGTGTTTATAACAGGGTATTCTGATCTCTAGGACAGGATATTACATGCCCCTGAATGTTATCGGCGGCATTATTCTTACTGTGGGTGTTGGTTTAGTATCCACATGGAAGTACGATACCCCTCGTCCATATCAATACGGCACTATCTTCGTATTTGGAGTCGGAGTTGGCTGTAACATACAAACCAGGCAAGTCCTTAAGGCTGCTACTTTAGTTCATTGGTTCGTTAACCTCATTATTTTCGTTACAGAATCATCGCAATCCAAAACTCGGTTGAACCAAGGTTTATCGCCCCCGCTACAGCCTTGGCCAACTTTGCACAGATGCTGGGAGGAGCTATTGGTCTTGCTATAGAAGGTGCCCTCATCACTGGCCAACTGTCAACGAAACTTGGAGCATTCCTGCCTCCAGCCTTGGTTGATGTAGTAACGAAATACCCAACTTCGATTCGAGAGGTCGTGCCTGCTGTTTATTTAGATGAGACTTTACAAGCCTTTGCAGCGAGTATTGCATTCGCATATCAAGTAGCCATTGGATTTGCGGCACTGGTGTTTTTAAGTTCCTTGCTCATTAAGCAGCAGCCATTACGAAGTGGCCGATAATCTGGACGAGCCAGTGTATTGTAAAACATAATTTCTGTCTAGCATATAGCGTTTAACCACAAAAAAATAGTACAACTTTTGCAAAAATGTTAAGGAGTTTTTGATCGTTTCTCAATCGGGTGAACCAAAGCACGAGAGATCCCTTATTCCTCGTCGATAAAAATGCTTTTCCCGTTTGTAATGTGTCTTCCATGGCTGATCTTGAAATTCATGTGTTTGGTAATCCACCTGGCAGAACCAAACCTTGTATTTTGCCCCCTTTTTTAAAATTGACACACAGCAATCAAACAACCACTTTTCATTACACGATCGCTTCACGGTTTAGTACAAAGTCTACCATAAACCCGCATCGCAATTGAATCATGGCTCGACATCTAGATGAAGAAGCCGCAGTTGATCGAAAATTGCTTGTTGACGATGATGACCATTTTCAAATTCCTCCTCCCAAAGGACCAGCAATTACGATCATTGAGGACGGAAAGGTGGAAGAGGTGGTCAATCCTCCATTGTCCAAGTTTGGATTCTTTTTGGTCTTCATCGGGTTGTGTAAGTGCTTGTAAATGGCCTTCCGTTGTTGAAGTTTTGTGTTGTGAGTTCGTATCGGGATGCGACAGTGCATATTGAATTAGTTCATGATTTTCTTTTATTTGTTTAATATTGAGATCAAATCATCGTTCTCACCAATGACATCAAATTTCTACTTAGTGTTGGCTATCTTCCTCGCAGCACTTGACCAGTTGATTATTGGAACTGCTCTTCCTGCGCTTGCAGAAGAGTTCAATGGACTTTCTCAGATATCGTGGGTCGGTACGTCATATCTCATGACTGCCAGTGCAAGGTGTGTGGTTTGCTGATCTCAACGTTCCCCGTCGCTCGGACCAAAGTTAACACGTTTCACCATCAACAGTACACCAGTTTACGGCAAAATGAGTGATAGTGAGTTTGTGTGCTATTCTTAATATCTACCTTCATATTTGTGTGTATGGCATTCTCATCAGGTTCTACACTAGTTTTTGGCCGTAAACCTACATTCTTATTCGCTATCATTACGTTTGAAATCGGATCTCTTATTTGCGCAGTATCAGTCAATATGATAATGCTGATTGTTGGACGTGCAATCGCCGGCGTTGGGTAAAGTCAATTTTTGGTCTGTATGGATATGACCTTTCGCTCATACCGTTTTCTATTACAGCTTGGGAGGTGTCTTCACCATGGTCTTGCTCATTATTGCAGAACTTGTATCTATGCAAGAGAGATCCAAGGTAGGATCTAATTTGGAGCTTTATCTGTGATTCTTGGACCGCTTCCTAACTGTCGAACTTTCTTCAATCTAGTATCAAGGCTTGATTGGAGCCGTATATGGTCTCTCATCCGTGCTCGGCCCAATTGCTGGTGGTCTCTTTACCGAGCACGTTTCTTGGGTACGTGTCTTTTGTATACCATCACATCTACCTTCAAATGCTTATCCACTGTACTGCTCTAGAGATGGTGCTTTTATATCAACTTACCAATTGGCGCAATCACCGTCCTCGTAGTGTCTCTCTTCCTGCATCTCAAATCTCCAGAAGGATCCGTCATGGCCAAACTCAGACGTGTAGACTTTTTAGGAATCATCATCCTGATTCTAGCAGTTATAGCATTCGTAACAGCCGTGCAAGGTGGTGGAACCAGTTTCGCATGGAATTCCGCAACTTCAATTGCTCTGTTCGTGGTCTGTGGGCTACTTGTCATCCTCTTCTTCATAGTTGAGTTGAATGTTGCTCCAGAGCCTATTGTGCCAGCTGCCATGTTTTCAAACAGAAGTGTATATGCTGGACTCGCTCTTGCCTTCTTTTTGGGGTCTGCTTTCTTTGGATTGATTTACTATGTGTCTGTCTACTTCCAAGTCGTCAGGTAACCCAAGCATCAGTTATTGTGACAGGTGTAATGCACACTAATACTGTCTTGTTGCAGTGGTGATACTCCCTTAATGAGTGGTCTACATCAACTACCAGGTTCGGCTGGTGTCGTAGCATTCAGTATAATCTCTGGACTTGTCGTCTCGAAAACTGGTCAATATGTCCCCTTCTCGATCTTTGGAGGTTGTGTTGCTGTTATCGGCACCGTATTTTGTTCTCTCTGGACGCTTGATACTTCGACAACAGTCGAGTATGTGGGCCTATTTGTATTTGGTGTTGGAAGTAAGTCGAGAAAGTATGTCTTGAAATTTTCCAGATGATGCGAAGTGATTGTTTTTTTTCTCTAGTTGGATCAAACATTCAAGTAAGAGTAGTCGCAGTCCAAAATGCTGTGGAGCCAAGGTTTATTGGTGTTGCAACTGCATTGTCGACCTTCTTCCAAGTAAGTTTTTCAATGCTTCCAATTCATGCTATTGCGAAACCAATACTTACCACATCGCTCTGTTATTAGACGCTGGGAGGAGCCGTTGGTGTTGCCGTACTCGGAGCCGTATTTAACAACTCTCTGAGCTCCAACTTGGCAAACTTATTGCCATCGGCTATCGTCAGTCTGGTTATTGAACAGCCCACACTAATAAGAACGCTAGTGTCGGCTGATCTTCAGCCGGCTGCTCTACAGGCATTCAATTCTTCCATCACGCTTGCGTGGAAGGTTTCAATTGCATTTGCGTAAGTATTTTGGTTTATGTACGCAAACGTGATCTGTGACGTGACTAACTCGCTTTTGCATTGTCAATAGGGCTGGCACACTGCTATCTGCCGTCTTCATCAAGCAAACGTCTTTGAGTGCCAGACATTAATATCTCTGAGTCTTGGATCTCTTGGACTTGGGTTTGTGCACAAACAAGATGCAAATCAACTCACAAACAAGAATAACTGTAAACAACACGGAAACATGTATAACAACCTGTCTGCTTCCTCATCGTAATACTATTTTTTCTACTGGTAGTAGTACATCGTGAAATATAGAAATATAGAGCTTGCACCACGTATCTATCAACTTCATTATATTCGAATGATATTCTGAAGCGATACAGAATCGCGTCATGCTCAATATGAAGCGCTTTGAAGACACCGATCGTCCAAGCTCTAATGATGCTCGTCCTCGTCCAAAGTCCAAAAAAGCACACAATGATCATTAACAGACGCCTCCTCAGCATATACATTAAAGGACGAGGATACAGTACAATAGGAAACCCGCCATTAGATAATCTCCTCATTGATTTCACTCATCTCCCGGCATCGCTACTCAACCTGGTCAGAGCTGGCTTTACACTCATCCCAGATTTCATCAGCGAGGAAGAGCATCAGGAGCTAATAAAACAGTGTAATTCCAAATTAAGGTAGTTGCTATTCTTCTTGCTGCTGTGGTTTTGAAGTAATTTCAACATCAAACTGTCAACTTTCACGCAAAAGTGTACTCACTATACATTTTGCTGATTTTTAGACGCTTAGTAGGAAAAGATTATTCTAATCGACACTTTGATGGAGGTAAACGTCTTCTCGAGTCTTCTCCTGACAAAAAAATCTTGTTCTGCAACCCCCTCACACTATCGTCAAACATAGTAATCCATCAATACCGAGAATGCAGCGTCTCATCATGGTCACTCCCAACACCCCAAAACGACGGGCATGATGAAACACGAGGAATCTTAGCCCGAGCCCGTCACCACTTTCCACATATCACAAACTGGGACATTCCACATGTATTGGATTTGAAAGCGGGTGGTGAGAGTTACATTCGTGCGCATGTTGACAATATCCAGGTAAATGACTATTGTAACGTGTTCCCAGTTTGTTTTCTCGCTCATTGTTTTTTACTGTCCTAGGCATCAGGTAAAATAGTCGCAGGGATATGTCTCATGAGTCCAGCTACTGTAATATTCCGTCACAAGGATAACCCAGAACAGTTTTTCAAATGTTTATTGAATCCGAGGTGTCTATACGCTCAAGAAGGGGATTTGAGGTATCTTTTTACGCATGAGATACCCGAGGGGAAGATTGTGGATAAGACAGACGACTCGTATTTGGAGGGTGCTCCTCAGAGACTGGGACAGAGAATCAGTATCATGTTACGGGATAGGCCACCATCACCATTGTAAAAACTAGTACATAGCTGTTACGCGGAATATCATTATTTCGAATCTCAAATCATCAATCACTCAGATGTTTTACTTGCTGGAAACTCTTGATCTATTATCAGGAAAGAGATTTGTTCAATGCGTTTAACTATTAAAGTCACTACGTCACCACCATGTCTAGCTTCCCACCATTCACTGTCCATTCAATCCCCTACAAAGAAAATCACTAATCTCAAAATCTCAAAACATAGACATTTCTGGTATCTGTTACTTGAAAACTGTTGCTCTATTATCAAGACAAAGAAAATATTTGGTTGTTCAGCGAAAATGTCTCTCTATAAAATATCTAAAAACAGGATTTGAACTAGAAACGTCATTTGATTAGAGAGCCAAATAGAATTCGAGAGCGAGAATGGGAATCTAGAAGGGGCAAACAAACGTAAGTTCAAATTATTCTGCAAAATATTCGAGTAGTCGATAGAGACGTACCAGACAAAGAAATTGAGATAGGCTGATGACCTTTACGACCATACATCCTCTTGGTAACGCTTGGCTGATTTAAGATCCTTGACCCATTTATCAGCAGCCACTTGTTCCATCTTGCCAACCTCTGCAGCCAAGGTAGCCAGCATCTTGTTCACATCAGCAGCCATATTCTTAGCATCACTAGAAATTCAAAAGATGTTTTAGCATTGGCGTTGTGAGAAAACAAGTAAACAAAAAGAAGAGTTGAAATGACCCAGAATGTGTTCTACTCACCCACAAACATAAACATAACCACGTTTAGCACTCAACATATCCCACAACTCTGCCTTATATTCACTCATCTTGTTCTGTACATAGACTTTCGGTGCCCCCTTAACTCGTGAAAAGGCCGTAATCAATTTAAAGTTCGTCTTGCCAGACTTTTCAATCTCTTCAAATTCTTGTCGGTACAAGAAATCTTTATCCGGGTGTCGACATCCATAAAAGAGCCAAGTGGGTCCCACATCTTTACCATTCTCGGAATCTATTAGACGATCATGGACGAAACCTCGGAATGGTGCTACTCCTGTTCCTGGGCCAATCATTATGACGGGGACTCGTGAGTCCCGTGGTAACCTGAATGTAGAGGTACGGATATACAGGGGGACATGTACAGGTGGTAGTATGGTTGATTCAGTGCAGCTTTTGCCGGTTTCTTGGATTCGTTGCAACCATGATGTTGCTGATCCTTCCTTGATGACGACGGATGAAGACGTGTCTTCGGCGGCAGCAGCATGTGGCGAAGAAATGGCATATCGAACTACTACGGAAGTGACTCCAACTCGAGACGGTGACTTTTTGTTTGATGAGGATATGGAATAGTATCTGACTGCAGTCCTTGGTAATAATTCGGCCAATACGACAGCCAAGGGAACCTGTTACAAAGAAAAGGATGAGAACCAGCGGAAAAACTCAATTCATCGAGAGCAGAAGAGATAAAACAAACGGAGGACATTGCTGCTAATAAGCTTTGGAAAACACACCCTGACTGATGGGAACTCGATCAAAATCTCAGCCAATGTCTTTTGAGCTTTATCAATGACCACATTGTACTTTTCACGGTTGTCTGCAATCTCAAACAGAGCATTTCGCTCAGTTTCACTCTCAGCAAACTTGCCCAATATCTAACAATACAAAGTTTCATGGTTAGCAACTTTAAATAACAAACAATTCAAACCCATTCATCGTCACAGTCAAGCAAGAAAAAAGACATTCAGCGAACTTCGGGTTATGCTCATTGCTTTCTCACCTCAAAATAAAACTGCTTTGGCGAAGTCCTCAAATCCAAATAATACTTTAACGCAGCTCGTAGAGTACATGGCAATGGGAAGGGAGCTTTAGCCATTCCAGCAGTAGAATTCGCCGAATTTGGTTTCAAATTGACTACTTTGTCCAATTCAGCGTCCCCATTGATACCCAATACTTTGGCCAATTTCAAGACTTCTTCATCACTGTTCGCTGGGAAAACGCCAACGTGATCACCTGTTTCGTATTTGATTCCTGATCCTTCAATATCAAGTTCTAGATGGTAGCATTGTCGTTTGATGGAGACATCACCATCCTTGATGGTGGCTAATGCGGAATCTACGGATTTAGGCATCTTGTGGTTTGCGGGATCAAAGGAGAAGACATCGTCTACGTCTTTGTAGAGTGGACGACCGTTTACAAGACGACCATAGTATGGGTGTTTGATATCATAGGTAGTCCTCTTTGGCCTGGTTTGTTGAGGAGTGTGAGATCATCCTGCGGTGCCAACCAAAAGACGAAAGGTGAAAGTCATATGCCATTACTCACTTGACTTCAGAGTATTTGACTGGATCCTTAACACTTCCATTGGCATGACCATTAGCATGCCCGTTAGCGTCACCGTTAGCATGACCATTCGTTTCAGAATCAGCACTACCATTAGTGATTGCAGCTGGAGCCCATCGACGAGTAGCAGTGGCCGTAAGTTCACCCCAGTATATATGATCTGGTGAAAGACCTTCGGGTGCAGCGTCGACGGTAGCAATACCATATTCAGTTATTTCGAATAATGGGATGTGAGGATCTTCACGTTTGGTACCACTTCCACCACTACTTGTGACTCCAAAGAATTCAGCAATGGCTTCAAATGCTTTTGGTTTCCAGTTCAAAAAGTCTTCCTCGAGACTAGAATGGCACGAGATGTGTTTAAATAATAAGTCACGAAGGTTTAACAAACGTGTGATCAGTATAGCAAAAACACCCGTTTGCAGTCTGCATGTATTGACCACATACCTTCCATCATCATCGCCTTCACCACGTTCCCCAACCCTCGTAGCACCCCACCACTCAAACTTCAAATCCAATCGCCTCGCAGTAGCATTGAAATGCTCATACGTCTTATTCCCCAACCCAAACATGACATAACTCATATTAGGCAATTTCGGATCATCGCAAGTGGTATCCTCATCAACACCTAAATCCTCTCCTTTACCACGTCCTTCCAAAGCCCAATTATAGAATTCAACCGCATTATCAGTTGGCTCTCCTTCACCATATGTAGCCATGAAGAACCCTGTCAGCCATTTCTTGCCTTCCATCTCCAATTCATCCTTTGATGGTAGTTGGGAGAATTCTTCTGCATCGTATTCTTCGAGATCGCATACTATACAATTTATGCCGTATTCGGTTGTAGCTTCTTTTGCGACGCGGGTGGCGAGGTCTTCGGCGGTTCCTGTTTGTGAGCCATAGAAGAGGATGAATGTGTTTGGTGATTCTGCTCCTCGTAGTTCCTCGAGGAAGGATTTCTTTCCACTCTTCCTATTAAGGGAGTGTGGGATTAGGTCTGATGCATCGAGACGTTCATATGTTCATACTGAAGCATTGTGTGGGAAGTATGACTAAAATCATCCTTGAAATTCCCCCCACCACTCTCTCAAAACCAATTCAATATTGAAACATCCCAACGGAAAAGGATGCCATTGCAACAATCAAATCGGATGATTCCCAAATGACAATTCCAATACACATTGATCCCAAATGGACCTTTGGTTGATGATTGATTTGACAATACCAGCAACACACGTCACAAACACGTGGCGACCGAAATGGAATCGCGATGATAATAAATTTGGCAAGCAATGCAATTATTCACAATATAATGCATTAGCGACGATCACTTACTTTGCAGGGCCTTTACTCTTGTCGACTTCAGTGACAGACAGCTTTGCCGACGTTTTCGCAGTTGATTTGCTGCTACTTGACCATACGAGATAGGCTCCGGCTACAGCGACAACGACCCCGCCGAGTATGAGGAGGTCTTGCGTGTTCATGATGCTCTTCTTGGTGGCCGTCGTTGTTGATTCTGAATCACAGAGAATACCGAATCCTCCAAACTTTTGTTTAATGAATTTTCTTGATTGAGGAAGAGTTTGAGGGTTGCTTAAGAGCTACACCTTAGTTCGGACAAAGTTGAGGCCAAACCTTGCACTTTCACGATGTTCCTTTTTGGCTAAATGGTCGTGACCACACAAAAAAAAGAGTGGTCAATTATCTTCCACGAAATTGTGCCGCTTTTTTGGAACAGGACGTGTTTTCTGGCTGAACTTTGGACGAACGCGTTTCTATGTTTCTATCTATGCGACATATATAATTGCCTTATTTACATTTTACAGAGCCGTCAATGTTCTACAATCTTACTCTGCTCCCTTCTCTACATCAATTGCCCCAAACACATTACTGAACGCTTCATTCTTGAGTTGAAAGCCAGCATTCTTTTTCATTCTTTTACGTTCACGCTCTTGCTCTGCTTCTTCCTTTACTCGTTTAGATCTAGAGGTCGGTACGTGTAAGTGAGTGCACACCAAACAAGTCTCATGATCAAACTCATCAGAACACAACATCTCACGAGTAGCTATTCGCATCCAGCAACGGACTCAAATACGGTCTAATAGCCTTATTGGCTTCTGATGCAACTTTACGAAGTGCGGATATTGCATCCAGGTGTTTTGGGTGTGAGGGAGTGATGAGTGGTTCGACTTCTAGTATTTGATGTTCTGCATCCTTCATCAATTCCAAGAGCGCTTCTTGTTTCTGCGTCTGTTGTAATAGAGTTTGCTCTGGTGTCCTTTCTTCCTCTTCAATGGCCAGGCTTGCTAGTTCAATGTTTTGCATATACCTTGGGTTGCAAGAGTTGGAATCAGTATGTGTTGAGTAAACACACTCATACTTACACAGACTACCAATGACTGTTGACAAATCCATCAAATACTCACTGCTGCATAACATCCTCTAAAAAGTGACGTTTACAAGCAACTCGCAAGCAAATAAGAGCAATCTGTGCTGGCCAATGTGTAAAGTACAGATCCGTCAATGAAGAAGCCAAAACCAGGCGATGAGCTTCAGCATATGATTTCGATAGGTTTCCAAAGTGACTTGAATGAAGCATGGCTGGTGCTGTGGCTTGTATATACTCCTGTACAGGAATTATGATCAATGAGCAACCCATCGCAATTGACGTCTATACATATAACCCTACATGCAATTTGATATAAAACCCCTTCAATGGCCAGAATGGATGTCGAACACTCAATTCAAATCCGATTCCTTGCAAGATGCGTCCTTCGTAGTCGAGCAATTGTTCGGCTGAGGGTGCTGTTTTGCCTAGAGCGAGTAGGTATTCGTCACGAGCGATAGGTACATTTTCACATTTCAGAGCCAAGTATAAGCAGGTCGCCCTGTTGTGCGAGTCCAAGTTGAAATCAGCACTTTTTGTATGTAACGTCCGCACAATCCGTCAAGCTCTTACGGAAGTAGCTTCTGATCATGGTCGATCAACGAGTTGTATAGCGCCCATCGTTTGAGAAAGATGATCGCAGTGGCCTGTGATGTTGAACATGTCAGTACAACGACTGCATCAAACAACATTACACATATTAAGGCTTGCCTCGACGGTAAAGTCTACCCGGTCTGACCAATTCTTATTGGTTTCCTTGTTGAGGTTACGAAAGTGCTCACTAAAGTTGTGTGCTCCATGCTCGAAAAACTTGACGACATTGTGAATTTGCTGTGATGTGGGAGGAGATGGCAACTCATCAGCGGAAATAGAGTTCTTGTGTCTCTATTATGGTGAGAGTAAACATATTATATGTTAGTTTAAGTGATGATTTATTAAGCAAACGTCTAACATCATTGCACCTTACCAATTCATCTTTTAGCAACAATGTTACTCGCTCGACAGCTTGCAAGTGTGTATCTTGCCGGATCTGAAGTAACTCAGACGATGTCCTCCGCCAATGCCGATACTGGGTGGACTGCTCATACAGCTGCTTGTCCATTCTATTGATAGTTTGGGTGTTTGGATTGTGTGAAGTGCTGAGATATGTGAGTTACAAGCAGAATGTTTTGACAACTCGAATGATCACTAAATATTATTCATTGCAGATAGCATGACAGGGAATTTTTGTTGTCAGGGACACGTGATTTACGATATTGAAGTTTGTTGTGTCAAGGAGTGAAGCCAAGCTACGAGATCTATGGTCCATGGACATGCGCACGTTAGAGAGCTATCTATCAACGTTTACCTACTGTATCCATTATTGTCTGGAAGGAGAGAGTACAATGCATCACATGTCCGCATGCGAAGCACATCATCGAAACAAGGTATGTACGCCAACGAGGACTTCCGCATGGACGGTCTTGACTATAATACGATCATATGATTTATGGCCACATATCAGATACATTTCCTTTATTCAGACCAGGGCAAATTTACATAGATCTCCCACCGTTTTCGTTCCAGGCTTGTGTTGTGTCTTGTTTTTGGGAGTGGAAAAACATCGAAATTTCCATGTCATTTTTCAATAAAAGCGGAGCTCATCTTACAACAAATCGACTGCACCTGCTACCACTGGAGTGAATGAGCATCCAACATGTATCTGGGGGCTCTTCTTCTGCATCCACGAGGCCAAACCGTCGAAAACCACCCGTCTTCGGCAACAATTCAACGTCACTAAGAAAGGCATGCGAGAATTGTAGGAAACGAAAGGAGAAATGTGACTCCGTCAGACCATTTTGTACAAGTGAGTCCCTCTGTGGCTCACATTGATGCATCTCTCGTCGTCTTTTGATGCAAAATTAACATCAGCATTCAATTTTTTTGAAATAAAGTATAAGTTAGGCCGGTTTCGGCATATTTAAGCCCCTATAGCTAACCCCATTGCGATCTAGGATGTCTGGCCTTTGGTGAAGTCTGTGAATATAGTGGGCGCAAGCCCGGATCTGGTATAGGACGTGGAGCAAAAGCTTCTGCCTCTGCTTCGCCAACTTCGCCACGACACGAAACACCAACACCTAGCCCGGCCCTGTCGGCATCACCCACAACGACTCCAAGTCCTGTCAGAAGGAATTCATCGCAGTCTTACATACCGTTTCATCAACATCAACATTCCTCTGACAAACAATGGTTTATTTTGAAGGATGAGCCCATCCCACCAGAGTATCCATACAAGAGGGACCCATCGCCTGACGCTGTTGGTCGATCGGCTCTTGGAATAGCGGATCTCATTGATTTATTCTTCACTCACGGTATGTAGTGCGGTTTGAATTCTGTTTTGGTAGTACAATCTTGCAGTTTCCTAATTTGACAAATTGGGGTCGAGTTATGTCGGCTCACGCGGTATGTCTAACACCGCAGTTCATCCTGACGTTCCATATAACATACTACATTCTGTCGACTTTTGTGAGCCTTGGAAACCACATGCTCCTCTATTACTGGATGCAATGTGTGCTCTTGCGAAAGTCAGGTCGTCACAACCGCCTCCTCCCGGTCATCCTTCTTGGTATGCTTGGCTTACCTAAAACAACATTTGTTGAAAATAGTCACAGACGGCGCAAGTTGCGTTGCTTTGTCTGACGTGCTTGGGGCCCAATTATAGGCGAAGTGGGGACGAATACTTTATGAGAGCACAAGCAACCCTATCGCAGGCCCTTGAGGTGAACCTGACGTATGAAACGGTGCAAGGTTTATTGCTCTTGTGTATGTATGCTAGCATCAGTGATCGCCTGAATCTAGTATCCGAATACCTAGGTACCCGCGTTGTTATTGATGAAATGTCTTTGATCAAAGTCACTCATTCCACTATCAACTAGCAATGGCGGTACGGCTAGCTCAATTGCTAGGTCTAGACAAGGAACTGCCGATACCAGATATCGGTGATCAACGATTCTTGGTTGCCGAAGCAAAAAGACGGACTTGGTATGGTGTGGTGCTTTTGGACTTGTACCTGTCGTAAGTACATTTACCAGAAAAAAAAGAATGTCGATGTATCCGTATCTGTTTCCAGATAGCTAATCTTATTGTAGGTTTGTGCTCTTCCCAGGTCGGACACCGCAAATTCCCGACCATGTCAAGACCACTTTGGAACCTCCGGCTCCTGGTACGGTGTATGTGCAAGTCGCTCTCACAGCTGTACTAACGTTTCCGTCAACCAGAATTTATATGGGGATATGCCCATGGAGTCAACCCGACATTCATAAGTGATCAGTCCTGGAGACCAGCAGAAGCCCTACTAAGACTTGGATGTGTAGCACATCGCATAACACACCACTTTTATCATCTGTTTGGTCTCTCTCGAGCACCGAACGTGCCTTTACAATACCCAGAATTCTCTCCCATGCCATATCCACCAAATGCTGCATCTATACCCACCAATACTGGCAATACTAACAACACACAGCAGCTACCATCATTCGCAATTTTCCACCAAGTAACGCCACCAAATACGGCTGCGTCAGTTGCACCATCAAATGAACAGACACCATATTTTTTCGAGCTTGAAGGCCTCGACAGGGGACTCTTGCAGTGGTATTGGGACTTGCCGCAATGGGTACGAGACTCGGAGAAACGACAAGGAAGCTTTTCGTAAGTATGTTGTTTGGGCCTGTTTACATTGACATTTCCGTCACAACAGAAAAGCGACACTTTTGAACAAACACCAAAAAAGCGAAGCTCGTTTTCTTTTTTATGAACACCACCAACTTTTTCTCATCTATAAACACTATGTGTGTTTAGGTCTAGCCTGGAATCGTGTGACCCACCTACGGTACTCGCACCGTGTCTGTTGATAACCTTCCATGGACTCCGATGTGGTTTGCATGCTCCAGCGGTAGCTAAAGCTGTGCAAACACGAGAATCAACGTCATCTGTCGTTCCCACTGTGTCGTCACTTAAGGCAGCCGTGAATATTTTGGGCATATTGTTGGCTGAACGGCCAGGATATTCTGATGGTGCTTCTATCGTTACGCAGGTGTGTTTGACAATACAAAGAAACCCGTTTTTCGTTTACTCCTAACACCTTGTAATTACAAAATAGTTTGCCCTGTATCTGCTGGGTCTCAGTGCAGTAATCATCCGACGTCTCGCACCAGACTTGATTCAAGATTGTCCAGCTGAAACAATGGCACTCCGAGCACTAGATTCCATGACTCCTACCGTGCACAGTGCTGCGCATTGGAGTGATATGCTTCGAGATCTCATGTTGAGATTTCAGGCTGCAGGAGGAGGAAATCGTCAATTTGTAGGAGGTAATGGTAGTGTTGCTGCTGCAACGCTGCCGTTACCGATGCCACCGTCGTCGTCAATACCCGGGTCGAGTCTGCCACCCCTACAGCAGAGGTTTGAGCCGTTTAAATAGATAGGGTATATTTGGTGTAGTGTACAGGGTTGGAAGTTTGAAACGGAAATAGTAGCTGTAGTTGTGCTATGGTTTGTATTTCGTTTTGCTAACGGACTTTAAAGCAAAAAAAAGTCTAGTATCATCAGCATTTGTGATCTTGACAATTTGAGTTATCGATCTTTTGGAAAGCAGGTTCGCAATCTTGTTCTTTTCGCAGATTTCTGCTGTTGAGCTTAATGTCAGCCGCACCCTTCAGATACGTCCGCATTGATGCAGACAGATCTTTTCAATTACAGACGCCCTACGTGTAAAAAATCGTTATACTAACTGTGGACCAACCAACATCTCCCACACCGCGATTGGCTGTGTGTGTTCAACGTGTAAAAAAATCGTGATTAAAAGCAAGACCCGCAAAGCAAGCAATCCAACCATCAAAACCCACCAAAGAACAACTATCAACCTTCAAAGGCATGGCAGCATCAGCAGCACTACCAACCATTTTCGAGGACAAGACACCACACACGTTTTCGAACGGTGGTGGTCAAATCGTGTATGAAGACAGTGGCGAGACGGGAAACGACAAAGTCATTTTATGTCTCCCTGGAATCGGAGATATAAGGCAAAGTTACCGGTACGCACAATATGCGTTCTTTGTGTCTTGCTTTTGTGTACATCAAAACATGATTGTGACAATATTGGTCAAACTGTTAGATTCCTTGCACCAAAATTACGACAAGCTGGATACCGTGTGCTCGTTAGTGAGTTGCGAGCTAGTGGTGACTCGAAATCAGCTGGGTTTACGGATTTCAGGCCAGAGGATTCTGCGTCGTAAGTGTATTGCTCTCTGCACCACACCCCTTCTCTTACTTAATACATTCTTACTCGGCTTGCGTTTCTCTATAGTGACGCATTGGCTGTCCTGGCCGCAGCTGGCGTATCGCATGCAACCATTGTATGCAACTCGTTTACCGGTGCTTCCAGTTTTTATATTGCGGGTACTCATGCTGATAAGGTGGATGCGATCATATGTCTTGGTGGGATTGTGAGGGATCAGAGTGCTGGTATGTTAGCTGTTTCGAATGTCGTTTTTTGGTGCTTTGTGATAAAAGCAAGCCCTCACGACTCGTTTGGTTGTTAGACACATATTTCAGACCAATAAGTCACCTACTCTTCAACTCATTATGGGGAGCGTCTAGCTGGGTTGGTATGTTCGACGCTGTAGAAAAGAATCCTTACGAGCTGTGCAAACATTTTTTGTTTTTTTGCTAATTCCTGACGGCCTTTCATCCATAGGATACTGGAAGTCCCTATTCAAAAAGACTCCACCGTCAGACCTGGAAACACAAGCCAACGCCATCTTCCAAAACTTGAAAAAGGATGCAGGGCAGATTGCAGCGTTGGGCAAGATGGTGAGGGCGACAAAGAATAATTGTTTTGCGGTTGCGAGTAAGATTACCGGTATGTCTAGATTACTTCGCTTTGTGTTTGGATGGGGTCGCTCATGCTCACATATTTTGTTAATTTTAGCTCCAGTGTTGCTAGTGGTTGGCACAGCAGACCCCGATTTCGCGAATCCATTGAAAGAGATGGAAGATGTTTCTAAGTCGTTGACTTCGTCTCGGAAGGTTGAGATTAAGAGTATGGAAGGGCTAGGTAAAGAACCGTGTCTCGGGTTTAGTTGAGCTTTTTTTGATCGTCAATAACACTATATTTCAAAAAGGACATTACTGCCATGTAGAGGCTCCTGAAATAGTGGGAGAATTCATCCTCGGCTTCTTGAAAGACCTGCAGTAAAATTTATAAGGGCAATCATAATCCAATTCTTTTTGTGAAAGATTCGGAAGATCATCTGTTTTCAATATTTACCATGATTGTTTATTATTATTTACACCCAAAAAGAAGGACTCGTTCCCCATTTTGATACAACCCGTCTTACAACACCACACCAAACTCGCACCTCACATCTGCGCCTCATCAAGCGCCCGTTGCCTATTCCCCCTCTCATACTTCACATACAATGTCGTCCCAATACAAACTGACACGACGCTCGTCAGCAGTATTCGTAACCCGGGATACCACGTATTAACCAACCCTCTAGACCGTGCCCGTAAATCATATACCAATAAAGCGATAAAGCCACCCAATTGTGTAGCCAGTGTGTATTCGGGGAGCGTCATGAGCAACGACCCGAATGCGACGAGGGACGGCGCTGTTGAGAGGATGTAGCGGGATGTGTTTGATGGTGGGTTGCCATAGTTTGACATTGCGAGACCCCAGTGCACCGCGCCCATGAATGATAGGATGCATGCTCCTATAATCGGCGTAAGAGTGAGTTGGTTGTGGTGAACTGGAAATGTTCAGATGCTTGAATGCTTCAAACCTCAAAATGTCATACCGTACTGCCCCTGCACTTCAGCAAGCAGAGGACCAAGTTCCTGCATATAAACTCCTACTCCGGTTGTCGCCAGGTAGGGTATCAGTCCAGCATATCCAAGATACTTTGCAGCAGCTGGAGTCTGTTCCTTCTTGTCTGATGGGTTGTTGTCAACGACCAAGAATCGACGTGTAGATAATACGGATACTGGCTTTAAAATAGGCTGCCTTAGCGTGGTGACTGCGAGTCTAGTCAGTCTTAATGCTGCCATCCTTAGTTAAAGGGTCAAGTTGTTTGAATGGGCAAATGAAAAAGCGAGACGCTGCGACGTTCCATCTTAAAGTAGAACAAACAATCTCGCGTTTTAAAAAGCAAATTCCAGTTTTGGAAGCATTCTCCACGTCGGGATCTGACCACGTTCCCCAAATATGTACGAGGTGGTCGAGTCGAACCGTAATTTATGTTCCGTGCACAGTTTGCAGTAATTAGAACGACCTCCACCATCCCAAAAAAGGGCTCTTAATATAAATAATGTCACGTAGGATCTGCGACACATCTCTGACAAAATACGATATCGTCAAGGACGTGCTCAAATCTCGAAATTATGTTCAGTGTAAACCTGGTGCCGTTGACGCAAACTGGACTTTGCAGTGGATTGATACGAATGTATCTGTGGAGAGGATACTTGATATGACTGTTGGTCAAAAGATTAATCATTTTCCTGGAATGGAGTCCATTTGTGTGAGTCGTGGGGGGTTTTCATCAACACACATTTTGGATGCACTAGGTGTTTTATGTCTCTCAAGCACAATCTCATCTGCCGATATGATTTTAATCACATTTGTGAAGCAAGATCTGTCTCGTATTGTCTCTCAACCTCAAGCTCACAAGTTCCTTCTTCATTCTGTTAGAGAAAATCACGTCTCGCACGCAACCTCGCACGAATGCACCGCCTCTTCCCCGATGACTACTCCTTCACCCCACGCACATACCGCGTCCCATCAGATCTCGCATCTCTAACACTCGCAATCAAATCCAACACCACCAAAACCTTCATCGCCAAACCAGACGCAGGATGCCAGGGTAAAGGAATCCAACTCTTTTCAGACGAAGAAGGATTCAAACTCGCTATGGAACGTGCCAGTAGTTTCGTGTCGGCCAACATATCATTGGATGTGCCAGTGCCAAGAGGCCCTATACTCCCGAGTGAGGTTGTCGTGCAAGAGTATATTGCCAAACCGTGTTTGCTCGATGGCCACAAATTCGATCTGAGGGTGTATGCGCTCGTGCTGAGTGTGAATCCGTTGCTGATATATGTGCATAAGGATGGGCTTGCCAGGCTGGCAGCCAAGAAATACGTGCAGCCATCAAAGGAGAATTTCAGTCACGTCACGATGCACTTGACGAATTACGCAGTGAATAAAGACGACCCGACCTTTGTCGCCGCCTCAAAAGACGAGCTGGAAGGTGGCAAGAGGTCCATGTCGTCCGTCCTGGACTGGATACGCGAGCAAGATACAGACGCCAGCAGAGACGTATGGTCCCAAATCAAGAGTGTCATCGTCAAGACAATCGTAATCGCTCAACCTGCACTTGAAAAAACTATCGCAGCATGTCGCCAACGAATGGAAACATCCACAAAACAACACTCCTCCTCCCCATGTTTTGAAATCCTCGGCTTTGATATAATGCTAGACTCGAAACTCAAACCCTGGGTGCTTGAAGTAAACCACTCGCCATCATTCACGTGTGATTCGGAACTGGACACGAGAGTTAAATCTGCTGTTATTGGAGACACGCTTGATTTGCTGGACGTGCCGCTGCTTCGTCATGATTCTGGAACGGATTTATCAGCATCGTCGCCGAGTGCTTCTGGCTGGGAGGTCGCATATCCATCACACGATAAAGGAGTTTACGATACGTTTATATCTGCTGCGTCGAGTATACTGGGTAGTGATACGGAGCTGACAAAGTCAAGGAAGGCTTTTCGAGAGGCCAAGGAAATAGAACGGGTTGAGCAGGAAACAAAAGCTGCTCTCATACGGGAACGTGCGAAACTGTTAAGGGCAAGCTGTACATTGGGTGTTGCTCCAGCTAGGCTAGTCCCACTAGCACCTGTAGTTATTGTGAGAGAACCGCCTGTAAGGCAGGCTAGAGTTGCAATGAAGATGGCTTCGATTGATTTGGGTGATGCGTTCAAGTTTTGCTAAATAGTAGTTGAGGACAGCGTAGTGGACAATAATAATAGTAGCTTACAAAATAATTTGGCTTATAATTTTTGTCAATCGATATATTACTATACAATTAAAGTAAAACAAAAGACCATGCGAAAGAAACAAACCCCATATTTGTGTTGAGAAAAACATGCTACTTTATGATGTTGTGTTGTGTGTGTCTGTGTGAGTCATGAGTGAGTGCTTCCATTTAAGCGTATCTCCATTTCATTATCCCCCCACACTCGCCCCACATACCCACGTCTAATTATACGAAATCTTCAATACCACATCATACCACTACTCTTCAGACTCCAATCTCCCCACTTGAGCCTCTCTAATCTCATCCTGTTTACGTTGTTCTCGTGCTAGAGGGTGTATCTTGAATCCAAATATTCTTGGAACGTAGCGTTCAGTGGATTTCTGTGGGATGAGGTTTGGATAGACTTGTAGTAATAAATGTGGGAGAGATGTTCCAAAGTATGCACCGTCAATCATTGCGTGCCGCCGGTATGGGGGGTTGTAGACGTCTTCACAGCGTGGGCAGTATAACTATGTCAAAAGGATTGGTCGTTACAATCTATAGGTGAGAAAACATGAAGCAGTTGAGAACCACAAAATACCTTGACAGACTTTGTCCCTGGCAAATCCGACATGCCAACCGGCAAACTAGTCTGATTATGACACAGCACTCTAGGACACCTCCCAAACTCCCCCGTCCTAAACTTCTCAGCCATCTTTGCCAGCCCCCTAGCCGTAATTACATATCTGGCATGTATCAATCCATACAAGTGTCTAGCACTCTTTTCTACCTCGCTACGTAAATCTTCATCGATTTCCTCTTCGATTGAATCTGTAATCATATCGAAGGCCAGGTTGTAGTGGGATACTTCGGCATTGAGACCAGTGAGATTGAATCGATCTAGGATGTATTCTTCGTCCACCTCACAAAAGAATTCGTTGCCTTTTTGTTGCGAAAACCATTCGCTCCAGTCTGTGGAAGATTTTTTTTGAGGTTAGCTTCACATGTGGTTGATGTGGAGTTCATAATAGAGATAGGAGGTAGATGATGTGGTAGATAGCAGATCTGATACTGCCACACACATATAGCATGGATCTCACATACATTTGCCATATGACGAATCACTGCCTGAAGTGTTTTCGTTTTCGTCCAGATGGTCCATTGCGAGATCTTAAAGCATCCGATGTACGTCAATGCAAAGAAGGAGCAGCAGGAATCAAGTGCCTATTCATGTACCAAGCTATTCAAGTGACTCTCTCAGAAGACTAGCCCCAACATGCGAAGTTGAAGAGCTTTTGACCAAACGTCCTGCCAGGAGTATGATAGTTTGCATGAGGTAAGAACAGAACAACAAAGTAGAAGACGCGAGAAGAATCTGACGCATTTGGCATTTCATACGCGATTGGCACGTAAACAGTTGCGAACGAGGTGATGAATTGTTACCAAAAAACATCCTAGGCATTTAAGAGCCGCATAATCTACCGGCGATCGTTCTAAGAGGTCATCTACTACATTCACCAACCGCATCCTACTTCCTGTTAACCCTCTTCCGACTCTTACTCTTACTCTTATCAATTGATATAGCCCTTAAATCCGGCGTCGACACCAACTCAAAACTCTTCATCACTGGCGTCCCTCTAAACTTCTGTCTCAGCATACTCAATACAGCTCGTGTAGCTTTATCCTTGTCGTCCAGCTGTGGACATACTTCAAGCAACTGTTTGGCTAAATCCCAGTTGGCGTTGATTTCAGCCTCGTTACGGATGCGTTCGACTAGATTCCATACTGATTTGAAGTGGATTTGGGGCAGATAGTTGGGGACGTGTGGTCGGAAGGTTTTGGATTCTTTGAGTGTGATGAGGCCTTCTTGGAGTTCGTTAGCACTGGAAAATTTGTGTGAGTATAAAACGAGAGTACGTCCGTCTGATGCCAGAATTACGACGTTCTTTCACAACAACAGTTACATACCGAGCATAACCTTGAATCATCAACACAAAAGCCTGAAACATAGTCTCCCTTCCTCTTCCCTCCTTAACTCTAATCGCCTCCTTCTCAATCTTATCCAACACTCTCAAACTCAGCTTATCCTCTAGCACCTCATCCCACGCCATATACTGTTTCCACACATCCAAACGCTGCTCTTTGGACACTTTGGATGCTTTGGTAACGAGTCGAAGCATGGATTGGTATGTATACGAGCCAGGCGATATACCCCAGCGAGCGTATTCGGTGTTGTAGATGTCGAGAGCGTGCTCGGCGGATTTGCTATATGATGGTCGTTTGCAGAAGACACCGAGATAGGCGTCGAGGAGTGGGAGCGTGATGGGCATTGGGGTGTGTGGTGAGGCGGCGTTGGGATCTTGGGAGGATTCTGGCGTATTGGATAGTTGAAGATCGGTGCTAGAAGTGATAAAAAGGTGGTAATCCAAATCAGCATAACATCTTGTTTTTTGGCCCGAATGCAATCGCTGACATACCTCGACAAAACACCATCCTCATTCGTATCCGAGAGCGGCGATGCTGGCTCTTCAAGCAGATGTTTAACATAATTACTACTGCTGCTGCTGGTAGCCTCCGCAATATGCATATCAGCACCTTGTACGATGATGGGAGCTGGAGCTTGTGATGCAACCCACTGCCACATCTGTTTTGTATCTTCAAAACATGCGTTGGTATTCCATTCCGTACGACGGAATATGGGATATTCTGAATTGGTATCATCAAGTGGTGCTAGGGCTGTGGTTTCTGTATGGGAGTCAGTGGAGTTGGTATCAATGGTTTCACCTTCTTCATCTACAATGTCATTTAAGCCGTTCGAGTGGGTATCCGTTGATGATGAATTGTTATCTACAGAGTCAGATGCTGCTGCTTTGAGGAACTTGGCACCTGTAGCATTCCAAACCATTACACCTTGAGCAAAAGCATGCATCATACTAACTACACATGCCTCGTCAGGTCGATAAGCAGCATCTACAGCAGCTCTCGTAACCATATCATTCCATACAGATCGTGCTCGTCGTACATCACCATGCAGTGCAGCACCCTTTAGCAATATTTTATATGTAATGAGTTGTGGTATAAACCCTTCCACAATCATACGTTCTAATAACTCTAATGCTTGTGGCCAGTAATCAGCCCGTGATCCACACGCAGCGATGAGTGAATTAAAGGTATAGGCGTTTGGTCGTATTCCACGTTCAGTCATATCAGCTAATAAATCCAGCGCCCGTTCGGCGTCCTTGGTTTTCGAGCAAGCGTGAATCATTAACGAGTACGTGTATACATCCGGTGGAGCGACATTCATTCTCATATGCTCGTATGTCTTCCATGCTCGATCCATGTCCTTTGCACGTATACAGCCCTTGATAAGCGACGTGAATATCTCCTGTGTAGGCCCAATCTTATAATCCTTCATATACTCGTATACACCAAACGCCTCGGCCAATTTCCCACGATTTACATATGCGTTAATCAGAATTCCATATGCACGAACATCTGGCAGGTATCCTGCTTGTTCGGCCTTTACGATTTGGAGACGTGTGGCTTCGAGCATCCCGACTCGTGCATATGCTGATGCGAGATACAGGTGTGAATCTAGATCTGGTTTGAAACCTGCTTCTGATATGAGTTTGAAGGCTGCTTCAGCTTGCTTGACTCGTTTCTCAGATGCATTCCATCGTATGACCTTATTGAATTGATCTAGCGTCACAGGTGCGTTCTCCTCTTGTTCTGGATTCGTAGATGGTGCTGCGTCAGTGGCACTAGCTTCAGCATCGTAGAGGTGCAAGTTGAGTAGATCTGTTGAGATTTTGCTAACAAGCTGTGGCAGCGGGCCAGCCATAACAGATGATCGAACTGGTGCCTTTAATACACTATCTAGTAGATCTAATTCATCCTTGACTCCTGAAGATGATGATAGCTAATGGGTTGAAAGCTACGTCAATTTGATGTTTGGCTCATGAAAAAAAAAAGTTGATCCCAACCTGATTTGATCTACATTAAGGCCGAGATTAGTAAATGGATAGATCAATTCAGTACCAATAACACGAATAAATTCAACGCACATATCAGAATCCATGTTGTTCCTTTCTGAATTTCGACGATTTGCATTTGCGTAAAAACGAACTTGCTGATGACAGTGTCGAACTGGAGAGGTGGTTAGGTCCTGACCACGTATCAGGGCAGCTGCAATCCATAGTCTAGTGGCGGTCCAGATGCGGGCTTTACTACTAGTAGCGGCCATCTTAGCGTGACACTTGTGTTTATGGTTGAGGAATTGAATACGACCTCGTTACGTAGACAACAAAGGACATGAGCTGCCTATCTCCACTGATACTTGGAACTTTAATTTAAACGTGTTCTTCATGCCTATACGTAAAGGTTATCCCCAACATCAAAATGTTTGGATATTGAATTAACGTGAGGTACAAGACCTATTTTTTGGTAAGCCACGACACAACTGTTCCCTTCAAAATGTTTTTATGAACTCGTTTGCAATAACAATCGTTTCTATTCTTCATCTAGCTTTTGGTTGAACTTAGAACGTAGGCACTTAGCCGAAGGTGTCTACGACCAGATTGCCGAAAACACCCCTCTGGAACGTAAAACTAGACGGAAAGCATTCTGGATCATTTGGGGCTTGTCGAAGCGGCCCAACTCGTAACCAACCTTGGTGGTAGTAGTTAGCAACTTCGGACCTTTTCAATAGAATGTATGGTTCCAAGTTTGGAAATTAATGTTCCTGGCATTGACTCGACATTCTCTGTAGACATTCTTTAAATTGGTGGCCAAACTCCTACCGCCTGAAACCATCACAACTATCATTGACAATACAATTGACTTGACCCAAGATGACTAAACGGTCGAATTGTAGACGTCCATTCGCCATTAGATTTCCGACAGGCCCTCTGGTCTAAAGATGAATGGCATAAAGATATGTGTCATGCCTTGCAACACCACGAACACAAATGTAGTGACGAACGCAACCACATGGCAAGATCATACAATGTATGTATTCATCCTGACTGAATGGCCGCACTCGGTCTCAACTTAGGATTTAGAAGCAACATCTTCACGTGTCAAGGGTCTCACCATACGCATACGGTTGATCCGCTATCAGATCACGGGCTTAAAAGGAAACATTTATGTCTTAGACCAGGGGCAATTAGAGGATATCATGGTAAGTTGCAAACAGTTTGATTTTGATGATTTCTGCCAGCACCACTTTTAGAACCAACTCAAATCAACTTGCAACTAGTATCATTCTTTTATTAGATCTTGAAGGGACATGACCAGCCAGAGATCGATGTGGCCGTCTTCGAATCTCCCATCACACTAGAAGCAGGGCTTCTGAAACTAGATCGTCGGGAATTGAAGAGAATCATTGCAAAGATTGCCAGGAAAACGGCTCGTCTCCATCGTATTGGCTGTAGTATCATCAGTTAGATGGAATTGGATTGCTTGAGATATAATGAAGCTTCCGTATGTTACGAATTATTGGGCGACGCTATAAGTGCGGAAAAGTTGGCCACTAGACACCGCTGCAACTCGCAGCAGGCTTGGAAACTAAGTATAAAATGAAATACTATAAAAACGTATTTTCATTCATACTTTTGTACTTCCAGTCGGATATCAAGTTATAAAAAGTTCTATTACCCTACCTCTTGTGTTAACCATTGGTCCAAAAGCCTGTAACACGAAGCCTGCCTTGGAAAAATAGAATTGTGGATATATCTATTCGCTATTTTCACGATGGTTCATTCAACACAACGCGAGATATCACGTTATATTACGGTTCAATGCACCAACACGTCCAGCCCTGCCGTGAAGTTCCCAGTTCTTGGCCGTGTCAGAATCTAGACAGCTCGGAACTCGGAAATGTAATTATTTGATAATTAGCTGTGATTTGCCGTCCGTTATTCTGATTGTGGTTGTTGGACGCGTCACTGTTAGCCCTTCAAGCTCACACTCGACCATCTCGACGACACATCGTGATTCCGTCAGAAGATGGTGTCTCTACTTGAATTCCATCCACAGCTAGGCTTTGATTCAAAGCTGCTTGCCAACACGACGCTGCTACTTGTAATGCCTTTACTTAATTCAACTTGTTTTTGGATGTCAAAGCTTCCTTGATGTCCCTGATACTGACACCATTGTAAAATAGCCATCTTGCAATTCAATCGGAAACATTGGCCAGCTGTCTCTGGATCTGCTCATTTCGTCACTCAATGCTCAATTGGTTGGACATTTGGAGTCGCCCTTTGTTTTGCCTGTTGTTGGGAGCAATGCATTCAGTGACAAGGGTATCCATCCATTGACTACCTCATTTGAAGGTATGTCACTATTCTAATTAGATGTTGGTGGTGCTTCATCGTTTCTTATTGAATGCTAAAACAACGCACTTCGACATGATGCAACACTTGAACAAATAGTCTTCCAATCTCCCCAAACCCCAACAATAACCCTCCTCCAAATCCGCGGAACTATAATACCAAACCGATCACAACTATTCGCCTCATCAATCCACGCATGGGCTGAATCGATTCAAGTCGCTCGTGTCATTATCGTGTCTGGTGCAGACGCGACTGCACGTATAGATTCACAGATATCGAGGCCTGTTATTACGTTTTATACTCCTTTGTCGAATACCAGTACGATCAATAGTGTGTATGGCAAAGAGATGGATGTGATGCAGTGGACAAAGTTGGAGGAATTGACAGAGACTAATAGTGGTGGTGTTGGCCTAGTCAAGTTTCTGGTCAAAACGTTTGAGAAGCAGGATGCGGGGGGTATTCCATTGTTGTGCTTGTTGTGGTATACTGTTGAAGGAGGTGAGTGTGAAATTGTGACAGTGTTTGGGTTTTACTTTTCTTGGTGGTGATTTATTTGAACACGTAAAGAGATGTTCAAATTCTATGAAATCGCTCTCAGCAAAAAAACGCTCCATGACGGCCACCTCACACAGTTTTATGTTTTTTAAAGACAATATACCAGACTCTCAATATGTAGTATCAGGACTAAACCAACTCCTCAAATTAAGCATCAGTGACTACAAAATGCCTCCTTCGTGGAAGGGGTTGTTTGGTAATGCTCCACCATCATCATCCATCTTCTTGTAAAAAATCAGTATAGTAAATCATAAATATTCAAGCTCACAACCTCTTTTATTGTTTGCCTTCACGGAAAATGGAAGGAACGTTTGTATTGAATGAAGCTAATGGTGTCTGTATCGTAATTTCAAGGTTGTCTTCGAGTTTATTTTGGCCAATGGAACCAAAAAAAAAAACACTTACGGCCAAACAATCTATGCCGTCAGAAGGATGACAAGTGCATCAATTTCCTGAAATCCACTAGCCAGTGACCAATCGCATAAAGCTCGTTCTTTTCCACAAACGTCACCCGCACGTAGATTTTTGTTTGTGAGATTCGCTATGGATTCGACACCGAGTAGTTAGCAACCTTTGACCGCACAAATCATGCCATGGATGAAACACATACCAGTATCAGGTGTAATTACAGAATCATGTGTGAATTCCGTTCCAACAGTAGAGCATCGCTTGACGATATGAGGTCAGCGAATTTGAATTGGGAGGGATTCTATATTCAGCACCAAAAAGACGGGAGCCTCAAGGTGGAAAATGCCAGAGGGGACCACAACAAACATAATCACTCGATAAAGTCACCTTCTCCCTTGCCATTGTTTCAACTCGAAACTCCACCAACCGTCCTATCCAAATCAAAAGTGTCGTGTACTTGCGTCCATCTTCACGCTTCACGACCCTGTTTTAAATCACCCTTCCCTTCACCATCGTATTTCGTTCGCTTGCGTATGTGAACACACGCCTCTCCCACTACTCAGACCATTTACCCACCAACTCTCGTATCTGACCAAGAAATGCATCTGGAGATAACGTTTTGATTTGCAATGTGTCTGTGCCGAGGCCCGTTTGGTAGGCCGTCCTGTATTTTAGGGGATAAAAAATTTAAATAAATGTGTGAATTAATTCATTGGAATTCTCGATGAGCACGTCAAATTCGTTCTCGTCTAGACTAACGTATCCCATGACTGCGTGCTCTTCTTTTGCAGCAATCGTACCTGTCACGACCAGCATATCCTCTTTACAATTCAAACATTTCATTAGCTCCTCTTCGACATTTACAACCGTTCTACCATTCTCCTTGGTATATGTTTCCTTAATGGTACTTCATGGTACCGAATCCACGCCTCGACGTGTTTGTACGCCAATGTTTGAAAAAACTCTGTCTGGAAGACCAACAAAAACATAGAGACCAGAATGGTTGCTTGTATCACACCTTCCAGTCTCCTTCGAACTGACGACTGGACGACTGGTTTCAACTTCATAAAAAAAGTCATCATAATCGAGTTGGCCAATTTGTGTAAACTTGTGTCGTATTTTCTTGGAGAGTGTTGACTTGCATCGAAAACGATGCAAAAAATCCACAGCCCAATGCACTCAGTACGTGTCACTACGTCTTCCATGGGTCCGGTTACCAGAGTGTGTAGCAGGTTGATAATCAAGAATAAAGGGACGTATATATAAGCGTCCAGACGTTTCCGTCATATACACGTCCATCGGACATGTATAGTGGAATTGTGTGAATGATTTGAGACGTGAATTCAACAGCTTTCGCAGATGTTAGAGTACACATTCACGATGTGGTTTTGGTCCTTTCTTAGAAAGAGACATAAAAGCCCACAGTCAGAATCTCACCGCATGAAAATCTTACTCTTCCAATAAGGAATCTGTTTTGAGTGGCTCCACCATCATTATCCAGCATCTTGCAAAAGAACATTTCAACAATAAAAACCCCCAATGTCAAGTCACAAATTGTACAAGGTATATACAAACCTCTATTACCGTGGTGAGATGATTACAAAATTTGAACAAACCGAAACGTGCTTTACGTTACGACCCTGTCGAAAGCTCGTTCCGAATATGCTTACACCTCATATACTCTTCATGGGATTTGAAGAATGTAACGAATGCTTGTGTTATGTTCTGTCGTACCAGTGCCTTGCTTTCTTCCGGTGACTTGAATATTGGTGCTGCAAGTTGAGCTTGGAATGCTAAAATAATGAGAAGGCAGAAAAAAAGTCAACACATGTCCGTCGGGACGGTTTCACATCAACCACATCGATTTCCGCTTACCTTGACTACGACTCATAGCCACAGTAACGTCACCACGCGATCGTGTTACAGGCTCCTCTTCTCCATGAATAATCCCCTTACTACCACTCTCACCATCCTCACCCTTTACACCACCAAACAATGTCGGTCGCGACACAGACCCAGTCCTAGCTCTCATACCCTGCGATACTTTACTGGGCAAGTCCTTATTAATAGCATTGATAGCCCCGGTACTTGCTTTCACAGCACCAGCCGACTCGATTCCATTCCTTGATTTTAATTTACTTCGGTTTGCTGCATTGGCAGCAGCGGCTGCAGCAGCAACAGCCGCCGAATGATCAAGCCCATCATTCGACTGTGAATGTGATGCTCGTCGCTGTCTTGTTGCATTACCTAATGGTTTCATATGTGCGTTTGTTGCAGAAGACGAGTCCTTTGTGTTGTTTACGATACTCGAAGATGAGCGTCGTAACGTGCCTTCATCCATAGCTGTACCGGAACGATTGAATGCTTCGGTCGATGATATGGTTGGCATTGTTGTAAGACCTAGAGATCCATCGACTAGGTCCTTGTATCGTAACAGTAATGCCATCATGATTAGGTCAAAGAATTCTAATGACACAATCTAAAATCAAATATTAATTTGTTATGCGTGAGTATACGATGGCTCTTTGGGCTGCTTGTTGTGCAGGAGGGTTTTTCGTCACGAAGACATCTGAATGGATAATCTTTCCCTGGGCTCTCACCTCGTATTCAAGATTATAACTATCCCCATCATCAGTCGATATCGGAATCTTCTGACTAGCCTGCCTCAAGAATGCAGACATGAGAGCAATGCCTTCCTTCCCACATAAAATTTCATAATTCTGTGCAAAAATAGGTGTTAAGTGATAACTGTTGATTGAGACAAATAACCTCTCAAATACACTCACATTAATGGATAGCATCGCATCCCTCATCGTCATAGTTACATCACCCATCGAATTGGGCACAGAGTCTTTACGTGTTCGAGACAGGTTGCAATAGACTTTATACAAGGACTCTCGATATTTTGGTTCGTATTCCTACGAGTATACGAAAAAATCAGATAACGATACCGACAAAAAAATCAGAAGTCGCTATTGGAGCATGATCACGAATCACCTATTACCTGTGTCAGCTGCTGCAGAAACATTTCTCTCTTATCTGCCCTCCCAACACCAACAACAGCCGGAATACCAGTAAGCACACTACAGTTTGGCAAAACATCATCAACTAATAACCGATTGAGACTAGCAGCTGGTCCAGTTTCAAATGCTTCTGTTACTGGCTCTGAGCTGTTTCCATAAACCAGCCATGCGACTCTCAACAACAGTTCAATGAAATCTCGAAGGATGAAGGAAGCTGATGGTGTATGTGGATCCTACATGTCAGAAGCAGCGTTTGAGAAAAGTTTGATGAATGCAAAAAGTACGCAAGCAGTCAAAATACCGTGAAGAAGGGTGAAAACGCATCATTTCCTTGGAATCCTCTAGCCAATACACGATCTAGGTCAACTAGAAAAGTATACATGGTCAGTGTGGTGTGTGGATTTCGTCACTCAAATCGAACATTGAACAAAGAGAGACTGCACCTAATGTAACTCCCTTTGCAAGGAGTTTGCATTCTCTAAACAAGTGCCATAGTTGGACTCTTTCTAATCCACAAACGTCGTCTGCAGGTAGTGATTGTTTATCAGCAACCATGCATAGGCGATGATAGAGCTTCCTTAAAGTCGCTATATAAATTTGAACATGATCAATATATCGGTGGCAAACAAGGCGTCATGGGTACGTACCAGTATGGCGTGTAACCACCGAGTTGATCATCTTTGAATGCTGTTCTAATGATAGACCGTCATTTGCAGGTATCAAATCCGCAAATCTGAATTGGAATGGGCTCTCTATTCATAACCAAAAGCAAGTAATTGTTAGTCAAGTCCAATGAACCCACCATTCCCTGAACATGAATACGGTCATACACCTACCATTATTAAAGCTCGAGAAATCACCAACCATCCTATCCATTTCAAATGTACCCGTATACTTGCGTCCATCTTCAGAAGTAAATGTCCCACGACCGTGCTTCAAATTGTCTTTCCATTCACCATCGTATCTCGCACCACTAGCGTACGTGAAGACACCATTCCCACTACGCATACCGTTTACCCACCATCCTTCGTATCTGTTATGACCAGGGTATGTGTCTTGAGATGAGGTTTTGATGCGCCACGTGTATGCGCCGAGGCCGTTCGGTAGCCCGTCCTGTAGTCGGAAAGGTGGAATGAGTGTTAACTCATGCAAGCATGTATAACTGAGGCTCGCCGCCAGGAGCATTTTAAAAGTTTCAGATCGCGTTTTTTGGCTGTTGTAAGCACATTCACCTTCCATTCACCAACATATTCCTCGTTCCGATTCAACCATTTCATAGTCCCTCGTCCACATTTACACCCGTTACGCCATTCGCCTTCATATGAGTTTCCTGAATGGTATTTCATGGTACCGAACCCATGTCGTAGGCCGTTCTATTTTTTGAAGGAGCGTCTTAGGCAGAGCCAATACAAAACTAGAGCTCTGTGTGGTGAATGGCTGTTTCAGAACAAACCTTCCAGTCTCCTTCATACTGACATGTGTTTTCGTCATCATAAGACAAGACACCCTACGAAGAGTTAAATGGCTTCTGTAAAGTCTGTGTGTTTGGGTGTATGACCTGGGCGGAACACGTTGCAAAGAAATCGTTGAAGCCGTCCCATAAAACGATTGAATACGTACTTTTCCACTCCGTTTTCCATTAGTCCAGTTACCCGAGTATTTAGCAGGTCGATCATCAAAAGTAAGAGAACCCTTGCCGTGTCTGTAAGCGTCCTTGACATCACCGTCGTAAACACATCCACTGGGCCTGCATAGTGGAATTGTTTGAATGTATCGAGTTGTAAATGCAATATGCTTGGCTGTAATTCCATATGCATTGTAGAGTAGCAATTAATTACCATGTATATGTGCCTTTTCCAAGAATCTAGCAGAGTGATCAAATGTCAGGACACGGTACAGGAAAGGCTGGATCCAAATAATATTCCAAATTATACAACTTTTGCATCAATCTACATGCTACGCTTCACTTTCTATCGTACCTTTCCAGTGACGAAAGTGCCAGTGAATGCAGTTCCGTCCTTCCAAGTGTAGATGCCATCTCCATGTGGAAAGTTGTCCTTTAATCCACCCTCATAGTCCTGCCTCGTAGTAGTAGAACTACGTACTGACTCTATACTGTTAGACGCTTCCTTCACTTCTGCCAGCATCCTTGCCTGTTTTATGTGGTTTTCGAAAACGACGAAAATGTGGAAGAGCATAAAATAACAGTATCAACCACTAATTAATACCTGGATTTATGAGATTTGTACGCGTAAATACACGTGCTGGCCGTGTAGATCTACTCGGAACGATGCGGAACTGCCTTCTTCTTGCTTGTCATGCCAAAGTCATCTTGGGCGAATATTTCATGAACAGACACCAGCTATACGTAGAGAGACAGAAACGCAGATCCTTATTTCTTATCACTCACTGCCAATTTAGATCCCTACATTTTTATTCTACCCTGGTCTTGATACTGTTATATAATCCAAATGTTTGTTGATACTTGATCTAGACACGATGAGCACTGCTACTCCTTCTGCAAAGACTAAATCCGACGAATATCCCCTACCAGAAGGTATGACAGTCACTTGCTATATATCTGTGGTCATTGGGTCCGCATTCCATGCACACCACCAGTCATTTGACATTCCCATTGATCATCTACTCACTCTCACAATAGGCTGGCTAAAAGCTTTCTCGGACGAACACAAACGATACTACTTCATCCACAAACCAACTCGCTCGACCTCCTGGATTGACCCTCGTGAAGCAAATTGGAAACCAAAGTCATGGGAAGAATGTACCAAACCAGAAGACGTTCCCTACGGATGGGAAATCGCAACGGATCCACTAATTGGAACGTATTTTATCGACCACATAAACAAGCAGACATTGCTTGATGACCCACGTAGTGATAAACACAAACGACAGGTCGATGAGATAAAGTCGTTTGTAAAGAGTGGTGCTATTGATGCCGTGGAGAAGAATCTGACTAAGAAGCTGCAGCATTTGCAGATTGTCGAGGAGAACGTGTTGAAGAAGGAGGGGGATGGGGATGTCAGTGCGTCAGAGTTGGAGAATGGTAGGCAGAATATGCTGTAATTTGCTGATACGTGGCGGTCCTTTTTTTCTCGTTATGTCACCTCGAGTCAAGACCATTGACACTCCACTCCACATTAGCTGTAAGATTAAGAGCTGAAACAGAAGAACTGAAAACTGAAATGGAGGCGTTAAAAGCTGATATAGAATCAATGAAACGATTAGCAGAACGACTAGAAGAGACAGAGACATCCCAACTTGAAAGGCAACAGCAGATACAACGTGAAATTGAGACCGTACAGGCTGAACTTGCTAAAGAAGGTATGAACGTTTGCAGTGGGTGTACCGACAGTGTGACGCACATATTTCTGCGCCCAAGTCATTGGTTTTTTGGCTCAAGAGAAAATCTGACAATCTTAAAATCATAGTGGCTGCCAAAGAAGAACTACAAAAGGAACTCAAGACCATGCAACAAAAGTTTGATATACCTGAAGAGGCTCAAGCAGATTTTGGAACTTTCGACGATGACGTCTCTACAGTATCCTCTATCGAATCGTCACCAACAGAAAGCAGCATCAACAAGTACCTTCCATTATTTGATACTATACCAAGACGACGAACTGGTGATGAGGTGGCATCCGATTTCATATATCCGACTATTAAGGGTGAATCTGTTACGAGAGTTGAGCGTGAATTGACCTTGTTGACTTTAAAGGTAACAGCGATTGGCAGTATATATAGACCTCTTTTGCTCGGAACTTGTCCAAGCACTTTGTTTACATCTCGTCTCCTCCACTCAAAAAACAGAAAAAACTCAAGACAGAGAGAGATCTCGTCCAAGAACTAATTGACGTGAAAAAAATCGCCATTCAAGTTAATGACGAAACCTCCCTACACAGCAAACCGGAATGGATTGCACAAATAAATCAGTATGCTGCGAGATCCAAGACGATACGAGCAAAAATTAATAAGAAACGGGACAAGAATGTCGATGCGTTGACTTTCAGGGAGAAGATGCTGTTTTATACGACACAGGGTGTTGTTGATGGCGGTGGAGTTGAAGGTGGAGAGAATGGTGAGAATCAGCAACAAGGAGGTGAACGGTCGAGGAAGAGTAGTGCTGTACCGCCCGTATGAGATATAGTTTGGGTTGTAGTTGGTGCGAGACAGATTAATAGTGCAAATTAAAACAATGAATAATAATAACGTAAAGTGAAAACTTGATTGAGATTTCGTGAATGGAGTTAAGGTGTTATTAAACAAGCTGCCAAAAAACAATACCCCAAATCATCAGTCAAATTTTCAGAAAACTTTGTTTCGGAAAACACAACACTGTTAGGGTGAGGTATTCTTTTTCTAAATAGCTAGTATAAAATGGGATTCACTTGTATGTTTGAAGCCTTTGACGTACTATTCAACTGCTGCATTGAGGATTTTTTTAGTGTGTTCGAATATCTTGGCGTAACGAGCTGGCAGATGACCTTAGTCATCATGGGCGAAGACCGGCCTTTGTGGTTGATGGGTGCAACCGCCCCATCCTATTGGTAAGAGTTTCTTGAGGTGAAATGTGATGATACGTATGCCACTGCTGAAGCCACAACATGATTAAAGACGTATCCTGGGGGGTTTTTTTGGCTACATCCAATTGACTTGCTTTGTATCAAGCAGATGCGTAACGACAGCAGCACACATAGCATCATTTGGTCCAACCGAGAAGAGAGCTAGACCGTGTCTTTGCTAAGAGGAAGAAGACAGAAATTTAGCTACTTCGTTGTTTTCAATCTCAAAGTCCTCCAAAAAATGCTGATTGCCAGCTTGCATAATACATTGTCAAAAACACACAAGAAGTCTAAGTAAAATGCTCATCTTGTTATTAAAAAGGATCCCAAAAATGAAGAATATTACTAAACAAATCTATATTCTAGTGTTCCAGGCCACACATCGCAATAATTGCATTGTGTGCTCTTTTAAGATGTGTGTCTTACTATTACTGAACCAGGACGTGGAGGTATCCACTTGCTTGTTTGAGGCTCTTGATCTACTTCTCTGGATTGAATTTAAATACGAGGTCTTTGATTTTTTCGTATATTATGAATGTCACGATTGTATGGGGTCCTAACGAATTTGAAAGCGTGAGATGGTCGTTAGAGTGGAATAAATCTGTCACATAGTAAATGCTGCGAAATCGCAAACATGTAATGCATTCGTCAAATGGGCGGGCTTCTTTGCGCTACAAACCTAATCTAGCGAATGCAGGCACCCATCCTTTAAACAGAGCCATTGGACCTTCATTTTTTACAATCTTCACGAATGCGTCGGCCGTTGACTGAATTTGAGAAAGATCTTAGTTGGCATTTGTGTCGAGGCGGAGAAAATGACATAAGTAATTGACAATTACAAAGGAGAAGTCGTGTACCTTATACAATCCGGGTTTACCAGACATGACTCTGGTCTTGATAACATCTAAAATAAATTATTCGTTAAGACGAGCCCGCAAAATAGTCAAACAAGCTATTGAAGACGCAAAAAAGCTCCACATGCAAAAATTCATTCCCACTTCACAACATACCAATAGGAGACGTCACAGTCGTGGCAATCAGCCCAGCAAGCGTACTCGCCGTAAAATGCGTCACGATATTCTCCTTGAAATAAGGTGTAGCCAAGAGCCCTTGCTTTATAGCATCGTATGTAGCAACCTGTGAAGCAGTCATCAATACACCTCTCGTCACGTTAGGTCCTATACCCCTGAATAATCCTAACGGGCCTTCATCTTTGGCGATGCGGAATAGACCATCGATTGCGTTCTTGTAGTTTCGACGCTCGGCAGGTGGGAGACGACCATCGTTTTGCATCCGGACATTTGTGAGGTCTGCTGGGGAGCCTACTATTCCGCCTACGAAACCACCGGCTACGCCGGCCGTTAGCTGGGCAAGGAATGAGGAGTTGCCTATTGATGATGCATGAGTATACGGCAAAAACGGGTTTGTTCTGGAGCACCTATTACCTTTCTCGTCGGTACCCAGCATCGGCTTCAAGGTATCATATACGCCGAATCTTGCAGTACTAAAGCAACGAAGTTTGTAAGTTCAGGTCATTATTCGTTGAATGAGGTACTTGACTATGTGCGCTCTTACCTGTATGTAGCTTGACGTAACAAACTAGCGGTTAACCCAGCATATAGTGCTGTGAGTCCTTCTTGTTTGATTATTGTAGCCACCATTCTAACTAGTGATGCTTTGGTGGTTGATGTTTGTAATCGCACCTTCCTGCAACAAGTTGCGTTAGTTGACCGTTTTGTTATGACGATGATGCAGTTGCAAGTAAGGAGAGCAATACAGCTGTGGAAAGAGAGGTTCGCACTTTTTGCTGTACCTGAATACTTACATTGTGTCGAGTGGATGCGTAACTACAGCAGCACACGTAGCAGCTGCTCCTCCAACCCAAAAAGGAGCTTGTCTTGGCGTTTTCTAATACGTTGACGAGAGAGGATTCAGTTACTTTAATACTTTCGGGTTCAAATTCTCTCAAGATAAGCTGGTTGACAATCTGTCAAAATGATGGTTTGATGCATTTTGGATTTTGCTCACACAGAGCCGTCATTGAAGCTCCCCAACCCAAAAGCTTATCCGCAGCACCACCATATACACATATCCATCATATGCTACCCAATTTGAGGCTCATCACCTCAACAATCAACAATGGCAACCAAAAGAGCACAAAAATGCCCGCAAAGACGAAAACATCAAGACTCTACCTTGATAATGGGGGCAGGAGCAGCGACGATCGGCGTCACGGTGACAGGAGCTTGTATTGAAGCCATTGCGGTTGCTATCCTTTGGGCGATTGCTACAGAGAATGACGATTGTGACGAAATTGGAGCGAGCAAAAATTGAGTTCAAAAGTTTTCAGCAAGGAGAAACAGTTTGGAATTGGATGGAAGATAAGGCTGCACATGTGGAAATGAGTGTATTTCACGTTAGTGGACGCGCCATAAAGTCGTGACAACACCTTTACGTTCTGTCTTTGAATGTTGCACCAGCGATATGTGTTTCTTTTCAAAGAGTCTACCGGTTGTTTATGGAATTGTGGAATTGATCCAGAAGTAAATTGCATTGAGAGTAAGAATACGCGCTTTATGTATTGCTCTTCTTTGCCGTTCGTTGTGATCTTGCACGATTCACAATTCAACTGCCGCTCACTACGACGAGTTGCACAAGTGCCAAGCTCGAGTCTAATGAGACGTCCAACGCGATATTATTACAGGTGTATTCAGTTCATATACAGCGCGTTGCCCACAAACAGAACACGTCCTCCCTAGTTGTAACGTGATTTGTGCATAGAAAGAGGGAGACATTCGCTTCTAGATGTTGTAAGAGGACGAGACTCCATATAGACACTCATGGCAAGTAATCTCCATGCATTCACTCATATCCTCTTTAACTAACCTGATGATTCCTCTTGCACATGCATTCATAGTCCACCACCATTGTCCAGGAATTTCAACTCGTGCTAATAGGTGCTCATCGATGTGGAAAGACTGAACTCGTACGCAGCATAGACCCGGATTCCATATCTAGACCTACTCGCTCGGAATATGGTAATTGGACAACATTCGAGGACATCAACTTCAAGAATGTCTGGAAGTTTGGCCAGTACTCATACACATTATATCATATAGGACATGTGGTATACTCACTTACCTTTTCACTCAATGAAATCCCACATATCGTCACAATCACGGAAATGGATGAAGAAGCCATACAGCCGGATTCAACAAACTTCAAGTGGCCAGAGGTACAGACAGACATGTGCTTGCCGGGGATGTTACGATGAAGTGCTACCTGCGACTCATCCCATTACGAAAAGTCTCACCGTCCTTCTTTTTCTCTGCACAGGCCGTGACGAATGCACATGGAGTCCTCCTCTGCTACGACACTACAAACAGGATGACATTTATGACGATGCCTGAAATATTGGATGCCTTCGCTGAACACAAAGTGCCAATCGCTCTCGTAGGCTGTAAAGCTGAAGCGTCGAATCTACGTGATGTGGATGCCAAGCTGGGCTCAAAACTTGCACTCTTATTCGATTGTCAGTTTCGTGAGATATCTATGACTATGCCGGCTGCTACGAAGGAATTCTTTGGTGATTTCTTGAATGAGATATTGAGGAGAAGAGGTATTTGATTTGTTTGTGTGGAGCAAAAACAGGCGTCGTAGCCTATCATCCTATCATCCTACGCTTGGATGATAGCTTACATCTCTGCTCTTACACTTTATTACACTTTAGAAATCGTACAACAACGAAACGAATTACTGGGATCAAACAAGGATAAACTGGAAAGCAAATACGACTCATTAAGAATGCAACTACGACTATTAAGACAACAGAATCAAGCTGCTCTACTAGCTTCAACGGCAGCCGCAAACCCATCGAATAGTAATAACAATAATAGCAGTAGCAGTAGTAATACAGGTACTGGTAACACAACACCACCAAGATCACCAATACCAGACGAAACAGCCTCAACAACACCACCACCACTCCAAGTCCCAGTCAGACGAGAATCAACCATCGTCTACCCAATGCCGATAATGAGACACTCGTTCTCGTCACCTCCTCGTAAAACCACTTCACCGCCTACTTCACCCACTGCCACATCGTCACCCGCCATCAAACATGCTTCTGCACCTACCTTGCCTGTAGTACTCAGCAACGCCACTCGTAGTAGTGCTGTGGCACCAGAAACGCCAGAAATCAGACCAGTATCTATATCAACTTCGGATTCATTGGATGATGAATCGTCGAGTCGGGATGCATCGATTCTGGAACCTGTTGTTGAAGACGAGTCCACTCTGAAGAGTGCAGTCATTACTACTGATGATATCATGTGAGTGCTGATTTAGGCTTGTCACAAAAATGGCATATCATGAGTTGTCCTAACTTTACTTGTTTTTCTTAGGAATGCACCAGTAGATAGTGGCATTGATTCCATCTTGGACGACTATGCTGGTGAACAATCGAACCATACAACACCGCCTTCTGGTTCTGCTGTTACTGAAAATGAGAAACGAGATTCTGGTGGTGGTTCTGGGGCTGTGACCCCACCAAATGCCGAGTCGAGTGTTGTTAGGTTTGTTGAGGATATGTAGTCGACTTTCCGCCTGGTTTTTTGGCTGAGTTTCTTTCACGTTTGTTAGTAGTGCCAGGTCAACGTCATTGAGTTCAGCAAGAGGACCACATCTAGTGGCTCCAAATGGATTTACCATTGAAGAGTTGATCGATAGGTTGACCTCTCCAGAAGTGCATGGTGAGTTGTGTCACACGGAAAAGGATTTCTGTTGAAATACAGCGAATCACATGTTGAAGGTTTGGTTTCCCCTCGAGCTAACACAACGACTCATTCACCAACCAGACATGGAATTCACAAAAGTATTCCTCATGCTTTACCGTAAATTCCTCCGCCCATCCGAATTCCTAGACAAACTCATGGACCGATTCGACGCATTCGATAGTAAAGACGAAACAGTATATACTCGTGGGGCACCAATCCACCCAGTCCAACTACGAGTCTGCAATGTCCTCATCCACTGGTGTCAAGAATATTGGCCAGATTTCGCATCAGACAGAATGAGATTCACTCTCCACGTCTTTTTGGAAATCTGCTCTGTGCGCCCTGCTTTTGCTGCTGTGTGTCAAAAACTAGCTTCGCTAGCTTTTAGAGATCCACCCACACAAGCTGATCGAGAGGGCATGGATTGGGGACTTGTCGATATTGATGAGATGGAGAATGTGGTCACGTTAAAGACGAGTAGGGCTAATGGACTGAAGGCTGATAAAGCGTATTCGCAACGTAAACCGACTTTGGGTGGTATGACTGGAGTTGCTGCTTCATCATCGGATGCACACGGTGGTAAAGGACCAAGAGTAGGATCAGACGATTACAAGAGACTGAAATCGGAATCCACGTTATCACTGTCTTCTACGTCGTCTGGTGGATCAACTATAAGTAAAGAGCAGCAGAAGTTGTTGGATACTGCTAGATTGATTGAGGCGTCATTCTCACTGGGAGGGAAGGCGGCTTCTGGATTGGATGTCAGCGGTGGAGGAGATATACAGCATACATTCCTGAATGCGCCATTCCTGGATTTGGATAATGATGCTATTGCACAACAGTTGAATCTGTTGGAGTGGGAGACTTTCTCTAAGATCAAGGTATGCTCATCTTATGAGAGGGGGTTTTTCGTTCCTGGAAATTTCAAGCAAAACAAAACCGAGATTACGTTTCATCTATGGAGTAAGTCACTCACCAAACATTACATCTTCGTTATACTAGCCAAGAGATCTAGTACAACACATATGGAGCAAGAAACATAAAGGTCGTCATCCACCCACAATCACTGCCAGTATAGACCACTTCAACTTTATCTCGAAATGGGTCCAGACCAGAATCTTGTTGCAAAAGAAAATTAAGATGCGGGCCAAGACCATGATTAAATTTATGAAGATTGCTATGGTAGGTGCTCTCCGTCGCTTTGGCTTTAAAAGAAGGGCAAAACAATTCTACGGAAATGAAGCTCTACAGTCAAGGTGCTTGCATAGTCCAACTTTTGCTGATTCTTCCCAAATCTCTTTTTATTTACACAGGCCTTACGAAATGCAAACAACTTCAACAGTCTAATGGCAGTCTTGGCTGGTTTGAATTCAGCACCTATTGCTCGACTTCACAATACGAGAAAGCTACTAGTAGATCGAACAACTTTCCAAACATTCGAGGCTCTGGAGAAACTCATGTCGTCTGAGAAATCATTCTCTGCGTATCGGTTTGCCTTGAAGAGGAGTGAATTGCCTTGTATACCGTACTTGTGAGTTGTTGGGTCATGTCTGAAAAAGCAGTATTGGGAAGTGAAGTATTGATCCTATTTTCTCCTTCGTATGCTTGTAGGGGCCTATTCTTCAGAGACTTGTTATACATTGATGAGATGAACAAGGATAGGAGACCTGACGGGACTGTCAATTTGCCGAAATTTTTGTTGATGGGGGATACGATTATGATGATTCGGAACTTTCAGCAGAGGTATGAGTCCAGACTAGGTCGGATTCTTTTGTGACATCTCAGACTTACATTTTCATTTCTTGTTTTAAGGTCATATCAAGTGAGTAGAGATCCGTATATCACACGAGTCATTAGTGATACACCGCTCATGAATGATGATGTGAGTATTGGCCTTGGTTCCCTTGTCTCGTTTCGAGGTTCATGTCACTAACACGCCAAATCACTCCAAACTAGGATGCATACAACACGTCACTGGAAATGGAGCCTCGAGCTACATAAAAACATGCTTGTCTGGTTTAACGAATAAGAGTTTCTCTTGATGGGGACGACAACACCCATCTTGTACAGTCTGACAAAGAGGGTGTCTCTCCCTTTCGTCTGTCTTGTTTAATAATGTTATTTGACCGAAACCACCCACCATTTGCGAAAACCCGTTTGAACTGTGTGTAAGTATTTTTAGTAGAAGGCAAATAGTAAGATAGTATTAAGGATTTGTGGTAGGAATTTTTGTTTTACATCCTCATAAAAATCATTTATAAACCAAAAGAAATTGTTTCGTTGCGCATGGGACTGGTATGTGTGAATGCCACAACAAGTATTTTTTATGAGGATATATATTTATGCATATACAATGTTCCTCATCCAACTAGGAAAATCAGGAACGTCGCCTGGATTTGTACAGTTCTACAGCCGAATAGACCAACAAAAAAAACAAGAAGCTGCAAATAGTTTCAACATATATGTGTGAGGCAACCAACAAAATCCCTATTCTTGAAGTACATATAATACAACACCAACCACAGCGACACCCCCTCTGATTCTGAATCATTTGGCCTTCTTTTTCATAACAGCTCTCGTAGTAACTATATGAATAAACGTGAATATAAGCGTCAAAGCAACCAAAAGTATAGCAACTGGTATCCGTATCGCCCATTCTCGTGGCAGGAATAGTGATTGTGTTGGATGAGATGGATTTACGAATGGCTAGATTGATCGTGAGATTGCAGAAGAATGTAAGCATACGGTTTGACAAATGGTTGATGTTGATGGCAACCGAACAAGGTTCAATGAAAAGTACCATAATTAGAGCCCATGTCGTGTAATAAATAAAGACGAATAGGGCTACAAAGAGTAAGAGTCCTCCAACCAGTTGATCTGACACTGAAGCCTAGAAAATTCAATGTTTTGAGTCGATCTGATCATAGACGAGAAGCGAAGACAAAAGAGGAAATGAAGCAAACATATACCATTTTATGTTAGAAATTCATCCAAGCTGGCCCCTTTGCTCGCCACGGCTCCTTTGAGTAAAAGAAGTCTAGCCTGTTGTGACGCGCAGTTGAAACTTGCCAAATTAGCAGTCAAACACACGAAACTACCCAAATCACGCTCAATCTCTATAAACTGTGTTGGTGCTTTATGTTCTTGTCCTCCATTCCGTCCAGGCATTCCGTTTATTTCTCATATACACAACAAACTTTCGATATATCCAGCCCATATAATATACACGCGTTTTGCACCAGCAAACTACTATTTCTTCTTGCCCTTACTAGCACCAGACCCACCGGCTTTACTCTTTGAGGAGCCAGCTTTACCAAGACCCTTCGATAATGTGGTTTTACTAGCACCTTTACCAGTTCCTTTACCAGCAGCACTGCCTTTACCACTCTTTTGTTTAACCATCTTGTCAGCAGCTAAATCAGTAGCATCTTCATCCTCTGGACTGTCATCACTTCCTAATGTTACTCCTCCATCTGCTTCGTCACCACCATCTTCGTCATCTCCCGCGTCAACAAGATCTTCAAAGTCGGGTTGTGCTTCCTTGACTCGTTTCTTGGAGATGGGAATCTCAGCTGAGATTAATGCTGTTGGGTGGAGTCGTTTATTGTAGCTAAATGGATTGTTGAAAAGTCAATGAGAATGATTTCGGAAAAAGAAAGCAGAGTAGTGAGAGAGTAATAACCACAAGTGATCAGAAGTCTTACATTCTCGTAAAGGCTGACTTGGCTGAAGGATCAATAGATTTGAGCAGCTTGTCACCACCAATAGTTAAATCAAGAATGGTTTCCCAATCTTCCTTGTTCAGATAGTATTCGTCCATGACATCGATAACTTCATCAACACCATTCTAAGACAAAAAAAAGAATCTATCAGAAATGACAAATGTACTTCACTAGGCACTCATTCTTCGCCATACCGAACCATTATCCAGCAAGGGCTTGGTCAACCTTGGCACGAGAGCACCGAAATAAGACTGACGGATCTCCTTCTTGTCAGCAGAGACACGTGGTCTCATATGAATCTGCAACTCTTTCAATAATCTTGCATTCTTGGTTTGGGACGAGTTCTTACCCAACCATCTGTAAAAGAACAAATATTCGTTAGGGGACCCAAGAAAACCCGAGTACGAAACGCTTGAATGCCTACGAAGGAAACGAATATGAAGACCAACTGCCAGCAGCTTGAACAGCCTTCCCGTGTGTGAAAAACGCCGGTATAACACACGAATACACAGAATGAGCAGGCATTAAACTCCAATTCTGTCGTGAACGTATAGATGCACTAATGACATCTCCAAAGGCAATGGACTCGGCAGCCAGAGACATACAATCCATGGTTGCGCAGGCTCTATCATCAAAAGAGCTTCCGGCCATTTCGTTCACTAGGGCAGGCTCTTGTCGCAAGTAGTTTTCCTAAAAGGATAAAGAGTTACAATGTGTTTCTGATCGCCCACAGAAACCAGTGAGGGGAGGTGCCACAAGATCATTTGATCATATCATACCTGTACGAATAGCGGCAGCAAATCAAAGTCATTGTAATACAATTCAATCTTCTCTGGCACAGTCATACTACGGAATGCAGGACCGTGAAAATACTTGTCCATAACTTGCCATGGTCCCAAGACATAATTCTTCTCAGCACTAAATCACAAAATTGATTAAAGATTGATCAGCAAGACTTCGTTTCGCAACTAGGGCAGCCAAACCCAGCAAAACATCCGACTACAAGAAAGGATCTACACTCACAGAGTCTTGGTCTCATCATAACTCATGCTCTTATGGGACAATCTCCAAGTTTCCATTACGTTGAGAACTTGTCGAATATCACCATTGGTGCATTCCAATAACGACTTGAATGCATTTTGGTTGATGGACAGGCCTTCTGCCGTGGCAATGGCAGTAAGTCTCATCGTTGTTGGTCCATCCGCTGAAATCCTGGGGCAACCAGACAAATGGTTTAGACCTTCAATCTACTAACCTAGGTTACTGGCGATTCACAACTCACTTTCTAAATTTGAGATCCAAACAATAATTTGCCAAAGACTTGACCTTGGTCGATTGACGATCATTGCAAATGCAGACGATGGGAATCTATTCGAAAAATCAAAGTTAAAACAGCGATCTTGACTATTGGGACACACAACTTACATTCGTTGTCTTGATCAATTTGATGAGCTCTTGACTACCACCACGATCTCCACCAGACATTCCATCTACTTCGTCCATAATAATGAGTTGCTTTTGACGATTAGCCTGCTTGGACGCTCCTTTCTATGTGAATTGAATATTGATTTATATCATTTGTCCACTTTCCACGCGAATACTTCAAATACCAAACACAAGACTTACGCCCTTTCCATCGACAGTGAAGAAGTCGGTCATAGACTTGCCACCATCAGTCAACTCTGCCAGTAAATCCTAAAAATCTAGTGTTGTAAGCAAACCATGGCGAATTGTCGTTTGACCTTTTGTGCTCTTACGTGAATCTTCCTCTTGCTTCGGGTATCACTAGCATTGAATTCTAATGCTTCGTAGCCTTCCATGTTAGCAACGAGATGGGCAGCTGTGGTTTTACCTAGACCCGGAGGCCCAGACAACAACGCAGCCTTTGGTTCTTTGGCATTCTTAGTACTAGAATGCCAGTCTTTCAACCACTTGGCTAGTTTTTCGATGATGCCCTTGTTCCCGAGCACTTCAGAATATGATTTTGGCTTGTACTTGTCAGTCCATAATCCTGAAGGTGGTGGTCTACCAAGCGCGAAAAAAATCAACGACGGTAGAAGAAGTACATTCATTCGAACTCAACTTACGGTCGTGACACATTTCCTGATGCCGACGCAACAGGCGTCGAAGCTGCTTTCTGTGCTTCATTAACACTCTTGATAATCTCCTTTTCCTTCTTGATGGTAGCAGCAGATTTTTTCTTTTCAGGAGCACTACCATCCTTTCCAGGTCGAGTAGCAATCAACTCGAACAAACCATCCTCGTCAAGTATCTTGACTTTGAGCTCGGTTGCTTTTTTGGTCTTTGATTCGCCAGGCTCTTCACCGACGACCAAGTAGGTAGTTTTACCACTGACTGCTGATGTCACACGTGCACCATAACGTTCGACTAGTTGTTTGGCGTCATCTCGAGATATGGAGCTCAAATCTCCAGTAAATACAAATGTCAGGTTCTATATGATGTGTCTGTGAGCAATAGAGGTTTTTGTTTTTGCACTGCATTGGACATCTTCAACGCACTGAGATACCCACCAATAGACAATTCTCCGCACCCTCGGGTATGGGCTTTGATCCAGGTGCAGCAGGACCTTGAGCACGTCGATTTTGAATGGCCCAAAAGCTAAGAAAATAGATTAACGTCAGCAAAAAAAACGAAGTTGTGGGTAAAACAATCGACTCACTTAGCCTTCTTCTTTAGCTCCTTCTCCTCCTCATCTCCATCTTCATTATCTTCATCTTTTCCTTTACCCTTCTTGACAGATTCTTCCTTCTTGAGCGAATCTTCAGAGTTGACAACATTGTCCTTCTTGACAGCTGCTTCCTTTTTGGGAGATGCTACCTTCTTGAGAGGTGATTCAGCCTTGACCGAATCTACCTTCCTGACCGGAGATGCTTCAGCCGATGACGATGCACCAACCTGCTTATCAAGTGCTGCAGGATCTGGTTTCAACCACGGCAAAGGTCGTTTCGTTGCAGGTTTGGAATCAGCCACGGTGGCTGATTTGGAAGGACTAGATGGCAGCTTGCTACTATTACCAGCTTTAGATGGACTAGACGGTGCCTTTTGACTAGGAGGTGGACTAGATGGCAGTTTACTTTTAGCTAGTTTACTAGCGGGTTGTGAAGGTTCTTGGAAATCGTCATTGTCGTCAATGTCGTCCTTGACGGATGTAGATTGCGATTGAGATTTAGATTCGGCTTCCTTGAACATTTGTTCAATAGTCGCTTCGTCCAAGTCATCGTCTACAAAATCGTCTAAAGGTTTATCGGCTACAGGGGCTGGTTTTGGTTTGGGAGGTGCCTTCTTAACCAAAGTAGTATCGACCTGTTTGATTTCGGACTTTCCAAAGAAGGACGAAGTCGTTACTTCTTTAAGTGGGGGTGGTTCAACTTTTGGCTTCTTCACCACTAGAGCACTTTTAGATAAAGGAAAAGTGCGTCAGAAAACGCTTTAAATGACAAAAAACAACGATTCTCAGGAGATGCTTACGGAGCAGCTGTCGGTGGTTCATCGTCAGCTGGTCTCTTCTTCGGTCCCTTTGCAGCCTCTTTAGCAACCGGTTTCTTCGCTTCTTCAAAATCACTGTCATCATCTACGACGACTTTAGCGACCTTCTTCTTCTTTGATTTAGGCTTTTCAATGTCATCATCGTCATCGGAGGAGACAACAGCCTTTTTTGATTTCGAAGATCCAACAGATTTGCGCTTCTTCTTCTTGCGCCCACTATGAAATGTAGAGCTTCAGCAATTTGACATATTTCCAATGTAAAAGAATCGAATGAACGTATGCTTCAATGAGATCGTACTCGTCGCTGTCATCACTGTCGACGACTAGAATAGAAGTAAGAGTGTTAAAAGAACTGAACAAATTAGAAATGGATCATTTACTAACATACTTAATGGCTCGTCGTTCTTCTTCTTCTTGTTTGATTTTGGCTATATGCAGTACAATGAGCAAAACCAAGGTCCTCTCGAAACGTCAAATATCACTGCGCACACTCTACCTCGCTTTCCGTCATTTTAGTGCCATCACTCTTCGGAAAGAAATTAAAAATCGACTTTTGAGACTAAGTAGAATCATAAACCAAGTTAGAAAAGTCATAAAGCTCATAATGCAACAATTCAAAAGCACCCAACGATTTACAAGAATCTATACCATGATTTCGACCAAAATCAAGCTGGTCACGGCTCTAGATATGTTGAGATCGTCGAGGCCGATACGGTAATGGTGCTCCCGATGCTCCAAGCACGTTGCGTTTTCCTGGCTCGACAAGTGACTTGAGCGAAATGGATTGTTGGAATTTGACCACAGAGCTCACGACAGCCAGAAACCGAAACAGACGTGAACTGCAATGATTTGGAGCAAATGGCGCCAGAAACCTCAGGAAACACGTCGACACGTCATTGCGTGAAGGATCCGTCTATTTTTTGGTCCAATACATTCGACGCACTACAAGTTTTCATTCTTGATTATATAATTGACTGCTTCAAGTACGTCATGAACAACTGCACTGGCATTGTGGTTGTTTCCGTGTTCTTCACTTGACCAAACGCCTAAAAAACAAGTAACCGCGTTGACGATCAGCTCACAAACTCATCAAACCACGAGAGCGACACACGTTTCAACTTGCGTATTATCGTACCTGTCTCCACCAAGATGGAGTGCCACCCCATCATATTGGCACCAGCAATATCGCTAGCTGGGTTGTCGCCAATACCGTAGTACACCATTGGCTTCTTGCCAAGGCTTTCCATCACCATTTTAGCATGCTCGTAAGCTGGAAGATACGGTTTTCCAAACGAAGAGTGGATCAGATCAGTCTTGGTCAACTCCTAATGAAGTCGACAAAGAAGTATTTCAAGGGTTAAAAACGAGGGGGATGACAAACCAATACACCTGTCTTGCACCTCGAGTAAAAACCTCGATTTGTTACCTTATAGATCATCTTTAGTGTCATGGCGAATGCACCTTGAGAAAGTCGATCAGGTCCCCATTTGTTTGAAAATACAAAGTCTAGATGTTGAATTGAGTTGAGGAGGAGCACCCATTGTCCAAAGCTTGACTGCAGGTCGGCGGACGTACCTGGATTGGCAAAGTAGACTGGTATTTGCTGAGTGAAATCACTGGCAGATTGCCATGTCCCAAGCACACCATGCTTTGATCGTAAGATATCAACAATGAGTTGAATATCTCGTCCCCAGTCTTGTGAGTCATGAGCAACAAACTATCCAAACAATCACATAGAAGGTGTGTTAATGCCAAAGCCTGGCTGATCCTGGTCCGCTCCCCACAAACGACCATTTTACAACAAACGATTTGAGCCTACCACTGCACCAATACACTCCTTCGAGAAATCGATCGAACCATGAACTTCTTGAATTTGTCTGAATGGGTATATAGACTTATTCCATCGCATAATGTCATCGGAAAGAACGACACGATTGAAGCCATAGTGATGAGCGACATCTTTGATTTCATCGGGGCCGATCCACAGTACGAGATCATCTTGATATCGGGAAGCTAGTCGCTTCATCGGAGTGTGAGCCATGATGACTTGATCGCCTGAAATCTAGGTTGGATTCCGTACAAGTACAGTTAGAAAGATGTCAAAACGGCATTGCAAACGATGAGTACATATATACGTGCTAAGACAGGTTTGATGAAAGAGATAAAACATACCTCAAATCCAAGTTTCTTTGACACCTTTTTCGCTTTTTCTTCTTCAGTGACTCCTCCTCCATTGGTGAGAAGGACAAAGGGAATTTCAAGGTTCTTTATCAAGTTCAAGGCTCTAAAAATTCAAACGACATCCATCAATCTATCTCGTTCAGAAACACCTTTGTCAAATGTAAAAACACATCAATGCAATGACTCACTCTTTCGCAGACTCGACCTTGGCTTTTCCATGTAAGAGTACTCTAGATGTCGAAATGATAGGTCAACATACACGGGTCCGAATGGGTAGATTCCATCACAATGTCCAACGCCCAAAGCCAACCAGTGTCGACCATCGCTCGTACCCATCTATATCAAAAACGACTCCAACATGATGAGCATGGTTTCCTGGATGGCTTGTAATTCTAGATTGTAGGAAAGAGAAGGTTGAGAACTGAAAGGTCAGCAGTTGCAATCCGTAGTTGTACACATCTGAAGTGTGTTGGGTTGGTGACAAATACGATACTAGCAAATGAAAAGGATCAAATTAGTTCAATATCTTGAAATGATGGATGAGAACGACTATCCCTCGTTTCCTTCGGATTCGTACCTCACAGATCCTGCTTTTGAGGTAATCCAAAACATGTCAACACAGCAAATGCCGCAACGAGATACAAGAGGACTATCATCTAGGACTATTGACTTCAAAACGCTGGAAAGCTGATTGATCTCGAATCTCCAATTAATTCTGGAAGTTGTATGCTGTCACAAGTAATTGTTGCAGGTACCCTGTTTGCAAGTCTTTGACAGGTTTTTTGTGTTGGGTATTCCCGGTATGACTTTGACATCTGTCAGGATCCCACTTATTGCTCCTACGAACTAAAAAACTTTAATCGAATGACGCAAAGAAACGCGTGTTATCATGGCTTTAGGGTATACCTAATTATTCTCGTGCAATGTACAGAGTTATAACCTCCTTTTACAAATTCTCGGTTTTTATGATAAAGTGGACGGCTTCGAGTACATCATGAACCACCGTAGTAGCATTGTGATCATGTCCATGTTGTTCAGCATTCCAAACTCCTGAAAGTACAAAGCAGTGTCAATGTCAGAGTTCAAGTCCCACCATTAGTATGAAATGTAATTCTCATTTTCTTCCTACCTGTCTTGACCAAGATTGAATGCCATCCCATCATGTTGGCACCAGCAATGTCACTAGCTGGATTATCTCCAATAGCGTAGTATGTCATTGGTTTCTTTCCTAGTGTCTCCATGACTTTCGTGCAGTACTCTAATTGAAACGCCCAAAAGAATCAATCGTTAGTTTTCGGTTATTGGATCAAACGTAAATAGCACGGATTATAATATAATTGCAGGATGTGTACCATAGGCTGTAGGATTCGGTTTTCCATAGGTAGTGTGGACCAAATCAGTCTTGGTCAGCTCCTAATGAAGTTTGAGAGTATGTGAGTACATGGCAAAAGACCGTTCATGGAATAAGATTATCTTCGTATGCATCTCAACCACAGCGTGACATGTTACCTTGTAGAGCACCTTTAATGTGATTGCGAATGCACCTTGAGCAAATCGAGGGATATTCCACTTTCCAGAAAAGATAAAGTCTAACGATGATAGCTTTTAAAACATACTAAAAATCGAGACTTCATCCAGAAGTTGAGTTTTACCTGGGTTGGAGAAAAAGATTGGTATTTCTTGAATGAAATCACTTCGAGATTGTAGAGTTCCAATAACACCATCCTTTGACCGTAAGATATCAATGATGAGTTGGGAATCTCGTCCCCAGTCGTACGAGTCATGAGCAACGAACTATGAAAACAATCAACAAGGTGATTAAAGTAATGCATGTAGCTGCGTTCGTGACACAGACAAAACCAAACTAGAGCACAACTGGAATATCTTACCACCGCAGCAAAACTCTCTTTTGCAAAATCAATAGAACTGTTGACCTCTTGATGCACTTCTTTGAAAGGCCATGTAGCATTGTTCCATCTCAAAATGTCCTCGGGAACCACCACACGATTGAAGCCATAGTTTTGAGCGACGTCTTTGACTGAATCTGGACCAACCCATAAGACGAGATCGTTTTGATATCTTGAAGCCAATGCTCTGAAGGGAGTGTGAGACAAGATGACTTGGTCGCCCGAAATCTATAGAGTTAATCATTCAATACATCAAATAGAAGAAATCATTCAATACATCAAATAGAAGACTTGTCATGCAGTTACGAGTCCAAACACCAGTGCGGATTCATAATCATGCGAAAATGCAGTCATAACACAGCAAATTCATTACCTCAACTCCAAGTACTTTTGACACTTGTTCTGCTTTTTGAGATTCAAGCATAGACCCTCCATTAGTAAGAAGCACAAAAGGAATTTCATGCTTCTTTATCAAAGACATGGCTCTAAAGCAATTGGAGTATACATGAAGTAATCCATAATTCTGACAAACGCCAGTGTCATCCAGCGATACGAAACAGTCGCATCAACATTTGTCAAATCAATGTCGTACTCTTTGGCAGACTCCAGCTTGTCCTTGCCTCTAAGAAGGACGCCATCTATATCAAACACTACTCCGACATGTTGTGCATGTCCTCTTGGTGTACTTATAAATCTAGATAGTGGCAAAAACGAAGTTGAAAACTTTTGTAGAGGTCGACAGCTCCTGACAAACATGATGGCAATCGAACTAGCAAAGAAATTGGAATATAATCAGATTGATGGTTTGAAGCGTGGAAGTGCGATATCTCCCTTCTTGACGTAAATGGGTTGTTCTTACCTCACGAATCTTGCTGTTGGTGAGGTAATCCAAAACACGCTGTTAAGAAGGACGCAACTAGATACAACAGTAACATGATGCAAAACTTTGAGCTGGAACGAATTAAGAAATTAAATGATGAGCGTTTTTTGAGAGTGGTAGGTGATCAGATGAGATGCACCACGGGATTTTGACAGCTGTCAACGTCATTGACAGCTGTCAAAATCGCAAAAATTCTCCGCCAAACAAAGTCTACTTGATATGAATATGTGACAAGGTGGCCGGATTTTCAAATACATGAAACTATTCGCGTTTTTTCAGAACGCCTATCGACGACAACCTTCAGCAGCAGCACGACCAGCGACGTCATAGTCCATATCAACCAATTCAGCACGAATATATGCCATCGCTACTGGGTCTTCATCAGCTACAGCCAATGATGGTAAGCCGGCATTCGTCTTGCTAGCGCGACTACGAGGCGAGAGGTGAGACTCGTATCCAGATATTCCAGTACAATCCTAGCCATGTTCTCGCCGGCCATGACGTCCCTATGATAGTACATGTGGCAGTTGCGACAATACAGGGATCTTATTAAGATCATTTCGATATAACTATCACACCCACGACGTGGACACCTTTTAGAGGTGAAGTACTCATCCACACCCGCTCGTGAATACCCCAGTGGCTTCACCCTCTTGATGAGACGCTTCAAGAAGCTGGTATGTTGTGACTTTTTACTCTTGAATGCCCAAACCAATCGAGATAATGACAGGACGATCACTAGATATTTTATGAGTGATATTGCCATCGACCGTTTGAAGCAGAGCCTGTACAATACGGTCAAACTCTCCAGTAGACGCCTGCCTGACATTCCATGACTCTTGCGATACCTTCTCGATGCATAAAATTCTCGAGAGTGATCATAACTGTTACCAATTCTTATACAGTAGTCGATCCAGTTCTCATTGGCAGCCGTTCTATTTTAGAAACCTACTTAGCTTAATACTCCACTTCTGCATTTCATCTCGTTTCCAGCCACCAATATCGACCTCTTCATCACCATTATCATAGTGTACTTCGTCATCGCCATACGGTTCGGCATCTGGACAACCACAGACGCATCTGGAGGAGTTGCCTCTTGATCTTACAAAGCACCTCCAACTCTGACGTTGACTCATTCTCTATCGTTTGAATATCTGCCGTTGAGTTTCGCAGATGTTCCAATACGTGCTTTTCTAGCAAATCAAGCTTTCCAATGACTTGATTATAAAAATCCTTTTCCATATCCAGCGAGAGCATGTCTATGGCAGATGTCAGAGTATGATGCGGGAATTCTAGAGTTGGAAGTACATCGTGAAGAAGTTCGGAATTAGCCTCACTACTGCTCTATCTCGACTTTGCCTCATATTTTCTCTATCAACGACAGCACTAGCTCCTTCTCCATGTCTAAACAAGACATTAAAAGCTAGCTTGAAGTCTCTTGTTGTGCCCATCCCTTTACAATACTCTCGAAGCAGAAGAGCACCGTCGTAATTAACGGGCATTGTGGCTACCAGCTCTTGCAATGCTCTGCAATTAGTTTTGATGCCGACTCCTTTAATGTTGGCTTTGTAGTCGTTTCCACTTATGACTGCCAAAAGACACCATGCAGCTTCTGGCAGTTTGACTTTCTCGAGGATGTGCTCTCGGCGTTACATGTAAAACATCCTTTTCTTGACGTGCATTGCAAGAAGTCGATTGTTTTGCTGAAAGACCATATCCGAATCTCCAGAAACGACGATATCATCATCTATTGACAAAAAATGCATGAATTAGAGGAGTTTGGGTCGAGCTGCCCGATTGTACTATCAATATATATTCGGAGCATAGTATGGGTTTATTGGTTCAAGAGCCCAAAGTTCTATCGACCGTATTGCCCTCCTACAGTTTACACAACCTTACTACTTTGACACCATCTCAATACACACATACTTCATACCACCCGACATCGCGGCAGCAGCTTCAATTCCCTCATGAATGCGTTTCAACGGATACGCATCCGACACAAACAAAGATAAGTCCACTATTCCAACATTTATCAGTTTAATCAGATCCTGCATCTGTTGTGGAGTAAACATGTACTGCCCACGGATCTCAAGATTGTTTCTCATAAGGTTGCCGTAATTGATGGAGAGTGGAGCAGACAACGAGCCGTCCAATACCATGATACCACCTTTTCGCAAGACTGATAGACATGCTGTTGTGCTTTCAGGTGTTGCGTTGCCTACTACATCTAAAACCAGATCGGCTCCTACATATCATTTTGTGAATACAGTGAGCTGCAATCATTGTATTCCTAAACTTGGGAGGCACGACTTGAACTGCATTCTCTCACCTCTGTTGGCGTCAGTTTTGCCACAAGCTTCCTGTAATCTCTTGATCACTTCGTCTTGCTCACCAACGGATGATACAGTAACGAGACGTTCGGGAAGTGGGAACTTTTTAGCAAGTTCTTTAAGCGCTTCCAAAGCTGACTGTTTCCGTCCGACACAAATAACTTTTCCAGCACCTAGAGCCATTGCCAGAACCACGGCGCCAGATCTAATTGATCAATGCGGGGTTAGATTTGAAGAAGTTCTTTGCATGGTGTCTCGTTTAGACAACGCAACAGCACTACTGACCCGATTGTTCCCGTTGCACCATTAATGAGAACCGTACATCCAGCTTTGAAGTCCCCTCTCATCAGTGCTGCATAAGCGAGAAGCACAAATCTAATTGAAGACCATGTAGGAGCCGAATACAATTTGGAAGCTTGCGGACCGAGTTTTGCAACATGTGTCGCAGGAAACAGACAGTATTCAGCGAAACTGCCTTCCTTCCATAGCTTTTGGATTCTCTCACCAATAGGACCAGATGCTAAAAAGAACATTGTGTCAGCGAATATAAAACCTACCATTGTACCAAAGTTAAAGAGCTGATCAGCTTACTAGACGTCCATCCAACAAGAATATTATCGTACTGTGTATCCCTCGTAACATTTCCAACCTGCGGATCCATCAAAACCCAGTCACCGACCTCAAGATCAAAAACACCTTCCCCAATTTGTGCAATTTCACCAATACCGCCCGTTCCCAAGATAGTTGGCAATTGTGGCATTGAAAAGTTCCTTTCTCCAGAGATAACTTCTCCCGTATAGCTCCATGTATGGACTGCCAGTACCTTGATTACAAGAGCTCCAGGTCTGACTGTTGGGACTGGAACTGTGTCGAGATGCAGTTTACGATCATCGTGGACGCGTGCAGCGAGCATTTCTGTTTGTTGGACCATGGCTGGTTGTCGGTTTTGGAATTCAAAATTGAGGATGGGTTTGCTTCTGGTTTCGTTAGCTTGTTTGAAGTGACGTTTCACAATCTTTGCAAGTAGATTCCCAAGAAGTCAAGTCATGAAGCATTTTTGGAGAGAAGGAGTTACGCTTGTAGTGACATATTTTGAGCATTGAGAGTATTGATCAATTTCTTCTCATTCCTATTGTTTCATTGCTCAGGTCGAAGAAATACACGTTGACGCAATGTACCTTGCTGAATGTATCTTTGCTCATTATGAGCATTTTTGGATCAAAAAGGTTTCCAGACCATGCTATTGATGCATTTATGTCTATTTAGATTCACTTTCTTTGAACATTTCGTTTTCAATAATGGGCCTTTACAAAAACTCAACATATCACTACGCCCACCACTCCACTATCCTACTTTGACACCATCTCAACAACAACATACTTCAGCCCACCCGACAACGAAGCAGCCTCAACAGCCTCATGCACCCTCTTCAAAGGATATGGATCAGCGATAAACATACTCAAATCAACAATGCCAACATCAACGAGTTTAATCAACTGCTCCATTTCCTTTGGGGTGAACATATATTGACCCTTGATTTGCCACTGGTTTCTCAACAAGTTGCGGTAGTCGATATGGAGGGGAGCAGATAGCGAGCCTTCCATTACCATGATGCCGTTCTTGCGGAGTACGTTTATGCATGCTGCTGTGCTTTCGGGGGTAGCGTTGCCGACTACGTCGAGGACCATGTCGGCGCCTATTGACGTTATAGCAGTGAGTTAACGGTGTTTTGACATTGCAGCCAAATGGGCAAATTGTACCTCTGTTTTCGTCAGTTTTACCACAAGCCAGCTTCAATCGTTTAATAACTTCAGCTGGTTCACCAACAGACGAGACCGTAACGAGACGTTCAGGCTTTGGGAACTTTTTGGCAAGTTCTTTGAGTGTATCCAGAGCTTCTTGCTTTCTTCCAACACATACGACTTTTCCAGCGCCTAAAGCCATGGCTAGTACCGCAGCACCACATCTAAAAATGCAAGAATCAGTTTTGTTAGATACCGCAAAAAAAAGGGGTTGTGCAAAGAATTCATACCCAATGGTTCCAGTTGCACCATTAATGAGAACCGTATCACCAGCCTTGAAATCACCCCTCATCAATCCAGAGTAAGAGAGCACGACAAAACCAATGGAAGCCCATGTAGTGACTGGATACAGTTTCGGTGCATTTTTACCAAGTCTTGTAACATGAGTTGCCGGAAACAAGCAGTATTCAGCCAAGCTGCCTTCCTTCCAAACCTGCTGGATTCGTTTGCCCAATGGGCCAGAGGCTAAAGAAAGGACGATAAGGAATAAATGATCTTTGAAACAACGGCGAGATAACCAAACATCAACAAGTTCAAGCCAGCATGAGACACCTACTGGACGTCCACCCAATAAGAATATTATCATACTGCGTATCCCTCGTAATATTCCCAACCTGAGGATCCATCAAAACCCAATCTCCAACCTCCAGATCAAAGACGCCCTCCCCAATTTCAGCGATCTGGCCAATACCTCCCGTTCCCAAGATCGTAGGGAATTCCGGCAGCATATATTGTCTGGTCCCATCAATAACCTCTCCAGTATAACTCCACGTATGTACAGCCAGCGGTTTGATGATCAGAGCTCCGGCTCGAATGGTTGGAATTGGCACTGTGTCGAGGTAGAGTTTGCGATCTGCGTGAACACGGGCAGCGAGCATTTCTGATTGGACCATAGCGATGATTTAATACTTGATTTTAGGAGGAAGAAAAGGTTTTTGTTGGAAAGATGGACCCCACGTCACATCGCATTTTATAGGCTTTTTTTTGGTCAAGGGTCACACAAATATGGTGGATTTTTGTTACGCCGTGCGGGATTTCAAAGGTTGTGTCCAGGCTTGCAGGATGCGCACGTGACGCTCGTTTATGCTCAGCAATTGCAACGTCTGCTAGTTCTTGCGAGGTTCGGGGTAGTTCCGGATCGTATCCAAGGATGACAGATTTCAAGTTGCGAACTTGCATGTTATGTATTGCAAATAAACAGTTGTCTTGCTAACGTAACGACAATTTCAATCAATAATAGAGTTTTCCGTAACGACCTTGGTGCGATCTGTGTGATTTTCATCTCGTCCAAGCTTGTATTGACTCGGATCTTGACAATTTTGCTGGGATCTGCGACCAGATTAGCGAGAGTCCACCATTTCCACCATCTTACTCTACAATTCGACTACTTTGTACCTGTCAAACAGTGTTCTGAATAAACCTGTATGAACCTCTCCAACAGCTGCTTTTGATTCCTCAAAAGCGGACACGTGGACGCAAAGTCATTTCACAAGTATATCTCGGCTTCCTCTAAAGCCTTTGATGCTTGATTATTGGCCAATGACACTCCATCAATGATTTTGAATATCACTCTTGACACTTTATTGCTACTTGTGCTTCTCTTTTACAACAATCGATTTTAGGAAAGACCACACTCCTTACTTTGACACCATCTCGACACAAACGTACTTCATCCCACCCGACAACACAGCAACAGCTTCAACAGCTTCATGCACCCTCTTCAGCGGATACGAATCAGCAACAAAGAAGCTCAAATCCACAATCCCAGTGTCAACCAGTTTAATCAGCTCCTTCATTTGTTTCGGTGTAAACATATACTGGCCTTTGATTTGCCACTGGTTTCGCATGACCACGTTGTAATTGATTGGAAGTGGAGCAGACAGTGTGCCTTCCATTACGTATATACCGTCCGTTCGCAAGACAGAGAGGCATGCCAATGTGCTTTCGGGGGTTGCGTTACCGACTACGTCTAGGACCATATCGCCACCTGTTGTGTTTGATGGTAAAACGAGTCGTGTTAGAGTTTGTGATGGAGAAAGAAGGTGACAACAGTTACAAATCGTGGAACCAATATTGCCCTCCATACCTCTATTCGCATCCGTCTTCCCACAAGCTTGTTGTAATCTCTTGGCAACTTCCTCCGGTTCGCCAACCGATGACACCGTAACTAGACGTTCAGGATTTGGGAACTTTTTCGCAAGTTCCTTTAGTGAGTCCAGAGCTTCTTGTTTCCGACCAACACAAACGACTTTGCCAGCACCGAGAGCCATGGCAAGTACTACAGCACCACTTCTATGTAATCGAGCAACTGTGTTACGATGCGAAAAAAAAACAAACAGCAATCCCAGAATTATGCTTAACTAACCCGATGGATCCAGTCGCACCATTAATGAGCACAGTATTACCGGCCTTCAAGTCACCCCTCATGAGCCCAGAGTACGAGATGATAAGAAATCCAATAGAAGCCCATGTAGTGACTGGATACATTTTTGGTGCGTTTGCACCGAGTTTCGTTACATGTGTGGTAGGAAACAAGGAAACAAGCAGTATTCAGCGAGAGTGCCTTCCTTCCATAATTTCTGGATTCGTTGCCCTATTGGACCGGAAGCTGGAAGCCAAAATGCGAGTGAGCGAGTGGAGCGGAAGATCGTTGAAAAGGCAAGAAAAACAGGGTTGTTTCAAGACACAAAGTCGACTTACTCGACGACCACCCAATATTGATATTATCATACTGTGTATCCCGCGTAATATTCCCAACTTGTGGATCCATCAGAACCCAATCTCCAATCTCTAGATCAAATGCACCTTCCCCAATCTCAGCAATTTGACCAATACCTCCCGTTCCCAAGATTGTAGGAAACTCTGGCAACGCATAGTTCCTGCTCCCATCAATAACACCACTAGTATAGCTCCATGTGTGCACCGCCAACGGCTTGATGATCAGAGCCCCAGGTCGAAGGGTTGGTACTGGCACCATGTCGAGGTGTAGTTTGCGATCGGCGTGTACGCGGGCAGCGAGCATTTCTGTTTGTTGGACCATTTTGGATTGTGATCTTGAAAGTCGAAATTTGAAATATTGGAGAGATTTGAAAAGCTTAGTCCTCTTTTTATCAGCTCTTTTTCTGTGTGTGGGATTAAGTTTGGCCGTGCGGGATCAGAGAGAGTTTGTAAGAGGAGGCCTGGCGAATACCGCATTTCCATGTCTTGTTTATCCTTGTGGTCGTTCACATCTTCCATACTTCCTAATCAAGGCTATGATTCCTGATAGGTCGAATGTCTGCAAAAAAACCAAGGCTATCGTGCAAACACAGGGTTGCCTTCCTAACGTTGTGGCGCATTTGTCTTGATACTGCCATGTAATGTCACAGAGTGTTGTCAGCAAGTTGATTTGAAAGTCCTCAAAGCTTGTATTGAGTTTGATCTTAACAATTCGTGATGCTGGCGATGAAACGTCCTGAGCAGCATGTTCCCATGTTATTACATAATTGGCCTAATCAGAACGCGAAATATAGTCAGTAAATACCCGCATACTGCTGTTGTAACTTTCTCGTTCACATTCTTCTCCTTCTTCCTTAAAACCAACACAAACTTCAACAAGGAGAGATGGACGACGTACTGGACAAGCTTCGAGTCCTACGATACATACGTGATTTCTGCCGCCCATTGCAAGTACCCACTAGATCTATCCACATTTAACAAGGAACTAACGCACCTTCCGTTTCTCCAAATTTAGTGGATTTCCACCATTAAATCGCTACTACTTTCTAGTCCCAGCAGCAGACACTGAAGAACAATTCGTATATTTCGGATCTCTAGCTGCATTCCTAATCAAGAAATGCGGCAAGAGTTTCGAAGCTCCTGATCGAGATGATGATCCTAATGCTGTTTCGGCAGACATTTGTATGTGACTATACTACGGTGGTTTAAGGACGAAGGAATTCAAATGTTGATGATATTTTTTTACTAGTATCGAAATGCCGAGAACTGGACTTTGATCTCGACATTCCACCAGCACGCTTAAAACAAGGATATGGAGATGGTGTTACTGCTGTCTTGCAAGCGTTGGTGGATCGGGCGCTTGCTAAAGCCAGGTTCACGTTTCAGAAGCCTGTGTACAAGAATGAAGAGTAAGATATACTCATACGTCAATCGCTCGTCCAATTTTTTTGCTGAATTTGCATTTTGCTATAGTTATGCAGAAGAAGCTGAAGTCGACGCAGGTGCAGAAGTCACAGTCGAAGCTGCAGAGGAAGCAGCTACTCGTGATGACGACGATGATAAGGCTGTCATGATTGATAGTATGTCGCCGACACGAGAGGAAGCGGACAAGTGAGCATGTTGACTTTCACACGTACAAGTTAATTTTTCGCTATTGTCCTAAACAAAATATCTCATTGTACGATAGATCATCTCTCGTGGTATCAACCGTAGACTCTGCGGAATGGAGACTGGAAGTAGAACGAGTCACGCCCATGCTGAAGGTTCAGATTGCTAATGATAATAAGGATTGGCGTGTTCACTTGGAGCATATGGAGCAATATAAGCTGGTATGGGATTTCGTAAAGTGCTACATTGATGCAATGCATTGCAGGATTCGACTGACTTTTCTTTTGGCTCCTAGAGTATAGGAACAGGCATGACGGAAGCATCTTCGCAACTAGGAAAGATTCAAACAGAAGTTGACAAGACTCTGGAAAAGATTTCGAGTCGTGAGAAGTATATTAATGGACAATTTGAACCGCAGGTAAGATACATTCGATGCGCAAAGTCTTTTATCTGAAGCTAAAAAAGCAAGCGTTAGGCGTCTGAATGTCGAGCTCTACGTGAGCGACTATCAGAACTAAAGCACCAATACCAAGGATCTAGTGGCGCAGTAACTCAATTGACGAGTGAGTTGTTGCGAGTGTCGGAAGAGTTGGATTCAGTCAAGGTAACTGTCGTTGTGTGAAAACCGACATATATTGACTGAAGGATCTGTTTTTATTTGCCTAATATATGCAACCTCGTATGTAGTCACGAATGGATGATCTTGGGTCAGGAATGACGGATTCCAAACCACTTGCAAGCATTAACCAGGCAGTGACGCGACTCAAGTCAGAGATGCAGAATATGGACGTAAGAACTGGTTATCTGGAGCACTCCTTGTGGCATCGGAACAGTAGTGGTGTTGGTGGACTTGTTAGGTAATATATGGCATAGGAAGGTAGTGGAGTTGGTGATCTTGTTATTTAATAGATCATCAGACGTCATGGTGGTTTTGTTTTTCTTCATGTTGTTTTTAGTTTTCCTTTGCAAAACGCGTAATCCTAGTTCAAGAACACAGTGAATACGCGTAGATATGCTTGAGCTAATGATTTCCTGCCTTGATGCTCCCTTCCTCTCCATGTTATCACGGTTTGATTGCTTTTGTTTGTTCAATCACATGGTCGCCCTTGTGGCACTCGAGTTACATCTCCCTCATCTCGCACCGCAAAGAACACTTACGAACTAGCAAAATAAAGGCACAGCCGTCCTTCTCACATCTATCTCACAAGGTCCAACTTCAAGAACTATCTCACCATGACCATCGTATGTCGTAAAGTTTGGCAGTTGACTGAACAAAACAATTCGCATGCCACCCTGAGCCGTCGTCCTAACCCAATGTTATGTAGATGTCAGGACTCGCTAGGAAGGCTTACGGAAACGCTCCATTGTAAGTTATCTCATATCATGCACTGTCTCTTTCCGGGTTGTCTTCTGCAAACCTCGTACATTGTTTTGATGTAACATGTGGGCATCATTTCAAAGCACACCCTAACCAGACATATTCCATATACAGATCTATATTGGTTGTCGCAGTTGCTGCGGGGGTCGGACTGGGTGGATACATGCTAGGTACGTTACAATTTATATGTGTTGTTGAATGCTTGCCAATGGAGGTGCTTTGCATCAATATTATTATCGTTACTAAGCAACGCTACCTTTCCGTTGCGATATAGGCAACAGCTTAACAAGAGACCCAACCATCGTCTACAGCAATAAACGAGAAAACCCTCATCCGTTCGCAAAATTGCCACAAACTACCAATATCAGTAAGTTGAAACCAGTCAATTTGAGATTTGAACTGCATTGTTAGTTGATAATGCCAAAGCATTGTGGCAAAGTGGCAAAGTATTGCAGTAGATCAATCCAGAATGTTGATCATATCTTGGTTTTGCAAATAGAATTGTATGCAGTAAATCAGAAATTCGAAGGACAAGCTGCCGAGGCTCGCAAACGTCCTGAATTCTAAGGGGATTAGATAATGGATGTGGGATGGGAACATTTTATAAATGATCAGAGATTCTAGTATCAGAGATTAAAGCATTTGCCAAAGAGGCATATATAAATAAAACGAGAATTGGTTATTGAAGAACGTCCAGTTCGCGTTTTTTTGTTTACGCTCTCGCTCGCCCTTGCTCCAAACATCAAACATCGCTTTCACTCAGAGCACACTCATCACTCCATCAACCAAACAAGATGGCACACGTATACTGTCTCCGGAACATAACAAGCAGCAAGGTCATCGTCTCCCCCTCCATGAACTTGACCGTACGGCCTCCTCATTGTCTACATTTTTTTCTCCCAAACATCAAAACTAACATCAACCCCACACGACAGAACTCGCTCCTCCAACAAATAGGCCAGCACCGCCAACAGCTCAAAATCCGTCCCGACCACTGGACACCCTTCGCCGTGCTCATCGGCTTACACAGAGCATCAACAGCAACATCCCTCATCAACTATCTCTCATCACCTCGCAAAACACCGTATGGGAAACAACGATCCCCGCTGCCGCACTATAACAAGGCTAAATCGATCCAGAGGCGAGACGTGGTTAAGGCGTGGGAGGTGCCGTATGCGGTAGAGCGCAAGACGAGGGACTTGGCCAAAGCGCTGGTGGATTTGCCAGAGATTTATGAGGATGTGCATGATTTGGGTGGTAAGGAGGAGGAGGGGATACCGTCGTTGAGGATTTATTGGGAGAGGACAGAGTATCGCTTTCTCAGCGAGCTGGTCTTCCCGGACTGGGTTGAACACGATGAATTGTTGTTGAACAGGGGCAGGTATATTAAAGGCATTCCTGAGATTAATGGGAGGGAGTCTCTGCAACAGCCGCAACAATAGCAAGCACAAGTGTATTGTGATGGTGGTGGGGGTTGCCAGACTCTTTTTATTGTAAATATGAAATAAAAAACCTCTATTTGCTATACAATTTGGCAAGAGTTTATGCAGATTGGATACAGCTATAATACGATTTATGTACAAATCAGATATGCCAAAGCATATATCGTTGCCTATCAGCTTCACTTTCAAACCTAGGCACGAAATTCACATTTCGAATCTCTGTAAATCCTTCAGAGACAGTCGGGGCCTGGTACCTGGAAGCATATGATGAGAATGCGATAGTGGGTAGTAGTTTTGCGACTCCTTTGCAGGCTCGAAAGACATTGTTGTGGCTACATAGTGCTGCTGATGACACGAAATGGAAGAGCCGGATGCGGATTGTGTCCGATATACTCCTAGCTAGGTCGATATATAGTTTGCGGGTTGCTATTTCTGCGTTAGTGTTGTCTAAGATTGGAGTTTGTGGTGAACGATTCAAGGCAAAAGAGGGCAAAATACTTCAAAATGCATACCAATCACACAAGATTTTCCTTCCAACAATGCTGCTTTAGCGACCGCTAGACATTTGCTTCTTGTTCTAGTGATGATTGAGAAAAATGTTACAACCACTTGTTTAGAATGCTACCACTACTTGTTTGGACAAAAAAATTTATTCAAAGTTATTCCGCAATTCACTCACTTGAGAGTGTCCTGATTCACATGTAGATGCCCAACACTCTGAAAATGTTTCTTATAAAAACTCGTCTTGCCACATGCAGGACTGCCGCAAAACAATACCAACTCCTGTTGTCCTCCGCTTCCATCAGCAATCTCTCCATCAGGTTCAACAGCAGGTACTTTCAAATCCACTAAGAGCTTCGGGTCGAATTCAAATGGTGGGAATATCGGTGGTGGATGCTTCATAAAGAAGGATTCGGGTACATGAAATTGGATTCCTAAGTTCATTGCGAATTTTAAGTCCGAGTCTGAGAAATCCTTTTTTGAGGATGTGGATGCGGGACGGCCTGCTGCGTCGCCAACAAAGAAGGAGAGTGTTTTATCGATTTCGGTGATGTTGTGGGTTTCGATAAAGTGCTATGTGAGATGATGATCGTATTAGGAGAAAAGAAGAGATTACGGATTGACGTCTATATGCACATGACCTTTCAACATACCTCCCAGCCTCCCAATAAGGGCTTGCGATAATAATCATAGTCCTGAGCTACGATTACTGTAAGTGGCACTTGAGCAGCTTTAGCAAAATGCGTGACTCGAGATTTGAACACAGCTTCCTTGGCCCCCTTCTTGTCTGCAGCATGCGATCCCTTTAGACGACAAAAAAAAGTAAGGTCATCAATACAATTATCTCGACTAGATATAATTTTTGACGATCTTTCCGTTATGCATCTGATCTTGAGCCGACATAACATCAGAACAGCATCCTAATAAATACCTGATTTGATATAATGACAATCGCGAATCCATTCTCATGAAGTTCTTGAAGCTTGGTAGGCACGGTAGCATGAAACAGTTTCCAATCATCGCCACCCTTTGGCCATACGTGTTTTCCCTAGACAATTTGAATACATTTGAGTCCGAGAAACAACCACTTTGCCATGGATCTGCTCGTAAAACGTTAGTTTTGAAATGTCGGCCTCACATTCACAGTCACCAACGTTGAATCAAAGTCGAATGCAGCTATTTTAGAGCCTGGTTTTGTGAGACCAAATTTTCCTATTAATAATGTGTCCTTCTTCCTCCATTGGACCTCGTTGGGGTCTGAAGCTTCAGCGACTGATTGGGTGCTGATGCTTGTTTTCTTGATAAAGAACGGATGCACTTTGGTAGGGGACTCTATCTTGGCTTTTTTAGATGCTGACTCGCTCGGAGCCTCTGAATCTGCCTTGTTCTTCATGGCGGGCGCACGATCTGCTATTTCAAAACGATGGAGCTGAAGACAAACGCTACAGGTTGATCGTAGGCCTGATCTTTCAGAGCTACTTCGGGCTCACAACGGGAGACGCCAACAAGCAAACACAAAACAGACATCAAGATGATCCTGTAAAAGCACGTTTATTGATTTATACATTTTTTCCTATAGATATTTTCTATCTTCGACTACGACGAGGGTCTTCATCATCATCTCTCTTGACTTCACGCTCAGCTTTTTGGAGTTTGATGGTTTTGCGTTGGCCTTCCATCAAATCCTTTCTCAACTGTTTTGTCACCGCCTTCAAGTGCATAAAGTTACAAAATCCACCTCGTGTGCATTCAGAGTTCTCATACTGCCGACAGCAAGCTATTAGATAGGATAAAAACGTACGGTGAATTTGTAACAGGGGAAATGTTTGTAAAGAAGCTAAAATGCAATGGGGATGTACATTACCTTCTCGAAAGTCAGTGACGGGAGATAATTCAGCGTATAGTGGTTTTCCAGCATAGAATCGGTTATTTAATGTTTCGACGGCTCGACCAGCATCTTCTTCCAACCTGTATCGTACATATACATCTAGTAGGTAGAGAAAGAGGTTAGCGGTAGTGGCGATGAGAGCCCGTATGTTATTCCACTAATTTGTATCCACTGTAGCCCCCTGTCCTATTGTACTTACTTCCAACAAGATGGTCACCAATATTGTCACAAACATTCATTTCTTCAATCTCTCCATATTTAGCGAGCTCGACGAAAAAGTCCTCAAAGAAGTTGTCAAAGTGTTCTTGCAGCTGCGAGTCGGACATCTGGCAGGCAGGTTCGTGTGCCGGGTTCAAATATACATTTGGGACCAAGATGGTCTGTGAAAAGAGAGGTTTGACATGCTTTCGGGAGCATCGATCCCCGTGTCTGCAAGCTCCAATCTTGAAGTAGAAGGAACAGTTGACCTTGTCCTTTTCTGTTCCGTAGATGCTTGCCAAATGGTCTTTTTTGTTGGCGAGAATGTAAATTGTTAGCTTCTGGGGCTCCGTACATGCAGTGACAAGTAAACGGACTTACCAGCCATGTCTTGTATATAGGAGCAATAGTACGATAAGGGTCTCTCTCTCCTCTTTGCTACGAACCTAGGTTCTCTCTATTGGATGTCGGAAATTTGTAGCAAACAAGCAAGACGAAGCTTCGAGCTCAATCTAGCAAAACTGAGAGGAAGAGAGGTGGTGGTAGGCAAACCATCTATTTATTCCCTGATATTTATACGTGTTTTATTATTGACTGACGCGTTCTCCTCTTCACAACTGTGCAGCAGGTTCATCATCAACTTGGAACCAAGCTGCCCAAACAATGGCAGACAATGAGACTGCGACTGGTATTGTTTTGCTTATTTATACAATTCTGCACACATGGTGTCTGACCTCGTAACTTTTTATGTTAGACGCGTCGAGTCAAAATCAAGACACATTCACCACTTTGGGATCTACTTTGAATGCACCTGCTTCTGCTAGTATAATGGTCTTAAACAGCTCAAGCCTCAACCTACGGCCACCCTCCGTAAATATTGTAGATACTTCCTCCAACACCATTACCACTACGGCAAGCAAGGACAATATCACGACTAGCACAACCACTTCAACGCCTCATATTGCCCCAATCCCACTACCACCGCTAGAAGGACTCGAAGAAAAAGATCAACAGGATACCGCATTCACAGCCGTAGAAGAGCAATTCCGTGAATTCCTGCCAACTTTACAAGACGATGATTCACTAGCCAAATTCCGTACCGAATACGAGAAACTGCATAGAGCTCTACTACGATCACGAGCACATTCACTTAAACTGTTTGGACAATATGAAGAGCTATCTCGTGAGAAGAATGCTAATATGGCCAGTACGCAGGAAGCTACACGTGCTGTTGCCCAGGATCAAGAGACTGCAAGGCAGTTACGAGTCCAGATTAAAAAGACAGAGGAATCTGTTGCTACGATACAGAAACGAGACGAAACTGTTAAGGAGGAGTTAAAGTCTCTGCAGAATGATGTATCAATGTTGGCAGCGTCCATCAAGAAGGGTGTTACTCTGAGTGTCATGCAGGAACGAACACTAGCTGAGCTAGCCCAGGTCAAAGAAACATCCGCCCGTGAATTAGAACATGAGATGGAAACCATTGTTGCACTACGAGCACAGATAGCCACCACCACCGAATCCATTCGTACTGCCGATGGCCAGAAACGAGCGCTAGAACAAGAGATATACTCATTACGTGAACGAAACTCTCAAAAGAAGTCTGATATTGATGCTGAAACACGGACGAAGGATCGTCTGGAACGTGATTTGAGAGAGTTGAGAGCAGTCGTATCCACCAAATCGTCTGAGATAAGGAATAAACAGGATGCTGTATTACGAGCCACAGATGATGTCGCCATACTAGAACAACAGATCAAGTCACAAAAAGTCATGGCTGAAAAGCTCGTCAAGGATCAAGAGACTCTAGCTGCTCGAACATTGAAACTCAAGGAAGAATGTGATGAGCAAGTCAACATTACCAATATTTTAGTACAAGAAAACGAATTCACGGCCAAAGAAGTACGAGCTAAAGAAATGGAACAATCAAAGAATCGTGGTGAAATGAAACGAGTCAATAAGCTTCGAGAAGCTCTTGTCAAGAGGAATCGATACCTAGAGACCCAAAAGACTCATGCCGAACAAGAACGTAAATCCGTCCGAGAGCTACATGACACGACAGTTGAACAATGTGAAGTCGTGAAAAAGGATACGGATGCTAGTAAGAAAATCATTGATGATCTCGTACGAGAACGAGACATTCTATATACAAGTCTTGGCAAAACTGTCGGCGAAGTACTTAAGACCAGTGCCCTCACAGCAAGCTACCATCAAACCCGTCATAATATTGAACTCGAAATCCAAAGATACCGTCGAGACTTGGCCTTCCAACAGAAGACGCTGAAGACATTGATTTCCGAACGAGATTCCCTGATTGCAGAAGCTGCCAAGCTCCATGAGGAAGCCTCCGTATGTCTACAAGAAATCCATACCAAGGAAGTCGAAACTGCCGAACATAAACGTAAAATGGGTCAAGCAAACACCAAACTTAAGCATCAACAAAACCTATACGAAGCAGTACAAAGTGAACGTAACCTCAACTCGAAACAGCTGCTTGACCTCCAAGCCGAAATTGCAGAGCTAAGACGTAAATTGAAACTGGCTAGTTTCCAAATCAATGGTCGTAAAGAAGAAATCAATTGCAAGAGTGAGGAATTGTCTCGAGAGTCTATAGAGTCTGCTCGTCTTTCAAAGGATGTTGATGCCATACAAGATGAAATCAAGGCCTTGAAACAGCAGAATGAAGTTGCTGCTGCTTATATGAAGACACAGATTGCTGAAGAAGCCAAACTGCATCACTTTGTGAAAGAGGCTGATGTGGAACGTGCTAGACAGGAGAATGCTTTGCAAGCTTTGCAGTCTGAACAAGGGAACCTGCATGCTCGTATAGTCAGATTAAACGATGAGCTAGCTCAAGTATACGACAAGCTCAAACTGCAACGAACAACACTCTCTCGAGGAGAAGGTCACTATCGAGAACGAATCCACACATTACGAGAACTCAAATCCCAACTCCACAAGGCATCACGAGACAAGTCACTCGCACTAGCGTTCTCATCCGGAACCCAAGATTTGAAAAAGATGACTATCAAACTCGAAGAAGCACTGATCCGAGAACAAACTCGTATCAAAGCCCTCGAAGAAGAGCTCGCAAACCCCGTCAACGTACACCGCTGGAGAACTCTCGAATCCACCGACCCCAAAGCATACGAAGCAATCCAGCTGCTTCAAACTCTACAACGCAGACTCATATCCAAAGCCAAACAAGATCGTGAAAAGGAAGACGCTATCCGTGAATGTGAGGAAACATATCTACGCCTCAAATCAGTATTACAGAAACACACTGCTGTCGATTGGGATGAGCGGACTGAGGAATATGCTAAAGAAGTCAAAGATCGGAATATGAGATTGGTGGCTCTTGATGCTGAGATGGATATGTATAGAGCCAGAGCTAGAGAAGCACAGTATGAGGTCGCGAGATTGGACTTACAGCTTGATGAGCTCAAGGGACAGTATCTGGAGGCTAGGAAGCAGGCTGCCATGTTGTTGAATAAAGGAGATACGCCGCCGCTGCCCCCTTTACCGGCTATGAATAATATTAGTACGAGTGGTGCTGCTTCTGCTGTTGCTATATAAGTAAAAGTTTAGATTAGAACAACAATACATAACAGTGTTTTGAAAAGTTGGTAGTGGTGTTGTTTGGAAGATACCGTTCGGTTTCAATTACAAAGAGTTGCGTTGCCCGATGCCAATCATTCAGATATGTAGAGGTTTTACTATCAAAGATATTATTGCTTTGGTGTGGATTTGATCCGGGTTATACATACATAATCAGAGATTATGTAAAATGTCCTTGAGTGGCAGTGGATGTAGAGTTCTTGAACCCCTTCGGCGGGCCCAAAGACAAGAAGGAAAATTATACAAATCCTCGAGATCTGAAGCTGCCTTTAGTTTGGTATAGACACCCGCATGTGAACCCTCTTTCGACTGTCACGGGTAGACAAAAGTCAGCCGTTCGTCACGAGCACCGTCCGGTTAGCCGTAGAGAGTTCAAAGCAAACGCCTGCATTGCAGCTTTCCCAGGTCCCGCTGAAGGGCGTGTCCTCATCCAATTTTACGCTGTGGGCAAGCAACCACTACTACTGCTTTGCAGCCCCTCAAGTAGTAGTAGGAGTACAGATAATCTTGAAGTGTCGGTGTGTTTCTGGTGGAAGTTCCAAATTTTAATGTCGGATGTAATATGAAAACCAACCCCATCTGAAGAATGGGAGTAAGAAAGGATGTGAGTACTAGCTTAGTATCATTAAATGAATATTTGCTACTTCAGTATCGTCTTACAGCCCCGTTCCATCTTGATTTCAATTTAATTTTCCTATTTCATCGCCACTGATCTTTTTAACCACTTTCGACCGAAATTTTTCGACAGAGTCCAATCATTTGCATGACTTAATTGCCATGGATGTCGTCCTCGCCCTTCGTCTTGTCCTTGTTCGTCGTGTCCTAGTAGGCGCAGCTGATCTAGAAATTGTTGGTCAACGAGAGGCATCGAAGTTAGAGATTCGTTTTCGACTAGCCGGTCACGTCACTCCTTGGTATTGTCACAGGTCACAAGTTCAGCAAGAGCCTCGCTACTTCTTCAGAAGGCCCCTTGATTGCTATGAGTGGTCGTCAAATGTGCAAGACCTCGTAGCTGGAGGGTAGCGCTGCTGGGAATATGAAAGAGATAAAGATGTGATTAAAAGGGTATAATTGCGTTACGCGTCACGAATGCTAGTAGTGGTTCTTATCTCCAATTCCTGTCTCATTGTTCCTGTCGTCACTCTCATGTCGCTTACTAAACCTTATGTAAAGAGTGTTCAAGACATCATCAAACGCATCCGTCAAGGCAACAGTCACAAGGGACTAAAGTCTTGACAGGTAAGCATTGAAATCATCGTTATTAACAAGGAAATTGTCTCTCTGTGTCTTTCCTGGTGCTATATTGGTCGATGGGATGGATTGCTTCAAATGAGCAACACCCCTGCAATTACGGCTAGACATACAGCTGATTGAAATCGATTAAAAGATACTACACGCATCAAGCTGCTGTCTTTGAATAGTTAGATTGAATCTTGGCTCCCTCCTCATCTAACAATATCCTTAAAACAAACAATATCCTTAAAACACCCAACATCAAACTCCTTTACCCAACATCAAAAGCTAACATACTCTCTCACCAACTCAGATACAAAAGAACTCTTGTTGCAATCATGTTGATCACTAAAGAGAATCGGAAGAAGATATATCAATATCTCTTCCAGGCCGGTGTTATGGTAGCAAAGAAGGACTACAATGCTCCAAAACACAAGGATATTGATGTACCAAACCTCCAAGTCATCAAAGCTATGCAATCTATGAACTCTCGAGGCTACGTCACAACCCAATTCTCATGGCAATACTATTACTATTGTATGTTTTGTCTAGCGATTGTAGTGTGTGATTGTGGAAAGGATAGCTCCGCATCCATGCCCATCTGCTAGCTTTTTGTTAACATATATGTCATACATATTAATTAATATTCTCTTGATACAGACTTGACCGATGCCGGTATTGAATATCTGAGAGGATTCTTGCATCTCCCTCCAGAAATCATGCCTAGCACACTGATGAAATCAAAGACTACTGGTATCCGCCCAGGTGGTCGTGAGGACCGTCCTCCTCGTGAAGGCGGTGACCGAGCATACCGTCCTCGTGGTGATGGTGAAGGATACAGGCGACGTGATGACGGTGGAGCCAAACCAGAAGGCGCTGGTGGTGGTTTCAGACCCGAATTGTAAGTCATTACGGTGGTGTTATAGCTTGCTCGAAAATCAAGACAGCTAATGAATATTTTCTTATTAGTCGTGGAGGCAAGCATGTACATCCATACACCTAAATGGCAATAACCAAAACTAACCGATCACTTGCTTTATTTTGTCTTTGCTTATTAGGTATGGGCCGTGGTAGACCAGCTGCTGCTCCAGTCCAACAGTAAAAAAAATTATGAAGAACATCTCGCTCTCTCTTTTGCTCTTTAAATCCTTGTATTGTACACCCGAACCAAAGCAACAAAAATACACTATCGCTCAAAAATATATTGGGCTGTCGCTCATGTGTTGCATCCTTGGATTTATATTTCAGAGAGTCCTGTTTTCCTTACCAATTTTGAATTGACCATGCTTTCACCAAAAATACACACATCTCAGTGGAAATAACATGTGGAAGAGCAGCATTATCAGCACATGCTGTAACACGACCGTTCAATGTTTTGCAAACTTCCAAATTATATTTCAAACATTCCTTTATTAAACACATTTTGTTTTAATTCATCAAGCCTCCACAACAAAACCCGCACCCATTTCCAAACACCAACAACAAAACCCATCACACCAACTGAACAATCAAGCGATTTCACCATCCTCAAGATCAGCAGCATTCAACAAACTCTCATCAGCAAATTCTGGATGAGCAGCGTCATCAGCACATTTTGTAGTATGACCAGACAACAAGTCATTCACAATGGCTTCACGAATGCGACTACGTGATGCAGCTGCGATACGATGTTCATCTGATTCATCTTCATCGCGAGGGACGCTGTTGATTATATCTCCTTGAATTGGAATGACGTCCAACAAGGGAGCACGTTGTTTCTGTGTTGTAAAACAAAGTAGCATGTGAGAAATGATTTGAAGGATTTCAAGTTTAGGCCAAAAAAATCGAACAGTAAACCCCAAAATGGTCTTAACAAACGAACATAACATACCCATATAAGATCTCGAGCCTTCTTATCATTCTTATATAGTTCCGTCGCCTCTGCTGGTAGCAATTTCTGCATACGGTCGACAGTCAACTCCAAGTCTTCTTTCGGTACTCTTGATGGTGGTGGTTGAATGGCAGTTTGGCCTCTCATTTTCTTCAATTCACTAACATTTCATAAAGTGGACGTTAGAGGTCGTGCATTACTGACGCTGATAAAAGACTCACTGTGCACATTTTGGCACCGTTTGCATTGTTGTGCGTTCAGTGTACTTACAAGTCAACTTCTGCTAGGCGTCGACGTTCACGTTCTTCAACTTGTGCCTTTCGAATGATCTCATCATTCTGTTCACGTTCACGTCGTTTCGCGAGCTAGTTGGTAAAAACAAGACAGTCAATTGGTGCAGTCAAAGAGCAAACAAAAAAAGCCGCCAGAAACATCTGGAGGCTGAACTGGCATATGACAGAAAACGTACCCTTTCATCCGCTTCTTTACGCTGTTGTTGCTTTTCATATTCCATTAACTTGGAAGCAGCTTCTGATACTGCCAATGCCTAAGTAGGTAGAGTTGAAGATTCAGAAGGTGTCCTCGTACTGCAAAACCCCAGCCATGCAAAACGGCAAATACAACGGACATATTACCTTTTGAATAGCAGATTGGTCACCACTTCCACTTCCTGTCCCACTTGGACCTCGTTTCATAGCCGTAGTTGGAAGAATGGGTCTCTTCACTAGCGGAACATTTCCTGTTGATGCTGCTACAGGCATTGATGATGGTACAGCACTAGGCTTTACTCCTGATGCTGGTGATAGTGCAGGACTAACACTAACTTTACTAGATATTAATGGAGTTCCAGTCCTGATTGGTTGTGCATTCGGAGTAGCGACTCGAGGAGCTGACACTGATGGAGATTGTCCAACGGGTTTGCTTTTATTAGTACCACTTGCAGCATTATTGCCACTGCTAGCTGTTGCTGAAGTTGGTCTGACTTCTTCAGAGGAAGGTCGAGTAGGTGCAGCGGATGGTGTAGTCGATCTACTTTTAACTAAAGCTGGTTGAGTCTTGGGAGTTGTCGCAATTGACGTTGGTGGTACTGTGGATGGTTTTGCACTTTGTGGTTGTGGTGCTGATGGTACAGTCTTTACGGCTTCTGGTTCTGGCGAGGATGAGTCAATGCGACGTTTATTGGATCGTTGAGCTGATCTTGGTGTTTTCGATGGAGATGGTTCTGAAGCATCAGCGAGAGCATCGCCAATATCCTAGATTAAGCGAGAAAAAGAAGTGTTGGTGATGCAAAAGAGAGACGAAAAGAGAATTGCACATGTAATCACATCAGGATCATCCCACTTCCTACCACGTACCATAGCAGCTTCCTTATGAGTTGTAGCAACAGGTGCACTCTAAGAAAAAGCATCAATCGAGTTCGTCAGCGAAAGAATATACTAGTGATACATGATCATTTCGAGACATACGGAAGGAGCACCGTCACCACCACCACTAGTTCTTGTAGCTGTTGAAACTTGGGCAACACCACGTCGTGCAGGTGAACTTCCAGATGCATTACTTCCTGATGAGGTTCCTGAAGATGGTCCATCATCTATTCGCAAAGAAGCGTGTAGAAGATTCAGAACATGAACATCAACCATTAAATTGTGAACAACCCTTGTCGAGGCGGTGAAGCAAACGCATGAAGTACTGGAAGCACGACACGTAGCAAGCAATCGATGTCTTAAAAGCAAGAGAGGAGAGTTATCAAACTCGAGGGGACCATCAAGCTCCAAAGACAAGAGAGGATCGACAGAGACAGAGCGAGAGGCACCCAAACACTACTACACACTACACTACACACATACACAAAGGGTAGGTTCTACATCACCAAATGATTTTCATATAGAAGTAAAAAAATTCTAGCATTACACGTCCAAATGCATCTTTTTGAGTCCACTTTGAGGGTATCGAGATGCAAATAAAACATAAAGAAGGGGGGAGGGGAAGAGAGAGAGATAGTTTCCAACAGCAACATAGGAGAGGCACATTGCAGGAGTATAGAGAAAACCCTCGGTACACCTTTTTTAAAGTAAATCAAACAAGTCGGTATATAAAACATAAGAGTGTTGATGACCAAAGCCTTCCTCCCCACTATTCTCTCTCTTTCTCTCCTTCAATGTGCATCGTATGTGCCGTTCTCAAGTTTTCGGTTTTATAATGGTGATGATGATGTATAAACGTGTGTCGATATAGTGTGTAAAAGCCAGTGTTGAGGTGCCTCTCCCCCTCCTCCTCCTTCTTTATCTTTGTTTACTCTGATAATCTCTCGTTCGCTTAACTAAACCCTCCTCCAATATACTGCTTTTTTATCCATCCAATTACTTATGCTCTGTGTGTGCTCCAGTTCTTCCTTGCTTCACGCACCTCAAACCCTCAAAATGCATTATAGACTGTGAAAAAACGACTAGTTGCTACCTGAATCCGAGTCTCCATCGGAAGAACTCGAATCGCTACCACCATGTTTAGCTGTAGGTGGCTATTTAAAAAGGACTTGTGTGAGTTGACCTTGCGAAAGGCAATAATGCTGAACCAGGAACTAATTATTGATTACTAACCTTTGCCTTTGACTTGGATAACCGGCCCTTTACTACATAATTATACAATCGACGTAACGTTACAGGATCTAGATTGTCGATATCAAGCTCCAGCTCTTCATGGGCATTGGCCTATCGTGAAATGGCGGTTGAGCATTCAAGCGCGCAAGAAAACCAAGATTATTGCCAGGGCAACTCCGTGAATGTACACTTACATCTATACCAGGCATCCCTTCTCGAATTATAGAGAATACTTGACCCATGACTTCTTCCGACAAGCCTTGAGTGAACCGGTTTGATAACTCGAGCTTCTGTTCGTATGTCAACTCTTTGGCGTCTTCCTTCTTCACCTTCTGCTTTTTAGGTGCTGGTGGTTTAGCTCTGTTTACTGGAGTTGGTAATGCATTTGATGTCGGCGGACCCGAAAATGAAGGAGGACGTGTTGCCTTGGGTGGTTTATTTTGTGGCTTGGGCTGTTTAGATTGGTGTTGAGGCATCGGCATGGAGTTTGGTACAGGGAATGGCATGGATGGAAGACCAGAAGAGAGACTCTTACGCTTCTCTTTCTTTTCCTTCTTCTCCTTCTTGTCTCTCTTCTTTTTCTTTGGCTGTTGCTGACTTTGTACCAATAAGTTTAGCTGTGCAGTCATAAGTTGAAGATTTTGTTGCAAAAGTTCTATTTGTGAATTGGGAGCTACAGCTGAAGGAGCAGGAGCTTCTATTGCGGAAATTGCTGTCGTGTTAGTCATGAAGTTGAGCAAAGAAAGTCATTTAGTTTTTTGATCAAAATCACAACATGCACAAGCACACGACTTTAACAAACAAACAACGCTTACCATCTTCAGATGAGTCATCGTCATCATCATCCTCCTCATCTTCGCTCTCACCACCACCACCCATAGCAGCTGCGGCGCCAACAAAGTTCGGCAACTCCTTCCACCTGGCTTCGAATAGCTGTTCTAGCCTTCTAGCCATTTCATGGACGGGTTCACCGGGTTGATTGAACTTTTTAGCATTACCGACAACCAAACGAACATCATGTTCGATTTCAGCTGGATCAGTATAATGACCAGCTTCAAATCGTTTCCTTATGGTACCCAAATCCATTGGATGTTTGATGATTGTACGATAGTGTGGTATGCCGAGTGCAGTGGGATCTACTGGCTGTAAGAATGGATAGGTGAAGGATTTATATTCCTCTTTAAAAAGTTCTTTGATGACGGCACCAGAGAACTTGAGTTGAGCTGACGCCCTTTTGCCCTTCTTTCCTGGCATGGCTTCTGTGACGACTCGTGCAGGTGGATGTATATCACGTTTCGGCCTGGTTGGATCATAGTTTCTATCAGGCTCCCGTGACTGTTTTTGTGCATGAGTAAAAGTAAGCACACGCCTTTCTCGAAAATGAACGCTCCGACATATGAGGTACGTACCCCTCCTCTGCTACCACCTCCCTGACCTGACATACTAAAGCTTCCACTCTTCTTGCGGTTTTTTGAAGCTGAAGGCTTGGGCTGTAATTTCAGGAATGTGATTAAACAATTGGCCTAGTGTTATAAGCAAACGAGTAGAGACTGATGTACTCACTTGAAGAGGAGTCTTTTCCAAGTACTTTGCCAAAGTCCTATTGATAAAATGACCGTTGAGTACTTGCGCTGTGCGAAAGTTCTGGGCCGATTCCAACACTGAAACCGAACGATGACTATTCCGCGTCATCAGCAGTATATTCGGCAACATGACTGGACCTTATGGTGAAGCTATACTTACTTAGCTAGGTTCTGCCCTTGCTTGGAGACAATGTGTTCTGGACCATTGAAGCGATAACAGTTCATAAGCATTGCGTTACAATCATCGATTACAGCCATAATATTGGGATATTGGTGAGCTTCAAGCTTTCTCAATATGGTAGACGTGTCCATGGGATAGGTGACGACCGAAAAGTAGGTTGGAATACCATGCTTGACGGGATCGACTGGTTCCAAAAATGCCATACAATCCTTGTTTCTTCGCAGAGTTTTGATCATGGTGACTGCATACTTGAGCTGCTCTGCGTTTGTGGCGGGATCAGCTGAGGTGGCAACTATATGACCTGGAACCTGTGATGCAAGCAAGGGGAAAGTGAGGTCGACGATTACACACAGTAGCGAGGACGTGACTAGATAAACATACCTGAACTTCTCTGATGTGAGAAACTGAATGGCCAGGAAGGACAGGGATTGGTGCGTTGAGTGGGGTAGCATTAAAGTCTATTGGGTGTGATGTAGTGGGCATAGCAGGGCTTGCTAGTAGGCCATCGTCATTAAGATCATGAGCGCTACCACCACCTGTATAGTCATCGGCAACATCAGCATCATATCCATTCTGATCATCAACGCTGCCAGCAGGGGAATCAAAGTTTTGTTGATAACCGTGAGGATCGTCAGATATAGATCGAATATCAGGTTCAACACCATTGTTATCATGATTGTAGTCAGTGTGGTCTTCTATATGGCCATTATCATAGTGACTTTCACCGTTATCTAGTGTTTCCGTTGGTTGTTCGTCGAGTCGATAACGCTTCGACTTTGTCTCGGAGCTAACAAAAAGAAACAAACAATGAGTATGGAGAGAGAGACGGGGCAGATAGTTCATGATCAGTAGGATATGCTAGTGATGATGGGCAGATCCAGTACAGTGGACTTACTCGTCGTGAGCGTCCAAGTCCTGTTCAGCAGGTCTCTTTTGAGGATGGGATTCAGCCATCTCGACTGGTGATGGCTCTCCCTCCAGTTTGACGTCTCGGTACGGAGTAGAATATATAATATCTAGTGCTTATAAGGCGGCCCAGTGTGCTCCAATCAGCTCCACTTGCGTCTGTTTCCAGTTGACTATTATTTTGTTGATGCGAACAAATGTAGGAGTGAAAAGTTGAAGGTGCACTCACGCTGCAAAAAAATTGGGGCGACAGATGAGTGTTTAATGTTGGAACGTGGACGTGTTTTGATGCCGATTTTAGACTAAACGGACTGTAGCACTTTCAAAAGACACGTCAGATTTCATAGCAGCTTCGCATGTCTTCATCAAATCTTTGACAAAACACAAAAGAATGAGACTGCAAGATCCAATGGCTTATTATCAAGAGGAACAAGAAAGTAGAGGTGCCTTTCGATTTCGGTTATGTTTGCGTTAGACTACTACTCACATTTGTCCGCTGCATCCGCCAGATATTGATTTGTCGTCACAGATCAAAAACATCAAACGTGAACTCAAGGAATGGGAACGGTCATTTGCGGAGACAGAAGGTCGTCGACCCTATAAAGAAGACATTGCTCAAGACAAATCCGTTCAAAGGAGATATAAACTATACGCTCGCTTGAAACGCGCCGAAAAAGATCAGGCGGTTTCATCTCATCAAACACCCGCCAATGGAGGAGGGGATGACGATGAAGAGGCCCTTCAATCTCCTGATGTCGCCTTGTCACCTAGTCGAGAAGATTGGCCTTCATCATCCCCTGTCAACCGAACTGACAGTCAAGCAACCCGAACCAAAAAGTCAAAGAACTCGCAACGTTCAAGGAAAGATCCTATTGATGAACTAGACCACAAAGAAGAGAGAATGGAACGAAGCCATCGACCGGATCGTCAGCAAGAGTATTCTCAGCAACAGTGTGACGATGATGAACAACCTCGACGTGCAAAAAGTCGCAATGATGCAAATGTGGTGGATCAAGCCAAGCCAAGACGACGAGACAGGCAAGATCAAGACGACGACCGACCTAGCACAGAACGTAGTAACAGTCGACGTGAAAGAGAACGTGCCGAACCCGACCATGTGAAGCCAGAACGAAACAATAGTAGTAGGGCCCAGAGGAGGGCCAAACAATATGAAGAGCCCGAGGAGCCAGACGAAGCACCTCACCGCCATACTCCTGAAGCGAAAGAGCGTGGATCAGCATCATCGCGCTACCAGGATGGACAAGAAATGAACAGCAGACAACAGGATGAATTGAATTATGATCCAGCTAGCAGACCTTCTTTGTGCTCTCCACCCCCACCCGTAAACACCGAACCTGCACCTGCTCCATGGCGTAAACGTGATTCCTTGTCCAGAGTCAACTCGACGTCACCACCGCCGACAGCATTTGCATTACCAATGGACAATTATAATAACACAAGTAGTAACAAAAACATGTACAATCAGTCATCTTCGCCGACCTCACCAGCTTCAGCATCAAGACCATTATCACCCTCATCTCCATCTTCATCGGTTACGGCACCATCAAGCACCTCAAACAATGTTGTCAAAAAAGCTGATTTGCCAGTGCACTTCAAGTTGAAACGAACTACCATTGCACCTGGTCCCATATCTACAGCTGACATTGAAGCTGGTATTAGTCCTGCCTCGGCATTAACAGCATCATCTGACTCTCGTCCTTCGTCGGCAAATCCGGCATCACCTGCTGAGCCAGTCCCACAACAACGAGGTGTACTTATATCTGGTCCTCCAGTAGCAGGATCCGAGTACCAAGAGTTTGTGAATCGCAGAAGACAAATGGAAGCTCTGGCTGCTCAACAATATGAAAAAGAGCGTGAACGAGAGTTGGCTGCCAAGAATAACGTCGCTACTGTTACAGCTGCTAGCCCTACTATCAACAGCAACACCAATCCAATTATGCCTCTAGCCATAAAGCCAATCTCAGTCATGGCTCAAGTATCTGTTGGACCACCACCACTACCATCTGAATCACACCGTAATGCCGAACGCCATCTGCCGCAAACCTCCAATTCTTCTAATTCATCAGTTGCTTCTCGAGAAGCCTCTGCAACGTATTCGTCAGCAGGTGCATCTCGACCACCACCAGCTCAACCAATCAAAAACTCATTCGTTGGGTCGACGTCATCTGTCACTAGTCCAAAGGACGCAGTTAACACCTCACAATCGATATTTGTGAAAGCAGTGAAACGGCCCTCTATTGATCACGGAGATATCGTTACACTTGATTCACCTGGCAGCGGGGATCAAGAAGAGGAATTGGATGCGGACGATGTAGACCTGATTGTACCCATGGCAGATCCACCAAGCAACTCTTCACGAAGGGATTCCATGTCGCCTTTAGCAACGGAAGGATCTACGGTTGCTAGTATTGCTGCTAAGGGTGTGCCTATTATTAATCCTAAGTTGTTCAAGTAAGAACAAATCCTGGTCCTTTAATTGCTTGTTTTTTCTGGTTTCAACTTTCTTACACATCTACTTTTCACTAGGCGCCTGAGTGAAGAAGGAGTTTTACGATGTCGTCTCGTTCGAAAGAGTACAGGAATCTACAAGGCCCATCCAGCCTTCTTCCTCTATAATGAAGCAGATGACCGCTTCTTGTTGGCTGCTCGAAAGAGACTCAAGAGCAAAAATGTAGCGTTTTTGATTTCGAACGCTGCTGATGATATGACGAAAGATGGTCAACACTACATTGCTAAGCTCAAGTGAGTGATGTGTAAAGAAACTATAGATTGTATCTTCCGATGATGTTCAACTCCTTTCTCGTGAATTAGGGCCAATACTCAGAGAACAGTGTTTACATTGTATGATGCTAGATACTATTCCAAGGCAGCTCCAAACAAAGGATTGAAAGAGCTGTCCTGCATTACCTATGTGAGTGCGGCCAAAAAAATCATTATCAGTATGCTAAAGCATTCATCATTAGAGCAAAACAGTTCTCCCTCGTGAGATGCAGGTTGCAATTCCTGCCATGTATATAGAAGAAGGATCGGTATGTTTGAAAAGAGCCTCAAAGCATTTGCAACATCCCACTCAATCTCTGCATTCTTCCCTCAGGACGACTTTTCCAAGGACGTCCTTGCGGATACACGAGCTCAGAATACAAGCAAGCTTCACTTTTTACGAAACAAACCACCAAGATGGAATGAAGCTACTCAATCGCATTGTCTCAATTTTGGAGGACGTGTTACATTACCAAGTATCAAGAACTTTCAGCTCATTGCTGACGCTGGTGATGGTGAGTTGTTTGACAGCAGCTTTATCTTTGTCTTCATGGATTTTTGGTCTGATATCTTTTTCCAACTCTTGAATTGTAGAAGCGTACATTGTTATGCAATTTGGTCGATGTGGACAAGACCTGTTTGCTTTGGATGCTCGATATCCATTAACTCCTGTGGAAGCCTTTTCGATTGCTCTTTCGACTTTCACTGCTTATGACTCTGCCTAGTGAGAGTCAGAGACTCTATGTGGTTGTGTGTGATATTTATGTCGGTTGACATATTGATATTTAAGTTGAATGATAATAATATAGGCCTGCAATTGCATTTACTGTTAGTGAATGTCTGATAGCGAACAAGTTTCTGTGCACAGATTGTTGAATATTTTTTGTTCTGTCGTCTGAAAGAATGACTATGTATCGGTCTGAAACACGTAAGGCATTAAAATTTATACTCTCGTTCTTGTTTTGTTTTGCACAGATCTTGTTGTGTCTTGAACTTGCGTCGATCACTTGTAAAAAAACAAGAGTCAAGAATCAAGCTTTCAGCCCACAACAATAGCAAGCAATGGAAGCCATTGACGTTGTTGATACACTCAAGGAAGCTCAATCTCAATAGTAAGTTCACCTGTTCACCGTTACGGATCATTCAGAAAACTCCATTTCAACTTTTTTTTTCATGGTTGCTCACAGTCAGAAGTGTCAGAGTAATAACGCTTTTACAACATCTACCTAGTAAAACAACTCAAGTATCGAGACCGATCTCATACGAGCATGATGCGGGCAACCTAACTGCCTTTGACAACAACGCATTGGACGATACTATCTTGTTTGGAGCATCATCAACTGATATTGAACGTGAAAAATACTTGACTTCAAATGCCAGAGATGCACTCCAGTCTCTACTTAATGAGATCTTTACATTGCCGACTGTAAAGAAGAATGATGCTACGTTGGTGGAGTTGCCTCGTCCTACTACACAGTTGCCTAGAGCTAAACCTGTATGTTGGTGTTAGACGATAGACGATCGGGTTTTTTGCCTGTTGAAGGCTCTTTCTTATCAAATCCTCTTTGAATTTGAAACAACCAGGTACCAAGAGAAAAGATCATGACACGATGGGAAAAGTTTGCGAAAGCCAAGGGAATTAAAAAAGTCAAGAAATCCACCAAAGTGTTTGATGAAGCTATGGGAGAATGGATTCCCAAGTTTGGATACAAGCATGGAACTGACAAGCTTGATGATTGGCTTGTTGAAGTTCCTGAAACTTCAGGTTTGTTAGTTTGCTTAGCGAACTCTTTTCTTTTTGCGCCAACATTTTTTCTTGTAGACCCAATGGAAGATCAGTATGAGAAGGCTCGAACTGAAAAGAAGGATCGAGTTGATAAGAATAATCGTCGTGCCAAGCGTAATTCAGAAGAGAGGTCTGCTGAAGGTATGCTAGTTGTGCCAGCAGAAAATCACTGACTTGGAGTGCCAGGATTGCAAGGTCGTTGCTGACATTGTATCCTCCTTTTGTATGTTAATAGCTTCTGGACAAGATCCAAGAAAGATCAAGAAGGCACAGCTAGAAACTGCCTTAAAGCAAACCAAAACTTCGACGGCATCGTTAGGCAAGTTTGATGCCACACTCCACAATGAAGACAAGGTCAAGCTTAAGAGTGGTATCAAGAGAAAGGTATACGATTGGTTTAATATCGATGCAAAATAGGAAGGTAAAACAAACTTTGTCAAAGGGGCTGAAGCTTTTCTTGTCTTTTAGTATGAACCAACATCTGGTGATGCCGAAGCTGAAAGGAAGAAGATCTTGGCTGTTGCAGAAAAGGTTAGTTGAATAGGAACTCGTTTCTTTGATGCGGCAAAAATTTGTGTGTGCCAGCTCATCATCCTCTTCTTTGTAGGTGATCAAGGCACGCGAAGAACCAGTTTTGAATGCCAAGAAAGCGGTATCACAGGTCGCACAGTCGCGGTCAAGACCTACATTAGAAGGAGACCATAAAAAGAGCTTCAAGGGCAAGAAAACCAGAGGGGGTCGCGACAGTTTTAAGAAGGGCAAGTAAAGTGTTGGTGGGATCACACGCGAATAGTGTCTGTAAAATAGTCGTTTCTTGCATATATACACGTTTAATTTGTGACATCTTGGCAAAGTTTACTTGCAAAGCACGCTCACGTTCATCCATGTTTGTCTCGCAGTGTGATTGGCATTTAGCTCTAATTTGGTTGAGCTTACGACATCGAGGCAGGAATAAGGCCAGCGGAGGTGCAGACAGTTGAAGTGAGGCGCCTTCCAAGCTCACTTCTATATCATCAAGGTCGTTGTCAGACTTGTTTAAAAACCTGGTTTACTTCGCCACGCAACAGAAACGGCCAACAACAAGTAGTATCGAGGTAGTATCGAGGACGCTTGGAAGCATGAATGGCATATGGAGGCCGGTACTCCTATTACTGCTGGCAACCTCGGCTCTCCTCGTGCAAGCTGGTAATAATTACCAAAATCTTGGGAATCTTGGCAAATTTCGATTTTATTGACTTATACTCACGGTTTGTCTACAACAGCGGACTTGACTCTACTGCATCGAATCCGCCAGTACGACTTCTTGAGTAATATAGATGCTACCTCGGGAAACAGCGGAACCGTCTCTCTCTCATTCAATGCAAGTTCAATGGCATTTCGTGAGATGAGTGAGTATACGGCATACTAAATCCACTACAATTACTCTCCAGGCACTCCAACGGACATTCAAAATGGTGTTACAGCCTAATGAGATGCTTATACACAGTGCTGGACTTGTAACGATATATTCGGACAATGAACCACCACAACAAATCTCGCTTGCAGAATTCGCAGGTGGACGTGCATTCCATGGAAAAGTCATTGAAGAAGATGATATGGGCATATTGCAGGAAGTCGGATGGGCTCGTATCATATTTCACGATGACGAGTACGTGTGATGCTGGTCGATTTAGATGCTTCCGGTCAGACTCTCACACCTATCCATTAGTCTCTGGATGGGCAGATTGGATCCAGACTTTGAAGGAGTGTTTACTACAAGCGAGGGCATGTTCCATATCAAACATGTCGATCACTACAAGATGGCAAAGCGACCTGTATGTAGCGGGATTTTTTTTGTCTCTGGCAAAACCTTTCCAACTCAATACAATCATATTTTAGGAGGATGCACCAGTCATACCTATGCTGGATAGACCTAAAAGTCAACAGCATTCTAGACTTATTATATACGCAGACAGTCAAGAAGGCCATGTCGCTGCTACATGCCCGAATACGCCATTCTCGCCATTTACTCAAGGAGCCCAGAAAGGATGTGGTGTAGAAGAAGACATTTATACCTCATCAGGGCTAGACAAACGATCCGCTCAGTCTCCGGAACATAGTTGTGGATTCGATGCTAGCATACATAAACACGAGGACTTTGAAGTCATTACCAAACCAAGTAGATTAGCGGAACGAGCAGCGTCGGGCTGTCCGTCTTCCAGACAAATGTTGGGAGTAGGCGCTGCTGCCGATTGTACCTACGTCGCCCAGTACGGTGGTCCATCAGGTGCCTTGACTCAAATCTTGGCAGACTTTAACGCCGCTTCCAAAGTATACGAAAACACCTTCAACATATCCTTGGCTGTAGTGGAAGTAGCCATCCACACTACTTGTACCCCAAATAATTCCAGCTTGTTATGGAACCAAGCCTGTTCCGACGCATATACAATTAACAATCGATTATCAGATTTCTCTCATTGGAGAGGCCAAAAGTCAGCCGATCAAGCTGGACTTTGGCATTTATTGACTAATTGTCCTAGTGGTCCATCTGTTGGTATCGCTTGGCTGAGTACCGTATGTGAAACTACTTTTACTTCACAAGCTACTGGTGGATCCACACAGTATGTATCTGGTGCTGGTGTATCATCTATTGTTACCACTGAATGGAAGGTCGTAGCGCATGAAATCGGTCATAGTATGTATCATGAAGTTGTCGGACGTTGGTAGTTCCCACCTTTGACCTTTTTCGCACATGTTTAGACTTTGGTGCCATTCATGATTGCATATCAAGTCAATGTCCGTGCTCAAGTAGCTGCTCATGTTGTCAATGTACTGGATGTGATTGTCAAGGACAATACCGTAAGTTCTATATGGGCAAAAAAGGTCTGGTAACGACGTATACCTAAGCCAACGTTTATCCTCCTTTAGTCATGCACCCAACGGATAACAGTGTCTTGGATGCCTTCTCGCCTTGCTCACAATCCACCATTTGTGGTCAATATGCCAAACTTGGAACTTGCTTGAGATGTGAGCGTTGTCTGCATGATTAATTTTTTGGCCCTGTACTCAATTGCTTCCAACGACCTTAGCTCCTGGATCTTTCAGCACAGTAACTGCGGGAGTATGTGGTAACGGCATCAAAGAGGGCAACGAAGACTGTGATTGCGGTGCCAATTGTGCAACAGATTCATGTTGTGATGGAACAACATGTAAATTCAAGAATAGTGCTAAATGTGACGATCTGAATGATGCCTGTTGCAAGGGCTGCCAGCTCTTGTCAAACGGCACAGTCTGTCGAGCATCTATAAGTGTTTGTGATTATGCCGAGCAATGTGATGGCATCTCGTCATCATGTCCAACGGACTTGCATGTATCAGATGGAACAAGTTGTGATTCCACGAAGGGTCTAACTTGCGCGTCTGGTATATGTACATCTCGAGATGCTCAATGTAAATCCAACAGCACGTACTTTACAACTACTGGAGCATGTCCCGGCTATGATAGTGATTGCTCGTTATGGTGTGCGGCTGGATCATCAGGATGTTTGAAGGGTGCCGGATACTTCCTGGATGGTACTCCATGTGGCTATGGTGGAATGTGTAAATCTGGATCATGTAGTTCAAGTAATGTCTTCTATCAAGTCATCAATTGGTTTTCGTCAAATCCTACTATTGCTATACCCGGTAAGTTTATACTCAACGAATGATTGTCGTTTCGCAATTGAGAGTTATTGAGTTGTTTGTCAAGAAAGTTGAAGTCAGTTGCATTTAACATAACCATAGTATCTAATATCTCTTTTTTTGGATAGCGGCCGTCTTGGCTGGATTAGTGGTGTTTGGTGTAGTCATTGGTGTCTGTACTTGCTGTATACGACGTTGGCGTCGCAAAGGTCCTGCTGCTATGGTTCCTGCCGGACTCATGTCTCAGGACTCATACGCAGCACCTACATACCAATATCAAGCACCAGCGCATTATGTGGATGCTAGCAGATATAATGGCTCTGCTTATTCAAGTAAGGGATTATACATTGTGAATTACACAATCTTTTGTCCTCACACTTCCTTTACCGTCTAGCACGAGATGACTTCCTGGTGGATAGCACATATAGGTCAATGTCTCGTGCACCACTAAGATCACCACCGGTGCAAGTTCAATCACCCATGTCGTCTTCACCATCAAGATCACCAATATCGCAACCAGCGACACCCTCATCAGCCAGGCCAATGATGCCACAAGCTGCTCAAACCACTCCTATGAGAGTGCAATATTACCCTCCTCAGAGCAGATACTATGAGTCATAAAGTGCTGGATTGATCAGTCATAAAGTGCTGGATTTTTTATTAGTTCCGATTTTTATTAATTGCCAAAAGGGCATTTGTATATATATATCTACCAGGGTAGTCTGTAACTAGAAAAAGTATGGAAAATTGATAAAAAATAAACAATGTCGATGAGGTAGTAACAAAGAAACAAGTGTTTCGAAATGTGATGTGCTTTGGCTGGACGTTACGCAGCTGAACAGTTGGAAGTTACCAGTATGAATGCATGAAACATTTTCTACCCTCAGAAAAAGAACCCTCCAATATGTGAACCTTAGGGGCTCATGACTCTTTATATTATAAGCGCCTCCAATCTCTGCATTTAGTTCCTTCTGTTTCCTCCTTTTACAAGCAGCCCTCATATCATCCTTATTATATCACTAAACCAAAACTAACGAATTGGCATACGTTTGCAAACCACAAATCAAGTAGTGGCAGTGGCGAGAGTACGTACGACGTCATAAAAGTGTTGATCTTGAGAGTAAATCAAACCATAATCATTGTCCAATCCTGACCCAAAAAAAGTTGAGATCACTACAAAAGAAACCAACGTGAGAATGTTTTTGTTCGATGAGACTAGAATCCGAAGTGATGCGCACAAAAAGCAGGAAGTAGCAAAGTTATATAATCCGTTTGGAGGACGAGGCCTTTGATTTTCTGACAGGCTGCTTTACGTATGGAGGCTGATCGGACACTTCTTCATACCAACTCTCCATAATAGGTTTCGCTGCTCGATCTTGTGCAGGGATAGTAGATCTTCAAGGGAGCGTGCAATGGACTGGTCTGTTCCTTTGAGCATCAGAACAACGCCTTTGCGAGTTGGTGCTTGTGTACAGATGCCGACATCGTGGATCCATATAGATATGTATGTTTTGGTTCAAATGGTTCAAACGGGTTGTTAGGACACCAGGATAGGTTGTACGAGAAGATGCTATAACCTCTTCCAAAAAGCCAGTCAGCGCAAAGTAGGAATGCGGAATCAGGACCGTTTTAAACCGGATACTAACGAGTACCAAAACAAATAGTGGTTAGTTTCGTTCATGATTGTGGTAAACACAATCCCGTAATCTTACGCGTTTCCAATACGAGATGTTGTTCGTTCGATCTAAAACCAATCCACGTTTAGGATCAGTTCAAGTATACGTTGTTTGAGACTTGGTACTTCAGTTGGAGGGTTTTCCGTAATAATATTAAAGCTCAACATTTGCCAGTTTCTATCGCAGATGTGTCTGAAATTGCTCACAGTTTTCCCCATTCAACTTTTTATCCAAGATACCATTTTTGCAACAAGATATGAGCGTGCCTTCACACCATGGAGCAGCAACTTCCTCAAACCACGCTGCTCTCAAGGCAATGGAATTTTCACTTCCAGCATACTAGCTCCAATTTCGAGCGTGAGTGAGACAGTGTTTTGATTTAACGGTCGTTACAAACAAGAGACCCTGGCCGTAACCTTATGTGGCCTTATGAAGTGGTGGTTGAACAGGCAGCAACTGTTAAATTGATCAAAGAGCTTCCGGGAGTGCGAGAGGTGGCAGTGTATATTCCTCTTGTTGAGACGAGGATATTCAACTTTGTGATTTCTCGTAATAATTAAAGAGAGCATTATAGTGGCATATACATCGCGTTTTGGCTCTTCGCTTGGTTGCTTTTGAACTTGTTTTGAAGCTTGGACATCGCCTTCGTCAGAAGGAATCCAATCGAACACATAGATAAAGAAGCAACACAAATCCAGGAAGTCCCTCGCGTTCAGGATAATTTACGATGTCTTCAAAAGTTCAGAGCAACAAAACCCACATTTCATATTGCTTTGCTATACATGATTCAACTTTTCCAACAAGAAATGGGCTTCAGACCGTTCAGCAACTTCCTCAAACGACTCGCCCCTCAATACAATACGAGGATACGTTAACGTCGACAACCTAGCTCCACTTTCAAGCTTCATCATCCGTCGTCCTAACGATTCACGAGACACCACAATCCCATCATCTTGATTCCCACCACCAGAATCTCTAGATTCTGAAGCCAGGAAGGCTGTAAAGCTTGATTGTGCTCTACAGTAAGCTATAACGGTTCGTTTTAAAGATGGTGATTTACATATAGTCTCAATATACTCGGCATCCTTCTTGACTTTATCTCCCCATTCAGCCTTCATTGCAAACGTTTCATGGGTTTCGGAACCTAGCGTGACTGTATCTTCGTCCTGTTCTGCACTATTATTGCTATTGTTGTTGGCCTCACCCCAATCATCATTGCTCGTCGTATTAGCAAACCATGGTGGATCAAATTTAAAAGTTACATCACCATAGCGCATAGCCATACGTTCCAGCTTGTGTCGTTTATTGCTGCTGTTGGTATTATCACGACAAGACAAGAGAGCAAAAACGGTCTCTGTATCATCTATGTGGACGACAGCTTCAGCTGATCCGTCTTCAATAAAGATGCGAGCATATGATATCAGCATACCAGTTCCAGAACCATGTCCATTAGGGCATTTAGATTCTAGATACGATGCCCCACAACCAGTACATTTATATCGGAGCGTTACCAGTTGGATGTGGGTGACGTTACATCGGATGCCAGGTAATGCGGAGATATTACGTGATATCAAGGCAGTCAATTTACTGTTACTATCCTGGGAGAAGAAATCAGAAAGACGAACCCGTAGATTTGACCTTTCGATTATCTTCCTCGTCGGCAATGATGTTGCAACGTCTCCAATCGATATACTCGTCGTAGCAATAGAAGCACCATATATGTTGTTGGATTTCGATATTTTGAGTCCCAATTGTCGGATGGTGATGATGGTATTCGGAATCAAACCTAAAGGTACCACACATCGCCTCAAATCCAGATATACATCCATAGTATCACCTTCTTCTAAATCTCGAATCTTTACAAAGAGGGTACGGCCATAATCTCCAGTACCTATTCCATGTTGCACGTACAGTTCTGTAGCAGTGCAGCCTGGAATCACTAGAGGCTCCACATCTCTGTACTCTTTGGTGACTACCACACCTTTTACGTTTATCAGAGTATCAATGATTCCAGCAAACTGTGGCCGTTTACGATATATGGATATGTCCTGCAAGATACGAGACACGGTGTGTATCGTTTCGCAAGGCGGTTTCAGGTCTGACAGCATCTCAGCATTTGTACCCGATACCCTATATACTATCGGTTTACATGGTTCTGGTAGTGGCAGAGGCGACAATGTAGCAGCACTTATGTCTTCATCAGAGCAAGTAACTACGCTAAAGCTGGAAAGCTTCGATTTTCCATCAAACGCAAGGCATGGATCATCGTCGTTCATGAGCGCTGGTGGTGGTGCTGTAGACTCGGCATCATCATCGGTATCTATGGATGCTCCATCCTTCCTTTCGTCCTCATCGTCTTCCTGGAGATGATCCTCTTTTGGCTGCAATTCAGCCAGTTCAGTGAAGGAATAAGCTTCACCTCGCCGCAAGCCAACAATATTGGCAATAGACGGCCCAGTAAATAATATAAGCACTGACTTCTCAGCACCATATAGCTCTGTGATTCCTGATTCTAATTGCTTGAATTCTACTGCAACAGCTTCCACCCAGCATTGTGTGTCAATTCGACTTTCCCCAGTCAAGACTTGCTGTATAGGCCTTACGACATCAATAATAGCGAAGTAATTATGACGTTCTCTGGCTCTAGACACCACTGCTATTTGTGGAGCTGCTGATAATATACCTAAATGTGGCGCTCCAAGACACATGGCATCACGCAAAGAAAATCTGATTACCAGATTCTCAAATGGCACTTCACTCAGTGACTCCTGTTGCTTTTCAGTAGACCGAAGGAATCCTGATCCTAATACTTCCATTATGATTTGATACCTGTCAATGACCCATATTTGATTCAAGTCATGTGGTGTAATATCATTACTCGACACTAGACATTGAATAGAATGTGTAGTATCCTTTAGTACTACTTCACCACGGGCATTGGCCACAAGTACTCCCAACAGGGAAGCACTAGTCCAATTCAGTTCTTCCTGAGAAAAGACTCGATATCTTATAGACGATTTGGATACTATCATATGACGGTGCTTCCTCGCGGATGCTATACTGCTACTAGGTCGAGTACCGGATGATTTCGTTGATTGATTACGAAAGTCGGTTATCACAGGGTGGTTAAATAATTCCTTCAGTGGCGGAAAACAGGGCTGTCGATACCTAACTTTAGCAATACTACAAAGATCCTGATGCTCAAATGACACTGCTATCGGCGTGTCCTTCTCGTAATGGGTATATCCATATCGGCTCAACAAATCAGTAAAGAGCTTGGTCGGCCATTTCGTTTCCACTACTGGTACAATCGTATCTGCTTCCTTGACTTGCAGTTTACGAATCACTTCAATCCTTATGATGGTAATCAATAGCAAGTCCACAGCATTCAACTTTTGGTGTTTAATTAAATAATTATTTCGTTTGAAAACGTCAATAGATTGAAACTCGTTTGCTTCAGACGAGAATTCGGCAATCTCCAAAGTGGAATACGGGCATGCTATAAGAGCCACTGGATGAGCACCTGGTCGTACTCGATCACCAGTATTGAGGACTGCTAAATGTACATTATGTAGATTGACTCCAGCCCCGAGTCGTAACCCAAATCCAGGTCCAGCGATCTGGTGATAACTTAGTACAAGATGTAATTTGCCGTCTAGCTCGTAGAGTCCGTTATGAACATTGACGATTTTTGATATGCGACCAGAGTATGATATCATTCCTGGCTTGGGTTGTACTTTTGGGTGCATTGGTATTTGGATTGGTTGACTACGTATTGTATTGGGTTGCGGAGTACCATCAATGGTGTTTGTATCCACTGCTACTGTGTCGGGAATTATTACAGGTGGTTTGACATTAAAGAGCTTCGAGTTATTGATATCAAAGTTCAGCACCTTGCGGATTATACTACCACCCTTGACAGGTATCTTGATCTTTGATGCAGTCAAGTTACTCAACAAGTACCATTTCCCAACTTTTAAATGGTGGTAGTAGTGTATAATATCAAGTTTGGTTGCTTGAGCTGCGTCTTCATAACAAACACAAGCAGTCAAGACTGCATCACCAAACTCTTCAGTCTTTTCTTGTTTACATACGACTTCTACGACAAAGAATTTACGAATTTTGCCTTCTTTGGCCCTGTTTTGAATAAATCCTTTAGATTGAATCATGCCGTGGATGGAGAGCTGCTCCAGTCTGCGGATTTTCTCTAGCTCCTTTGTCATGGCTTTTGCGTCTATATGCGAAAAGTTCATATTGACTGGTTTATACCGTTCAATCAACTCATTATCGGATAATTGAGCATGAGGTGACGATGGATGAGGTTCTATAATGTTGGCTTGGCAGTCCACCAACAAGTCGATATGATCAAAATCATACGACGAGACTCTCGACAAGGCATACGTTTTATCAAAGAAGCGAGGCAGCGAGCATACTTCTAGATACCACTTTGTGGAGCCTGGCTTGCTCTTGTAAGGTATCAAGGCCCATTCGAGTAGATAACAACTATACGTATCATCAGACAACCAATTCACATCAAAATCCTGAGCGAATTCACAGTTTATGTAGCCAGTGCCATCCACAAAACATACAGATGGACTAGCTGCACCTAACAATCCATCTGGAAGATCATCTTCAGGAAAAAGAATAGCTGCCTGCTTCCGTGTTATGAATTGACCGACTAGGATTGGCCATGGTTGCTGCTGTTCAACATTGTGATGTTCTGGATCGGCACGTTGAGTTGCTCGATTGATTATAAGAGGCTCGGTGATGGATGTGAGCTCGACGAGCCGAGTGATGCGATACGGGCGCATTATATAGACACTATAATCATGATTTACAGCGTCTAAAGAGTGGGCATTAGTCCGTTAGGAGTGCTGTTCTGTGCCGTAGAAAACGGAGGCAGTTACTTGAGGTTTGATACACTTTGCTGCGGATGATCCAAGGGAGACTAGAGTGAAATGAGTAGTTAGTAGTCATTCAAAGTTCTTTGAATTAATATTCAGTCTACCTGGAGGTGTATGACTGTCACAGAGTTCGGACTCGTGCCAATGATGTGCTTGATGACAGTTGAATAAAACCCAAATCACAAGAGAATCTACGTCTTCAGATATGAAAGGGTTATTTACGGACAGCATCTTTATAAATGAATTGATACATCTATAATCTTCACACCTTCAACAACAAGAGCTAGATCCAAGCTGAAACATCAAAGCAAAAGATGGTGCTGCAACGAGTAGTATGCTTACCTGGCATTAATCCTCGAGTCCTGATCGCCTGTGGCAAGCAGTTCCTTGTTCTAGATACTCTGTACGTGAAGTCAGTTCTTTTTTGGACGCTTGGAGCTGTAGCAAACATGTAAACTTGACGGTAACATTTGGACGATTATATTATTTTTAGAACACAAAAAGCTATTGCTGGACCGTCCGATTTATTGAAAACACATCCTGAAAGCGTCTCAAATGGATACATTGCAATCGCAGATGAAGCCTATTCGAAAGGCGATATTCTGGACGTGGCTTGCAATTCTGATGGCACTCTCATCGCTTGTTGTGCTGATGACAAGTCCGTTACTATCTGGTCTTCAAGCACTTGGACCATTGTCACCAAAAGGTGAGATCTTCGAGCGAAAAAAAACCCTCCAACCTTGACAACCCGAACTTAATCTTACTTGAAACCCATTTCTAGAACTTCGCTAAAACGTCCCAGTGTTGCTAAATTCTCGTCGGATTCCTCCACGTTGCTAGTTGGTGACAAGTTTGGTGATATCTATCGGTTAACCACCCGTTGCACATCGAGTTTCAATATCGCCCTTTCTCATCGAGTTATAAATCTCAGATTTTCGCTCTTACCATCCGAAACCAAACCTACCCTACTATGCGGTCATGTGTCAATGCTTACAGACTTGGTACGTACATCGTCCCACCAAGTTACATTTTTTTGGCTCCTCCAATTAACTCAGTCTCTGTCTCGATATTAGCTCGTCTCACCAGACGACAAGTACCTGATATCAGCAGACCGCGATGAAAAGATCCGTGTACACCACTACCCAAACACGTATAACATCCACGGCTTTTGTCTGGGTCACAAACAATTCGTGTCTCGACTGGCAATCCCATCTTTCGCTCCAAACATCCTTGTAGCAGGTGGCGGCGATAATGATTTGATTGTTTGGGATTATATTAGTGGAGCTGCAGTACACAGGGTGGATTTACACTCGCTAGTTGCTAAAGACGTGCCAATATCACAAGATCCTGAAGCTACAGCCGAGCTGTCTGATGCCGTCTCTGTTGCTGCTATAAGTGTCTCTGATGTGAATAAGGAGGTCGCTGTTGTGTTAGAAGGGTCAGTGGAGTAGGCCGTCTCTTTTTTTTCCTCCTCAAACTCACCAAACAACGTTTTTAGTCGACCTTGTATAATAATACTCGATGCGGCTGACCTCACAACCAGTGTAAAGCTCAAACGAATTATATCTACCATGGACGAATCATCAAGGTACAATACATTTGATGCAGCATATGATTCAACTGGACGATTATGGACTGTTGGAAGTGTTGCTCCCATTTCAGACTCGAATGCTCGTGACAATGCATGTCGAGTATACGAGTCACAGGGTAGCGACACTTATCTTTCGGAAGGTAATCTCTTGACATGGTGGAAGGCATCTAATTCATCGTCGTTTGAATTATTCGGGATTGGCCAGCTGAGAAAGAGGTTTGAAGGTGCACGGATGATTTCAAAACGTAAAGGTGCCGATGCTGGTAATGATCGAGAGGATGGTGGGAATAAGGGTAGCAATAAGAAGAAACGTGAGAACTGGCAGAATAAGAAGCAACAGAACAAAGGCCCAAGGCTGCCATCTTATGCTCGGAACCAAAAGTAAAAGCACATTGCATTTAATAATTCATCTTGTACTTGTAAAAAATACACTTTTCGCATAGTCACGTGAATAACCCATGGAGCCTTGAAACGTTTTATTGCTCGCATTCACACATTGACAACATCAAGATGCCACCGAAAGCCAAAGAGAAGAAAGGCGCAGGTAAGGCCTCTCATCGCATTCATTTCCATATCAAATTTGTGTCAGATCGCCGCCATCACTGTGCCCTATGCCCTTTGTTAACAAATTCAATCTTTAATAGGAGCAAATGACCCTCTGTCAGACAAAGATCAACTAGCAAAGGCACTCCAGGACGTCGAGCTGCTGACCAAAGAACTGGGTAAACATCTTGATTCTGCAGTGGATCTATGTCAACTATTTATCAAATGCACCTTAAATTCTAGAAATCAGAAATGCGACAAACGCAACCTTGAAGGCAGACTTGTCAGATTCAAAGAAACGGATTGTATCGTTGGAAGAGCAAGTCGAGCTTAAAAATCAAGATCGGATTGATCTGTCGTCTGGTAAGATGAGAAAGCTGCTCTGGTTTGGACACAGAAATATATACTGTTTCACCACGTCCTATTTTTCGTTAGATATGAGTAGAGCATTCAGGAACATGCAACAGCAAAAGGACGAACAAATTAAATCTTTGGAGTCTCAAGTATCGGAACTATTATCCAAGCTAGGTGAGTTTCGGTGATAAACTGCACACATTTTGGGTTCTATAACAGTCATTTTTCTGCCCTTGGATTAGAAACGCTACAAAAGACATATAACGAGATGATGAAAAAACACGAGACGAGCACCTTTGAAAAGGAAACGACGATCGAAGATCAGAACGCCAAAATGTCGTACATGTCGGCTCAGTTTGAAGCCATGCTGAATGTAAGTTTCTCGACTGCTTGCTTGACTTGTGGGTAATTCAGCTTGTAGAGCATAAGATCCAGCATATTCGAGTCAGATCCTAGCGTCATATGTCGAACACCAAACACTACCTTCATACTATTAGGAGACATTGGGCAAGATCACAAAGAAGCTTGAAGTAGTTAGTGCCAGGTGGCAAGAGGGAGACAGTGTACATTTGTCTGATGTCAATGCCAGAAGACTGGCAGACTTTCATCTGACGCGTTTGAATCTTGGATCGTGAAGCAACACATCGCATATGTTTGGTGCTGTTTTCGTGAGTTTTCGGTTGGAAACAACCTGTAATGCAATGTAGTATCGGTAGCATTGATAATTTCGCTACCATTTAATATAATCTATTATTATTATTCTTCCCCAATCGTGTAAATGTTTGACGAAAAAAAATTCAACCTTGTTTCGCTCAGAGCAAGCAGTTCTTTCTTTCAGTCAAAGCAGTCGATTGCAGGCTCATTGGAAGGTACAGAGCCATTGAAATAGCATAGATCTATCTTCTTCTTGGCCCTTTTACTAACCAGTCTCTTCGTAAAGCAGAATGACAGTTACAAGGAAGCGAAGGAAATTTGTCAAAGAAGGCGAAGAACAGCCAGCTGATGCCAATGACGGTAAACAAGCAGTCGCAACAGATTATGACTTTACAAGCTACATTATCTATCTCCTGTTCTAATAAGTAACCCAACATTCAAACAAATTAGATGATTTCGGACAAAAATACCACTGCGATGTCTGTGAAAAGGACATTAGCCCAGTAGTTAGGATACGATGTGCAGCTTGTCCCGACTATGATCTTTGTGTCGAGTGTTTTGCTTCGGGCAAAGAAACTGGCACTCACCAAAACGACCATCCATATCGAGTTATTCAAGTTCTCGACTTTCCTATATTCGACAAGGACTGGACGGCTGAGGAAGAACTCTTGCTTGTCGAAGGACTCGAGATCTTTGGAATGGGTAACTGGGATCAAGTTTCTGAGCATTTGGGAAACAAGTCTGCTCCTGAATGCAAGGCACATTATATCAATACGTATATTGCAAATCCCGATTGGCCGATGCCTGTAAGTACTGATGACCTGTGTTTGGTGTATGCACATGATATACTAATAGTCTGTTTACTCGATAGGACATGAACAAGGAATTCGATCCTGCTCAAAAGAAGAAGTGGAGTTGGAGTACTGCCAGTATGTCTATTTGACGTATATAGTTTTTCCTTGCTCTAATTTTTTTCGCTCCTTCACCCTAGTTCCCAAGAAGGTCGCTCCTGGTCCAAAGAATGCCCGTCCTTTGACTAGTGGCCCTACAAACCATGATATAGCAGGATATATGCCTGGTCGATTCGAGTTTGAAACGGAATATGAGAATGAGCATGAACAGAATGTCAAGGACATGACTTTCGACGAAACAGACGATCCACACGAATCTGGTTAGTTATCTCAATTTGGTGCTGTTTGGTTTCTTTTAGTCATTGAAAGCAAACCCTACGAAGTGGAACTCACGCGTGTTTACTACAGACTTGAAAGTGGCAGTCTTGGATGCATACAACACTATACTCGATCGCAGGCAGCTGAGGAGAAAGTTTATATTTGATAGAGGGTTTCTCGATTTCAGAAAGGTGAGGTATTGTACGATGATGAACCGTTTAAAGTAGGTTCTTATGACGCTTTTTGCGCTCTACGTAGATACAAAACCAGGAGAAAAAGAGAACTAAGGATGAAAAGGATTTGCTCCAAAAGATCAGAGTATATGCAAAAATGCAAACTGCGGAGGATTTCGATAATTTTGTTGAGGGCTTGGCTGGTAAAGGAGTTCTTAGAAGAGACTTGTTTGTAAGAGGTGTTTTGTCACTGAGGCATTGTCTCTACTTTTAGCTGAACAGAAATTACGTGATCGTATACAGCTTCTTCAACGGTGGAGGCGTATGGGTATAACGTCGATGAAAGAAGCGCAAGATTATGAACGTGAAATGGAAAAGAGGGTGAGTCATGTCTTTCCAATAAATGTGGTTTTTTTTTCGCTTGGAGGTTTTTTGTATGATTCAATTTTCTTCTTCTCTTCTTTTCTTATATAGTCCAATCCAGCAACCAAGGGATGGCCAGCATATCCAGCACCAGATCGCAGCTCTAGTACAGGACGACAAACAGTTCGAACCAAGTTTGATGATGTGAGTTTGATGACAAGGACAAGGAGATAACACAAGACGGCATTGGAATTCAGTTCCTCACGATCCATCAATTTTCTCTAGTATGTCACAACTCCCATTGCTCGAGATGCTACGCCGAATGCGCCATTACGAGCAAACTCATTCGGTCCAGGCTCATCAGCACCGCTATCCGCAACTCCATACGCAGTACCCACAACATCAGGTCGTCCACCACCCGCATCACTAGATATAACAACAGCAGATGGTGTAGGTCTCTTATCGCCCGCCGAGCAATCCCTATGCTCTGCACTACGTCTCGTCCCAAGAGCATACCTGGTCATTAAGGAAACATTGTTGAAGGAACAACAGTCAAAGGGACATTTGAAGAAACGGGCCGCGAGAGAGCTTGTTCGTATTGATGTCAACAAGACTGCCAAGATTTATGATTTCTTTTATGAGATGGGATGGGTGTCGCCAGAGCAGTAATATGAGAGAGCGGAATGAAAGGGCTGTTGGGATCGTATTTTGTAAACTTCTTTTTTAACAGAATGTCTTGTAAATATTAAGATTGCGTTTGCACGAAAACGTGATTACCTCTTACCTGAAAGTTGACTTTGTTGCAGTGTGAAATAATAACGTTTATGATAACTCGTTATAAAGGACTTTCGAATGAAGTTGAAAGGCGAGTTTGCTTTGGGAACGCTGAAGAGAACACAATGTTACGAAGGCTATTCTTTTTGGTTGAGACCATCGCAACAGCAACAACCAACGCCCAATAAACGAGGAAGAATGAGGCCATTTGCTACAAAATTTCAACGCGCTCTAGCTCGCAACGTGAGCTCTTCACCACGCACTACCAAGCTTCCAATTGGTGCAATGTGCAGCATCCAAACAACCAGAGACAGCTTACCACCCAAAGTAGCTGAGATTTGTACCAATTATCCCCTCGTTATCAATCTCCCGGTCCAGTGGGGTATGTGGATTTATGTAGGACGTTGGTTTGGGTTGGCATCAGTCAGCATTTTAAGTTGTTGAATTGGTTTGACTTTACACGCACATCACGAATCAAATGAACGTCATTTGGCTGGGTATCTGATAATGCTGCATAGGGCTTGAATATTGGGGGATCTTGTTGCATGGGTGTCCCTCTCTTTCACGTACGCTGACCTTGAAACGTCTTGCTGATACTTAGGCGACCAAGATGCGTATCAACACGTTAATAACGTCACTTATCTACGTTATTTCGAGTCTGCTAGAATGGCCTATGTATGTGAAATTGCTGCCTTTGATATCGAGTGTTGAACGTTTCGGTTACTCAAATACGCAAGATTTCCAATGGAGAAGATGTCGTCCACCCACTGACAATCAATCACCTTTTTACTTTTCTAGTTTGAACACGTATTGCGGCCGCACTTGACTGAGAAGGAGGCAGATGCGTTTATAAATGCTAAAGAAGTCGGACCGATTCTGAAATCCACTGCATGTCATTACAAGATCCCGGTCGTTTATCCCGATATTTTAACTTTGGCCTGTAAGACCGATCTAAGCTCAATCACACACGACCACTTTACGCAAAGGTCGATATGTGTGTCGCATTCGTTGGAGAAGATTGTTAGTACCGCTGACGCGGTGAGTGATTCTTAACTGCTTGCCATTCTTCAGAGGTCACTGACAATGTTGGGGCATGTTGTAGGTTGCTGTTACTTATGATTACAGGATTCTCAAGAAGGTGAGCTGTCTAGAAGGAGACCAAAAATAGCGATGCAACGATAACCAATGCATACGTTGTTTTAGGCTCCAATTCCTGATCATATCAGGAAACTCATTGTGGATATCGAAACCAAGTATGGCAACTGAGGATGGATTATGATATCAATAATTGTGTACATTATATAGTTAGATCCTGAAATTCATCTTTTCTTAAGAATCACAGTCACAACCGTTTGTCCCGTTTTACCACCAAATGTAAACGTCTTGTGTTTCACTCGCTCCTTGAATTCAAAATCTAGAGAAGAATTCCAGTTACAGAAGATTCGGCGTCAGGAAAGGGCAACAACAACATAAAAAGCAGATTGAAACAAACTTGTGAAATTCACCTCGATTAAAAGCCCGTATCAGCTCCTCCTCAGTCCAATTACAGCTCGTAATCACTAGCACGCCAGTCGCAGGTTTCAGCATCTTAGCAACTGCCTCCGAGTACCCATCCACAGCGTGCCCCTTCCCCACATTGGCTTCATGACCAGCTAGCGACATGGCATCATACGTCCCCTTATCCAATGCAATTTGAAATTGGGATTCAAATCTTGCCATGGACGTTGCGTCGAGTATATCAGCAGTTTCGTAATGTATGAGGGAATCCAGCTCTTTAGATGTTGCTATTGATGTTGCTAGACAGACCGAGTTCTCAGAGTAGTCGAGACCTGTTAGGGACTTGAAGCCTAGTTCAGCCTATTGAAGTAGTAGTAGTAGTAGATCCTGGTTATTTATTTGTCTGCATCATTGTAGAGAAACAAATCCCAGGAAATGCTTGAGCGAACTTACTAGATCAAGCAGCAAATGTCCATTTCCACATCCTAAATCAACTATAGGAACATCCAAGTCGTTTTCGTAGTGCTTTTCTACCTAATGAAGGAAACAAAAAATGCGGTATTAAATTCAAATGGCACGAGACACGATCAAGTACTCTCAGCATGACTCCATGAATCCTCACCCAGGTGACCATTTTGACTGCGCTTTGCTCTCCAAACCTAATCATGTTTTTGCAATTTCTGAGCTTTTTTTCTGATGTTTGATGTCGACCTGGATCAAACACAACTCCCATACCAGATCTCTCCGATATCACCGCTTTCATTAAAATTGACAATCTCTCGCTGATATGCATTGTCCCAGCTAAGATTTGATAATGCGATGTATTAGCTTTCGTCCAAAACAAGGGTTGCCAAACATCAAAAACTTGCTATTCTCGAGTCCCAAGAACAGAAGGTCCGAATTTCGAATCATCATCAGTTGGATATTCAAGGTGAGAATCTTCGGTACTCATTCTTTTGGCTTTTTGACGTGTCGCGATGTGGGAATGTCGATTTGCGTTCAAAGTGGAAGTATACACATGGCAACAATGATAGATAAGAATCGTGTCACGACACTCAGACGAGGTCAAATAGGAATTAAGTATCGTGCTCAACGCCGGTAAAGCTAATATGCCTTCCATTTTTTGTCCTGTCGTAATGTTGAAATTATGATCTGCGTTTCAAATTCGAAACCTGCCAACACCGTCGCCAACTAACTGAAATGTAGTATCAAGTAGGACGATTCCTACGGCTCATACCATTTCAAGTCAATCCCTCGAAAAAAGCTCACGTTTACAAACCCCAATGCCAAGTATGATGGTATACCAAGTCGAACCTTTAATCAATTAAAGATTACAAAGGTACAAATGTCTCAACTCTGGATGTATCAGCTAGAATGTCCCTTATTAATGGATGTGCCTTGGACATGCCAGCCATTGATAAGGGACGTGGAGTGGTCGCTGGAGTGGTAATTGCGTATTGAATATTATGCAATTCATGAGCTTTTGGTGGCAATTTGTAAACCTGAGAATACACCACAAAAAACCGGTGTGAATTTTTGATGGTGCCCGTCGTCGCGAAGGACATACATACCCAATTTTGCTTTTCAACAAGATCAAAGAACTCATTGAATAGATCTGTAGCAGCCAAAGTACTCTTGGATCCAAATATGATGACCTTGTGCTTGGCACGAGTGAAGGCAACATTAATTCGTCGCCAATCACGTAACAAGTCACCAATCTAAAAAGAGTTTCAATTTTTCAGTCTCGGTATAAGATGATCTGAATCGTTTTAGTATGAGCTACTCCTCACTTACATTCTGATTTGGATTCGATCGAACAAGAGAGACGACGACACACTCCTTGTCCCTTCCTTGAAACTTGTCAACGGTGTGTACTTCAACACCAGGATGATTCAGTAATGTGTGTGCCATTATTTTCAATTGTGATCGATATGGTGAAATCACACCAATCGAGGTCTCCTCAACACCAGATTTGATGAGACATTCCACCGTCTACGCCAGAAAAGAGGATATGAGAAAAAGAGTTCTTGGCATTGATAGGATACAAACCTTTACCTGCTTGACCAAAACTGCCTCCGTATCATTTTGAGTCGATTCTCCGTGTTTGGAATCTAGTGCTGGCACAGCATCCGTGTCCACAAACACGACACGTCGTCTAGTAATACCAAATAGTGTCATTCAATGAAACAACAAAGGTACCAGGAACAGAAATACAAGGACTCACTTTGGATCAATAATATCCTGAATCCAACAAGATTGGCCATCACAGAGCCCATTTTCTTGCTGCATAACATTGCGTTGAGATACATGAAGCTCTTGCATACCATCCACTAGTTTTGGTACATGAAGTATCGCACTCGCAACTTCAGGTGTTCCACATCGTAGTCGATGATGGTACACAAGGGTATTGGACAGTAGTGTAATATCAGCACACATACGATATTGATGTTCGAGATATGTCACGGCTGAAGGGTGTGCTTCCGATAATCGACGGAACAACGACACGGAGAGGCCATTGTCCCTTGCCTCTTGGTGTTTGACCTACGTCAAACACATAGCGGTTGAGAAAAAATAAGATTGATGGGGTTGCGATGATAACGTACCAATGGTGGTAGTTGATAATGATCTCCAACCAATACAAATCTCTTGGCATATCTCAAAGGACCAAGACATACCGGGAGCGTCAACTGCGATGCCTCATCAACAATGCAATAATCGAATTCACGTTTGCCAAACATCCCGCTGCAGACGGAAATAGATTAGGAGCCAAAGCAAGATAGCGATTTTCTGAAGCTTCCGAACTTACTGAGAGACACCTAAACAAGTAGTTGCAACAACTAATTTCGATTCATAGAATGCATCTAGTTGCGCCACTGTTTTAATGTCACCGTGATAGTTGGGTGTGTATTCGACGACTCCCGGATGGACCTAGCGATGCAAAAGAATAAGGAAAGGATACACTGAACCAACTGTGTCTAGCACAATTATACCTTGTCAACATTTCCCAATCGTACAAAATCAACATTATCTTGCTTTAATTTCAGCAGCACATTATCGACAGCGGTATGAGTATATGACGTGAGTAACACAGACTTGCCCTCAGCAGCGAGCGTTCGAATGAGAATGGATATAGTCGTGGTCTTCCCGGTTCCTGGCATACCCAAAATCAGCGCATAGTCTTGAGCTAGAAAGCAAAAATAAAATAAAACCCCTCAGTAAGCTTACATTATATGCTGGTTGCATGTCGCATACATACCAGACTGTACTCTCTGCACTGCGTTCCGTTGATCTATGTTCAAACTTACACCCAGAGCTGCTACTTGAGAAGGCGACGGTACAGCAGAGAATCTCGGAGGCTCCAAATCTACTATAAGACTACGTCGACGAGTATCTCGGTCACCAATACCAAGCAACGTCACTAAATGTCCTCGAACCAATCCCATTGACGACGAAAACTCATCCTTGTCGATTCGAAAGAGCATGTGATCAGGAGGAGCTATTGTATTAAGCACTCCTGTATACTCCTGATTACTTTCAGGGTTAAAAGGAAAGCCCATGTCTCGTACTCGTCGAGGTGGACCAGCGAGAGGTCGATCAAGGGATACGACGATGGATTCTGGAGTCAACTCCGTTGCGAACCCGATTGCCAATCCTATATGCAGACCATCTTCAGACGAGATGACTACAGTATCACCAATAGATATTTGGGCATTTATTAGCGATAGCGAAGGTGTAGTATCGAGCGAAGGTCTTCCTTCACGAAGGAATCTGTATTGGTGTCGACCGGTGATTGAGAAGTCATGCTTCTGTGCATGTCTACTATAATGGGCCATGTCAAGTTTCATACGACCAAAAGCTCGACCAGCCTTTTGTCGATCTTCAGAAGTCATATTCCAAATCTCTGCACGGAATTTATCGGAAGTCTTCTCTTCTAGAGATATTAGACGTTCCCATTTTTCAAAGAATGCTGTGTGGTCATTTGTCAAATGGTTCGTCTTTTTCTCAAAAACTTCAGGGAATCCAAATGATGTTGAATTACCATTTTCTGTGGCCTAATAAGTTGAAAATGTCATTGAGAACCATTACTTCAATGAGTTGCATCACAATCTCACCTTGTGGTAGAGAATACAGGTATCACGGACAAAGCAATTGTTACAAGTATTTGCTTTAATGACTTCAGGAAGAGCATCACTCGAAGTCAAGAAGCTAACCATACGATTACGTTGAACCATAAGAGATCGAGTCTCTTCCCAAGCAGGTCCAACATGAATCATCTCCTCTTCTCCTTGGGCCTTATTTGCTTTGACATAATAGAGAAGGCCACACTTGACAGTAACCTCTGAGAAAAAAAATCCAAATTCAGCTGAGCCTCACAACGGATGGCATTGATCTGCTGCAGCTTACCGTATCGATCACCGAGCAGCATGGTGTAGAGACTAGTCTGCTTCAAATGAGATGGGGCAATGAATGCCCTTCCAGTTTTCACTTCGAGAGGTGCTAGTCTGGTTGATATCGGACCTGTGCCTTCTTGTATCTTGACCGTCACAGTGGCATCGACCTTGCCTTTCAGTCCAAGCTTTGGTGACCACACATTCTCTTCAATGTCCAATATTTTAGATACAGCAACAGATCTGGTGATTGGACCTTTACGATGATCGGGAAGGAGAGCTTGCGGCTACAAAATTAAACAGGATCAGAGTTTGCTAGAAACTTCCAAGCATATTCAACTCTGAAAATTACCTTCGAAACAAGAAATTTGACAGACCAATCCTTATAAAACGACAGTGCTGCAGTCAGACGTTGCTGAGCCGTCACCTCTGTCTCGTTCACAGCCCAAAGCCCATCGATGTTGCGAGATATAATTCGTGGTATATCAGCCTCCATTCTCGAGATATCGAATGATCCACGGAACAGCGCTTCTTGGAAGAGATCATGAAGCATGGTTCCAAACAGTGGTTCTGCAGAACGTACATCCGTTCCTCGAACTCGTTCTTGTAGTACCGCTCGTCGTGTACAACCAGCTTCAGATACGGTTGTGGCCGACAATAGCACGTCAGGATGTAAGACAATCATATTCTTGTCGTTGTTAACCACGTATTTGAATCCTCCGAGTAGTTCCAAGTCACCAATATAGTGAATAAAATCACCTAAGACACAGACGGTCAGAAAGACAAAAGAAAGCTGTTAAACTTGCGCCATACTCACCAACGCGTGCTTCGGTCTCCAGCCAATCTTCTCGTAAATGAATGAAAGTATCGATTTTGCGATCATCATCCCATGCTCGCAATATCTTTTCTGGTGCTTTTGAAGTTCCAGAGTAGATGTACTGACTTTCTCGTACTTCCAATACGAGATACCGTCGAAAGTTTTTGGCTGCTGCTATAGCTCGAATGGGCGATATAGATGAGAGCTTGGCTGCACTAGCTGCAGCAGATTGAGCACTGGCCACCACCTCGTCAATAGACAACGAAGCCAAGAATTCATCATCTAATTCCCCTTCAAATATCTCGTCATCACTGATTTGTTTATTAACTGCCACAGTCTCAACCACAGGCGGTGGTACTAGCCGATGATTTCTCGTTTCGGGATATGCGTATGGTGATATGTTTTCTTTGCCCCTTCCTTCAAGACGGGTCTTAGTTGATTTCTCTTTGTCGTTACTGTTATGACAATTATTATTATCTACTGCTTGGATATTGGCTTTAGACGAGGCATCCGTACCGAATCGACGAGGCTTGAGTTGGAGTCCGTTACATTTACTATCGGACAATGCGAGGTCTCCATCAGCAGACATCGGAAGTGCGGCAGGATCATCACGTTTACTTCCATTTGCTCCTTCTGAATGTCGACGATTAGTATGGTTTTTGACGTCACTTATGGCTTCTTGAACCAACTCGGCAACGTCTGACAATCCATCTGATTTGGAGCTACCAGACCATTGATCTGGCCTTGGTCGTTTATGTGCTGCCAAGGTCAAACTATCGTGACTTAGAGATCTTTTGAATCCCCTTCGACCAAAAGCACCTATCAGCCCTCTATTTGAAGGCGAAGCTGCCAAAGGGGGTGGCAATTGAGTAGCAGGTGGTAGAGGAAGTGATGTATCAGCTTTCACAATATTATCGGAAGGCGAGGTCGAGGGCTATAGAGGAAAAGAAGCTTGTAAGTACGAGTTAAGACAAGCGTTAATCATTCGCGATGTTCTTTTGCTGTGCCTTATCAGCAGGAGACTTTTTCGAGTTCAACGCATCAAACAAGTCCTTGATATCGGCATCACTGTTTGAGGCTAGTAGAGATTGATGATCAGTACTTGTTTCAGCATTTTTTCAATATAACTCCGACTCTTGCTCACCAGACCAGGATCCTTTCTTGATCTTTTCTAGTGCTGGCGACATTGCCCATACAACATGATCACCAGCAGCCACACCAGCATCACCGTAACCATTAGACCATTTACAAGCGCCATTAGGACTTTCACCATTAGGGCTTTCAGATGGTATTACGCCCACCTTGGTAGCGTTTGGAGTAGTGTATATAGATTTATCTTTGGCTGTGGGTGGATTTGCAGTCAATGATGAGGGTGCAGAAGCACGTGGAGGTGATGTAGCTTTTACAGGAGTTTTGCTCTTCTTGTTGACACTTTCAACTAGGTCGACTTCTGATGCTCGTTTCTTCGTTACGGTTGGAGTGTTTTCTGTTGACTTCACAATTGGTGGTTTTTCTATAGGTTTCGGTACTTCAAGTAACGATTTTAGCAGCCCAGCTGATGCTTTTGGCACTTGATTTAGCAGTTTCGGTGGTGCTTGGAAAGGCTTTACTGCTTGGGGTGGTTGTTTCGTAGTTTGGATGATGGATCTCGTTGACTGAGGAGGTGGCGGTTTGGGTGCTTGAAGTGCTGGTTTGGTAGATGCAGCTGAATGTAGACCTAGATTTTGGACGTAGATTAGTATTTTACTACAATTCTCAAGATTTTTGATTCCGCACCAATTTCATTCTCAGCTCTTGAGACTAGAGCATTAGAGAGAGCATTTGGTTTCTTGACAGCTGTATCGTTCTTCGGTTTGAGTGTACCGGTAGTGAGACCTGACGTGAGTATAGACTGCTTCTTTGGAACAGGAGGAGGCCACATTTGAGGAATGCTTTTTGTTGGTGATGACTGTGCAAGAGTCTTGGTTTTTAGTCCATTTGCAGGAGCAGCAATGAGTACGTTGGCTGATAGTATGCTTCGAATATCTTTACTATCTGGCTTGTTCTCCTAAAGATAGAAAAGTAGACGCCGTTAGAATCAAAAAACAACAAAAACAGATGTCGAGTTGGATAGATGTCGACTTGATCTGTAGATAAAGAAGGAAGGAACTAGCGTAACTAGCCCGTACCTTTGCAGACTGCTTTGATTTTGATTGTTTCGAGCTCATGCCTGTTGAAAGTATCGAGTTTCTTGTTGAATTCTTGAACAATGCCGTCGACGACGGGCAGCCATATACTTTGGAGCCAGGAAGAGTAATGCCAAGTAATGCCACTGTGTTTAAGGCCCAATGCAACCTGTTGGGCTATTACTGGCTGACAATATGATGATAATCTGTTGTAAAGTTCAAGTTCATGACGGGTTGAAATCCATCGACGAAAGACAGAGGATGACGAGTTGATGTTTATTAACACGTCAGAACGTATATTTTATGTATTTTGATGTGGTCCAGCGATATCCAATTCAGTTTCTTTTCGAGTGCTGATCGACGGAAGTGAAGTAATAAGCTCAGATTTTGACATTGTACGTGTTGATCGCTTCCTGCTGATGCGGCTGATATCCATTTTTCGCATTTTCTAGATCCTGGCTTCTTGTTTCTGATCCACTGGTGCTAGAGCTTCAAACATTTTCTTGAATAAGTAAACAGTCTAACCAGCTCAACTGTCAGTTTACATGTTTTTCTGTATTTGTGCCATACTGCTCTGCCTAAAATCTGCTTCACTTCACAGTATAGACTTCCTCGATACGTTTTCTTGCTTAGTCGACCCTTTTAAAGTGATCGATTGCGATAACAATTTCATTCGCCGACAACATTAACTTGACACATGATGCATCCCTTTGCACCACTAATCGCTGAAGAATTCACCCTTGGAAGTCGCCTGATACGCGATTCTCAAAGGGAACTGTTTGAAAATGGTATGTTTGCGTCGCATTGATTGCTTTCTAGGTCATCGCAGTACGCATCTGATCGTTTCGTTGACTAGGGGCCAAATTCAACTCAATCACTTTGAAGGAACCTAACAAACGAGCTTATCTGGAATGGAGAGACTCTGCTGGCTCAACGCCGCCCAGAATGGCCGAGATCGTGCTGACTTGTAAAGGAGCTACATATCATGCTATAGCTCAATTGGCACCAGAGCAACGATGTATGAGTTTTGTAAAGGTCGAGGGTATGCTGCAAGCGTCTATAGCTCCCGAAGAATACGTTTTAGCAGAACAGTTGAGTGCTTTCCAACTTCAACGTCGCAGAAGTGTTGTTAAATCGTTTGCAAAACATAGAATCGCTCTGAAAGATCCTGAAATCTTGAAGATTGTACACGACAAGGGACTGAACATTTCCCAAGTGTTTGCGGACGGCTGGACCATTGGCGGACACCGAGAAAAGTACAATGGGAAAAGAGTCGTCCAACTCTTTACGTACTACTCTCGAACGGGTCACGAAGATGAAAACTTTTACGCTCATCCTTTGGACTTTTGGCCGGTAGTTGACGTTCAAGAGAAGAAGGTCGTAGAGATACAATGGCTGCCCGAGGCAATGGTCCAACCACAACCGGTCTTGGCTACCAGATCAGCCGAATATGCAGCTAGCCTAATGCCGTCCTTCAACGCATCACTCAAACCAATTCATATTACTCAACCTGAGGGGCCTTCGTTTGTCGTGGATGGACATTCGATCTCCTGGTATAAGTTCAAGTTCAACTTCTCATTCAACTTTAGAGAAGGGCTTGCGTTTCATGATATCCGGTGGCACGAGAATGATAGCGATAAGGCAGGAAGACGGATTTTATATCGCGCATCTATTGCTGAAATGGGTAACCTTTTGACAAATCATGCAAAGCAGAGAATCATTGAAAGCCAAAATTGCCTGAACTTAATATTTTGATAGTGGTGCCCTATGGCGATCCTCGTGGCCCTTATCATACTAAGAAGTAGGAAAAATATCGTGGTTGTGTTTGTAGAAGGAACCATTGGTCACGGCATACCTGCAACATCTAACTAAACCTCTGAAAAATCTAGTGCCTTTGACGCTGGTGAAGACGGTCTAGGCAATGGCGCTACGTCTCTGACATTAGGATGTGACTGCCTCGGCGAAATTGTCTATGCCGATGGCATCTTGAACGATATGGAAGGGCAACCGCTGTTAATGAAGAATGTGATATGTATACACGAGGAAGATCAAGGTATCTTATGGAAGCATACCAACTACCGAACTCAAAAGGGCGAGACCAGAAGGAATCGACGACTGGTTGTAAGCTCATTTACTACCATCTCGAATTACGATTATGGATTCTATTGGTACTTTTACTTGGTAGGTTGGGATTGTTGTACGGCGTGGTCGATATAATAACTCAATCAACCTCACCAGGACGGAACGATTCAATGCGAGATCAAGGCTACCGGATGCCTCTCCATTGTCCCTATGACTCCCGGAAGCAGATCCGCAAACGGGATCCCGCTACACGATATATTCACAGGTCATCATCAACACATCTTCTGTGCCAGACTGGACTGGAGTGTAGACGGAGATGTGAACTGTCTATCAGAAGTAGAAGCGGTTCCAATGGGACGAGTGGCAGAAAATCCATTTGGCAATGGATTTGTAGGTCTTGAAGCGCCTCTCAAGACAGAGTTAGCCGCGAAACGAGATGCTGCTATTGGGACTGGTCGTGCTTGGAAGATTTATAATCCATCAAAGAAGAATCCTCTGAGTGGGCATCCTGTGGTATGTGACTAGATGCGTCTCCTTAATACTCTTGTAACTGACATTACTTTTCCTCAGGCTTGGAAACTCATTCCAACACACCCCATCACACTGATGTGCACGCCAGAGTCAGAAATCGCTCGGCGAGCAGCTTTCACAACGTCTACGCTATGGGCAACTCCATTCAACGAACAAGAACGATTCCCAACGGGCGAATACCCTAATCAAAACCCGGGAGGAAAGGACGGTATCCAGGTCTGGACGAAGCGAGATGCTTCACTGGAAAACACTAACATCGTCATCTGGCATACCTTCGGGCTAGTCCACCTCCCGAAACCTGAAGACTGGCCAATAATGCCAGTCGAGTTGTGTGGTTTTACAGGTATTTACAAAGCTATTGAGCGACAACGATCGTAGCTAGTAGAAACTAACTGGGAAGTCGATCATAGTCAAACCTCATGGCTTCTTCTCTGGCACTCCAACTCTTGATATTCCTCCCACTCATCTGAAACACTGCAAACTCTGATAAATTTTGCTTTGAATGGTTTTATTTGCACTGTGACCAAAACTACACTACATATGGACTTTTTAATGGCAAAACTGTAATAGAGACTGTGATAGAGAATAATAAATACTCAGACATTATAAGAAAAGACGTGATACTGTTTGTTAAAAAGAAGAAACTGGTGAAGCAACACTATGCTATCGATCAGGCCAAAATGTCCGCTGCCGTAACTGGTCCTTGTAATGTTGGAGTACGATCAAAGGATGAATATGGTGGCATGGATCTCTCCACACGAGTCAAGATAGTAAGAGGGAACATTCCTCGACATTGAGTACGTCGCACCCAACCGAATCCCCATCTAAGTAAATCGCAGCAATATTTGAGTACAAGAATTACCGACAATTTATCGCCATGGAAGAAATACATACCCATCATGGAACGTCTTTTCGACTACGACACCATCTTCAGGCCAGATTTCAACCTCGTCAGACATTATTGGGTAGTGTCCATATACTGCTCTCATTATATAAACTGGGTGAGCCATATCGGGGAAGAATGTCGGTGATGGTGGTCTAGCATCAATATTTGGGTCTTCAGAAGCAGTCATAAGAGGCCATCCTTGAATGTCGTATGTTGTCGTTGGGTTGATATCTTGTGGCATCATGACCATCATATGGCCTTCCCAAGTACCTAAGTCTTTACCACTGCCGAAATTATCTATTACATCTGTATGTGATTCGAGAGCGCCCATGTCGACCAATGGTAGTGCTCGAGGAGAGATTATATTTGCTTCTGTTTTGGCAAAGTGAGTATCCATTATTTTTGTAGTGTCTTGCTGTGCTGGTGATGCGTGCATTGACTGCCACGCAGCTACAAAGTTTCCGCCTTCTGCTGGTGATATTGTATATACAGAAGGGTGTCGATAGTTTCCGTTTGAGGTTTTGGTTGGCATGTATTCGAGTCCGGCATCTGCTATATCCTGTGTAGCATCATCCTCAGATTTACCTCGGCCAAGCGAATTATATAAGGCAGACATTTCTTCCACAAATCCAGCATATGCGAGAGCCGAATTAGTGGACTGGCGATTGATTCGAGGTAGCGATTTATCTATCTTGAGGTTTGATGGCGTATTATCGTTATTTGTTGGTGGCAGTCGCGGTAGTGTACGATCCATAGGTAATGGAGGCAGAGTGTTCAATCGGTAGGCCAGGCTTGCGTCGTTCATGGGATTGCGTCTATCAAGACGATCTGCTATATCCAGTTTGAGATCCACAGATTTCGACCACCACGATGCGTTATCGTCTGAAGCTAGATTTCGACCTGCTTGACCAGACAAGTCACCATCATTCTCGGAATCTCCTGATACACGAAGACTTTCTCTACGTTCACGAATAGATGCGATAGACGCAGACAATGGTCCAGCAGATAATGGCCCAGCAACCAGTGGTGGATCTGGTAATGGTTTGGGGTCTCGAGTCATTGCTGGACTATTTTGTTCTGAAAATGCTGATACCTTGGCATACGTAAGCTCATCAGGCTCACACCAGAATGAGCTTCCTCGTTGCACACCACCATCTTGATTCTCAGCACCACTATCTCCTCTTCCAAACGAATCCGCACGATTAAGAGGATCCCATTCATTTCCATTTACAGCCTGTATGTTTTCCATTGGTGGTGCTGGTGGAGGCAGACCGCGTCCACGCCATGATCTTGTACTCCCTTGGAAGAGATCGTTGAAATCCAACTGTTCATTGTTTCTGCGTTTTCTCTGCACTATTGAAAACATCCAGGCTACTGCAGCGACTATCAGTAGACCACCTATTACACCAGATACAGATGCGACAGCAGTAACGTTTACCCCTCCACTGCTTTCTGCGGATGGCGTTGCAGCTGCAGGTCGAAGTATTGGTGAAGCAAGTGTTGTAGCAGCAGCAGGTATTATAGGTATCAAAACTACTGCAGTTGGTGAGAATGTTGGGGAAGACTATCATTTCGATGGCATGGTTAGTTTGACTTTTTTACACCATACAAAATGAGGTCTTCTAATACTCACATCGATAGTTGCAGATGCAAGCACCAAAGGTGAAGCCACTACGGGAGATGTAAGCACTGGCGAAGGTGCCACAGATAAAACAGCAGGAGATGGACCTTGTGAAGCTTGTATCGGACTGGCAACAACTTGAGCAGCGCTTGGCTGTATAACTGGAGATGCAGCAATAACTTGAGGCGACACAGCAGCCTGAGATGGCGCAATCACTGGACTTGCAGCAACAGGTGATGCTAGTACTGGCGATTGCTGCACTTGTAATGGACTTGCTTGAACAGGACTAGCCTGTATTTGACTTGGTGCTGCCGATGGCAGAATCTGTGGAGAAGGGCCTGCTGATATTCTGGGAGACGCCATTGCAACTGGTGGTGCTGAAGATGGGCTGCTTGATGGTGTTGGAGATGGTCCCGCCAGATGTGCTGAGATCAATGGGTTTGAAGCCGTTGGGGATGACAACGGCGCACTGGAGTACAAATAGAGTAAAGGATTGGTATCTCCTCTCTTGAGATGCTGCATTCTTGACGTACCAGTAATGGTTATAATGGTTTGTTTAATCTGAGGGTGAATGAACAAAGTGAAGGTGGGCGTCAGTTTGTTTACAACCCGTGCAGAGCTGAAGGGTAGATCCAGCCTTACTTTGACTTTGATCGTCTTTCAAATATGCTCAAATATCAGATTGCATTGATTCAGCAATTGATCCTCCTCTTCCTCTGTCTATGCAGCGTTTTGCGTACAAGTTATTAAAAGAATGAAAAAGGCGGGAATCTCTATGAACAACAAAACATTTCGAATTCCTCACAAGAGGCAATAATAATCAAGAAGGAAGGAAGAACTCGTTCAAGAAGGCTTTCAAAGTGTACACCGAGGAACGTGGGACTATAATTGTCTGCTACTTGATACCCTAGCGACTTTCTTGTATCATGGATGATTTGGATCTTGTCAACTCAACGGACGACTCAAGTGGTGATGATGGAACTCTAACCGATAATCTGGATGCCGGAACTAGACTGATTATATATAATTTCGTCTTGTTCTCGCCTTTCATTGTCATTCCGGCCTGCATCATTTCTGCAAGATTATTCAAATATGTCATTCGTCTGGCCCGGGCCAAATTCTCAAACAGTGACGAGACTGAAGAAGACTTAATTCAAGATCCTCTCGGTGAACTTGGACTCTCTGTGGGTCGTGATGCCGAGACATTAAAGGAGGCAAGACGTTTGAGACAAGAAATGCGACGTTTACGAGCTTTACAACGTGAAGCCATAGTTACTGGTGAGCTGAACGAGTCTGGTGAAAAGGAGAAACTGTCTGATATAAAGAATCAGCTCGCATCGTTTGGCAAGCAAACTCAAAAAACTTGGAATGCTCGATTTACACCTGAAGCTGTACGACGATTCTTTGGTATGACACGTTGGGGACGTCTTTGGATGATGTTTCAAGTAGTAAGTCTCGTTTCATCGTCACAGTTTGATGTCTTGGAGCAGTTATGTGACTTGGTTGTTGACACTCTATTTCGTTTTTAACAGCTTTGTACTGTCATTTCCATCATCAACTACATCATTCTGACCTACAGAGTCGTACGCGAGGAGCATCGTAATATAAAGAGATTGGACTTGTTTCTCGCTATGGTGTTTCTTTCCGATTACACGATCTCCTTGTAAGTTATCTAAGCCTCGTCATGTTATAACGCTTAATCTTAACTTCTTGATCACTAGATATATGGCCGAGGACAGACTGAAATATTACTATCATCCAATGTCGCTTATAGACTTGCTATCCATTTTACCACCTATCGTTTATTACATTGTGAAGGACGTGTCTTCTTCAGTCTGGTTTTTGGGTCTAGGTAATACGTATTCCTCACTCGTTGCCGAATACCATGAATCTAACATTTCTGTTGATGCCCAGTCCGCATCTTTCGTGCCACGCGTATCTTGAGAACATACCGTCTGGTGTCGTTTTCACAGTCCGAAGAATCTCGAGAGTTAGTGATTCTGGGGCTGACCTTTGTCAACTTCTTATTCTTATCCGCATCTATCATTAACGCTTTGGAGAGCTTGGAAATTGAGCATGGGCCAGCTTCATTATCATCGTGGCATGACAGTTTGTACTATATCATGGTTACTTTCAGGTAGTCGCCTATAAAATTGGACCAAGCCTTGTTAATGTGCTGACCTAATATCCGTGTTTCGTAGTACCATTGGATTTGGAGACTTAACACCTAGCTCCACAATATCAAGAGCTGTCGTTATGGTGCTGATTGTTGTGATGATTATCTTTGTCCCAATCCAAACGTCTAGATTGAGTGAAATCTACAACTCCACTTCTTACTACCAACGTCAAAAATATGTGCCAAATATGCGCCATGCACATGTAGTAGTATCAGGACCAGGAATATCTTTTGCAGCCATAGTAGACTTTTGTCGGGAATACTTTGTAGCAGATCCACTAGGACATGTCGTTATTCTCTGTCCTCAGGAACCCGATATTGAAGTACGTCGTCTCTTAAGACATCCGAATTACCGTCACCGGCTGGTATATCTATCAGGATCTTCTCTCTCCATTGGTGATTTGAAACGAGCTGGAACGGACTTTGCAACAGCCTTGTTTTTACTTTCTGGTGATAATACAGTGGAAGCTGCAAAGGATGAATCCCGACTTCGGTGTGACGCTGAAGTCTTGATGCAAACTCTCACTGTCAAAACTGCCTTCCCAAGAGTACCAGTGTTTGCTCAAGTCCAAGAGACTAGGACTGCGGAATTGGCTGTGCATTGTGGGTGTGATAGAGTGTTGTGTCTGGATGAAATAGAAATGGCTCTTTTAGCTCGTGATTGTCTAGTACCAGGGACATTGGCCATGCTACAAAATTTGGTGCACACTTATGGAGCAAGAGAACACTCTCAACGGTCGAATGATACATGGCTCAAAGAATATGCAACTGGAGCTACCAATCAATTGAGTTCTCTTAAAGCACCTTCAGGTCTTATTGGAATTCATTTTACGGAGGCTGCTGCCATGGTGTATTCTGAAGTTGGGGCAACCTTGATTGGTGTATTACCCGCACAAAGTAATGAGGGAATAAATCTGAATCCTGGCCAGTCGTACTGTATAAAACCAGACGATGTCCTGGTCTGTATCGCCGAGGCTGAAAGTGAAGTGGTGCTGAGGATAATGCTACAATTCGAAACAAGACCAACTACCAATCCATTTAATCTGCCGCAAAAAACTGTCCGAAATCTCGACAATGATATGGCGTCTTCGCAGCTTGGCAAAGCAGATGTCTCAAATCGGTGGGGATCGATGCATTTGGTGGCACCAAAATCTGAAGATGGCACAAATGGAGTACGAGCACCACCTGATATAGACGGAGACAACACAGCACTTCCGTCGGCTTTAGCAAACCACATTATATTGTGTGGTACAGTCAGAGCAAGAGGACTACGGCACCTAGTGCATTGTATTCGATCAGCAGAAACCGATAAGTCCGAAGTTACACCTATAGTCATACTAGTTGAAGACATGCCCGATACCACACAATCTCTGTGGGCAGATATAATAAACTATCGTAAAGTCCATCTAGTCCAAGGTACACCACTGAAACGCCAGTCACTTATAACAGCAGGTATCGAGACCTGTCGACGTATTGTAATCTTCCAGAGCTCTATTGGTGAAGGGGCTAGTGACAACGCACAATCAGCATTGGCTGATGCAAACTCAATCTTTATTGTGAAACTCATTCAAGAAGAGTGGCCTGCCGCAGCATTCCTAGTAGAACTTTCGTCAGGAGCCAATACACGATACTTCTCCGTAGAGCTTTTCAAGACCTCAGTAAACCGACAGCAAACGATGCTCATGTTGAGAGACTACTCACTAGGAACTCGTGAACGACTGGCATTATACTATAGAGCGCGGGCTGAAGCTGCCAAGGAGTCAGACATGATGTTGCGTTTATGGAGGTTTATATCAGGTGTACGGCTGACTGGACCTCCATTATCACCCACTGGTGGATCGTCTACAGTGGATAAACAACACCAAGAAGTAAAACGTAGCTATATGAGACTCAACGATGAAACCGATGCTAGCGAGTCGAACGACTCACAAGAGGCTTCCTTCACCATGGCTCAATTAGCACGATTTGAAGAAGAGGCAGAACTTACAGAATCCGGATTGTCCGCCTTCCCAGCATATCAATTTGATGCACAGTTTGCAGCGGGCCGTGTCGCTACAGCAGCTCTGTCTCACTCTTTAATATGTCAGACGTATCTGAGACCGTATGCCATTGATGTAGTAGCCCATCTGACTGCCAGTGTAGACCACATGTCCGTACCAGCAACACTAGCTGGTAAAATGTACTCGGAACTTGTGTTGTACTTCTTGTATCGTGAAATTGTAGTATTAGGTCTCTTACGTGGGGGTGCAGGTTGGGAGGTGAAGCGTCAATTGGCGCATTCGTCCAAGGTAAAGGAAGAACCACAAGTATCTATAGTCGGCAGCTCTTCACGTGCATTGAACGTGCCAGCCGCTGCACTGTCGACCAAACTGGCTGAAGATCTTACAACCAAGCTACCATATGTTTATACGAACTGTCGTGGATATGAGATTGTATCTGCTGAAGATCTAGTGTTTGTCCTACCACGATCAGCGTGAAACGTAGTGTTGGTTGTCCTTCGAGTCTGCTGATAGTATCTTTACAGTAAAATTTACATTGTTTTAATTTCAATTTTCAAACCGAAGTTGAATTAATTGTCCGCACGTACTGACGCGTCCGTCACGTCGATTTACGTTGTTCATTCGTCGTTCGAAAGTACACCTCGTTATCAAACTCGGAGCATCGAATTCAACGAGAAGAACAAGGACGTATGAAGCAAATATAGTTAAGTAGTGGCTTCTCGCCTTTAAATTTATCAATGTAGGTGATCAAACAACACAGTAAAGCTCTACATCTAGTGTACATTGTCGTTAAAGCGCTAATTCTCGTTTGACTTTACAGATGTCGAAGGAATGCGCTCAAAATATCAACGCTGGAGTATTCGCTATGGGACGTGACAATATCACGCAAGCGATTGAATTCTTTGATAAGGTATGTTATTCCTTCGTTTCTTGACATCAAATCCCAACATGAACGATCGTGCGAAGTCTTACAACCTCAAACAAATCCAATTAGGCCGTAGCATTGGATCCTAGCAATTTGTTATCCTATATTCACAGAGCCGACTGCTATATGAAAATTAACCCACCAGCAATTGACTTGGCATTGGGTGAAGCAGACACCGTTGTCACGATGAAGCCAAGTGACTCTACAGTATGTTGAGTCATTCTTGTCTTTTAATGTTGAACTATTTCTAATAATTTGAATGACTATGACTTACGCCTGTTATCATATTAGGGTTACATCATCGCATGGAATGCTCTTTCCAAGTTGAAGCACTACGAGACTGCATTCAAACTCATTCGCATTGGAAAGGCCAAAGTAGTGATGACTGATCCGCAAAGAGAAGTATGTACATGATCAAATGAACCCTGAATGACTATACACTCAGAAAACCGTCTCTGATGACTCTCGTCGTTTCATCTTTTCTAGTATATTGACGAGATCTATGACCTGTTGGTCAAAAAGTTGCCTGAATCCGTCACAAAAGGAGCTCAACCAAGGAAGCCAAAACCTTCAGTTGAACCAACAGCCAAACCCGCAGCACCCGCTATAGTCACCAACGCTGAAATGTTTGGAGACAGGAACTTGCCAAACGAATTGGTCCACAATATATTTGCATATCTACCGTTCAGACAGCTCGGGAAAGTAGTACGCGTCTGCAAAGTATGGGCTACCTTCATCCATAGGGACACTATGCTTTGGACCAAAATCGACTTGACTGGACCGAAAGTAAATAATAATGTCATCGATACTGTCTCCAAACGAGCTCGCAGCCAGCTACGATCCTTAGCCCTCGAACGATCAAAGGTTAATAATACTGGCATGAAAAAGATAATAACCGCTCGCCCATCACAACTCTCTACAATTGTATTTACTGCCAACACTCACATAACTGATGTGACTGTGATTGATATATGCAAGGTCTTTGGGAAGACTCTCACCAAGCTCACGGTGTCTTCCCAGAATATAAATGATCAGTGTTCGGAGGCCATCTTCACCAAGTGTACAGCACTAGCATTCTTGGACATATCAGATAACCCTAAACTGACGGACGCAGGTCTCGCTGCATGGCCAGCAACCTCACCACTACGAGTATTAAAGGTAAACAGCTGCTATGGTCTCGCCTTCCACGCTTGGGCTGCTCCTGCATATCCAGCATTGAAGGAGCTGGATGTATCACAAACATCCTTCAATCTACGATCTTTGCAAAAGCTTACCGTATTTCCAGAGCTCAAGACGATTGACCTGTCTGGAACCGATCTTCGCCCTCTGCAAGGTGGTCTCATAACGTTAGGACGAACTATAAAGGACCTGACCAACACATCTCTACGAAACTTGACTCATTTTGCCATCCAGTATGACCCATTATTCGACGACGAAGCACTAAAGTATATTGCTGAGGCTAATACAAAGCTCAAATATGTGAAAATACTCTCGGCTTCATCAATCTCAGACGCTGGAGTCAGATCATTATCCAACTGCCAAGAACTTGAATCCCTCGCATTGCCAAACTGTGCACGAGTTACAGATAGTAGTGTCGTAGATATAGTATGTAGCTGCCAAAACCTTCAGAGTCTGGACATCGGGGGTAACTCCAGCATCACCGACAAAACCCTAGATGCTATAGTCGAACACGGCAACACTCTAACTACTCTGGTAGTGAGCAGCTGTATTGGATTGACTGGATTTGGTATCTTGAAGCTACACAAGAAGGCTGGCAATCCCATTAAAAACTTGAATCTCATGTTTCTCCCTACAGTGTCAAATGATACTATCAGGTCATTCCAAGCTAAGAACGTGAACGTGCAAGGGAACTTGTCATACTCAAAATTCAAAGTGAAAGGTTTCAAGTAAATGCACGGATATAAATTGCTTAAGCATATAGGCATAATCAGAATGGAAAGGTAGATAGATATTCATTGTATATAACAGGTTTGTGAAAGATAGAATAAGAATAGAAAGGAAGCAGAAAATTTACAAATATTGTCTGTTTTGATCTCGAAAGCTTAATGCATTGTGATGCGTTAGTTTGGGTACTGTTTACGTCAGAAGCAACGGTCAGCTCTTGACCCTTGCTTGTTTCTGACGTGTATTGGTAAATGGGGACGTTGCCTCTAACGTCACAGCGACATGCGACTTCCAAATCTTGTAAATGCATGTCGCCTAAGCAATAAATTCGTTTCGGTTCTGTGAAAGCAGCCGTTGTTAGCATTGAGTTCGTTTACTGATGCACTTGTTTGTTCACCTAAAGGAATCAAAGTTACCTCACTGGCGATAGTCACGATTCGTGAAGAAGGGTCCTTCTGCACGAGAAATAAGTATCCAGAATCGTCTTCGGCCTAAAATCGGGTTTCGGAATACATATGAGCTACAAAACAGAGACGATCACCAAGCTATATGCTGTGTTAATACAAATTACTGCTGACTTAGACATAGTCCAGGATCGATATAAACTTCTTGAATTGGAGATGCGGATAATGGTCTGAAAACTTTATCACTGTCTCGCTCACTATGTCTCAATTTGACACTGTGTAGGGTGCGTCCTGTGTTACTGCAGCAGTATACGAGCAATACCACGCCTGTAACAAGCAAAATTGGTACGTAGACAATTTGGGAATCCCAGTCTTTTTTCTTGAGAAGTATGTTGCTTTGGCACAAATGTTCAGGCTGAAAATGTCCAGGTGTCGTTTCTTTGGCTCTTGTAGCTCACCGGTGCAAACATTCCCATTGATCAGTCTGAGTCTCTCGATTATCTCGAATTTGTGATGACCATTCTGGGATCTTGGTCTCTATATTTAGCATGTACTCCATCCAATATGTGCAGTTGGTTCTAAGTGTCAAACATGCGGTCCACATTTCTGATACGGACGGAGTCGTTTCTTTGTCGCTTACCACTATGCTCCTCGTCGACAAGCAAATTCTTTCAAAACAGTTGAGCATCATATCCTTAATCGTGCGATTCCGGCCTGCAACCTGGTTGTATAAAAACTATCAAGTTAGCTCACGTGCGTTCGGGCACATCCCATTGGCTTGGTACACTTGCCGATTTCGATGCCTGTTTCTTATCAAAGATATAACTAGCTTTAGCATCGTGGAAGTCCCCATACAGTCACTCCAAGTTGCGTGACCAATCTTGTCTCTTCTGCATACTCGTGTTTTGTGTTGGACAGCGAAAAAAAGCTGAAACCCATTTGGATCAGTGTCCATGCTACGACAATAATCCATATCCATTATCGTTGCTATCATCACAAGGTAATGAAAATGAAGGAATTATGGGAGGCGCATACGTCCTTGTCAAAACAACTACACCTCGACAACCCCTCGTCCATTTGGCATGCTCTAAAATTCAATCCATAATGATTCCATCTGACAGCCGAGTCCTGTTTTCTTTTGTTCCATATGTCGCCTTTGACTCAAGAGGTGATGGAAAGAAACTCGAATTCTTTAATGTCAACCAATATCACCGAAAGCACCAAAAGAACGATCTCAGGTATTCAAGGTCCTGTTGCGTTTCAAAATTTCTAAACGTCAATCGGCACTATCAAGACATCTTTTGGTATGATTTGTAAGTTTGATACTCGCCGATATTCTGTGGCTTGACGGTGTTTGGAATCAGGATTGTAACAGAAAGAACATCGTACTTTGGCCAGATTATTATGAATCCGGTCTTAGCAGCATGTGTTGTGATGTCTTCCTCTGAATAGGTTACGTCTGCGGCGGTTTCGTCTTTTTCTTTGTTGAGAAGGTGTCATAATATCGTTCTAGTTCAAACGACAAAAACTGCAGCTTCTTTTGCATGGTCCAGCACGACCAAAACCACCACTTCGCCGGCCTTTGGTGACTTCACACACTGGCCAACCTTCACACTCAGAACTAAAAAGATGCAATCATTATTCGCTTCTGACAACATCAGCGAATGCATTTTACCAAATGATAATTTATGTTAATGCACATATATTCAATCAGGACTCATCTCATTACAAATATATTCATCGGCTTCGTAATCCATTTCAAGTTCTCCAAAGAACATCATGGCATCTTCTTGGCTCTTTCAAGTCCAATCTATTCAAGAATTGAAAAATCACTCAACTAGTCCTTGTGAGAACTTCAAGTCTGAACAAAGTAAGAGCACCTACCGTAATATCATTCTCGGTAAATGCACCCAATCTGATGAGCTGGAATGGATCCAGAGCAGTATTGTGCTTGCAGTCAACCAGTATGACGGCAGCCTCTCGTAGCTGATTGCAAATAGCCACAAATTGTGACGAGTTTGGAATGACTGTCTTTGTCATTTGACAGAGTTTGGTGTGTTCCTCCATCACCTATAAATGTTTTTGGCGTCTCGTCAGTATGCATGATTCCATAACTGAGTAAGCATTAAAAGGATACTCACCTCAGCAAAAGAAGCTTCTGGGCGACCAGACAGACGAATTCTTTTCAAGAATGCCTTCAAAAAGTTTCTCGCTTGAAGAGATGTCTTTGCTACTGTCTGAATGGTGACTGCTCCATTCATTTCTTTGATAGTACGTCGTATCATGTTCAAATCGACAGTCACTTCTTCACCCGTCTTGTTGGATTCTAACTCGGCAATCTCGAATGCTCTCCTATATGTAAGGCACGTGGCATAATGATGAGCAAAATTATCATAAATGTGACTGTATCTGCCAGCAGTTGCACGAACCTGCAGTAATCCAACATCCTACGAGCATCGCCACTAACCCCAGTAGTCCATTGAGCTGCATATCGAATCGCATCGTCATCAAATCCGTCAATGTCTTTGAGTCGAGTTGTTGCAATATTTATGAGGTCGTCTCTATCATATGGCTTGAAATGAAGACGATGCGAGCCTAGAGAGAGAAGAAACGTAAGCTCCAAATTGTAACTGATGCAACTGGCATTTTTACCCAGACGACTGGCAATTCTATTAGTAAGACGTTCAGGCAAATCCATCGTGTTAGCAATTGCTACCACTATCAAGTGAGACTGAGGACGATTTGGCCAATCAGCAAAGTTGTAAATGACTGTTTGCTTCTTGTTGATGAGTTGATCGAGCTCGTCCATGAGTACCACCCTACAAAGCAAAGAAGTTCTAAATCAGGTTCAACATAGTCTTACTTTCACAGCCAAGTATCACTTACACTGGCTGTTGGTTTGGAGAAGGACTGTTGAACTTCTTATCCAACAACGACAGAGCTTGAGCAGCTGGTACTCGATTTCCACTCAAAGCTTCCCATAATCGTACGTAGGCATGCTGAGGTTCAATTAACTTCATACCATTCAATTCCACAAAGTGGAATGGTGGAATTTCCTAGTGTTTGACCTGTGTCAAGACAAAACTACGTTTGCTATTCTATTAAAAGCTCGAGTTTCCAAATACCTCTGCTTCTAGACGTGTTTCTAGAGATCGAATCACCTCACGAACTGTAGCAGTCTTGCCAGTTCCAGGTATTCCTGCAATATCTGTTTGAAGAAATGTGTTGGTCTCGACCATGTACTCAATTGGCGTGGGAGGCTTTTTGCTGCTTACATAGACATCCTCCGGAACCATCCTCTATAGCACTTTCCAAGAATGAGTAGACTTCAGCATACTCTTTTTCACGACCAACCAAGTTCTCAGGTACATAACCAACATGAAGCATGTGCTGAGCCTTTTGGAAGTCAGTCATGGGTTCATCTGGTAGATTTGTACGTTGAGGTAGAGGCGTATCCTGAAGGAGACTCCTAGAGTAGTTCATGTTTACAGATAAGCTAAAGGTTGTATATAAACCTTGCACACACAAGAAGCTCATCGACAGACCGTCGCTCGCTGCAACCATCTTACTTTCGACTAGAACCAGGTGTGGCACGTCCACTTTTAGATGGCGTTCTGCGAAAAGTAGTGGGAGTTCGATTATTAGACTTTGAAGCTTTGCCTTTTGACGGTGTTCGATTTCCAGATCTAGGTGTCCTTGCTTTGCGTGGTGACTTCTTATACGGTGTCCTGCGTCTATCGTCGTCAGAATCCAACTCCATCGGATCATCTTCTGGATCACTAGGCAATGATTCAATATCTCCATCATCTTGGGCGTCGTCTTCTTCAACGAGCCTGGCTTCCTTGTCAATCTGTGTAGAGACGCGTTTATATTTATGACTTGAGTACATGTGAACACATTGATCTGGGCTTACTTTAAAGGTTTCATCTCCAACACTATCATCATCCGAATCTGTCGATTCACTTTCTTCAGAGTCTGCATCAATATACTTTGTAGTTGATGGTTCCTTTCCCTTCTTCTCGTTAGGTGGTGCGTCGACTACTTTCGCTTTCTTTGGTTGCCGAGAGACTGAAGGAGTGGTCACATAACTCTTTCTCTTTCTTTCGAGACGTTCACTGGGAGGAGTCATACCTCCACTCTTGGAAGATGATGCTCCATTTTGTTTTTCTTCTTTATCATTGGTCGAGTTCTTCTGACGAGGTTTTAGTATCAAGTCCTTCTTCTTATAACCCTCCCAGTCAATCTGCTGGCCAAGTTTGCAATTCTTTTGATCAACCAGCTGGCGACAAAAGAAGACCTTGCCTTCGAGGCTTTCGTCCTTGTCAGGATACTGAGCTTCCAGTTCTCGAGGAGTCATGACTTTGACTGTTTGCATGATGCGTGATATGTCGATCTGTTCTGACTTGCCACAGGCCAAGATTTCGAACTTCGTTCTGAGTGTTAGATGAATAGATCTTGTAACAAAAGCGATCAGATTAAATGATCCTTACATCAATATCCAGTTTTGTCGGCATTCTAGCGGCTATTCTACCATTCCAGACCTGGTTGGGTCGATACATGTACTAAAGAGTGTGTGCTAGCTCAGCACGAGTAAGCCAAGAGTAAGAGGCACTGAGAGCATACCGAAACAATAGCTTTATTAGCAGCGTCCTTGTCACTGAATAAAGCTAGGATCCTTGCATATCCTTCGACACGAGTGCCAGATACATCTTCCAATGACACGACATCTCCCAACTTGAACTTTCGGTCGTTGTTGATCTTGACAGATTCATGGTAGGATTCAGTTGAAATGTCATCATCGTCATCATTATGATCATCATCTCCATCATCACGATTGATTTTATAGGCTCTGCCCAACAATTCGATGCTCTTTGGTGGAGCTTCGCCAGCGTTTCTTTTGGACTTTCTGGTGTTGGGAGCCTTTTTGGCTAGTTTCTTGGCCATAATATAGGTATGTACAGGTGGTAGTTTACTATGCTTCGCCTAAACCTTGATCTGCCTTGGTATTGAACGATGCGAAGTTTTGTAATTTTGAGTTCGATGGAGAAGGACGCGATTTATCAGGCCCCAGACAGTCAGACCAGATTTTAGCCTGTTAATAATTAAAACATCAATATATATTAAATGATATTTTGAACACTTGTCCAAGCAGAACACCACGCATTATTAATGTTGTATACCAACAACATCAACGTCAAATCAAAGTGAAGCTGATTCAAGTACGTCATTGTAAAGGTCCCGATTTTTTGATTATTTCAACAACCCATGTGATACGCCACAGTGTGTTTTACTGAGATTTTTATTGTATAAACAGTGCTGCATGAGAAAGATCGATCACAAAAAAATAATGAAATTACATGCCATCATCACAACATATCCCTCTTCTTGGCAGTATTATGATATGGTCGTAGTGCCCACTCCACGTCTGCTTCTGCCAGCTCGACAGTGCCTAGTCGTATCTCGTATGCTATTTACACAAAGAGGTCAAGGTATCAGTGATCAACAAAAAAAGCTTGAACAACAAGAATGCTATGGCCCATAGTTACCTCTCATTTCGAAACGAGGACCGACTTCCATAAGTTCAACTTCTTTTCCAACGCGTGTGAATACGTGGTGTCTAAAAAATTATTGTAATCAAGTGGTCAGATGTTTTGATTCACAACTTCCGATTTGGGGAAAGACCTTTTTTTCTCACCTGAAGGAGATAAAGTCACCTTCATTAGCAAATGTCATGACACGTTGACTAGTGTCCTTTGGAACAGGAAACAGGTATTTCAGAATGTTTTGAACCTGCAAGAAAAATGTGTACATATGTATGAGCAAAAAAATTCATCGTAACCAAGTTAAATGAGTCTGTATACACGAAACTCTTAACTTACTCTCGATCCCAGTTTTGATGTAAACTTGTTGAATACCAAATGTGGGTACTGTTCAGATACTTTCCCACTATCTGGCACATCATGCCTCAGTTTGACATTGTGTAGGGTGAAGGATGCAGTTGGGCCATAAGGGAAGTGAGATATGATCATGCCATCTGTACAGAGATGTTGGTGAGTGAGTATAGGAGGAAGGCAAAAACCGGACTCGATGTAATATAACGGTGGTATAGGATACCTGGCTGACCACGATGTTCATGAAGAATGACTAGATCTGTAACTTCATTTGCTCGACAGGCTTCCACAATATCGCCCATGACATAGTTACCACGGTTGATTCGTTGGGCGTTTGGGAATACGAGTCTCATTTCCTAATGAGAAAGTGGTACTAGTTGGTACAGACGCTCATATGCCGAGATCCTTGACCGTTCGTGTTTGTTCACCTTTGCAAACATTTGCAGCCGACTGCTTGGATCTCTTGAAGTGGTGATGAGTATTTTGGGATCTTGTTCACCCGCTCTAGCGTATTCGTCATCGATATGAGTAGAGGGTCCTAAGTAGTAAAGTGATTGAGATCTACATGTCCAGATGGGCTGTTGGGTGTTTTTGCAGCCTACCACTCTGTCCTTCATCGAACTGTAAATCCTTTCGTAGTAGCTGAGCATCGTCTCTTAGATCATGCGGTATCGGCTTGCCACCTTGTTGTATAAGAGCAACATGTTAGCTCAAAAGCTCCAAAAGCACAAAAGACCCATTTGGACATACTTTCGATAGCTGATTTCAAAGTTTGTTTCCTGTCGTGGATCTGCCTAGCCTTGGCCTCCTGGGACTTTCTATACAGGTACTCCCTCCTTAATCGCACTTGTCTCCTCTGCATTCTCGTAATCGGCGTTTGCGTTTTGAAAATGACAAGAAAAAAAAAGTTCAAAGTCACGTCCATACGGCACAGACTCACCACCAATCGCTTTAAGATAATCACATGGCTGCGATAATCAAGGAGCTTTGGGGCGTGCATCCGTCCTTTCTGAAGCTAAAGACATCTAAAAACCTATTTCGATTGTGCCTCACTCTACCAAACTTGGGAACTGGAGTGCGAGTTATACCTTCATCCTGGCATAAGAACGGGTTGCATGACTCGTACTGGACTATTACCAGTGTCGAATTCAATCCGGTACGTGTATAATTGGTGTTGTCTTATACCGCTTGATGCGTATTCACCCACATCAGATGCACTTCATTTGACTTTTACGTTCGACACTCATCGCAAATGTCTTCATCAGGACTGGAGGTCGGGAACTGTCTGGGGCATCCAAACTTGGAAGAGTAGGAGCAAGAATTGATTCTCACCCCGTATTTACCTCCAAAGACTCACACGTATACATGACTTCACACTAGACTCCACTGCAGCTGGTCAAATAGCAATCCCAAGAGCCGCTATTGGAAGCTGGCATCTGTATCAGCCACCATCCATGCATAGACAACTTGCCGACAAACTAGATATCAAGATTGAACAACCAACAGCAACCTCAGAGACCTTATAAAATAGACATACGAACTCTGTCATCGCTAGAACAGTCACGAGCCCGGTAGTCTCAGTACATAGTGTCGCGTAGAGGGTGTCTTGGTGTGAGAGGACTTGGTATGTGGAATCTCGTGTGGATACTGGTGATGTTATTCGCTCAAGGAACAGGATGATATATTTATTGTACATATGGCTTGGAGGGAATAGATGAGCTAGGAGAACAATACTGACCGGAATTGCGTTGGATCTGAAAGTTAGAGAGAGAGAGTTTCGTCAGATCAACGGTACGCAATTCCACAGTCGAACAGAAAATCGAGGAACTGCCAAAATGATCGATGCCGGTTACTTTGGGCTTCCTTTCAGACAAAGTTACGCTTCTCTATCAATCAGCATGTATTGGGTCGAGGAAATACATAGCAAAGTACGTTTTTCTTAGATACAGCCAAAAGAAACATGCAAAATCTGGACTAATCTCTCTGAACAAGAATGTCTTGCTGGTGTACTCCAAATCCTAGCACCTTCTGCTTTTACCACCAAATACGTCGTGCCTCACGAAATCGCATCCGTTGGCATTCAAATTCGATCCATTCAAACAATCAGATCGACATGTTTGGAAAGGGTTGACAGGTTTCTTGTTTGTTGTCTCCAAGAAGGTTAATTAGTGTTAAGGTATTCGCTACCACCTTTTGGAGGATTACTCGTATACATGATCATTGAAAGTCTAGGAGGGATGGCTATTTTGAAGTATGGGGAGTCAGATTGTCATACAAGCCAGCAAAAAACGAGTACAGAAGATTCATCATACCTTACAGCAAGCTGTACTGTCTGCTCAAAAGTCAGCTCTGCATTCACCGTGGCTTTATTCGTCTGCGCGTGGATCTTCCATCTCGCCTTCAACAAAACAGTCAACATCAACCCCAAATCAGCAATATCCTCGAACATCCCATTCAATGGTTCATGAACCCAATAATAGTCATACTGACAAGGCCCAGTATCCTGTAAAGACCGAAATCTACTCGCCATTCAATAATGAAAGCGGTTTTGTTACGTCTAGCAGCCACAACAACACTAATACCCAACCCCCGATACAGCAACAGTCACTTCCGCAACAAGTATATTTTCGTCGACCGTATCCCCCGCTACCTCTAATGAACGCATCAGCTCCCACTGCTGTAAACTCGCATACATCGCCTCGAATTGTTGTTGCCACGAATAGTACTAGTAATAGTAATGAATCCTGGGTCGAGAGTTACGGTGACTAATCAAGGTATCAGATTGATGCTGATAACCGTATTCTTCCATCCATTCGATATGCTTCGGGTCAACGAAATGATCTCCTCAGAGTCGAGACAATAGCTCACGAGCCAGCTGCGTAAACGGTCTCGAACTGCAGATACCATTCCAATACTGAATAATCGTCCATCCATGATGCAAGGTGTCGACATCAACGAGCAACATGTCTCACGTGATGATGCTTTGGCTTCCAAATAGCATCGTTCTGCTCTAAATTCCCCTAACCCACCTCCAAGCAACCCTACATTAGATGTGAACAGTCTAAACAAAAAGGTTTGGAAGGAATACGAAAAAGACGATTGCATTTTGCGATTTGTTCGAACCGGTTCGGAATTGTGTTCTATCAAGAATTGCGACTGTATTGAGTTTCGCACGATTATAAAAATATAAAAGCAGTAAACTTATGCGTCTCGTAATCGCTCCATATTGGCCTTAGCAATATGGAGTGTTTCAATTTCAGCTTCAACATCCTTGATCTAAAGAAAAGTGATAAGCGGTTTCAGAATTGACCAAAATCAACCATGTCTACAGAATAACGAGCGAGTGCATACCTTCTGCTCTTGAGCTTCTCGAACATCGGCTCTAACTTTAGTCTCATAGTTTGGAATCTGTGTCTTTTTCTTATTACTCTCCAAGTTTTCATTGGCTTTGCCAATCTTCTTTTCAATCTTGGATATCTCGTCTGCAAAGTTCACATATCCCTACAAGAAGAGAGGAAGAGAAAAAAAGGTTAATAAAGCTTGCATGCAATTATATTGCGTTTTGAAGCACACCTTGACGAGAATCAATACAGTAATATCTTCATTCAGCACTTCTAAAGCGCATCCAGAAGGAACCGCATCTTCTTTTTTCAAAACACGTAATTCTTGGGCTGGTTTGACCAACGTCACAATAGTTTGACGTTCTAGTTCAAACTTTTCTGCCCATGAAGCTGATACCTTGACATATACTAGAAAGAGATAAAAGGTCAAAGCAAGTTGAAAGACAGACTGAAGAAAGGACATACCAACAGCATCTTTAAGTATTCCATACTCTGCTGCCAATCCTCTCAACTTGGCACAAACATCACTGACAACACCAAAGTTGTCTTCCGCTTCTTGATCGTGCCATTCAGACATGGAGGTCGGATATGAAGCTTTACATATGGTGACGGTAGTATCATCAGGCCGACGTGGTAGCCGTTGCCACAGCTCTTCAGTAACAAACGGCATGAATGGGTGCAATAATCGCAACCCAACATCTAGACATGTGTACAGTGTTGCTCTGGCTGAAGCAGCAGCAGCGGCATCTCCGGTGTCAATCACAGGTTTTGACCATTCCTATAGTTTTGGGCGAATTGAAGTGGTAAGCAAGAAAGGCAGCATTTAATGGAATCACAGGCTTCACTGACGACATACCACATATATATCACACAATTCATACAACCAAAAGTTGTACAAGACACCGGTAGCAGACATAAAGTTGTATTCTTCCAAGCTTTTGTTGATTTCTGTGATGGCGAGATTCAATCTTGACAATATCCATCGTTCTGCTAATGCTTCTTGACCAGTCAAGCCAGGAGCAGGTGATGGTGTTGGATACCAATTTCTTATCTGTCATTACAAAATGTTTGGACTGAGCGGACTGAAGGCCTGAAGGAGCAAAATGACGAAAGAGAGGTCATAAATCATACCTTGTAGCTTGGTGGTGGAGCATAATCGTCGCCCAATTTGCCCAAAGCAAACTTAATGACATTCCATAACTTGTTACAGAACTTTCGGTATCCTTCAACACGACTCACGTCCATATTTATGTCTCGATCTGTTTGACAAAAGCAACTTTAGCTTCAACGAGAAAAACACCGACAGGAAGAAACGTGAATAACGTACTGTTGGATTGATAAGCACATAAGGCGAATCTCAAAGCATCTGTTCCACACTCCGGGATACCAGATGGAAAGTCAGCCTTTTGGCCCTCCTTGGCTTTAGCGACTTCTGTTGCATCTAGATTGCCTTCATCCAGTCTCTTTTGAAGCCCTTCCAATGTAATGCCTTCCATCACGTCGATGGGATCAATGACATTTCCAAGAGACTTGGACATTTTTCGACCATGTGCGTCTCGAATCATAGCGTGACAGAATACCTAGAGGTGACATGTGGTCATGATATGATGTTCCGAAAGCGGAGCCGTGGTATCTTTTGCACTTACGTGTTTGAATGGAACTTGTCCAGTAAACTCTATACCAAACATGACCATACGAGCGACCCAGAAAAATATAATATCCCATCCAGTTTCCAACAATGCATTTGGATAAAATTGTTGAAAGTCTTTTGTCTAACAAATTTGAACGAGTGAGAAAAAAAGTCCCTATTAGAACCCTCATGGCGAGCTCACCTCTTCTGGCCAGCCCAAGATGGCGAAAGGCCATAAACCGGCAGAAAACCATGTATCCAGGACATCCTCATCTAATATTATATTTCATCAATGTGCTGCAGATTCTTTCGGACACGACAGTTTAGACCAACCTTGATGAAGGGTGATATCTGATGCCGCCACCTTGGGAAACTTGGCAACAGCTCTTGCCCTTGCTTCCTCATACGTTCGACCAGACACGTGATAATCATTATCGGTGGTCTACGTCGAGAAAGAACCGGCCAATTACCGATATGCAAAAAAAAAGCCGAGAAAGAACTTGACCATTACATACATCATTCGTCTGTCCCTTGATTTCAATAAAGTATGTTGGAATCCGATGACCCCACCATAGTTGCCGTGAGATACACCAATCTTGGATGTTTTCCATCCATCGGACGAACTCTTTGTGAGAATGCTCTGGGAATATTTGCAAGTCGCCTGACTGGCAAGCTTCTAGAGCTTTTTGAGCCATTCCTTTGCAATCCACATACCATTGTGGTTTAAGTAATGGTTCTACTACATTTCCTGATCGCCTAACAAAGGTTAAAAAGTTAGGGCCAACCAAAAATGGCGAAACAGCAAGCTACTCACTGACAAATAGGCAGCATCATCTTGTTTGGCTTGGTCTCAACATACAATCCTTTTTCTTTCAATGCTGCCAGAACCGCTTCACGAGCATCGAATCGTTGCAGTCCCTGTTTGAGAAGGACGGGGAAATTAACGAGACGCCAGCAAGCTCTCAACACATGGGATCTTACAGCAAACGGAGCTCCGTTGGCATTCACTTTGCCATCGTCATTGAAAAGATTGATGAATTCGAGGTTGTGTCTCTTTCCAATTTGGTAGTCATTAAAATCGTGAGCAGGTGTGATCTTGACCGCACCAGTTCCAAAGTCTTTTTCAACATAGGTATCTGCAATTATTGGTAGTTTGCGATTGTTGAATGGATGTATGGCATATTTTCCAATGAGATGCTAAAAACGCGGGTCAGAACTGTCTAATCAGATATGATAGATGGAACATTCTGTACCTTGTATCTGTCATCTGTAGGGTTGACAGCAACTGCAGTATCGCCCAACATGGTTTCAATACGTGTAGTAGCGACAACAATCTTTTCGTCTGCAGAGAGTATGAGTTAGCAAAATTTCCGAGCTCACAACGGCAGCCAATGCTAACGTACCCGAATTCTCGATGGGGTAAGCAAACGATATGATGACTCCAAACTCGTATCTCTTTTTCTGACTATGATCTGGCACATATAACATGGTTCGACCTTCTAGTTCCCTGTTTTCGACTTCGAGATTCGATACGGCGGTCTGTAGCTTTGTACACCAGTTGACGAGACGGTTGGCACGATAAATTAGACCTCGGTCATGCAGCGTTACAAAGGCTTCGTTTACAGCAGTGCATAATTTAGGGTCTAGTGTAAATGACACGCGTTCCCATTCGTATGTAGACCCTAAGCGACGTAACTGTTCATAGATTCGACTTCCATATCTAAAAAATCCGCGATTGAGAAATGTTGGCTGAACCGATGTGATTATTCAATGCCAGCTTACTTTTCTTTCCACTTCCAGACTTCAGCAACAAAAGCTTCACGACCCAAATCATGTCTTGAGACACCTCTATCCTTTAGCAGCTGTTTTTCGACTACTACTTGCGTCATGATACCGGCGTGATCACATCCAGGTATATAAAGAACACTCTTTCCTTTCATGCGATTCCTAAACCCATCGACAGGTCAGCGAAAAGAAAAGCAGATATAATACTCAATATTTTTCAATACCATCTAATCAGACAATCTTGAATAGCATTCGTCAAAGCATGACCAATATGAAGTGAGCCAGTTACATTTGGTGGTGGAATACTGATTACATAGGATCCTTCAGGCTTCACGTCACCGGATTCTGTGAGTTCTGGTTTGAAGACACCAGTCTTTTCCCACCATTCATACCACGATGCTTCAACAGCTCGTGGGGAGTATGAAGCTGCCATTGGTGCAGTCATATCTAGGAATTAAGAATGTCTCAGCGTCGTGCAGGTGATTCTGTCAGCTTAGCGATTATACCCTTTTTTTCGCCCTTTGGTGTCGTGTTTACAAACTCGACTTCGGGCTCTGCAGCCTCCTTCTTCGGCTTCTTTTTCTCTCCTTTTTCAGCCTTTTCAGCTAGAGCCTACATATAGATAATAGTCAACAGAGCGTCGATCAAATGGATCAAGAACAACAAATGCTGGCAAATCCAACCACAGCTACATTACCTTTTGAGCGGCTGCCTGTTTAGCAGCCACTTTCTCTTCCTTGGCCTTCCGTTTGGCATCATTCTTTTCCGAATTCTTGTTTATTGGCATTCCAGCTGGAGCTTGTTTTGATGTTTGAGCAGATGGTGCTGATGTTCCATTAACGGTGCCATTGTCTGCCATTTTGGACTTGTATGCAATGCGTGTCAATACAATTGGTCGATCGATGAATACTCGCAATGCTCTCGTTGGAAGTCTCGCCCAATATTGCATGCGAGTCACAACATTTCAAGCTTTTTTTTGTCCAGCGATGTATCAACTTGAGAGGCACAGACGAAGAATTTTAGACCAGATTAACGTGTATTTGGGTTTGAAAATATACTTTATGCAGGTTCGACACGTCCTAACCGCCCTCTTTCCAAGGTTTTGGAATTGACATCCAGCTGTAACTTTGAAATCGAAAACCCATCCATCAACATGTGACGAAGGTGCGTTCGCAATAGATCTCGGTAGGAAAGCTCATAGAATTCAATAAACTCGTCCCCACTCTTCCTTCTTTCCACATCACTAATCCTCCGAATTTCACTGAAGTCGCACTGGGATAGCTGGTACAAAAGCCACTTTTCTGTAATTGTGCAGATCCCTCTGCAAGATATGGCAGAAATAGCTATAACCACATCTCGACCTTCCTCCAATGGCCTACCGTCACTTGCTGAGCAGGAGCAAGATATTCAAGAAAATGACAAACTTGGATCACAGACGCTAGCCGTGACGATGGACACTCCAACCATAACCGACTCATTGGTAGATGCTTCGTCTGTTCCACCAACACAGAAGTCACGCCTTGCTCGTCTCAAGACTGTTTTGGATCAAAAGCTTAATATTGTTAAAATGGACGCTTCAACATCAATGAGAGAAGAAGCTAAAAATTATAGGGAAACCGCCGCCAAATTGCTTACCAAATTCCAAAGTCAAAGTGCAGCTGCTATGGACGGTGAGTTCTTTTGAAGCGATCGCCTAGTAAAAATTGGCCTCAAATTCAATATCTTACCCTATTGATATTTTAGACGTGACGCAATCCTTATCCATGCTGGTGGATGCAGACCATCTGGCTAAATTAACCTTACGAGATTTTAAATATGCGCTGGAGGGAGTCACATCGGCTTGTCGTGCTTCGAATAAGAGGATTGATGTCCTCGAACGAGATTTGGAAGCTCTGGATTCCAAGAAATGTAAAGTTGTCGGCGAGATCTTGTCCAATTATGGCAAGCAGCTTGCTTCTTTGCAGTATACAAGCCCGAGCTCCATTGTCAAACAACTGCAAGTAAGTTGTTGCTTCGAACTTGTCCAAGCAATTGGCTCGGGCCAGGCTGAGTCTTCATCTTAATTAGAACGAAACTGTCCTTCAAGATGTAACAGCTCTCGAAAACCGTGAAGTAGTAGTACAACATTGTGCTGCAGTCCGGCTAGCATGGGCAGAAGTAACAGAAAAGCTCGAATCCTGTCTCGACATTCACAAGGAACGATGGAGACACGCACGTTTCGATCACGTTCTCGGTATAATACGTGCTGAGGCAAAAGCTATTTCGCAATGGGACTTGTCTCTGTACGCCAGATTTCAGAAACAATTTGACGACATGGTCAAGGGACAAACTCAACTATTAGAATCTATAAGTGAAGCCAAATCAAAGGATTTGAATATGGAGTATATCAATATGTTTAGGAAGCGCGTATTTGGGCTGTCTTTTCGCCAAGAGAAGCTATTGCATGCATTTCAAGCAGAGCTAGTTGAACTGGAAGATAGAGGGACCAGAGATGTTGTGGCTGCTATAGCCAAATATACGCCGCTACTGTCTGAATGCCTTCCCAATGGTGCGAGCGTGGATAGGATACTTCAAGGTGAGTGTGTCTCAGCACGTGTTAGGCCTTGCTGTTATCTGATTCCCAAAAATGCCAACCACTGTCACTTAGATGAATTCGGCAAGAAGAAAACCGACATGGCAGCACTCGTTCCCGGTAAACGAGCAGCTTTGCTCCTGCCTACACAAAACGGACGAAATCGAGACATCATGTTGCTCGTCTCAGACCTTATGACGAGTCTATATCAAGCACGGCAAGAACTCAACACCCTGGTCTCATCATGCGAGGAAGGAGTCGCTATGAGTCTCCGTGATTTACATCGAGACTATGTCAACGAGTTTAGAACTATGGAAAGGACGTTACAGACGGAAATGGATTTGATGATTAAGGAAGAAGTTGCTGGTGCTTGTAACGCTCGAGCTGATAGGTGTCGTGGAATTGCTGCAAAGATGGAGCAACGTAAGTAGTTGGTTCTTGAGGTTGGTGGCATCGTTATCCCGACTAATGTCAACCTCATCATTTTAAGACCACATTGAATTCAACAATGAATCTCTCACTACTATTGGGAACTTGAAAGAGCGTCTCGAACGCGTTTTTACTGTCTACAGAGAGAATGTAAGAATCGAGCAGAGAGCATCCATCTAGGTAGACCTGCAAACTGATATTTCTTTGTTTTATTAGCTCTGCATGTTGTTGGATGCCCATATGGAAAAGATGGAGACGTCTAACGCTCCCAAGAGTGCTAGAAAAAGTATGAGTGTGGAATATATGAAACTGGTTAACTTACTCCTTTCTTCGCTGACATTGACTCCCTTTTCAAAAGCACCAACAACACGCCGCGATGGAGACAGACCAAAAACTCCCAAGCCAGCTCTAGCAGGCATTCTGACATCTCGCGGAACTCTCCAAATTATCTCAAACCCATCTTCCGGCCACGAACTCGAACGGTGGTCTCATTCAGTTGTAGCCTGGCGACAGCATCAAAAAATGGTGGTCTTGTCTCAAGTTGCTGAAGCATGTGCCGAAGCAGCTCGAGAACGTGCTTATGCTCGGGGTATAGATCTAGACCACGATTCATCGAAAGCACCGGACAGTGCCGGCAAGAAAAAACTACGAGCTACCAAAGTTCGACATCATAGCCATCACCATCATCGCCATTTAAACATTGAGAATAATCAAGGGCTTCCAGAGCATTCTGTGCATGATGTTGATGAAGCTCTGAGCTCATTACTAGTATCTATTGTGCCGAAGGAGCCCGATGAACATCACGTGGTTGAAATCAAGTGTATCGCTGTGGGTGTCTTGTCGGCTTTACGAGGTGCTTTGCAGCTACGATTTTTCGATGATGCGGATGATTTGGAAGATGTCAGGAAGAAATTGGTTACGACTCAGATTCAGGAACGGACTGATACAATGAGGAATGAACTGAGTACCGCACTATTTGGACATGAGGCAAGATTAAGGCAGTTAGAGACCGCTCACAGTCAACGGTTGAGTAAGTCTTGTCATCTTTTTCAGCCAATGTAAAGGATTACCAGCATGCACGGTTGTTAACTCATCCGACTTGCACTAGGACAAATCGAAAGACTAAATGTCGAATGCGACCAAGAAGCACGAGCACTAGCATCGTATATCTCCTCTCTCGAAACAAGCTACCGAGAAGCAGTAACCCGTCTCGAGCAAACATCAGCTTCCTTCATCGACAACGAAGTCAAATCCTTCCAAGCACGTGTAGCATCTGCATCATCAGCCTCCCAAATAGAACGTGCTAAAGACTCCTTCATATCAGGCTACAAGGCGCACACTGAACTACTTACAACAATGACATCAACAGCAGCTCGTAATTTTGCTGAAGGCCTAGCTCGAATAAAAGAATCACGAGCAAATCCATCTCACCATCGTATTTGGGAGACATTGAAAGCTATTTTTCCACGACAGGATGATGGTGGTTTGCCTAAGCTGGAAGTTTTGCCTAAAGATATGGAAGTGAGGATTGAACATGTACAAGCTGGTCTGAGGACGACTATGGAGCATGTTGCTGCTGAAGTGAGGGACTTTGCTGCTGATTTGGGTATGACGGACGGATCTTCACATGCTATTGGCTCTGTGAGGCTGATGTTGAAAGCTGAGGTTTGTTATCAAACTGATGGAGTACAGATATCGAGGAGTGTCAGAGATTTGGTAACATACTCCCTTACATAGGTCGTGAAAGTCAATCGAATGGTGGCTTTAACAGATGAGCAGAATGCCGTGTTGTTGAGCTCAATTGAAGCCAAGAAGCTATACTGGGTGCGTCCTGGATGTTTTCTGGCATTTCGTTCAAAGCGAGTCGTCAAACGTCTTCATCGAGAAAAAACGTACTAAAACGCATATCAATGAAAAGGAATCAGCACAAACACTCTTGGAAGAATGTGAACAACTCCGACAGTCCATTGTTCAAGTTGTCTTGTATCTTGATGGATTGGCAGTGGGTATACCAACACCAGCCAAAGTTGTTTTAATACCATCTATTGATGTCTGGGAGAAGCAGCAAGCTGAAAGCCGAAGGTCAGATTCCAATATAGGAGACAACCAATTGTTTTCGGTCGTCAGTGAGTGAACACGAGCTTATACATACTTTTAATAGTGTCCCAAATGCTGGAGAGAATTCCACCACAAAGAAGCCGTCCGCCAAAATCAAATCGAATGTTTCCATAACTTCTGCGACAACCACCGCAACAAAGAAATACGGTGCCAGTAGCACTCATCCAGCCGCAAACACCTCGCTAGTACGAGCAGGACCTCTAATCGATGCTATAGAAGCCACCTCAACGGGGACTCGAGTGACTATAAAGCAACTCAGTGATGCCTACTATGCCGATAGAGCAGGGCGGTCTGTTCGCCGAACAGATTTACTACCAAATACAGCATTCGCATTCATGGCAAAGATGGATCAAGAGCTGGTAGCTTTGAGGAATCAAGCTGAGCAGACTAGGATGCAATTGCTATGTGGTAAATATCCCGCCCTGATACTTTGCGTCGAGGAAATCCAACTTTTTCTCACAGATTCTCCCATAGCCTTCCACTCTAAGCTTGCAATGGGCGCATCTACATTAACAACAAGCACATGCGCAATCCTCCAAAATATCTTGACAGATACCTTAGCACGAGCCAAAACCTCATGGCAGCAGCAAACAAGGACATTTGCTAACACGTTTCAAGCATGTCGATCTGATCGTAAACTATGTGAATTGCAACTTTTGCCTTCTTTAACACCGTCTGAGTTGGATGCATTGGATTTGAATGCTAAAGACGTGTATTCAAGAGCTATGAGTTGCTTGAAGGAGTCATTGGAAGCTGGGGTTACATGTGTGTTGGAAGACGCCATCAAGATTTTCTTGTCGAGAGTGTATTGGACGTGCTCTATGTTTGGAAATATTATCAATGCTTCGATAGTGCTAGAAGATTTGGATCGACCAGGTAGTCTTGTACCCGTCAGCTGTGGTTGTTGCGCTATGTTTAAAACGATATCTTTCCTTTTAGGCGAAGGACCTCGCATAAAGACACGCCGATCTATAGAAGATGTTGTGTTGTCTGAAAAGAAGCCGCCGAAAGCTGAAGAAGTTATTCTGATAGTACCTACCACCTCGAGTCTGGAATGGCCAAGTCTCGACTTAACCAAAGTCTCTCTCCCAACTTTTGCGTCTGATGCGTCTTCATTCACCCGTAAGTACTCTTAGCTGGTCTACGTCCTGTTCGGAAAAATGTACAGTGATGAGCTCACCGTTTCTTATTCCTATTTAGCATTACCACTATCCACACGAGCATCCACATACCAAGACCAAGTCCTCCAATACCGAGACACCTTATTCGCAACTCTCTGTACCGAAACCACAAGACTCATGACAGTCCTCTCACATCATTCCCGAGAAGAGACCTTGGAATGGGAGAAATGGCATAAAGTGTGGAATGCTAATGTTGTCAGAATACGGAACTCATATCCGTGATAGTCTTTGTGTGAATCCAAAGTAATAAATATGAGTCTTATGAACACAGTGAAATTGCAGAAGCACAATTAGAACACGCTGAATTGAAGGGCGTCGATCAAGTGAAGAGATTTGAACGTTTCGATAGAAGTGTTCAATCAAGAAAATTAATCTTATATTTAGATTGCATTATGCCATTCCTTTGCTATGCTATACTAAACGAGAGGGTTTATTGCAGTACATTTGCAACGCTGAAATTATAGCACTGCGTCTAAATTCCTAAATTCGAGGTGAAGTGAGTTCAATGCATTTGTCCTGAGGCTCTAGCTCTACAGGCAACGCTATCTGATTAGCAGATGGTTTCTCACACACTAGCCAACTCAACCCAATAACCCCCTTTGTTCACTGTCCTTCCACCTTCATTTCTCATTCGTTGATAACCTATCCTAGAGATGGAGAAAAGCATAAACTGGCACCAAAGGTGCCTTGGATTTCGCCAAGTTGCTGGTCAAGGAGACTACCGGGTTATGGTGCGAGTCTCCTGAGAGTCTTTTTCTGACGTCCACCACGACATTCTTTGCCAAGGAGAGTGCAGCGTAGGGTGCAAATCTCCTGAGAGTGTTTTTCTCACGCCTATGACGACTTTTTTGCCACTAAGGACAGTGCAAGTCTCCGGACGAAGTGTATGGTCTATCCCACACCCAAAGATAGCAAGAAACGAGTCAACAGCCTCGTTTTGAGGGGATATGTGTGATGCTCCTTTGACGTTAAAAGCTTTTGAGACTTTGTCAGCATATAGAATCAAAATTGTGGCAGTATCAAGTATTTACGTCAACATATGAATCGGTCTTATGTATTTGCGTTCGTTTTTGTGATATTGTTAGATATTACAGGGTATAAGATTGTCCTCAAAGGACTTGAAACATGTAGCTGTTGAGATGCCAGTTGACTTTGTACATTTAAGCACCTTCATATCCCCTCATGAGGTCAAAGTTGAAGTAAAAGTTGTACAGCGCCAATAGAATCATTGGCACAAAGTTATACCACTCATACCCTCCCCAGATTCTCCATGCAGCACCACCCAAGATGACGAGGAGTTGCGTCGTGCACCATACAGTACACAGTCGCACGGCAGTGAGGTATCGTGTCTTGGCTGCTGATTTGCCTTGTCCAGATGGAACCCAGCCCATTTGGGTGCCGAATGTTCGATCCTTGATGGCAAACAGATGTGCGTAAAACTGGATTGTTCGTACACGGAAGGAAAGGGCTGAAGCACGGTAGACACTCCACCAGTAGACACAGATCATGGCTGAGATCATCGATGGAGCAGCGAAACAGATATTGAACCATTTAATCATTTCTGGGCGGAGAAAGATGAGTAGCATCGCTGGAAGAGGGTTCTACAGTTAACGAAGTATTGATTCTTTAGAACTAGCTGTTTTTTTGCCAAATTTCAGGTGAAAAATACCATGATGGTTTCAGCAGCAGTGCAAAAGTAGTAGAATATCCCACTGAGGAAACAAGCACGTTGTAAAAGAGTCAACTTGGTCTCCCAAAAGATTTTACTGGAGAGTAGATCAGCAGAGCCAGAGCACCATCGGTATTGTTGGTTGAAGAAAGACTTCAAGTCGTAAGGACAAATACCCATTGACAGGACAACGGGTATGTATCGAACATTGTATCCGGCGGTCATACACCTAGATGGGAATCTCAGCAAAAAAATATCGCCATCAAACTCAACCATCACTCACATGAATCCAGTTCGGACGTCCTCGCTGTGTTCTACTGCGGCAGTACCTCCAAATGGCTCAAGGGCTGTCAACGATACAATGTCAGTTATCAAAGTAGAAAAAAAAACTTGGAAAGAAATTCATACCAGCATGACGGTATAAAGCTGACGTTCCGACACAAATAGCACCTTTGTATGTATCTCGACCTACTTGTATAACACGATAAAACTGCTCTTGAACTAGCCCAGCACCACGTTCAATCCATGTTTGTTCAGGTTTGCATCGGAAGTACTATGGTGGAAAAGTATTAGATGACAAGTTATACTTGACGTACTTCTTCCCAGCATGAATTTTTTTGTCATGATTTTACCTGTGGAGTTTGCAAAATAGCAATACTGGGATCCTTGTACATGTAAGGCACAGTTTCGTAAAGGAATTCAGGCCTTGGACAGAAATCAGCATCGAAAATGGCCATGAAATCGCCCTTAAGGTACTTGAATGCGTTACGCATGTTTCCGGCCTTCTTGAGGTGTGGTCTGTCAGCACGTCTGATATACTCGAATCCATATAGATCTGAGAAGATGGTTTGTTTGTGGTTAGACTTTGCTATGTCATTCTTTAGATGATTTTGCCTTAGTTGTTGCGATGAGGCCTTACATGCAAGCTGTTTCACTTCATCCTTCCAGCCATCATCAAGCACCCAGACTTTTAATTTACCACCCCATTTGAGTCGCTTGATGTTCATATACGTATTGTTCAAGACGGCAAGTCTATAAATGAACGTCAGCAATTAGCGACTCTGTTTCGAATACTTCAATATGATGCAATCAAGCCACGACATACGATTCACCGCAGCATGGTAACAAAACATCTACTGAAGGCAGCTCGAAATCTTGTCGTTTCGAGAAATCTTCAACCAATTTACGATGTGCGGGGTAGTCAAATTTCTTTGAAAAGATCATGGGAACGACACTGAAACAATAGTAGAAAGCGACGAGGAGAATGAAAGGAGAATATAGCAAGAAAAGAGGCGTGGATGTAGCAAATAGCCACATTCCAGTCATAATGGATAAGGAGGAGCAACTAATGACGAATAACAATGGAACCTTCTTGGAATCCAAGAAACAGTGTTTCTCCATTGCGGTTGGGGCAGATGGTAGAATCAACTTGGGATCATCGTTGTCAATGTTGAGTTGAGCTTTAACGTTGGCCAAGATGGTTTCGATTTGGCCAACGTAGATGCCTTGTTCTTCTAGTCTTGCTTCAGCTTCGATTTCTTCCATAAGTGTCATGGTTTCGGCTTTCTCGTCGGCTTCGTCTTCATCGTCCATGTAGGATTCAACACCGGTTTTGGCAATTGCTTGAGCGAGTTTCTTCAAAGAATCGAATTCATCTGGAGCTAGTTTGGTGAGAACTCCTTTGAAATCATCGGCAGTGATATTGGCACCGGACGTCTAAGATCAAGAAAAATTTATTTAGTTAACTCGAAGTCATTTCAGGCAAAAATCCCCACACTCCTGCGTCAATATATAACGCTCACATTCAAGATATCCATAACATTATCAGTGTTCAATGTCTCACTAGAAGCAGCCAAACGTTCCAAAAACGCACGGCGATTAAACACCTTGGATCGCTCCTTTAATTCATCCAACAAGTCATCCTCCCAAAGATCTTCTTCCTCTTCAAGCACAGGTTCCGTAAGAGCATCACTCGTAGACACGACAGGAGATGGAAGTTTAGGCACAGGAGGTACATTGGTTGACGGAATACGAATATCGAGTCTGGTAGGTGAGACACCAGCTGAAGGGAGTCCTTTGGCGCTAGCGAGGTCGTAAACTGGAGATAAAGGTTGGGTAGAGATAATCAAACTGCTTGGTATTTGAGGTTTGACGCTAGATTGTCGTCTTTTGGAGCGAGTAGATTTGGATGTCTTTGATCTTTTGACGGATTTGGGTCGACCCATGGCCTTCATTTTGAGAGCATCAGGATCCTCAAATGATGCTTCTAGCTCCTAAAACAATTTGGAAAAGGACTTTAGGTCATGTTGCCGTAGTGTAACCATGAAATAGACAAAACAACCAACAATAATAGCAGTGCATGCAATGGGAAGTAAAAGGCTTACCAGCAAGTTATCAGAAGATTTTGAAGTCTTGTCAAAAAACGAATTTCGTTTAGTAGCAAGTTTCAGCTTGTCCACATCACTGAGTTTGCCATTTTGTGGCGCATTGCCTCCAAGCAATGAATAAATATTCGATAACAGTCCTTTGGTGGTAGGAAGAGGAGGTGGATTATCATTTAAGGTGTTGATGCTCTCGTTAGAGTTCCTTTTGATGAATACCGTAACATCTGCCATTTCTCAAATGCGGTGACCACGATGGAAAATTGGAATGTTTTGCAACAGCTTCCCGTCAACCAGAAGGGGTTTCTAGCTTGACAACGATGTTCAACCTTGTAAGTTAATGGAGGAGAAAGGAATGGATATTCCGTTACCCTCCGTAAGAGCAACTGCGCAAGCAATTATATCAACCCTAACCACATTACCAAGGAGATTAGCACTGCCACTTTTGTTGCCATAACGCTTTGATTTTCAAGATTCTGACGACATCCATATGATTCTGGCGTATGCTGGGTTGCTTGAGTTTTCACAGAAGGAATCGCAAACCAGAGATTTGCCTCGTGAATTGAGATCCAGGACAAACCAATAGGACGAATAATCTGCATTATACGCGAAGCATACCGCAGAATCTCTTCATGCAACCGAGGTCTCCGGAGAGTGCTTCAATTATTGAAGAGTTTGTTCTAAGTAGTATCGTCGGCAATCACACAAACTCAGCCACATCATTCCAATTTACGGCCTCAAATCGTCCAGCATTATGGAATTCATGCTTCATTGTTGAGACATATACAATGCTTACTATTACGAAGATTAAATAAAGTGCACCGATTCACGCACTCCTGCTGCCTCAAAGATTCAATTTGCTACTATCAACTGCAGCATTCGCAGGCAAGAAACTGGAAAAGGAACTTGTTAGACTTCATTTCAGAAAAGGTCGATCCTGCGATGACAACCCCAACTTACTCCCATATGACAATGGTACCATCGTCGTCCCCACTGATGATCTTGGTATCTGACAATGCGATGCAATTCACCGGACTACGATGCCTATTCAGAGTATGCAGTACTTGGCCAGATTCAAAGTCCCAAACCTAGAGTACATAAACTGGTTACGATAACCGTATGAGATATGGCAACCTAAAACAAAGCTCACCTTGACGGTTCCATCATGACTACCACTGGCCATTCGTAAAGAATCAAAGGTCACACACCATACACCCTCTGTATGCCCAAAGCATGTCAATACGCATTCACCAGTTCCAACATTCCATATCTTGATAGTGTTATCTAGGGAAGCAGTAACGAGTTTCCCTGCTTGGTTGGCTGATAGCGATTTCGTACCATCAGAGTAGTGGACACCGTCAGTAGCCAAGAGCGTATATCCATATCCAGGAGGCAGTCTAACTAGATCATGACCATGGGGTAGTGCAGCAACCATCCCATAAACTTGGCCAACATGTCCTGTAAATGTTCTTAGAAGCTGTTTGGTGTCTATATCCCACAATTTAACGGTTGTGTCATCCGAGCATGTAAAGAGTTGCTTCTTGTTATATATTTGGACTCGATTGACCCATTCCGAGTGGGCCTTCCATCCAAAAGCCTTATTATGGGCGGTAGACCATACACGAACATATCCATCATCTGACCCAGACACGAGCATCTTGTCGTCTACATGAAGACACAAGACACCACCTGTATGGCCTTCCAGAGTCCGTATACACTCGCCAGTCTTCCAGTTCCATAACTTTATAGTACGATCCATGGATGCAGAGAAGAGTTTGGCATCGTCAAAGTAGACCGCCCTTACAGATTGTTCGTGACCTTGTAATATTTTGATGATGCAACCTGTATCTACATTCCATACCCGAATGGTACGATCATAGCCACCTGTAACGAGTAGAGCTGATGCCTCATCGTAATGCAGACACATAACTCCATCGGTGTGGCCAAGTAGGACTCGTTGTTGGAAGGTTCCTCTCCTCCAATTACGTTCTACTACAAGCCTCTCGGCGTATATGTCCTTCCATGGTCGTTCGGGCACTGTAACACGCTGTTCTAATGCTGTTGTGATTATATCTGCTTCTAGAAGCTCTGGCGATTTACTGCTACTGCTAATACATCCACTATCAGTCTTTTGTCTCTTGACTATATCTAAATTATCATCGTCCGATAGAGTCTTTCTCTTTGGAATACTGTTGCTACTTGTTCCATTACTAGTCGTACCATTACTACTGCTAGCGGGAGCAATTCTGGGTTCAGTAGCTACAGGTTCTGGCGAATCGATTTTACGTTTCTTTGCATCCATGAGTGGCAGTCCCCATCCACACTTGGCACACTTCCTATCGATGTGCTGGACACACAAGCGATGCCATACAGCATCGTCATCAGCAATCTGCTTCCATTTTCTCGATACTTGAGCAGCATGACATAAACTCGTTGCATCCAAGTACTGCAGTATCCGCACAGACGTCTCTGTGGGCATATCGGCGATAAAGTCCATTCGTAGTAGTGTATGGAGCTCGGTTGATATATGGGATAGCTGAGGAAGACAGGATGCGAGTAGGATTCCGTCGAGAATCAATGGTCGGAGGGTCGCAGAAGCGGCAGTGAAGGCAGACCATATAGCACGGACGGCATCGTGGTCTTGTTTACTGAGTAATGCCACTTGCTATTATGATGGAGTATATGGGTTAGCCTGTCTGTAACATGAAATCATGTGGTTGACACTGACACAGAATGTTTGCGATTGAGTGATAGCGAATGTGTACCTCTGCGAGCAATTCAGCCTTCTGTTTGTCAACGAGTCTCTCCTTGCCTGGCGCATGCCGATAGCAATACGTAAGCGGATGTTGGTCTACTGTGTTGCTCATTCTCTCGTTCTTTCGAATTTGATTGATTTGTCGGAGGAGAGTGTTTGTTGCAGATTGACGAGATCTACAATGAATTGGACAAGCGATATCCAGGATTCCTGTATGCTCGACCTCCTCCTTTGCACTCTCAACGTTAATCAGGTGTATGGTTCGCCTTTCCGGGATTCGCAATCTTTGGCAATATCAAATCTGTGGCGACCTTCACAACTGTAACCGCTTATTGGGGCACGTGATTCTGTATTCGGTATCTATACATTTTATATATGCTCATTGACTCTTACGTGTCACTATCGTGACTCCTCCAAAATCAAGACGTCGCCTTGTCAGCATTTGTGTGATCTGTACCAATAATCTCCAACATGGCACTTACCTTGAGCTTCATGACCTCTATTCCTTGTCATCACCACTCACCACCAGTGATGACGTGCCATGCTTCTTCTTGACCTAGGAGTGAAAGACAAAATCCGTAGACTTGTCCTCATACCAAGGGCCATCAACATCACAAAATTATGATCTTTTGAATTGTTCAAAAATATCAATGTCTGTAGAGCCGAGGTGACGTTGCTGACGGTTCGATATATTCCAACCACACGTCCCTTGTCAGTTTTGAAGATCTCCTCAGGTCATCAGATTCAAGATAAGTAAAGTACCATTGGCCATTCCGGGATACTAGATGTTGCCCGCAACTGGACGGCAAACAATTTCAAAGACGTCGTAGCAGATCACTCGTAGAAATACGTCCGACTTGTCAACAACACGGCACTATTGAGATTGCCGTCGCTACATGGAATTGGTTGTGCAAACCATCTCTTACTACTGTCAACGAAGTAACTACAAAAAAAATTATGCTAAATCCATTCCACTACATTGTTTACGAATCTCGATTAATTTTTCCTTGATGCTGGGCATATTCTCACGTTCAAGAATGGTATCAATGCCAGTAATTAGCAATTGTCGTGTCGATTCAGCCATGTTGCCTAACGACATATGTTCTGTTGAGTATTCTGAGGACGTAAACCCAACAGCACATCAACGCGTACCTTTCACACGTTCAAACAGTGTAGAAAGAGCCTTCAAAGCAGACTCTCTGAGAGCAACATACTAAACGTTTGGAAAATGTAAGTTCAAAATCATCTCATTTGAGAAATCGACATTACCTTCATATCAGCCATTGGCTTCAATAAACCTTGAATCAATTCAACCACAATAGCTTCACTTGGTGGAGATACCAACTTTTCCAATATTTTGGTAGTGGCATCAATGGCAGCCAATCGTATATTCCAGACATTGTTGTCCATCGACTTGGCTAGAGATTGAGCCAACACTTCCACGTGTTTGGCTAAAAAAGGATCGTATCAGCGATGGATTAGAGCAGACCACGAAGAAAATAGCAACCATACCTTGAGTAGATGCCACACCGGCAGGAAAACAGCCTGCTAGAGCCTTGAAAGCATTGGCTCTAACTAACAATGCCAATGGCTTCTCTCGAGATGACCCATCCACATCCATCTTGTCCTTGTCGTCATCTTCATCATCAATGGTGGCAGTTTCAAGAAGATAATCAGCCAAATCATCAAATTTGTCAATTTTGAGAGCATCGAAAGCTTTGCCAAGTTGTTCTAATGCTACTCGTTTATACGGTTTGGCATTCTTTTTGGCCTCACGTATCAAGACCTACAAGGAAAAAATAATAAATTGGGATGAACGAACGATTCGCCAGTGCGATCACTCTCAACTCTCCACAATACCTTCGAAACTTCATCAAGATGGCTCTTGCCTTCACCGTCAAACCACTCTTTACAAGTCACTGAAACATTCGATAAAGATTCTAGCACTGACTCTTTTCCGTCCCACGTCCTGCCTGACAAGGCTTCTAGCAGAGCAGGTATCAGGACTGGCATCTGAGGTACCAATGACGTTGAAATGGAGCTCGACATGTCGGTTATTGTTACTCCAACTTGTCGTTTGGTAGGCCAGGATGGTGATGTTTTGAGCAGATTGGTCAGTAGGGCCATCAACTCGTTCAAATACAGTCGCAATGCAGAAGCGGCACCTATACCATGAGGAGAAGGTTCAAAAATAACCAACAGACAGAGATTAAGTAGACGAACAAAATGCCTACCAGCAGTGTTTTCATCCCAAACGTCTCTCCACACGGCCTTAATTGTATCATTGGCGTCCCTACCACCATAATAAGCTAGTGGTAGTATTTCACCCAAATAAGACTTGATTAAATCCTGTGCCTGTTTGGACATTTCGAGAAGCACAATGCCACTAACAGCTCGTGTTTCTTCATCTGTGGAAGCAAAGAATGATCAGGTTCGCCTCATAAAAACTTCAGAAGTCTTGATCCTACCTTCACCCTCTAAATACTGCTTCTTCAAATGCTGAATAAACTTGACCAATGATCCTTCTGATACCAGTTTGATAACATGACCAGTAGCAACAGCATATGACTTGGACACAGCGGGCGATTTGTCGAATATCGCTCCACTTAGAGCCTTGAGAAGACTATCTGCATGAGGCTTGAGTTCTTGAGGCACTCGAGCTGCCAAAGATGCAATGAATCTGGCACAACCAGCCTGTACATAAAGATTAAGATTGAGCGTCGGTTCTTTTGCAGATCAAACAGAGAAAACAACCATACCTTTGTAGGTAAGCCAACAGCCTTCCGTATCAGTTGATTCAGTTTAACTATCAACTCATCTAGGACTTTGCCATCAATCTGCTCGACACAAGTCTGTATTGCTTCCATCTAACGCCAAAAGAGGTGGAGTTAGATGTGCCGATAAATGTAGCGGATTTCCTTTTATTACCATAGGACTCATTTTGGCTGCACTTAGACGTGACGAGTCTAGTTGTTCTTGGGTAATGTTGTACTTTTCAGTATGGAAGCTCAGATAGTCTATGAACTCAAATCTTAGTAAGTACTAAAAAACCCTCATTAACCTATCAAAACTCATACTCATGACTTGAGGCTCCAAACTCGACAAACTCTCCAGTAAAGTGGTAGTGATTTCAGTCACATGAGGCTTCAACAAGACACCACCCTTTTGACACAACTTGAGTATTGTACTGAGTGCAAATTTACGCACTTCTTCAGCCATGGATCCAAGTCCCTGAATCAAGAATGGCATACAAGCGTCCATGACTTTTTGACCATCTTTTAGATTCACAACTGTAGGATCACAATATTTTATGGTGACATTGGTCAACACTTTACAAGTGCCAAATGCTGCAGTTCGAACTGATTCCTTGATGTCATCTAGGACCCGGAAGCACATCGTCCAAAGCTCTTGAAGGTACGGTTCTAGTTGCTCGATAGAACGACCTTGTAATAGATCAGACATGGCAAGACAACTACGAGAGGAGGAGTACAGTCAGACTAATATACTGGTGCCAAAAGGGAGCCCAATGTAGTCTCACCTCGCTTCACGAGTCCTCCATAACCTGTCACCAAGCGACTTGAGTAAATCCTTCATAATCAAGACGAAATATTCAGTAATAGTAGCCTTAGGATCTTTGACTAGAATCCTCCAAATATTCCTCATAGCATCAGCGACTTTTGCATTAGGATCAAATTGGAATCGGAAAAGTCGAGGAATGAGATTCGGTAGATATGGTTTGAGGTCTTCTTCAGCATGTGCCATGACCATAGCGAAACCCATGCTTGCGCCACGTCGCGAATTCCACATTGCAGAATGAGACGCAAGTGACATGAACTAAAGAGCCAAAAAAGCGAAGTTGAAAATGAAAGAGCGTTTTTGAAAGAGACGAGAGGTCAAATACCTTGTAAACCAGTTCTGGCTGATTCATATCAGACGCCAAAGATAAAATACTCTGGTACGTCGTCAAATTGCCACCATCGGGTGTGGAACCCATCGTGCCTTCAAATTTGGTGCACAGGTAAATACAATATCGTGTAAAGCACATGTTCTTGATTTCACGTACCAGCCTCAAACAACGGAGTTTCAGCAGTGACTGATTGAGCAGCAATACGTTTCCCTTCCGTAATTGTGCTAATCAGTGATCCAACCATTGATTTACGTATTTCAGGATCAGCGAGTTCATAGGCGAGACCCATTGCTTTCGATGCCACCTACAAAAACGTGTCAGGCTTCGTCTTGTAATGGAATGGTTTTCTTTCGATGCCCACCTCCTGTGTGAATTCTGACGACAGACCAAAAAAATCAGCTCCAAGTATTCGTCGACGTAAACAACAGAAAGCCACATACCATCTCGATCATTCAACAAGGACGACAAGGCTGCATGTATATCACCAAACCTGGCCTACGTACATGTAAGCAAAAAAATGGAGTGAGTAAGTAACCTCAACGGCGTAGTGAACACCATAGCATACTTTGACTCGAGAATGCTGTCCACAATGCTTAATCACACACAACAGCCATACAGAGACAGCCTTTCGATTAACAGGAGGCCGACCAGGCATAACTTCAGCAAAGCATTTAGACAAGACTTCGTCCATAGTCTCGTCACCAACAACCTCAACTTTTGATCTATCGGATGGTGGAGGTGTTGTAGGTGGGTATTCTACATCACCGATATCCAAAAAGACTGAAGTATTGGTTGATTGCCAACCAGCACCAATCATAGCTAGAGAGCCACCAACTGTAAAGTGAATTTCGGGTTGTTTGGATAGAGCAGAGCAGAGGCCGGTTAATAAGGATATTATGGTTGAGCGTATAGACGAGTCTCCTAGAGCCAAATCACCCAATGCCGCAATGGCTGCCTCTTGAACCTGTGGTTTTGAAGACGTTGTTAGGAAACCGTGTAACAAAAAAAAACGAACACATCACGATAAAGTTTCTAAAAACCTTCGTCTCCTTGCTGTTCTTGGCTAAAGAAGTCAACTTTTCAATAATTTTAGAAACACTCCAATCAACATCAGTATCCATAGCATCTTTGACTAGAGCATCGAGACAAAGAGGTGCATATCTTCCAACTTCACCAATAGCTGCACAAGCACCTGTAATAAGCAACGCAGACCCATCATTTAAAAACGATGCAAGTGTTTCAGTGCAAGTTTTGATCTGCTTGCTGGTGACGATATCAGTAGCAGTGTACGGATGGCGATACCACAGACGACCAATTATGTATCCCATAGCTAATATGGCACCATGTCGTGCTTCTACCGGATTCGTTCGTGGTGGGGTTTTGATGGCGTTGTACATTTCCGTCAAAAGAGATGGTATTCGATCCAAATTAGAGGCCGTTACAACTATTCCGAGCATATGTGCCATGGATTGTCGTGTTTCAGGTCTTATGGAGTTCAAGAATGATTTGATCCAATCGACTTTGGTGCCATATGAAGAAGACAATGTAGATGGGCCCAGTGAAATCAGTTCTAGCATACACGAAGATGCGACTGATTGTAGTAGTGCATCTAGGTTCATTTTGAATAAATGTCAGCCCGTGCGAAAAAAAGAGCGTTCAAGGCGCAAATGCACTACTATTGTACCTGACTCTTCAGCCTTGAGTGCGGTCTCAATCAAATCAATAAACAACGCGAGACCTCCTGGTCCTTCACGCCCATCTACTTCCATAGTATTCACATCGCCCCAAAATGTCTTCAAAGTATTTCGAACGGCGATTCGAGTAGATGCATCAGCAATCTCCCCCGCCTCGTCAGACACAACACCAACATCATCTATTCGTGCAGTGGGATCACTGCGTCGAACAACTAGTCGTTGCAAAAACTCTAAGGCATGACTATAGGATTCGGTACTCATGGCCCCAACGTATTTAATACCAGGAGCTCTAACCATTCCTTGACCAGAACGACCTCTCATTCGTTTCAAGAGGGATGCCATGTCAGTAAATGATGGTAACAGTTTGGAATATGTCTCGACTGTATCGTTTGGTGCGATGGCCTCAGGGAACTTCAGACCACGACGGCCTTCTTCGCGGACTTCTAGTTTCGAATCTGCTGAAGCGACTAGAGCAATATACCGAGAAAGTGGATGCGAGAATGGGAAGAGCGATACAGCATATTTAGTGGCAATATACCTGGCTTGGGGCTCGTTCTGCAATTGAACGAGAGTTTTAGTTCTCAGTTACTCAGCGACAAGAATTTCAAATTTGCAAACCTTTTCGATATTTGACAAAATGATCTCCTCCAATTCTGAGCGTTTGGTGTCGTCATGTATAATATCCTTGTACGCGTCAATCATCATAGATAGAGCATCTTGAACAGACACTCGAACATTTCTCGTTTCTAACGAGACAGCCTTGAAAAAGGACATCAGGATGGAAGTATCAGCTACAAACAGGTCAGGAGCTAAAATTTGGAGGAATTCGATGTTAGTCGCAATACCGAGAACTCCGAAGGCAAAAAGTTAGATATCAAAGTTGCACCACCTCTTTTCGACACCAAGCCCATGGCTTCATACGCAAAGCCACGTAGAGTTTCTCCTTCTTGAACTGCAGAATCCTCTTGAGCCTGCTCAATCAATTTCAACAATCCAGAGATAATGATGGGAGCCACTGGCCGAATTTTACTGGTTTCAGCCATTTTGGCCGTCCAAATCATAAAAGAGATCCCGAGCGAGCGTAATTTTGGATTTGCGTCTACTCCATATAGAGCGTCAAAAATGATTTGTATGGTGCTTGGGAATATATTAGCCGCTGACATATATAGCAGATCTTGTTAGTGACGCGTGGTGTAGCTTCAAAAGCTCCAAGACAGTTTGCTTCTCAGAATAACTCTACCTTTTGCAGATTTGAGGAAAATTGTCAATATTTTGCTTTTTACTGCTGGATTCGCTGGCATTCTAAATGATGGGTCGGGAATTACTGGCATATTTCTACCGCGTCCCGTTCCTTGGTATAGTTCGTATAGGCTTTGGACGACCTTTGAGAATTTTTGTAGTATTGATGTTAGTCTACCAGACAAAAGAAGCAGACTCAGTATCAAGGTATACCTTCTCATCTTCCAAATCAGGTTTCGCATGTCTCCTCAGTGCATCTTCACCAGCAGAAACTACCTGATGATGAGTTTCACATGATGCGACTAAATATACTCGGAAGCGTTCAGCCACGAGCAGCTTGTCTGGTACGAATACCGAAGTCAAGAATCGGACGATTTCGACCTAGTTAAGGAACGAAAATGTTTGAGTTCGAATGTAGGGAAGGTAAAAAAAGTGAAACATGATCATGACACATCCAACACCAACCTTGACAACTAACAACTCTACAACTGATTTGACATACACAGCTTTACCAGCATTTGACATAAAGTCAATCGCAGCTTTACTCAACCCAGGTGGTGGTGGAGGGACCAGAGGCGCCTCGTCACCAAGTGGTTTGGGTGGAGGACCGATATTAAACAACATGACGTCCAAGAATTTATCAATAAGGAACTTGAGATCTGCAGGATTTGTTTCGAATTCGAAAGGATCTGAAATGGGCGGAGGTGCTCCTCGTTCTGTTCTCGGTTCCTTGATCTTTGTCAATACCTATCATCAGAGTTGGGTTATTTGGGTGTCGTCTAGTAACTTTTGGGATCAAGTATTGCTTACTGGTAATGCGATATGAAAGGCAACAATCTGTTGCGATGGTAGTCGAGTCGATATTCCTCGAATAAGTTTGGGTAGTAGGAGCTGAGTCTCTTGTTCGGAAGCACGAGCAAATCCCATTTCCAGATAGATAAGAGCAAAGTTCTTTACAAAGTTGGACAATTGTGTGTTTGTCCATAGGTCACAAACAGCAGCAATTGGGATTTTGATTGCTGGGTTTGACTTTAATCGTTTGTTTACATGTCCACATATTGACGTGACCTGATCAAGACAAAGTAGCAGTCAGAAAGAGAAGAAAACGGATTGGGCGAGGGATCAAGTTCAGATCAAGCCGAGGGATCAACACCAACGAATGTTGCAACCTTTGTTTTGACAGATGCATGCGGTGAGTCGAGTTTCAGGAGCACGGGCGCCAGGTAAATTGCGAGCTGGGACTCGAATTTGGATTCCAAGTCTGCCAAGGCAAAGCGCATCTCCACATTGTCAAGAAGTTCTGCATTTACAAATACAACGTGTCAGTCAGTACTGAAGGAGCAAAGCTAGAACGAAGGAATACGGAAACATCAAAGCGTATACCGATCTCCTTGTCCGCCATGTCGTCTTCTTTGTATTCACTGGACTTTGTTGACTTCTAATTTCCAAAAGTTGCAGCGACACGTCACGAAGACTGACGAGTCCTTTGACAAGAAGGAAGGACGTGTTTTCAGGATACGTGACGCGCTCGTTTAATCGGGGAAATCGATAGATGACTCTCTACTTTTATACAGCGAGCGTCCGCCTCGTGGTTTCCCAATTGCGAAGACTATTTTGACATCAGACTTTTAGTAAAGAACGACTCATGACATTCAACTTGTCAGACTACGGCATCAGTCCCGAGACTGGATTCCTGCCTTCTGGACCGTATCCAACCTCGAAATTACCGTCACATTTCCAAATTTGGGACGACATCGCAAGCGATCTCCCGGCACTCATTCTATCCAACGCACTAAAGAAGCGTATTCTTACGGTACTTGCTTTTGCTTGCTGTAAATGGTCCTAGAAACTCACTCTATCTCTTGGACAGCTTCCACTGCTTGACGCAGATGAGCTGAAATCGGAACGTGACATACAACGAGCTTATTCGGTCATCAGCTTCGTTGCACATGGATTCATTTTCGGAGTACCCGGTGCACAAGAGCCCGAGCAGGTTCTCCCCGCACAATTGGCTGTTCCGTGGTGCATCGTCGCAAAGAAGCTTCGTTTATTGCCAGTCATATCATATGCTGGGTGAGTAAACCGTTGATCTAAGCTTGTACATTAAATAGTAGATATCACCACTACGTCACAAAAATAGTTTCGAGCTGTACAACTTTCGACTGCTTGATCCCGCGGGGCCAATCGATTTATCGAATATCGCCTTGATAAATCTGTTTACTGGGAGCTACGACGAGGTAAAGTAGTTGTTGACGTGTAATACACGAATTGTTATTCAGCTGCTCACGACATTAGGCATGGTTCTTTTTGGTCCCCATTGAAATCGAGGCTATTGGAGCGCGAGCTCTAGTCGCCATGGTTGATGCCAAACAAGCAATGGAATCTCACGATGCAGCTGCCTTCACAACATCTCTGCAAATCATTCGAAGTGCTATTGAACAATCGACTCAGATTCTGGTCTTGATTTACAAAAAGTTAGACGCACAGTACTTTTACAAGCGAATTAGGTAAGCTAGGTCATTTGCTAATCCCAAACATTCATCTCATACAATTTGACAATTAGGCCTTACGTAGGCGGTTTTGGAGCAGGATCTGACTCGCATCCAAACGGATTATTCTATGAGGGTGTCTTTCATGAAGACAAGCACACTTTGAAAATCACAGATACGGGCTCTTATAGGGAATACGCGGGCGCAAGTGCTGGACAGAGCCCCACAATTCAAAGTTTCGATGCGTTTCTCGGTATGAAGGAACCTTCGATACAATTCTTGTCCAATTCTTACCCCTTATTGAACTGTTAGGAGTCAAACATGGACCACCAAACTCGGCATCGAAATCAAATCCAATAATAGAGATGAGAGACTACATGCCTGGTCGTTTCGTTGATTTCATTAACGACATATCGAATTTCGGAGTGCGAGAATACGCTCAAAATCGTGGAGGACAGGCTTGGGAGTCCTATTCCGGATGCATAATGGCACTGAAAGCATTTCGAGATAAACACATAGGGATTGCTACTACTTATATTGTCTTGCCTGCTAAGCAAGACAAGTCGAAAGTTGTAGACGAGGAGCAATTGCTGGGTAAAGGCGGTACTGCTCTGGTGCCTTTCTTGAAGAATGCTAGAAATGAGACGGTATACACTTTAAAGACCTCATCTGAATCATAGTTGGTGTACGTCGGCTTAATTTTAATATAGTCTGCACCAGAAGGTTCCGCTCTTGTTAGTTTGGGGTTGATCGAAGACAACTTGGAACATCGTTTGAGTGGAATCTTGTCCATTCTTCCACATGGATATAATTCAGACTCAATCCAGTAAACTTACTGGCGATATGTCGCATCAGGAGTAAATCAGCGAAGTAAGTACATCGTAACTAAACCGTGACGACTAGCAAACCACTTGGCTGTCTTTATAAAATCATTGGGTACAGAACGAGCATTGGGCATATCTTTCTTTGTTCCTCCTTTCATTCCTGTACGTGATCTTTGGAAAATCGAAAGCATCCATGTCCAAGGCTTTCTCAAAACCAACGCATTTTCTTCGCAACTGTATCATCGTTGTTGCTTCTTTCAAATTCTGTAAACGGATTTTATTAGAATTCAATTAAAGGCAGGTCGTAATGACATTGCTGTCGTGATTTTTGTGCCACGAGTGGCCTTTAAAGTACCGTACATCGTTAACTGGGCTGTGAATCCACGCAAACGTATCAACCTGGGTTATTGACGTAGAAGAGTCGTCCACGTCTATTGGATGGAATGCTGCTAAATGTCTAAATCTTCAATGAGGTCTTTGCTCCTGGAGTGACCGCTTATTTGTTACTTAGCCAACCATAATTTCATTTTGAGTCGTTTTTGAAAGCCGCATCTCCACACATAAAGAGGCTTATAAGAGTCGATCGTTTGTATAAATGATACTCAAAACTATGTCCTCGTCATCTCGGGTATGTCTTAAGCCTTCAGCTCGCTCGCCTCCTCAACATGCGTCAGTTAAAGTTTGTTACTGGCTTCTTGCTGACTTGACTTTCTCATCGTAGCAAGAAGTGGTTGAAGAGACGCTGCTCCTACTACGAATAAAGGTTTGGTAAGTGTAGCGCTAAGCTTCGGTACTGGACTTGATCTGAATCGTTATACTAATGTTCTTCGTCAAAATATCAAAGCTAGCACTAACAAAAATCGTATAGGGGTACTATCAGTTTTGATATCTTGAGATTTCTTGAAATTTACATCATCAACATATGGTGTTTTTGGTAAACAATATGGTAGAGAAATGCCGCCATGACTCCTTTTTCCCTGAATCCTTTACTCACGTACACATGTTTCCTCACGTATCTGCCGACCTTGGAACAATCGTTTTTTTGGTCATCCAGACTATGTGAATCTTGACAACGAAGTGAGTACGCGCTGCATTTCGACTCATTTTATTTAACCATTGTCATTTGCAAACACAGCAATTCAGAATACTATCAAGGCTGCCCTAGTTGCAAGCGCTACATTTATAAGACAAGATGATGATGCTACGAAAGAGGTAGAAGTAGTATCGCATTAGGACGTTCCACACCAACGTGTGAGTGATGCATTGATCTACTCATGGTACAATCGTGTTTTCCCTCTTCATCTTCCCTCGTATCGTCTTGAACTGTACCGATGTGGAATCTCGCTCTCGCAGCCAGTTGCATCGTGCTGGTACATGGTTGAGTTTACAAAATTTCAGAGCATTCTCCCAAAGTCAGCATTGGGGAGCCACTACTATCGACCGAGCTGGAGCTCAGTCCACAGGACTTTGTTTGATCTGGCTGCTTCTTACAATGCCAATCTCTACACTATCACGAAACGCAACTCGTATCAAGGCCAACATGGAATGGTTTGGAACTTTGGGGCTAAACGCCAGTTTCGTGTCAACTACTCTGTTGCCCCATCCACCACCAAAGGCAAACACAATGCAGTAACGTGATGGATGAAGGACGACACAGGTGATGACAATGTGACAACAACAGCAGCAGTGACAGCTCCAGCGGTAACAACAAGAACCAGCAATTGAAACTCCATATAACTTGTAGTATGATTGAAAACTTGATGTGAATCGTTTCGTTATTTGTGGTTTCCCCACATCGACCACGTAGGATTTGACTGATCTTGGTACTCTTGACTGCGCGGCTCGTGGTTGTGGAGTTGTATCTTGTATGTAAGATCGAGAAAACTGACCCAGCTTGTTGATGAGGGAAGATGTCGATGAAACATAGATCTCGTTCTGCTTGATCCTTTATCGACAATTAGTTCTGTAATTCCTTGTTTTAAAAGGCTTGCAAATATATGTACAGTCCATTTCAATAGATGTCGATGTTTTTTTGATCGAATGGGGACCCAGTTATTAGTAGACGTGTAAATCACCCATAGTAGCGTATTAGGGTCTGAAACGCGTTTAGATGCTCGACGTTGCCTTGGTTCCGTAGTACTTGGTATGATGGCATTCGTTCGAATTATTGTCAGTCACAAAAACTGAACAATTAAGATGAGCGGATTCCAAAGGGTGCCAGCCAATCCTCTCATAGCTGATGCTGTATCGGGATGGAACAATCTGAATCAACTTGCCGTGCCTACATCTACTGCTATCTCCTTTCTTGTAAGCTGCAACAACCTCCCATTTTTTTGACAAGTTGACAACTCAACCATATATGACTGACAATTTGTTTCGTAGCAACCAAGTCTTGTATGTAACCAAGACGAGACGATCAGCACCTCTTTCACTATCACAGAGGTTACTGCTGAGGCAGGGAAAAAGGCACGATTTCGTTATGATCAAGGAGCAAAACCTCAGAATGGTACCGTTGACGTTTTGCACAGAATGAGACTTTGACACTGCCTGATTTTTTTGCTGGAATAAAGACGCAAATGACTGACTCTTACCCATACAACGTGATATAGATGCTGATATAAGATATTCTGAACTCTGCCTTGAAGCTTTTATCTGCTGTGACTGGTCTCCTGTTGACATTTCAACATCTGTGAATGGGTAAAAAACGAGAACATATCTTCAATACTAGGGCAATCCAAGCACCAACCATTTCCATTTCTTCTCTCGCCTCTTCCAACAGATGTTTGTTGGCTGCTATTACAACCTGTCAAGGTGTCGAGATCTGGGCTCCACAAGACAATCAACTCAAAGGACGATATGAAGTCGTATGTAATTCGTTTTTTCGCCCGCATATGCATCGGTCTCTTACTTCTACAAATCCCTCTAGTTGGCTGATCTGAGTACAAAGCTATTCGGACATTTTGGATTGGATCATGAGAAGGTCATGAAGGACAAGGCAAATTTGGATGCTCTAGAAGCAGTTTGTACGTGTTTTCAGCTGTTTATTGCAGCATCGGAAGCTTAAATATTGTACAATAGCTCTTGCGTGG